GACTAACTCGACCATGGTCGAGTTCGCTGGAAAACGACTAACTCGACCATGGTCGAGTTCGCCGGAAAACGACTAATTCGACCATGGTCGAGTTCGCCGGAAAAGACTAACTCGACCATGGTCGAGTTCGCCGGAAAACGACTAACTCGACCATGGTCGAGTTCGCCGGAAAACGACTAACTCGACCATGGTCGAGTTCGCCGGAAAACGACTAACTCGACCATGGTCGAGTTCGCCCGAAAACGACTAACTCGACCATGGTCGAGTTCGCCGGAAAACGACTAACTCGAACTTGGTTGAGTTCGCCGGAAAACGACTAATTCGACCATGGTCGAGTTCGCAGGAAAACGACTAATTCGACCATGGTCGAGTTCGCCGGAAAACGACTAACTCGACCATGGTCGAGTTCGCCGGAAAATTTCAGGACATTTCTCCTTTGCTTCATCCCCTCGCATTTGCCGTGTTACACCAAACTTTCTAGCTTCATAACTAACTGCTATGATTCTGGGCAAACACATATAAATACAATCAAATATTGTCATTCATATTGCTAACTACCTATAGCTTTCTAGTTTAATAATTACCCTCCACCTTTCCACTCATTATACTGAACAACTGCACAAGGTTTCCCAAGCAAAGACGGGTTCAAACGTTGCTCAACTTGTACGTAAAAACAATCCATGTCTACCAAAGCAACAACACGTTCAAGAGACATCCTAGGACGTGATTACAAAAATTTCTCGCAAACAGCTAGCAAAACAGATACCAACAATACCAACTATTCAACATCATCATTTTCTGGACTTTTTTTGAAATAATCGGAAGGTATCGACTACTCTCGGATGAACTCGGAACAGATTTCCAGCACTCTGATTGGTCGAGATTATACCATTACCATACACTCAGCCATGCAGAGACTGGGGAGAGTATTCAGGGTTAATTAAGGTGGTTTTTAGTCGATATAGATTTTTTTTCGAACCATATCCGTTCCATATATGTTTAATAAAAGTATTTTTTTTATGTAAAAGAAAAATTTAGAAAGAATGCCGAAATAAAAAAAATTAAACAAACGTAAAAAAGAGATCATCCAGCTCTATGCCACAATCTAACCGGTGATATTACAACCAGCTGCGATATACCAGCATAGATTACAACTACGAAAGGTGCAAGGACAGTTGCTATAGGAAGAACTCCCCCCCATAACTCACATCTTAACGGCCGTCTAAGGGGGAGATGCACTACGGCCCCCAGACCATGGTGTATGTGCACCTAACCGTTACGTCTCAGTGAGAAACAGAGTGGGCTTTGCCACAAGCCTAGCGTCATAGACGAATCAGCTACAGTGGCGAGCCTTGACAGCGAAGATAAATTTAACGTATTTAAGCTTTTCCTGGTCTCGGGAGGCGGTCCCTAACAAGGATATGCACAGAAAATGACTAATAAGACACACACTTGGAAATTGCAAGATTTAAATGCCTAAACGTTTTTAAGTGTTTCTAGCAAGAAAATAGTAATCAATGCGACTACTGAATTTAAACGTTTTACCATTTACTGCCGAAAAACGGCGCAGACGACCATGGCGAATACGACCATGGTCGAGTTCGCCGGAAAAGACTAATTCGACCATGGTCGAGTTCGCCGGAAAAGACTAATTCGACCATGGTCGAGTTCGCCGGAAAACGACTAACTCGACCATGGTCGAGTTCGCCGGAAAACGACTAATTCGACCATGGTCGAGTTCGCCGGAAAACGACTAATTCGACCATGGTCGAGTTCGCCGGAAAAGACTAACTCGACCATGGTCGAGTTCGCCGGAAAACGACTAACTCGACCATGGTCGAGTTCGCCGGAAAACGACTAACTCGACCATGGTCGAGTTCGCCGGAAAACGACTAATTCGACCATGGTCGAGTTCGCCGGAAAACGACTACAATCATTTTCAAAAGTAGTTGGGACACCTACTATTTTTAGCTAAAATCTACTATATAGGATGATTTTCATACATCCCCCCCCCTCTCCCCAATCAATGTTGGTTTTCAAATCCAAACACGTTTCGGAACAAAATGTCCGTCTATTTGGGACACAACATTGAAAAGGGGGCGCGGGGGATCTGGGTTTGTCTTATAAATCGGTAATTTGGCTACCTGTCCCAACTCTTTTGAAAATGATTGTAACTCGACCATGGTCGAGTTCGCCGGAAAACGACTAATTCGACCATGGTCGAGTTCGCCGGAAAAGACTAACTCGACCATGGTTGAGTTCGCCGGAAAACGACTAACTCGACCATGGTCGAGTTCGCCGGAAAACGACTAATTCGACCATGGTCGAGTTCGCCGGAAAAGACTAATTCGACCATGGTCGAGTTCGCCGAAAAACGACTAACTCGGCCATGGTCGAGTTCGCCGGAAAACGACTAACTCGACCATGGTCGAGTTCGCCGGAAAACGACTAACTCGACCATGGTTGAGTTCGCCGGAAAACGACTAACTCGACCATGGTCGAGTTCGCCGGAAAACGACTAATTCGACCATGGTCGAGTTCGCCGGAAACGACTAATTCGACCATGGTCGAGTTCGCCGAAAAACGACTAACTCGACCATGGTCGAGTTCGCCGGAAAACGACTAACTCGACCATGGTCGAGTTCGCCGGAAAACGACTAACTCGACCATGGTCGAGTTCGCCGGAAAACGACTAACTCGACCATGGTCGAGTTCGCCGGAAAACGACTAACTCGACCATGGTCGAGTTCGCCGGAAAAGACTAATTCAACCATGGTCGAGTTCGCCGAAAAACGACTAACTCGACCATGGTCGAGTTCGCCGGAAAACGACTAATTCGACCATGGTCGAGTTCGCCGGAAAAGACTAACTCGACCATGGTCGAGTTCGCCGGAAAACGACTAACTCGACCATGGTCGAGTTCGCCGGAAAACGACTAACTCGACCATGGTCGAGTTCGCCGGAAAACGACTAATTCGACCATGGTCGAGTTCGCCGGAAAACGACTACAATCATTTTCAAAAGTAGTTGGGACACCTACTATTTTTAGCTAAAATCTACTATATAGGATGATTTTCATACATCCCCCCCCCCTCTCCCCAATCAATGTTGGTTTTCAAATCCAAACACGTTTCGGAACAAAATGTCCGTCTATTTGGGACACAACATTGAAAAGGGGGCGCGGGGGATCTGGGTTTGTCTTATAAATCGGTAATTTGGCTACCTGTCCCAACTCTTTTGAAAATGATTGTAACTCGACCATGGTCGAGTTCGCCGGAAAACGACTAATTCGACCATGGTCGAGTTCGCCGGAAAAGACTAACTCGACCATGGTTGAGTTCGCCGGAAAACGACTAACTCGACCATGGTCGAGTTCGCCGGAAAACGACTAATTCGACCATGGTCGAGTTCGCCGGAAAAGACTAATTCGACCATGGTCGAGTTCGCCGAAAAACGACTAACTCGGCCATGGTCGAGTTCGCCGGAAAACGACTAACTCGACCATGGTCGAGTTCGCCGGAAAACGACTAACTCGACCATGGTTGAGTTCGCCGGAAAACGACTAACTCGACCATGGTCGAGTTCGCCGGAAAACGACTAATTCGACCATGGTCGAGTTCGCCGGAAACGACTAATTCGACCATGGTCGAGTTCGCCGAAAAACGACTAACTCGACCATGGTCGAGTTCGCCGGAAAACGACTAACTCGACCATGGTCGAGTTCGCCGGAAAACGACTAACTCGACCATGGTCGAGTTCGCCGGAAAACGACTAACTCGACCATGGTCGAGTTCGCCGGAAAACGACTAACTCGACCATGGTCGAGTTCGCCGGAAAAGACTAATTCAACCATGGTCGAGTTCGCCGAAAAACGACTAACTCGACCATGGTCGAGTTCGCCGGAAAACGACTAACTCGACCATGGTCGAGTTCGCCGGAAAACGACTAACTCGACCATGGTCGAGTTCACCGGAAAACGACTAATTCGACCATGGTCGAGTTCGCCGGAAAAGACTAATTCGACCATGGTCGAGTCGACCATGGTCGAGTTCGCCGAAAAACGACTAACTCGACCATGGTCGAGTTCGCCGGAAAACGACTAACTCGACCATGGTCGAGTTCGCCGGAAAACGACTAACTCGACCATGGTCGAGTTCGCCGGAAAACGACTAACTCGACCATGGTCGAGTTCGCCGGAAAACGACTAACTCGACCATGGTCGAGTTCGCCGGAAAACGACTATGCCACAATCTAACTGGTGCACCGTGCACGGATACAACCAGCTGCAATATACCAGCATAGTTACAACTGCGAAAGGTTCAAGGAAAGTTTCTGTAGGAAGAACTCTCCCCCTTAGCACATTTTAAGGGCCGCCGAATGGGGTCTTAGGGGGAGATGCACTACGGTCCCCAGACCATGATGTATGTGCACCTAACCGTTACGTCTCAGTGAGAAACAGAGTATGCTCTTTGCCACACGCCATTTGCGTCATAGACGAATCAGCTACAGTGGCAAGGCTTGAGAGCGAAGATAAATTTTACGTATTATAGCTTTTTCTGGTCTCGGCCGAGGCGGCCCCTAACAAGTTAGTGCGTAAAAAATGACTAATAAGGCACATGCTTGGAAATGTCAAGATTTAAGTGATAATCGACGATGCTCGAGTGCGCCGAAAAACGATGGTGGCTCTCGTTTGAGCATACAATTTGAGGGTAAAATTTAATAGCTTATACCTAAGAATACGCAAGGTACATTACATGTACGGGATACTGGGCAACCTCGAGTACTTTCAAGCACAGATCGCGATAATATGAAAATAGCACAACACAAAAAAATAATCAGGAAACGCGTCTACCACAGTAGCCCGAGATATATATGGAGCGGTTGACTGGTTGCTCCACATATAAAACTGAGACGGCCATACGTTTGGTGACAATCGTTTTTAAATGAAGTACTAGTCATCAACTGGCCAATCAACAACGGGCTCACAAGCTCATTTTATGTTTTGTTCATGTGTTAAAAAGTAATTTGTTGTTTTGTTTACTTCGTAATTTTCATGTTTTTTTCGTTTACACTATAACGAAAGCAGTAATGCCTCAACTACAAGTATTTATTGGTATATTTTTACATTTATTTTGTGGTCTTTGGTGTCAAAACAGTCAATTTGATGACTCTATGTTATATGATATTAGCTGGGCTGGCCCACTTCGTTCAAAGCAGGTCTGTACATAACATACAACGCAAACTTTTCACACATAGCTCTGCTTGCTTGATCCAGCCATGAAGGTCTGTGCAAACTCTGTCTACATTCATTTTTTTAGGCTGAAAAAGAAAACCCTGTATTGATAACAACTAAAGATAACGAGCAATATTCTTGTTCGTTACCAAAATTAAGAGAGGATTTGATGGTAATTGGTAATATTTTCTAATCCCTAAATCCAAGATAGAAATTTTTACGGACATTGTATTATTTGCCTCAGGATGAATACAGCCCTGGTCCTGGCCCAAGCCCAGAGGAAATGTTAAAACCATTGACTGGAAATACAAGGTGCTCATACAGAGTGAGTGAGAGTATAACTTTACTGTCTTTACATCTGAAGCATTTTTCCAGAGCAATAAGACATGTCTCTGAGAGCCTTTATATTGAAATTTCTAAATGTCCTAGTTAGTGGTGCCTTGAGTAAGCCTAATTGATCTAATTTTGCAGGATTGAAGTTACTTTTGATGTACTGTACGTATGCAATGTAGTGTGTTATTGATAGGGTAGTACTGATTGCATTAACAGATATTGATCAGACGTTTAGCCTGCTAAAAATTTTAGGCCAACTTAGTCATGTATACACATGCAAAGGCAGGATTTCAAACTTTGCCTCTATGTATAAAAAATTAGCATCTGAACACTTGTTTTCATTTAATTATGACAATTAAATGGGAATTCTATATATCAATCTTGTAAATGGAGTTTTATTTCACAATTGGTTTTATATTTCCAGCTGGATACATATTGGACATACGAACTTTGTCATGGCTCTCATGTTAGACAATTTCATGATGAGAAACCAATGAAGGTATATTTTCAGTTTTCCTTTCTTCCTCTCTCTACCAATTGCCTCACTCATGGAATTATTTTTTGCATTACAATTTTAGAGCCAAGTTGTGCAGGAATATATGCTTGGAAAAGTTGCAACAGGTGAGCCATTATCATGCATGCAAGCTTGAAGCTTTCATTTTGTTAGGAATGAAGTGCAGATTCAAAGCCGGCCTGCAGAAGGCATTTGATTTGGTGAACCACACTGAAATTATGTTGACTTTATAATTCCAAAACAGTGGAGAAAAAAGATGGTGAAAAGTTGAAAGAAGAAGCTACTGAATCTAAAAAAACAAATGTTGAAAAAAAAGAGGATGAACCACAAGGACAGGTTTTGGTAAGAAAGTAGATTCCATTGAGTAAAAACTAACCAAAATATAAAAATCTATCATATTCCTCACATTGTAATATACTGTTAATTGTATGTGATATATAGCCTCCTAAACGTAATTTGAATGGTCGTGAAGTGCCTTATTATGAGGTCACCATGGATAATGGTACTCCTTGTGAACTCTTACAAGGAAAGCCACGAAAGAGTCGTATTTTGTACATGTGCAAACCAGATTCGAACAATGAGGTGAGCTAGCTACACTACAGTACGGTATATAATAGTGATTATACTATTTCAAAAAAAAATCACTATCCCAGTAATAACTTTATCCAGCTTTCGAAGAACTGGCCTCTGGAATATTCTAAATTAACCCTTAGTTCCTAATTAAAGTTTCATATATTGGGATTTAATGATAGCATTTAAATTAGACGATTCTGTTACCATGTAGTGTCTTTCATTTAGATCATAAGTGTGAAGGAAGTTCAAAGTTGTGAATATCAGTTGGAAGTACTTACCCCGTTTTTGTGTGCAAGTGATATGTACAAGTATGTGGCAATTGTTGTTGTTTGTCTATAGTAAAGACTAAGGGTATAGCAGAAGTCATGTGCCTTGACAGCTAGTGTTTGATTGTGTACATTGTGAGACTACTGGTCGCACCATGGAAGAGAGTTTATCTATTCTCATTCACCACCTTACCTCTTCCCCTTTTTCATGCAAGTACACTCACAATAATTCATTGTCTCTGCTTTATTTTATTGTGCAGCGTTAAAGAAGATCAAATTCATCCAATCCGTTGTCATTCTTTAAATGGTTCCCCAAGGTATACATTGACAGGTTACAGCCTTTTGAAGAAGTGTTTACCTTTTTTTCTTATGTATAAATTATTGGTATCTTCATTTGCCATGTGCTCTTTTGTTAAAATAAGTATATATTAAGGTCATGTTCCTTTTTTCAGAGAACCACAGAGTTACATTTATCATGTTGAAGAATCTGAAGCAGATAGACTTGGTTTCAGAGAGGTAAAAACAAGACTCTGCCTACTGTATAGTCACATAAGACATCCATGGAAATTAGAAATACTTGGTCCATACACATGGAATGATGATATATTGACAAAATTTTGCAAATCTTTTTTGCAGTATCAGTACATGCCTGTTCAGGATGAAGGTTCAACAGATGCATCAAAATCATCCGAACATCGTAAAATCCCACCACAACCAGATCAGCAACTAACACAGGACTTTCTCAATGGCGTTTACTGTTTACGAGGGGTGAGAAAACATTGCTACGTATGCTGATTGTTGCTCGGTCTCCTGTTGTTAAACAACATAGTTTGAACAATATTTTTATTGTTTCAGGGTTCAGGATGGTGGCATTATGAATATTGTCATGGCGTACATGTCTTACAGTACCATACCGTAATGTTCTTATTTCATTTTCTACCTTAATTGGATGCTCCAACAGACATCAATTGAATGTTCTATATGATATTATTCAGAGGTTAAACCATTCCAATATTTTTTTAAATTTTTTCAAACCTTTGCAATAGGACCAACAAGGAAAAACTATAATTTATCTTGGACATTGGAACATAGATGTTAGTATTTCAACTGGTTTTAAACTGATGATCTGTGCTTGTTTGTGCGCTAATGTGTATTACATCTTAATCTTGACCATTATAGGTACATAGAGATTGGGTGAAGAAAAACCCTCAAAAGTCTATGGAATATGTTACTCATTATTATGGAAATGGTGAAATATGTGATATCACTGGAATGGCAAGAACTGTTCAAGTCAGATTAAAGTTGGTTGAGCATCAGTATCAGTTGTAATAGAATATTTTAAACTTGTTTTTTACCTCGGATATTGTTTCTTTATCTCACAGGTGTATGAAATCTAACCACTTGCAAGAAGTCTCAATCTATTTATTGGAACCAAAAAAATGCCAGTACATTCTTGGGGTAAGCATCAAACATTTCCTAATCTTTCTTCTTATATCAAAGACAGGTTTAGCACGGTGGACCAAAGCCAGAGTTTAAAAATGCGCTCATCCAGTCATCTTTTGAATGACTGAACTTCATTAAAGTCATTTCTCTATCTTTAGGTCGACTCTCCTATTCTGTGCCCTCTTATTGAGAAGGCTGATGAAGATGGAATATTTCCAACAAAACTTTAGAAGCCCTAGTAAATTTTGAGATATTTTTTATGCTCCATTGGTGGATGCATTTACAAGGATAACTTGCATGCCTTGTTGCTAGATTATTAAATATTCTATGCTTTCATAGACTGTAATTAGAACCAGGCATGTGTAAGAATCTTTGTATCATCTTCCTGGGGAAGGTGAACCCATGGGCGTGACCCACAGACCAGCTTGGTGAGCCATTACCCTACTTTTCAGAGATGTGAATGAAATAAGATACATTGCTTGAAAGTAGACGTCATAAAATAAAATATGTTGAAAGTTGACGTCAATGCGGAGGTAGCCTCGTTTTAAACCCTTTTTAATGTACATGAAACTTTGGGAAGGACGTGCAGTTAGAGTGGGTGGAAACACTATTTTGAAATGTTACTAAATATTACACGTGTATTATAGAATACATTCTTTAGAGAAATAAAAAAAATAAAACTCTTGAATTATAGTTTTTATTCATGGGTAGAAGTGTGTTCATTGAAGAAGTTCTAGAAGATAGAATTTTAAAGTTATTCGGTGAAACAAAATGGGCAAGTGGTGTTCTAATAGGACAGGTTAGAATTTCATATATTTTTTAATTTTTATAAAATATATAAATATTGCAACACTTAGTGCTGTACAATAGATGTACTGTGTCGATTTAACACGATACAACATATTTTTATTATATGATTTCTCACTTTACTATATACAGTTTTGGAACTAACATTTTCACTCATTACTAAGTCTATAATACTGACTTGCTGTATACAAAAAGAATTATTTGATTTAATATTTAGTCAACTCTTCAGCGAGACTATATTGTCCACCTTTCTTTTACTCCACCTCAAGATCCAGGTATGTATTGTCAGTTGATATTCCTTTCCACTAAGATCTGTTGTCTCTTTGTAAAATTGTAAATTGTAAAATTAAAAAGAAAACCAACGAAAAACCAAATGATTTTATAGAGGACAGTCCAGATGATAGTTCAGACAGGAAAGAAGCGGTGAATGAATTTGATGAAGAATGGTTTGTTCAGCATTGTTGTCAGGTTAGTTGATTTATGGTTCCTGAATTGGTTAGGCTACCTTGCAGATTTCAGGTAGCCAACCATCAATTTTACTTCAGTCAGTTGGTAGTTGGTGTATTAGGTAGTTGGTAGTTGGTGTATGGTTGATTGGTGAACTCCCTAATTTGTGGTTAGGCTGGTTATTCTCTAAATTAACTCAGTCTTATGTGACATAAGTGTATATATCAGACATAAATGTAGTGTATACTGAATACTTTTATTTTTTCACACCATAGTTGAATTCCATGTTGACAGGTGGTTTAAGGATATTGGGTATCTTTGTTTTTGGACCTCCCGAACTAAGAAAAAAGCTGCAAGCAAAGTTCAGACAAACGTTATATGCGATTCACAAAACAATATCTAATGAAGTTCCACTTGGAAAATGGGAACTTGGTCAAAATTCTAATCAGGTTATGGTTCAAGTGTGTTCAGCGACGAAAAAGTATCCTTTATAAATATACTTTGACACATACATTCCTGAAATTTTATGCAATGACAGGGAATCATCAGATTTATATTACACATTTGCCTTAACCATAATCTTAGAACAACCTGTTATGCAATTGATGTGTCTGATGCAAAAGTCTGTTTCGAAGAATATATATTTTAAATTAAATATATCTTAATTTCAAGAGTATCCTTCCAATTGAATATCCTTTGTACTGGAAAGGGGTTAAAAATATTGTGACTTACTGTTTTAGGCAAACATGCAGCCAGCTGATCTAAAGTATCAAAGCTTCATATCAAAATGGATACCTGTTCGATGCCCTCTAGCTATTGAAGTGAACCTCATGCTGCAGAAAAAACTGGGTGGCAAAACTAGTTTTACAAATCTGAAGGTTGTAATTAATTTAAACATTTTTCTGTTGCATTAGTATATGTGAAATACATCAAATCTTATGAAGTTTAATTTAAATTTTTCTGACCTTCATTTTAGAATGGTTTAATGCCATTTCTGTCTAAAGTAGCCAACAGTCTGGCCACTATAAATGGAGTCATTATAAACAATGAACAATTGTTGGTGTCTGAAAAGCAGGCTAGTAAGGTAGTTTGTATTTTATTATTTTGTTTGGGCCAGAAATTATCCATACATTGACTGGTGTATTGTTTTTTTTGTAGTCAAAAAGAACATCATCTGAAAAAAATCAAACGAAAAATGTGAATCTTTATTTAACTGAAGTATGTCAACCTGAATATACATCAGTGCATATTCATATAATTTGACAAGAAATAATAGATTTTAAAGTTACCCCTTATCTTACAACTTTTTTAATTTTCTCAGAGTGAGTTTGAACCTGATATAAAAGCATCTACAACTAGACAAGTTTTACTTGTTGGTTTATTGGAATCACGCGCGCATCTTCATCCAAAAGCTACTATCAAGGAAGCCATTGATGTAAGTCCTGAAAACATTCTGCGAGCAAGCTAATTTCGGAGCAGTCTGTTTCACAGTTTTCTAGTGATTTAGCCAATTTACCGACAAGATAATCATTGTGAAATATTGATCTCCTTCAGGCTATAAAGACCGACATAATTCGAAATTTACTCGCAAGATGTCGGCTAGTTTGTGAAGATTTAGATGACACTCAAGGTAAATTCTTCATCCGGTTGAACGAGAGTTGATTTTGAGCTTGTGAATTAAGCTACCACCAGTCCACCATCACGAGTTCTATCAACGTTAAGATCATGTAACCTTCGTTTTGAAAACAGATAAAGAAACCAAGGAAGACGAACAGGATGAGTTCACAAGATTGGAACTACCAAAAAGAATATTTGCACCAATACGTCGGGGAGAAGCGAGCATTTGTGATTGCGTTTTTAAAGATGAAAACACAAACGACGTTTTAAATCGAATTTTAGAACTGACAGGAATTTCTGTTTGTGAAGAAGATTTAGTCTCAGATGAAAATTTTGCAGGTACGAATTGTAGCGTTTTCTTTTAACGAAATGTGTGATCAGTTTTAGTGCATGGCCATGGGTATTACTCTTAGTAAGTTATGACCTTTGAAATATGGTAATATTTTAGATCGTTTAAATATTGTGTTTGATAAAGTGTCTGTAATGAAACTGCTGCATTCATTCGTATAGATGATGGAACGCTTGATGAACTAGTAACGGGAGACAAAACTCCCTTCATCTCCAACAAAAACGTTGAACATGATGACAACTCGATTCAACGCCCTTCGTCTTATCAATTTTTTGGTGAGCATAAAAATTCAAACAGTATTTACTAAGTTTGATTTTTTCGTTCAAGTAAATTTATTGTACTTTTTCATCATTCCATCTAATGAATTCCTTCTTTATCAAAAGCTAGCTAGCTGACATTCGACATGATTTACAACCAAGGGCCGTTTTTACAAAAGCCATAACTATCGATTTAACTCGAATACCTTCGACTGTGATTGGCTAACGAGATTCAATAGCTTTAAATGTATAACGGCATTGAGTTTGAACATTTTTCCCCGAGCTGGTCTTATATTTAACTGTTGACGTGCGTCGTGAAACGATAAATTAGCGTCAGTCTTAACACTCGGCTTGTCTCAATACAGGCGTTGGCGCTCTGACGGCTCTGATGGCTGCAATGTATCAGTGGTTTTTTCGCGAATAATTGGTTGAAAGTGCGTAATTTTACTCTTCATCAACTTCCAGGTATACTGCGACTTTAGAATTAATGGTGATTGCATGATATAAATTAAAATCTTCTATAATGATTTCCACGGCGATGGGAATTAATGAATATACGTACCAGCAATAGATAGGAATTATCATCTAGTAGATCTTATCATATATCTATCAATCAAGAGATTATTGGCTAGAAATTCAAAAGTAAATAAAACTGTATTTATGATGCATTTAAATTAGATACTGTAAATCTAAGAAGAAATATATTCCAATAGCACTAAAAGTAAATTATAACACATCTGCTCTTTTTTAATTATTTATCATTTTTGAACTAGACGGCATCAATTTGCCATTTTAAAAAATTTCAATTGCTATCCAATTATCAGGTTATTGAATGTGTCTTTCGCCCTAATCAAATTTTTCAAAAGAGTTCTTGTCCAGACATGCCTGTAATATACGTATAAAGCATCGAATAGCAAATCGAATATATTTAATATTTGGTTCAAGAAAGCGATCGTAAAGATATATGCTATCCCTGTTCACTACCAAAGGAAGTATTTCAACTTTAAACTGTCGCGTATTGAAGGAATAAGGCTTTAAAAGTATTTTAAATAACAATGTCTATAAGTATATTAGTATAACTGTATACAGTGCAGTATATAGCAGGTTAATTTTGTAAACCAGCTGCAGGAATTGTAATGCAAATTATATTGAAATTTACAAAACGACCGCCCAAGCTGTGAATATAAGTTTAATTTATCAAAGGTGTCAAGTATAAAATTCCGAGTAAAATTGTATTTATAAATTTTACTGTGCAGCAGTTCTAAACAGCATTAGAGGACAGAGTTTTGTCAAGTGTTGAAATCATTGGCCCGTCTTCGTTTACTACTACTGGTCATAAAGTAAGATAGCTAAATGAGTGAAAAAATAATTTCTTGCAAGTACTTCAAAAAATAACGATGTCAGCTCACGTATGCATTATGTTTCTGAGAGTTCACCCAGGAGTCTCATATGAGAAATTTGCCCCTTTTTATAGTCAGCTAATCTACTTTTTGTTTTTCTTGTAGTTCATCTTCTGTCGTATAAAGGATTGGGATATGCAGAACTTCAGCAGAAACGTCACTCGACCTCAGATCCGGTACGATTTCTCCATATTCAATCCTAGTACGATGCCTGTCTTTATTGCGTTCCCTGTTATATCTTGGCTGGTTAATATTAACCTGGTAATAACAATATTTATTGACCGACTTCACTGCTTAAAGAAAACGTCTGGATGGTTTGTCGCAAACCTCAGCATCGCGTCAACAATTTCTGCCACGTCAGCCATCCTATTTGCCACGCAATTTTTTGGTTCTGACATTAGAATAAAAAATAAGCATTTCTGGACGGCATTACGAATGCTTATGGGCACTTCTGGCACATGTGTGGGCTTCTCAATACTTGCTATCTCCTTGGAACGTCTGTTCCTCGTGTGTCGCCCCATTCGTTATAAAGTTTTCATGACTCAAAAAAAGGCGAAGCGGATTAGCATTGGAACTTGGTTCACGACGATTGGCATTAACGGTTTATTTGTTTGGTTCCATCATGACTACCCAACAGTTTATAAATACTGCCGTTTTTTCAGAATAGCAATAGTTGCTGTCATCGTCGTTATAAATGGAGTGACTTTCATGAAGTTGAAAAACATGAACAAAGATTTAGATCGAATCACGGACAATGTCGTGCACACGGTTCTCCTGGCTCGACTGAAAGTTGAACGGACGTTCTCCCGAGTTGTTATGATGCTGCTTCTGAACTATGTCTTTTTTGCTTCTCCAATACTCGTTATTCATGCTTTAATCAACGAGGATAAGTCACGCGCAGGTTGTCTTTTTGCAGGAAAAGTGCCTTTTGGGACTCTTTATTTCGTCTCCTTAATTCTGGCGCAGTTTCACGCCCTGAACGTCGCGTTGCTGTATCTTGCCCTTATTCCTAAATATCGTCAATCTTTTGTTGCAGACTGGAAGTTAGTTCTTTCGTTCTTTTCAACAAATTGAAATCATATAACTTCATTTCAAGGCAAGTTGAAAACGCGAAAAATCTCGTTATTGGAAGAATCTGTTAGGAAGCAAGCATGCAGTTTCGTAAATTGCTTTGCATAATACAATTCTCACCCTTCGTAAGAGATATGATAGGAAATTGTGACTTTGTGTTGAATGTGAAATAGCTTGTGATAGACGGCTCGTAGGCGTTTGTATATATAAAAAGTAATCAGATTTAACTATATTAAGGTAACTGTTCAAAGAAGAGATTCGATGGATTTGAAGATAACTACAATTCAACTGCATGTTAGTGATTGAATAAAACACCTTCGAACATTTTAAATCCGTTGAATATTAATACATAAGATTGTTTAGACTTTTCCATGCATAAATAGTTCCTGGAACCAATAGCAATACCAGTGCAGTAAAGAGCACGCGTTTATATACATAATTCGCCTGCATGCAAGCATGGAACCATTCATTTCTTTTTTTTATATGCATTAGGAAAAGTGTAGAGACTAGAGACATTGGTGCACTTTATCAGTGGCTTAAAGTATCTGACATTAGTCATTATTATATATTTTCAATAAAAAATTCTGCATCGTCAGTACCTTTTATGATGTAATGGTTTTCCCCAAACGCGTGTCGTCATATTACGTCTGCATGATACATGAATACGGAAAATACCGGGGCTAACCATTGATGCTTCAGCATCGGGCATGAAATTTCATTTCAGAACTGTATCACTACACTATATGGAGGTTTCAACGTCCAGTCGTTGAACCAAACCATCCATGAGTCGAAGCAAAGCGCCGGCATTTGAAGACGATTTCGAAATTCTTCAGACGAATAATAATCAGGACGAGTTAGCAAGCGAAAGTGCATATCCGGGGCAAAGTGAAAGCAGAAACATGGAGAATGGCGAAAGCTTGTCTTCTTCTGAAAGATCAGTTAGTGCTGAAAGACCTGTTCCTGTAAAGAGAACACGAACGCCGGTAACTCAAAAGTTATTTTTATTCTAGAGCTTGATTTGTGGGCAGAAATAAGTTTTTAGTTGAGTGTAACATTGCATTTCGATTCTGAGAAAATTCATTCAAGGTAACTGATGGCGTAGGATTGATTTAAAAGATGCCGTAGTCAATTGTTGTCTAAACGTGCTTAGGAGAGTTAGAACACTAATTCACAATTCCGACAGCACCAACAAATTCCTTGCTAACATAATAACCTCGCTTACACAAATAACACAATATAATATTGCGTATATCGTTTATATGCTTATCACTCACTTCCTATGGCTATGGCATGGAATTAATTTTTAAAATGATTTACACCGACATATATCTATATATACATTTGTTTTCCAATATTTTATTTAAATTGCAACAGCATATGTTTCTAAACATCATTGAACGGTAGATTTTTTCCGGTGAAGTTGTAAGAATAAGGGTTTTCAGTATTCCCTTTATAAGTCATACAATAATTGGTCTGGTCGAGCGCGCTAGGTTAGGGGTCATCCTTAATTTTAGACTTGGCCTTTAATAACTGAAATAGGAAGGCTGATATATATCCGTGTCTTGTAAAATGATATGGAGTTGAATCTTTAGACAACTTGATCTTGAGACAAGACTATTCGTATCACAGTAATATATACAAGTAATACAACAAGTTACAGCAAGTACGACTTCAAATCGTCTTTGCTTGTTTGTGGCTCAAACAATGTGTTGTGATGCAGCACTTTGCTATTTCTTCGGTAATTTTTCATTATTCCCTAACTATGCTGGTTCTTAGCATTCACCTGTTCTGCTCAAAGGAAAAGTTTTTCAGTTCGTTACGCTCTGATGTGCTTTGTAGCAAACTCGTTTCCCGGAATTGCGTTTCTTGGTAAACTTTCCCGGAAGCCGGAAGCCCGCATTTGTTTTTTCCCGGTTTGTAAATTATTAAAAATTTTCTTGTTATAGTCTTTAGACCGGCGAATTTTGAGTATGTTGCATTGCAACGGCTTCTACGAATGTCCTGGCTCAGTTTTCATGTAGTTTTAGTAAATTTACTCGTGTCTTCCCACTGCCTATTCTGTATGTTTTGTATAATTGTGGAATTTAGGTTGGCAATGATAACGAAAAGGAACAGCACTACAAGCGAGAATTGCAATGGTTGAAAGAAAAGGAAGAGCTTCTGGCCAAAAAAAAAGCATATGAAAACGAGTTGAAGCGAAAAGATGAAGACATTTCATGGTTGCAAGAACAGATGGAAAAACAAGAAGAAATCAAGAACTTTCTTCTGAACGAAGTTGAATCTTTAAAAACAGAAAAAGAAAAGCTGGAAAAACGGATTTACCAGTGTGAGGCTAAAATGGAGGAAGATTGTGAAAAAATCAAAGAATTGGAGGGAAAAAGGTAATTATAATTACTGTTACCTCTGTGTGCGTGCAGTAACTGCAGTTTTCTCGCTCTGGTGCCAATCTTGACAGCGATGACTAATAACTGTAATTCCCGTGTCATTTTTACAATGAAATTATTTGTATTTTTTACATTTGGCAGCCAGGAGTCCGAGGTCGGACTTTTAAAACGCAACAAAGAGTTGGAAGACCAGGTGAATGATCTTCAGACATCTTTACAAGATAAAGAAACGTTGTTGGACGATACCTCAAAGAATGTAAAAGTTTTTGAAGAAAGGGAGGTATGTTTATGTGAATATGTTTCCCGCCTCTAGGTTTACTGAGACAGAATTTTCTTTACTTACGGGAGGACGATAAACTTTTGTAAATATTGATCAATGCAGGAGGAACACCGACAAATCATCTCACGTCTGGAAAACGAATTGGCAACTGTGAGGGAAGACCTAGCAAATATGAGTGAACAAAAAGACGAAAAGAGTCAAGAAATCAATGAGCTCGAGTCAAGGAATATGCAAATACAAGAAATGCGATCCGAAGGTGAACAAGAATCGATAATACGAATCAAAGCCTTGCAAGACCAGTATGACGACCTGTTATCCATTCACGATGGTATGGAGAAAGAGTTGCACCAATGTAAAACAAATTTTCGAAAGGCAACGCAAGAAAACCAGCAAATTTTGCAACAAAAGGTAGAGTTTTCCAGTGAAAAATTGAATCGGAAGTCTCTTTGGAGTATAAATGCTTTTAGTCCTTAATTGACAAACCAGGAAACATTCGGTTTTGTGATTCGCGATATTTTCTGAAATGTCTCCCTGTTTGTCCACCTGTGTAATCCCTGCTTATCCTTGCGTGACTCCTCTTTATCCCTGTGTAATTTCTAGGTATCTCAGGTAAGAATGTTCCAGCCAGATATAATTTTCGTGTATTGTGCGAATCATTTTAGGATGAAGCTATACGCAGGACTGAAGAACAGGCCACAGAATTGGAGCATTACAACAATAGCATCCGCGAGGTAACGCAAGAAAAAGACGCTCTCGAGTCTGAGCTGATCGAAGTTAAACTTCGTGCAAGAGGTTTGAGAGAAGACAATGATAGCCAATCTCGTGAAATGGAGGAAGTGCTCAACAAATCCACTCATATAAGCGATGAACGAGATTTTTACGCCAAGAAATGCAAAGAATTGGAACAAGGTGTGAGATTAAACGCTCAAATTGAAATAAAGCAGCTAACGCAGACATTGGAGGCGCTCAGAGGAGAAAACGATGTGATAAGAAAAAGAAGTGACGAGTACAAAGATGACAACGCTGCTTTGCGAAGTGAGAAAATGGCACTGGAAGAGAAACTTCAGCGGTTTCGTGCAACAGGTGCAGACGTACGTGCAACAGGTGCAGACGTAGGAAGAGAAAATGGCGGATATAGTCGTTCACTGGGTCCCAAAGATGAACCTTTTCGTCAAAAATCAATCAATTTGGAGGTGAGTGTGTTTGGTGTAGTAATACCAGTGAAATATTAGAACAATGGTGGAATATAACGATTAGGTCACTTCACTCCACATCTATCTTAATGATTAGGGTAGATGTGGAGTGAAGTGAGGTTGATCAACGGTTATTGGTTCGGCTTGAATAAAAACAGGGGATGTCACCTGCTGTAGAGCTTTGGGCCGGGGAAAATCAAATTTGTGTGTTCGTCTCTTTTTGCTACAGGAAGAGAACACAAGTCACAGGGAAACTAGACAGAGAATGGCCCCCACCTCAACTGAGCAATGGTACGATTCAGGCGAAGGAGCTCGGCTTTTGCAACGCATTTACGAAGAGCTTCTTAAGATATTTAGCACGATTGAGATTAACAGAGCCACTTCAACGAAAGATATCTCGCTTCTGATCACGACCGACAGAAGTGAAATATTCAACGTTAACTTCCCCAAAGATTTCCCTAAAGGCGCAGTAAGCGTCATGCACAATGGTCGGCGGACGGAATTCATGTCTGGTCGTGGTAAAAACGCTGTGGATACATGTCAAGAAGTGGTTAAAATGTTGAAGGAGTTGGCGTACGGGTATACGTAGAACTGTTTTGAAGGCGAGAATAGAGTACATTTTGGGGGGAGGGGATTTGATTGTAACCAGCTTCATAAGTCTAGCAGTAAGCCCAAATTAGATTGGTTACAATGTAGTTAATTGTACCATTATAAAATACATTTAATATGTTTGTAACTATGAAACATCTGTGATTTAAGAACTTTAAAGTTTCACAAAGTAATTTTGTTTATTGGACTTCTTCTTTGACCGTGAAAAAGAAACTATGATTTAGAAATAGTCAGTGTTAATAATTGAAATACGATACAGTGTTGTATACTAAACTATTGTAAGGGTTAAATCGTAAATTACAACGGTATAGACAGTATAAGACGTAATTTTCTTGCCTCTAGACTCTAGGACGCTTTTCAAGTAATAGACTTCATGGCGGTATCTATGTGTTGACTTACATGAAGTAACAACGTGTAACGAAATTGAAACAAAGTTCAAATGGACAAAGTCTCCTGATATTTCGTGATAAATTTCTACTTTTCTCGATAAAAACTTGGAATGCAAGCAGATTTAGCGTCAGAGTTAAATAAACTGCAAAAGATTAAAGAAGGTATGGTGATATTTTCTGATATAATACACGTAATAAGCCAGAATTCTGCATTCATTTTGTCACTGCTAAAATGGATGATTCTGTAGTTGGAATAACAAGTGATGCTGCATATGGAGGAAACTATTTTGCAATTCAATAATTCTTCAGCTGACCAGCGAATGAAGTATTAAGCTAACAAATTATCCAAGCATAGAATGAAATATTAAAATGGATACACAGGCTTTTTCAACCATTATTTTGTTACCATGTTAGAACCACATGACTCTCTCAATGATGTTTTTGACTTGCTGGATGATGGTTGTAATGGTGGGGTAAAGGTTATTCCAAGAAGCATACCTGGTCGAAATCAAGGTCATAGGTTAACTGAACAACTTTCAAAGGTCAGGTGAATATGATAGAATATTATGGTAAAATAATTGCAGCTCTAGCAAACCTTATGTACTAGCTGTATGTCTGAATGACAGTGCATACTTTATTGTAGTTACTAATGAAAAAACTGAGAAATTCTGAATATTGAATGAATGATAATCTTTTGAAATGTACATTGCCTTTTTGGATACATTAGCTAGCTAACTTGTGTTCTTTTGCCTCTAATAACGAACATGGTACTAAAGTTCATACAATTCAAATATTTTTGTATCTTACGTTAGCTACCAAATGGATTGTTGCCAATCTTTCCATCAAATCATGATCTGGAACTTGAAGAATATTTACTTCATCCTGAGAAATTACCGATTCATAATTTCTATGAATCACAAACGTTAGTTACATTATGACTATAATAATAGCTACATTTATTGCAGATAACCAGTGACCATAGAGAGTTGTACATAACAGGAAAGATTGTAGTTCTCATATTTAAAATCTCATGCCCATCAAATTTATCTTTCTTTTGAAAGATTCTGGTCCAGGACACAAAAACCCGAGTCATTGTTCAATACAACATTTTCACCAGTTTTAACTGATCTGAAAGTGAAAAGAGATCCAAAAACAGGAAAACTTCTAGGATATCATGAAGTATGTAAGCAAATGTCTTTTTATATATCTAAGTTATATATTTATTAGTCAGTCTCAAGGAAGAATATAAACAAACATCATATGAAATATTCAGGTTGCTCTTTCAAATGCTGATTCCACTGGTAGAAATTCCACATCTCTCCTTCGTCATCCTGAGCCTCAGACATCTGACATACGAGGAAATTCAACCAACATTCCTTTTAAACCAGGTGCAATTGCAGCATTATTTTCAACTGAAATTAATTTTAACATATCATGACTGAGTATTGATTCGCATACCTACCATACAGGGGGTTTGGATCAGGTCGATACTGACAGCAATGCAAGGCCTATGGACGTTTCAAGTTTAGACTTTGAAAAAGGTATTGCGAGGTGTACATCACAAGTCGAATCATGAGATTATTCCAGTTTTAGTATATGATAACATATCCAGTGTTCCATGTTTCTTTGTAGATTTATGTGATATTCCACCTGGGTTCACTCAGAGAGTATCTTTTAAGTCTGATGCAGTTGATGGAAGTCAACAGAAAAATGTGATAAGCATTGCTGATATTTTGACTGGCAAAGTAGACTTTGATGATGACTTTGAACAGAAAGATGAAAAGGATGTTGAAAATGAGGTTGAAGAAACATCAAAGGTGCCCAGTATGGATGGAGGAGCTTCAAGTAAGTAAGCTTGAAGCAGCATTTAGACAAGGTGCAAGGATGTGGTGATTGAAAATTTTCCAGCTTTAAAGGTAGTGCTTGGTTTGGAACACTAGAACACATAGAGCAGTATATCTGATACTAGTGCTGGGCCATAGGCACCTCATTCAATTGCTGTCTAAATTAATGATTTTAAATGAAAGAGATATTCTCTATTCTCTTTAAATTGTTTAAAATTTTCTAACAAAATTTATGATGGTTTATGCAGCTGAACTTAAGAAAAGTGGAAGCCTTGAAAATCTTTTACCAAAGGTACTGTATAATATAAAATGTTGAATTCCAATATTTGAATAATTCCAATACAAAAATCTGCATTAAAGTACAGTAAATTTGTTTGGTGACCCCTATATTTCATTATTGTTTTGTCCAATGATTTAGGAAGAAGATATCACAGATGTTAAACTGGCAAAAAGTGATTCAATTGATAACGAAGGTGATCAAGATTGGGCTGTGATAGTCACTGATCCTGTTAAAGATTTCCATAGCAGAGTGCCTGAAATGGCAAGAACAGTAAGGCTATATCTTGTCAAGCATTTAATTTTGATGCTAAATCTATTCAATAAAGGAGCATTAATATTTCTCAGTGACTTAGTTGTGTCACATACTTTAATAACCCGCCTGTGACGTATACGATCTCCCCCTTTACTTTGGGAGTGTGTCGTTAACTTCAATTGATTCTTGTTCACGCTGGCTTATGATTTCATTTGCAGTACAAATTTGAGCTGGACACATTTCAGAAGCAAGCCGTCATTCATTTGGAAAATAAAGAATGTGTGTTTGTTGCGGCACATACGTCAGCTGGTAAAACGGTCGTTGCTGAATACGCTATTGCCCTGTCTGAGCGAAATATGACGAAAACGATCTATACCTCGCCAATCAAGGCATTATCTAATCAGAAGTTTCGTGAGTTTAAGGATAGATTTGAGAGTGTTGGCTTGATCACTGGAGACATGCAAATAAACGCTGATGCAAACTGTCTTGTTATGACGACAGAGATTTTAAGATCAATGCTATATCGAGGTTCCAGACTTATTCGAGACACAGAATGGGTTATATTTGATGAGGTGCACTATGTCAATGACGCTGAGGTGAGTGACATGTCTGTGAATTAAAAGAATTAAAGAGAATATCGCAGAACACGTGTTGTTTTGTTTTGTTTTTCTAGAGAGGCGTGGTGTGGGAGGAAGTCTTGATTATGTTACCAGAACACGTTGGAATAATCATGTTGTCTGCCACTGTACCTAATACCAAAGAATTTGCTGGATGGGTGGGGTAAGATCTCTTGAATTATTGATTATCTTTAATGAATGTAAGAACTATTGTTGGGAATCAAGACTGTTTTGATGGAGACGAAAATTGTTCCATCCCGATTCATCCACGGTGAGGGAAAAATTGAGGAGAAAGTCTTGTTTGATTGTTGGTAAAGTTTTCAGAGGTATTTCATAGTGACTTTACTTTCTTCAGGCGAATAAAAAAGAAAAAGATTTACGTTATCAGCACGCTCAAACGCCCGGTTCCTTTAGTGTATTATCTCTATACTGGAAACAGCGCTAAAACAGCCAATGAAATGTTTCCAATTGTGGACCGTAAGGGAAAGTTTTTGCCGGAAGGTCATAGAAAAGCGGTGGAAGCTAAGAAGGAGAGATCACAAAAGTACAAAGCGAAGGATAATTATGGAGCGAAGGGACCTCGCTCGCACACAAATCCTAACGAGGTGAGTCCAGATTCTGTGACAATAGAAGGCTGTACTAATCTCCTTAAGGCCTGGTTGACACTTGCTCCTAAGAATCGGGGATCTATTATTACCGTACAAACCAATTTTGAATTCATGAACATTCGTTTCAGGAACGAAACGTTTGGATTAGCTTGATAAGAAAACTTGAAAAGGACGAGGGACTGCCTGTGGTTGCATTCACCTTCTCAAGGAATCGTTGTAACGATAACGCTGGTCGACTGTCCAACATGGATTTAACGACTAGCAAAGAAAAACATGAAATCCATATTTTCATGCAGAAATGTATTTCGCGATTGAAAGATCAAGACAAACAGTTGCCGCAGGTAATCTTCAAATGGAGCTAGGCTATGCCATACTCTTGTACTCTTACTACTTCATATCCTTTAGCTCGGAAGTACGGGAGTGCAGTTTTGGGTTTGAAGTTTGCTTTTACTGCAGTCTTCGGAGTTAGCTTCGCTCAATGACTTCCTACTTTCCACCGCCAGACTTGGGCACATTTTGCTTTGGTTTCTCGTCTTGAATCATCAACATATTTCTTGTCGACAGGTGAAGAAAATGCAGGAGTTATTGAAGCGTGGTTTGGCCGTTCATCACAGTGGCATATTGCCAATCTTGAAAGAGGTACGTACGATGCTTTTATCGATATTTGAAGCAAGAAAATTCGGGTAATTTTGTTTGTATTGTTTTGTAGATGATTGAGATGCTGTTTCAGGATGGATATGTCAAGGTATTAATGGTTTTGCAACTAAATGACTGACTCAACTATTCACTGACAGATCACTATCTCTCCATGCAGTCTGACTAAATAACTCATTTGCCCAGTGTGAAATTCACTTCAATCCTGAAGGACTTAGAAATATCTTGAATTTAAGGTTCTCTTTGCCACTGAGACGTTCGCAATGGGAGTAAATATGCCAGCGAGAACAGTTGTATTTGACTCCATTCGCAAGCATGATGGAGAAAAATTTCGTGACCTACTCCCTGGGGAGTTCATTCAAATGGCTGGCCGAGCAGGAAGGCGAGGCCTGGACGATACTGGAACTGTGATAATGTTATGCAAAGCTGATGTACCAGAAATATCTGCCATTGAGAAAATGATGATGGTAAGATGGTATAAAATGTTGAGCCTCAGCTTAATTCAAAGAGAGAGAGAGTTACTGGGACTTATCCACTTCACCTGGGTATTTCTTCCGATCCTCAACTGATGAATTAAATGAAGTATTTATTGTTTGAAGGGAAAACCTGCTTTGCTGGAGTCCAGGTTTCGTTTGACATACTCCATGATTCTGAACTTGCTGCGTTCAGATGAATTATGTGTTGAGGACATGATGAAGCGAAGTTTTGCCGAGTTTCATCTGCTGAGGAAAGCACCAGAAAGAAAAACAATGATCTTAAAATGCGAGGAAGAGCTGAAGCAACTGGAAACACTGGATTGTGAAAAGTGTACGAGCGATGTTGGGGAGTATTTTGATGTCTGTAAAAGATTGAAAAATTTGACCCATTCTCTCCAGGTTAGTTATTCAATATAGTTGCTACCATAATGGATAGTTCACGTGTCCCATTGGAAAGTTCACGTGTCCTATTGGATAGTTCACGTGTCCTATTGGATAGTTCACGTGTCCTATAATACTGACTGTAACGCTTGGAAGCTCCATCTCCTCTCTACTGCGTGTCACAGGCAATTATGTTCTTCGTAGTTCTGAGACACATAATCTCTTGCAGATAGCCACAGTGTCTTCACCAAGTGGACAGAAATTATTATCAAATGGTCGAATAATTATTATATCAACTAAGCAATTCTCAACACGATATGCGATGATTTTAAACAAGAAATCTCAGTTTTCTTCTTTGGAGTCAAAAAACGAAACGAAAACATACACAGTACTGATTGCTTGCGATCAAAATGAACTCATTTTGTCTGAGGAAAAAGGAAATAAAGTGGGCGATAAATCTGAAGTGATCGTTGAACCTTACACAGACACTAACGAGATACATTGTCCACAAAGACCATGTGCTCATATGATCATTGAAATCAGCGAGGGGGATATCGTTGTGATTACTGAGCGAATAAAACAAAATTTGAACGGTGAAGCCATGATAAACGATTTTAATAAAAGACAACAGCCACGTTTTAGGTTGGTGATTACTGATAAATACTTTCGTTTTGGTAAAAACATTGTCTCTACTGTAAGTTAAAGTTGTGAAGATGTATTTTATCATGCATGTGTTATTTTTCACAGAAACGATCTTCCTGGAAAGTCCATCAGCTCAGCAATAGAGGAACTAATGAATCTTTCAGAAACGTTTCCTAAAGGCTTGCCTATGATGAATATTGTTGTGAAGGATTTGACGCTTCACGAACAAAAAACTGAAAGAAAAAAGTTGGAATCTGAAATTCATGGTTTTGAGTGTGTGGCATGCCCGAGCTTCAAAGATCATGTGAGTAAAGTAATCTTCCAGGAACTCGTTAATTTATATTTAGTATTCTTGTTTGGATCGCCTAATTCTTGGACTTTGCTATACTTTGTTTTAACGCCTTAACAAATGTTGGTATTTGTTATTTAGTTCAGGAAATACACCAAAAGAAGAGTGTTGTTGGATGAGATAAAAGGTTTGGAAGCTAAATCGTCGATAGAAATGCTCAGTCACATCGATGAATATCGGCATCGTAAAGAGGTGGACATTTTTTATTAACGTTTGTTCTAAAACAAACCATTTTTGTTGCTGTAAATGAAATCAGGTTTATGAAGTATATTACCTGTGTTGTATTTGTCGTTGATTATAGTATTTTTGCTTCAGGTTTTGAAAGAACTTGGATATTTGAGCTTCAACGAAGTGGTAGATATGAAAGGTCGTGTTGCTTGTGAGATCAGCAATCATGAAGTCCTAATATCCCTCCTTCTTTATAACAATTTCTTTAATGGTTTTGAGCCGGCCGAAGTTGTCGCCTTGCTCTCGTGTTTTGTCTTTGAACAGGTAATTGTTGCATCCATCTCCCTGCACGCTTAGAGAGTGATTGCCTCGCAGTTAGTCTGTTGTTGTTATATTAGTCTGTACTGTTAAAACTTAAACATTAAAACTTCAATTTATATCTAGAAAAAGTGCGGAGAACCAAAGCTAACCGAAAAACTCAAAAAGGTTTTTAATCTTCAACCTATTTTACCAATGTCATTACCTTTATTTCTTCTCTGTTAACCTTAATTTCGAATCTGAAATAGCGCTCTCATTTGGAATCTTTCTCGTACAGTAAAATATTTTCATTGTTTAAACTTTATTTGTTTAGGGGAAAGAGACGATACTGCAGACCGCTACAAAAATTGCAACCGTAGAGAAAAAGTGTGGAATGGATACATCCTGCGAAGAATTTCTTCAACAATTTAAATTTGGTTTGGTTGAAGTTGTTTACGAATGGGCAAGAGGGATGCCTTTCAATGAAATCACAGATCTCACAGATGTACAAGAAGGTAACTACATGTATGTTTTCTAGTTTAGTTCACAAGATCTAGCCGTGACGTGAAAATAAACGCAGACATTTGTTGCATATCAATTTAGGCATAATTGTCAGATGTATCCAGCGCCTGAATGATCTGTGCAGTGACGTAAAGAACGCCTCGAGATGTCTTGGTGTTAAGGACGTTGAACTAAAAATGGAGATAGCATCAACTCTTCTCAAACGTGATATAGTATTCGCTGCCAGTCTCTATACGGAGTGACGAAAACAATGTTAATTATTGCATAATAGAAATTCTTAGAATTTTTTACTTCGAGCGTAGTTTCTGAGTGTTGAAGCTCTTTTTAGAAATACAGTAACCCTGGTGGCATTTAAATAACAACGTTGCTACTTCGTCACCGTTCACTGATAAACAATGCTCAATCAACATCGGACCTTTTCATCCTCTTCAATAAAAAATCTTTACTATTATTATGACGTCCGGTGACGACGGTTGAAAAAGTAGATTGAGAAACCAGGGCGCTGGAAAACACGGCCGTTGAACACACAGAGAAGACGACGCTGCTTTTAGTTGTAAAAATCGTCGTTGTCATGGACATGGACCCCATGGAACCGTCCCCAGATGAATGGGAAGAAGAGAACACAAGGCCATATATACCTACGTCACCAGAATGCGTGGTATCGTAACACGCGAGATAGATGTAAATTGTAAACACTTTATTTAATAGGTGTTTTTTAAAGACGGCGTTATAAAGCAAATGGTAAAATGAGCACAAAGTATCCTTCAACAAAGCTTACAAAATCCGAGGAAAAAGCCTTAGCGGATTTGAGAGAAAAATTAAGCGAAGAATCGCTTGGAGATGAGGTAAGATAGATCGAACCGCCTAACAGTGGTAGCTAGCATGTATTGTATTCTCTGGGTTCTATCAAGTTATAAATATAGTGTTATATTTAATGCATGTTTTGAGGTGTTAAAGTGATCGATTGAGATATAATCACTACACAGGGAAAGAAATCAGGCAGCTCTACATTGACAAGAAGTCTTCAGATTTTATTTAAAAGCCTCTAATAAATGTCTCGGCAATTTAACATAAGAATTTCGCCACAAGCAGGTTTGCCACCCGCTAGTTTCGTTTATGTACTCAGCCAGTGAAGATCAACTGTGTATTTTTGTAATTCGTTTGAAATTCCATGTACCTTTGTACAAAAGTTGTAAGAATAATATCAGAGGATGTCGCAATTTATCGAAGAAGAAGTTGCAATTAATCCATTACGTAAATTCTTTAATTTAGTTTGCCGAGAGTTTTGGAATTCTTTGAATTAATTGGCCACTTTGTTGACACAAAGATGGCCAAAATAACACTTCTTATTAAACAATTTCTTTGTGAGAAGATGCGCCTTTTGAATTCGTTTGTTAATGTTCTTTTGGTCAAGTTTTAAATTATATATATTTTGCGTTTGAAACAGAAAACTAAAGCTTTATTGCATGCTTTATATTGAAAACTGTTCAGTTTTAGTGTAATGTCAAACAATGTCAAATTCAATTAATTGGCAGGTCACCTCTTCGTCATTGTTCATGACCCTGTGTAATTTATTTGAATAAAGTTTATAGTTTTACTCTTTCCATAATGCTCACTAATGGATTAAATATATAAATTTACTAATATGTTAAAATTGAAATTTCATTTTTCCTGCATGTGATATGGGAAACTATATCCCATTGTAAAAACATGCAACTTTTAACTTGCTTAGATGAAAGATAATGATTTGTATTTTAGGCGACCTTGTTAAGATTTTTAAGAGCAAGAGACTTTAATGTTGATGGTGCTTACAGGTATATTCTTAAAACAGGTCAAGCTAGTCCATTTTGTTTAATTGTCCAATGAATTTTTATTTATTTTGTTGAAGCAAAAATGAAAATCAATCTTGTTATTTGCAGGCAGTATATTGCAACCTGGGAATGGCGAAGGAATAATGATATTGACAACATACTAACAACTTCTGTAGGTTACTATATATATATATACACTAAAAAAAGTTTTTAACAAGTCATATTAATTACCAAACTAAAATGAATATACTTTTTTTTCTGTAGAGACCTCTTACTGATGAATTGAAAAATGTAAGGCCACATTTTTCTCTGTCATGTAATATCCAGTTATCACGATAACCAGGATTAATATTCTTTTCCTAGATAATGTCATATGGATTTCACAAATTTGACAAAGAAGGCCGACCATGTTATATTGAGAAAACAGGAAGGGTTGATATCGCTGCATTCCTGCGGGTATGTCTGTCTCAGATCACTTTGTTTTTTGTTTATTTTAAGCATTATATTTTAAACATTGCAATAGAATTTTTAATTAAAATATTCAAGATAATTTCCTGTCCTTTTTAGCTTCCAGAGGATCAAATTATAAGATGGCATGTCTGGAACACGGAAAAGAAAAAAAAGCAAATTCAACAAATGGTTGAGAAGTCTATAGAATTAGTAAGTTTTCATTGTATGTATAATTTTACTTGTAACAATTAAATTATAGTGGCAATTATGTATTAATTCAAAAAAATAAATAAAATAAAACTCCTTGTAAAATCCAAAATGAAATCTTCTTTTTACAGAATAAAGAAATCACAACATTAGATCACATACATGATCTTGGGGGAGCAACATTAAATCTTAGGTAAGCTGGAGAAGTTTGTAAAATGCTTGCAAGAAGGGCCTGTTCAATTTTCACCTTTATTTCTCTGCTCAATTTCCAGAAAGGGCCTTAGTTTATTCACTCGTCTTACAAAGTTAGATCAAGAATATTACCCAGAGAGGGTTGGCAAGGTATAGTAGTAGACTACAAAATGATTTAATGCCTGTTCATGCAGTCTGCATACCTACAAATACCTCTAGCTATATGATTAGGTAAGCAATACCTCACTATTCTTCTTTTTAGATTTTTCTTGTCAATACACCATGGTAAGTAGTGAATAATGCTGTGAATCTTGAATCCTAATAATAATTGATATCTTATAAAAACAGTCATAACTCTGTGGTTGGGAGCTTAAGGAAAGAGTTTTGACTAAAGATATCTTTGTTATATTTCCAGGGCTTTTCCATATTTATGGAAGATTGCTAAGACATTTCTAGACCCGAAAACCCGAGACAAATGTGTTGTTTTAAATTCTACGGAAATGAAGAAAATGCTAGATTACTTTGAAGCAGAAGATCTTCCTGAAGAGTATGGTGGAACTTGTTGTTGCAAAAATGGTTGCCTTCCTGAAGTGCCCAAACACATGGTAATGTTTATCATTCATTCCCAGATGAAACCAACAATACTAATTCTTACTGGACCTTTAAATAATGAACTTTTGTTAACAAATTTTAATCTGTTTCCAATCAGCTTTCAATTGATGAGGATCCTGAACTGACAGAAGAATATATTGGTAGGAATCCAGAGAATAGGAGGACTGATTGTAACTAGTACATAATGCTAATATTGGTGCTTTGGCACTTAGCAAACTCCTTCCTTTTCAGCGGCTAAGAAAAGTTTCTCACTCAAAATCGAATGTGACGGCAAGAATGAATCTATCGGGTGGTTTTACAGGATATCACAGTATGTTTTTCAAAGTCTTGTGAAGTTTACAAGATTACATGTTCATTTGTGAATTATTTTGTTTCGTGTAGGAAAGACATCAAGTTTGGTGTGTCATTTCTAAAACACAGCGAAGATGAGAGTCTGAAAAAGAATGAGGAGTGGATTTTTAAACCGGATTACCCATTACACAGTAGTAAACCTAATGTTGGGTGAGTGAGAGTCAGTATGCAAATACTGTCGCTTAGCTGAGAGCAAGTATAGACCATCTTTATATCTTGTTTCCATACAGATTTCATCATTGCTCATCACCTGGTACTTACACTCTAATATGGGATAACTCTCAATCAAGATTCTTATCACGTACATTAAAGTAAGTAAGGATACAAATATCACTGAGTAATTATCCCATCATATGCCAGATCTGATCAGATATTTTTTTCTCGTAAGATATCATGTTATGGTATCAGAGAGCTTATCAAATGAGCAGAGCAATGGATCAACAAACCTAATCAATAATGTGGAGCATTAGAATGAAATTACTGGTTCATGGATGCTTCATGGTTGTACGTAAGCAGTTCAGATCAAATGATATGGTGGGCAATGTCAGATGTTTGACAATAAAGAGACTTTCCTCAAATGGTTGCAGTCCAGGAATTCTAATAGAACCTTCTTTTGAGTTGGTACAAATTCTTCTTTCTTACAATTAAGTAGTGTGTGTTATGGAGGGGAGCATCTTCAAGGAAATAGTGACCAAAGAGGTCACTATTCAAATTTAAGCTCTCAAATAGGATTTTCTGGCTCTGAAGACTCTGTATGCTTTAATGTCAAAGCATCTAAAAATATTGGCAATATAGCAAGAACAGGAAAGCCAATAATAGGCACTCTTGTGTATGGCCTTACAAAAATTTTATATAAATGATATAATAATTGAAGAATGTATAGAAATGGTTATCAATTTATCATTTAGCAATGTTTGCTAGCTGGATATAACCACTCTATTTAGACAATTTTATAAATTGACAACCAGTTTCGTTTTTTTTAAATCCTACATAGCTACTGGATTTGGTTTTATATTTTGTATTTAAATATTTCCTAGAAATGATATTTATAAGAGATTGTTATTATAACGTGGAAACTAATTATACATTGTGATACAATCTTTAATTTTTATTGCTGTGGTGCCTTTTCTGTTCATGTGACAAAATTTATCATCTCTAGTAAATTTCGTAGTCGTATTTTTAAAAAAAAGGTGACAAAAGCAAGGAATTTTTTATTTTTACTTCTGCCCCCTGAGGGAATGTTTTGGAAATGTAATAGTCCAGTTGTATATAGCGAGATCCGAGGTAATCAGCCATCATGTGTTTCGGCTTTGACAAAAAATATTATATCTTTTTCTGAAGTGAAATTGAATAAGATTTTCTCCATTAACGAAGCCATATTCATCTGATATACTGCGTGAAGACCTTTGTAAACATGTCGTCTTTCAAGAATGCGAAGAAAAGCTTGCAAAAGACCCACAGAGAGAGAAGTCAGCCAAGTAAACGAAAACAGTTTGGTTTGCTTGAAAAGCACAAAGACTATGTCTTGAGAGCTAAGGATTTTCATCGTAAAGAAGACCAGCTAAAGCTTCTTCGTGAAAAAGCGCGGAATAAGAATCCTGATGAGTTTTATTATAAAATGATCAAGACAAAAACACGGGACGGCGTTCATGTTGTTGAGGGGAAAAAACCATACACTAAGGAACAATTGAAAATGATGAAAAGTCAAGACTTGAACTATGCTAGGATGAAAAGAATTACAGAGAAAAATAAGATTGAAAGACTTCAGTGTTCGCTACATTTAATTGATGAAAAACACAGACAAGTTAACTCGCGTACTGTTTTTATCGACTCAAAACAAGATGCCGAAGTATTTGAGCCTGCGGCTGACCTTGGGCTAACCAACCTGGATCCAGCTAGCAAAGATGAACTCTCAAACACTGAGGAACAACTGAGGATTGAAAAGGCAAGAAAACAAGCATATGATGAGCTAGACAAAAGAATTGAAAGAGAGAAACATTTAAGTGTGATTGAACAACAAATGCAGTTACAAAAGAATCTGATGGGAAAGGGAAAGAGGATGAAAATCAACACTGGAGAAGATGGTCCAGTTGTGTTCAAGTGGAAGAAACAAAGAAAAAAGTAATTACGAGGCATGACTAAGGTGAATGTCCAATGAGTATTGTACTTGGTAGTGTCTTGACTGAAAATGCCTTTAGGAAATGCCACAATCCGGTTGTTCAAGTTAACTGACGGTTTGATCAGGGGTTATTCATGCAAGACTAGCCCTATTTTAAAGTTTGAAAAATTGGGGACTCAATTAGATTAATTAATATGTCCTCTGTGTCATGAACATATATTTAATGAAAATTTTGACAGGATCATCCGTTCAGCCCAGTGGCAGTTATTGTGTATGCATGAAGCATATTCAACTTGAGAACCGGAACATCAAATATGACATGAAAGTGGAAAATCACAATACATCCTTGCATAGACATGCCATGCCATTTATTGCTCATTTTCATGTTGTCTTTGACATTCCCATCCTCATGCTATATTTGTCTATTGTGCGATACATTAGATCTTCACTAAGCTCCAACAGTGCTAATACAAGTTATTTGAAACATACAATAATTATTATCATTGCAAGTACATGAAAATATCACTTTATATTACAGAGTTTGGTCATCAATTTTTTAACATTTTCTTTTGGAGAATTAGGCTTAAACATGGGGTTAATTACAAATCCAATAATAGCAAGTGACAAGAAATTAAAACAACAAATAATAGTGAACAAACAGCACCACATATAGAAAGAGTTGCTGGCACACATTGTTCACAAACAATTTTGACTAGATACATATGGAGAAAAACATGGTTCATTGCCAGCCACAGGCATATATCAAACACATGTATCAAACTTGTCAAACAGTTTTAAAATCTGGCGTTGAATACTATATTCTATGATAAACGCCCAGTGTGACTTTGCAGTTTGGACATGTGTGAGTGACATCCTTCATCTCATCAATGCAAAACGGAACAAAACAACAGCCAAAGACGCATCTGAAAAGCAATGTTCGGTGTATCGCTTAATAATTTTGTTGCACAGATTCACAGCAAATGGGGGGTGTTAAGATTTCACCAAGTTCACAAATTCATGAGTTACATATAACTTACCCTACAGCAGCTAGGCCACAACAGGCAAGCCAACTTAGAGCTCCTGGTGCATATTCTGTCGCAGTAATAACCTGGGTACGACATGTTGTACACATCACATGAGCAGGCACTTCTCTGAACATGATTGCATTGCTAATCATAACAGGAGGTTGTTGTTGCACCACTGTTGTGGTTGTCGTAACTTGTCGTGAGGTACCCTGTCGGTAACCAGGATTGGCTGCATACCCTGGTTGCATTGGTCCACCATGCATAGGTTGACCAGGTTGCATAGCTGGACCACCCTGGGTAGGTGGGCCACCAGATTTTACAGGGTAAGGGGGGGTTTTACCAGCCGAATATGGAGGGGGTTGTTGCCCAGCTTGATGGTCCATTTGTTGTTGTGCCTAAAAATAATTAAAATAGTAGCTTAGTCCATTTTGTTCCACATTTTGCGAACTAAATCACCGTGCTGGAAATGTTTCGAAACTGATGAAACATATTGCTTGGGTCTTTTTAGGTTTCCACTATTAACACTTTTTAATTTCTATCCTTCATATTTCTTGCTTTTAAAACCTCTTTAGGACTTGATGGGGCGACAAAACAATTAGTAAATAACGCAGCTGGAATCGATGAAATCATACGTGAAGTCCACGCGTCTTTGATAAAATATTAGACTAGTTCATTTTTTGAGTTTACTAACTCAGCCTGTGCTCGGCTGTGCCTGGCTGTGGTAATAATATGCGTATTGCCTGCCGCTAGTCTGGAAATACCATGTTTTCTGTTCTAATCAACACGAATTACTCTATTTTACTTTGTTGCTTACCTTCAGTTTATTCTGTAAATAACGTTGTTTTCAACAAGAAGATTTTTTTTCCTTCAACGATTTTGCGTTCCGCTTGCGTTCTTCGCGTTACCTGGCGCGAATTAAAATTACGTTGTAAACCGCAGTTTTTCTTTGTTGCTAAAGCATAAAAGCCATCTGAAAGCGTTGCTACGCCACAAAACCAACTTTTTGACAACTTTTGGTGCAACCCGTCCCGTGTGTCTTAATCAATCACATTTCATTAAACCACAGTACCTGTTGGAGAAATTTGCATTTTTTTCATTCAAATAACTATTGGCCATCCAGCATTAGATTAGCATTATATATACTACCATCTATTTTTCAACTGCAAATTATCGTATTTTTTATCGAATTTTATACGGTGCAGGACGCTAGCTCTTCCTAAATATTGGCCTTTGTCTTTTGCAGGTGGATTTTGTTGTCAAACAATCTGCTCTAGCGCGTAAATGCTTGATGTTCTAGTTTTAACCAAATTTGGTAAATATTTGCTGTAAAACGTAAATGCTCTCGAATTAGACTCATTTGAATGAGTTGAGAGAATTAGAGTTTGATGACAAATACTAAAGACCACATGTGTTTCAAGCAACCAAATTTCTCATAAATCATTCTCTTTCAGGAATTTTCGTCTAAGTTTGCCTAAGGTTCACTGAGCTATACCATAATTCATAGAATACTACAATTCTTAGAATTCTATATACTAGCGTTCACTCCTCCACGAGCCACTGACCTCAATATATTTTGACACAGTCTAGCGCAGAGGGAGATTCAAAAAAATGGCGGCAACTTCTCAAAGCAATGCAATCACTTTGAAAGGAAGTACGGAGATGGTAGCTGAGTTTTTTGGTAAATATGAACCGTCTTCGTTAGGTTTTGTTGCCTAGTTTGCTTCCTGTTAAACTTAGCTTTGTTTCTTTTTAGGTTATGGAATAAACAGGTATTATGCAAGACTGGATTTTGTAATTTTTGTTTCATATGCTGTTAAGTAAACTAATTTATTTGTTGACGTCCATGCAAATGACAAGTGTATTTAATCTAATTTCAGTATTTTATATCAACGAGGTATTTATCCTCCTGAAAACTTTAAACGCGAACATAAGTATGGTCTCACTTTGCTTGTGACTGATGAAGAGGAACTTAAAGGATATATCAGTAATGTTTTGAAACAAGTGAAAGGTTCGTAAAATAAAATTTGGGCTGTTAGTCCTAACGGGTATTCACGATCGTTGATCATTACCAGACACCAGTGAGCCCTTTCAGGGTGGAAAAAAGAGCCATTTCTGTCTATTAAACTTTTAAACAGGCAGTCTTTAATAGTATGCTTGCTTACTCATGATATTTCAAAACTTTAGTTTTTACTGTTTAATATTTTGTCAGTCAGTCTATGATGACCTAGCCTAAATGGTATTAACCTTTATTTTAATGATTTATTGAACATATTATTTAGATTGGTTGCTTCAGAAAACAGTGAAGAAGTTAGTTATTGTGATCTTAAATATTGATACACATGAGCCATTGGAGAGATGGCAGTTTGACGTCGAATGTGATAAGAGTGTAGTGGAAACAAGGTAGGTTTTACCTCTGCCAGGAAATTATGTAATCTGGGTTTGTATGTCTTTGTTTTCTAATTTAGCAATCGTAGTTTCTGATTGGAATTGAGACATAAGGTTCTGAATACTTCATTGTTTAGTAAACCCAAGGAAAAATCAGTGAAAGATATCCAAAATGAAATAAGAGATGTGATTAGACAAATCACAGCTACTGTCACATTTCTGCCTCTTCTTGACGCCCCATGTAAGTATATTTTTAAACAAAATCATGATAAATCCAGGCTACTGCGGGCTGGTATTGCTATGATAATTCTTTTGCGTTCTACAATAGTTATTCAATAAACCAAAGACTTGTTCTTTCATTTCAGGTGCATTTGATATCCTAATATACACCGACAAAGACCAAGATATACCAGAGAAATGGGAGGAATCTGGCCCACAATTTATTGCAAACTCTCAAGAAGTTCGCTTGCGCTCATTTTCCACATTGATACATAAGGTTGATGCAATGGTTGCTTACAAGAATTAGATCATATTCTAAAGAAAGATTGAAGAAATTGCATAATTCCAATAAGGATCTGTGACTGTCCAGACTCTCTGTCAGGTTCTCTCAGGCTTTCGTCCTAAAGGGGTATCCATCAACTGGATAGTGAAACATATTGTGAAACTTTTTATTCTCATCAATATTATGAACTGTATATTTTATCAGACAATGTAAATGTAGGAATAATCGTAATTGTAGCTATAGAATCTTGTATGATTGTGTGTATCTCTACAATGACATCAAACAGCTTTTTTGTACCAATCATGTTTGCAACACCAGTGACTAACCAGCCTTCCTCGGGCTCATACCCAGTCTTTCTTCCTCGACACGTTCTCTTGCACAACTGCACATGCCCACACAAGACACGTCGATATAGTTGCAAATAAAGATCGCAGAATGTTTACGATAGCTCGTCTTTCTATAAACAGATTGCAGACATCTCGTGTGAGTATTCCGTGTGTAAACGTATGAATGATTCTATTTGTAGTTAGCACTATCTTTTAGCAGTTTAGCAAAATTTATGTTAAAACATTAACATATTTTTTTATGGGAAAGATTACAAATGTACAATTAAAAAAAAAACGTACGCATGTATACAGGCGCGGATCTAGACCGTATCGAACGTGGCTCGAGCCACGGTCAGATTTTCCCATCCAGAATTTCCCATCTGCAATCTAATATTCACACATTATTTAGAAGTACATATTAATTCTTTGAATCACACCAAAATTAAGGAAATATATGTCTAAAACAAATAATTTGAGTAATATCTTTCGTAATCGTTGTCATATTAAATTATTATTCCTTGTTTCATATTACGATTGTTCAGTTAACACTGAACTATAAAATTCGCCGAAAGCTTGCCGAATTGTGCCGAGTATGTTCGGAAGCTAGTCGTGCATTCGAAGCTGCGATCACAGCAACTAGTTGACACGGTCAGCGTGCAGATTATTGCGCAATTGTTACTAAATATAGTAACGCTCGGACACGGTGCAGTGTAGCAAACCAATCACTGGGCAAGCTTTTGCCACGTGAGCCACGGTGCGACACGGTGCGACACGGTGGCCTGTTTTTGATTGCGCAATAAACATGATAAACAATAAAGTTCGACACTTCTCGACTTCGAACTCGGATATAGTTTATACATAACACGTTAAATTGGTCTGTTCGCTGCATCCTGGCTGATTCAGGCTGAATCGAATGCATTAATACATGAAACCGTCGAAATATCTCAAAAGCGAATCTAAGCGAGCATATTTCAGGGGAAATATCGCTCTTCAGGCTACAACATGATGGAATTATTACTAAAGACAGGCTTCGCTCGCTCGCGTTTACAATCGCAACGACAATTTTTAAACTGCTATTTCCCAAGAGACAAATACTGAAAATCTTTACCCAATGTCCTTGTAAGGTAAGACTTTTAGGTTTTAAATCGAACTATGGGCGCTCTCCTTTATACGGAAAAACGGCCAGACCTGTTCTGTTGTATTTCGGTAGTTGGTACAGACTAAAGTATATCGTTATTTACATCTGCCTAACACGGGAAATGCAGTTTCACCGCTATATTCTTTACGAAATACTCTATTTCAATTTAAAATATGACCGGTCTGACCTTTTTGGCCGCTTAATGGAAAGCGCCCTATGATACAAATTTGCATTTACGCTGTGAATAATTTGTGTATGCAAATTTCACGTTATGTTGAGTGTGAATGAAATATCCGTAAATACCTTACCAAAAATTTTGAAAATGGTTTTGTGGTTTTATGAAAGTAGAGGGATTTACAATATTCGCTTTTAAACGTTCCCTGAAGAATATTGTAGAACCAAAGCTCAGAAAATGTTTGTTTCGGAGGGTCCATAACGAAGGGTCGTTATACGCCCCCACCCCTCCCCCCGACCGGAAAATTTCTAGTCCAATATGACACGGTCAGATTTTCGGCTGGATCCGCGCCTGGTATATACGAATAAGGGGCCAAGTCCATATTCAAGTTGCAACGAGAAACGTCCAATTAGTCATTTCTAAAGAAATGAATTATTCTAACTCCAAATTTACATAGCAGGACAAAATCTTCAGGCTGGCTATGCTACTGAATACCATACGAGCTAGAGCTTCTTTATACGATCCTAGCAGGACTGGCCAAAGATGTTCTTAAAACTTACATACTTGTTATTTTTTTTTAGCTTCCTTTATCAAAAAGGTTTTTAAGCAATGGTGCAGTGGTGAGTTATATATAATATATTCTAGGACACAAGATTGTATACTATTTTTGAAATAAATATATCACTACTTGCACTATATTTACTATATATTTGCATTTGCAATATAAACAGCATTTTGAGTCTGGTATTCTAGCTATTTCAAATGATTATTTATTTCATATTAATATGAATTCATTTCATTCTTTTTTTCTCAGCCGACAACAAAGCTGTTCATTGATGGAAAATTTTTCGACTCTAAGACATCAGACTGGCTACCTGTGCACAATCCTGTAGGTCAAAGAACTGGTTTAAAAATCAGGCATTCATTGTGAAACTCTACTTTATGTAGTACTAACAGTTGTCCTAATTGTGTAATACATTTTTATTTAAGGCAACAAATGAAGTGATTACCAATGTGCCAAAAACAACCCAGGAAGAAATGCATTCAGCAGTTGATGCAGCAACAAGTGCTTTCGAAACTTGGTCGCAAACATCCATTCTCTCACGACAGCAGATCTTATTTGCATATCAAGGATTGATAAAAAGTAACCTGGTAAGATTGTCATTTTCCTCACTAATATTTGCATCAAAATCTGCAACCTGAGAAAATGAAAATTTTAAAACATTTTGTGTAGAAAGAGATTGCCAAAGTAATTACCCATGAGCAAGGCAAAACTCTGGCAGATGCTGAGGGTGATGTACACAGAGGATTGCGTGAGTAAACAATTTTATCAATGTTTTAAACCAAAAAAAAACAAAAAAAGATTGTATATCCCTGGAAGAGGAGGGATTGTTTACCCTATACAATATTTTATTTTCAGAGGTCGTTGAACATGCATGCTCAATCACGTCATTACAACTTGGTGAAACATTGCCTTCAATAACACAAGATATGGATATGTATTCGTATAGATTTCCTCTTGGTGTTTGTGCTGGCATTGCACCGTAAGTGCATGATCTCATTATATTCTTGAGTATGTGAAACAGCTGCTTGTGTGAGAAAACTAAGGTTTCTGTATTTTTCCTTAGGTTCAATTTTCCTGCAATGATTCCACTTTGGGTGAGTTTCTTTACTTTGTTTTTAGGTTTAATTTTCCAGCCTTAATTCCACTTATGGTGAGTGTTGCTTCATTTGAACAACCTAAAAAGAAGAAAACCTTTAATGTTACCTTTAATCTTAGCCTTCAGGGAACTCCTTTCTCATTTTCAATGCCTGATATCAGTTGTAAATTTGTTTAGATGTTCCCTGTTGCAGTAGTCTGTGGTAATACATACATCATGAAACCATCAGAACGTGTACCTGGAACGACCATGTTGCTTGCAAAGCTTGCACAGGATGCTGGACTACCTGATGGTGTATTGAATGTTATTCATGGTGCTCATGAAGCAGTGAACTTCATCTGCGATGATCCAAGCATTCAGGCTATTTCCTTTGTTGGTTCTGACCAAGCTGTAAGTAATTGGCATTGCTTAAATCACCATGTTTCACCATGTCTAGTTCTTTCACAATTGATAATACCATAATAAACTCTCATTCATTCTTTTCTCAGCACAGCATAACACATTCAAATTTCAGTGAAATGCCAACACTTGTGAACATTTACTGATTTGTTTCTGTTCATGACAGGGGAAGTACATATATGAACGTGGGTCTAAAAATGGAAAAAGGGTCCAGTCTAACATGGTTGGTTACTATTATATTTGGCATGCTAACTTCCTCGAAAAACTTGCAAGATTTTGGACATACCTAATATTGTAACTTTATAGTAGCATTTGCTGGGTTTAAGATCATTCTAAGGTTAGTGACTGTTCAACTTATTACTATGTCAGGGTGCAAAGAATCATGGTGTCATTATGCCTGATGCAAATAAGGATCATGCTCTCAACCAGGTACTGTTATGTCAACAACTACAAGTACTGCAAATGCTCGGAAATTTGTTTCAAAATTGACTCGAAGCAAATGCAGTCAATTGAAGGCTCAAGTATTTATCGTTGTTTTAGCTGGTTGGAGCTGCATTTGGTGCTGCAGGTCAAAGGTGTATGGCTCTTTCTACAGCAATATTTGTGGGTGAGGCGAAAGACTGGATACCAGAGTTTGTTGAACGAGCAAAAAAACTAAAAGTGAATGAAGGTGGGTTTGCGTTTATATCATTCTTCATTGCTTATTTTTAGAAATATTTGCCAGATATTCTTTTCATCAAATGTCTTGCTGGATTCATGACTGTGTACGTGTGATCTGTTTCTAGGTAATCAACCTGGAGCAGATTTAGGACCTTTGATATCCCCCCAGGCAAAAGACCGTGTTTGTGAATTAGTTCAGTCTGGTGTTGATGAAGGAGCGACGGTAAAGACTTATTTCATATTGCACTATATCACAATTAAAGAACTATGTATATAATGTGTAACCTTCATCCTTCCAGGTTGATCTCGACGGACGAGATGTGAAAGTTGAAGGTTATGAAAATGGAAATTTCGTTGGTCCAACCGTGATATCTGGTGTAAAGGTATTCATATTATAAGCTTGTTTGATTCAGCGCTTTTTATCCCGAACGTTATATACTTTCCCTGGGTAACTGGGCACTGGTTTTGTATTACTTAGACTACCATACACGTACGCTGTTCTTTGATAATGCAAAGTGTAATTATGCTTGCTATACTGTATATTGTGTTTGTTTTAAAGCCGAACATGAGATGTTACAAAGAAGAAATATTTGGACCCGTTCTCCTGGCCATGACAGCGGATAACCTTGAAGAGGTAACATGGAAAAAGGAGCTTGACTTTATTGATACGGTTTCTAAAGTTATATTTCCTATTTTTTAGGCTGTTAATATAATCAACGATAATGAATATGGTAACGGAACGGCCATCTTTACAACTTCCGGTGCTGTGGCAAGGAAATTTCAGAACGATGTGAACGTTGGTCAAGTAAGTCTCAGTCTCTCTTGCATTCACCTGCAGTGATATATAGATAGATTAATCTCTTTCACTGTTTTTCAGGTTGGAGTGAATGTTCCTATTCCAGTTGCTCTTCCGATGTTTTCGTTCACCGGTTCACGAGGTTCATTCCTAGGATCTTCTCATTTTTACGGAAAAGAGGTAATACCAATAGACCTTTATAGGTAATACCAATAGACCCTATAATGACGTCAAACGCGGAAAGTGTGATGTTACACGAAGTTTGATTGGCTCGATAGTTTTGTGGAGCCAATCAAATTTCATGTAACATCATACTTTTCGCGTTTGACGTCATTATAAGAAAGGTCTATTATGCACATTTCTACTATCAGTAGCATGCAAAATATACCCAGGACCATTCCAAGATGAAAGTAACTTGTGATAGCAGAGTGTTTCTGAAACTGCTTGCAATATCGTGATGATGTGTTTTTTTTTCTCATTTTAGGGCATTGCCTTCTATACTCAGGCTAAAACTATCACAAGTTTATGGAAAGAAGATATCTCCTCTGTTCAAAAGACTGCGACAGTTATGCCGACAATGAAATAAATATAAATTGAGTTGTGTAACAATATAGTCTATAGATATATATTTATTCACAGCGTCAGTGGAAAATCTGTGGAAACCTTGCCAAAGCCGAAATAATATCTGCAATTAATAGTTATCCTTTGCTGGGAGCATGCAGTACGCTGACTCTTATTTCCGTGAGGATTGTTTAATATTGGTAGCTCTTTTTCTTCCATAAATATTTTGTCGAATATAAAGGATTTTAGGTCATTTCATAATATAATTTGCGAAGTATTTCGCACCAAACTCATTGGATTTATTTTCTTTATTTAACTATTTCGCGCGTCACACCAGCATATTTTATTATTCACTTGCAACGGGCAATAGAAATATGCAAAACATATTGCCCTGGGACTGCAAAACTTTGTTTGTTTCAAACGTCGTCGCTTCTCATGCGCAGAACACATTTAAAACAATAGTTAATGACGTTAATCATGAGATACCTCATTATCTATTGTTCTTAATGCGTTCGGCACATGGATTGTCCGTTGGAATGTTCTGAGGTAATAAAAGGTGGGTGAATTCGCGATGAAACTCATACTTGGTATACTCTCGAAGAAGGAACAATCTCTCGAAGAAGTTTAGGGGAAAGTTGGAAGAATCTTTGCTAAGGTACATAGTCGTGGTTAGTTTAAAGAATCTGTTGGTTTGATATTTGGCTTTGCAAAGTAATTAACGGTCGTGTTGATTTGAATAGTCAAAAGACATTAGCAAGTGCATGGAGTCATATTCTTGCTGATTTTCACTGCTATATCTTGTATATTTCGATTGAAAATGTGCAATGCAAGTGAGCTGTTAACCTGATTTGTTTCCCCCTTTCTTATTTTATTTCAACACGAACTACGGCGCCGAAAGATGGGGAAGGCGAAACACAAACGCTTGCTCGCAGCGAACATTGTTCTCATACATGTGTTTTGCATTAGTGACTTGAATAACACGTTTGTACAGGGTGGGCGAAACTAGAATATAATCGAACTTTTTGGTACTTTACTTTTGAATTGATGATCAAAACTTTCACGTTTGACACCATTGCGTTTTCCATACACGGTTGTTGTATCGTGGTGTGTCGTCTGTCAACGCATTCATGTTAGTTTTGTACATGAAAAGATGGATTCAAACCGAAATTGAATGCCTATAATCCGTATTGTTATATGTATGTACTTTATGCTAGACTTGGCATGTGCTCATGAGTCATCTCAGCCTGTCTAATGTAGTTCAATGTTTGTTTCACCGACGTTTTCTCATTTTTTTAGAAAGAAAGAATCGTCGGAGTGGAGAGAGATCGGACCTGCCTTGGGACATTAATGCACGCAAATACAAATTAAACTCGATTCGGTGAAAATATGCATGAGTAAAATTGCATGGGGTTTTTTTGGCCTTATGGCTGAGATATACTGAACACTCTTCTGTTTACCTCCTTGATTTTCAACTTTCGGATTGCGGTTTTTTGCATGGGTTTAACCTGGTCGTGTCAAGCGCATGCGGAGTAAATACAAGTGATTCTGGGGCCCCAATCACTTGTAGTTTCTCCAACTTGAACGACAAAAATAGTCCGGAACAAAAATATCGCTCACAGAGCACCTAAAACATAAAAATGCACGAGAAATTGTATTTCTAGAAAGAGATAATAGTCGAGTGTTTTAGTTTTCCCAGGACCATGAAAAAAACTATGAATATTTCGTACAAAACCTGCATGACATTTTGTATTCGCGTGCGCAATGCGAAGGCCCTGGACGAGTGGCGTTGGAGATGTCGAAGGTCTATATTTTATCCTAAGTGTTTTATACATAAGTGGCGTGTCTCTCTTGGAAATTAATGATGTCATGCTTTTGTATCTGCGTTCAGATGTTGGATGAGATGATGGAGGATCGTCGCAGGATCAGATGATGGAGGATCGTCGCAGGATCAGATGATGGAGGATCGTCGCAGGATCAAATGATGAAGGATCGTCGCAGGATCAGATGATGAAAGATCGTCGCAGGATCAGATGGTGAAGGATCGTCGCAGGATCAGATGTCGAAAGATCGTCGCAGGATCAGATTGTTGGACGATGAGACGGGGTGTACAAATTGAAGCTGGTTGAGGTATATCCTATATGTATACTAATTAGAGTAATGCATGATTATGTGCATGGCTATTCCTGGTGGTCTAACCTAGTATATTCACACATCAAGTGACATTTGACCCTTTTCGGCAATGCATGATAACAGGAAATTTCTCACAGCTCTTATGAGAGCGTTTTCGAGGTTTCTCGATGAAACATTCCTAGTTTTGTCACTTGCGTGTGAATGACGTAACAGCTGCGGAAAATGCATGATGGCTTTGAAGCGTTGAAATGAAAGCAACAAAATGCAATTAGCATGCGCGACGCGCACGCGGCGAGAAAATATTGAATTCGTATTGGCCTAATTTTAGATTAATACGAAGGTAATCGCGAGTAACTTATATGATTATATAAGTTCTCTGTCCAGCGTGTTAAAATGCGACTGTTTCGATCGACCGTCGGTCAATGGTTACAAAAATCATACTTCGGTCTTTGACAATTCGAAACGAACTCAAATGAAACTTTCAAATGAAGAAAAAAAAACTAATTGATGTTTAGACACTAGCACTCTTCTGTTTCCCTAAATCTCAAGCATGAAGAAAATACACGTAATCTACTCATTTTAACTAACTTGATGAAGTTTCTGTAAGACAAAATATACCTGCTATATACATGATATATTATTACATGTCGCATGATAACTATACACTTATTACATAACGAGGGGCATCTGGGGGGGTATAGTGTTAAACTGTAGGTCAATATTTTTCATAGCACCTCTTACCTTGAAAATTAACCCTTAAAAAGATAACCCTTTGCATTTTGACGCACTTACTATGTTGTTTAATTTTTCACACGCTCCACCGTCGAGATGTTGTTGAAGAAGACTGTTTGAAATGAAGCAAAAGAAGCAAGTGATATTTCGTTCCACAGTAACAGCTGTACGATGCCAAAGGTGAGGGACATTGACATTATTGATTAGCCATATTAAGTAAGTTGCATGTTGAGCCCAATTACATAATCTAAAACGTATAACAAAAATAGAAATAGAAGAAGAGTGTTGTTGTCTGCATCGGTTTCAAATGAAAAAGCATGCAAGTCGTGAATATGAAACATTTCTTTCCAAAATACCAGATTTCCAAACAATGCATGATTATAAAATGAACATTTGAAAAATTGAAAAAATTTTTGTTGCCATTGTCGAAAAAAGCGCAGTTTAATTAAAATTTATACGCACTGCCACCACGCACGTTAGACCGCCACGCACGTTAGACCACCACGCACGTTAGACCACCACCAGGATTTAATTGACCACGTGAGCAACATACAATTGTATAGCAACATACAATTCTTGTGATTTAGTTCGGATGAACGGAACTATAAAATAACGGTTACTATAAATAAAACCTGGACTGTAATTTCGGACGATTTCTAAAAGAAAAATACCAAATTCGGACCGCCGGTCAGGTAACCTGAAATTCAGGTTACCTTTGGAGGGTTTTTCACCGGGCACTCCGGTTTCCCTCCTTTTCGTTTGGCTTTAAAAAACAGTGTCCATGTGTGGAGCCAAACATGTTCGTTGATAGTGAAAAGATTGCTTGCACATTTTACAAAATCGCAGAGAATACTATTTGTACATGAACTGTTGGCTTCTGGGTTGGATTCCCAGAACACTGACGTAAAAGAATTAAATATGCATGTTGAGACTGGCGTGGGAGACTGAGTCTGAGTCTTAGCCGTACGGGCAATAGCAGTGGCCAATGGTAGTATTCGTCAAAACGAAGCTTTTCGTTAAGACAGTCAAAAACGAAATAAAAAATTGACGTAGCAAAATGTAAATGCAAGAGAATGGAACTGCCAAAGCTGGTTGTGATCTAATATAATGGTGTGAAGCCTTAATCACAATATCGTGCAGATCTCTTGTTTCCATGGGAACGTTCACACGTAAGTCCTTCTTTAAGTAAGATTTGTCCTTCCGTTTTTAAAGGTGTGGTATATATTCCACTGTTCCTTCGTGCTGTAACAGCTGAAACAAACATTTCTTTAACTCATCCCATGTAAAGTCGAATAGGAAATTGCAAATGTAATTTTCCCCTTAGACTTACGTCAATGCGTGCTTGCAGACAGCAACGTTCAATTAAAAGCCAACCTGCCGAGTAAATATAGCACGCCTTCTGATAATTGCCTGCCCTTGAAATTGTCTAGTGAGTAAATGCCGACATACACTAAATGTCACGCGATGTCGTCATCACAACTTAGCCTGCGAATAGGCGCGTTGAGGATAAATCGAGTCTTGCTGATAATTGCGGTCACTAGTTTTACAGCCGTACAGGATTGATGTACGAGAATGCTCCTTCCTGTGTGATATCCCTGGTGCTTGTACTGTCTCAACAGAACTCACTAGACCATGCTAGCCTCTCTACAAACCGAAAACTTTCGCAATAACATTACCATGAAAAATTACTTGTTACTCAGTGCATACCATCTCCTCCAGGGGGTCAACCGCAAACCCAAACGCCTAACACTTAACCATGCTTGGCATTTTATACAAAAATAAGTTGGATGTATTATATTTGTTTTTGGAGATACTCCACATAGTTAAATGAGGTTCCTATCATAAACTGTTTGTGTTCTAAAGGACACTGCTGCTGTGTCAGTGATAGGATTTAATTCATGTTTTCCCCTTGTTTGAAACGTATGAATGATGACAAGTCACATCATAGTTAAAGTTGGTAGTTCGTGCAAATTGAAAGCGCTTCATTCCCACGTTGCTCTCTCTCTCGAGTCCAATACACGTGTGAGAGACAGTTTGACATGACGCGCTGTTTTTATACTGAGAATAAAAATAGACGGTGACAAATTGAGAGCATGCACTTAATCAAGATCTGTTGTGGTGGAAACATCCACGCTGCCAGGAAGTGTGGTCACCTCGCATTATGATAAGCCCTGTATAACTTTAGATTATTTCCATATTGGCCTACTATATATTGTCAGGGAACAACCAGAGTATAAGTCTATATATATATACAGTACGATTTGCCTCGATAACTGATCTCAAATATAATCAACGATAGAATATAGGATTATAGCATAAAAAAGCGGAAGAAACCTTAAGTTGACCTATTGAATGGCTAGCTTCACACTGTATATTCAGTAACATTGATCTAGTGTTCCAAAGGATGAAACTTGTATAGTAACTGAACTATGACTTGTTATTTAGCTCTATCAGTTCTATTTCTAAATTCTTCTTAGAGTTTACAGAAGGGATAATCTCTTATTGATCCAGTGTTACTAGGCGCTACAAGAGGAAACCTAAACTAACTTTTCCTTATTGCACAATGTATATATACATAACTATCCAAATTATCCGCAAAATTCCTCGCAGGGAACCACGAGACGTCACTTACTTCATGACACTAGTGTTTCACGTCAAAATGATATAAATATACGTTGCATGTAAGTACTACTTATATTAGTATATTTTGTCTTTTAATGTTCCCTCTATAAACAAAATCATTATAAATTTCTCCATTTTTGCTTATAAATATCCCTAAATATAGTTGTGTGTTCAATATAGAGGTGCAAAAATCCTGCCTATTCCCACACTAAATAAGCATTCCTGTTTATGTATTGTATCTAGGAGCGCAGGGCGAACCCTGTTTCTGGAAACTTCGAGTGAAATTTCCTTGCATGGATATTTGATTATACGCAAACAATATATGCATAAGATTTGTACGAAATTCCGGTTACAAAGACATGTTTGGCTTTAATTAACAGGTGTACAAGCAATATCGCTCCTTCAAACACGAGAGTACTCTCTCCCTTTTGTATCACTTTTTCTTCGGAAAAGCTTAATTCCCCCGTAAGCAAATTAACTATTTATAATAGTAGATGTGCAACGTGCAATATCTTCGTCAAAACAGCGCTTTAATAAGGAAGTTTGATTTGCTTGAACCTGTTAAATATCTGAAATTTTCCGACTATAACCTTCTTTGTCTAACGCATTACCCTGACCCCAGATACTTCAGGCCTCACCCGTTTACTGACGTCATTACACGTCATGGCCAGGTGATTTTAAATCGTAGATGAACGGAGAAACTTCGTCAATCGTTTTGTAACACCGACTGATAACGCGTGCACAGCGACTGTCTACGAGATACAGCTAACGTCAATATCTATACAGCAAAGAAAGTCTTTGACAAAATCTCCTAGATTTGGATCAACTGGTATAAACTATTTAAAGGTAGGTTTATTATAATTGGTATATATTTTCCAGTTCCATATATTTATCGCTGTATAAAATTTGTTTCGTAAGGCTGAGTTATGGAGATATGCCAAATGGGTTGGCCTCCGTTTGCATGGTGTTAGATGTGCTTTAGGTCATCACGAGCCATGCATGCGGCACCCGATAATATCAAATGCATAAATATGGCTATCTCATTTATTGATCCAACACTCTTTACCTATCTGGCAAAATAGTATTCCTGTGAATACGACTTGCCACCACATCGAACGCTGTTTATTTTTCATAAAAGAAAGTGAATTACTAGTTTAATAATAATTATTCAAACGATACATATAAGAAAAATCAAAGATAGCATAATTTTAGCATATAAAACTTGGTGTCGATCAGGTTTGTTTGAAAATGTCGCGTTTTGCGTGTATCAAATGAATTCAAAACAAACGATAATGATCTTAGATGGCTCATTATCTGTTGTCATTGATTCCATTAGCTAACATTCCGGCGGGGGGCTTAATTTTTTAAAACAATCCTACGTATTTCACCATTAAGATAGAGCGAAAACAAACAATTTTTTTAATTGCAGAATGGTAGGTGTTTCGTATGAAACCTGTTGATATCTCCTTTGGTTAACAAATGAAGAACAAGGTAGTCTTCGTTGCTAATTTGCTATTGCTATACTTTTGTACAGAATAGGAGTGGCGATGTTTCCAACTGCTAGCAGACAGCCAGGTACAATCAACGAAGCTATGATGACTCAAGGTTTTTGGATGGTCCAGAACAGTGTCTCAAATCCTGCTTTTAATAACAGTTTGCAAAACAATGGACGATTCGCCTGGTTGAATCAGTGTTTCGCCGACAGGACAGATGAGCTGGAGGAGGAATTAGATGAAGATGAACCCATACAATTTTGTAACATGAAAGAGAATATTTTAAGACTAGAGGAGCTCGCTAAAAAGAATGGGATTTCATTGGATGATGACAGAATGGAAATTGGTGGACAAAACCTCTTTGAAGAACTTTGCGAAGTGAATCCAAGAGCGAAAATTTTGGTCAGAAGAGATTCAATAGGTTCGCCATGCTGGTTTGACGCTTGTCGACGATTTTCCGGACTAAAACCCGAACATGTGCCAGAGGAAACAAAACTAACACAACTTGTCTATCAATTTGGCCTTGAACACGTGCGAGAGCTTCCAGTGTTGCCTATGGAAGCGATAAATAGCTGTTTATTAGCTGTCTAAATATTGACGCAAAATTTTGTAGTTGCGTAGGCACTCTTCCCATGGAAGAAATCTTAGCGGAGCGCAAATATTCTGCTGTGATTTCCCCGGTACAATATTTGTACTTTTTAACAATACACTGAATGATAATATAGATAATATACATAGATAGATAGATAGATAAGATCACAAATATATGTAATATACAAATTATAAATACAAACTTGTTTTTATGATCTGTTTTTAAGGTACGAGGAGAGTTCATTAGCCGAATGCATATTAGAGACAGTCCAGATGGGATTCCTGCCCAACTTACCCGTCTGTTTAGACAGGACTAAAGTTAGACGGGAAAATTCGGACGAGAAACCCGTCTGTGACCGAATTCACATCAGACGAGCTTCCCGTCTATAATAGATGAATTCGGCTTTTGTAGCGTAGCAATCATGAATCTAACAGGAGCCAATGTTTCCTGTTTTCTTCCTGTGCACTTCGCGAAATAGCTAGTATTTGCTTGGTCGCCCATACACCCAAATCATTTCTGGGAAACAATATTTGCTAGTTTGTTTGCAGTTTCAGAAAAGGCGTGCAGCGTGGGCTGGTATTATCAGTTTGACTAATGATGAAGTATAGGTTGCCCACCTTCTGGAAACAGAGTAGGATGAGCATGATCGTATGATACTCTTCAGCTAATTGGCGCTTACGACGCATGCGTTGTCGATCGTGATTTGCATTATATCCTCCCACAAGATCCATCAGCTCTCATCTATGCAAGACCTGCAAACATTGTGAAATCATTCTTTGCAAAGCGACAATAAGAACTTCGTTATTTCCGATGTGACCCCAAAAATATACCAATGAATTCGGTTGAGCGCTATTGCAAGTTTGAAGTATGCAACTGAATGAACGCTAAAATGGTAACAGATATTTAATTATTTCGTCGATGAAAACTGTTGAAAAAATATATATAGCCCTTTTGCAATGTTTCGACTCTTATTAATCATAATCCAAAGTCCAAATATTAGCTTATATTTTTCCTCATGCAAAGTTGCCAACATGCGTTTTTCATTTGCCGCAATCGTGAAAGAAGTAAACTTGTTTATTTTCAATTTTGTTTATCATCATTTTGCTGCCAATTGAAATAACAATATGAAAGACCGGTGATCTTAAAAATCACTGATATCCGTACGACTTAAATTAGAACGCTTCAAGTAATATATTAGCCCAAAATAGAATATGGATGATTTGCTAGACAACGGCGCGCTTTGATCTTTTAATAGGGACTACGAGTCAATTGCAAAAACTAAGGTCTTTTTATCCATGAAAAATACAGTCATTTTTTATTGTATAGACCGTCTGAATGGTCTGAATAAGGCATATGCGATAGGATTGAATTGAGTTATTTTTGCCTGAGATTTGAGTGCAAATTTTACTTGATTTATTAAGATTGTACTATTTTAGTAACCTCCTACGCTAGCCCTTATCTTGAGGATCTTTTATAACGTGATCTGTGATTGGAAGACAATGCAAGGGCTTTGCTAGTAGCCAATCGGAGAGCGCGTAAGGTTGCTATATTGGGGAAAGTAACAGGTCTAATGACGTCATAATGTGACGTTTAGGCGGTGTTTAACATACATATACATCTGCTCGAATGTAGGAGTTGAGATGTTTTAAAGATTGACGATTTTATATATTTTCATCGTTCTACCAAATATTAAACGGTTTAAAAGTATCTCAACGTGTCCTATGTGGTTATGAGTTGTAGTAGACGCCGTGTTCAAGTATCATGGCCACAGACTTAGCCGCAGTAAGCGAACTACATTCAATTGAAGTCGATCCTACAGTGAATCATACGAATTCTGCTGTCTCGAATGAGGTAAATAAACGTAGTTATGCGATGATCTCCTGTCTCAAATTATTATTCTAGCATGGAGATATATTGTTTTGACTTTGTAGCGTTTTTTTTCACCAAATTCTGCCTTTTTAATTCCAAATTGATCTTTGATCAATGTTCTTTCAACCTATAGAAATGGCACATTTTCCGGAAGCCTAGAAAACGCTATAAAGGTCGACCTAGTTCAAACGACACAAGCTCAACAAAGGTAGGATAAAACAACCCATATCTTGAACCAATTTGACCCCGTTTATGTGCACGTTTCCTGACTGTCTGTACGCGTTTTTAAGACAACAAACTTGCCTAATTTTTGTGGTGTATTCTCCCAAGGGGCCATCTTAAATAGTTCAGTATAATAAAACGATGTGGTAATAGCATGGCATAATAAATTTATCTTAGTCTACGACGCTCGTTTATTGTATCCTAAATCTTTAAATTTGCGATCTTTTAATGAAAAATTGAGCGATTCGCGGAATCCACGTATGAATGCAGTGACTCGTATAGAAACTTCGTTGTCAATGATGTCGTCTGCCTTAAAAGTGTCCAAAGCTTTTTTGTGGGCCAAAAATTGTTTCGATATGAATATAATTAGAGTAGTGTTACCGCAGCAATGCTTTGTAGCGAAGGAAGTATTGCTTTTCCCTGTTGTCGTCCTGGGTAATACAATGCATTGAACAGATATGATATTTAATCCGTCTACATCCTGTCTAGTGCACTCTTGTTACGTCCCACTGTCGTTCGCTGGGATGGTGTGTTTTAACGTAGACAGCATTCACGGCATCTGTCTGATTGCCTTTAATCGGTGGTTTTTTGTTTGTATTCGTGTTTTTAAGAGATTTTCTATGATCTACAATGCATACACGAAACATTAAATCGAGTTTGGTATTAGCTTGATAATCCAACGCAAACACACAACACTTATTTCAAACTAACAACATGCAATGCAATATTATTTTGGTTAGGCTACGATGTGAAATTTGCGCACACTAGCTCGATTAAATATTTATAAAAGGCTGGAGTCTTGTAGTTAGATTTAAAGAGAGTCGAATATTACCACTTCCGAAGTGAAAATATCGCATATTACCAGTTGACAAAGGCCTGTTTGATCATTTTGACCTTCCGACATTCAATGTAACAAAGTAATTCTAATTTGGAAAATTTTAGCTTAATGGTGTTCTAAGATTAATTTAAAACGAGATTATATATGATTATAATTTCCTTATTTTGTGGTCTTGTTGTTACTTTGGTGGGTATTTAACTTTGTTATGGCCAACTTGGAAAACAGACTTCTAGCACTGACAAGCTTGGTGATTTAATGTTAATTTATGCAAACTTTAGCTTATTTCAAAACAGTGGGGTTGTTAGGATAATTCTTGTTTATTTCTATTGATATTTGAAATCGTGTTTATACACGTCATATCACCAGTTAGAAATGATTTTACTCTGACATGCAATAAAAGCACTTTTTTTCAATGAGATCATGATGTCACAGCACTTGTTGGAAAAGGAAATGTTGTGAATTATTCATGTTGCATAATGCTTACTAGGGGGTGGAAATATGGTGCCTAATGTGGATGTTTTGTGTTGGAATTTTCCAATGCAGCTGCTTATCACTTCTCCTTTTTATGCTTCTACTGGAGATTTGATTATTTTTGTGTCGACAAATATTTGTCTGTAGTTGTTTGCCTGAAAAGATATAAAAGGCAGCGTTTGACATATTTGACCTTAACAGTCGTGAATATAGGCCAGATGGACTTTGATAGATTTTTGAGTTATAAGTGGATTTATTGTTTTGATTTATTAGTAGAATTGTTCGTTAGTAAGATTGTTAAGGCCGGTTTACACTAGCAAAGTTTCTGTGCACACAGTATGCTTTGAACAAAGTGTGTGCAAATATGTAAACACCTTTCAAAAACTTTGAGCGAAGACATTCAAGGGCTTTAAACGACATGGAGCGTGTTCAACTTTGAACACAGAACTTGAAAGAAGCCGGCACTTCTTGTACTAATTAAAATGTCTACCGAAGTTTCATTCATTTCTGCTGAGAAAAACAAAAATAACAAAGAAGCGCTTTCCGTTTACGGTCGTCCATGTTTGACCTGTTGTTTGTGCAACAGGAAATACTCAGCTTCAACCTTGGACAGTGTAAATGTCAGAAGTCCTGTTCAAACACTGTGCTCAGACAGGATGCCTCACTGTGCACACAGAAAGTGTAGATCTTTGCTAGTGTAGACTGGCCTTGTTTTGAAGATGTTTATCAAACATTTTTTGAATTGTTTTCTTGTTGATGTCCGTTAAAGTATTTACAGTTAAAATATTAAGATACTCTTGTTTTCAAACTCTATGCGATTAGCTTTGTACTGGTAGAAATACATTGTCCTGGTTCTAAGCTAAACTTGCTTTCAGACAAAAATTATTGCCAGTCTCTGTATTCTTCAATATATCATTAAAATATATCACATTTACCTTATTAAGACTTTCCAATTTATAGTTATTTTAAACTCATCATTTGCAACTTTTTTTTATTAAAAAGACCACCATTGCCATGTACAGTATACAAAATTTGAATTCAAATTCTCACAGCATTTTGGGATATATAAAATTTCTAATAATTAACCTGTAGGAATTGTTAGAACAATGGTAAATCATTAAGAAATGATCTATATTCATGCCCTAGTATGGGAACAACTAAGGACATAATTGCACAATAATAATTAAGTTAAACTGCAGGGTTCAAAACAATGTTTGGAAAATTTACCTTGTTTCATAGCCTACCCTGTTTCTATGCTAAAGATATTGCTGGCTATTTCAATCTAACTTAAAAGTTTCTTTTAAAAAGTTCGAAATGTAGAGGGATTGTAGATATTGATTGAGTCATGTAACCTTGATATTTCCTTATAAAACCCCCAGAGTTTAAGAATGATTTCTGTAAAATACCAGCTAAGTGTTATCAGAGAAGGCTTGTTAGTCTAAACTGTGACTTGATATAAAAGCATTTTCAGATATTGCACAATCTACACATTCAACAAACGAGACGGTGTAATCATTTTTCTGTCACAATAAGTTAGTTTTCACGATGCGATTTTCAGTCTTCTGTGTTTTTGGAAAACTCCTAGCCCTTGTTCTTTGTGCATTGTAATGAATGTTTTGAGTTTAGGTTTAAAGAGCAACATGAATGCTTTGTTTTTATAAAAGAACACACGATGACTCCCAGTGGGTTGCATGAAATAAACGTGACGCCTTGAAATTGCATTTCGTAATCATGCAGTACCAAGCTGTGAAAGCGTCCTATATCCTCTTTAATTTTTCATACATTTTTTTTCTTTAAAAGTTATTTTCCATCTTGCGTGTTTGTTAAAGTGTCTATCATGTTATCGTTGTTTCTCTTTTTTGGGAAGTCAAAATGAAACAATAGCTTGCACGGTTTGAAAATAAATGATGGCGCTTCTTCCAGTTTGAATTACCTGCCAAAGTTTAATAGTAGGGTAATTCGTTTTACGTCAATATTTTCCAGTAATTTGGGTTGTTTCAGTAAAAATGTCATGACTCATGATTATGACCCATGCAGTTGAGACCTGTGAGAGAATATATTAGCTTTTTCGCGAGATTTCGTTTTGACTTCAACTATACCAGCGCTTTTAAGGAAAACTAATTAATCATATACAATGGGTCCATCACATCACCCAGTCACCCAGTTATTGAAAGGTTTCGGCAATCGAATCTTAACTTCGTCGTTCACTAAGTGAGGCTGAGATTCCTGCGAAGATTGGTAAGAAGTAAAAGCAAAGAACTATGAATTGTGTTGTAGTCGCTTGTAGCAGCCATGCAAGCATGCAAGAAAGATACAAAGCATTGTTTCGGCAATACCTTCAGATGTTGTATCACTTTACGAAACTATAATTGTGACAATTGTTTAGTATCAGTTACACGCATTTCAAATAAAGCTCAAAAATGCCTCATATCATTGTCCCATTTAATGTTAGCAATTTCTCCCCCGTACCCAGAGTAAACAATGAACTTTATTCGGAATCCATTTCGAAATGTAATAATCAATTAACCTAAACAAACTACACCCTTGACTGTTTGTGATTGCCCAAATTGGTTTTTACCATACATGGTGAGATCAAACTGAGTAAAAAATTACATTCGCTTTTGTCTTGAGTCTGCGCTGTCTTTTGAGATCTGGAACATACGAAGAACAACGGAAAAAGATCTAGATTCTACCAAAAAGTTACAGATTGCTTCCAGAATTTACCATTCGTGTGTCGGCAGAAATGCTCTAGAATTTACCACAGGGGCTGGTAGTCGAGTATATAAAATATCAATTCAGTCTACTGATACCTTGTTAATATTCCAACGACTGTAGCGTATTGTATATAGTATAGTCTGTGCACAAGGTAACGTGATTCTACCACAAGTTCGGGTTGCAAAAAGGAAACGTGGTCTTGCTAATGGTAGTGTGTAGATATTTCATTATCTGGATTCAAGCTTCTTTGCCATTATAACCATCAACGAACTGTCATTATATTTGACTTTGCGCTAGCGAGGTTTATCATGGCTTTTGGTTCATTAATGCGACGACGAAAAAATTCTAAGTTCACAACAACGGTAAAGCTATTTTCGTTTTTAAAATGTGCATGAAAAAGGATAGCATTATGCAGGCTTTTAAACTATATCAGATCTTCTTAATTATTACTAATGTCCTGAACCATTATATTCCAAACTCTCTAATTTTCGAAATTGATACGTCGTAATTACGTCAATTGTTCGACTATTGACGAAGTTAGTTCCCATAATTGTTATGTAATTCCTATAGTCAAACCAATATTGTTAATAATAAATACTTATTTCTGTTTATTTAGATTGTCCACTAGATATATTTATATTGTTGGTTTTGTTTAAAAATGCGGTTAGGTTTTGTATAAAGTTCAATTAAAACTTAAGGATATTCGCTGAAGAAAGTTAGTTTAAAAGGAAATCCAGGGGGAAGTCCCATCCCACTGCCGGGCTATAGATATACATGCATTGTAAATGTGAATGCGTACATTAAAAAGTAGAATGATAATATGTCCTCTTTATTTGCATAGTTTCCTCTTCGAAATAGATCTCTCTAAATACTAGTTACATGGACTTGTATTAAACAGTTTTAAAGTCACGATAATGTCAGCGAGTTGTATAAGGCGTGGTCATTTTATCACCAATTTTCTATATACGGTAGATATTCTTCAGACACTCTGACAGGTCGCTAGCCTGCTGGACATTTCAATGTCTTATTGAAAGTATTTCAGCATGAGGTAACTGGAAAACTGCATGCATGGCATTTTGCATGGATTTTCTCGCAAAGCGTGCATGAAAGAGAGCCTGCTTTTAGCAACATGAATATGCCGATTGTGGGAATGGATGCCATTTTAATGCGCGTCGCTTTTTTCTCCGAGTTTTCCGACGAAGCCGTAGATGACAACATGCTAGAAGACTCGGCTATTTGTACAACAGACCCAACACTATAACGTTTATCAATCCTGAATTGCCCGCAGTCTACTTGTGGCCACAGTTGTTAATTATTCACGCGGGTTCTATTGTGTATATGCCTGTATGTGTATATCTAATGAAACAACCCCTAAGGTAATATATCGCCCGTTAATATGCCCGTAATATCACCCAAGGGGAAGGTTTTTCTGAAACTCACCCAAACGTTATTTAGGTGAGTGTCTTTGTACTATTATCATGCAGTATATGGTGATTGTTATAAAGGTTTCTCAGTGTAGCGAGACACAGTGTATGGTTGGGCGTTTTTTACTTTCTTTTAAAAGCTATATTTTTTCTTATATGTCATTCATTTCTGGTGGCTCCCGGGTGACCGAGGGAGAATAAATTTTTAATGCGTTTTATTCAAATTATTGAATGTTAAACAAAATCTTTATTATCCTCAATCGTTTTAATGCACTGCACCAAAAACTAAACCTTCGTAGTCTCTTCACCGAATGTTGCCTGTTTAAACTTTCTTTTAAGCTGTATTTCACTTCGGTTTAGTATTTCTGTTTCCTCGGCTGTTATTCATCAGTTCCCCGAGTGTTATCATTAAAATTAACAAGTTACTGTTTATGCTTTTTCCACCAATTGGAGCGTCTTTGTGGTAATTAGGAAGCGCATTAATGCTGCGTTGATTCACACACATAAGCTTGCAACTTGGTTTATATTGCTCGCATGATTTTTTTTTAACTTTTAAAGACCTTACGGCCGTGCTCAAATGATGTGGATAGTATCCTTATGCGATTGAGCTTCGCTTGGCACGATAACTCTTAGCAAACTTGTCGAAAATGTTATAGCGTTTGTCTCAATGTGCTCTTGGGCAGAGTCGAGATAATTAAAGTTTCGTCTATCGCATGTGTTACAATTTCCAGTCCCTGTGGTGGCCCCTTGTCGCTAAATGAAATAAAGTTTAATAATGGTAAGGTTGTCGCCTTTATATATTCATATCTGTTATGTTGGCTCACCGCGTTGACGCGCTTAATATGTCGTGTATATGTGTATAAAATCAAAGTAGTACTCTGGTTTATACAAGAACCGGTTTAGCAATAATCCATGGCGTGTGTTGTTCTAACGATAGCCTTAACTAAGTGTCCTATCTAATAGAAACGATTATTTACTTTGAGAAATACAAAAGAAACAGCCCAAGAAACTAATGTATATACGTTTGATGTCCACAAACTTGCGATTAGACAGCAAGAGAAAAGTTTAAGATAGTTTGTGTCATGTCGGTGAAGGTTATCTCGTAAATTTTCGTATAGCGTGATTTATTTCGTGTAAATTAATCGGCGAATGTTTTCTACAAATTATAGTTACTTCTGAGAATTTTGCTATAATTAATTTGAGGTTGATATAAAGGAATAAACGTATATTAACGTATACGTATTATTACTTGACAAACTAACGTTTTGGCAAACCTGAAAACATCGCGTCCATTCTCCCACGGCTTCTCCCTCTCATATTCTTTTTATAGGGTATTCTGTACTCCATCCAGTTGTTCGATAAAGAGTAATTTATCCTCCTCAACTAGACCTTGCGTATATATAGCTCAGATGCATGTGCATCGTTTTAAGAAGAAATACTGAACGAAATGGTTAGAGTAACCTGAATAAGAGTAACCTGATTTGTTATTTATTGTCGAGTGCCCTGTTTACTTTATTTTAAATCCCTGGTAGTAGTGTTATGGTGGTCAATACTTTGCAAGCAATACCTTTAGAACCTAAGTTAAACGTGCTGCAAAAATTATCCATATTATCGTTAAAAAGTTGAAGTCGTAGTATCGTAAACATAATTGATTTTGTTTATGGGTGACCTGTAGTTACACACTCCCTTTTGCATTACAAATATTTCTAGAGTACAAATTAGATATAATTGTTTGTTCGAAAAACAGTAGTGTATTTTGCGGATAAAATCTATGACGATTTTCCTATCTTTGTCTTCGAAGATAGATTTAAAATAGTGACTGCCCCTTAAATGTTTCATGAAAATATTTTAAGCTCTTCAAATGAATTCAGACTTTCTTTCGATATAGGTTCGCCGCGAGTCCCTAAATGCACCTATAGGTTTTAGAATTTTGGTCTGTGTTATGTAACTGTGTTCATATTGACATTCTGTTTGAGAGGCTGGCTAATTTACCTTGTGGTCGGCCATTACTGCTTGCCGATATATTATTATGTCCAACTTTGGTAAATTTAAAGATTGTGGTTTGGTTATCTTAGCCTCCCCCGCGGTATCGTTGTCATGGTAACAGCTTGCGCACTCTGTGTGCAAGCTATTAGGCAAATCCGCAAGACTTGTGGATCCACTGTTCCGAGATATAAATTAAATTATCTCTTCTAGACACTTTTCCTCGTGTTGAAAAGCTCTGTCCCCTCGAAAACTGTTGTCCATTGAGTCTAGAATAAGGATGATCTCTTAAGAGTTAAGAATGATTAAGAATGATCGCTCTCTAAGAATGATATATCTAGCTACTATATTTACAGAGGAACTAAATTTATATATACTTAATAGCTCCATCAATTTCTAAACTGTTCTTCCTAGATATCTAGTGTAAGGATTATCTCTCATAGATCCATCCAGTGTTATACATTATATCGAATGAAACCTAAACAAATTATTCTCGTAGTTCAAGTCTACTTGTTATCCTGTTAGGCTGCGCATGGATGCATCGTATCAAAAACAATTCTTTAGGAAGATTCGTTGATATTTTCAGCGATGACTGTAGTGATGATGATAATCTTCGTTATATTCCTAGGATTCTGAGTCCCATACAAACCACATATCCGACTCGAGCAGTTTAGACGAGGACAGGGAAATGGTTCGCAGAGATTTGGGAAACCGTGGTGCGGCTTCACTTGATGCTGCTAAGGTTTGTTTTAAACTCATCGCCATCTCAGAGTTGTTTTGTCTGTCCATTCATTTTCGTGGTATTTTCTCGCATCTTCCAGCACAAGCCAGTGGCATTTGCCGTGAGAACAAACGTCAGATATGATGCTTCTGAAGAAACAGAGTGCCCTGTGCCCAATACTGCCATTTCATTCGATGTCAGAGAGTTTCTCCATGTCAAAGAAGTATGTATTATCCCAACTAACCAGAGCCACGTTCATGACTGCGATTATTCAAAAGGAATAAAGTTTTGCTTGTTGTTATTTTATTCGATATATGTTATTTTATTAGAAATTTAACGAAGATTGGTGGATAGGCAGGGTTGTAAAGGAAGGTGGTGCAGTTGGTTTTATTCCAAGGTATGTTCACGTCCTAATTATGGGGAGTTCTAAGTTCATCTTATGGATCCACTTCTGCAAATGTTATATCGTCTTCTTGTTTATCTCTGTTTTAGTCCAAGTAAATTGGAATCAATCAGACTTCTTACTTCTGTCAGTGGAAAGGGAACCAAGGGAAGCAGGTATTTCAGTCTTTGGACTTACAGGATTAACCCTTCGTTTCTTCAATTTTCCTGCTAGTTTTGATAGTTTTTGAAAACTTTAATTCAATTTTACATTTTTCCTTAGGGGTAGTGGCGGCGGGGTACAGCTTGGTGATGGATCCCCTGGGTCACCCGGAGGAATGTCATGTAAGTCTTGTGGGCTTCGATAGCGGTACCATAGTTATACAAAGTTACGACATATTAATCCAGTCTCACTACAGGAGAAAATGTGGCCTGAACTAACCTGTCTTGTTGTAGTTTCCTTTGACAAAACATTATTTTTTCTCAAGATGAGGGAGAGAATGGGATCGATTACGACGAGGAGCCACCCCCTACCCCCACTAGTCCCACCAGTCAGGGCAGTGGTCGTTCGTCTGTACCCAGAACAGGCTCTGGTACTTTACCTAATCAAAACACAGGAAAGAAGAAAGTGTTCTTCAAAAAGGTTGGTGTGAGTTCGGTTTTGACTTCAATGCTTTGCTTTGTCCCAGCCTGTCCCAAATCTGTTCTTTATTATCAATTTAGAAAATACTCAAATTTAGGTAAAAAATTCTGTGGTATTTTTTTAGCAAGAGCAGCTTGCGCCTTACGATGTTGTCCCTGTGATGAGGCCAATAGTTTTCATTGGACCTTCAATGAAAACCTATGAAGTAACGGATATGATGCAAAAGGCCTTAGTTGACTACATCAAACACAGGTTTGAGAGCAGAATCATCATCCATCGTTGTAACACCGAAATTGGAAATAAACGTGCTTCGTTACAAGGAAATGGCAAAAAACCTTTAATGGAGAAGACGAACAGCAAACAAATGCTGAGTAAGTTGCTACCTTTGTGATATGGGAACTTCTCGGAAGTTGTTAAGAGTGTCGAATATCGAACTTATATTCGCCTGGGAAATTACTTAGCAAATTAATACTGATCACGTGACAGGAACAACGCTCTTGCCAAATTAGGAAATCTTGTTTCCCTGACATTTCCAAATCGAAGGGAAAAGTCTCGCCTATTTTACCCCATATTTTCTCAACATTTTCGTTCTTTGCTTTGCTGCAGGTGAAGTTCAACAAGAAATTGATCATATTTTTGAGCTTGCCAAAAGTCTAAATCTTCTTGTCCTGGAGTGTGATACGGTCAACCATCCTTCACAGCTTGCCAAGTCAACTTTGGCTCCGATTATCATTTATTTGAAGATTGCATCGGCAAAGGTATACAGATGAAAGAAATATTTGGATTCTCTCAAATACTCTGTATTCAACCATGATTTACCATTCCCCATCACTTTTTTTAACAGTATGACAATGAACATGACAATTTCTTGAGTAAATTATCCTCTATTTATAACCAAGGTGCTTCAACGTCTCATCAAGACTCGAGGGAAATCTCAGAGTCGTCACCTTAATATTCAGCTGGTGACCGCTGAGAAACTTGCTCAATGCAACGAGGTAGATGAAATTGAAATGTTTTACTGCACACGTGTCTGTTGCATGCTCTTTAACGAACCTATCTTGTAGACAAACCTTGTTTAAATTAGAATAAAGGCAGGCTCTTTATCCTGTAATAAGAATCGTTTTTAGTTTGAAATCTCCTCCCAAACACTTATCATTTCCACTTACTTTGAGTGTTACGTCAATGAGTTAACATACCTCATGCAGTATGTTATCATTACAACATTTTTTTGTAAAATGGCAACTAAAGGCTGAGAAATCTGTTGAAACTACTCTGATTCAAAATTGATTCCAGAACACGTAATCTTAGTGCAGTGAAAACCGTTAACCATATCATTAAGAGATGCACTTCACTGCAATGATGTTTTACATCAAAGCGCGGGGCCTAAACACAACGTTTTTGTGTATTTTGTTAACAGGAGTCCTTCGACTTGATTCTTGACGAAAATCAGCTTGAGGACGCCTGCGAACATTTGGGTGATTTCCTGCAGCAATATTGGCGGGAAACACACCCTGACGTGAGCACGGTGATCGAGGAAAACCATTCGGAACCAGGCCCCTCGATGTTCAACCAGGAGCAGCAACGACCTAGTGTCTACCTATAGCCGCGCGTCTGAAGCACAATTTTGAAGCTCTAACGTAGACGCTACCTTGGTTAGCGTAGCTTTTTTACGAACGAATGAAGTTTACCTGATTGTTGTAGCCGAATATGGCTTTTTACACACCTTTCTACCCATGCTTAAAAGAAGGTGAACACTGAGGTATATTCCTCGCGTGGACTTTTCCTCGCGTGGATTCGATCCTCGTTTTGAGAGAATTGGTGTTTCCATTTCACTTTTTGCAAGGAATTGGCTTGAATATTCGCAAAAGTTAGACTGGATTAATCCTAGTCAAGAGAATGGGGAAAAAAGATAGTTTGATGCTGGCAGGTGTTGATGATATTCGGTGGAAACACAACTCGTATATAGTGCTGTGTAACCCATTGCAGGAAATATCCGCAACCAGTTCAGGGCAGCACAAGTTGTTATGTAGTGGTGATTATGTAGAAAAATGTTTTATATTGAGCACATGGAAGGGACTTATTTATATACTAATAATATTGTAAGGCAAATGTAGCTGTGTAGTATATATGCATGTGACGGGGTTTCAGAGATTGTCTTTCCAAAGTTGTTTACAAATGACAATCTGAAAGAATTTTGAGCAATTCATAAGAGCGATAACATAAGTTTAAGGTTTGGTTTCGTTCGTTTTATACTGAGTAATTTTGCAGCTTTTTTGTTCGGTAGACTATAGGCAAGTTTTGACATTATTTTTATTGTTCTGAATAGCGTAAATCTTTGCTTTGGATGGACGCGCTTTGCGAGAAACAAAAAAGCTTTTTGCGTCACAAGCAATGCTGCATGTCTGGCAGCAAAGTGTAGTTATTTACGCAGCTTATTTTAATGCATCTAGGAAAAAATTGGTTTCTTTGCAACTTTGCAAAATTTGTTGAATTTATTGTGTCATGATTTGGTAACTTACAAGGATTGTTTTGCTGTGGTAATGCCAATGAATTAATTCAGTGTCATTTGTGAATAACATGGACTTTGCTTTGGACAATTTTGATAACCATCTTACATTATATATACTGGTAGTATATCTGTTAACAAATCTAAATATGATATTATGATATGCATGGCAAATATCACCTTAATTATAACGTGAATTTCAAATTTTTACACTTGTAAAGTAAATATATTATATGTAGAAATTAGTTGGTTAGGCATTGGTTCGGATATGCCCCTGTAACTCAGTTTAATTGATTGCAAAAATGCTGGCGGAAGGCGAATGGTCTCAAGTGCATGTTCCGTCATTGCTTTGAATCAAGGATGCTTTAAACAGGACTTGCTAAGCCTGCTTGTTGGATGTGTGGGCAGGCCAAATGTCAACTTCCGTATTTAAATGCACTTTTAAAAAATATGTGCTCATGTATGTTTTACTTAACTTTATGTCTCCCCCAGTACCAAGTCTTGTATTGTAGTATTCCCGCATGCATGCATGCACGCGCGTTTCTGACACATTTGACATCTTATAGTGATGCGATTGCCCCCTTTTTGCTCAGAAAACCTCCCATGAATTCAGAATACCTCTTGTGTATTCGTTTTCATTATATGTCATATGAGGATTTGCTACTAAGGAACTGTTTGTTGGCTTCGAGAACCAGGATCTCGATAGGAGAGTTGGCGGTTTCAAAGACAAGCTACTTCAAAAATTGCTAAAAGCTTACCCACCCCCATAACAAATAAATAAATTATTACAATAGAATTTCAGGAAAAACCAAAAACGCGATTAAATATCAAAAACGGTCAACATCTTTGCAAAACGTTTTTCACCGTTCAGTGTAGGACAATATAGCTAATGCTTTCAGTTTGAGTTACAATAATTACATGTAAGATATGATCTAACGTTAACCATTTTTATTCCGTGGACAAATCTCATTGTGTGGGCTGTAACACCTGCATTTACAGCTGCTATACTAAATTTAACTTGCCAGACGGTTGTTAACAAGTCAAGTAGCATTAGGACATCGGGTCGTAGGATCGTGATGTGAGCATGTAGTGGGAGTGACTACTAGTCACGTCTCAAGATGAAAAGCGTTTGAGCTGAACTCTCTGGAGTATCTGGAGTATCTGATGAACGACAAAGGTGGTAACTAAGACTTGCAGTTCTTTTGCGTCTAGGATGTTAAAAATCTTTTTGGAATAAGGTCTATTTCAAAGACAAAGTCGTGTGCGTCATTGCCTCTGCCGGAAGATTAAATTTGTCCTGTCACAAATGGGAATTTTTATCCATTTTTCTGATGTTTTTCTTAAATTCGCAGGTCACTAGCTCGCCCCTAGAACACCTGCCGGAGGTCGAGAGTAAGACGAAGGTATAAATCTGCACTCACGTTATAGCTAAATCAACTTGTTTTCTCCCGGCTTGGAAATGGTTTTATTTTCATTTCGTATTTAGTGAAGCAAGAGTAATTTTGATAAGTGATTACTCTTTATTAACACAAAGAAAATCAAGAATAGGTTTATTTAATTGCGCAACGATTAAGCGTAATGAGCAGTGCGCAAAAGTGCGTAAAAACACGAAAGAATGGCGTCGATCATGCGACAAATCATGCAATATCTTGCTTCACTCAGTGACTGCGATATTCGGGCTTCGGCAAACTATTTCATTCGCTTCATTTGAATGCGTCAATTAATCACTCAAATTATGTGTGTTTTCTGTACATCACGTTCTGCATTTTCATGAAAATAAAAAACACGTTCCGGCTGTCGTATATGACAGGTGCACGATACGTGTAAATAATAAATTGTACTTTCCCAAAGATTTAAAAATGGTTTGTGTTAGAAAATAGCGAAAATACATGGGATTAATCTATATAGTTTAGAAATGTCTGTCAATATATAATTGAACTCTAAAACCATGCGATACCCAGCAATTAACAAACTTAGGTTTTAATACGTCACAAACCTGACGTCATTGAAACGAGATATGTCCGTATCAATGCTGCACCTTGCAAGTTTACGACATTTACAGATACTTTAAAGTTTCTTCAACCACGCTAATAATGGAAGGGCACGCGTGTTTAGTGTGTTTGCAGAACTAAAATGCACGTTTAACTACTCGAGTGAAAATATATGCTGTAATAAAAGGCTGCAGTTGCCTAGTTTTATTCAAATATTCAGAACAAAACTCATGAAAGGGAAGTCAACAAGTTATAACCGAAGCAATAATATCCGGTGTCTAAGTGCGCATGCGTTGTTGAGTATTGAACATAATTCGTTGGCATTGTGAGAAAGAAATTAGTTCCTTTGTCTGTCGTACTTCTGAGACAAATATCTTTTCGATTAGGCGTTTTTACGGCTACATAAAACACTTGGATGTCAAATTTGTGATAAGGAATTGTGATAAAATGTTTTGAGACGATTTGTTGCTGTTTTCGTGCGGTAAAGTAACTTCAAAATATGGCCGAAGGTTCTTCGGGTCTGTTGCCACAATCTGTTGATATTTTGGGTTCAGGCCATCAAGACGAAGCTAGAAACTATCCTGGCAATAATTTAGCTTTGCTTGGACGAAGGCCATTGAGTGATAGCTCAATTAAATACGAAGAAAATGCTTTTCAAATCGATTCTTCCGAAGTCAAACTGGTTCATTTCAGAGAAAGACGAAACTCGTTTGGCGATGCCGATAACTCGAGCGATGATGGATCAAAAACTTCATCTTCTAGGGGATCAATCGCTTCAACACAAACGACAGAGCAATCTAGTCGTATCAGATTAAGAAAGGGAGCAAAAACATCTTACGATTGCCACTGTCCTCAGTCACAAAAAGCCAAAAGAAAAGCAGCCAAGAAACTCTCAACTCTTCCGAAATTTAATGGAGGGCCATTTCCCGTTGTGCCAGAGAACAGCGAGTTAAAATCTCGTCCTCGAAAAAAAGATGGCTCGTTTATGAAAAGAGTAAAGAAAATATTTTGCGATTCGGCAAGCCCCACGAACTGTGATAACGAGGAACCGCGGTTTTCTGACAGCGATGCTAGCAATTTATCTAAGCCAGCAAACGACACGGAGCAGAGTCGTTCGTCCAAGAAAGAGCTTCAGAAAAAGGACCGTCATTATATATAAGTGATATTATGGCAGTCACAAACTGTTCCTATTATTGGGGCAGTATAATCGTCATGAAGCTGAGGAAGTGAGTAGCCTAGATAGGTTTTACTGTAAGAAGATATATTCATGTTTTTCTCCTTGTGTTTACATACTATACGCTTTATTGATTTTCGTGGCTTGCGGTTTCAAATTACCTTTCATGTTTTCCTGTGATTCTGTTCTACTTTGATTCTAGTTTTTTCCCTTTGTGTTGGGGTAAATAATATCGATGGCAGTTAAATTTCCATGTATTTTTATGGAGGTATTTAAAATCCCACACATTTTTTTAACACGGATCATAAACGCTATTGGCTTCGGAAAAGATTGGTTAGATATTAAATTCGTCGCGAAGCGAATTGAATATATAATATAAACTAAGACTCCTAGATAATCAAATAGCTTGAAAAATAAACCATTCGCACGACTTCAAAGATTTAAATAGATTTAATTACGGAAATTGTCAGTTCTACAAAGTTTTCATGGCAGGAATACATCTTCACATTAACTTTAATTTGCCAGCTAGACACAGCTGCTTCTCGAAAGATTTCTTATGAATTTACCGATCTGAAAAAAAAATGGTCCAACCGAAAAGACAATTCCAATTTATTACAGGAAAATTTTGGAAATTGCTACAAACATCAATAAAGTGTAACAATTATTAGCAAGAATTCTCAAATTTTTTTCAGGTGATTATTGTGTATGTAACCTTTTCATTTTTTGGCCTCAATCCAAGACAGCCTATGACAAAATCCAAACCCTAATATGGCAGTGAATTCGTTAGGGTCTCTTAAGTGTATATTGTCACGACTTTAAATATATTTGAAATGAGAAAGTTTAGGTTATATAAGAAACTATCCTTTTTTGCTCTGCCTTAAATGATGACATTAGTTCTTCCTGTCTGATTTATATCATGTGCACCTCAAGATCTGTCACTGAATCATGAACTTTTTCATGATTCAAAATTAAACTTTGGGATAATACATTCTATATTAGCATAATTTTATCAGCTCTTATTTTCTGTAACCTAAAAATTTATTTTATCCAAAATTTAGCTCCTAGTTGGTAAACCAGATGGAACGTTTCTGTTGCGGGATAGTGCACACAAGGACCATTTGTTTTCCGTAAGTTTTCGACGATACAACAAGACGCTTCATGCTCGCATTGAACAGTGGGATCATAAGTACAGTTTTGACCATGAGAGTCCGGTGGCTTATTTCTCCATTACAATTGAGGGTTTACTGTCCCATTACTCAATCGGTGAATACTGCATGTTTTTGAGCCAATGTTGGTCAAGCCCTTAATCCGGACTCAACCGCAGCCCCTTATGAGTTTGTGTCGAGGGGCAATTGGAAATTGTACAAAATACGAAGACATAGAGAAGCTGCCAATTCCTTCCTCCCTCAAAACCTACTTGCGAGAGTATAATTACTGTATCAAACCTAAATCAAAGAAAGACGATGATGGAAAACGGAAAAGGAATTCTACACTCTGTCTTTTTTGAGGACTTGGCACACCAAGAGTTAACAAAAATATCCAGGATAACCATGTATTCATATTTATTGTATTAACACTCAGTGTATGTATAAACAGAGAACATTACCTAATTAATCAGACCAAATTACCTAAATGAAATATTCTCTTAATATTTTTGAATGGTAGCAACTTACTATTCACAGAGAGCAGTGAAATACTAATTATTAGAGTATTATTCTGTTATCAAGTTTGATAACCGATCAATTACATTTTCGGAACATGTTTTTTCGAGCATTGTCAAATAGCAGTTTTTTGTTGTATTCTCTAGCCTGTAAAACAAGTATTTTTTTGTAACTATAAAGCACCAAATGCGTAGAGCTGGAGTCTGTATATCAAGAGTATTCATCAACACTATTGTTGATTGTAGAACTATGTTTCCCAAGGTCAAAGTTATCCTTGAGTACTTGTTTGTTTGAATAAAATTTCATGTTGACATTGTAAAATTCAAACATATTTTTACATACTTGACTTCGTGGAACAAAATAAGTATTTATATTACATAGGTGAACATTCAATTTGTTTGCCATAAATGATATTTTTATGTGTTTTATTGATCTTTGCTATTGTTCATACCTCAAGAGACATAATCAATTGCAACTGATGGTAATCCATTCTCAAAAGTATAAGAAACCAGCTCAAAGGAGCTCAAACCCTTGATATATTGATCAAAACTTTCACTTCTTTATCCTATTCATCAACATGTTGTTCTGCAAAAGTCATTGCCTCGTGTAGTCTTGCCCTATTACTGCATCGACTGGGTGGTCTTGAACCATCACTGGTTGTTCTTGGGCTACTATTTCTCTGCTGAGATTCTTGTGTTCCTGGTCGAGAATTGCTTCGTGAATCTGCATGCTTAAAGTAATATCCTTGATCTTCAGGCTTGGAAATAAAGCTTTTATCATTGCTTTTATAAAGATTTGATTCCTCACTGCTTTTCTCAGGTAGTTTCTTAAGTAAATCATAAACCACATCAAACTTCGTAGCGATTAATGATTCAAAGGAGCTTTGCTCCTGTATTGCAGCTGAGACCTGCTCTTCCAAATGTTTTGTGCTAACCAGTTGAGACGCAGATACAGGTCTCATGGGTGGACGAACCTTGCTTTGAGAAGATTGCGGCCGCTTTACTGGATTGCTATTGAGAACCTCAAGTCTTGGTAGAGCTTTCAAGCAATTTTGATGATCAAGTGATAGTCCATTAAAACACGGATTATTAGCAATGTTTAACTCTTTAATATTTCCACACGCCGACAAATCATTGCATATTTCCTTCAAATTATTAAATATATTCGATGAAATATCCAGAACTTCAAGTGCAGGAAATTGTTGTGGTATCTTTTTAACACCAGCTAATTTGTTATTACCAACATATAGTTGCTCCAAAGTTGTTACCGCACCAGAAATGTCTAAATTCCTAATGTCATTATGTTCGAGTCTAACGATGGTTAACGAAGGTAGGCTTTTAATACCTGCTATACTTGATATCTTATTATTACTAAGATCAAGTTCTTGCAGTTTCTTGCACCTACCAAGATCTGGAATTTTAACAAGTGAATTATTAGAGGCATAAAACTCCTCCAAATTAGGCAGGCAATTGATAAATGAAATATCTCCCAAGTCATTACTGGAAACATTCAGGAATGTTAATTTTGAGCATGCCGCAACCTCTGATACGGAAATATTTACAATCCCATTGCAATCCATGCGTAGACTTTTAAGCTTTTTTAAATTCCGAAGTCCTGTCCCAAGCTGGCAGATGCAGTTGTATTGCAGTTGTAAGGAACACAACTCTTTTAAATTGTCAAGACCACCAAGATTTTTGATCTTGTTTGAGTACAATTTAAGTTCCTTAAGTTCCACATTTTTTTGCAAGCCGGTAATATTCCTTATCTGGTTGCAGGATAAATCTAAGCACCGGAGTTTGCTAAATTTTTCAAAGTGTTCCATCTTCGTCAATTTCGACCCGTGTAAATCTATTTCAAAAACACGCTGGGGGTTCGCTTCTCCATGCATCAGAAGAGTACTTTCCATCTCCGTTTGTTCGGGGAATTCAATGCCATCTTGTGCTGAGAGAATTTCAGTATTTTTGCTTGAGAATAAGTTGCTTTTACTTCGTTTATTGTAAACAACTCTTTTAGCCGTCGCCATGTTGATTTTCATCAAACCCACTGAGCTCTATACACACGAGCCTACCACTGGAGCCCTACTAATATTCAAAATGGCGGACCAAGATGCAAGTTTGGATTCTTCTTCAATAACTTCTATTTCCGCAGACGAGGCCGCGTTATACGATCGACAAATTCGATTATGGGGTTTAGACGCTCAAAAAAGGTATGCTTCCAGTGATATATCCTTATATAATGTATTATAGCTAGTATTATAGCTAGTATAAATATACATACATGTAGTAATGTCCATTGACCATTGGGTCAATTTGGGTGCAGCACAGCATTGTTTTGTCCTACCATTTCTGTTTGAGTGTGTCATCAACAGACACCAAGTGTATATTACATTTTACTATTATATCTCAGGTTGCGTGCTTCAAAAGTTCTTCTTGTTGGTGTTAATGGACTCGGTGCTGAAATTTGTAAGAATATTGTGCTCTGTGGGGTAAAATCTTTGATGTTACTTGATGATCAAGAAGTAACAACCCAAGATTTCACAGCTCAGTTTTTGATCCCTAGAACGGATATTGGAAAAAATGTAAGAATTCCAAGGTCAAATTGGAATGGGTGGGGGGGGGGTGGGTTGGATGTGAGAGAGGGGCATGAGCAAGATACCTGTGGTTGAGAGGGTAAATTCATAGGTGGTCCAAATAAAGAAATATTCTACTTCATTGCTTAGCGTGCAGAGGCCAGCCTTCCCAGAGCACAAAGACTAAATCCAATGGTGGAAATAAAATTTGATGTCGAGCCTGTCATGAAGAAATCTAGTGAATATTTTGAACAATTTGATGTTGTCATTTTGACTGGATGTGTTCTGGAAGTTATGGTAAGAGAAAATCTGTATCAATTTTCAAGACTATTCTATTTCCCCAATTCAATTATTGCAAAATGCAATTGAAGAATGGTGAAATTAATCTACTTGGAATAAACAGTACATCATTCTGTGTTAGATTCATGTAAACTCAATTTGCCATGAGAAGAAGATCAAATTTTATGCTGGTGATGTGTTGGGGTTTTTTGGATACGCATTCTGTGATTTAGTGGAGCATAAATATGTTGAGTGAGTTAATAACTTTGGCAATTACAACTGGTACTAGGCAAGATTAATTTTCAGGCTCTCAGCCCTTCATTTTCCACTATACATGGTTTGTCGTACACTGAATCAAACCATGTTTCCTCCAGAGAGCAGAGAACATCCACTGGAATAAATCTTACTGTAAGTGATGGTCCACCTGCTGAGAAAAAACCAAAACAAGAAGAAATTGAAACCATCATTGTTGAAAAGGTACAAAAGCAATTTCTAGTCTTTCTTTAGACACTTGATAAATGATGAGGAATGTGTCCATTTTAATGCGATTTGGTCATTGCTGATCTAATCCATTCTTCTCTGTCAAGTTTTTAGAGTTCAACTCGCTAAAAGATGCTTTGGATACATCTTGGGTCAAAGATCAGAAACCAAAGGCTTTAAAAAAGATATCAATTGTTTATTTTATATTTCAAGGTGATGGCAGTTCAGGCAATACTTAAACATCTCCCATTACAATATATCCCCTAGATATATACCTCTTTCTCAGCCTGACTTTATTTATCATACTGTTTTAGTCTTACTAAAATTTCAAGAGAAGCATGGGCGAAACCCGCAAAGTTCGACTTCCAAGCAAGACCTGGATGATCTTGTTCAGATAAAAAATGAAGTTTTTGAATCTTTAGATATAAGTGATGTTCTTGTTTTAGAGAATTTTGCAAGGTTTGTAGTTCATTCTATGTTATTTAACATTAGGATTTTGAGAGTGAAAATGTATTTCTTTTTCCTGTAGTCAATGTTTAGGGACGTTAAGTCCAACAAGTGCAATTCTAGGGGGAATACTGGCACAGGATGTCATCAAGGTAAGACATAAACTGAAGCAAAATCAATCACTGCTAGCTTAGTATTAGCTGTGTATTTAGTACTTGCTATTAACTGATGTTTAGCAGGATATATACTGGAATAATTTTAGGCCCTATCAGGAAAAGATGCACCTATCAATAATTTTGTTTTCTTTGATGGACGAACTGGTGAAGGCATGGTGGAATGCATGCCAATAAGAAGTTGAGATAACAAAAGATGAGAACATATCTTTTTATATTTGTATATTTATTGTATAGATTTAGAGCACATAGTGAAGTCTGAGCAGCTCTGTTGACTATGAAATTATTGTACAGTACGAGTCTTTGTAAGAGTTCAAACACTATAATTATCAATCATTGATATTATTTTTGAAAATTTAACTTTAACTTAAATACTCCAATGCAGTCCGTGCTTTTTCCATCTCATGCAAAAATGAATAAAATTGAGGCAAAGTTAGTTCCATATACACATCTTCTTTCTTTCCTCCTTTGTCAACAACAAGTTTCAATTGTAAGAAAGAATTGCCGACAACTTTCATGTCGCTGCTAGCCGCTGTTACACCAAATTTCCATTCCATATCTACCAATGGGTTGACCATGAATGTTTGTGCCATGACAGAGCGAGATAACCCAATCAGATTTGCTTTCCATGTTTCCAAAAGATAAGGGGATTTGTCTTTTGATAAACCTTAAATTGTGGTAGGAATCAGTCAGTGAAAACCATTCAGTGAGAAATGGAGGGACAGGCAAGGTGGGGGCTGCTATGAAAGTGGGTGGAGGTAGATGCAACCATGAGAGGTGGGTGGAAGCAGAGGCCACCATGAAAAGTGGGTGGAGGATGATGCCACAATGAGAGGTGGGTGGAGGCAGAGGATACTATGAGAAGTAAGTGGAGGATGATGCCACCATGAGAGGTGGGTGGAAGCAGAGGCCACTATGAGAAATGGGTGGAGGATGATGCCACCATGAGAGGTGGGTGGAGGCAGAGGATACTATGAGAAGTGGGTGGAGGATGATGCCACCATGAGAGGTGGGTGGAGACAGAGGCCACTATGAGAAGTGGGTGGAGGCAGGGGCTACTGAGGAGTCGGTAAGGGCAGGGGTCTGTATAAGGCTGGGGAGTGGGGAGCTTTTAAGAAAAAGCAGATTACCTAAGTTTTCCATATCCTCTTGAACAAACTGTGGCGAAAGGTTTTGTTTCGCAGCGCTTTTGAAGAATGTCAATAATGTTCTGGTGATATTTTTCAACGGGTTCAGACTTGCTCCAAGTTCCTGCGCAAACGACTCGAGATCGGACAGAAATTGCTCGGCATTTGTGGATCCTATAAGGAACTGAAGAACTTGATCTACAAACTTCTTAAATCCATCTTCACTAAACTTATTCAAAGCTTTTACATCGCTGAACATTTGATTTCCAGGTCTCTCTTTGGTAAAGTGAAAAGTCAAATCTGGAGCAGACGAAGCCATTTTTTCAATAACAAAATAATCCCCCTAATCCCATTCTGTTCACAAAAACTCATATATATATCCCCATTTATTCTTATACCTCCCATTTTGTAGTTTAGTATCCATATTTATTCATACTTAACCCATAATGTACTCTAGTGTGGCCTATAGTTTCCTTATGTACATTAAAATACCCATATGTTCGATTATGACCGCAAATATCCCTAAACCTAGGACCCAAGCCTATAATTGAATGACACGATCTCACAATAAAAATAGTAGAAATCATTAGAAAAAATTTCGGAAAGGTTTTGGTTAGCAAAACGTGCGAGATTTTTTAAAGAAATACAATGGTTCTCGTGGAGAATGATGCAGTAAGTTCCCTGTGTTTTCATTATGTTCATATATTAATTTCTAACTTTGACTAACCTCTACTATAATACAGCAATTCATATATTTGTTTTATGACTTTTAGTTTTTAACTCAACTCACGCATCTTTATAACAAAACCAGGACGTCTGGAACTGTTTGGGTCACAATGAAAGCATGTAAGTTTCGTTTATATAAGTAGAGTTATGGACGTATGGGTTTCATCTTTTATTTCTCTCACAATCCCATAGTTAGAATTGTCCTAAACCACTATAGCCTGGCTTAGTTCTAGCCCAGTTTGCTTTGCTATGAATTGTTTACACTCATGTTGTAAACAGGCCAAGAAGTGGTCTGCATATCACAACCATCTTGTAAACTAACAAAGCTGGCAACCAGAAGGACATTTGTACAATTTGTGGTTTCTCGAATGCAGTCCATGGCCTCTCGAATGCAGTCCATATTTTACCTGTGTCTTTCTCCAATTTAACATGGAATGTTTCACTAGATCACGGTAGAACAAAGCCAATACCAAGAGGAAAGAAGAAAGATAAAAGTGCTTTACTAGAAATGGAGGGAAGCGAGAGTAAATGTCTTATAAGAGCAACAAATGGGAAAAAGAAAATAAGTACAGTGGTAAGCAAACTAGTGTATTGTCATATATTTGTTAAGTATTAGCAGTGAACTATTCTGATAACAATTGTTTGATTTTTTATATAGATTAATTCAAAAGATGTCAATAGATTTCAACAGGTAATAATGAGCATATTATTGTGTAAATGTGATCAGTGATCACATCCATTCACGGGATAACTATTTAATAATTTATCATTGTTGTGGTTGACCATAGCAGACCATGAAAACTACCATTGGCACCTTTGTGCACATATGAACCATGGAAAGATATTTATTGCATGTGTAAAAGTGTCCAAGGACAGCTATCTTGCTAGCAAGTATCGTACAGTAAATTCACTAACATTTTTGGGTTCTTTACAGGCATATACAAGCGTACTAAAAGGTTGTCTTGATAACTTGAAAAAACGAGAAAGAAAAACAGCGAAAAGCAAGAAAGCCAAGGCCACACAATAAAATAAATTAGAAGATAAATTAGGCTTATTGTCCATCCTAAGGTGTAGAGAATGTGTTATACAACTTATACCCACCTAATAAATCAAGCTCTGATTTTGAAAGTGTGAAGATTAGAGCGGGCTTGTAAGTTATAACTAGTTAGGTAAGAGAATATGACTTCAACTGAACCACTTTGGTTAATAAATTATACAAAAATGTCTGTCAAATATATTAGCTATTTGAGTTTTCCCCAAAGTGTCAGGTGAAGACAAAAAAATGTAAATAAAATTTTGTTGTGGTGAATTAATTTTGTATGGTATTCATCACTGATTGTGATAGCAAGTTTTGGGTAAATTATTGTCTTATATTATTTAATATTTGACAGGAACATTGTAGTAGGTAGTTGAGTATACAAATCAATAAATTTTTAAGTAATTTTCTTTATCACTTTTATGACTTTGATTATTTCGTCTTGATACTTTGGATGGAGTTTTTCCTTTTGAACCTAAGAAATAAAGGTTGAGAAATATGTTATTTCTTATTTTGATATGTTGATATTTTGTCTTATGTTGGAGTGAGTGAAAGTGAATCATATTGCTTGAGAGCTTAGTATCTACATTAGAATAAATAGAAAGGATGTGACTCATGTGAGGGGAACACTAAAAGGATGAATATACCAAACCACTAACTTCAAAGGTACTGTAACCATTCTCCCTCATAACATCTACAAATGCGGTTTCACCCTTCCGATTTCTTCCCATAGAGACAAACATGACTCCATCCTCAGCAAGTAACTGCAATGCACTGTAAGCAAGTAGTTTTGAGTCAGACTCATCATACAGCACCTCGGCTGCAACAATGATGTTGAACTTTCCATGTGGCTTCATTAAAGCTTTCGTATCTTCACCCCAAGTGTATGACATGACCAGAATACTGTCTTTCTTTAAATCACAGCTGTGTTTATCCACATTTATCTTTAGTGTTGGCAGGCAAACATCCATGTCAGTCAACAGAACATATTTCGCACCCATATATGAAAGTGCAAGGCCTACAAGCCCACAGCCTGCTCCGAGTTCTAGCACAGTAGAATTTCTGAGATGTTCGATCAATTGAGAGTCATTTTCAAACATTTTAGCAAGAGCGATGCTGCCATCCCAAACTGTACAGCCTAGTCCTTTGTAATTTTGTTCCAAACTTAGCTGGCTAGTAGGCTCAGAAATACCATTCTCTATGGTTATTTTAAATGGCCTCTCAAACTTGTCCTTATTTGTTTTGTATTCTTGTCTTATCCAAGAACTTGGTTGATTTTGCATTGCACTTAAAATATCTTAATATTTATACCATATACTATAATAATTTAGATCAATATTGAACCTGATATATTGATGGAAGTTTATGGTCATTAATAGTAAAACTAAGATTTCCTATTGAATAGATTATGCATATGGTAGTGGAAAGTATGGTGGATAGCACCACTTCAAAGGACTAAAAAATGAGCAGAACTGTTCAAAGGGCTGGAAAATATTGTTATAAAATAACTTAATAGATTAGGGAGAACATCAACAGTATTACTTCCCAATCAATCAATCAGTATCTGTACTTCACAGTGGTGTATCTACATCTAACTTTTCCTTAATTTATGGAAGTAAATGGAAGCGTTTCGCTTCTCTTCCGGATGTGAAAGGGAAGAAAGGGAAAGTCAAAATGGCGGAAAATTCAAAACGAAACAGAAACGAAAAAAATTGAGGCTTAGTTTGACGTTGTCCTGGATCAACCTGACGTTTACAACAAGACAAAAAAATACCATCATATCTTCTGTAAGTTAGATTATATATTTACTAACAAAGAAAACAAAATTGTACAATATATTTTCAAATTTATTATCTTCATTGTGTAATACCGGATGTAAATTTGTAAACGCCATGTTGCATTTTTTTCCAAGAACGGAAATTCTTGTGAGGAATATACTTTCGGTTTCGTTATATTGCCTAACGACAGTTTGTTTGAATTCAAATATATCAGCAAACGGCGTAACGACATTGAGCGGGAACATCTTCTAAATTTCTAAAAGGACATACAAATGTACAAGGTTATTCTGCAGAATATCTTGTCCTCAGTACGTGCCATTTTAAAGTAATTTTGACTTGTATTGTATAGTATTGTTTGGTCAAATTGTGCAAGAAGATATTGCAAACTATCCATTTCTGAGTCTGAAAACAGTTTGCTTAAAAATAGTCTAAGAAAGATGAGTTTCACCTTGTACATGTTTGAAAGTGATTACAAAGGAATCACAGATTTTGTTTTGGGATACACGAACATCGAAACAGGAGGTGATCTTTTTGGTTTGTGGAAAGCCAATGGTGATCCGGTTGTTCAATTGATTATAGGACCAGGACAGAAATCAAGACGTACCTCAGTGTCATTTCATCAAGATACAGACTACCTCGCCAGAGTTGGTACATATGTTAATACCAATTTTATGCTTTGCCACATTGGCAGTTGGCATTCACATCACCAGTTGAGTCTGAAGCAACCAAGTGCAGGAGATAGGAGCACAGTCTGCAATAATTTTCCACAGGGTCTTAAAAGGTACATCATGATTATTGCAAACATAACGAGAGACCGACATAGGCCGGTTGCTATTCACCCTTTCATGTTTACCAACGGTGGACATGTTTGTAAAGAAGGAAGTGTTAAACTTATTCGTGAGCAAAATCCATTCCTTGAGTATGGTTATGTATTACATTGTATTGACCAGGGAAAAGAACGCCCAGTAGCAACCAGCAATGCATATTCTTCTGCTGCACCAGCCGGATACCACAATCGACCATCAACACAATCGAAACTTGGAGTTGATTCAAAACAACATCAATCTCAGCATGATAACAGAATCTATACGAAACATCAAAACTTCTTTTCAACAGATGACGATAGCGCTGGCCGTCATTCACCAATGGACATTGACCCACCAATGGACACTGACCCAGAAATGGATACTGACCAGCCTCACAACCATTACATTACCAGACAGCAACAAACCAATCACTCACAGTATCATGACAAAAATTCAAAGCAATTGGACAACTCAGAAACTAAGCAGTGGTACGAGACTGAGAAAGGTGGGGCTATAGTCAAAGAAATCCATGAAGAAGTAACCAACAAAATGGCCAGCAATATTGATTATCACCGTGATGCAAATACCAAAGATCTTACCATGAAATTCCATCATGCTCACAAAAGCTGGAGTGTATTGTTTCCGAAATCATTTGCCAACAAGCCTGCTGTAATTACAAATGAAACTAGTGGAAAATCAATGTCATCTAAAAGTATACTCCAAGATGTCAGAGAAATGTGTCACTGTGTGGAATGTGGAACAATACCTCGTAATAATGATCCTCGTTCTCCTTTATTACCACACCCTTCTTCCTCCAGACGAGATCCCTCCCCCTCTAAACGAGATCCCTCCATCTCCAGACGAGATCCCTCCCCCTCCAGACGAGATACCTCTCCCTCTAAACGATATCCCTCTCCCCCTAAACGATATCCCTCCCCCTCCAAACAAGATTCGTCACCCTCCAGACGAGATCCCTCCCCCTCCAGACGAGATCCCTCCCCCTCTAAAGGATATCCCTCCCCCTCTAAACAAGAAACCTCACCCTTTAAAAGAGATTTCTCTTCCACAACCTATCATTCTCCACCTTCCACTCCTACAAAACAAGACCGTCACTCTGATCGACACAGACCTTACCCAACTAAGTCGGCTTCAAGGCCTCGGACTGGAAGAAAAGGCCAAGATCCATCCCAACCTTGGTATAACACAGCATCTGGTAAAGCCATTCTAGACAAGATAAAAACTGAACTTTCTGCATATTTAAGATCCACCACCTGTTCTGGCAGAGTTAAAACTCAAGACACAGATGTTTCAAAGAAACTTTCTTTCTATCATTCCTCCCAAGACTGGGTTGTTGAATTTTTTAATAACCCCTATAAAGAAGTGAAAGTGACGTTTCATGGAAATAAAACAAAGACATTAATACCTCCATATGATGTTGTGAGTGTACTGAAGAATAATTGTCTATGCCCAGAATGTCGGCCAAGAAAACGAAGCCCAAGCGCTGGTAGAAGGCAAACGTCAACATCACGGCATGCGAGAATCAACCAACCCTCTCCAACCAGAGTCTCATCCACGCCCAGTCCGACATTTTTTGCAAGCGGAAAAGGCGAAAAACAATTTCAGAAAATCTACACGGGTATTGAAACCCTGAGTGAGAAAGATGTTGACATTCAGAGACTTATCGATTCCAGGAAAATCGAGGTCAAGTTTGAACACAACCGCAGAAAATGGAAAGTGATCTTTCCCTTCAAGTTTCCTGAAGAGGCAGCAGTTGTTCAGCAGCAGTCCACGCGTGTGTACTCACGTCAAAATGTAAATCACTTTATTCCTGTTGAAAAAGGTGACGTTCTTCGTGCAATCAGAAAAGATTGCGGCTGTCGATCTTGTAAAAGATATCAATATTGATTCCTCAGTAATCTATATATATACTGGATGCGTACGTTGAGTTCTTGTAAACATACATTGGAAGTAATTTTTTTATAAAACGTCCGGGTTATTTTAATGAAACTGGTGGTGCTGCCAAGTCACGATTGTTATTCGAATTAACACCATTTGTAATTAGTATGTATCAATTGGTTGTAACAACTTAATTCGGTAAATAATGTATGCTAAAAATGATCTTTTTTCTACTTTATCAATCTTCATAGAACTTCACTATAATATCCACTTAGTTGATCATGTGTGTAAATATTTTTAGCAGTAAAATGTTTTTTATTTTCTATTCTCTAAATGTTGAAATATTATAATGATTTTATCGTGCATCACTTTTATATTAGAATCCAATTTATTCAAAGAGTTTCGCCGTGAGTCTTACCGAGTACTCTGCCGTCTTCAGTTTCACCAGAATTATAAATGTTTTGACCAATGAAGTCCAGTCTAGTCCCTGCTAGGCGATGAGAGCAGTTTAAACTAATCAGCTTATGCTTGCGAAGCTAGCGTTGACCCTATTTATATTTCGCGCAGTGAGCATGCATGACCAAGCTAGTGAAGGCAAAATATTAAACGTTGCCACCCTGATATGATTCCACTACCGTGACATCACTCGGCACAAGACTACATTCTGAAATATCGAATCTTCTTCGTTCTTCACAAGCAACGAAACATTGTCAACTGTCAAACGAAGCTATAGGATATACTACTACACAGCCGTCATCTTTGGTTTTCTACACACCGATGTAATGGACATTTCTCCTCGATTTCTGTGGATCTTTCACCCGTTTCTGTTCAATGATGTTCAGTGATTTTGTTTGGGTTTTCTTCACGCAGTCTAAGCAGTGACCAATGTTGCGTAAAAATGGCAGAATTTTCAGTTTCCTTTGCACTGGGATGTTATTATTTTCATGGTTTAACGGAGTCTTAGGTACACGACGAAGTAGAAATATTTTTAGGCTTTTCCTTTTACGAAATAACGGAATATTTCTGAAGTATCTTGCTCATTTATAAGTTTAGAGTATATTATTAAATACTGACTATTCGATTGTTTGTCATCCCCCCTTTATACCTGTCTTAAGTACACAAGATGCTTCTAGTGATATATTCCGTTATATCTTGCAACTGAAGAGTGTATTGTATAGATTATGATCTTACTCTGCCATTTGGTTTAACGCATTGCTGTATCATAATCATTGTGGGTCAGTGTGACACAGGTTTTCACTGTATACATCGCCCTTGCTTCAAACATACTCGATACAATGATAAATGCCAACGTTGTGTGAAATGGAAGCGATGTTTGCCTTTTAAAAAAGACCAAGAAAGGCGCGCTCAATACTTTTATATGCATTTGAAAACCGCAGAGGTTGAGATGAAAACTTTCCAACTATTTTCTGTTTGGAAGCCATGAATTATAGTCAACAGCGTTCAGTCTAACTTAACGCATGCATGATTTTAAAACACGAGAGTTAATTTCGAGGCTAATTTTTTTCATCAATCATTTTCTTCTGAAGGTCAAAATACGCGGTTCTCTGAGAAGGATTTCCGAAGAAAGTTTTCAGAGAATGGGTCAAGGAAGCAAGGGATTTCTACGGATAAAAAGTCGCTTTTCAAAAAGAGGACGAATGAGTTTCACCATAGACAGAACGTTGATGGAAATCCTCAAGATAAAGCCAAGCAGGAATCAAGAAATCTATTATCAAAAGCTGCAAGCAAAACGCATGTAAAACGATATCATTTACAGCAAAGTATTCCAGTATTCCTCCCGTCATTACCAGACGGTATATCAAGAGATATCTCACTTAGCAGGAGATATAAACCAAGAAATTACAATTCGAAACCTCTCAAGAAGATACCACGAAGAACTGACAAACTGCAGCAAAATGTTCCTTTATTTCTTCCATCCACGCAGGATGATATCTCAAAGGAAATCACACTCCGAGGTCCTAATATGGGTTTACCATCGTCGGCTTTTCAAACGGATAGCAAAACTCGCCCGCCTGAAACTTGTCAACACCGGACAATCTTACGGAATGTGCGTCTGAAACACGGGAGGAAGTTGGCGACGTTTGAATTACGTGGTCGTGTTGGAACTATGGGTAAATGTTTGGAAAAATGTTGCAGAAGGCGTTGGTGTGATCTAGCATTCAAAGTTGGCGGGTATTGTTACTCCGTTCACTGCCCCACTGACGAGGCTTGTGAGCCTGCGAGCGCTCAGGATTCCGGGACGCCTTCGGATTACGTGCTGTTAGAAAGGCCACGGGATTTGAACTATAGTAAGTAATTATTGAGATAACCATTGTTTGATGCAATTTGCAATACCAACATCGTAATTTGCAGGTTTGAAATTGTATTTATGATAATCTTCTTCGATTTTAGAAAGAAATTTAATCCCAGGCGCAGTAGGACAAGGTAACCTGGTTATTTTGTTAAAATATTTATATGTTTTCATACAGTTGCTAATTTTGATGAGATATGAGTGCGTTTGAATGGTTTAATTTCTAATAGCCTCAAGATATCTTCTTATGCAAAAGGTCACTTTCTTCAAAGCGCTTGTTCATTTAATGCACGCCGGCAGAGGTCTTACGTTTATTTCTAGATTCGGGAAGTCAAGAATTCATGTTTTACCATGCTAATAACACCTACAGTGACAAAAAGAAATGATTTTTTCACAGGGGGAAAGATTCTAACAGTTCAACTTAACATCACCAATGAAAAATGGAGAGCACCTTTGGCCGACCCCGAATCACTGGAATTTTTGAACGTCGCTGAACGTGTTGAAAATGCTGTACGTTATTCAATTCAGCCTTCCTCGATGTGTTCACCTAAAACACCATCTTCTCTTTATTCACTTTACTTAAATCACGACTAATATGTTACGTGTTGTATTCTCCCCATCTCAGGTGTCGATTCTTCTCAAAACTGTTGTCGGTTTCAAAAGTTGCGAGGTCGCCAGTTTTCGGTACGAGTTCTTTGCACTATTTAGTGTCATAATTTAATCCTATCTTGCATTATTCTCATACAATTTATACATTCTGTCATCCAATGTTTAGTCCAAGTCCTCTGATAGCAAACGTGACGCTGAAAATATTAAATTCGAGCCACGCCAACGAGACAGGTTCTTTCTTGTTGAAAGCTGTCGTGGCAGGGAAGATGGATTCCACCCTGGAAGACGCTAGTGAACATTTTAAACTATCTCAGGATGGTTTTGAATTAAAGTCATCGCAAGGTGAGTCATCCATCATTCATTCACTCTAAATGAAAACTGTTAAAAGAACTGCGTTCAAATTTATCTTTCTGGAATTTGGAATATACTTGAAAGAGAAAGAATCTTTCATCCGAGGTGTGATCAACGATACTTGTACAGGAGCGAGTATTGTGTTCATTACTAATTTTCAAACTTATTCGTTATAGGAAAAAGCTTGGTTTGTCATTCTGAAATTAATTATCAAGTTATTTGGAGTTTGAAGATATATGGTGAATCTGATATCCAGCCTTGTCCACGGGGCGCCCAGGGTAAGAATACCGTTTATCTTCATGAGCTAAGGAGTCTTATAATTTTTGTTCTCTATGATCCATTAAATCCTGGCTGTTATTTGAATTACAGGCGAATGTTCACGGCTTTGTTTGGGAAGTGAGACTGAGACAGCGTCATGGGATGTGCCAAATTTCAGTGGCTGTACTTCGATTGAGTTTAGGAACTTGCACGAAAAGGTAGGATCGGCCGTTAATAAAAATCGAGGCTAGCGATCTATTCAATTATCAGTTCAAATATGCAGAGACGGACAGGCTGCGAAGACTCTCGAGAAAGATGGAAATTTGAGCCCCCACCACAAACATGGATCGCTCATTTTAAAGGATTCCTGTTTTCTGGCTAACCTAAAAACCGAATCATCCTTCTTTTAGGCAAAGCAGCTCAAGAGCGAGGCACAAGCAAAGCTACCTTTGGATCAGATCGAAACTAAGCTCGGTATTAAACATACTGAAGTTCTTAAAAAGCTTCAGAAACTGACATATCATCACACGTTCCGTGAACAAATTATGAAGCAAGAAGATACAAACAAGACGAACAAGACTAATTACCAAACGTTTCGAGATTCACACAAGATTAATAAACTCTATAATACTACAACGATGAAAACAAACCAGCAAAGAGAACCGTTCAAACCTCAACCGAGACCTCAAGAACTGTTATCTTTGACCAATCAACTGTTAAATATCAAGAAGCAGCCAGGAGAGAAAGTTGGAATGGACAAGAAAGGAAGGAAGATGCAAAATGAAATTAATCGCACTTTGTCGATTGTGGATAAAATCGGCCTCTTGCAACCCAATGCCTCTCTTCATGGTTCTGAACCAGCCCGACCCGGCAGTTATCATATCTTAAACCACACTGATCCTGGTCCAGTTCACCACCCTTCTGACACGAACAACGCTTCATCCCTGGTACCGCACGAACCAAGCTCAGTACAGCACGAATCTGGCGCAGCACAGCACGAACTTAGCCCAGCACAGCACGAACCTGGGCCAGTACAGCACAGACCTGGTCCAACCCAACACGGACCTGGTCCAGTACAGCAGACACCTAGTCCACTAAAGCACGAACCTGGTCCAGTGCAGCACGAACCTGGTCCAGTGCAGCACGAACCTGGTCCAACACAACACGAGACTCACCCACCTCCGCACGCAATTCCTCCACGTTCGAACAAAACTCGCTTACCAATCATTGATCCTATTGAACGTCAACGCGATCCTCAGCCAATCGTAGAGAAAGGTCAAAACCGAAACGATGTCTCTGTGTCCGTGAGCGTGTCTGGTGAGTTCGGCGAACCAGCTGAAAATGAAACCGATCTTTCTGGCGTGTTCTTAAAAAGCGGAACGGACAATATACGAAGTCGTATACCTGCCTCGAGGGGTTTTAAAACTCAGAGTAGTCATTCACTTGTGCAGGGACCCACTTCCATTAGCAAGAACATTGCCCAGAGGGGCAATCTTCCGAGATCAAGTCCTCGTGGTGTTAATGATCCCATAGTGTCAAAACACCGGGGTTCCAAGACCGTATCTAATGCCTTGTTAAAGTGGCTGAATGCAGGACTGAAGAAATATGATACTCATTTAAACTCTTTCAGGCAGAAAACAAGGCTTCGTTCTCCATTGTCGAGCTCCCATTCCACACAGGAGTATAATACGCCTTTAAAAGCCCCAAAGAGAGTTGAGATGCCTCACCCACGAACGTCGCTGGATAGCCAAAGTAATCCAACTCATGCATTCTTCAAGCGCTCCTTTATACTGAGGCCAGAGTCAGGGGAACGAGTGAGGGTAAGACGACAAACTGAGGAATGGAATCAAGCTCACAATTACTACACTACATCAGTTTATGACAATGATCCTAGACACGATAATCCTTCAAACAGATATTCCTCTCATACGGATCCTTCAGACGAAGACCAAATGAAAAATAAAATTAGATATCCTTCAGCAAGTATTGAGGAAAAGCCTTCTGATGGTGATGCACAGAAGAGAGGAGCAAATGCAATGAAAGGCAGCGTTTCACCTGTGATCAATAAAAATGCGTATTTCACAGGAATTAATGTAAACTCCCAGCCAGAAGAAATGAAGAGTAGCGAAACTAATCCAATGCCTGGTCATTCTTCATCATCACTTGCAGCAGGATCGTCACTTGATCGTCCAGATGTTCCTGCCCCATCGTCTTCATCAAAGTCATCAAGGGAGTCAAATCCTTCACCCGCATCCCCACGTTTATCATCTTATGAAGATAACCCTCCCCCTCGTCCACTTTCACCTCTGCCATCATTACAGCCGCATGATTCTCAAACCCCAAAACCTCCTGTCACTCCTCCATTTCCATCCTTTGACAATCCCCCACATCGTCCTTTATCCCCACCTCCTGCCTTACCGAGGCCACCCTCTGTGTATTCATCGTTTAGAAACCCACCAAGTAGTTCACCAATCTCGTCACCTCCACCATCCTCTGATACTCACACCTCCTCTCCGTTACAATCCAACCCTGCCCCCGCATCCCCTTCACATTCGCCAGAACCTCCAAGCTCTCCTGCCACAACCCCTCCTGCATCACCTCCGTCATATTACCCTGCATCCCCCTCTCATCCTCGCCCACCGTATCCTGCACCTTACCCTGCACCTTATCCTGCACCACCTCCACCCTATCCTGCACCTTATCCTGCACCACCTCCACCCTATCCTGCACCTTATCCTGCACCACCTCCACCCTATCCTGCACCTTATCCTGCACCACCTCCACCCTATCCTGCACCACCCCGACCCAATCCTGCACCACCTCCACCTTATCCTTCACCACCCCCAGCTTATCCTTCACCTTATCCTGCACCCCGACCTTATTCTCCACCCCCACCTCCTCCAACACCGTCTCCCCCTCCCTCGCCATACAACCCCACAACCTCACCCAATGATATCCAGCCGCAAAACAATTCATCTCCTTATATAACAGAGTCGAACCCTAAATCAACGTATGATTCATATTTCTCGTCTTCCTCGCAAGGAAACAATTCAGCTGATAACTCACCCAGTTCTACCTACCAAACATCCACCTACCAAAATGATAACCCACAAAACAACTCATCACCTAACCCAACAGCGTCGAGCCCTAACCCAACCTATGGCACCGCACCTAATACATACCCTCAACCGCCAGCTTACTATACTTCAGCACCCTCTTCCCAAGGTGGCAACTCGCCATACAATTTATCTTCCACTCTCAACGCCCTGAACTCCAACCCAACCGATGATTCACACCTAAATACAACGAACACAGCTAGCAACGAATACTCCAGTGACAAAAATGACTCCAGTTATTCAACTGGTAATGATTATAGCATAAAAAATGTCGACGATTCACTGAACAACTTCTCGTTGAACTATTCAGATCATAAGCTAATATCGGACTATAATATGACCACGCAACCTTTGGACACCAACGTAACCGGCGCAAATCAAGATTATAACAATATTTACAGCAAGGACTACAACTTGACTTTTCAAAATATAGCAGATAATTTGCCAACGGATTCACCTACATCAACCAGCACTGCTTCCACAAAAACCAGCGATATCTCGTCACAAAACAATTTATATAACGACCTTGGTAACTCCCAGGTAGTCGTCGGTTTCACAAACCAAAGTTCGCTACAACCAAACCTTAATCGCAGCACGAGTGACGTACAAGAGTTGGGCTCAATTGTCTATGGCGGCCAGAAGCCACGACTGACAATCAAAGACATGGAAAAGAGAATTCAGGAATTCTCTAGCGGTTACAACGATAAACAAGCGACCGGAAATAAGAAAACTTTAGTAGAAACGGATGGAGAACGTGATGATATAAAGGTTAAAGGGAAACATCTTGCTCCCATGTTTGGTGGTGACCTGTTGCTTGCCGCTGACACTGTTACACATTTAGCAAAGTTTAATGACTTCATAAGACCACCAATGAAAGTAGAAGATGTGAAGGTAGGGTGTTTTAATTGTGTACATAGCTTTATGTTAAAGTCTTTATGCCAGTTTACTCGATCTAAGGTCTCGTGTATCGTGTTTTTGTTAGGATTTTCTGAAGTCTTGTAGTAATATTTTGGATTTGATGAATTCACGAGAGTGGAAGAACGCGCAAAGGGTATTATGATTTATCTAACGCTATCATCTTTAGGCAGTTCAGTGGCGAAGTTCTCACACAACTTTACCGTGTTTCTTTAGCATGTGACGAAATTGAGAAAATTTGGAGTGAATATCATGAATGATGGCAACGCCGTGGACTGGGAACAAGCCTCAAGAAGAGATCTTGCAGTATGTTATTAAGTATCCTTTCATTGACATTTGATGAGAAGAGAGAGCTTAGTGGCTTAGTCATTTATCTAACGTGCACCCTTTTAGGGAAAAACCAGCAGTTCTTCAACACTGTATGAAATGGTGGAGGCAATTGAAGGGTTTGGCTTATCTGCGTCTTATCAGGTGAAGAAACCCACAAAGGGACCAATCTTTACTAAGAATATCTGTAAGTATATATCTTCATTTTATATTTGTTTATAATACATAATGGATGTAGATTGAGAGACAGGTTTATTTATTCTGGATAGCTCTATAGCTCTAGCTTTAAATGTCCAGTAAGGAACATCTATTATAACTTCAAGAAGATCAACTCTATTGATACTAAACCGTCCTCATGAAGCCCATGCAGTGAAGTTAATCACCTTTTTGAAATTGATTTAGTGATGGAGTTCAAAACAGTTCAATCAGACATTCAAGAACCATCACCAGACATTGTGTTTCCAAACCTCTCTGATCCTCGTGTCCGCAAGTGGTCAAAGCAAGCTAACGTTATAACACTCTCGCCAGCAGCGATGGATGAAGTCGCTCAAGGCACCAATGTCGAGGCTCACGTTTCTGGCGTTCTTTTCAAAACTGTTGGAAATCTGAGTATCCCAGTCGTAGAAGGTCAAGGGTGGGTGATTTCATTGATGTATTTACCAAGAGTTTCTATAGAGTGTCCGTTCAGGTAGTTTGTCGTTACATTTTACAATAACGTTTTTGTCTTTACTAGAAATGAGACGGTCGAAAGTGGAAACTTAATGTCATTGTCAGTATTTCCAAGAATCACCGGCGATCTGGATCCTCCAATACGAATTGCTCTTGCTCATTTGAGTGTAAGATTATATATTTTCGATTAATTTCTAGTGATGGTCTAAGGATGGCGGTGAAGATTGATGTAACAACTATGTTGAAGATAATGATAGTAATCTAAAGAATCTTTGTTTCAATTTTTGTAGCCTGCGATGAGTAACTTCAAGCAGGACTGTGTATTTTTAAATGCCAGTGCGAGGTAAGTTCCATGCGCAAGATGTATTTAACTCCCAGATACATTGTGGAATGTTTGAAATGTTTGCACAACAAGTGTTTTGTAGTAGAAGGTAATCATAGTAATAATAGCCCCAGGTCTACTTCTGGTAATTATTCTTGCTTCATTTGTCTAGCGACGGTGAAATGTGGTCAAACCAAGGATGCAAAGTCGCTGGTGTGAATGAAACTCACACCATATGTGAATGCAACCACATGAGTAGCTTCAGTTTGTTGGTTGATAAAAGTCAACCTAACGTAAGTTCTAATTAACTTACAATTGTTCTAAATGACGTGTAATTGTTCTAATTAGATCGAATATACAGATATATGATACGATATTCGACCGGGGTGATAAAAAAGATGTTGAATATATAGGGTATATGGTAATGGTATACTCGACCAGGGTAGTACTAGGGAGTGTGATAGAAGATTCCTCTGATATCAGCTGAAATTATTGTTTTTTTCTTCCAGGATTTCATTATGAAGGCGGCGCCCATACCTCCTAAAGGGGGTGGTGGTGGCAGTGGTGGAGGAGGAACCTCATCCAGTGGATTCATTTACATTATTTTGTTGTTTTTACTTATTGTGGCTTTAATAATCATCATCATATTTGCAGTATGGAGGTATAGTAATAATATAGCATTGACACTAATTCACTAGTTATTGTCCATTACTGAAAACCTCATTTGTTTACAGAAAACGAAAAGGAAAAAGCAGCGATGAAAAAGAATCCGACCAGGCTAAATCAGGTTACTAAGATAATGATTTATTGCTATACCATGACTGCTAAGACTAGTGATGGCTGTACAATGGTTATTATATTATTAAGTATCTGTCATTTCGGATCAGGCTGTGTAATGATTTAAATATACTCTTATCTTGAAGATAAAGGTGGTGACGAAAGCAAAGCCGGTGCTTCTGGAACTGCCACCGAGGTAAACTGTCAATGCTTTGAAGAATTCATATTATTCATATCCTTTGTTAACTTTTTTCCTTATTTTCGATCCGTAGGATGCTGCTGCTCAATCCGGTCGATCAACTTCATCTGGCGATAAGAAAAAACGGAAAAAAGGCGAGGTAATATGATATGCATCGACTAAACAACTCTTGACCACAATACGCACTGTACTGTTACACAATGGCGATCAGGAACACCTTTGCATCTAGGCATAGTTTAGACGGAGATTGGGTTTGTTAGGGTGAGAACGTGGGCATGCTTGACCAAGATTTTTGGCTAAAAACCTCTGCTCTTTTTGTTCTAAACAGCGACGGAAGGAAGGTCGAAAGAAAAGAAAACCGCAGACACTGGACAAAGATGCCATTGAAGAGGAAAATCAGCAAAAAGATGAACATAAAGTGAGTTGACTTTCACTGTATTTCCATGTCGTAAGATATTTTCTCTGCTATTATTATGTTCCCTAAACTTACAAGAAAGAACATTTTGCGATGAGGCGAAAGTTTGCCGCGTAAATAAACATAACCAAATTTCTAAAACATAAATGATGAATCAAATTAAATAAACCCTAAATGCATTTTAAATCTTTTAAATCTTAAAGACCGCAGACAGACGAGCTTCAAGGAGGCAACAACAACAGCGAGAGCGCGAGGAATCGCTTCTAATGAAAGAAAAGGCAATGATCTTTTCAGATTATCGTCAACCTTACAACTTCCTCGCACACGAGGAGGCGGCCCCTGACCCAGTGGATGCCTCTACCCCTCTCCCCGCAACATCAAAAGCTGACTCTTATCCACGCCGTCACAAGAGACCTACCTCGTTTCACGATCGTGAAATGGGTCAACCTGGGTTTAATTTAAGGAAACACAACTCTGAGAACGCTTTCCCATTGCAAGCCTTACAAAGAAAGTGGGGAGTGGATTCCCCGAGGGATAGGAGGGGTAACCCCCAAAGAACGGGGAGTGTACTTCAAGGGCCTATACAAGAGGAGACCCTGGAGGAACAAAGACTCGCGGAAGATACTGGTAGTGGCCCCGGAATTCCGGGAGATACAGAATCTCCGAGGGGAGCAAGTACTCCTAGAACCTTGGAGATTGCTAGTGTCACTGCTGCCAAATCTAAGTCTAAAAAGAAATTTTGGAAACGAAAAAGCAAAGAGAAACTTGATTCAAAAAGTGTTCAAGAGGGAGAGGCGGTGACTCCTGAATCGCCTAAGAAAAAGAAAAGGTTATTTGGAAGAAAAGATCGGAGTGGCAGTAGAACTTCATTGAACGCCTCCCAGGAGGATGTTGCCTCAGGTAGCGGACAGCAGGGCGAATCAGAAATAGTCAAATCAAAACCTCCGATAAGTCCTTCAAAAAAAAAGATTTGGCAACGTAAGACATCGAACAGTCAGGCATCTTTGGGTGCTACTAGTCCAAGGCCTGACGAATCAGGTGGAACATCCGATGAAGGCCTGGGCGCTGATGATACAGGCTCACCCGGGAAGGGTAAGCGAGGTTCAATATTAAGACGATTGAGTAAAAGCGGTAGTAGGACTTCTTTAAGTAAAAGTGGAAGCAAATCTTCCTTAAGTCGATCTGAAGAAAGCATTGACCAGGAACATGAAGGTTCTCCAAAGAAAAGAAGATCTTCTTTGTTAGGTAAATTAAGTCGCAGTGGCAGTAAGAGTTCTTTAAGTAAATCGCAGAGCAGTGTTGAAGATTTGACTAACGAGGACCCTGGAAGATCACCCAAACGTAAATCATCGTTGTTGAGAAGACTCAGTAAAAGCAGAAGTTCAATAAGTAAGTCTGAAGATAGTCTCGAAGGTGAACCGAGTTTACACGAGGATGGCTCGAAGGCAACTCGAAGTGTCGACGAAGGTGAGCCGACGCAGGCATCGCGGAAGCCCTCTTCTGTTGTGGGTAAAAGCAGTAAAACTGGTAGCCGTAGGTCATCCAAAACTCAAGAGGCTGAACTCCAGCAGGGGGGGATAATCGATAAAGACAATACGCAGGGTGAGGAGACAACCCCCCGTAAGAAGAAAGGGTTGTTTGGAAAGAAATAGTGAAAAACGTCTTATAAATAAATAGATAAATGAACACGTCAGTTAGATGTTTAAAAGTATTTAAGTAATACTAAAATAGATTTTCTATAACAACCATTTGTAATGGCTCGTTTGCTTACTTTTCAGTTCTAGCAAACAATTAAATTGTGCAATTTTGCAACGTCGACACGTCAGTGCTATAGCAACTGGATTTTTATCAAAGGCATCCAGTCTACGACGTGTCTCCCTTCATTCACCTGTTGCGAGATACATATTCACATAAAATTTGGCTACTCGAAGTCCGTGAAGTCGCTGTGTAAATATATTGCGCTTTTGCAACACAAAATGTTTCAAATGTTAACTATAAAGGTGACAATGTATAAAATTTTGGGTGATGATTGGAAGATGGTATCTTTAACTACATATATCAACATCATTCTTCTGTTTGTGGCCTACTGTGATCGTGACGCGCTTTTTTCAAGAAACAAAATTGTTCTATTTTTGTCTCTCGTTGATTTCATGGGCGCGCTGGTGTCACAAATCACTCCAGATTGTCTTCTCAACAAGAATTTCGACGGATGCTCCGTGATGTTACCGTACGAACTGTTCTTTCTAGTATTCGAACGTTTCTCGTATAACGTTAACACGCATTTGCTGAAGAACGCACGCGATAACGAGCTCACGCGGAAAGATAACGTGTTCTACCATGGGTTGACGTTACTATTCAGCTCAGTATTAGTGGTAGTACTTTTCCCGAGCTACTGGCCAATGAAGATCGTGTTTCATTCTGTGATCAGGAACACTTTGCTTCGTGCAGTATTCTACTTATTGGATGGAATCGTTTTCTATTGCATGAGTGTTTTTTCACCGAATGATCACAAGAAAAAGGAAATTATTTTGCAAATCTAGCTCGGAAACAGAGAAAGTGCGGTGTATTTTACGCATGTATAGAGGAATCTTAACTAAATATTTAACGTTTTTATGTAACTCGAGCATTTTTAAACGTGGACGTAAATTAATTGAAAAGCTTCAAATGTTTACCTTCAAAGGACCTCTGCCATAAACAATAATCTGGATGTTTTATGCAATTATTCTGCCTCCATGACCACGAGCATAAATAATTAGTAATTAAACTTTGATTCTAACTCGTTAAAATCATATATTGTATATATTAATATTTGAAATAAGAAGAAATTTCCCGCTGAAACTGGTTTCTATGCGTTTATTATAAAATCCGTTCTACAAAAAAAGGTTCGTATAAAAAGTTTTTTTGTTTATTTTCTGCAAGAGAGGTCTTCTCTGCCGCAGCATCGTCGGATATTTGTTGAGAAAACTCTACAAAGGAGCAAACGTTGCTATTAATTTGACACTCGTTCTTGTGAATTCCATACCATTAAACATACAAAAATAAGATATATATATAACTGCTTTTTAAATGATTTAACTTCAGGAAAAAAACTTCCATTTACTACCTACACTCTTGCATTTCAAATTTTGTACAGAAATACTGCGTATACTATAGAAAGAGACGCATGTAGCAATCCTCGCCAGTTCGAGCTTTCCTGAGCTTACGAGACCTAAGATTTTATCATGAGATGATTCAAATATTTTATTATGTTTACCTTCGTTCCACTTCAAGATGAATATTTCGATATTCATCCCTGGAACTCGATACCAAAGTCAGTTCAGTGTTATTGTATTCAAAGGTGTCTCTTTGAGTGTCCTCAATATTCTGTAAGACAGTAAATACATCTTGCTGGGTGAAAAATTATCGTTTACCTGATTTCTCTATTAAATATTTACCTCTGAATCATCTTGAATTTGCTGTTCAATTCTTAAGTTATCCTGTGAAGGGTACACAAGATTAAGAACTTTCATTTATAGGAGTATAAGCTTTCAGTTAAATGAATGATGGTGAATTTTTTCTAAAGCTCACCTGGCTCAAAGACAGGTCACAATGTGAATCATCATGATCATTGCTTTCTATCCCAGAATCAGTATCGTGTCCACCTTCCATCTTCTCTTTACTAAACTCATGTTGCCATTCCAACTCCTTCTGTTGCGCCGGAGTTCCGCCTTTCAGGTTGTGAGAGGGTGTGGAGGAATAATCGTATCTCACTTCATCAGTTCTTATCGAAGATCTGAGAAGACTTGATTTTTCGTTTACTGCAAGATAAAAAGAGATCTTCAGCATTGCGAGTTTAAGGATATGTCCTGGTAATCTGTCACACACTTCGTTGAACTTAGAGTAATCAGCAATCCCCCCTCTAATATGCTCTCTTTCCCCTTTCCCCTGTTGCGGATGTCCAGCTGTGTCTAGCCTGGACGAATTGTACCACGGCTAGGCCACCTATTTTTCTTTACCCAATTCATGCAGACGGATCATCTGCCAATCTTATCAATCCTCTGAATTTAAACTGCTAATCTCTTCTATGAGACTCACATGAAAGGTGTTGCGGTCCTCTTGACCTAAAACATTAAAATGAATGCATCTTTAGAAAAAACCTTTCTCATAATAACGTCAAACGCCTGATGTTACACGAAGTTTGATTGGCTCGTTAGTTTTGAGGAGCCAATCAACCTTCGGATAGCTGAAGTTTTAAATGAAGGTATTTTCTCACCATGTAGACGCGATGTATAAAACTGCAATGATGAGAACAACCAACACCGGAATGCAAAACCATATCGCTGCCATTTCTTTTGAGTGTCTCTCATCTTCTTTGGCAGAAGCCTATGTAAAGACAGCCGTGATATTCAAGTCTTGGTAAGTAGATATTTTAATGTATTTTATATGATCACTGTTAGAGAAGACGTATCTTATTATAGCAACGAAAAGCGCAATGTTTTCCAGCAGTTTTCCAGCGCAAATCATGTATTCGCGTGTAGTAAATATATCCTTTACCTTGGTTGATTCCGCGTCTTCGACATCCATAAGAACAGCGAAGTTTGCCAGATGATTACAACGGCAAATAGTGCGGTCTTTGTTGCTCGACTGCAACCAACAACCATCAGTTGACCAGGCTCCTCCATGATCAGGTCTATATAAGATTAATAACAATGTTGTAGTCGAATATTTTAAATATAACCTCGTTTGATTCTCTTGTTCTTTGATGTTGTTGGTGCTGGTGGTGACGCGATGGTGTCATGAGACTTCACACGTGTTTCTTGCACCAGTTAAATCACCTTGGCCTCGTGTCTTGAAAATATGATTACAGATTTGAATGAAGAGCTGTCGCTTCTGCTGGACAAAGCTTGGAATATCATTCCAACTTAGTGAGCTTTCAATGAATCTTAAGAAGTTAATACTCACTTTAAGTTGAAGTCCCAAAAAACGCACTTCGGGTTTTGTCTGTTTTGCTGCAAAACAACATTGATAGCTTCAGAAAACAGAGTTTTTCATGATCGTTTCTGTACTACGCAAGACGCTAACCTTAAGATGATGTAAGGTAATTGTGACTGCTGGTGTTATTTTGTCTTGGATCGCAGGCTCCACGATCGTCGCGAGTATTTTAGAGTTTGGTTCGGAATGTCTAAAAAACAAACAACCTCAGTGCGTGTCATTTATCCAGCGCTCTCCAGTGGTACGTTCAGAAAGCATTATTCTCTAAGGGTGAGGTAATTGTGCCAACAAAACTCTCGTATTTACTATAGTTTTTATGCATTCTCTTACTTGAAATTCTCGTTGGAACTTGTGGGTAGAAGTGCTGGTAATGTTTTGTAGCTGAATGTCACGGTCTTTATATTTCCTGGAAAATAATTTTAAAGTGTTTTCCAATGTGATCGACCAAAACCTTTATTATATATTGGAATCATATTCCTGCGATACCCCGTGCGCATTCTAGACTATAGAACCCCATATTTACGAGCCTAAAAACAAGGTGTGGTTCTTTCCATCTTTTCCACATTCTTCCTCTTCCGCAAGCCGTTCGTTGGACAGAGTCCAGTGCAAGCGATATTGATCAGTGGCTGTAATACGTCACTCGATACTCACCGATGCTAAACACAGATGCTGGCAGCCTCACGTTGTCTTTTTCTCCATCCCACATCGCCACATCTGTGTTTTTATAGTCTGGAAATATCTTGTCCATTGACCCTTGCTCGTGGTGACTCATCTGGACAACTACATGAACCAAGTACAAAATTTATTCCTTGAGGCACGAAGCTTGAACTCAATACACAAAGACAACCAGTTTCTAATTCTATCTTGGAAAACATTCACAAATATTGTGTGTGTACCGTACCTATGTTGTTAGTCAGATACGTGCCATTGTTTAGTGTCTCTGGAAGTCGTGATGACGCTAGTAATGCGTAGGTTTGTGAATCTCGTAGAAGGTCCGCAGATCCTCTGCCATCTTTTTGGATATTTCTCCACTCGTTCTTGTTGCTATCATCCAACATGTTACTGCATATAGTCAAATAGTTCTAAAGAGAATGTTTATGCGATCATAAGAGAAATATTTCTGACATTATCGCCTGTATTCTAAAAACTGGCTCACTCTCAAACTTAATTAATAAGTGGAAGAACTTTATAGCCTTTCGAAGTTTCATTAATGCTAGGGTAAGAAAGTCACATTCGTCATACTTTAAGATCTTTCTGGCTAATCCTTCCATCCTGTTTTTCTCCCTGTTCCTGGATGATTGATGTCATTATTTCCGTGGTCTTCTTCAGATCTCCTCCAAATATTAATGAATTATCTATCGTTCTTGTGGTCACGAGTGTTAAACTTCGTAGAAGCGAGCTAGAATCTTCACCGTATACCAAACGCTTCGCCTGTTGAGGAAATTACACTATTTGTCTCAATCGTTACGAAAGGGAAGGGGATTAGACTTCTGTGAAATGCACGTTTCTGTTTATATAATATTATACTAAATTTCACCAGTTTCCCGTGTTTCCTTCAATGCTCCTTCATGAACCCCGTTGTAAGATTAAAAGCCGTTTACAGCTGATGGAATTATCGTTTACAATTAAGGATTTCCAAACGTACCCTTCGATACAAATTTTCATATTCGTTCGATACACAAGCACTAAAGTCAGGAAGAAGCCAATGAGATTCAAGTGAACATTTTCGTCTTGCTAAACCTGAAATAGATGTAGAAAATCAGCGAGGAATCTAACGACAGTAGACCTTACATTAAGTCTGATTGGCTCAGCCAAACCAGCCAGCCAATCACACATCGTGTAACATCAGGTAGAATAGGAGATCGTCGACCTTAAGCTTCTCTCTTAGATTGTTGTACCTTTTGCTTTCTTCGGACACGGTATTTCATGGAAACTGCCAGCATTTGTTGTTCCCCATTTGAGACCAACTGCTTGTTCTTCATGACAGACATCCTGTTCTCCCAGTATATCGTTGTCAAAATCTATATAGCCAACAAATTCAGCATCAAAATGATCATGATCGAACTCCAGTAGAGTACCACGAAGTACAATTTTTCTTACCAAATATATTTTGTCTTTCTTTCTTCTTTCTTGAGATAAAGCACAGTTTATGATGCGATGATTTTCCTAATGTCGTTTTAATCTTGCACGATTCCTTGGAGTGACACTTCAGAGCGAAGCAAACATTGTCCATCTGGATCGCCACTTCACAACTGCTTATTCCACAACATTTACTTATACACCCATCCATAAGTGCAGTTACTCCAAGATTTGTGTAATTTCCAGCGTCTAATCCATTCTCTAGTGTCATCTCGGACATAATTTCTCCGGGGTAACACCCTTTAGGAACTTTGGTCTTCGGGTAAAGTTTTTCTGCAAAGAGATTGCAATTTGAGTAGATAAAGTTTATCGTAGTTGAATGCAAGATATTCTTCGTGCCATAAACTTCACTGTTGACAGAGTGGCCCCTCTTTGGCCAAGGCTAGCAGCGTCTTTCCCCTCCTGCAACTGTATCCCTGCACGTCAGCGAGAGAGTTCGACAATAAGACAACAATTACTAAAATACAAATACCGTTTGAAATTCCTCCATGCAAAGGTTCGATCTTGTTCACTTTGAATGGATGATGAATACCAGCTGTAGACCAAGTTTTATTTCCTCTGTTTGGCTGCGTTGTGATTCGAGGTGGTGCAGTGGGACTTCTCAAGACTTTAACCTGCTTTGGAATTAGTCTTGAACTTTGTCTTGCTTGTGAAGAATTCCGCATCCTGCTAGGACTTGATACTGGAATATTACAAAATGAAAACTACTTTGATATTTATCTAAAAGTAATCTATAATATTAACTCTCCCTGTTTATTACACTCAACAATATTGTACAATCTACAATCTAAAAGATTGATATCGTTTTGTTACCTCTATTTTGGTTTAAAAACTTGTCCAGCATTGGCTGAACAGTGGGCGTCTTTCGTGGTATCATTGACGAGGTATGATTGACTAACGGCTTGATGATCCTTTGGTTGTTTTCATTATAATACACATGGTTTCGTCTTGGCGTGCTTTTACCTCGTATCTTCCCCTTGGCTGCTGGTGCTGGATTACCGCCAACGTTTACTCCGTTGAGAATCTTCTGACTCCGCTGGTTGTTGATTCTGATTGTCGTTTCTTTATTCTTGCTCAAAGGAAATTCTCCTCGATTTGGATATGCGATTGTTCCTTTCAATGGTGTGTTTCCACCACTTCTATCCATGCCATGACTATTTATACCTCCTGTTGTTGGTTTAATCGCACTGGGTTTCTTTCCTAATCCATTGACTTGATTTGTTCCACTTGTACCCATTCTGCCCATTGTGTCCCAAGATAATTGTCCTTTTTTATCCACAGTTGCGGGTCGCATCCCTTGGGATGTTCCCTTCACTCCGCCGCCATTTAAGTAGCTATTAATACCACTTGTTTGTCGATCTCCATTCGGAATTCTGTCCGGTGGAATTGTAGGTAGTAGTCGGCGAGTTGTGCTGTCTCTCTCACGATTGGGATAAGCATTGATAGTATTCGTACTCCAAGTCCTGCTATCCCAAGAAACAACTGCAGGCTTCGGGGCTGGTGTTTGTACACTTGGATTACTTCCATACGTGTTGTAATACGAATTCCATTTTGCATTGTTCCACTCATTATCAAAGACATTCTGTTTATTCCAGTTCTGGTAATAGTGATGACCAATGCTACTTACTGTTGGGGTGAATGAAGAAGTCAAAGTGTCTTTCCATGTTTTTAAAACAGGCGGCAGCGTGGGCCTCAAATAGTTCAGTGCTTTCTGTGTCTTTGGTTTCTTAATGACTTTTGGTAGTTTTAATTGCCTGACAGGAAAAGCCAACGGCCTTCTGGTTTTCGTTTTTTGAGGCTGTCTTAAAGCTAGTTTCTTTTTGTTCTTTGGAAGTGTAGGAGTAATCTGCGTTTGTTTGGGACTTGGAACTTTCATTTGTGTCTTAGACTTAGCATTTATGTTGTTGGACTTGGAACTCTTTAAAACCTTTTGTTTCCGAGGTGTATGTGGGAGAGTTGTATGAAGAATTCTTTGAGATTCGTAATGTTTTGGCCGCTGGTTGGGTGTCGTGTTTGTAGTATTATTCGGACTTAGTAAAATAGTTTTTGGTTTGGAAACAATCCTAGGCTTTGTAATGAAGATCTTGTCACCATGGGTTGATATATTCATTGAAGATCTTCCATGGCTATTTAGAAAGTGCTGGTCAATATTGGGAGACTTCCTCTGCTGTGGTAAGGTCTTTGACGGGGTTTCTCCGATCAATTTCAAAATTTCATTCTTCACCTTTTCTTCAGCGGATTCGATATTCTGCGATTTCTGTGGCGTACTTTTAACATTTGTTAAATTCTTAGGCTTGATGTGTAGCCGTGTGCCACTTGGCTTCAAACCTTCTGACCGTCCAGAGACTCTGTTATTGTTATCAATTAATTTTGATTCTAAAGGCTTTCCTATCTTCGGAATTATTGGTTGTAATTTGTGTTTCTGTTCGTGTAGTAAATCACTTGGTTTCTGTCTTCTTTGACTCTTTTTGTTACGAGATATCCTTTCCTTTGCTTTCTTTGCTTCTTTTATCGACTTATGAGTGTTTGCTGGGTTAAACTCTCCACTTTTGATAGTGTTATTTGAATTCTCATTAGAATCATTAGAATTCTCATTAAAAACATTCGAATTTTCATTAGAATTATTTGATTTCTCATTAGAATGATTTGATTTCTCATTAGAATGCTTTGAATTCTTATTCGAAGCATTTGAACTACCTGCTTTCTTATCTAGCCATGTTCTAGTTCTCTGGTTAAAATACTTTCCAAAATCCGAAGGCTTTGTCTTGTTATCCAAATTCCACCGCGAAGTCAAATTATGAAAATAATCTGTCTTTGTTGTTTTTTCCTGATGCTCTGACCAGTCTCTTGTCCTTTGATTGAAATATTTCCCACTTTCATCAACATTGTCACTATTATAGCTTTCCTTCCATTCTTTAGTTTCTTGATTAAAGAACTTTGTTTTATCTTTCTCCTCATCTTCGTCCGTTTTTCTCGAGTCCGTGTTATTCTGATTTGATTTCATGATATCATTATTCCCTTCCATTTCTGTGCTGTTTTTTATATCCTTCAAACTATGATATAACGATGGTTTGTGGATTGGGTAATCCGCGTTTGATTTCTCGTTACTGTCCATAATGTCTGCTATATCGTTAGAAATGTTTTTCAATTTATGTTCTTTACCGTGAATCGTTTTATTACCACCATCATCAAACGTTGCTTGAGTGTTGTCCTCGTTCTCATCCACACCATGTTCTTCAATTGCATTAATCTTTCGCTCAATATTCCCACCTTTTTCTTTATGAACTCTTATCCCTTTCTTCTTTCCAGTTCTTCTCACTTTCTTTTCCAACTGTCTACTTTTCTCCTGACCATCGTACTTGCTTTTGACTCCATGTTTAAAGTGCTTTGCTTGGTCACTGCGGGATTGTATTTTATCTTCGTCCAAGCGTTCCTTGTTCTCTTTGTTTGTAGTTTTCCTAACAAGTTCATTGTTTCTCCTGTCAGTCTCTTTCTTCCCAATCTTCAAAGGTAAAGCGTGTTCTACATGATCCTTTCTAACTCCATCAATATCTTTGTTGTTTTCATTTTCTTTCTTTTCATCATTTTCTGAAATACTATGAGTGTCATTCCCCTCATTACTGTTGTTGATTTTCTTCCTGTTCGCCGCGCTTTTCTCCCCACTTTCCTCCCCACTTTCCTTTCTTTCATTCTTCTGCTCATTACCATCATCATGACTCATTTTGTCTTCATCCTGACCAACCTCATTCTCATCATCATCACCATTCTTCTCTTTATGATGCTTCCCATCACCTTTAGAAGTACCATCTTTCCAGTTGTTGTTTGTGTGTGTATGACCATCCCTGGTGCTGTGAAATTTTTTCTTCTGTTTCCTTTCTTTACGATTCTCCTTTTTATTTGTATCATTTTTTTGTTCACTTCTAGATTCGTCATCGTGTTCATTATTCCTACTTTCATTACCTTCAATATCATCTTCATGTTTCAGACTCTCCTTGCCTGTCTTTCCATTTGTCTTTTTCTCTTTGTGAACATTAGACTTGTGTTTATCTTCAGACAATTTCTCTCCCTTACCTCCATCATCAAGTCTTTCATTCTTTTCCCGTTCGTCCTGAACGCCACCATTATTATGGTCGTTTACGAAATCCAATTTTTTCGAATCATTTGAGTGTGATCCGTTGTGATTCTTGCGAGAATCTTTGGCTTTACCATCGTTGTTTTTATGGTTTCCATCCTTACGATGACTGTCCAGTTTTCTCTGATTATTATCTTCATCATCAATTATCTTTTCGATCTTTCTGTCGTTGTGATTGTCACTGCTTTCTTTCCTTTCTGATTCATGGTAGCTACTCAATTTCTTCTTGTTTTTTTCTCTGTTTTTCTTCTTATGAGTCTTGACTTCGTGTCCATCATCCTCATTTTCCCCAGAATCGCCGTGGTTATCTCTATCAGAAGCAGTTAGTTTGTCACTGTCTTTGTAATATTTTTTAGACTCTCGATTATTCTTTGAATCGCGCTCACTGTTTTTCTCTTCGTTTGAGTCAAGTTCTTCCTTGTTTTTCTCATCATTATCCTCCCTGTGATGTTTTGCTTTCTTATGGTGCTGTTCCCCCTTTGTGTGATCTCTTGTTCTGTGTTTTTTATTCTCGGTATTTTTTGCGCTGTTTTGTTTCTTATGCTTCTTACTACCCGAGTTCTCTTCCCTTTCATTATCAGAATCATATTTGTTTTCTTTGTCATCATGATGTTTAATATCATCTTGGCGATGTTCGTTTTTCTTATTCCTGGAGCCATTCTCTTCCCTGTATCTTTTGGAACCTTTATTATCATCTTTTCTATTTGCTACCCTTTCACCCTCAGCCTTCTCTTTATAGCGAGTTTTATGCTCTCTACGAGTTTCCTCAGCATCATCTGATGATTTGTCTTTCTTCTTTTTATCGTTCGTCCCAGAGGACTCATTGTCTTTATGTTTAATCTTTTCATCTTCATCACTCTCTTTTGAATCCTGTTTTGAATCATCGTCATTTATCTCATCGTAGTTTTGCTTGTGTTTATTTGTTTTGTCATCACTCGCACTCTTCCTAGATTCACCTTCTTTTATAAATTCATCTCCAGCATTCCTATTTTCATTTGCCAAGACTTTATCTTCGTGGGATTCATGATGGACAGCAGATTTCCTCACAGACTCTCCAACTTTAACGTGGTCATTTTCCTCTCCATCATTCTCTGTTGTTTGTCTCTCAACTGCTTTATCTTTGCTTTTTCTCTCACCATTTTCAATTTTATTTTCCCATTTCTTTCTTCGCTTTGGTTCCGTCTTTTCTTCTGACGAATCATAGTCATCATCGTTCGGGGAATCATGATTTTTGGTGTTTTTCTTTGACGATTTTTTCTGATCACCAGCATTATTATCCTCATCGTCTTCGTTGCTGACAGAATGATGTTTCTTCTTCTTCGTTTTTTCATGGATATTTTTCCGAGATTGATGTTCCTGAGTCAAGATATTCTCATCATCTGATTCATCATCAAAATGCTTATCATCGATCTGTTGCCGATGATTCTTCTTAGTTTTCTTTCTCTGGTGATGTTCTTTTCTTTCATCATTCCTCGTCTCTTCATTACCGTTTTCTTGTTTATTTTCATCAGTTTGTCCCCGGCTCTTCCCCTCCTCGTGAGAATGATGATAATGATGATGATAATGGTTATCAGTCTCTCTAAACTGTTGTTTCTTTCGACGCTCTTTTCTTTCCGTTTCGTGATCATTCATGTTTCCATCTTCCGTCTCGCCATTCTTTCGATCATTTTCTTCTGGATTATGCTCATGATGATGGTGATTTCTTTGATGATCAATCATGTCATCTTCATCATCTGTCTTCTCATCTTCCATACCATCATCAGTATTTTCATCTTGCTTCTCGTTGCTGTCCATGACTTTCCTTTCCTTACTATCAGATTCTTCATCATCGTCATTATCTTTCCTCTCCTTATCGTAATGACGCTCTTCTTTATCCATCTTTCTTGATCTCTCTCTGTCATCGTCTCTGTCATCATCATCATTTTCTTCTTCATGATCATGTTTAACGTGAAGTCTACGCCTCTTTTCCTTCGGTTGTGAATGTTCATGGCGATGTCCTTCAACCAAAGATTTCTTTTCCCCCTGGCTCTCCTCATCTCTATTCATATCATCCTCCTGATCGTCATCGTCTCTGGCTCGTTCATCTTCACCCTCAAAACCTCTCTCTTTATTTTTCTTAGACTTGTGTTTTTTAGGTAAATGCTCCTCGTGATTTTCATCAGACTCCATAATATCCCCCTCGTCATTCATGGCTTCTTCGTCCTGATCGTCATTTTCATCTTGATGCCAAACACGGTGTTTCAATATCTTATGTTTTCTGCGAGTCTTCGACCTAACATCATCCATTTTTCTATCGCTATCTAGCTGCCTGTGCCTTGATCTGATTTCATCGTTTTTATTTTCTTCATTCTCTCTGTTATCTTCATCGTTATTGTTGGAGTGCATTCTAACATGCGTATGACGCCTTCTCTCCGTGTTCATCTGTTTATTTGAGTTCTCTTGAATGCTGTCACCTCTTTCCTTGGAATTTCTACTAGAGTCATGGGCAGTATGATGCTTTCTTTTCAGCTTCTCAATACGATCAGCATGCTGTCTATGCGGGCGTTTGTGATATCTTCTTCTCATGTTCGTGTGTTTCTCAAAATGTACCTTATTTCTGTCGTTTCTTCCGTCCTTTCCTTCAGAATGACCAGTTATCCGCATTCTTTCATTATGATGATGACGCAATCTTCTCTTGTGGTGGACTTCATCTCTTGAAATATGGCTGTCATCATTCTTCATGTCCGACTTGTGGTGATGGTGGTAGTAGTGATGGTGGTGAGACACTGTGTTACTGTTGTATTGCTTCGTCTTTGACTTCGTTGGTTGTCTTTCTTCTTCGTTGCTACCTGTCTGCTCTTCCGCGTGGTGGTGATGATGATCACGGTGGTGGTGAAAATAACGATGGTGATGAAGATGAGATGAACTATCTTGTGAAGACGCTGAGGTTTCTAAATGCTTTTCTTTTTGTAAGTTGTCATTCTCTTCGCTCTGTTCTTCATTATGGCGGTGATTCTTTCTTCTAAAACTGAATGATGATTCTGCGTCCAAAGATGATCCAATCCCACTTGTTTCTCCAGTCGATCCTAAAGAAATAAACTTTTTGTTGTTATCATATTCTCATGATTATTTAAGATAATGAAAAGGTTAACGAAACAGATCGCTGCTTCTAAGGATTGTACCTTCTCTTGGAATCAAAGCTATCTCCAGATGCAATGGGAGTCTTCTATCCTCCCCAGATTCACAGTCACCATCATCGGGACAGATAACTCCATAACATTTCTCCCTCAGGATAAAAGCCAGGGAACAATCTTTTCTATGACAGCAATACTCATTGCATTCCCTCTTACTCCGCACATCTGTGGCCAGTTTATGAAAAACAGAAACGCCTCGTCCACCTTCGATAAATACTTGATGTGGTACGACTCTTTTGTGACGGCAGAATCCATGATTTCGTGGGTGGTAAGAGAAATCTGATTGAATATCTACAAGGAAGAGGATATATGTAATAAGTTTTCATCTTGATATTTGTCTTCTATTATTTATGGCGTCTCCTACCATCATCCGTGTCTGAGATACTTCGTTTTGCTATCTCGTGTCGTTTCTTCCTTAAACCGTTCACAATTCCTCTGCAGAGATCGTGATGTGAGCATGCTATCCCGTAACATCGCGAATTTCTTAGTATCGCTAGCTCACAGTCCCTGCTCGAGCAGCACAGGTTAATACAGGATCTGATGTTTCTTGTACGACCAAGCTTTAGGACTTTGAAGGATTTTCGAAGGTGGTCTCTGAGAGTTGATTCCGAGCATCGCTCTTCATCTGCGATCACTGTGTCTTGCAAACACACTATAAATGAAAATATGGAAATATTATACACGTATGTCTCTCATCTCTGTCATCAGGACTGAGCCTTGTTAAGCACAGTTCTCGAATCATAATTTCATCCCAGGCGTTTGAGCTTGGGTTTCTTCTGAGTTTCTTCTCAGTTTCGTCTGGTTTTGTCTTTCAAACACTGAAAATCTTCCCTGGGTACTCTGCTGTAGTTTCTCCAGTGAAACAACAAAGCTTGACATTTATTGCTTCATAATTCTGTTCCAAAGCCTAGTATATTTTGCAAACTAGGCTGATTCTTTGCGAAATTAATTATATTTGGATTCGTGCGATGAGAGCACTAGTTAAACAGGCTACCGTCTAGCCATCGTGCGTTCAAGCCGCGGTCAGATAAACGATTCCTATCCTGCCATTGGAACCTCAAAATGTATAATTTACTCTTCAGGTTTTCTGAATATTACATGTTTATTAGAATCATAAACACTTACCTAACAATACAACTAGGACACAGTATAAAAAATGTCTATTTCTTGAGTACAACAAAGTCCAGCCTGGCTCCCCGGCCAGCATGAAGTTACAGATCTTTACATAAACATTAGTCGAGTTATTGAATAAAGATGAGAAGGAACTGGAAGAATTTCACCGAATCCGTTTCTTTTATCTTCCATTATGGCGGTTGATAGCTAAAGAATACTTCAGCCATTTCGATAATCGATCCTTGCCATTTTATTTTGATTAAATTTCCATACAACGCTCGTAGCTTTTAGTAAACGATTTGAGCATTAGGTCATCGATGCTATATTATATATAGTGACCGGTACCTCCTTAAAATGTAAATAAACCTTGCCATAGGAAAGTTAGGAACAGCACTGCATGAGCTTGCGTTACGATGGTTGTCCGTGAGGATTTTAACATTTTAAGCCAAGTTTAATTCAACAAAATGATCAAACTTCATTCTTATACTTCATTATATTTCAATTTACTCAACTGTTTATTTAGCACCTGCAGCTTATGTTAAAAATTTATACAATTTCACGCACACTAACTATAGGTCAGGTATTATAAGATTATACTATAGATTTCTATAGCTGATAAATGGCGCTCTCATGGATTCCTTAAGACATAAAATTAAAACTGAGAGATCCAGAAAAGGTGGATTAGGTTGATTCTTTCCAGTCGATGTGTATTCGTGGTATGAAAAGCCTAACTCCGCTTGACTTTTCTGTTATGTATTGTTGATCAACGAAGCGTATTACCACTTGCAAGCCGCTAAATTTACACGTATATTGGACTGAAAAACCAAACAAAACTACCCTATCTTTATATATCGAGAGAGGTGCACACAATGAAGGTCATCTGACCAGTGTTAAACAATCCAGAGTGTTTATTTAAGTATAGCTTTTTTCCGTTTAATAAAAATATGTTGAATCCGTGTGTAATTAACCTTTGAGCAATCGTCCTAATTTTTTCCATTTTCATGCTTCTTCGCTTGCCTAAACTTAAAACACGATCAGCAAAACATTTATAGAAGCGTTTTATTGAAGATGCAATATATCTGTACATTATTCAAGAATTATGAATACTTTTCTACGAGTTTAATTTTACTTTTTCTAACTTCTAACTTTTCTCATTCAATGAAAAATATACAGCAATGATCGTATATTATATTCTTCTACTTCTGTTAGTCTCATCATTTCATATAAACAACACTATATAATTATATAACATTTAATCTAATATTCATATATCTCATAGTTAGTACTATTGGAGTCGAATGCATAACGATTTCCGTTAGTATAGAAGCTCTTGTTCATTTCTGAAGCCTTGATCTACAGTTCAGTCGTCCGTCCAAAACATTACATGCAAACTTTTAAAATGTTTTTGTGTCAAATCTGCTAGTTTAGAGCTTCGTAAATATATAACTTTTATTCTTCTCTTTTTGTTGCTATGCAATAACGCTCCATCTAAAGAGCCTGTTATGTGAGTTATATCTTCCGCTCATCTCAATCCACGTTGCCAGGAACTCTGTATTGAGATCAGCGAGGAATATCACTCAATTCATTATCTGGTTATATTTGAAATGTATCAATCGACCTGCTGTTTATTCACTTCTCACCTAATGGGCCTCAATCTTTTGTCAAATATCATCACACGTCGTGCTGGTAGGGTTAAAATTACTTATTGAGAGTAAGAGCAGCAAGAAAGCATTGAATACATTCAAATATAAACCTGGCGTGTGAAATGAGTTTACATCGAAACAAGGCTATGACGGATAAAAAGTATAAAAAGGTCTATTGAATGACAAATAGGCATAAATTTGTAATGTGTATTGAATAAGTTCTACCATGTAAGTGTTCTGGAATCCTAACAGACATTGAATATCTCATTTATGAGCTTATCCATCGGTTTGACGTGTGCACTAGATTGAAAGAACATGCGTTCAACCAATGAAGTGTTGATTTTACTAAGTTGTGGTATCAGCAAAAGCAGCCTGCCAAATCTCACATATTCTTCAGGACGTTGTTGACGGATGTGTTCACCCAGCATGCACTGCGCTTGATCTTGTAGTTGTTCCACATGCCATGGGTCGTGAAGACCTTTCAGTTCTGAATTAGAAGAGATCATTTTAAATTGGACCCTAGTTATATATGATTGTACTAAAATAAACATCCCCTATAGATCATAGAAGATCAGTCACAACTCACAAACTCTATAAGCGACAACAGTATTACAAAAAAAACACATAGACGTTTAAAGTAGTCTGAGAAATGCTCTATCACTACCTGCTTTCCACTCTCATACAAGTTGCCATACAATTAATTTAAAAAGAACACACCAAATCGTGAATCAGAATCCAATACTATGCATCTATTCAATCGTTGATTTCATAAGTATCATTTAAATTATCTTAAACTCCTACGTATAAAAAACGTGACAGTGGAAATTAGCTCTTAGAAACCTTAAGATGAACGACGCGGCATTTTGACGCCATCGACACAATTTAAACTTAAGAATATTCTTCACTCCGCCTTTCGCATCAGCATCACGTTTACGTTTCTCAAAAGACGTGATACGTTCTGTTTTCATTTTTCAAGGGGATAAGAACAATGCGTTGAATTAAAGACACGTCCACGATGTCCTCGTGTTGTCGCGTCGTAGATCTTAAGGTCTCATATCGTTGAGAAGGCGTGAAAATGTTGTATTTGAAGGCGCCATAACAATAGCAACGTGGAAATAATTCATTGCTCTTGTCTAGCATGAGGTTGACCTTCAATGGCTCTGCTAGTTGCAAATCCTAGACTTGGTAAAGGTCTTTTCCCACGATCCAATTTTGTCGGATCCAATTCACTTCTGATGGACGTTTTATAGTCTGTCGACTTGCAATGTATGTGGGCTGCAAATCAACGAAAGCCAATGCAGTACTGCTTTATTATAACAGACAACATTCCATACGCCAGAAGTGAATTGGATCCGACAAAGCTTGATCGTTGGAACGGACCTTTACGACATGCATGAACATGCGACCGAAAAATCTGAACCAACCTGGCTTAAAAAATGCGATTGCTTTTGCACACGATAGCTCGGTGGGGTCTGGCATAGCCACACGAAGCTTGCTAACGACATTCTGTAAATCATGAATCTCCATAAGATATTTGCCATTTCCTGAAGCGCTGGTTTGACACCCTACTGAGGTCATCCAAGCATCAATATCCACTGGAAGATTCCATTGCAAAAGGCCTTCAAAATTAGATCATAATTTGAGATTATTTCGATATTAATTCGATGAACCTATAAAGTCCATGCACAAAACCTGAAACGACATCCCAAGTTTGATGATATTATTACCTAATAGAAACACCTCGCACCATCCTCGGTGTAGTAGCAGACTCTGGTCGTTGTGGGGTAGATCTTGAAATGTAGGCATATGCTTGACCCATTGTATTGAGACGTACAGAATTCTCATTGAAGACTCGTAGACAATCTCCTTCACCGTGAGAGGCGAATTGGGACTAAGTGATGAGTCAGTTTGGTGTCCTTCTGAGAAGCTTGGTGAGCGCTGAGGTTCTTTCTTCGTCTTAATCTTGAGCTGGTTATTTTGTATTTCACTGTTCTTTCGTTTCTGGGGCCTGCTGCTCTTATACATGTTGAACATCAAACCTGGTAAATCTTTGTGTTGTTGTCTTGGCGTTCGTTCATGCTGTACCGCTGGTTAATGGATGGAGGAAAACATTTTAGACAAGTGCATTAGGTCTCGCTAGAGCTGCTTTGGGTATAGTTTGGTTGTGACAGGAATTACCATGGCTAATTAGAGGTGATATAATAACATGTATAACTTGTAGCTATGAAAGTCAATATTACATCCTACATGCTTGTATTTTTGGGCAGAAAATCAATGATGAATTTTATATATTAGCAATATGCACAGTAGCTATACAGAATTACTTCATAATCTCCTCCAGTTTTGAGCTGAGTCCAATCTATGATTTGTTTTATTTCTGTAGGAGCTGTTAGTCCTATTGCTTATAAAATTCAATAACTGAAGAATGAAAGGGATCCTACTAGTGTACATCGCCTGGAAAATGGTGAGTGATATCTTTATACTTATAGTTCAATCAAATTTCAAAGTTCATGGCAAAGCTCTAAACGGTCAGTTTTTTACACTATTAAACAATTGTCATGACTCGACAATTTCGAGTGTTGTGCGTGACGTTGTTCATAAATAAATCATGGCTATACAGCTCATGCTGTCGCTCAATCTCAATGACATTTTAAAAACAGGCTTTTAAAATCGCGAATATATTTCCTCTCTTAAAAAACCACGGCATTACATCACCCGAAATGGATGTTCCATGCAGAGATAGGATTTGTCGGTGTTTCTAAGATACTTCTCTTCTACATGTTGTGATGCATATTTTGTCAATAATCCTGGGCATGCCTACACGTTGGTTCACCAAACGTGCACGCGTCTCACGCATGTACGTCGCAAGGGCGTTAATACTTAATCACCTGTTTCTAATACACATCAGCGTTGTTGATTTATCGCAAATCTATCACTAAAACATCAAATTAATTTATGTAACATATATAGTTTGTTGATCATAATATACTTTAAAATATATAATTCAATTGTATATTCTTACAATTATCGTTGATGAGTAATTCTTATTGTTAATTTATTTGTTGCAATTATACATTTTTCTTCAATCATTGAGGCATCTAATATGGCTGTTTGCCATATAGGAAACATGAAATTATATATCTGCCTCGTTGACTTACAATTGAAATGAATAAAAACTATTTAGTGGTTGATTAATGAGAAGCATTAGCAGGCCTTGGTAGGCCGAATTCACACGCAAGCATTCTTGTGGCGATATAAACACAAACACGCACCCACAATTTGATTAATCAGGTTAAGAACACTCAACAAAAGTTAAGAAAATTCTACCAAATATATATTATGAAAAATTTCTACTTTTTCTTTTTCTCTCCAGGACGTAAATTTACACGGAACAAATATATATAATTATGTATTCGTTACATGTTATTAAAACAAATGGCTAGACATTGTGTCCCGCGGAAATAATTATTCTCGAATCTCGATGCGTTGAATATTTAATGATGTTTTTACCAAAGTCATTTTCATATTTGGTCAACATGCCGCCGACCAAAAACTAATGAAAATTTGCCAACATCGTGGTAAAATAAGAGATTAGATTTGTGAAGTTCAGCAGGCAATGAAAATGGATCATTGCCAGGTTATGTTTGAGAATTGTTAAGCGAGATAGAACTCGTCTTCTGGTACCAGTTCACAGGACTTGGCTACACCCTTTTATGTTTTGCATCCATTTGCTTATTGTTCAAGTAGGCCAAAACCAATCAAATAATTGCTGACTAACTATTACGCTGAAACCATTAGAAATATTTTTTGATTTTTTTTTGTAAGATCAATATAAGCTTATTTTCTGCAAAAGCTAATGAATTTGAGACTAATGAAGTGGGTATTTAAACATGTGAGTTCCTCTTCTCCCAGACATAACATGCATGCAGTGAATAATTTTATTACATGTTGTGTTTCGATGTCCTGTGCTTATGTTTAGATGACGTGACGCTTGGGTTTGATTTTAGTATACATAATAATTTACTACTCTGTTTGAATGCCAAGAAATTGAGGTTTAATGAGGATTGATTCATACAAACTCTGCGATTGAGTTTCCTTTTTTTAAAAGATCACATGTAAACCATTATTATGCATACCTAACATTGATTTTTTTATGCAAAATCTCGTAACGATTAGTCTGATGAAAAACTGCATTAGCAGATTTTGTTTTGTCTCTTTAAAGAATGTAGTAGCATTCGTTTCTTTGATAAAAGATCTGAAATAAGTGCCCACAGTTAAGTTCATGAGATCCCCTACCGATACTCCAGCCTTTGGTCAGAAACAGTCAACACCATAGTAAATGCAATCTATGCGATTCTATCTTTTTCGAGCCGGGCAGTCAAGGAGTAATACCTTCTCTAGTCTTACCGTCTTTGTTCATTCCTGCTTCAAAACATCTTCTAAGTCGACACGACTGGCATTGGTTTCTTCTGGCGACATCAATGGGACAAATGCCTCGTTCACGGCATTGATAAGTCAACTTTCGACGGACACTTCGTTTGAAAAAGCCACGACATCCATCACAGGATTGTACTCCATAATGTTTCCCTGAGGATCTGTCGCCGCAAACTTTACAAGGTGGATTACCTCGTTCTGCATGGGAGAAAGTTTGAAGCGTTAGTAAACTTATATCTCTATCGGTTCCGAACAGTTTCTTATAAATATAAGCGAGAATCACACCTGACCTGTCTGAAAACAGACAAATAGAAAGCCAGAGGTGGAATGTTAGATGGGACGTGTGAATTTGACCTATTTTGATTCCTATGTATTGTACGCTTTTGTATCAAGAAACTGTAGTCTTGAAACAGTAAGAATCATGCTGGTTAAAACACATAGTCGCATGAATAGCATCGCTTAAGGGCGTTAGTCTCAATAACCAAAACAATCAACTCATCAGATTTAACAATCTTCATCAATGTACAAATTGATGGTATAATGTGCCCAGTGAATTAATGGTGTGAAAATATTCGAAGTCGAAATTATTTGATTCATTTTTCACACCTTTTCAAATCGGTTTGTTTGTGTCATCATTTCCATAGCTCTTATTAATCTTATGGTTACCCTGTCCGCCCACCTTTCGGTTTTTGAATCAAGCGAAAAAACAAGCGCTTAGAAACGGGGAAGAAAACCTTACTTTAGTAAACTAGAACAGAAAATCTGGATGAGTTTTAATGGTAAAGTTTCTTTGAAGAACTAATTTGGATAAGGAAGCCCAGAATCCAAAGGAATATATATGAACAGACTTCTCACATTCGTGTTCATTAACTGAACTGAGATCACGAAATCAAAACCCGTTAAACATTGATTTAGAAATTGTGAATCAGTAACAACTTTTAACTTCTGTTTCACTTACCCGTTTCAACAATCTTATTCATTCTCAAAACTTTCGTTTTTTCGTTGATCTCTCGACTATACACGACCTGTTATTGTAGACTCTTCTGTATACTCGTATATTTTTGATTTTTGAACATATTAGAAGAGAGAGAACAGGTTCCTTTTCAAGCCGTCCAATTAGAAGCCATTAGTTGGTAGCAACAAAACGGTCAGATGGTTCGGGATTGGCTGGGCCGTTATATAAACATTAAACATCTCTCACTGACCTTCCTTTAGTTTATAATGCCGGTGGCAGTGTTAGAGTAGTGTTGATGTGTGTTGCTTTGATGATTGTTTAGAAAATCTTAACCAAAATAAGATCTAGTAATACTCGCTTTTGGTAAACATCGTGACAGGTCCCAGTCGAAGATTGGCTCATTTTTTGTACGATTGCTGAAAGTTGATTATGCATGAGAGTGAGACGGAAGAGAGATTTTTTACAGCCATAGTTTCTCATGCCTCCCATAGAGTATAGCCATAGGAGAGACGGGTTATGGAATGCAAAACAAGTTTATAGTAGTTTATTTTATTACTGTAGTAAGATAAAGGTGGTTAAGGATGTCGGAGAAGAAACTAAAGTAGCTTCGTACCATCGTAACTCATGCAGTTCCAGACTGCTCGTCCGTATTTACAGAAATATTTAAAAGACATTTCCTAATAATTGATACTAGAATCAGTTTGAAGGATAGCAGGTTAAGAGGAGGGGGGCAGGGGAGATATAAGGCTCTAGCATTGTGGAGCATTGTGGATAGCCTCAAGCGGTTTTGTTAAGAATCCTCGACATAACTGAGATATTCGCAGAGAACCATCGTCCATTCATGCAGTCAAGCGATGAAGAATGGTCGAAGTGCCGTTTAGTCTACGTTATATTATTTCAAACACATGGAAATGATGGTATATATAGACTGGGCGTCTGGGCGCGAACGAATATAAAAAGCTAGTCTGGTATTGCTTTGTCAGTTTCATTTCACTTACTGAGGTTCAATTCCTGTATATCCATGATTTTAGGCCACATTATAGCTTTAGTTCAGCTGAATCACGGTTAAACTAAGGTCAAATGTTTATCATTTTATTTAAGATCATTTCCGTACAAAGCGCATGCATGCAGACTCACTCGTGAAGGCAACACCGATTCAAGTTAATTAAATCACAAAAACTTCCTTTCTTGCAAATATTTTTATTGCTCTCAAAACTGCACGCGACAAGTCTATATACCGCAAATTCACAAAGTATGTATAAGCGTTAGAACTGTATGCATTGTTTACACAACGCCTGTGTAGAACTGTCATTACAACACTTTAAGAGAAACGACTTAATTTATTTATTTGTATATTCAGTTAAGCCAACAGCGACATTGAGAAACCGGTGATGAAAGACAAACCCGAATGGTAATATCTTAAATCAACACGCAGTGCTCTCGTGAAGTGCATATTTCCGCTTATTCACTTCATCTATTCTTTTATCAATACAATGTATAATCATTATTCATATATCCGGGTATTGCTCAATATCTTCCACGTGTGGCAAGATAACACAAACACAGTTGGCCTCCATCCTCTCTCCTCAGGGTCTAACCCAAACTTTGCAGTTGAAACAATGACTAGTTACGATTCTCTCACGCCAGAGCAGTCGGCCTTTGCACGAGCCATTGTCTGTGCACCGTGCTTTAATAAACGCCCGCTGTGTGCACCATTACAATAAACAAATAAACGCGATCTTTTTTTATTGCCAATGCTGGTGATTTACTTAATTTCAACAAAGATTTATCCAAACCTCAGAACTAGTGGCGAACATTTGGCGAACGGTACACTATTATTAGCAGTGACACCATAAAAACGTCTAGTATAGTTGCCACTTCCCAGCAGATTAGGATATAAAACCAAAACCAAACAGACTCTCTAGTTTGTCAAAAAACTTGTCTTATTTAATCTATCAAAGTCGTGGTTCTGTCCAGCTGGTAGAACCTCACAATCCTGATCCTCGTTCATAAGTTGTTCTCTCAGAGAGTTGATGTAATCTCGTGCCAGTTTTAACACCTCCAATTTCGTGATCTTCGTTTTCTCACGTGCTGCTGGGATCGCGTTTTTGAGCACGGTCATAGCATTTTTCAGCACCACAATGCGATTTTTCTCTCGTTCATTCGCCTTGTCGCGTCTTCGTCGGTTATCGCTGGTCTTTCGTGGTGTTTTCGGCGACTTTGTGATCGCCGTCTCCTGAGATCTTGAGGTGCTTTCGAGATTTCTTTTTGACTGATTTCTTCCCATTTCTTTCTTGAGGGGACTTTGTTTATCGGAATGCACAACTTCCATAGTGATTCCAGCCACCACTGGATCGCTTATTTCTGGTAAAATAGAGCAATGATGCATGGCTTCTGTGTCTAGTTGTTCCATTTCAATGATATGCTGTTGAAATTTATCCTCTATGACCGAATGACAAGCGTCGACGTAATTCGTATTTATGATATCAAAAAAATTTTCCATGTTCCTGTCCGTCTTTGAAGCTGAGTGTTGTGAATTAAAGAGAATGTTATTGTCTTCAAACAAGATCTCTGTGGAATTCATAAGATTGGCATCTATTTTTGGTTCCTCTTTTTGAGTGTTTTGCAAGCAGGGTAACCACACGTGGGCTGGTTCGAACTCCGGTAGAGCATTCAAGGATGCTTGATCATAGTGCGTTACAAGTGGTTTCATGGAGAATGTGGTGAGATCCAGCTTGCTTAGCTCTAAACAAAACACAGTGTGGACGTAAATATTTATAAATAAAATTCAAAAGATGATAACGGGGGACATAATAAAATGTGATTACTACACAACATGGTTATAGCTCAGAGTAATGCAAGATTTTATTTATTATATCGTGTCGTGTTGAATGTTGTATCATGGAGGCAGATTAATCATAACACGAAACCAATGAAACCAATTTTTCTGCTTTATTCGTTAACTGCTTTATTCTTCATCTAATCCAGCCTATGTCGACCTGTGCTAATGCAAGATTACTGCAGCCGGTTTTATGCTATAAATTCGTCTGTTTAAATAATAGCTATTGTTGGACCACCGTTAAAAGTATATTTTGATTGTTAACATCGAAAGTGTACATTCCAATACACATGCTTTCAACAAAACAGTTTCATCACTTACCCATTTTCCAAGTAAGAATGCGGAACTGGTATAGTCTCAAAACGTGAGTCGTTTCTTTGAAACTCTTACACCGTACAGCTCAATGGCAATGATAATTTTTTTACGATTCAAAGGCTTTTAAACGCTTTAGCAATAATTAGTGACACTTATCCACGCGAATCAATATGTAATTATAACGCATTAACGGTTGCTAGATTAATGATACGATGGTCACACCAGTCCACGCGGAACTATCAAAGCAACTGAAAACAATGCATTTGATTAACCATCCAATACTACACTGAGTTTGAGCTGTCGTTATTGTACTAACACACAACTGATGGATAATCATTTGTTGTGTAAGCAAGGTTTAGAGTTTGGATTCATCTGAATGATGAGGTTGCGGTACCAGTTAGATGCTACCATTGCAGATTGAGGTGAAAATATGTTGGAATTTCTCCGTAATAACGAGAAGAGCACAAAATGAGCAATCAGATTTGATCATTGTTAACAAGTGCACCCCTGGTGTGAGTTGTGATTCTAGAGAGACGCTGTAACACATGTTTAAGGACATAATGGCTTTTGGACTCGCTTTATTAATGGTTCAAATGACCAGTGACGTGTTGTTACTTTTTTTCTGGTAATTTTCATAGCTTTAATAGGTATTTGCTTTCTAATTTGTGGCGGTTCTTCTTTGGAAATTTTCAACTCATGATCCCTTACAGGGTTTGTATTGACATAATGGGCTATGATAGTGTTGCCAAATTATTATAATTATTAGCTTAAACTGGCGTCATTCAAACAGAGTGCAACGTAAACCTATTTGGTAATGTTGTTATATTGTAATGACGGATGCAAGTTCATTATTGATTTTAGTTGCGTGCATGCGTCTTTCTTTTTTCATCTTGGATAGTTAGACTAAATTATCACTTGGAGATGTGTATATAATGGTCATACTCTAAACTGGTCATTCGAAGCATTGCTATCAGCCCGTTCAATTTATGAATCCGCTGAATCAAGAATCTGTTCAGTCAATGAGAGAGCACTTTCCATTCTTTTCTAAATAATCACTGAGATTGATTCGTGAACCAAGAACTTTCTCCATAAGCCAAGCGAGGCAATTCGAAACAATTTTCATATAATTTGAGGATGTAACTGATAGATCAATACATATCTGATAATTTGAACTCAACGCGGAACTTTCTTGTGCCAGTATAAAACCTTTGCTTGGTCAGAATACAAAGAACGAACTCTTTCCCACGGTAGTAAAGTCGAGAAACAAAGAAAGATGCACATGGCTCGTGACCCCTCACCTTCTCAGCCATATAATGTTCTAGCGAAGACAATAAGATTATCGATTGCTTCTTTTCTGATCCGGGATGCTTATAATTACACAGTCTGTTGCATATTTATTCCACGTGAAGCCTACCTTTGTAATTTGTTTCAAAGCAATTAACATAAATTTGAATTAATTCAAAGTTTATTTATATCGGGCAGCTCTTAGATTATCTTAAAACGTAAAATAAACTTCCTATTTTATAATCATTTTAGTGCTGAAATTACCTTCACTTCTTTCATGTATTTAGACTGGGAAAATAGCACAAACACTTTGTTGGAAGTTATGATTTTTGATAAGAAGAGTTCTGCTTGGATTATGCAGTTTAACCATCTAACAAAGAACATAAATTTCATACCAGAGTACCATATTATTATAGTTTTTATTTAAGCTTTTCAATCTTTTCATGTTTAAGCTGGGATGCTATAGATTGATTAGTTTACGGAGTAAAGAACTATAAACTATACTAAGACGTTGTAACAGCAAACATCTATACAACTAGCCACTATAAATGACTCGAATTCTATACACATCTGCCAAAAACGATATCACAAAAATACCCGGAATAAACGAGTCAGTATGATATACAAATTAACCGGGTTTTTTACTATTATACGTAAGATGACATTGTTTAACACTTTATAATTTTAGCACACACACTGAATTACGCCAGATTTTTGCTAAAGTGCAATTTGAAGTCTTTGAACTGAAAAACATCTTGATGTCGTATGTTACTACAAGAACTAAAGTATTATCATATTTCCACTGATAATCCAATCTAATGTAAGACATATACAATAGTAACACTTAATCTAAACTACCATGTAACTGTTTTTATATAATCCCAACCCATTTGTCGTAATTACTGGTTGATACATATATATTTACAAAACAACAATTATATTTATGTGAAACTTTAAGCACTTAGTTACCAACGTATATAGACGATTATACTATTTTTTTTTTGTATTTCAAAAGAAACGTTCTGGCGTTTCACTCAATGTCTGCCATTGTGCCAATTATTGTCGTTCTCGTGAAGTAACTCCGTGACAACTTTGTTCACATCGTTGTTGTATTTTTTCAACAGTCTTTCGTTCAAGAGTCGATCACAGAATCCCATTTCTTGAAGTTTCATATGTTGAGCTCGGGTGTCATTTTGTCCCGAGGTTGATCTTTCCCTTGTTTCCACGGGCACCTGGATGAATGGTTTTAGTTAAGTGATTAAAACTCTTAGGGTAAAGACCACAATCATGTGTGGTAATCCTTCTACAGCGGGATTGAATCCCCTGTCTGTTGTATGGATGTGGATGGAAGATATCGTTAAATGTTGTTTATTTTTTGCCGGTTGTACGAAAGTTTCATAACGCTATCCACCCCATTTAGTGATTATTTCAATCACTTTAAAATTGCCTGGATTAAACCTTAGTATTCTTAAATTTGTGGCTCTCTTTTGATAACTATTATCTTCAAATCTGTAGTTTCGCTGCTCTTCAGGCATTTTCTCCAACAACGGTTTAAAACTCACAATCCAGTGGATAGCGCTATACCCAGCCTTCGTTATATATATGCAACCGGCAGCTGTATATGTATCTACTTACAACGACTTCTGGTAAAATGACGTGAATTTGAGCGTCATCTCCGCTTGCTTCAGCATCGTAAGCAACAGTGGGATTGCTATCTTTGCCAGTCACAAACGAGGTGACCGTATCAGCAACAGTACCAATGGCTCGTTTCAGCGTACCCGTCACCAGACTCGAGGCAAACTGCGCCGTGCTTTGATTTGAGTTCGGTGAAGTCGTCGGTGATGCACCTCGAGGTTGGATTGTTACTAAAATGAACAACGATTTCATGTCAGGAATAGTAAGAGCATTGGAAGCAAGCTCCAATCTGAGAGAGAGAGAGACCAACCACCAACCATGCACTAACCTGTTTCCTCTTCCGACACCTGACGAGCGACAACCACTTCGGGGGGTTGCGTCCTAACAGCTTTCCACTCACTGTCTTCAATCACTCCACTTGCGGCGTGCACTTCAAAAGAACCTGGTACTGAGCAGACTCTCGTGAGCGGAATTTCAGCGGAGGACTGCGTCTGTACGACCGGCACGGCTCTCCCGGGGGGTGACGAAGGCAATCTTCCCGGAATCATAGGGGTGCGTTCAAAGGAATGTGGTTGAGTTGCTACTGGTTCGCTAATCGTGGATCTCACATCGAAACTTGGCATTACAGGTGAAAAGTTATTTCGTTCGCTATTCTGGACGACAATATCGATTGGCGTTGATTGTGTTGACTCAGGCGTCTGACTTGCGCTTCGTGATTCAACGACAACCTCGTGGGATGACGATTGTTCTTCAGGGATAATAGGGATAACTTTAATATCTTCTTCCGTTGATCCCGCGTTGTCCTCAGGAGTCGTGGTCTCATCTTCTTCATCCGTTCCTGGTTCATCGTCCTCCTAACATTGATGAAATTATCTTATAATTACTTCACATTATATGATATTTATCATCTTAAAATACCGAAGCATATTTCAACACACTATAAGAAACATCGCCTCTGAAGAAAGGCACAAAAGATTAGCGAGAAAGATGCAACAATATCCACAGCAATACTTACGCTATTCTCCTCATTCGCTTGCTTTTGTTCGTCCACAAGCGGCTCCAGCAGAACCTCAGGCTCCATCATCATTTCTGGGCTTTCCACAGCGGCGAAATCACCGCTGTTCAGCGGAATGTCCGGATTAAAACAGGCTGGTAGTGGTACCACACAATAATCATCTGAGCTTGCGTTGCTTATCACCTCAATATCTTGTGCATCATCTAACGAATAGTTCAATATTGTTAAATTTCAAAGTGTAAACATCTACACGAGACAGGGTACTGTTGAAGCTACTGCACCTTCATTCACGATTATTGGATGATCATCGTCCAATAAGCACGTGTCCCACTCCAAATCATTACACTCGAGCAAAGATGCGTTGCTCGTTGTTGCCTGATTTTCAGATTCGTTCGTGTCGATCTCATTGTTTTGTGTTTGAACCGTATAGGAATGGAATATTGGATCGGGTTCTGTCATGATCGTCGACGAGCCATGATTGTTCAATATCTCAAGATTTGGCTCCCCAGGCGTCTCTGATTCTTGAGTGGGGGTACCGCACGCATCTTTATCAACCATTTCATCTTCTGAAAGATCCAAGAATAGGAAACAAGGTAAATACTACATTCCTTTCATAAAATTGCGTTTATCATTATCAAACTCTACTTCGGAAGTTCGAATAAGGATTGTCTGCCAAAATCTCGTTTTTTGTACAGAACTTTCCTTTGGTTTACTGGGATCGTTTGATCACTAATCGACTTAAGATCGAGCTCATCTTTAAGAGAAATATAGGAACGACAGGGTTTATGTAAGGGTAGGATGGCTTGTAAACTGTACAGTTGAGCATAACATATTTTATAATGATCTCGTGTATATACCTTCTGCTGATGGTACTTCTTCTTTGATGACTTTAACCTTGCACCAAATCTTTTTACCGAAGATTCTGCCATCATGAGATCCTCGCCACACACTGAAATAAAATGAACAAGAGCATAAGGATTGTGTCCGTTGTACGTAATAGACGATTAATACGACGGAGGTTGAATGCAGTTGGTTGTCTCCGAGGCCTCAAACATTGTTCCTCAGGTATCTTAAGTTTTCTTCAACTAAATCTCAATCTCATCCTTCCTTCTTTCCTTCCTGTACCTACGACAAACCTTACACAATCCACTTCTACATTGTGTACCTACCTGTAGTATTCGCCTTCGTCAAGTGGTGCAATGAAGGTGACCATGGCCATTCCTTCCTGGCCTGGCTCAAGATGTGGAAGATCAACTTCGTTTGATTTTTGACATCGCATTTGGCCGTACATAAATGCAAGCTATAAAAATTTACAATCGCAATAAGACAATGTTGTTCAGTTGGTGTATGTAGCTCAGAGCATCGTCACAGACGAGAATTTTGGAAGAGCTGTTGTTGTCTGCAGCACCTTTGTATTTCTGTTCCATGCGATGTTTCCAGTATTTCTGATCTTCCAGCATTTCGTAAACTAGTTTCGAACACATAAACAAAGTTAGTGTGATAAGAAAGAGAACCTTACCCATCTCTATTCCCATGATTACTCCAGTGGTAATATATTGTATAGAGTACATACCTCAAAACCTGGTGTAACTTCAGTTCCATCTGGATAACTTTCATCACCAAGACATGCCAGATCCATACCACCAGACACAGGACTCTCTGTGTTGCTGTAGATGATGCTGAACATGAAGATCAATACGCATGGTGATTATTTTAACTATTTTAAATTTTAATTGCATGAACTGTACTTTACCCAGCTTTCAGTTTTTTAATTTTCTTGTCAGCTTTCTTCTTTCCAACCTGCTCCTCTCTCTTTCTCTTTGCAAGTTGTTTCAACTTCTTACGAACTTCCTTCATTCTCTTGTCCTGTTCTTCAGCCCTTTGTAATTACAAAAGCAAAATATTTTTACCAGGTGAAGTTTATCATCTGCCCACCTTTTGTCATTCTGGATCTTGATGTTTGAAGACAAGACAAGATCGATACATTTTCTCAAGATATTATCCGGTTACCCAACTTTGCATAGCCCAGGAAGGCAGTTCTGATCAAATGGTTCAAACATATTTTAGTGATGTGGTTTGTGTGGTACTTACAATTCCACATCTTTACTTTTGTAAATAATGTTCTTAAGAAGTGGTATCATAACGCCATGTCGTCTTCCTATACCAATGCATGGGAAGCGTAGTTTGACAAACACATGGGATGGATCGTGGAGACCATCAATCACCTCGCACTCCTCGCACAAATCATAATCTGGGCAGTTTCTAATGGAGAAAATAGACTAAAACGTCAGGCTCTTACAAAATACACTAGAGCACCATTTGGGAAAGGAGTACCTTTGCTGCACAGTTCAAAAGCATTTATCAAATGGTAAATGTAATAATGCCAGAAAAAACATACCCGCATTTATAGCGAGGTCCAATAATAATCTGTTTACACCCGTTGCATGCAATACCTTCATGAACATAATGTGCTATAATGAGAAATGAGAAAACAATATTTTATCGTTTTTCTTTAGAAACAAACAACTGTTTTTCCGTCAGTTCGATAAAGAAAAGATGACAACTTACCACCATCACGTCGCACTGGTTTTTCAGCTGGTATTGATGAAATAAGAGCACCATTTAATGCACCAAGTACTTGTGATGATACTGATTGACTCATCTAACAAGAAATGAGAATGAGTTGAGGAAAAATGGGTTGAGGATATTGGCCAACATAGATCTGAGAAGGTACGCCTTGTTTTAATTCTTATGTACATAACTTATTGGTCTTTACCCATGCAACTGCTTTATTAACAATGGGGCAAATATTTTTGTGCTTCTACAAAAATAATGTGGTGTAGCACGTCAATCAATTTGATTGATTGCAATAGAAGGTGATCAACACAAATGATATTCTGAATAATTGGTGATCATGATGTGCAGTAATGTCTGTACCCAGCTGTTTCTCCAAGCAACATGCATGGTAAATGATAGTACCTGTGATAGTACCAAGTAATTATCACACCTCATAGCACCAAACTTACCTGACGCACGATTTTACCAAACCACTTTGGTGGTGGTTCATCATCACTGAGTGTAACCTCATTCAACTCTTTCTCGACTTGTTCAACCTCAGCGTCCACATCTTGTTGTCTTGATATTGGTGAATGTGTAGTCTCCACCTTTGTTGCCGGAACTTGGGATTGCTTGCGCTCAACGTCAGGACATGTTTGATCAGCTTGCTGATTGCTCTGATCTTTCAGACTGCTTTGATCACCACCTTGGTCTGCCTGAAGGCTTTGGTTAGGTTGACAGGTCTGGTCTAGCTGTGCGAGTTTCATGGCTGCAATATCTTCTGCCAAAGAGGTGTAGTATTTACTTCCTTGTAGCTTCTTCTCCTTTTTAGTTTTCCTTGGTTCCACTTTGTTTGCTGAGGCATTGCCAGATTCAGGAATCTCGCAAGCAGAGGATGCATTATTTCTCCTTTCTTGATGTGCATTTCTTTTTCTATGCTTTTTCTGTTCTTGCCTATTTCTCAATCCGGCATTACCCTGGTTTCCTTGGCCAGGGGTCATCAGAGATCTTTCCAGTTGAATATCTGAAATATCGCTACACAACGAAGTGTAGAATCCAGCCCGCTTACGGTTTGGTCTCGGCTTGGGTGTTGGTTTATCACCAAGTGTCATGCCCGACAGTGGTTCAACCAAGGCTGTTGGATTACCAGCGGCAGAATCAGTGTTGTCTGAAGGCTTCACAGGCGAATCAGATTTTGGCTGAATAAGAGACATGTAATGTTAGTGGTTTGAGACTTGAGAGGTTTGTTTTGCAGGAGCCAGTTGTATAAAACTGTTAGTTAAATCCTAGTTAACTCAGAAATACACAACTTGGTTTGGCTAATTTTGTCCTTAACTGCAGTCAAAAGCAACTAATCTTTTATCAACTGGCCCCTGGAGTTACTTGATAATTATTGTCAGTACCACATTAGTCATTGCACTCATTGTTGGACTTTCTTCTGTGACAATAGTGATCTTCAATGGGCCAAATTTTTCTCCAACCTTGGTAAACAAATCATAATTTTACATGAAAGAATTGAAGTAGCAATGAATTATTGTGAATCTGGGAAAAGTCTGAATGATTTAATGCTTACTCGTAATGCCTCTTGTAGTTCTTCTGTAATGGTAGAGGAGAAATGATATCAATGATTGTCGAATACAAATGAAAAATTTTCAAATAACAACACAATTTTAATATTTACCTTTGGATCCCAGTTCAACCTTAAATAGGAAATGAGATTATTGGAATTAACATTCAAGAAACCCAACATAAAACAAAGTTCCCTTGAACAACAGTGATTCATGAATCAAGTTGCAGATAGCATCCAGCTTAATGCAAAACATAAACTATTATATTGCCAATGTTTTTAGTGCAACATTTCACAAATGAAGCATATGCAATCACTGTGATGCAATCAAACCATATGCATGGGTTAATATTACAGAACAACAAACGATTCCACAAAAATTACCTTGATGCTTTTAATATATATTCAGTAATACAATGCAAAATTGAACCGGAAATCAACATTAAACTTTATATTATTATGTTTTCTTGGAAAACGTAATATGCGATACGTTTAATACAAAACTTAAAACGCAGATGAAGAAACTGTCGATTGAGTAAAATTCAGCGCATTTTGACTTCAATTTTGCACCTTTTATGGTTACAAAATACACGAAATTCTCAAGTATTTGGTCAATTACGCAGCAAAATAAATACGACATCGTATTACAGAAATGTATTTAAAAATTGGCAAATACTTATTTATATTAACTAAAAACACGTATCCTTACCAAATCTCCCTCTTCGTCGCTGTATTGAACCTGGCAATGTGATATCCCAAAGCTATTCTTCAGCTAAATAACGAATGAAAAAAGCCCCTAATTTATAATTCAAATCGCCACAGGAAAAACAACAGATGATTTCGTCGACAATACCAGATGATAAAATTCTTCGTAAGAGCTTTCTTTCGGGATCTTTAGTAATCTAATGACTCCTTTACATTTTGCTTTTATTGTCACTTGCTGCCGTTCCGACATAACGACGAAAATAAAAGAAAATTATCGATGTTTTCGTTTACAGAAATGTCGAAGTAAGCTTTTATCTGTGTTTTGTTTATTTTTTTGTCCTCGGTGTTGCCACTTTAACTGGACGAAAAATTCTCGAGAAATGCACAGCAATTTGTGAGAATTTGAACTGGAATTTGCAGAAATTATATTTAAAAAATGCAAGACTCAAGAAAAATTCGTATATTTTTGTCTAAAGTCGATTGCATATACAATTGCCTCACTGAAAACCAGGCAAGAAAGTGTTTTTTTACACATACCTAAGCGAAATTTAAACGGTGAATTTTGAAAATGGGTGACGTAATGTTGCGCAAAGATGGAATGACCTAATGTTTTCGTTTGAGATTTGCATTAGTCAGAATGATCGAGCTATATAGCAATTTCTCATTCCAGAAGAAATCTATTTTCAAATATTTCCTAATAATGTGAGTCACATATATTTCTTGAGAATGAGAAGAATAGTTTATTGCTTTATCTTTGCGGTAAATATAGCAAAGTTCTAATTCAAAAACGAGGCACTTAGGGCCGAACCCCCCCCTCCCCCCCAAAATGGTTAAGATATAGACTCAAGAATCATAAGATATCTTCAAAATTGGCCACTTCTATTGTATAACCACAGCTGGACAGACGGTAGATACTAGCTTAACCGCGGGTTCAGAGGCTACGACGTAGGCTAGTACCTGCAGAGTATTTCGAGACATTTTGTTGCTATACCTTCCAGCCATTTCAACCTGCTGCCTCATGGTGAAATGGAAATAAGTCAGCAAACAGAATTCAAGCCTGGCTAATAATAAAAATTCCTTGTCAGGTCATCTTGCTACTATGTAACATCATTCAGGGGCAATTACACCAGTGTAAATGGGTTCTGGTACTTGAAAATGCCCTGAGAACGTCTTTCAAAAACAGAAATTTATAGTTATTTTCGCAATCCCAATCAAATGGTCCAATTGTCCAATCAATTGCCATTTTACCAGGAAGTAATTTCACACTCCTATCTTCTCAGTCGTGTTAATCACAGTAATTACACACTGAAATGGTATACTGAACAGCGATTAAAAACAAGCTAATATTCCTGATAAATGACGGCGGCAAAGCTATCATATCGATACTCTTGAAAACATGCACCCGTTTTTCAAAATGTCGGCTTTATTAATGCCTTTGTACCGTCACTCAAGTACCATTGTTCAGTATCACCTATAAGGCTATATATTGTAAAACGTGGGTAAGATATTACGATTACAGAAAACATTGTCTCTTGTTCGCTTCACTGCGCTTTTCCCACCATTTTAGATCTAATTTTAACTCATTCCTCGTGGGCATTCTTGACAGCTCTTGTCATTTCATTACTGAAACTAAACTGTCATATTACAAACACCCCCTGCACGATACCCTTCTCCCAATGGCAAAGCTTCTCCTTTCATGCAGGTCCATACAGTTTTTACCACCATCTATTTCTCAATTATCTTTAGCAGTCTGGGTGTGAATACACCTGGAAAGAGCCTAACAATGTAATCGGGGACAATACTGGATGAAAGTGGATGTTTGGATTCTGGGGAATACTAAAAGGAAATAAAACGGTCATTAAATATACACCGATCAAAGTTCGCTTAAAAAACACGCGCGTGTGTCGTAAAAAATGCAAAGCTTAGCAAATTGACAAGACGACAAGGAAGGAAGGAAGCGGTGAAGCCATGCATGCGTGCATGCATGTCTGTGAAATGTCCTTCCCTTGTCTGTGATTTGCCGCTGATAACAAAGGCTTCGCAACGTGGTTTTAGATCTTCAGAGATCTTCATTTTTTCACACTTGATCCCAGGGACGCAACCTGAGGATCCTGCATGTGCAAGCTTCTCTGTTTCCCTCCTGCCGGTTGAAAGTACTTCATTTGGGAAATGGTCGAGACGTTTGCAGAGCTTCAGCAAAAACAGGACTTGATGTTGTAGGAAAAAGGATTTGAAGGTTTAACAGCTTTCTCTTCGTTAATGCTGTGACTGGTAACCAAATAATTCATGTATAATAGTCGATATTGAGAGAAAACCCTGATTTTCAAATTGAAGGCATCCTTCAAAAACAATGCTTGATTAACGATCCAACTAATAAACACGTGGACAAACCAGAAACACATGTTCCACTCACATGCACATACGTATAATATAAAAAGAATAAATTCACGCAACTTCTCTTGAGATATTGAGAAAGCGAAAAGCTTCATCAGCTGAGGTATATTAGAGCTTCATATATTTGCAAATCTCGTAAATTGTTCAAGTGAAGGCATCAGTTGAGTTGAAGAGTTGGTGCTATACTTTTCTGGTCAAGGGCGAGACTTGGATCTGAGAAAATTGGGCGAGGTGATAATTGTGTCTGGAGGCAAAAAATATTAAGATGATGAATTACGTAAACCTTGTAAGTTGTCTGATGTTTTTTCTCAGCTAATATTTTTTAATAAATCTACAATGCACAAAAACTACCCTACAATTCTACCATCAATGCTCCGTGAAGGAAACAAATTCATAGCTTAGATATAACATCAATCCTCTTGAGTCTTGAGATGCATTCACAAGTAGTTATAACCAGCTGTGATTTAACCATGGTTGTTCACTGCATAGAAATCTTGAACCGGCAATAAAAGCAGTTCAAGTCTGTTCACTAAACAGTTAAGAGTGAAACATGTAATCCGATTTGTTATCATTGTGATAATTACACAAAATTTACAAAGAGCTCACTGTGGTAACTATCTGTTTGTAACTAATGATACTCCCTAATTTATTTTGCAAACGGAAACCACTTGAAAAGTTGAGTCCTATGCAAGTCATACCCCGCCGAGTTTTGTTTACTGTGTGTGCCTTCTTTGGATATTTGCCAGACAGTGAACATATGATTTTGTAAAATTATAGGTACCTAATAACATAGTGCAAAGCTCTATTCCTTCACGGCAAGATCGTTTCCACGACCAATACTTGATATTGGAATGCAGTGTAGATGACTTGGTAAGCCTCCTCGACCGCTCTCCACGCGCGAAGAATGCGTGTACCCAACGAGTCACGCGGGACGCTGCCTGTCAAACTAACGAGCCCACGGCTGCGAAAAAGTTAGCCGCTGACCTGAAAAAGCGTGGTGATAAGCGAGCACGCGCTACTTATAGGGAGCGGCAACGATTATGCGCACTTAACGACGCGTTTGAAAGACTGAAAGAAGTTCTTCCAAACGCAGATGAACAGATGAGAAAAGTCGATGTTCTTAAAATGGCCTCCCAATATATCAAAACAATGACGCTGCTGCTTGGAGAAAATTCTGAGATCTGAAGGGCATCAGAGGCATAGCTAGGGCAATGGGTGAGGGCTGGTGGGCCCCCCCCCCGTTCCTGAGAATCCTTGCTATGCCTCTGCATGGCAATAGACAACGGAAATTGTAGGATTTATAGCCATGATTTCTGGCTATTTGGATATGTGACAGTTCATTGTAGATGAAAAGCATAGCTAATGGTGCAGCATATACAGAAGAAAAGCATTGGGAAATAAAACATTTAATAAACATTTTAAAAGTACAGAACTTTATGTGCTACCTAGGTTTGGTCTTGGTGGAGGTTTGGTGGTTTGGTTGGTTGGTGGAGAAGTCAAATCTATCCAGTTGTTGCTTTTAGTTTCTGGAAAAAATAATTTGAGTGAAAATTAAAGTTGATGTGCCAAAGATATAGTTTGTGTTGACAAGAGTGTTTCATTTCGTTCTTATTGTTTTGAAAACTCCATTAGTTTCTCATGTTTCCACCTCACACTTTTGTTACCTTTGTTCGTTTTCTAACATTTGTGCTGTCTTCCGCTTCATTTTCAGCTTCATCATCTTGTGACGTGTTCTCCTGATTTATCTCCGGTTTTCCATCATCTGCACCAGCTTCATCATCAGCGTCACCAGATTCACTTGTATCACCAGGTGGACGAGGCGCGGATGGTGACACCACACCCAGCAGTAAATCTGACAGGAATACTAAAACCTAAACACAAGCATATACTGTATGAAATAAGTGATAATTTGTATAGAATCAGCCATCACAACAAGCATATCAAATATACAAACCACTCCTAAAATCAAGCCGATAAGAACAGTTCCAACTCCAAATAGGACATATGAACCCCAAGCAGGTAGACCATAGGTTTCTGTCAATGTTGTGTGAATGTTCTGAATGGAAATAAACACAATGTTCCCAAATGCAACTGACACAAATCTAGGCTGAAAAATCTTAAGACCAGCGTATATTATCTATACCACCTTAAAAACAACTGATGCTTTGAAAACCATGCCCAGACCAGACATGCTAAAGGTAAGAAATGTATGTTAGTTTGATAGTAAGCCACATTTGATGCAAACGCCCAGCTTACAGAATTGAGCTGGGAGATTTCCATGATGGTACAGGCTCCACTTTCTCCCACTTCTTGTCCTTAACAAAATCCAGTAATTCGTCCAACTTTCTCTTCTCTTGGTATAAACGAAACTTCCCATTCATAGCACTAGATAAAGACAAGATGAAATCAATAAGAATGGAACATGCATATCACGTTCTTCTCCACATGTACATATGTACCAAGCCAATAAAAAAACTCACTGGTATATGGTTGGCAGCGACACAATCCCAAATCGCCCACTCAAAGCTGTTCAGACAAAAAATAAATTACTCTTTGGGTGTACATTGTCATTTTAATGTGAACTTTTATACATGTATCGCAAAATTTTAAACAAAACCTGTGCTTCTTGTGACATCGACCTCTCCAACCCTGACGTTAAGAGACTCTGCTTCCAATGCAAACTTCTCCCAGGTTGGTTCAAGATTTCTACATGCTGGACACCATGGTGCATAACTGAAAGTTGAAAATGACATTACCATTTTACAGTACTATGGTGACATGGTTTAACTTTAAATCCAGGTTATGTTTAATACCAATACCAGTGAACAGTCCAGTTGTATAAAGTGACACTCACAATTTTATCATCCAGTGACCATGTAGAACAGCATCCCAGTTATCGTCTGTAATTTCCTCACTCTGTCCCGAAGCAAACGCGCCATTCCACACAACAAATAGCAAGAACACGTGAAAGAAATTCATTCGACGAAGAACAAAAGTCTTCCGCAAAGACGCCATTTTGGAAAAGGAAGGTATTGTGTTGCCACTTAGTATAGAAGACAGTTCACGAAATTTTTTCTCACTGAAATATTCCCACGTGGAAGCGCAGATGTCGAAATTTTTTAAAAATGGCAGCTTGGAATAATGTGAAGCATGCTTTTTCAAGAAATACTTTCAAAAGGGTTTTCAACGTTAAATTAAATGGAAATGTAAGTGTTTTGAGCTGAATGCTCTACTTTACTTTCTATCTATATTGCCTATATCTGGTTAACGTTGTATCACTTTTGTAGCTTGTTAAAAAACAGTGCACTTTGACACACGTTTTGGATGATGTTCGACCGAGTGTCTCTGTGGTCAATATTTCGCCGAAGACAAGGCAGCTGTTAAATACAATTAACAAAAGTAATAAGTGGTATGTGTAATCCTGTGTTCATTCTTGGTAAAAGATAGAACTTGATTAAAGTTGATTTTAACCAATAGTATTAGAACTATTAAATACGTACTCTGAATCTCTGATACTCATTTTGACCCAGTTATAGGTCCATTTCTTAATAAAGAAGTGCTGTTATGTGCAGAAGCGTAATCAACATAGACAACAATCTCTTTCCACTGCATAAAATCAGTTGCACCATACTGACCATAGTAGATAAATCATGGTCCAATCTCTACAGTGTAAGAATTGTGAAACATCTCTACATCACGAGGCCTTTCTAAAAGCTCAAAACCAACAGTATTATGGAGAATTTAAATAATATTTATATCCTAATTATTAACTGTGTACACCTTCATTCTTTTTAGGAATAAATCTGTTTTGGAGAACATCACACAGCGTTCAAGCTCTGTCATATGTTTACTTGGCAATGGGAATGCAACTTTGCTAACAAGCCTATGTACAGCGCTAGATGAACTTTCAACAGAGGGTGATGACGATTCAACAAATAGGAAGAAACGTATATATTTTCCAGAACAATTAAACGATGACCCATAGATTGTGAAGTATCTGTAATTCAGATGATCAGGAAGTTGATTTGGAAGGTGGTTTGCCTTGGGAAGTGTATTTTAAATCTCTGAAGTTGTTTCAAAAGCAAGTCCTAACAGCAAAAATTGGGAATGTTTCATGCTAACTTTGAAAGATAGATTTTTACAAGATTAAAAGATATTTTAAAACCAAAATTTTGTTGCTTCTCATTATTTTCTCCTTTAGGACTAGTACCAGTCCATTCTTATTATTACATCACCATCGTTCCACTCACACAGGGCTCAACATGGGATTGAAACAAATTCCATACATGAACACCTTTGCCAATGTTCTGGTCTGAACACTGCCTCGTTCCAACTTTGAAGGTCCGTTTACACTTACAATTTTTGCTGCAATTTTCTTCTTTTGGCAGATGTGAATGAGTAATTAGTTACGAATGCTCTGATGTATTAAAGCTCTTATTTGAACATCAGTAACTAATTCACTCGTTCACATCCATCAAAAGAAGAAAATCGCAGCAAAATTTGCAAAGTGTTAAACGAGCCTCAATCCGTCTAATCCTATGGTCCTATGATTCCTGAGCTCTCTCATTTTTTGCATCAAACAAGGAAAGCCCGGTGTTCATTAGTTTTCTGAGGTAATCAAATTTCGTCCGGCGTTATGAAACGTCATTATGAAAGAGGTCTATTGCGCACGCGTTTTATCTGAATCAGGCGCGCGTGCCAATGATTTGATTTTGATGTCATAATTATTTGAATATTATATATACAAATTCGTAAGTAACATGAGTTTGAATTTGCTGAAGGTGTTACTTATTATTTTATTATTTCGGTTGATATACTGCTTCTTTCATGGGAATTATATTCCTTATAAACTATATGGTGAAAAAGCGTTTAAACAATATGCTAACAGCGAGAAGAACAAGCGTTTTCATGACACCGATGAAAAATACCCCAGAGAAATAGCTACATTTATCGATGACGAATATTGTAAGTACAAATGTAAAGATACGCCAGCAGAGCTGAGATATTACGTTGTTTTAACCTTTCAAGAGAGATTACGTTGATTTAACCTAGAGATTACGTTGTTTTAACCTAGAGATTACGTTGTTTACTAGATTTCTAATTCAGATATCTATAGTCCCAGTCCTCTCCACTCAAACCACAGAATAGACATTATAGCAGAAGGCTTACTCTTTGTATTCTCCTAATGTTTCTGAGTCCAAAATTTTTCAGAAGCGCACACGTCATTCTACGCCATCCTGGTGTGTGTGTGTGTGTGTGTGTGTGTGTGTGTGTGTGTGTGCGTGTGCGTGTGCGTGTGCAGGAACTTCGTACCCTCATAAAAAAGTTCTTGGACACACCAGCTAGGATGGCGTAAGCAAGATACAAACCAGTGAACTCAAATAAAACTGGAACGCTCACTCTCTGCATGATTTTCCTCATTGATGAGTGAAGCCAAGATGGCGGATCATGAGGTCTTTCTCGCAGGTATGATTCAGGCCTCTGGCGCGGAAGTTTCAAAAGGAAAAATAAAAATTGCCGCCATTTTACCTACGAAATTTCCGCGTGGAGGCCTGAATCATACCTACAAGAAAGGCTTCAGTGTCCGCCATCTTGGCTTCAAACTTCCGACAGAGTGAGCGTTCCAGTGTTATTTGAGTCCACTGATACAAACTGAATGCTAAGCGCCATAGTGCTTGCATGTGCTTGCGAACTTGGCCTTGCGTGGTGGTGGCGTCACACTCACTCGAAAAATTTCGCACGCCAAGAACAAAGAGTGGGACTTCCGCTAGAATTACGTCTATTCTGTGCTAAAACCCAGATATTTTCTTAATTTCAGCATGTCGTTATGCACTAGGAATGAGCTATTTCATGTTAAGAGGAAGAAGTCCTTCAATGGGATTTATTAACCGCCAACTTCATAAAGGAACTTTTAAGTTAACAAAATATGGTCCAACTGTGAACAGGTATCATAAGTTCACCGCTACGGGACCATATGCTTACATGCCTACTTACCATGATAGAACAATGTATGAAGAGATTTGGGGGGGTTTAAAATATCACGACATCTATGTGGAAATACAATTACGTAAGTATATTTAATAGAGGTTTTTCACACACCGTCACGATTTTCTACCAGTAGAATTAGTTACATATCGCATCGTGCGAACGATGTTTTAGAAGCATACTCGCTCGCTCGCCATTCTTTCACACATCTGCCTTCTCACCCACCTACTCGGTCACCCACCCACTCGGTCACCCACCCACTCGGTCACCCACCCACTCGGTCACCCACCCACTGGGTCATCCACCCACTCGGTCACCCATCCACTCGGTCACCCACCTACTCGGTCACCCACCCACTCGGTCACCCACCCGGTCACCCACCCACTCGGTCACCCACCCACTCGGTCACCCACCCACTCGGTCATCCACCCACTCGGTCACCCACCCACTCGGTCACCCACCCACTCGGTCACCCACCCACCCTTCAAATTTTCAAAACGTTCATAAAAAAATATCCCCTTTTGATAAAAAAAGAAACAGTATATTTTCCTAACTAACCCAGATGGTGTGCACATTCTTGATGGCCACGCTGTAATTGGAGGACAGATTAAACACGAAACTTACATCTTTCTCGTTGGTAATTCCTGGCCTACGACCATAACACGCTGGGCTGTAAACTACACCAGCGACTACAAGGAATGGACCCGTTATAAGAATAAAGATGGAGAGGAACATGTAAGAAACAAACTATCCTCGAGGAATTGCCAGATTTCAACAACAACCGCGCGGTGTGCATGATAGCTGTAACTGGACTTGTTGCACGTCCTCCTGAAGCCAAAATGGTTTTACTCGATTCTTAACTAAATAAATTCTCTGATTTGGCTAAAAACTGGTAACACACTAGGGCCGGTTGTTCCAAAGACGTCAACTTTTTTTTTAAAGTTTAGTGTTTAATTAACATTCGACACGAAATGGATTGACCCACGTAACAGCGTGTTTCAAACCTCAGTTGTAGTGACAATCATATTCTGTTCTAGCACTTCAGGTTGTTGGAAATGACCAGAAAAGACGGAATGGCTTATCCTGGTTACCACAAATTTGAACCTAGAATCATTGCCAATCGTATTCGCATTTTACAGTTATCATACAGAGTAATGGCAGCCGGATTAGGTGGATGTTTTGCAGTGGAGCTCTTTGGTTGCAGCTACGGTAAGTATGTCCATCGCCGGCGGAATCATTTCGCATAAAACTAAAGGATAACTTTTTCATTAAATAAGATTCTTGCTGATGATTTGTACACGACCAAGATACTCGTCTCAATTTGTTTTGCTATTTCAGATGGCGAAAATGCTGGCTTACAGACTCCAGTAAAAAAGGAGAAAGGTATCTACCGCATCGCGTCGTTGTTTTCGTTGCTTCATTTAATTTGCTTTACAGCGCACAACTGCAGTCATCTAAAACAAATTTTACAAAAGGAAAAGAACCCCTGAGTGTTGTATATCTGCATGAGTATCTCCCGTTCTTCTTGTCTATAGTACAACCCCATGTACAATTTTAATTTTTATTGATATTTTGCCAAATAGCTAGCCACGTTTCATTCGTATACCAAATTTATCCGTGTATATACTATGTTCAATTTCAGTTTTAGCACGGATGAAATTGAGAATGATGAAATACCTACCTAAAAAGGCAATTTTCACCCGTATCTATTTCATCCGTACCAATTAATTCCTAAAACCGCGCGTGGTGTTAATGAGGCTCAAGTGAACTGACTTGCCTTCAAAACTTTTGTAGGAACCTACTGGTTGACCAATGAGACTGTTTATCCATGGCAACTTTACGCCGTTTTTGTAAGTCATCGTGAAACCATAATAGCGACCTTAAGCAAGTAGGACGCGAACGCGACGACGACGGCTATCAATACAATGGGTCATTGAAAAGAAATGAATAATTAAAGACCCATGATGGTTTTAGAAGTCGTCTTCGTTCTGTTTACAACGAGAAAACGTGGTTTTTTGCGTCTTGCCTAGAACGGATGCATTTCAGGACCCAGCGAGCCCTACCTCGCATCAGGGTCTATAGAATTGTCCTTAAACATAAACACGACGTTCTTAACGTCTTAGACTCACTAAATCGGTACAATTAATAATATACAACAACAACTTTGCTATAGCATTTTTTTAAAGGAGACTTTCAGCCTCATCGTCGTCGTGTTGCCGTCCAATGTGCTTAAGGTCCCTAAGGACTGTCTATTGTGATATCAACAAATTACACTTGTTTATCAAGTAACTGATTACCTGCATTTTCATACAGAACCGACCTGCGTATACGACTGTTCCTGAAAAACAAGTAGCAATGGTACTATCAAAGTACTATGTTGACGACTTAGAAGACGGTATGCTCTCTATCTATGGCCATTGTCAACCATACGGGAAATATCCAGCTCGTTTGATTCTGGCACAGAAAGGCGAATTTTGGTTTCCAGATGGCAGTCCCTTGAGATATCGTCTTCGTGATGGTAATACACCAGAGGTATTGCAAAACATCGTTTCTCCAGAATGTCTTTAGACTCTAGCTATTGCTAAACCATCTTTTTCTGTAATTTTCTTGTAATATTAACATGTGAGATCCATTCATTTGTAGGCAGTGCATTTTATTTTTTATAGTGTATAACGAATTTCAGAGATTACATTAACGACCCATTGAAGTCACTGGAATGTTTTCAAAATCTGGCACACTTCAAGAAATCGTGGGTAAGTTAACCTAAGGCCACCAGCCTATATAGTGGAAAATCACCGTATGAAATAATTATGCATTGCTAAAAAACACGCCTCGACCTCGATACAAAGTTACGGAATAAAATATGAAACAAATTATTGAGTTATTAAACAATTTTTGGGAAAGACTATAGTGTAACCATTTTACTTGTTTTCACTCTAGGACATCCCAGCATCTAAAAAAATAAAATATGAACCCCGAAAAGGATATGTAAGTGAATCGTATTATGCAAGTGTATAATCACATGCATGTTCATTCCAATTTGTTTTTCTTTGTATTTATTTTATGTAACTGTTGTTTTGACCATGCATTCAACAGAGAACGCGGTATATCGCTGCCACTAACGAACTAGAAACTGTGGTAAATAAAAAGATTCCTCAAACTAATTTCTGGTGTGCGCAGAAATTTGTGAACACAAAATTTTATTGTAAGTGCTATTCCTTATTGAGAAGTTTGTCCTCTTTTCATTTCATTTTATCTTTCGTCACACCATTCTTGCACACCTTGCATCCGATGCTATTCCATGCAGGAAGGCCGGAATGATGCAAGGGCAAAGGGGGAATATTCGTAAAAAGATGCTTCTGTTGCGACGCATAGCAAAGAATCTTGGCAAAATAACGTCTGTTTTATAGTGTTTTCCCTTTACAAGATAGTTTTGGGATTTTTGACCCAACAGATTCACCTGCATGTGTTATTTTTGAAGCTCGTTGGTTGCACTTCTACTTAATAAGATCATATAGTGTCACCCTTTTAAAGAGCATTTCCCCCCCCCCTTTGCCCTGCTGGTAAATGATGACCAAGAAAGGGGAGGCGAGGGAAGCTGCCCCATGCAATGTCCCGGCGTCACTGGGCTATTCTCTGGAGTCTGAAAGCCCAACGGTGTTATTACTCTATATTTCTAGTTAAACCGTATCCCACCAAAAGAACTACAGGTAACTGTGCGATGATTCCAGAGATTTTTCTTGAAGGTTTGCGCAATATATTCAGCTGACTATTTGTATAAAATATCTGGTTTTTAGACTGCAGTGATATCATCTTGGCTTTCGGTGATTCGTATTGCAAAAATTCATTAGCAGAATACTGGGGTAAGGTGGAAACGACTCGTTATCAAAGTTGGCATCATAAAACATTGATGACACAACCAGTATATTTAAGAAATCATCCATCCAGTTTAGTTTTGAATCATATAACATGCAGTGACTTGGTATATAAACCTGAAAATTCTGATGCAACTAACTGATATGAACGGGTCCATCATGATGATTTCATCAGAGATGAGATGAGCATGAAAGCATGCTATATTTATATATCTGCGACATGCGTGAACCCAAAATGCTTCCCGCTTTAGAGATCGACCTGAAGAAGATTTTCCTGATAGACAGCCTGAAGTTCAAAGGTCATAAAGATAGTGCTAGAAAAAGCTGGGCAAGCCGTGTCAAAGTTATGTACAGTGAAGATAAAGACGTTTGGCTGTTACTCAAACAGCGCTACTTAACCAAAGCGGTAATATATGCATGATATTAATTGTATGTGAATGGGCCCTGAATACAAAATTAAGAGAATTCCTCAGAACAGCTGAGAAATAGTGAAAAATATCATAGTTATCCGTCTGCGCAAAGTTGGCAATTTTTTAAAAAATTTTGAAGCGAAACTTGATGGTACTTTTGTCTGCATATAGCCTGTTGACATATATAGCTTGAGCCGATAATAAAAGCAAATAATAATATAGTTTTGTGTTTCTGCATGTTGTCTTCAGGATTTTAAAACTAACACAGGGTCGAGACATACCTCCCACCATTTCTTGAATCCACGAATCAAGGCGAGATATCTACGGATCACTGCTGTGGCAGGAAGCCGCGACCGTTGCATGAGAGTTGAAATACGTGGCTGCAGCAAAGGTAAGAAAGATCAGGCCATCGCTATTTCCTATTGCAAGATCATGTCCCTGGATTGCTTCTCTAGACTATTACGAGATGCTTTCATGTATTTTAGAGCCTTGGTTGCAAGCAAAACAGAAGGTTAAAGACGATGCTAAAAGTAATCATCTTGCAATTACCAGATGAATTAAATAATGATATACATAGCTGACGACCATATTCACATTTATTTCTAGGAATTGGTCTCAACATGTGGCATGTTGTAGTTTTCAATAAAAATAAGGGGAAACGTTTTCAAATCAAATGTTACCATGACGATGCTCGCGCAAATGTGATCGAAACGGTTTATGAAATAATTGGTAGCTACGAATTCCCGCTGAAAAGGGATGAAATTAGACTTCTGGAATGGAAGGATGCGAAGATTTACAAATGTGTTGCTCGTGACCAATTGAAAAGGGTCGTCAGTACTCAAATCTATATCATTACGAGCTGTAAGATTTCATTAACAAATTGGGTTGTGCATGATTTGAGTTGAATTGAGGGAATAATTTTGACGAAAGAGTGAGATCTGTTGTTATTTGTTTCAGACGGAACTAATTTGCTCATTCCTGTACAAGAGCAAGGCCTGCTTCATCAGGGCGGATCTCCGTTGTTTAACCCTTATGGCACAATTTGGACACATGAACCCGTCACGGCCAAATTAACGTTCTTGCATTTTCCTAACGGTAAGTAAAGTAAGTCTTTGTTCTGATTGTCTTTCGTGGGGTGACAAATGACAATATAACAACCTCATAAAACTCGTTGTCATCATTTGAAAATGATGAATGAAGCAACGTGAGGAACAAGTATATATATATATATATATATATATAATTATATATATATATATATATATATATATATATATACACGCAGTGAAGTAAATAGATGATGAAATATTCTTGCAATTTTACATGCTGAATTCCCAACTTAAATCACACAATAATAATAATTATACAATTATTCATTGCACTGATGAAGGTCTGCATGGTTAATAATGTGTTTAGTTAAATGTTAATGTTGACTATAGCTCTTCTTGATTAGAATTTAGCGATCTCTTCTTATTTTAATACAGTGAGGACTTCATACGAATGGTACGGTCGAATTGGTCCGTTGGCGTGGAGATCTGGCGGTGTTATCAAAAGCCTTGGAAAGGCAAGAACAAGACGCGAATGTCTTCAATTAGCAATATTTGCTGAAGAAAAATACTTTATCTTTTCGTCCAAAATAAAACAGTGCTTCGCTGGTTGGGCTATACCGTATCTTGTTGATCCACGGGAAAATCTTTTTGAAAAATATAAAGACGCAATGTCTGTCTATGAAATACAGTGTAAGTTATTAAAGGATCATTCTCGAATTATTCTTAATCCAACGGAAATTTTGGTAATAATCCATATTCGTTAAATCCTAAATCCGAATTTAATCCTTGTGGATTAGGATTAATGTTCGGATAAGGCCCTAGACCTTGATTAGGTAGTTTCTTCAGTTCAGTGACAACGATCATAAACCGTCCGGTCTGTATTCTCTGTTTGTTCACAGACAATCGAGAACCATATTCTGTTAATTGGAGACACGGAGGCACACAAATTGGTGGCTACGAACATCAGCCCAAGAGACAAAAGACGATAGTTTCACAACTACTGCCGTTTAGTTCCGGCAAATTCCAGTTCCGTTCCGATGGTGGTTTTACAAGACGTAGCTACGATATGCATTCTTTAATCATCAAAGATTTCACGGTCAACGAGGTGAAGGATTATACTCTTGAAATTATGACAATCACCTCAATTCCACGGCTCATCTTCAAACGCGCAGTAGTACTGAGACATTATGGTAGGTAGAAGTCAATGCAGTCTGTTCTGCATTACCGTTCTTACCATGACAATGTGAGTTCTCTCTGATGTAAGAATTGCCCAAATTTGCATTTTTTTTTAAACATGAACTCTAGGTCATATTGATTTGGAAGAGCGTAGCGAAATCCTCTGACAATCGTAACGTCATTTGAATTTAGGGGAGCCAAGACTTAGTATGCCCCCCACTGGAGGTGCGTGTATAAACCATCCATTGATAATAACCGCTGTACCAATACGAGGTGAGTACGTTGAGGCCGTAGAATGGGACGTTGAATGGAGGAAAATAGAAAATGGTAAAGCTTTTAAGACAAAGATGGAAACACAAGATCCGTTCGTACTAAAAGCCGAACGTGCCGCGTTACGACACTCGGGAGTTTACCGTATTCGTGTGAAGAATCGATATGGTTTTGCAGAGGGGACCATACAAATAGATGTTGTGGAAAGTAAGTGACTTAGAGAAATAGATGTTTGAGAGATAGCTTTGCATGCACATCATACCACATCACATCACATCACATCACATCACATCACATCACATCACATCACATCACATCACATCACATCACATCACATCACATCACATCACATCACATCACATCACATCACATCACATCACATCACATCACATCACATCACATCACATCACATCACATAATGTTCATTTCAGACCCACCTTCTATCATTTCTGTGACGTCATCACCGCACGTGGCTGTCGAAGACTCGTCAGACGTTTTGCACGTGGACATGCGCAACGAAGATGGTCTTGTGTCAATTGACTGGTACTATAATGGAAAATTAATCAAGATTGAGGACAAGCATTTTTCATTCCCAGGTTGGTTGCAAAATCAAAAATTTTCTGCTGAGTAATAAGGCGAATTACTTGAGTCCAGAATGAAAAACTGAACTTGTCTAAAACTCTACCTCGCCGAATTCGGTGAATGTACTGGAAACACGGCATTTTTTAGCTTTTTTTTAAATCAAAATCGTAGCTTGTCAGCTTGAAGTCTTTTGCCTCCTGTAGGCAAACCAAGTAATTCCAAACAAAGTATGTTTTCAATAAATCCTTCTAGGAGCCCATCCTGGTCGTCCTGACACCAGAAAAATGTTGAAATTGAGTAATTTACATTCTGGTATGAGCGGTGTTTTCAAAGTCATCGCAAAAGCAAGATTTTGCGAATTTACCAAGGAAATAGTTGTGGATGTTTATGGTAAGACTGTCGCCTTTCCTTCCTTAGTATGGACAGAAAATATTCGCATGTGATCGCAGGTGTCAGTTGGAACAGTTGCAAGTTCTAATAATTACCTTTTTTCCCTGAAATCATTCGCCTGTCCACTCCAAAATTTTGGGCTGCACGCACACGGGTGGTTTCACGAAATGTGTTATTAACTTTGATATGGTCACGTCTTTAGTGCGTCCAAAAATGATCGTTATTCCCAACGTGCGCACGCTCTATCAGATTGCTGGTGGTGATACAACCATTGTTCAAGTTGTCGTCGCTGGTGGCAACCCAACACCTGAGGTAGGATTTTCAATTACGGTTTCAAAAATATTGGAAGTTACTCTAGTAAAACAGGGCCTTTTTTTGAACCAGAGAGAACACCTTGTATGGTATAAAGACTCGAAACTGTTAGAAGTTACAAGAAGTGGAAGAGTCAGGGTGCAAAATCAGGAATGGTTGGAGAAAAAGGGGAAATCAAGCGATGATATTCAGAATGAAAAACGTAAACGCATTGGTTGGAACTCAACGCTAAGCATAACTTCACCGCGGGTCTCAGATTCTGGCAAATATTCTTTTATGGTATCATTTCCAAGAACAAACTACACTGTCGAACGGATAATTAAGGTTACAAAGTTATGAAATAAAGTGAAATTATGAAAATGTTCTTCACTCAAACTTTTTCACTTAACTCGACTTAACTTACATTACCGTTAAGTTGCATTATAAAAAGTTGTAGTATTTTTTGAATACTCTCCTTACTCTGAAAGCAAGCATGTTTAAACACAGTATAAGCTTCAAAACACTATTTAAATATGTCTCTACCCCTTGTTATCATTCTGTACTAGAACAAAGCTTCCAAGATCCAACGCCCATTTTCGGATGCCACAGAACCCCGACGAATTGTTTATATTTTAAAAATATTGCAGCACTGGAACTTGGAGAAAATTAATCAATTTTATATCCATGCATATATTGCCAACAAATCAATTAATTACGAGATTAACATTAAAATTCAAGAAAAGCAATAAAGCTTTGCGCATAATACAGCATCTTTCAAAAAAAGCAGCTGTCTAGTTCATTATATTCATTAAAATCACATAACAAATTCTTCTGATGAAAAATAGCACCCAAATCTTAGCTAAAATAAAGCATGCTTGTTCCTTATCTTCTCAAAAAAAGCAAGCAAAATGGATTTCTTAGTCAAACTGCAACTAGATTGATGGCTAAGTTTTCAGGAATCCCTTCATCGGGGCTTTCCACATTGTATGTGTTTCCTGTACATTAAAAATTTCTGAACAAGAAAAACTGCTGTTTCTGCTCATATTTCCCTTAGGAGGGGATTGAAATTTGTAAATCTCGTGTTAGTTTGTTTACAATTCTTCCATTTGTGTATTTTTAAAAGAAATATTTGCAAGCAAAAGCAACTTTCAACATGATGTTGTTAACGTTTTTGTTTTCATTTTTTAAATTCAAAACAACACTCGTACTCAGTTTCCCGGAAGACACAAAAGAGACCACAGCTCACCCAAGAAAAGCATTATTCAAATTATACAAATAATTGAGTGCAATATTTATAAGTTGCAGACAAAAAGTTTTATTAATTCTATAATTAAACAAGCTAATCATGTTCTCGTGTCGACAAAGCGGCCAGGTTTTCTTTGTTTACGGCTGGCGAGACTTCAGTATAGTTTTATTCATAATTAATACTTCACAAAACACGGATGGACTGTGATCAAACACTTGCTCAACACTCTGAAGGCAATAATTGAAACGTTGAAGAACTTCATCTGAATTCTGCTGTGTTTGACAGTCAGGTAGGCAAAAAATAGCTTTATGGACAGGATTTGGTCCTTTGTAACGGTAGTACTATGACTTCTGGTGAAGCTTTTGATCATTTTGTCATGGTGAGACATCTTGTTCACTGAAACGAATCCTGTGAACATTAACTACTCTCTTTATCAAGACTTACTACAAGTAAAGGCATTAGTTTAGCCGAAAATATTTGCGGATGTTGTACCTAAAATAGACCATTACGTACAGTAAATATTTCAGTTGTAATTCTCAGACATTTGTCTGCATGTATGATGACAATCATACCTGGATATCGCCCCATACTGTACGTTTTCAATTGAAATGACTTTTATAAACAATATGTTTGTTTGTTTGGTGGGGACGGTTTGGCGTGGTATTCACAGTGTGTAGGAATAACAAAACACTTAGAAAATGTCAGAAATTCGACAGGAGTCACAGGACAGCAGCTGCTTTTGAGCTTTTCTCAAATTCTTAACTCAGTTTGAATCAGGCTCGATAATCTCCGTTTCTTTTTCGGCTACGCAGTCGATAGTGCCTGGTTTGGAACTGATGATCCCCTTTTGTCGTTTCGAGGATTGAATTTGCCAAGCCGAATAGGTCGATGTTCAGTAAACATTGCCCTCTGCTAAACCGACTAACCCGGCAAGGCAAGCGACTAGCTGCATGCATCTATACTCTCAGATAACTTGCTAGCTTTGTAAAACTACTGAACACAGTTCAGTCTAGTTGGTATTTTTTTGGAAAGTTGCGCAAAAAACGCCTAGCGCAGTAAGAATTTCCGGCCTAATCTTCTGCCTTTCTTCAAGTTGTATTCAACTCGAGCCAAACAATTCAATATCTGCAGCTCAATCCCTCCTATATCTGTATACACAAGTTGCACTTAAACAATAATTATCCGCCATAGCAATCTTATGTTGGGCAGTTCCGAAGGATAGTGAATCACTTTCAGGTTTAAAGTTCAAATCTCACATTGAAAAAAGTACAACGTTTTGAAAACTACCCAAAAACCAAACGGTTAGACGCTTTATTGCGTACCAAGGACAAAGCAAATGATATAAAATTTAAATTCTAGCGGCATTCATGCATTTTACAAATAAAAGCAGATTTTAAAAGCTGGAGTAAAGAGATTATAACATAAAACAATTGAATCACAAAAGACCATTCATTTTCGTAGGGAGTTTTTTGTATACAAATAGTTGTTTATAATTAAGTGTATTATAGGCATAACAACATATTTTGTTTGCGGTTTAATACTATTTTGACATGTGCTCTAAAAAGGTTGTGTGTTAATATACTATTCAATTTACTTCGACAATATAAACGCTGCCAAAGTTCTGTGCAATGAAAATCGCCGTAACATCTGTTATAACTAAGGTTTCCTAAAAACTTTCTCCGTGTAAACTTCTTCAGCGTTTGCCCTCAACAGGAAGTGGTAAGTTGTGGTTTTTGTTGATAAATGAACAGCGTGAATCTTTTAACCTGTTCACCGTAGGAACGTTAGAATAATCGCATTATTATATATATAGCTTATACTTCACACTTTGCTGTCATGAGTGTACAGAGTCAGAATAACATGTTATTTATATTGCGCTGTGCTAGTGAGTTGAAATTTAGTATGCTCTGTCGTATGAATTTTAAATCATCGATTAGTTGGGGCTTTCTAAGCCAAGTTATATGTTAATAGTTCTCAAATTAATATACCAGAGCGACTTAGACTATGCTTATAGTTGCCATATGCTGCTGATAACCGAATCCTGCCTGATTTTAACGCCTGAATTTTGCTTGTGTTGAATATCCATGTCAGATGAATAATGATTACCAATCTGGTTATCTCACACCCAGTTGTTATAAATGCATTCTACACATGCAATATGCGCTTGAAAAGCAAGCTTCAAATGAACAGTCATCACTCAGTGTAACTCATCGGCCTATTATAAAGAGTGCCTTGGTAGGATCGGACACATGCATGGTCACACACATACAAGGTCCATATGGAAGGATAATGAAAATTTCCAGCTCTCGAATTTTCATAATCTTATTATCCAATATTTCATCTCTTTCTTTGTCTTTCATGAGTTCGATACATAACGACGCACGCATTGAAAAATGTGCTCAAAAGACAAAGTCTCAATGACAAATGGCTTGTGTCAAGAGGCTATGCGAAGGAGGGCATGTGTGAACATTCACTGTGCACACGCGTCAAATACTTAATGGATTATACCAGCAATACATCACGAATTGTGCGTCGCGTCCTTAAATCGTTCCTCTCGAGTTTATCTGCTGGAGTAATCTCATTGTGTGCATCCTCAATTAAATCAGAAATATAAAGCCAGCTTTTGATGATAAACAGTTTTTTTCTAACCGCTGTTCTCGAAAAAGATGCATATAGATATATATATATTGGTTATCGGAAGGAAACCGCCTGTAAAGATTTAGTTTGCTTGTTTTCTACAACAGAGAAAAGATTTCCAAGTGCTAGCGTGCTGTGATATTACTCAATGTATGTATATATGGCAGTCCATGATATAAATATTGTACTGAATGATTATGTAAAATATTGTGTATTTGTATAGCTTGTGTTTGCGTAAGAACCTAACGGCTCTCTAGAGTGTAGATCCTAATTTTCCAAAGACATAAAAACAGCTGCAAGGCTTCGTTTTTTATTTTTTATCCTGGAGACTTGCGTACGATTTCACCACGCAGTTAATCCGATATGCATTGACGATAGAAATTTTAATGCCGTGATCGTAATGTTGACAAAAACAAGTACATAAGTTTCACACTCAATGGTACAGTACTCGTGCATGCTGGGAAGAAAAACGTGCGTGGCTGGACCCCTGCTATCATCTTGGCCAGAATAACTAAGTCCCAACGAGCCATTGCAAGCATTGGAGTTGATATATTATTGTGCTTTCCTCCATACAAACTTGTATCGCTTGCCACATTCCTAACTCAAACTCCTGATGAAGGAGTCTTCGTACTCAGTTGGATTGAGTTCGTGAGATCCATTTCCTTCTTGGCAAAAGTCGAGTAAACTGTTGACCAATCTGCCACTTTGAAAACAAGAAATTGTTTTTAATGGAAGATCTTCAGTGGCTGGATCAACTCCAAGTTTCCTGCATTGTGCAACCACAACAGAGTCTAGGAAACTAGATGACCCATTTGATAAACGATAACCTTTTAATATCACCGCAAAAACCGACAATCTTACAGATACTAAAAGACCAAAAGAATTCCTAAAATGTAGAGGACAAGTTTATGTTGTGGATCCAATTCCACTTCAGGAAATCCAAAAGCAACTAATGATTTTATTTAAATGGTGCCACTTCCTCCTCTTACCAAACCACCAAATGCTTTATTTTTTACTATAATGAAGTCTAGACTATTGTTAGCACGCCGAACACCTCTTTGAGCCAATGACTCCAGTTAGATTAAAAAGGAAGGAAGGTCAGTCATAGGTTAATACGACATGTCTCTTGAAAGCCATGCAATTACGACAAGGAAGCTCTGACGTCAAAACAACTATTTTAAAAGAACACAAACAACAAATCCGGCACGCAATTCGATTTGAAGTAAGCAGCGAGTCCGTTCAGTTGTGCAGCGGATTTCTACTTTGAAAGATTACTCTTTTCAAGATCTAAAGATTTAGGTGACTTTTGTGCCAAGAGCTGTCGACTAAAGCCTGATAAAGCTAATCAAAAGAGATTCACGTCTTTATTCCATCACTCAGAAGTCTTTGCGATCAATGCTTGTGTTGATATAAGCTCGTGGTAACTCCTGCACATGATCCAGAGATATTTCAGTCCATAACTCCACGGCGACGCCACTGGTGGGTGAGTTATTTTAATCTACAAGTTACGAGCTTGGTCTGTGCGCGCTGGTGCGCAATTTATGCGTGCCTCGGGCAACGCGCAACGGGTTGCGCAAATAACTTTCAACATGGTTTATAGTATACTCACTTGAGTGTATTATAGAGCAGTGTGTTTTAGAGCAAATCTTCGGTGAAATTTTATAAAACGTCTCGTCTATGAAAATTACTGGATATACGCATGGAAACTATGTTATTTATAGGGTAGATGATGTGGTTTCACGGAGTCGATAGGAATTGCCTGAAACAATATTTTAATTCTTATTGCAAACACTATCGATGAAGATAATCCTGAATGGATTTTATGCGGAAAACCCCTGCGCCTTTGTTATTGCTATTAAAGCATTTTTCGGTATATTTACCTGGGCGCGACACCACAAATATTAAAAATAAGGAAACGAATGCACCGCATTAAAACAAAATGAGACAACTTATCTGTAGAATATCCTGCTTTGCCAACATTCTCGTCAGTCGGAGATAGTGTAATTTTGTGAAAACAATTCCGGCGCGGCCGACTATATAAAGAGATAAAATTTGTGCGGTCGTATTAGAATAAATCTTGTTTTGTAGAGATTAAAACAAATATTCAGTCCTCTCGCTTTGGTATGTGAAGACTTTAAATAGATATTCACAGGAATTGAAATTGAATAAGTGAAACTTTTATTAAACTTTGCTAATAAAAACGTCGACAAATTTCAAGGTGATTTCGAAAGCAATACTTTACAAGGATGAAAATCACAGAAACGGCGCAATTTATGCAGGAATGCAGACAACAATCTGTTTATCTCGTGAAACAATATTTGTGTTATCATACATGAAGTACTACAATTACAATCATCTAAGTTTGATGAAATAGTTGAAATCCCTGAACTTATCACGCAGATAAGATAACAGCGAAGACCCGTACATTTTAAAATATGGCTTTAGATAAAGTAAATCGGCTTTACCTGCAAATTTACTGATAAAACTCGAAGGAAACATTTAGGTATATATTTAGGTAATATTTTATACCCTGAGGCTAAGTATTAGGTATGTATATTAACACGTAATGTACACCCACGAAAGGTTTTAAATACTCCTAGATTTTTATTATTCAACGTCTAGGTCAACAAATGGGTACTAAAAATGCGGAAAACAAAGTATAAGAGTGAAAGGATTTACACTCAGTTTATGTGCGTGTACGTGCGTATGAAAAACGCGTGTTGTTTGCATGGGAAGCAGCCCTGGGGAGGACAATTAAATGTAGTTTGTTCAATGCATTTAGTTTTCATATAACGACACCCGGTCATGGCACTAAAACATACCTTTGTTATCTTTCTGAGAAGGACAATGAGAGAACAGCTTGCTATCAAATTACCTTTATATAAACATGCATGAAACGTTTTCGTTTACGAGTTAGCAATATGAAATGATGCTGAGGCAAGGCGTCCTTAAAAAATCCTTTCATCTGTTTTAGTTAAAACGCGTCAAGACATACCAAAAATGCAATAAAATTTAAGGACTATATACTTTCAGTAAGAACTGACATGTTAAATTTCCGAGTATGTGCGAAAAGGCTTTAGCCAAATTTATCCTAACAGCATTAAATAAATCATTTTTCATGTCAAAATCCTTGGATAAATAGATATGATATTTGTGGGATTCCAGGAATTTGCAAGGATGTTATAGAGCCAGAGTTCTTCGACTATCTCATGTTGCTTCTTCCACAGCAAGTTAAAATTGTAATTCACCCTGTTTCTCTTGCTATCCTTAGTCGTAACGGAGATTTTCGGTTCGTTTTTTTCTGCCTGAACTGTACTTGGGTCTCGAAATCGTGCCAATTTGACTTAGGTGACCCCGAACTGAATGTTAATTATATTCGTCATTCTTTCACAATCTGTTATACAGTTATTACAGGAAATGTTCTTAACACTTTTATTGTCAGCTTACTGTAGAATTCTTTCTAATTTCTGATGTGAGGAAAGTGATTGAAGCCAGTTCTTTGATGCATTTTCATCAATGTATCTTTGGCTTTAGGGCCTGCCAAAAACCTCCTAAAATCTTGCTGTATTTTGTTTCAGAGTGATATATGCAGATGTGTTTTCTTTTGAAGTAAATTTCCTAAATACGTCATATGAATAATCGATCTGATTTTGACTGAAGTGGAAAGCTGGTCAGGAATCCGTACTTGAAGTTCAAGGTAAGGGTCTGCTGCAGCATTGTTGTAATTTGTGAAACAGAAATTGCAAATTCTCAGCCGAATAATGTAATACAGAATGGCCGAGATCAAATTGATCGATAGATTTTTAGGCATATGACCCACGACCTTACGCCCCCTTTAGCGTAGGCTGAAAAATAAATGAACAGCATAACTAACTGTAAACCTTTCATCTGACTGATAAACATACCAGGGTGACGTCAGTTACGTTGCTAAGATTCTTGTTCAGATAAAGTCGTGCATGAACATCTATTACTTCAAACAATCCAGCAGTGAAATCCAAGAAGCATATATTAATGTCAAAAACACATCTATCACTTTCCTAAGTAAAATCCCGTTCATCAATCACTATTAAAATTTATTACGTAAGAACGTAAAAATTAAGGATACACAATTAAAATTGTATTTATAACACACTCAAATTTGACCTTTATATGCAATGTTGCTGCGTTTTACTGTTATATTCTTTGTGTGAAAATATTTACTTGCAGTAAAGTTAGTTAGCCTATACCTAGAAGTCGTGTGCAATCGTTTTATAATCTACGAACACAAATCACTCGTCATGTGCATTTCTTTGAAAGAAAGCCCGTTATATTTGGACTTGTCAGTCGAAGCAAAGGGAAAGTTTATACTTCATCGTAAAGTTTGAAAGTGAAGAACGGACGTCCTCGGCTCCATTCTTCTTGTCTCCACTCGATGCCTGCGTCATGCATGTTTGTATAATTCCGGCGCCTATAATCGTTTCTCTGGATATTTTAAGTCAATTTAAGAGTCCCCTTCTTCTGCCTGTGTGACGCATTAAGGAAGAACTTAAAAATGACGTAAGAAAACATACTTTAGAGTAAGACACTTTTAAAGAAACAAGATCGTTTAGTGCAAATGATGACAACCATACAAACTTCCAGTCTATCCGGACGATAAGCACATAAATACCTACCAAAGTCCAAAGGTATATCCTAATATAAAGACAATTGAGCAATTGTAGACAAATATGTCAAGAATTTTATCGCTCTAGATCCCCTCTTTTAATCATTCTAGACTTCATTTTTATTATTTTTAACAACTCTAAGAACGCAGCAGCGGAAATTTAACAACCTTTAATTTACGTATCATTAAAAAAAACTTGCAAAGATTAAAATAGTTGCATTGTCTATTAAGTATGTTGGAATTTAATGCAGCCATGAGCCACTTCATTTTATGAAGTTGGGAAAAAACTGTCCTCTAGAAAAAACTGCAAGACGAGTGTATTGAGGAAGGGGTCTGGACGAGTTGCAGTTTGCACGGTTGCACCCACGCGACTTTCAATTCTTTCGCCAGCCTTCTTCGTATTGATGACAAATAACCATGACATGTCGATAAAGTTAGCTTTCTATCAGCGTCATCAAGCCTGACCTAAGAGCGATCTTAAACTGATACAATCGTATTGACTTTATTATCAGGAGCGAAACCAAACACCATTTGTGAATGCGCAAGGCGAAGTTTGCTCGTATGTTGCTGGTTCTAGTGCAGTGATATTCGTCTCCTTGATACAAACTGATCGCGGTTAATATCGGGATGATCTGTAAAAGGTCATGAGTAATAATAGCTATGTACTTATGAAGATTTTTGTGAAGACCTAATGTGATTTTGATTCAAATTCAGTAACATATGTGCGCTGTCTCGTGAAGGGATATCTTTACGTCTGATGTTCGAAGGACAATAAACGTATGTGGATATATAGGAAAACTTTATTCCCTGGTAACCTGAGCATTAGTTGGATTTGCGGTCTTTATCCTGAGCTCTAGGAAGATTTAGACGATTTACTGTGTGGTCTAGGAAAACGATTCAACTGTAAGTATGAATCGAGAATTTTGTCCTTGTTTATAGGTGGAGTTTTTCATACTAAACGCTGGGGTAATATCGAAACTAGTTTTACTAGCGAGGAATATACATATATAGACATGACTTGACTTGAGTTGAGTTGAGTTGGCGAGCATCCATGACAACGGTTTTCAGGGTTTTTTTCGATCAATTCTTCACCATTCGCCTCAGGCGATGTTCATACAGTCCCACTATGTTTACTGGTATATCAAGTTATATATATATCTGGAAGTCAACGTGGTAGCTTCAATATTTGATCACTCCAGTGTATTGTATTAATGTGTCCTACATGTGCGAGTCGCTGCACTTGACCGTCGTCTGTAGAAGAACGTTGACCGTCTGTAGCTAGATATCACTCCACGACACCCAATCTATATTGAGACCATTGAAGGACGAGCCATCGCGCACGCTCGCAAAATATCTATGAATAATCAGATGATAATTTACCTGCGGGGAGAATAGTCTGGAACTGATAATGTTGATTGATGTGTTTTTCTCCGTCCATTTGCCGTTGTTCATGTTGCATTTTGCATTCGTTCATTTGGTTGATAAGATAAAATGACTTGCTTTATTATGCACACAACTCGTGTGAACTTGCTAACCTGAACTTATCTTAATTAATTCGAACCAGATGGTAATTCATATTTGTATTAAAGCATTTATGTTCCCCTCCCTGTTCCACATTTGGTGTCGCTGATCTTTCATTCAAGTGTAAAGACACTTTTCACCTTCGTGCAACTTCACAGCCTCATATGGATTTAAACACTCAAAAAGGTGTTGATATTTTGTCTGAAATGTTCAATTTAAAAGGTTTATTTTTAAAAACCGTAGAAGACTTTGCCAGGGTTCCATAGTCAATACCAATCTCACTGTGTCTGCTCAGATATGCAGCCGGCTTTCTTTAGTTTTAAAGAGCTTGTTTCAAAATATCCCTGGAAATTCCTGATGTTAACAGAGAAACTAAACTCGATTGCTCAAACACATTTAGTTTCATATCAATTCATATAGGGAGTTGAGTTAATCGATTTTTCCTCCGGATAATATTTCGTACTTTGTGTCGTCATATAATAACCTCGGTCTGTTGATTTTGGCGTTGTGTATTGGGATGAATTTCCTTAAATGTCTGTTACCTTCCTTCCGTCAATTAAATAATAACAGCAATGATTTATACAACCATAATCAAGCTATTATTCAATCATCTTGAAATTGAGTGTCTCTTTCCTTGGTTAGAATTGCATGTCTCATGTTTTGCCGTGGGGCAGCTGAATCATGCCGTGTTTATAATATAGATAAAAAAGAGGTTTGTACGAATTTTATTCCAAGAAAATTTATCTTGATAATCTATCAAACATGGTTCACGCTGAATGAATTGCGAAAAGCTGTGAAAGTCATTGATTAGTGGTCTAATGGCTATAGAAGCGGACTCTATTTTCGTATTTCGAAAGATTAATGGGGAAATGCGTAATACATTTCTGAGTACCATGGTACTTACGATAATTACTCTTTGACATTGACTATATGTATTCCAGACCTTGTAAGGTTTTAAATGATGCGCATAATTTCCCCACACATGCAACCCGGAGTGCCTCCGCTAGGAGAGTTTCCCTGCCCACAGCAAATGCTGAGTTTATGACAACAGGGAACTTTAGCAGTGACTACGAGTACGAGTACGCGCCAACTGCCAAGACCAGTGGCCAGTGCTTTTGCTTACGATATTTGACGAATAAGTCGTACAGCACGGCAGCATTCAATGAATCATAATATAAACCACTGATCGCAAAAAAATATGCATGTGTGGAATATCGATTTCTCTCTTTCTAGCCGCCTGATTAATAAGACTAATTTTCGCCTTTGAATTTCTCCAATAAACTAGCAAAGTTTCACATTATGTGATATCAAAAGCGATAGACTCTAATGATCTATGTCGTCTGCGCACCTCCCCTCGGAACAATAAATCTTAATGGTATTAATGCCAATATAAAGGCGCGGATAGCTTTGAGTGTCTGTGACATTTGAGTTGCTGGAAGCCAACCAAATTACTGACTCGGTATCAAAAAACGCTTGCCAAATTCATTAATAATGCGCAAACCTCATTTGAATTCTGTGCGTTCTCGCGCGCGCCCTGCAGTATATTACCCCGTCTCCGTATTCTATCTGCGCCTTCAATGTTGTCTTAAGCACACGAAATAGCATCAAAAAAGCGTAGTTTACGATGCGAATATTAAAATGTGGCGTTGAAAATTGAGGTAATCAACACAAATTCACCCCATCGTACGATAAAGATCGGCGGACAATAGAATAATGTTCGCAAGTTTTAAATATTATATTTCTAATGTTTAGTTGTCTTTCAACACTGCCGAGTATGGCGCTTTTGTCGGAAGGGCCGCCCCGTCAGTAGCCTGTAGCCCAACTCGTTTACAGCAATACCAATACCAGCACCTTCTGTTAAATTTACTCGTAAAATATAGTTAAAAATTTGAAATTAATGTATTGGGTACTGCAGGTAGAGTGCAGTTGTCATGACATGAAATATCCTACCAATAATCGATTTTGTATTGAGAAATCAATTTGTTCCTGTTCATTTGTTTGGATTGTCCTCACCTGTTTTGGATATAGACGCAGCACAGTTTCGCATTGTTGAATTAGTAAGCGATTGACCACACTAAGTGTCCCCTTTATATGAGGTAATGTGCCTGCAGAGTTGAAAAGGATCCCCTGGCATATGTTGCGGTGATCACAGTGACGACAGCAAGCGGCGTGGCTGTTGCGTTCGTGATTGCATGACATTTCAATTGAGCGCAGTCCGTACAATCTTGTCACTTCTGGTATCCAAAACAAAAGGAATGTGTCGAAAAATCGGAGAAAAATTACTTGTGTTTTGGTTCGATTTTATAATTTGAAGATGTTGTGGTGTTTGTGAAGTTTTATTGGATTTTTTACGCTGGTGTCAGCCACAATCAAAGACGCACGCAGGCAGTGTAAACTCAAGTGCGGCGTATGTTAATCGTATAGTCGGTGAGTCGACATCTGTAGACAATGTTCTTTTAAAATAGGGAGATTCCTGCTGCACAGAGTTGAACGCATTACGTATTATACGCCGTAGAATTGAATTATATATCTGAAACGTCGCAATAAAGACGAATGTCTGTGTAGGCGTTTATTTTGATATTTATATCAATAACCACGATTTATTTTCTGGCAGTCGTATTGTAGTATGACTTACATCGGAGGCTTGCTTCATTGTGAGCTACTCTATTTTATAATATTTTTGCTATTTTATTGTTGCATTTGTTTATTTAAAGCACACGAGTGCTTTATAGCATATTGTAAAAAACCGCAAGGTTTTTATGTCGCCACATCGTATTTGCAAATTGGGTTATCTCCATCACACAAACACTTAATCTCTCACTTTATTTATTATCTAATTTACAAATATAGCATACTCGAGTGTTTTATTATTTGCCGTATAAAAATTCTGTTCAAATACAAAAATAGGATTTCGTATATGATGATTACAATGCGATACAGCCTCGCTATCACGCAGTTGCGCATATCATGCAAAACGCTGTCCTAACAGATGTCAAGTATTTCTGGTTCATTCATCGTATGCAAAGAATCTTTGATATCCCTATTATGAATACCTACACGTTCTGTTGCGTGTCTGTTTGTCACGATCGTTAATTTATTAACATGATATGCGTTCTCGGGTATTAATGCATGCATGTTGCTTGCAAACATCTTTTCTGACCCCCACTAGCACGAGCGAGTTATGACAAACGTATTCAGTAATAATGTATCCAAACAGTAATAATGCTGCATGCGTTTCATCGTTCTATTTTTATGCGTGAGCAGGAAACGTGCAAAATGCCTGTTTAAAATGATTCATGACGTATAGGGAAATTAAAAACGTATGTTTTTGAAAACGTTTTTGATCTAACAGGGCGTTGACATTGGGTGTAAAGGATATTGCGGTTTTTTGGCATAAAAAATAAGACTTAGACTTGGTTGATGAGAACATCCGAGAGTCGTGTTTGTTTAAATAATCTGAGCTAAGTTTTAGAAAATGCACATTTCATAGGTTTTAGGCAAAGATAATGATAGTGGAATGTGAGTGAAAATAAATGGGCTCCGCAATGCGCTCCACGTGCATTCTTGCAAAGCAAAGCTCTTTCATTCGAATGTCTTCATTAAGTAAAATTAAGGAAATGCCATTTTGCTGGGGTCAACGAACAACACATGTCAGACCTCCGAGAACTGTTACAAATTGCAGAAATAAACTAAACCACTAGGGTCATTGGGGTGAGAGAGGGAACATGAAAGACACATCGTTTAATTCTATGGCTGTTAATCAACAGCATCAAATCGGCTTTTGGTAAAAAAAAACTTAAAGGAGTTGTCTACGGCGGAGAAGCTGTCAAACTGCTGCTCCGTCTCCTCTGCAAGCACGCAGGAATACCGAAAACAGTCGCAGGAGCATTCACTTTCAGAGATACGTGGCTTTGGTTAATCCGCGTAAATACAGTATTTTGTTCTGTTAGTTTCATGCTAAGGCTCTTCTGTTTATCGTGCTAATAAAGTCACAGACGACCCTAGCCTTATGCATGTGACTTTATAATATTAACTGTCATTCTCCATCTTTTTATCAGGAGGTAGTTACGATCAAATGGCAACGCAAAACAAGGAATCGTTTCTTGCGGATGTTGTGAACGAGGAAGCAGCCTTCCAGCCGGGAGTCTGGTGCGAGAAATGTAACAAACGTCTGGTTGAGCTGAAGAGACAGACATTAAAACTCATTTTGCCTGAATTAAACAACGTCATACAATATGAAGGCAGTCTACACAGGGTGAGTTCAAACAATTGGATATTTCATAAAACATTCTGTGATCCTCGAGTGAGTCATTTTTCAAAGCAAACCGGCAGCGTACGACAATCTTACATTCATGTCTCGTGTATGTATATTTTACATATAAAGATCAGGTGCGTCAGATGGCTTAAGCGTTTCGCATCACATGTAGCTAAAACGCTGCGACATTTCATAATTGAAAATGCTGCAGGTTCAAACGAATTTCAAATGTAACCAGCATGAAATATTTAACTTTAATTTATTTTACAAAAATTGCACAATACGAGGATTTATTAACAGGCGTGACTTCAATATCGTCAATTTTGGCAGCTTTTATGCACGTTTATAGCCTATTGTACGCAGGACAATGCATGAAGAGAACTAATTTCATCCCGAGTCAAGATGGCTGGACCACATCAGACGCGTTAATGAAGACTTAATAGATCATTTACTTTGCGTTGTAAAGGTCTAATTTATATTTTGGCAACGCTTTGAAACGTTCGTTTAACGAATAACCTTGAGTTTTTAGTTTTTGCGCGTGGAAATTAGCAATCCTCAAGTAATTGGCCTAAATGAGAAATATATCAAACAGTTTGCACTGAAATAATAAATGTTTCAACTAGACAATGAAGATCGTTTAGGATATATTAACGACAGATGTTTGCTGTGAATTCGTAGATGTAATCTTATGTGATCTGTTATATATTGCTCAAAATTATTGGGGTGTCTTTCATGTCTGTTTTCATGGGACAGCGGTTTCTTCATGCAGAACTGAAGTGGAAATCATGCAACAGGGCTATTTCGTGATTATAGACAATAATTACCTTTATCAATCTCTTTGTTTCGTGATCAATGTAAAAAACGTAAAACACAAAGGTGTTTATGTCGCTGCCAAAGTCATTCAAGTTGACACTGAATGCAGAACACGTAAAGTGTGTGTCGGTAATATTTCATGAGAGGACTGATTTCGTGTTTTCGGTAAAAAGTTCCAACGGTTGCGGTAACAAATAAATAAACTGTGGTTTATCGGTTCGTTTTCTTCATTTTAAACTGCTGGAGTGATTATCAGAGCCTCATTCCTTGTTACTAGAAAGCAATGTATAAAATAATGCCGCCGGCGAAAGTTCTTGAAAATTTGAACGTTTTTTGCTCTGCGGAAGAAATGCATTCACAATGACAATGTGTGAAATTTCTGGGAGGACTATTTACAGATCATATGCGAGTTTTCTGACCTCACGTTTATATATATACAATGTTTATGGTTTTTCGGCACATGAAGAGCTAAAGTTCTCATTAAACGCCTTTAAATTTAATACATTTGGCGTCAGGCTAACTGAACACTCCGCCGATATTGAAAACAACAATCGCATGCACAGGTCAGGCCATATTGCATGTGCAAAGCATTTGTAGCAAATACAAATTTTTCTATGACCTTTGTTGAATGTGATTAGCAAGATCATGCGGCTTTCGACAACAATGTAACTCTGCTGGAGATGCAATGCACAAAGCTTTCTCTAAAGCTTACAATTCAGTATGAACTAAATACTGGCCGTTAAATGGCCACAGATCCTGGGGAAAAAGGCTCATCCAAGCTCTTAGACGCTCTCTTCCTACACAAACCTACACCCATGAAACGTAAGCGGGGTTACATCACGTTTAATGATTCGACGAATGATTTGTTTCAAAATCCAAACCACGACAAAGCATCACATCTTATCGGAGAAGTTAATCGATGTAATATCGATTCCGTGGAGTCAGTCAATAATGAGGTACTCTATCTTATTGCTTGTGTATTTTACTAATTTGTTTGCGACAAAGAAAATTACGGCCTTTTTCGTTTTGAGTATAGAAAATTGCCTCACATATTCTATTCCAATTTCTGGTGCCGTGATAGTGGATCTCCTTTTGGATCGTTTTATTGCAGATAAAATATTAGTTCCACGTAATGGACTAATGTTTTACTTCCTTACAAAATATCTAGAACATTGATGCCGAATCTGTTATCGATCAAGTAGCTTTGAATATTGTGAGCTGATATATAAAAAAACACATCTGATTGCGAATGTAATCTTGATATTTCGGCATTGATGCTATCATCAAAATATAGAACTAATAGAAGTGATTTGTCGGATAAACCACACAATAGTCACGAAAGGAAGGCATTTAGAGAATGACCTTCTTTAAAACACTAGGCGTTACCAAATGAGGTGATTCAGATCAAGATAAGATAGTATTGTGTGCCTATACTGCAATACCAAGATCACGTATAAAAGTTTTAGTTTATGTGGTGTATAGGCTGTTAACTCTAGTGAATGGTCGTTTACGATGGACTGCAAGGATATATAGTAATTTATCCTTCCCTGTAACGCGCATGATTGTATATGAGATTATCACCAAAATGCGAGACAGCAAATGTACCCTTGAAGCACTTAAGGAACTAGATCTCTTAGTGGGGGCCAGTTGACAACTTGGCTAATATCAGTTACTCTTTGCATGCATTCATGCAGGGTTGTATTAAATACAGTCATTTAATCTATTCCTTAGTTTTACATATTTGGGTATAGGTCGATAAAAATATCTAAAATTCCATGCAATTTTGTTAATGTTATCTTCAACAAAGATTTCATCGCCAGAATTTTAATGATGTCGCAAAGTTGTATTTTATAAGCCACACCACTGATTGAATTTTTTACTCATTTCTGGGGGGAATTGGAGGTAATACTGTAGAGTTTGCATCGAACGTTTTTAGAACATGTCACGAATCTCTGTCAACGAGATCTTATTCTTCCTATCAGTCAGCAGTTTTAAGATTTTTCGAAAGCAATTACGGAAAGCATATCGTGTATCGTCTTTATGTGATGTTTCAAGAACCTCCAGATTTTGTTAGAAAGTAACAATGTTCGGGTTGATCAATAAAAGGTCGTATAGATTGTGACTTAGGCCTGGGGTGAAAAGGAGACCGCTGTAGTTACATGTTTTGGAGCGGTAAAGTAAAGAGAAGGCAGCACAACGGGGAAATAAAGAACTCTGGATTTCTGGGGAGTTCTGTGTCTCCACAGGCCTGAATGCACAAATGTTCTTTTTCATAAAGATAAGGCATGATAGATCAAGCTGGAAACATGCTTCACTTCCCCGTCTAAAATATCTGCCGGTGAAAACCAGCCTTGGAAATAATGCATCCAACATTAAAATTCTTCCATTCTCTTTCAAAAAAGCCTGCCAATGAGAACCAGGTCTGTAAAAGGATGGATTTAATGTTGGTTCCCATTGTGTTGAGGCTGGATTTGCAGGCGACGGAAGCTCTTTGTTCATAGCTCATTGTGAACGAGATTTCCTGATTGTTTCACCTGGTGTTAGCCATCACGACAGTGCTTTGTGAATCAATGTAGGATGCTGGCTTCCCTTAGTAACCAAAATACGTGGTCGCTCGTACACGATAGATTGTAGTTTAATTTTTAGTTTTATGAATAAAAATCCTCCTAAGGTCACTCTTATTTCCTCAGGTTTATAAGAACTTCCTTAGTTTGGTAAAATTATAGCATAATCATTAATTTCAGAAACCATAAAAAAAACTACGCTCAACCGTTGTGACATCCTGCTGTACTTGCTATTACAAGCATCTCAATGTTTTATATAATTTCAAATATTTCGTGCAAAATTAAGATGATTAATGACTCTTGGTAATCCTTTTTTTTGAATCGATTGGTGAAGAAAAAATTATATACAACATGCAGAAATGTTGACAAAGAGGACCATTCTCAAATGGTTTCAATCATTTGGGTTTCTAGGGTTCAAAACTTGCCACTCGAATATTCGACCAGTTACGTGTTCCAGATACCGAGCTGAAATCCTGGAGGGATAACCGCTGTGATATTTGTTCGGCCAACGTGGCTCAGCTCAAGAACGAAGCGCTGAGTATGGTTCAAACATTGGAAGATTCGCGCTTATTGGCCGCTCACATTCCTAGACTCTCCACGTCACCGACAGAAGAGCAGAAACCGCTGATGGCAAATACCGCTGTTGCAGAAAACTTGTACAATCATTCTGTAAACTTTCCACCAAGATATGGTATAAAACTCTTGTGTTCTAAAGATAGTTTATCCTATAAAAATGACACAAAATATGACAGATAAATAATGATAGAGCCCTGTGTTCATATTTCTTTCATCTCCAAAAATAAACATATTTTAAACTCAAGATAGACTCGTACCAATGATGTTTACCAATGTTCTCTTGTTGCTAGGTTACATGGCGTATGGTCACGATCCCAGGCCAGAACAGCAACTCTCATCATCTGTTTTTGCAAGGTACGTCGAAATTAGTGTCTTTAAATTTTATCCCTTACTTTCTCTTTTAAACCTGTTCTATCCTCCTTTCCATCCTTCCTTATCCTTTCTATCTCCTTTCCATCCTTCCGAGCACATGAAGGACTACAAAAAGGCCCGCGCTTTCCAAGTGTTGTTTTTTTCAGAGAGATAATGCCGTTTTAAACATAATAGCAGAATGTATGAATAGTTAATCGACATATTGAGCTTCAATATCACGCGCAGATGCATTACTTATCATGATCAAGACACGTTTATCACACAATATTATTCAGTAATAATCATGTTGGGTAAATTTCTATTGCTATCTTATACATGCAATTTCTGAGCCGACTTTGAAGAAACTCCAGACGTTCGACAGCTGACATATTAATATTATGATTTCATATAAAGTTTGTTTGAACATGACTGGGTTATGACAGGAAATTTGAACACGGCCTGTATACAACACCATTTGCTGATTGCGTATTTTGAACGTCAGATTATGTCAAAGCAAATATACGTCATTAAAATGAATAGCTTCTCAATAGACAAGCGAGAACCGTCCATTTGCGATTGTCCTCTCAGAGGCTGCGATTAAACTAAAAGGTTTTAGCTAAGATAATCCTGTTTATAAGACGGAAAATCGTGAGGAAAACAATGAGTGCAATGACAAGCCTACATCAACTGAATTCGAACGAAAGTTTATTGGAAATGGATAAAAGCTTTACAGAATTAAGCAACGCGTTTATTTTGCTTTTGCGTCGACAGAACGAAGAGAAAAGGTGAGATTGATGATCGAATATTTTCTTCTAAAAAGCTAATAGGTTTTTTTGCGGCGTGAATAACAAGTTTGTGAAATCCGGTTTATAGGTTTTAATTATTCACGCCTTGCTAGAAGATTTAAATATGAAAGTAAATCAAAACGTGCAAATCAGTTTTAATAGGGAAAAGGTTTCTTCTGGGAGTCCCAGACTCAGATGAGAATAAAAAGCACGTAAAATTCTAACAAATGTAGCTTAATGATTCAGGATTAGCTTTCTTTATGGATGTAGTAGATTTATATCAGTCTTATGTTTTTATGTGAAAGCTGTTTCCAATATACTTTTATCTTATACTGCCTTCATTTAGTATTGTACTTTTGATCAAAAGATATTAATAGCTGTATGATGCATATTTAAATAGAAATCTTATTAAATTTGAAGTTCTAGTCCAGACGGCGGTGACATTTACTCATCGTCGGAAAAGCGAAAGTTTATTGCAGATTTGTTGATATAAAGCGTGGAGCTTGAGGGAATATATTTTGTGTCATGTCATATTGCTTACCCACATCAATCTTTGATGTTTGTGGAGCCTGGGATGAGTAATGAAAAACACTAGGAAATCGGTCTTGACTCAAATGATCTCGCATACACGGGCTCATTCAATCGACCGCGTCGTGGGAATTAGGTCCAAAATCATCAGCTGATTCATTGAGGAGCTTCATCTGTTCGTATGGTCTGTTGACCGGATGATATGATATCATTTCTATTCATAAATTTAGAAAGGCTATCACTAGCTGGCAAAAGATCAAATAAGAATTCGATCCGTATGCAATTACTGAGTATAATGTGAATATTTCTCATGCTGCAGATACACTGTGTTGTCACAATTAAGGTTACAACATGTAGCCATTAAAGATTTGTATGGTAAAAATCCACACAAACGAATGTATTCAAAAAGTGGCTGCCAATGTATCTACGTTCGTTGATCTTTTGACGAAAAGTACTGCGTCTACAATCTGTAGTTTCATTTGGAGCGTTAATCAAATTGAAAAGATTATTTTGACGAAATAAATTTCTGTGTTAGTATACTTATTTGAGTTAATAAATTAATTCACAGCGGGATTTTCTCCTCTGAAGAAAAATTATCATCCGTGATTAGTAGTTTTTTCATTTTCCGATGAATAACAATTACACATACTGTTTCTGTTTTGTGCGAGCTTTGAAATTCTCATTCATACTGTGGCAATAGTTATAACCGTGGCGAAATGTTCATCCGGAGAATGCAATTTAATCTTCCCCTGTTTTCTATCAACAAAATTTGTGAATTCCTTTTATAAGACTTATATATATAAGAAAATTGTTTTAAAAAGCAAGGTGCATTTCATTGCGTTTTAAAAGTCTTGCACCCATTTTTCTGAGGTGGGAAGCTTAGATAGAACAGAGTAAAGATTGGCAAGAGTTGTGTAGTTGAAGAAATGATCGACTTAATCCCGTGATCAAAAAAGAGATGGAGGGAGGGTGCACCAAAGACTCCTGATGACATTTCTGACAACAAGTTTACATTTATTAAGTTGTGAAAACAACATGATATTAAGCCTCCCCGGTCACCCTATTCATCATCTAATTCAAAATACAAATACAGTTCTACTCCACTTGCTACACTCAGTTTCCAGGCTTAAAACAATATAGAATAAAATCTGTTGCGGATTAGTCGACTTTTGTGTTTGTACAAATTACAAGACGGCGTTGAAACATCACAGCATCCCAAAAACTACAAGTAAAATTAATCGAACCCAAAACATTTCACAGATACCAAAGAATCTCTGTTATTTATGGAAAAATGAGAGATTTTGCCTTTAGGAAATCTTTTACGGTACTTATCCAAAGATTACATGGCCATATTTGAATTTTTTCCTGATTTATTTACAAACGATTTAAGAATTGTTTGCATAAAATTCGTTTGTACTTCGAGGGAGGTTTCATAAATATGACATCCTCACACATGCAAGAATCATCATGAATTTCAACTAACGTTTGAGAAACGTTTGAGAAACGTTTAGTGGTCTTACGATAAAGTGATAAACTGTGTAGGACCGGCGAAGAATCTCGCTGTTTCGTAAAGGTATATATGCGAAGATACTGACTGATAGGCATGCGCATTTAATATAGTTTATTATGGATTGAAATCTGACATGTTCCTTTAAGTGACATGTTTCTTCAAGCCATTGCAGTTATTGTTTGCATGGCATGGCTTATAGTTCTTAGCATGTCATGTATCTCAGAATGGTTTCACCGCCGCGATATTATCCCAGGCGCTATAGTTCTTTCTGTTTGACAACATTTTCAACACTCGTTACATGCTTTCCCTGTTCACTCGAGAAAAACCCAGCCTTAATTCTGACTTTCTAAAGTATTTATATTAGTTACTGGCTTGGAGCCATGGAGCAGTCTGTATTGAGTCGAATTTTCTATCATTGCAGGGCGGCATACAAGTTACGAAAGAAGCAAAAACGTAGTGCTGAACCCAGATCTCCCACCAAGCTAGAAATGAACGCGCCAATGACTAGTTTATTAAACAGTGGAAATTGTTCACCAGAGCCCAGTCTTTTTCCAAGCAATTTCAGCAACGCAGTACGGCGTTACCCCCCGCCCACTCCGCCTGGACTTATTAAAGGACTAGCAAAACGGAAAAGCACAGGGGGGAAAGTCAAAGTGTTGCTAAGGATCAGTCCAAGTTTCCCAGGAGAGACAAGTTCGTTCTTGAAAGTCGATCAGAAGAAGAAGCAAGTGACATTGTACGATCCTACCGCCATAAGTCACGTCTCACAGAAATACAAACGAATGGGCGTGGCTGCCCCCAAAATGTTTGTGTTCGACTCAATTTTTGAACCTGACTCTTCCCAGGTAAGATACACCGCGTTAGAGCTCGTATATTTGTCCTTCGATAAAATCCTAGAAGTGTACAGTTTTCACCCACTCTAATATTTTCCCAATTAAATCTTCTCAATCCTAGGCTGAAATTTGTAGCACAGCGCTAACAGACGTTTTGCAAGCGGTAGTCAATGGATCGGACGGTTGTGTTTTTGCCTATGGACACTCTGGGCTGGGTACGTTAAAAAAGCTTCGTAATCTTTAGTTTCGTCATCATCATCATGGAGACTGATATATAACAATTTACTTTGATTACAGGAAAGACTTTCTCAATGGTTGGCCGAGATGAAAACGTTCATAGTTTAGGAATAGCCGCCTGTTCCATTGCATGGCTCTTCAGACTAATCGATGAGAAAAGGGAAAAGTGAGTGGTCTATCAATTTATGGCTAATTAGGTGTGATAATGGATAATGGTGGATAACTAATATTCTTTCATCTCAGGACTGGTGCACGGTTCTCTATCCGGGTGTCCGCTGTGGAAGTCGTCGGACGTTCCGAGAATCTTAAGGATCTCCTTCAAGATCAATCAAAAGGTAATTTATCTTAAGGAATTATCGAATTTATACAGCGGGATCCCCAGTTAACACCGGAAAATTAATTCTAATCCCACAGCTGACAGCAACGATACAACAAATGGAACTAAACCAAGTGTCTATCTTTACGATGATCCTGTTTCCGGACCCCAGGTGAGGAGACAAAGATCTTTACACAACACTTCACAGCCAAACTAGTAACTTTGCCATAATGCGGTTTCCTTCCTGTATTCGCAGCTTCTAAACCACAGCGAATTAAGAGCGTCGACACCTGAAAAAGCAGCTTTCTACCTGGATGCTGCCTTGGCTGCCAGAACTATCCCAAACAACGGTACGCTTCTTCAACGGTTGTGATATGTGCATTCGACTATCGAAATATTTGTCCAGTTATTATAATATCTTCAATGTTTAATATTTCTCAGAGAAAGACACAGAAGAGACTCTCAACTCTCATATGTTTTTCACTATTCACGTTTACCAGTCGAGAGTCGATAAAATTGCTGGGAAAATGGGAGGTGAGATTTAAAAAATATATTTCAAAAACGTCTCACGCATGCTATTAAAGGATTTATTTTTTTCTAGTTCACGGCGGAAGGTCACGCCTTCACTTAATCGACTTGGCAAGTTGTGAGAGATATAACTCGTCTAAAAAAGAGATTAGCTGTTGTTCGATGTCTTTGAATGGTTTGGGGAATGTCATCATTGCTCTAATTAACGGAGCGAAGCATGTACCGCATAAGTAAGTGGAAATTTTGAGCATGTAATGGTCAAGTGCATCTCAATTAAAGTGTAGCCTGAGAAATTATTTCTGCAAATCTAATATGAGTATTGTTTGGTCTTCTTTGTCTCCAGGGACAGCACCTTGACTAGACTTCTTAGAGAATCACTGGGAAGCACCACATGCCGTGCAACAATGGTTGGGCATATCTCACCGTCCATACCATTTTACACTGAATCACTTGCCTGCGTCCAGTTTGCAGCAAGAATTCATCGCTTGCGAAGGAAGAAAGGAGGAAAGGTGCGACAGATTGATTTAAATAACTGTTTGAAAAACTACCCGTGAAATAGAGTAATGATTTCAGACACCCAACGATGATGATAAAACTTTTGGAAAATGTTTTTCATACAGTCCAGTCAGGAAATATTTTCTGTATTATCTCAGGGTTCAAGCACCAGTTCCTCTGGAGGAGAAAGCTCTTGCGATGAAATGAGAATGAGAAAGCCAAGGATCCGTACCAGTGCTCTGACGGAACCTCTTCGTGAAGAGTCCAACAATATGTCCGAGGATTATACTTCGAGTACTGGAGAAGAGTCGTGTGATACGGTAATATATTGTGGTCCAGATGGAGAGATCAGTGACCGAGATCTCACGGACAACGAGGGACCTTCGCATATGAATAAGGTCACCGTTGGACCCAAGGGAATTGAAGTGGATGCCAACCTAAGGTAAGGAACTTTAGGTCTTCGACGTAGAAAGTTCCTTAGAAAGGTAGATAAGTAGGAAGGTGTGGAGCTTTTACAAACCCAGTCGCAAAGCCAAGAGGAAAGAAAACACTCTGTGATATCTGTTTAGGTCTAAATTAAATACCATTGAGGAGAAATCTCCCGAAGGAAGTCGATGTCCTAGCATGGAACTGGAGTATGATTTGAGTGAAGAGTTCAAGGGCAATATAGAAAAAGTCCCAGAGAAAGGTTCAGTTGAAAATCTAACATTGAAGAAGAAGAAGAAGAAAGCTAATAGCGAGAACTGTGAATTCTGGGAAGACCCCTTGTCGAAGGTTGGTCGTGTGCGCACACCCGAGCCTGTTGAAGAGCCATTACTTGACGTTGCTGAGCAGGAGACAGTGTGTACCGTGGGTTCAGATGCTGAACCCGACGGAACAGAATGTGACGTAAATACGACGATTACCGGATTTATTCCGATCACAGATACTTTGGAAAATGATTCCAGTAATGACGTCATCGAAGAGGAACTTAGCCACTCACCGGCACTTGATACCCCTCTAAGTACATTCTATCATATCGTACCAGTCTCTGACTCTGACGAAAAAGAGAAGGCAATTGAGAAGAGCGTGGACCGTCATCAGCATCACAGCCCTAAGACCACGCCCAATTCACCTCCAAGCCCAACTAGCAAAGAAGTACGGTCGATTTTAGAGAATTATGTTGTTGATCAAATGCTTATAAAAAACTCTCACCAACAACCAAACCAGAGCCACTTTGATACGACGGACGAAGCTTCTGAGGGCCTGGTACCGCCTTTAACACCTCAGAAGACCTGCGTGGCTGGTACTGCCCAGATAAGCGCGACCTCACCAAAGCGTATGAAACGGAGTCGTCCACGCAGTAAAGAAGCGACGTCATCAAACAGGAAGTGCCTGAGCGACGCTGGAGATAATCGAAGTGACACGCGCAGCGAAGACTCATATGGGAGTACCAAGACTGATCCATTGCATTACGTTAAAACACCACGTCGAGGAGTTAAACCATGTCATGCCAGCAGCTCCGGGTCTTTACCTAGAGAGTATAAGGTGATCATTAGGGATAAGACGGCATGTGTGCATTATGTGGGGTGTGAAATGGATAATGGTGGTGGTGATAATAATGGCGCGCGAGGAAGTCCTTGCAAGACGGCTACAGTACAGTTGAGGTAATGTTGTTTATGTTAGTACATTCCATAATCCATAGGCGCATTGTTGGTGGCTGCCTTGACGGGATAATCATCTTACAGAGCAAGTAATTTACCCACATGTATTCTCCTAGGTATTGTGGCTCAGAGCAGGATAACGAAAATGAAAACACAGATTTGGTTTCGTCACCCAAGAGTCCAGATTCACAACGTAAAGCAACGCCTCTGACAATAACCAGTCGTGCAAGTTTTGCGTTTAACCAATCAACGCTTAAGAAACCGAAGATTGATAATGAGCCAATCAAAACTGGAGAGCCTTACGGACCACATGAGGTCATGTCCAGGAACAGCAAAGAGAAGTTGTGTGCAAAATCGGAGGGCGAAGTAGATATCCACCCTGAAATGAACTCGGATGCTCCTAGACGCAAGGGTGTTTGTTTGAATGTACCTGTGAGACAACGATCTAAATTCAAAGCTTCAAGGTTGGTCATACATAAAACAATAGTGTTGAAATGTTTCAATGTCATTTCAACTCTCTTTTCTTGCAGGATAAGAGACAGTGGTCAAGGATACAGTAGTGGTATTGCCAGTGATGGTAGTATCACAGATTCACCGTCGTCTAAATCACCAGCGAGACGAAGAAGAAGACTCGGTTCAGAGGTCAGCAGTAGTGGCTACGAAAGTATGCGCGATGGAACAACGAGTCACGTGTCTGGAAGTGACAGTGCGGATGAGAAGGGAGTACTTGTGGATAGATCCAACTCAGGTAATATTTCGTTATTTGCTACATTTCAATATCGTGACTTTGACTTTAAATGTGGTGTGGAACTCCGTTTAGGAAACCAGCGTGCTACTTCGGGTAGAGAAAATAACTCTGGTGATTTTGAGCGTTTACGGTTGCGAGGAATTGATGAAATGAAGGTACGTACAACAACAATTAATTCATCTTTTCCTTCGTTCTAGAGGACAGTTTTGAGAGGTTTGTCTTTTATATATAAATATTGCTCAACTTCTTTTATTCCTGTAGGAAACACCTAGCTCACTTCTGGATATTCATAAATGGAGAGTTATTAAGTTACGAACAAAACAAGTTGAGCTAAAACGAGAATTAGATCAAGCCAAAAGCAGGTTACTTCTGGACGGCACAAGATGGAGCTTTTATCGTAAGTTCGCTTTTGAGGTCTTTTTGCACCACAAACTTTATTTAGTAAGACAAATTATTTCAACTAATTCCCACTGTCCTTTTATCCCTAGTTGAATCCGCAAACATGGATCCGGAAGATTCAAATTTGGTTCAAGTACTTGAAAAAGAGAATAAACGTTTGGAAAAAAGAATCAAAGTTTGTAAATCTCGAATTATGCTGGTGACATCGTTTGACATCTTGCCTCAAAGAAGTAAACTCTAATTAAAAACAAAATGTAAATTATTCGATTGTAGATAAAAAGTAGTTTTATTTTATAAAAAAAATACTAAAAAGGGTCTCTTCAAGGTGACTAATGTAATTAATGTGGAAAAATAGGTAATGGATGTAAAGAATATTCTATAAGGATAGTATATATTTCTGAATTTTAGAAATCATTGATGCAAAGTAAATGGAGGGTTAGATAATTTATATATAACTGGAGATAATTTTTTGTAAATGAGCCGGTTTAGACTTCACAATGATAAAGAATCCTAGCTATTATTGATATTAAAATCTTAAAATCCATCCAGAGTTCTATCAAAACAACAAAAAATCATAACACGGTAAATTTAACGGGAACACGGTAAACGGTAAAACGTTTAAATTCAGTAGTCGCATTGATTATACTATTCTCTTGCTAAAAACACTAAAAAAACGTTTAGGGATTTAAACCTTGTAATTTCCAAGTGTATGTCTTAATAGTCATTTTCGTGCATTTCCTTTTCAGGAACCTCCTCCCGAGACCAGGGAAAGCTTAAATACGTTAAATTTATCTTCGCTCTCAGGGCTAGCCACTGTAGCTGATTCGTCTATGACGCTAGGCTTGTGGCGATGCATACTCTGTTTCTCACTGAGACGTAACGGTTAGGTGCACATACATCATGGTCTGGGGGCCGTAGTGCATCTCCCCCTTAGACGGCCGTTAAGATGTGAGTTATGGGGGGGAGTTCTTCCTATAGCAACCGCCTTGCACCTTTCGTAGTTGTAACTATGCTGAATATTGCAGCCGGTTGTATAACCAGGTTAGATTGTGGCATAGGCTGGTTGATCTCTTTTTTACATTCTTTCCAATTTTTTTCGGCACTCTTTCTAAATTTTTGTTTTACATACAAAAAAATACTGTTATTAAACATATATGGGACGGATATGGTTCGCAAAAAAAAATTTATATCGACTAAAAACCACCTTATTTAACCCCTGAATACTCTCCCCAGTCTCTCCAAGGCTCAGTCTCTGATTAAACAATAGGAGACATTCAGACAATCAAGTCTGCATTCTCGTTAGTGCCTTCAGACCGAGAACTGTCGCGTTTACACTTTATAGACAGTCCGTTATACAAGTTTTCCGGCGAACTCGACCATGGTCGTATTCGTCGTTTTCCGGCAAACATGACCATGGTCGTAATCGCATTTTTCCAGCGAATATGACCATGGTCGTATTTGCCATTTTCCGGCGAATATGACCATGGTCGTATTCGTCATTTTCCGGCGAATATGACACTAGTCGTATTCGTCATTTTCCGGTGAATATGACCATGGTCGTATTCGCCATTTTCCGGCGAATATGACCATGGTCGTATTCGTCATTTTCCGGCCAATACGACCATGATACGACCATGGTCGTATTCGTCATTTTCTGGCCAATACGACCATGGTCGTATTCGTCATTTTCCGGCCAATACGACCATGATAAGACCATGATAAGACCATGGTCGTATTCGTCATTTTCTGGCCAATACGACCATGGTCGTATTCGTCATTTTCCAGCCAATACGACCATGATACGACCATGGTCGTATTCGTCATTTTCCAGCGAATACGACCATGGTCGTATTCGTCATTTTCCGGCCAATACGACCATGATACGACCATGGTCGTATTCGTCATTTTCTGGCTAATACGACCATGGTCGTATTCGTCATTTTCCGGCCAATACGACCATGATACGACCATGGTCGTATTCGTCATTTTCCGGCCAATACGACCATGATACGACCATGGTCGTATTCGTCATTTTCCGCCCTATACGACCATGATACGACCATGGTCGTATTCGTCATTTTCCGGCCTATACGACCATGGTCGTATTCGTCATTTTCCGGCTAATACGACCATGATATACGACCATGGTCGTATTCGTCATTTTCCTGCCAATACGACCATGGTCGTATTCGTCATTTTCCGGCGAGTATGACCATGGTCGTATTTGCCATTTTCCGGCGAATATGACCATGCTCGTATTCGTCGTTTTCCGGCGAATATTACAATGGTCGTATTCCCATTTTCTGGCGAATATGACCATGGTCGTATTTGCCATTTTCCGGCGAATCTGACCATGGTCGTATTCGTCATTTTCCGGCGAATATGACCATGGTCGTATTCGTCATTTTCCGGCAAATATGACCATGGTCGTGTTAGCCATTTTCCGGCGAATATGACCATGGTCGTATTTGTCATTTTCCGGCGAATATGATCATGGTCGTATTCGTCATTTTCCGGCGAATATGACCATGGTCGTATTCGCCATTTTCCGGCGAATATGACCATGGTCGTATTCGCCATTTTCCGGCGGACTCGATCATGGTCGAATTCGAAATTCTGTAGTCGCATTGATTACGATTTTCTTGCTAAAAACACTTAAAAAACGTTTAGGCATTTAAATCTTGTCATTTCCAAGTGTGTGTCTTATTAGTCATTTTCTGTGCATATCCTTGTTAGGGACCGCCTCCCGAGACCAGGAAAAGCTTAAATACGTTAAATTTATCTTCGCTCTCAAGGCTCGCCACTGTAGCTGATTCGTCTATGACGCGCTAGGCGTTTGGCAAAGCCCACTCTGTTTCTCACTGAGACGTAACGGTTAGGTGCACATACATCATGGTCTGGGGGCCGTAGTGCATCTCCCCCTTAGACGGCCGTTAAGATGTGAGTTATGGGGGGGAGTTCTTCCTATAGCAACTGTCCTTGCACCTTTCGTAGTTGTAATCTATGCTGGTATATCGCAGCTGGTTGTAATATCACCGGTTAGATTGTGGCATAGAGCTGGATGATCTCTTTTTTACGTTTGTTTAATTCTTTTTTATTTCGGCGTTCTTTCCAATTTTTTTTTTTACATACAAAGAAACACTGTTATTTAAACATATATGGAATGGATATGGTAAAAAAAAATTACCAGTTCGCAACTACCAAATTTAAATCCCTCTGAGTTTTCACCCCAGTCCCTCGCGGTCAAAATCAAAAATTTAAAAATTGCAAGAATTTTCGCTGGAAAGAATTTCCACGCAAAATTTTAACGTTTTTGCTATTTTATTTAGAATTTACTTCCTTTGGTGGCCAAGGCGATTGTAGTAAATCTACAGCCGCCGGTTTTGTGAAAATTTCTGCGCATCGTCGATGTATAAATGTTTAAAGCAAGCGGACTAGTCGACATCTGCTGCAGGGGTTTCACGAGAGGTTTGAAGCAGGTCAGGCTTTCCAGACCTTGTAGTGCATTGTCTAGTGACGAGCAAGTTCAAAAGAATGCTTATGTAAGTTGTTTAATAATTCAAACGCGTGTTTGTTTATAAAATGCCATTCTATTATTGACTATTAATTGTATCAAATAGTCGATATTTTGTAGCAATTATAAAATGGGTCTGGTGGACAGTGGACTGTATGGTACGAGGCAATATTTTCCACAGACTAATAAGGATTAGGCCCTGTTCACAACAGTGGTATTAGCACATTAATAATTCCATATATTTTCATAATCTTTAGATCGATTACCAAGAGTCCCAACATGGTTCAGCACTCACCGACACATTTGGTCGCAAACACACATATTTAAGAGTATCTCTAAATGAAATTTGTAATTTGAGATGTAAGTAATGTTTTGCAGTTGAATGAACATGCTTATGAATGAACAGCTACCCTTATTTTCATAGTGAAAATGGTGAAAATAAGGGTAGCTATAAGCATCATAAGATTGCACAGCACTTTAGCTTACAGTAACTAATGTTTACTAGGTCAGTATTGTATGCCAGAGGAGGGTGTCGCATTAACACCAAGAGATCAGTTGTTAACAACAGATGAAGTGATCAGCTTGAGTAAATTGTTTGTCAATGAGGGAGTGCAGAAAATTCGGCTCACGGGTGGGGAACCCTTGCTACGGAAAGATATTGTTACAATTTGTGGTAAGCATTGTTTGTGATGATTGTTCTGTTCATTATGTGATAGCTTGTCTATCAAGGGGTTGGCAAGTTAGAAATAAGTGTACCATACATTCTGTTTGTAGAACGACTTTCCGAGTTACCCAACTTGCAAGATATTGCTATGACGACAAATGGTGTAACATTGTCAAGAAAACTCCCAGCTTTGCAGAAGGCTGGATTGAACTTACTCAATATCAGCTTAGATACATTGATACCTGCAAAATTTGAGTTTATCACGAGGAGAAACCAAAATGGATGGTATAAAGTGATGAAGTCTATAAGTATGGCTGTGGACCTTGGTTTTTTCCCTTTGAAGGTAACATTTGTATCAGTAAAATGATAATTTGGAACAAAACTATACTACCTATTTATTTCCAAAAATATTTTTCAGGTAAACTGTGTTGTAATGAAAGGTTTAAATGATGATGAAATTTGTGATTTTGTTGAGCTGACAAGAGATATGGTATGATATGGTTTGATTTTGGAAAAGCTGGAATTTTTTAGACTTCCCATCTTCCAATGCACAAGTTCTGTACATGCTGATGATGCTATACAGAAAGGGCACAAATATGTGACATATGTTGTAATTTAATATTCCAGCCAGTTGACGTGAGGTTCATTGAATACATGCCTTTTGATGGTAAGAATGATGTTTACTGTATGTTTTAGAAGAATCCTGATAAAATGAGATCAATATTAAATCATTTATACATACTGATTTTCATTTCATGCTGATAGGCAATAAATGGAATTTTCAAAAGTTTGTTTCATATCAAGAAATGCTCAACATTATCAAAGAAAGGTGGCCTGATATAAAACGACGAAATGACAGTGCGAATGATACTTCTAAGGTACATAGAAGTTTTCTCAGTTGGTTGAAAGTATTTTAATAAGGTCTGAACACTCGTTTAAAACCATGTTCCAGGCATACAAAGTTCCTGGTTACGCTGGTCAGATTGGCTTTGTAACCTCCATGAGTGAACATTTCTGTGGTAGTTGTAACAGGTTACGAATCACAGCTGATGGGAATCTAAAGGTAGTATAATCTATGAGCTTGGTATAGAATAAGCTTGCAATATCTTATAATTATTTAACTTTCTCGTGATTTGCGTTTCAATGTTGTTGTTAATTTTGATATCTAATCTTCTCTCAAGGTTTGTCTATTTGGAAATGCTGAAGTAAGTTTACGTGACCTGTTACGATCTGGCGCCAGCGAACATGAACTTGTTGACGTCATCTCAGCCGCTGTTCAACGCAAAAAGAAGCAACATGCTGGTACGCACGGGGAGAGGGAGAATGTGGCCCTGTTCAACTTGACTCATTTCCACCTCCAGAAATATGACTGTATGATCATTCTTTCTTGTCATTTTTCATTGCTTGTCTGATTTGTCATTCTTACGTTTTTCCAGGCATGTTCAACATTGCGAAACAAAGAAACAGACCCATGATTCTCATTGGTGGGTAAAAATAAATCGTAGGTAATGTTACCATTGGTTCCTACATCATAGAATACTTTATCCTATCTTTGAAATGAGCTAAATCACGCTTGCTGTTACGTTAAACACGGCTCCTATTCAGTAAACTCATCTAAGGCGACGTTTCCCTCACAGATCCCGCCATTTTTGCGATTGGGTGGTTTCCACCGTTAAAAGCGACCTGGACTAAGGAATTTTATGCTTCTCGAATTGATATCCACGACAAATTTACGAAATTCAATTATATTTTTACTGAAAACTTTCGTGGCCTTCAACGAACTGACAATCTTAACTTCATGGCTTCCGGAATGATTCAGAGAAGGCCAGAAACATTCAACAGGTTTTTACATCGACAATTCACGACAACTGTTGTGAATATTGGTAGCAAGGAAGAAAAAACAACGGCTGACAGCCTAACACACGTTAACCAAGAGGGAAAAGCGAGCATGGTTGATGTTGGAGGCAAAGACGAAACCTGTCGTTATGCCTTTGCCAAAGCTAAAGTCATACTTGGAGAGAGTGTGTTTGAGTTGGTCAAAGAAAACAAAATGAATAAAGGAGATGTTCTCAACGTTGCAAAGATTGCAGGTATCATGGCGGCAAAACAAACAGCGACATTAATTCCACTTTGTCATAATATTCCTTTGACCAGTATCAAGATTGATTTGCTGTTGGAAGAGCTCACACATAGTGTTGCTATTGAAGGGAAAGTGAAGTGTTATGGAAAGACTGGTGTGGAGATGGAAGCGCTGACGTGTGTTAGTGTTGCCGCACTTACTGTGTATGATATGTGCAAGGCTGTATCGAAGGAAATAGTCATTACAGATGTACATCTTGTTGAAAAGCAGGGTGGGAAGTCAGGGTTGTTTGTGCAAAAACCTCGTAACTAGTGAAGAGAGTGAAAAAACTTCATCTGGTTTATTTTGACTGTTATTTGACATGCAGAATATTTTGAGCATGTCTATCTTTTTAATATATTCACCATTCTTTCACCATTCGGTTTGGGTGGAACGTTTTTATAATCTATGCAAGCATTGTGTCCCCTCCCCTCTCAAATCACACGCCTAGAGCAAATAAATATATCACGAATCAATTGATATGTCACATAATGAATGATCTATATTAATTAAACATCAACATTAAACGGAAACAGCATTGTAGCGTTGCTTAATTATGTAATTTTTTGTAATCCTTTAGTTATATTAATATCGCTCTTAACTCTAAACTAAACAACATTATTGGTAAAAGACTTTGTTTCCCTATATTCTGATACTAGCCTTGTTTTAGTTGGAAACCCAACGCCTGTCCCATCACATTTGCTTCAAATTCTTATATTCAAACTTTCTTTGATCTTAGCACGATTTATCCTAAATGAAAAGCCTTTTCATAAGATGTCCTAGTATTATGATACAGTATTGAGCATTGTTGGTGTAAGCTGCTATTAAGCAATAATGATGAGTGTTTGATTAAGGTATTGATGCCCCCCGTGTTCGGGTTGATTTTTGGATTAACTTGAGATAAAACTGGATAAGAACGAAGGGTATCTCTACGCGACTCAAAACAGTTTTCATAGCAACCCATTCGAGATAAAGTTTGTTCCCATCTGAGGACAGTTTCGAGGTATTTTTCATAGATTCAACCGAGTGGAAATGAGAGAAATAGTTCATATTCAAGCTGGACAATGTGGAAACCAAATGGGGGCAAAGGTAAGTTGAAGAAAAGTTTGTGTATTCAAAAATTTTTTTCGTTGAAATAACTCTTCAAAGGGGGTATTTATTCACTGTCATCTCTTTCAAAGCATTGTTCTTACAATCAAACATCCTTCGTTAGCTTCACTAGATTTTCAATTTAAACCATTCTATTATTAAACTTTCCCTATTGTACAGTTTTGGGAGGTGATTTCAGATGAACATGGTGTTGATCCAACTGGAACGTATCACGGAGATTCTGATTTGCAATTAGAACGGATTAATGTTTATTACAACGAAGTAACTGGTGAGTAAACGGCATTTTACTACCACGAGATATGTCATCTCTCGTGCTTCTATAAGTAAATTCCTTATTCTGTCCTCGCAGGAGGTCGCTATGTTCCTCGCGCAGTTCTTGTTGATCTGGAGCCTGGCACAATGGATTCAGTTCGCTCCGGACCATTTGGACAGATTTTTCGTCCTGATAACTTTGTATTTGGTATGTTCAAATTTGATAAAGGATTGTTTCAACGACCAGGCGCCACCTTAATCTATCCTCAATTTCTTCTAGGTCAAAGTGGGGCGGGAAACAACTGGGCAAAAGGCCACTATACCGAGGGCGCCGAAATTGTGGATTCTGTTTTGGACGTAATGAGGAAGGAGGCTGAAGGATGTGATTGTGTTCAAGGCTTCCAACTTCTGCACTCGCTTGGAGGTGGTACGGGATCTGGCCTCGGAACATTGATCATCACTAAAATCCGGGAGGAATATCCCGACCGGATGATGAGCACCTATAGTGTGGTCCCGTCACCAAAAGTCTCCGATACTGTGGTAGAACCGTACAATGCGACACTCTCAGTTCATCAGCTTGTGGAGAATACGGATGAGTCGTTTTGTTTTGATAACGAGGCTCTCTATGATATATGCTTTAGAACGCTCAAGCTGACCACTCCTACCTACGGAGATCTTAATCACCTCGTGTCAGCCACAATGAGTGGAGTAACAACTTGCCTACGATTTCCAGGACAGGTTGGTACAAAAAGGGATATTGCTGGATCTAATATTGAAGTCTTGTACATTGTCAAACCAGGTCAATATGACGATCAACCATTGTATTTTAAGTTCTTGTATTGTTTTTTTTTGTGTAGTTAAACTCCGACCTTCGTAAACTGGCGGTGAACATGGTACCATTCCCTCGTCTTCATTTCTTCATGCCAGGTTTTGCACCTCTAACAAGCCGTGGTTCCCAGCAATATCGTGCGCTGACTGTGCCAGAACTGACTCAGCAAGTTTTCGACGCCAAGAACATGATGGCGGCGTGTGATCCACGTCATGGCCGTTACCTCACCTCCGCTGTCATGTTCCGTGGGCGCATGTCCACGAAGGAAGTCGATGAACAAATGCTGAATGTGCAAAATAAAAACAGTTCATATTTTGTTGAATGGATTCCGAACAATATAAAGACCGCTGTGTGCGATATACCGCCTCGTGGGCTCAAGATGTCGGCCACGTTTATTGGTAAGAATTCAGAAACTTTTTCAACCCCTAGAGTCCATTAACAAACGTCTGGTTGATCAAAACGGCCTTGTTTACTTACGGCTTATTCATCTAGTCCAATATTAGGTCATTAGAATCTGCTGTGAATAGTGTCCTCGTTTTTACCCCTCCAAGACCCTCGAAAGAAGTTTATAGTTTATATGCTTTTGTGAAATATTCGTAGGTAACAATACATCCATTCAAGAGTTGTTCAAGCGAGTGAGTGAGCAATTCACTGCCATGTTCCGTCGTAAAGCTTTCCTACATTGGTACACGGGGGAGGGCATGGACGAAATGGAATTTACAGAGGTAACTGGACTGCTTCTTCATTGAAGTTGGAGCTGTGGTTTGACCAGTGATCGAAGGAAGAAAAGGTGAAACCTAACCATCACGGCTCTTTCATTTTCAGGCAGAGTCAAATATGAATGACCTGGTGTCTGAATATCAACAATACCAGGATGCAACAGTGGACGAAGTTGGAGAGTTTGACGAGGAGGAAGAAGGCGAGGAGGCTTGATGACGTAACGACGAACACTCATGTAGGAAACTTTTTACCCGAAATTATCCTTATTTTGTTTTTATTTCTTTCTCACATCACTTATGTTTATCGTAGTATCTCTTCTGTCTTGTGTCTCGCAAAGGGTATTCTTATTCTTACCCTAAATGATGATTCTGTATAATGAGATTGATTATAAGCATTTTAACCCACGGTATTAGTGTTTTTCAAGTTTTTATTTTGTTTTGTTTTTCGACCTGTGTTATTGCATAATCGCTTACTGAAGCGTAGGAATTTGTTCACAAACTTCATCAACTTCATCGTATTATTCGAGGTGTTATTCAGCCAGTTCTAGGACAGTTTTACGTCCATTCCTTTGTTTCAAATGATGAATGAGATTTTTTCAGTTGTTACTTGACTCCATGGTGATAAATCTGCATACAGCGTCATAACTTGCACATTATAGGAGCTCACGTTTCAAAGTTAATCTTATCATCTTTGACATTTTATTACAATTCATTCATAAGGTGATCTTTAAGCTAACACAGTGTTTATCATCTTCGTCTCACTGAATCTCGCTATGACAATGTTCTGACCGTAGCGATGAAAATATTTTTGTGGAGACATTCTAACGCAGCAAGCTACATAGGTTTTCAGGCTATTTACTGAGGCAGAGTCATGTTGGTTTATGATGGTTTGATCTAACAAGCCAGATGTATCGCGTGATATATTATTAGCGTCGTCTTCAACTGTTCACTTTCCTTGATTTGACTTAATTTCGTCCATATACTTTTGAGCAGGTTTAAATTAAATCAATGAAGTCGCTATTTGTATTAGCTCAGTAATGACCAGGGTATTGGCTATCGTTTTTATCTGGTTTTTGGTTAAAGGAATGAGATTTGAAGACCGCATTGCTGACACTGGTAAGTTATTTTGACTACTTTTGAGCTCAAGTGTTCATTGAGAATATTCTCCTATCATTTTAAAGCTTCGTATTATTATACTCATAATGTACATAAGCAAATGTTTTGCAAGATCAACCAGTCGAGACTAGACTGGATGGTTTAATTTTAAGCAATACCAATTTTCCTATATATAACTTGACATAGTTGTATTGTTCGTGTTATTTAAGATTGAAATATGAAAATATAGTTCACTGATACGAGTTGACCATTGCTGCATCGGCCTCTTTCGTGCACAAATAATCCACGCAATCAATATTCCGTTCAAATGCGCCAGTTCAACGGCTTTTTGGCGCATCAAATAACCTCAAAAACAGTTTTTTTTCCATATTGAAAGGATAAAAGCGAAGTCATGAAACTCAATATCTCAACCCCCGCTTCAAAATATTGGCGGTATGTTTGATCACATCTCAGGCAACACAAGACGCCAGCACTATGTAGTCCTAAAAAAAACAACTATATTTTCTTTGTAATGCAAACTGTGGTAAAAAATGTGATGGAATAACGAGGTTAGCGTCACACCTGTCTTGCGACGTATTTTTCTAATAAAAACACTGCGACTTGATGCGCGCAAAGACTCCTCACGCTACCTTTGCCCTCAAGCAATCTTCACATAAACCCTCACAATAATATTCTAAAACATATTTCACCGGTTATTTATCACGAGTTTGCGTGGTAACGTCGTAATATAGTCTTAGTATATTTTATAAAAACTTGTAAACCCTGAATATTCCTCTCGCATCAATTTATTATATTGTCTATTCCTTTGTTCATTATTTTTATTTTCCTGCTTGCACCTTTTCAGAAGACAAACGAGAGTTCGTTCATGTTCGCAATCCAGTTACTTTGTCGGTCGGAGAGTGCATCACGTTTACAGCTCGAACAGCTTACCGCGTCGTGGGAAACTGGACCTGGCGCAAGGACACCATTCTACTATCTACCTCAACACGTGTCGTTATAGAGCAGAATACGTTATCTATATCTGACGCCATCAAAGAGGACATTGCGTATTATTCCGCCGAAGTGCAGACCTCTGGTCGAAAAGAACTGTTCCAGTTTTGGCTAAATGTTAATGGTATGAGGTTTATACCTGAGCTATGCTACTCTAAATATCTTGGTAGAATGCTTTTCACTTTCTACAGAATGCGAGGAAAATGAAAAGAAATCTCCCTACTTTAATGGAAACTGTAAAAGCTGGTGTGAAGGTATGTTTATCACGAAAAAAATGTTCAGAAAAAAAATATCAGAATGATGCTTTTTCGACATGAAAATTTAAGAAATTATCAGAAATATCTTTATCTATTTTTTTCCCTGAAGAAAAGTGTGACAGAGGATGGAAGCATTACGAAGGTGATTGCTATAAGTATTTTGATAATACGAAGACCTGGGAAGATGCATTAGACAGTTGTCTATCGATGGAAGCAAAGTTGGCGATCATTGAAGACAGCGGAGAAAATGAGTAAGCATCGTTTGTGCAAAATCTTCCATTTCATCCTGGTTTGCCTGCATGCCCTGCAATAATCACTTTGACCTTTTTAGATTTGTTGCTTCGCTGTTGGAGAGTGGCGAAGGCGCGTGGATAGGACTGAATGACAGACGCACAGAATCTGATTATATTTGGAACAACGATGTTAATAAAGAAGCTCATTACTTCTCCTGGGCAGAGAATGAACCCAGCAATACGAATGTACAATGCAATATTGAAAATTGCGTGGAAATGAAATATCCGAATCTAAAGTGGAACGACATGGTTTGCAATGGATACAATTCCTATGTCTGCCAAGTGGATCAAGACAAAGCCAATGGTAATTTGTACGAAAACCTGGTTAATTCGCTGTATCACCGCAAAAATTTCACGTCTAGTTCATTTTCTTGAGCAACCTAATACTGTACCTACTTTATTCAGATACGAAATCATGCTATGGTAAGAAGTGTTATACATATTTTACAACCGTGGTGATATGGAAGGATGCGAAAGAGAATTGCAAGCAAATGGGCGGAGAATTGGTTAAAATAACAAGTTCAGGGATCTTGAATTTTGTCGGCAAGATGATTTCAACTAATATTTGGATCAGTCTAAATGATATGGCGGAACCAGGTAATAGATCAGTTTGGTAAAACAAAGTAAGTTTCCTCTTGTAGTAACACTGAATCAATAAGAGATGATCCTTACTGAATCTCTAGGAAGAACAGTTTAAAACTGATAAAGCTATCCAGTATAAATAAAGTTCCTCCTGCAGTAACACTAGAACAAGCGATGGCTGCTGTGGGGGTAGAACTGGTAGAGCACTATTTAACAGAGGAACATTTAGTTTAGTCCATGATAACGTCTTCAACTCTTGCAATAGGAATCTACGTGTGGAATGACACAGAAGTGGGTAAATTTTCTAACAAAGCATCGTACTTCAACTGGGACAGTGGCGAGCCCAATGACAAACTTTACGAAGAACGAACCTTAGGTAACCTGTGTTCTGGGGAGGACTGTGTGCGAACTAATCGTTGGGATAATAAAGTCAACTGGTATGACTCTAAGTGTTCTGAACGGCTGCCATATGTTTGTGAAAAGGCTAGAGGTAAAAAAATACATAGGCGTTTTTATAAAACATCTGCACTAACTTAATTTATGCTACTGGAATAGCTCTATTACTTGTAAAGCTATAGAGGTCCAGTATATTTCCCAGTATATTTTATACATAATGTCAGCTCCGCTGAACTCTAATAAATAACTGGCGTGTTTGCCGTTTGGAGGTAAAGTCCCGCAAATTTTGGCTACACAAAAACAATGAGGAGGTATCGTTCCAGTTATTTATTACAGTTCACTGGTCCGCTCATCATCATTGATGTATTTATCCATATTTTTAGACAGTCTCCTCACGTTGGCAGCTATCATCGGTATCTCAATTGGCTGCACAGCAGTGATAATTATCATCGCTGCCTTCTGTCAGTTTCGTCTCAGGAATCGGAAGAATAAAGTTCAAGTTAAAAGGCTTGTATTTAACTTTAGCAATGATCATAATGTACGTTCATAGCTTTCCAGCTACCTGACTCGTTTCAAAACGACAGAGGCGCTCGCGTCAAAGACAGACATAACGATACATGCAGGATTGCTGCTGTATGTTCTTTTCTTTCGGAACTTATTGCAAAAACTCCTGCGTCCAGGACATGTGTGGAAAAAAGCTGAAAAGACAAACTCTTAATGATGTCGCCATGTAATCAAATCTTGCCCAGGAAAAATTTGTAATTTACGAATGGCTCATCAACTCTTGCAATTGTTTAATTTTGCTCAAATATTTTGTTCACCCCGTTATATATATACCGAACAATGCTATTATTTCATCACGTTATTTTAAAACACGTTTCATTAAACCTCTTTGAAAATAAAAATTTCTCATTTCCCGTTCAATTTGACATATTAAAATTCAATACATCCATTGCACTTTGTAAAATAATTAAAAAAGGGATTAAAACTTTTGCCAGAAAATTATTTTAACACGACACAGTTGGAGGTCATGTCCTATTACAATGTGAAAACGTATTGGTCATTAATTACATACGCATACTTCAAACAGTCTGCTATTTTAATTTTGGCTAACAAAACACAAACGCTGTTAATTTGTTTCATCAGAGACGACGGTCTTCTTCATAGCACTGCGTGCTGTTTCGTTAGAAATCGCGTAAGCTGTAGCCCGAAGAATTCAAGGTAATTACCGTTAAACAACTTAAAAATCTTTCACATAGATGCATGTTATATACTTTTCCCAGAAAGTATATGTCTGACTGTGTATAAATCTATTATTTACATGCAATTTTGCAAGCCATTTTAGCCTTCGCGTTTCTAAGTAAGAATTGCTAGAAATCAGTCGCGGTTAAGGATTTTATTTTTAGTTAAATGGCTTGTTTGGTATAGATATATAGACTAACTGAAGTTTTGTTTCTCCGTGTTCCTTTGTGAGAAAGGAGGTCTTCATGTGACTGCATGCTTGTGGAAATTTCTCATATACCGATCTCATCGCCTCTAGTACTATGCACGCCAAAAAAAGATAGATAGCTTTTCAAGTGCGCGAAATCGAGCTGGAAATCTGGAATAACCTTAAAAATACACTATAAAGAAATGTTCAATCTCTTCCAGTTTTAAACAATTGCAAATTTTCCATTTGACTTATATTAGACTCGAAGTTAATTGATTCAGATGCGATGCCATTATATATAATTGAATATACCACACTCCAGTGTTGCATGGGGAAAACATTGGCAAAAGCGTAGAAACTAATGGATTTTTAATTAAGATATAAAATTGAAGATATTATTATGTTGTGCAGCATGTCTTAACAAAATGACTTTAATTATATTTTAGTCTTTCTCCCCTGTATAGGAATATTTAAAAATCAGCTGTTAGGACTTTCGGCTTCAAGGTTTGGAGAGGCCAGGCCTATATAGCTTTAGGAAAACTTCCCGTTTCGAATTGTATTGAATTCAGCAAGTATCTACCTAATATGAACGAGTTTTGTGATTCTAACAATAATGAACAGTGTTTATGGTTCGCTCTTTTAGAATTCAATTTCTATAGTTCATTGTGTTTTATTGTTATCATCAACCAAAAGCAAAGCTTTTTCACATAGGTACGTACCGACCCAATAAATTTCGCATCAACTATAAACAGTTACAACGGTTTTCAGCACTCGGCTTCTCTTGGCTAAAACAACCGCAGCTGCCTTGAGATTAGAAACATTTAGAACGACCAAAAAATCATTTTACATACCCTGAAAAAGATATTTTATTTTTTAAAATCATATCAAACTGAATTGGAACGTGAAATCTGTGATTTAGTGTTGTAAACAGAATAACAGCAGCTTCTGGACGCCTCATATATCAATTATTCAGTTCTTTTTTAATGATTAATTGTATTTGACGTCGCGTGGCTAACTAAAGTCGTAACATCTCAATTTAGCGTTTGTGGCCATCCGCATTAAAGCGGAAATGCACAGAAATATTTCAACAGAAGGGGTGCGCCTTTATATACGCATTGAATTTCTGTGTAATTATATAACGGATGCGAGAATTATTCTCGTCAGCGTGGGTTAACGTCAAAATTCGTATTGTTTTGCTTTGAGAAGTCAGTGTGAAAGTCGGGACCGATAACCTTTCACCTGTTCTAAGAGACCCTTAAATAACGCATGGCGATCTCATGTCATTCTCATTGCATTTTCGATTTCAGCCTTGTTTAACGCAATTTCTGCACAACAAGGCCGCAGAGCATGCGCAACACAACAGAACAAGAGAAAGACTCCCGCGTTTGCCATGTTTCCAGAACAATTGGTATCAGAGTGTATAGTTCGTTGACGACGTGACTGACACGATAAACGCGCGTAAGTTAACGAAACAACACGCCTTAAGGATGCCTCTGAGTATACGATGACAACATCGCTGCAACTTGCTGACAAGCTCAAGTTTGTACACTTTTGGATCAAGGTGTGGAGTATATCTCCTTTGTGTAGGAACATTCCCAACAACCTTAATATTGATGATATAGTTTTGTCTGTGCTTAGACATCACAAGATACCGTGAAAATTTCGGTAACGTTTGAATCTTTTTCGGCTATTCCTTTACCCAATCTCGCTAATATTGTCCACAAAATTGATGTGTACGCAACAACGTCGCTACAAAGCCTAGCAACAAGTCGCAAAAGTGTTTTATTTTGCTACTGACATGCAAGCAGGCTGCCAAAGTAAGTCCACTTTCTACGTTTTCACAAGTTTAGAAGGATATCAGCTTGTTGAAAATACTTGTAAAGACGTCCCTTCGATCAATATGCTTGTGGCAATTAAGTTGTCAACAGATCATTGAGTCTAAAATCTAAGGAAAAACCACTTGGAACGTAGATGTAGATAAAAAAGACGTAAGGCAAACAACGCAGTCACTCATTTACAACAGGAAGGAAAGCTATATGCATTGCGTCACTCGTTTAACTTTTTTTTTCAAGAACTGTTGTGTTTAAAACCTTTTAGATAACGTTCTGTGACAATACAGGAACGGTGTATAATATTTTCGTTTTTAAAATGCGGTTGTTGAGAGTGCAATATATCGTATGCACGCTGAAGAAAAATTGATATCTACAAGCGCGTGCTTGAATCACGAAACTTCTCTTCAAGAAGTTCTATAATATTATAATGTTGGCTTTACTGCGGTGTTTCGCTGTATATGTCGAAGTGTATGCGTTTATTTTGGTTCAATAAATGCCTAAAGTTTTTAATAACAAAATTCAACTGAATACTATTGCATGTCGTAGCCAGCTTCACACCTTCGTCGGTGTTTCCTTAGAAGGGACCGTAAGGTATAACCCTCGGGGTAAACCCCACTATACATTTTTAAGGCAAGCAAACCTATATATCTGTATTTATATATAATACGCATATATATTGCGTATTTAAGTCTGTGAACAAGCATGCAGACAGTATACTGTTTGTTTTTTGGTGGTATACACAAGTAAAGGCAGCCGAGGTAGGATTTTGTTCGTCATTAATATTCAACAGTTAAAAGCAATTATACATAGAACCTAATGCAAATATATTAATTTTGACTTAGATTTAAATCTTAAACTTAAGTGATGTTTTGACTGTTCATATATATTTCATATTTCATCTTAATCAATCTTATATATGCAAGGTTTAGCATGTTATACCATTTAGATTATTAGCACGCCTTTATTGGACTGAGTAACGTTGCCCAAACACTCTGGCCCGGAATAATGTCTTGTATATAACAGTAATTTAATGTTATATATGTACAGTATATATAATATTATATGCACTTATTAATATGTGATATATCGTTATGTTTTAGGCACTTTGAAGAGCACTTTTGGAAGGTAAATATATTTTTTAATTTTTAATGTTTTGTTAAAACAACTGGGTTTCGTCAAAACAGCTTGAGGGAAATTTTTCACTTTTTTCAGTGTGATTTGGTCCCATTTGTACCTTTGCATCCCTCGTCGTTCATCGTCTTTATTATTGATTTACCATTGAAAACCTGCGCGGTACAGGACAGTCGAGTTTTAAATAATTTACGTTTTCAGAGTCCAATATCTCGTTCCTTACAAGGAAGACTGATGAATACAAAGATTTCTTTTATGAAAAGCTAAGAATAATATCAGCTTCCATTTAAAGCAAAGACGCCGAGTCTGTAAACACTTGAGATTTCTATTTTGTTCCTTTACCTCTCACCTTAGGAGCAAATCTTATTATAAATTCATGTCTATAAAGAAACATTATGCAGTCATGTGAAGTAAAGCAAATGAATAGCAGACAATTTGCATGAACAATCAGAGAGCATGCATGGAACGTGCTTCGATCCTCGAGGCAAACAATTCATTTCAACTTTGTCGTATTAAATCATGTGTTTCAATAGCAAAATAACTTATTCGCCGTTTATAAATCCTTCCGGGATTACATTTGATACCCATATAAACTGAAAACCCAGTAAACCTATATATGATTATATCTTATGCGAGACAGAGTTCACTTTATTGACAGACAGTCAGCTTAGATTGACATCTGTAATGGAACTCTCATATTAGTTAACATCATGCAGTATGACCAAGTCAACACAGATATTTATCACAAATTTTATCGCAGTTACTTGTGGTAAATATGAAGAACCATATAGTGTTTGAGATAAAGGAAGTATATAAAGCTATTTTTACAACGCGAGCATGACAGTTCTTATTTATATATATCACAACTAAACGTTTCCCTCAATCAAACAAAGGCTGTATCATTGCCAAGCTGTCTTTTGAAATATGATACACGAAATGTGGTTGAGTTATAAATTGACCGGAGGTAGAAAGGTGGCCTACGTCATAACACACTAAAATCTAAGTTTGTCAGCCTATCAGCTGTGACTGGTCGCAATATTTGGAGAGTATATCGGAAACCGACTATATTGTTGTTTAAAAATTTTTCGAGTTTCTCGTAGCTTGTGTAGCGCAAATACTGACAAGCAACGTTGGAATCTCTTCACCAAACACGGAGTATATCTTTCGTATTACAGCTACGAACGTGGGAACAAATTAGACGCTGTTACGAACTGGTTGGTGTGATATATTGGTGAATCTGGTGGTGGACTTGTTCTGACTTGTTACCCGTGTGATAGATATACTTAATCGTCAGTTGGGCAATAGAATATTTATCAATTCAAAGGTATGTTTATGTATTTAACTAATGCTGTACGTCCTTTTTTATTTTGTCAAGCCTTAAAGACTTTAGTCAGTTCCTATTCCCAAAATATTATATTTATAATGGTGTTTCCGATTTAATAAGTAGGCCAAAACCACGCGTTTCTGGCATGGATATTTCGTATTTATGTATTGTCAATATCGTGTACGATTTTAAACTAATCTTTTTTATTTTATCGCAATAACTTTGCCATTTATATGTCGGCTGGGTGTTCTCGTAGAAGATGTGTTTAATTCACATAAGTCATGACTGCCACGATAATATATAGTACATGTATGTATGATAATAATATAGTACATGCTAATACATGCCATCGTTGGATAATCGGGTTTCTTTAATCTTGTAACTGTTAGTATCGGACAAATTATATCCAAATATAAAATATTATGGTTTGTTAAACAGTTAATTGTTTAAACACGCTATTTTGCCAACACTTTTCGTGCAGGCTGGTAAAGAGAACCGGGGAGATTTTCATGCAAAGTTGGTACTACAACCGATGTTACTGCCGTAAATCAGGATCGAGAGTTGTGTGAAGGAACATGGCTGGTTCTTTGACCATTTGCACATTTGTATTCATTCTGACGTCTTGCGCTCTCGGTCAATTCATGCAGTCATCTGAATCTGGATGTAAACTTGTTAAGAAGACTGACTATTACTGTCAAGGAATTTCACACTTCCCAAAAAATATCTCTGGAATTGCAGAGTATTTGTAAGTACAACGTGTTACATTATCTTGCTTTGTTGATTTGCGATGGATTTTGCTCGTAATAGTGCATCGTAACGATTTCATGGTGGGGTTTATCTCTGCCTACGCCCGCGTTTTATTTCTCATCAAATGGAATTAACAAATTAATCACAAACAGTTTATTGATGCCAAATAGAGAATATGTCCGGCGTCTAGGCGACAAAACAAATGCTGTATTAAACAATTAAGTTTGTGCCGTGTTATTCCGATATATACATGCACAATATCAGAACGGTAACATGTCTCAAATTACTTGGCTGCTTCTCTGTTGACTTTTCAATTCGCGTGACATGCTGTAGACACAAAAGAGACTCGCACGATACATTTATAACGAATCCTGAAGCAGTAAAAATGCTGTTTAAAATGTTGCCGTCCTCGGTTATGGGAATCTAGCATTGAATATGATCACATTTCGTTTATTGTTGTTTGTTTTTCTGATATTTTGCTTTCAAAACATGTCCCGACACAAGAGGGTAATGAAGGAGAATGGTATCTTAAATATTACGACAATGAAACGCATGTTATGCCTCGAGTTTTCTGGGCGTATTTTTTGGTCACACGCGGCATCGCCCATGCGCAATCTTGGCTTGCATTTCGGTACATTTTGTTGTTAAATGTACGTGCAAGGCTTGTGACATGCTTCCCCTAACCCAACTTGTTGCTAAGAATTTAATTTTTGCAAAAAAAATTAATTGTTTTGATTTCTTCGTTTGAGAATCGCGTGTTTATGGCTCCTGTGGTTGTTTATCAAACGTTTTTTTCTGCTATATTCGCTTTTTCCCACGATGAAGCTGAACAAGCACCCTATCGTCATAACATTGTATAGAATTTGCACATAGTATTATATTTATATCTGGTCAATCTCGACTAGTAACATCATGCACGTACATTGTACAGCTAGCTAGCTATCATCCCTGCGCGTGGAAAGTTAAACAGAAACGATCATTTATAGGTGGCGATAAGATCTTGTTGTCACTTCTAAGTTACGAAAACCTTCCGCGGTGTAATTGAGTCGCAGAAAAAGGGCAATAAGCCATATGTCCTTTCATCACAAACTATTTCCTGTGTTTCATCTTCATTTTACGTAACACTAGCTGCTTCAGAATTAGCGCAACTCGTATTTCAAACCACATCAATTGAGTGAACATGAAAAGCTCATATTTCATTGCATTGTTAAGACAATAGTCAATTGTAGAGACAGTTAGAGACGAAAGAAAAATAAGCAGCACTGTTGCATGATTGTACGTGTAACTTTTCAAGTCTTCAAGTACGGCATGTCAAGCTTGGAAACGTTAATGCATTTAATATGGGAAGTGATGGAATCGAAAGCGAGTTGTATAAAAACGACTTTCAAACCTTGATTCGAATGTCCAACAAGCGTTGTATACCTACCATGTCGTATATTATGGTTGCAACAATGTTTATATATTAATTTAAAACCTAAATATTTAAGAAACTCGATAGGAATGAGAATAAGAAATAGCCTGTTACCCGTCATGTTTAAACAGCTGATTTGTGTAATTACACAGTCATGAATATCTCCTAAGTGATTTTGAATTGAATAACAAGCTGATGAAACATACTTCGTCTTTATATAGGAATCCGTCAAATCATCGTAGAAAATATAATATAGGACCTCGCAAAGTTAAACAAAAAATCTTGTATAAAAACCATATAACCACTGATATCTTTCACCTTAACATATACAGTTATACAATATACAATGTCAATTTTGTCATTCGTTTTTGACGGGAAGATGATGTTTTTTTCTGACGTTAGCATTTCCAATACCACCTGTAAATTTAAGATCTTAGTATATACGTATGTATTTCAGTAATTTGACGCCCTTGCGCCCATCAGTCGCGTGCGTGTGAAATAAATGCTTCCAAGTTGTTAAATACGCGTTCAAGCGCTTTACAGACTTTTCTATCTAGAATTGAAATCCTTGAAATCCTATTGAAATATACGGAGATTCTGCAAATGAGGCTATAAAGTAAGATGCGCATTATGATAGAAAGTCGCCGCGGCTTATTGCAAAATATATTCGTACAAACAAAAATCAGATGTTGTTCCACTTAATTTCGATATTGCTTCATATAATTGTCTATCTTAGCGAACATTGAAATATCATACAAACACATATCATCACCTTATCAACCAAATGAACCAATGATAATTAAAAATTGCTGTGCACAGTTTTCTTGTATTGAGTAACTTCATTTTGTCCATTTTGGGCAAGATGCAACGATAATTTCGGCGTTGTTTTATTTTTGAGAATTTCACCTCCCCTGCATGCCCACACAGCAACTTCATCTCATACGAACATCACTGCTTTGTGGTAGCGATCTGCTGAAGTCAATAGTGAACTATAACTTGGTCTATCAATAAAACGTAGTCAAATAGATAGCCTTGCATGTTATAATCCTCCGTTTCAAAGATTCTATTCCTAAAGCATTGTTTCGAAATCAATTCGGCCTTGTAGATCTAAACAATTTAACACAGCTCTTTCTTGATTTGTCTGTCTCACATCTCCACAATATAGAGGAATAAAGATTCTACATTGCACCTTCCTGAATTTGGAAACTTGGCTGTGCCAAAAAATTTATCTAAAATGTAAGTCATGTTTTTTTATGATCGTTTATCATCGCGCGGCCTCTCCCCTTCTTGAATATTTGACTAAATGATTTTTCATGTTGATATAGACAATTTGAAAACTGCACCCTGACTGGGTTAGACGAGATGGTTTTACCCGACAGCATCGTGGATTTGTAAGTTTAACATAAATTTTCTTTTTTATCAGTTTCATTAAGCATGTGGGGGTTAATTTTTGCGCTGCAAATCGGGACTTTCACACAGGTGAAAACAAAACTCAAGAACATAATGAGGTCGAATTTATGGCAACTCCCTGATATTGTTCAACAGGTTTTGACCGGTATTTTCTGTTTTCTTTAGGATGTGAGTACAGGAATATTGTGTACTAATGTTGAAGCACCTTTGTATATTTTAGACAAATAGCAAAATCGAGGATAAAAGTTTTTACAAAGTTCAAGAATTCGAATAATAAACTAAGGAACTTGTAAGTATACCATTCGCTTTTAAATCTAAAACCCTGAAAATAGGGGCGTTCGCCTTCAGTCTTCTTTTAAAGGGTAACATGCATTAGAGAACTGAGAACGCTATATTCAGTTTCAAATCCTTTTCAAAACAGGGTAATTGAAAGATCAATCGATCCAAAGCCTGTCTTTCAGCCAGGGGCATTTGAAAATCTTCAGGGCCTTGAATTTTTGTAAGTATATGCCTTAGTTTATTCTATTATGTTTCAAAGAAATATCTGCATGTTTAAGAGGATAGTCTAAGTTATGGTTTGGTATAGTGCAATGTATCGGAGAGATAGATATTTTGATGAGGGAGAAGCCTTGATAAAGACTGACGTGTCTTTATATGAAAGAGGTGTCTCTATTAGAAAGATGTTTGTATCAGGCAGATGTTGGTATTAAAGAGACGTCGGTATATATAGCTAGCATTGTCTGCATTTTTTCGAGATTTCTGGGCTAGAGAGATGTCTGAAAAGAGAGGCATGCCTGTATGAGGAGGATATCTGAATTAAAGAGATGCCAAAGACCCAGTCTGATCAAAAAAGTCTAGTCTATGACACAAAGATAGCTGTGCTGTTTGTTTACTACGTGTTTATTTCTTTCCTAGGATATTAAATTTAAACGACCTTGACAGCATTCCTGTTTTCAATCGCCCTAGTAAACTAAAAGAATTGTGAGTATTTGTGAATTCTATATTTCATTGTTGCGCAGCAGTTCGAAGATAATGACAAAACATTTATTGCTTCCTCACATATAGAATGTTAACTGGAAATAGAATTAAAGAACTAAAGGCGAGACAGTTGAAAAATCTTCCTAAACTAAAAATATTGTAAGTTGACAGTTCAAATGCAGTTTGCAAATGCAATTGTTTTAATTCTGTCCTTGCCTACCCTCGAAAGTCCTGCATGCAACTATAAGTGTAGATATTAAAAATTGGGACATCATTTTATAATTTTTTTTTCACTTCAGAGTCTTGGACAACAATGAATTTACATCGCTACGAAACGGAATGTTTCCTGAAGACAACGAAATTGAAACACTGTAAGTTGTAGATTTTTGAGCAAATCATAAATACGTAAGTTCTTGAGATGTACAACTAAAGATTAACAACATTTTCGACCTGTAGAGAAGCCGTTCTCTGATTCGTGTTTTTATTTTAGCGATTTCTCATATAATTCTATCAAGAACATTGAGTCGGATGCCTTTGCAGAATTGACTAATGCAAAGTACTTGTAAGTAATAATCGATAAGTTATTACACATTAAGGGCAACATATGGTCACCTCGTATGTCTTGTGAACTTTACATTCTTAAACAGTTTTCACAAAGAACTTTTTTTTTACTTTTAGAGAATTAAACGGCAACGACTTTATAAATTTACCAACAAACGGACTTCAGAATCTTAGGAACTTGAGTCTGAAAGGGGTGGAGAGTCTACGTACCATTCCTGAAGGCCTACACCGTATTGAAAAGCTCGAACTAGCTAAAGGAAAATCCCATCTGTGCTGCAAGGTCAAGTTTGACAAGGCTCGTAAAGGTTTGACGGGACCTCGAACCTTTCCTCCAGATAATACAATGGCCCCAACTACCCTGGTCCCCACTATGCCAACAACACCAAGAAATAGATCCACAACAGGTCATTCGCTTCCTTCTGGTTTTGGTAGACGGAAACGAAGAGACGACGTAGTAACCCACCCCCTGGACCTAACAGAAACACCCGGTCCCTCCCCGTTCGTTCCAACACCTCCCCTCTCGTCCTTGGAGTGTACCCCTGAACCCACAGCTTTTCAACCATGTGAGAACATCATGGGAGCTGACTGGTTAACTGCTTTATCATTCATCATAGCGCCATTTGCATTGTGTGGTAATTTTGTGGTCCTTGTCGTCTTTCTATGCCTGGCAAGAAATTACAACGTTTCAAGATTCCTGGTGACTAATCTAGCTCTTGCGGACATGAGTATGGGTATATACTTACTGTCTCTTGTCACTGAATCCGTCATTACCTCGAAAGAGTACTACCTTCATGTGGAACGGTTCCAATTCGGCACCAGTTGCAAAGTTCTTGGATTTTTAGCGATGTTTTCAGCGAGTTATCGCTATTTTCATTGATGCTGATAACAGTGGAGCGATACCTGACCATTGTGTATGCAATGTACCCACGTTACCGACTAACGATGCGTACAGCGGTCATCTGCATGATCCTAGGTTGGTCCGTTGCAATTACTGTGGCGATTCTACCAATAGTTGGTGTTGGAAGTTATAAAAAAGTCGCGATTTGTTTACCATTTGACACGGACAACGGCGGAGATTATTACTTATTCTTTGTATTTGGTTTAAATGGCGTTGGATTCCTGTTTATTTGCTCGCTCTATGCTCAAATTTACCGCTCTGTCTTTAAAACGAAAAACTCGACACCAACTCGCAACCAGGACTCGAGAGTTGCCCGCCGTATGGCATTGCTTGTTTTCACAGACTTTGCTTGTTTCGCTCCGATTGCCATCACTGGTCTGTCAGCATTACTGGGTCATGCTCTGATTGACGTACAACAATCGAAATATCTTCTGGTATTCTTTTTTCCTTTAAACGGACTCTTGAATCCGTTTCTATACGCAATAATCACAAAGTCATTTCGTCGTGATCTTGCTGTTTTGCTCAAGAACTGTTTCGTTTGCGGAGGGAATCTGACGAATTATATATCCAGTTTCCCTGCACGATCAGTACAAAGTACAAACGATGTATTAAGCCCGTCTGCTCGACCGTCGTTAGACTTCAACGCCATGGGTGGCTTTCATAGCTTGGGAAATATCAGAGGGTCCAGAGAGAATCCAGTTTCGGCGTCGTTTTCCAAGTCAGAACCTAACTTGGTTAGGTTCAGTCAAGAGGCATTAAGTTAGTGTCCTCTAAATTAGGGATCGTTCATTATTGGTGACGTGGGGTGATGAATTGGAAAGCTGGACTTCTTTTGAAAGAAGAATGAAGGATTGCAAATTTTTGAAACTAGAATTTACCTGAGATTTTAAGTTTGAATGCCAAATCTTGCCACCAAAATCATCCTATCCCTCTCCCCAATAAATAATGAATGGCCTTTAGCTCTGATTCTAAAGAGATAATTGAAATTTTTGATTGGTAGCTTCGATGATATGTAGACATTGCAATGCAAACCAACTACCTTTCATAGTGAACTAAATTAAGGTGATTGTCGTCCTACAGCCATAAGATAGCTTTACTGATTTTGACAAATTCTAAATTTCATATCCAATAATTTGAATGGTGGGACAGTGATAAAATTAGTAAAAACAAGTTCTACGGTGTTATGTAGAAGAATCGTCAAGTATGCCAATAATATTTTAAGTCCATAATGTCAATGAGAACAGTGTTCGGCTGGCTAAGAGACACTGAACGTGTGGGGAAAATTGTTAGTTTAAAAGTGTGTATATTTTTGATCGTGAACATAATTTATTGTAGAATATATATATATAAGTTGTGTATATTTAATTTTACATTTGATAAGTCGATACTAGACGAACGTGAGATATATGATAAATTTTAAAATATACAAAGACAGATCGGGATACATTCACTCCCGGGTGATTCATTGTACATACTGCTAAATATTGTACATATAGAGAGGAATGGAATAGAATTAATGAAGTAATGTTGTCATAAAAAATTCTCGGTGTTTTGAATTCTACAGGATGTAGAAAAAGATGAATCTTTAAAACTTAAATACGCTATAAAGTATTATATACACTTGAACTATTGAAATATTGCCAGCGTTCCACAGTTCAACGCAATCATGCATAGTTCTTTGTGTCTTTTGTTTTGCCTTTTGTTCTCTTAAGCACACTGATAGAGGTGTTTGATTAATTTATGCAACTACTTTAGCAACCATGAGGTGGACAAGACTTTCGCTGAACGTGTTCATACTTCGGTGTAAAAGATAGACTTCGAAGCGCCAGAGTCAAAGAAATATCTGGTCAGGAAAGAGCTTTGAAGCGGCGAAAGGTATGTATCGACTTTAACAACTTTATAAAGTCGCAGCTGTTTAAACATTCAATTTTATACGACAAACGTGAAACAAACACTGCATGTAAAGTCGAATTTTCTGCTTTTCGACCTGAGGGCCTTCGTCAGGAGAGTTAGTATGGTAGTAACTAATGCATGTAGTGGTACTAACTCTCCTGACGAAGGCCCTCAGGTCGAAACGTCGAGAGGTAAATGTTCTGATGTAAATTTATCTTGATGTTCAAACTTTCAATGTTAAAAGTCTTCCACGGACCTCAATTACGTAACGATTCCCCATACCATAGGCATACATGGTGGGGTGGGCTGGGGTGTTATGTGGGGGGTGGTACCGCTTCAGCTCTTGCCCCTCACCCATTTTAGAATTAGGTGAACACATTGATATGATGATTCAATTGAATTTTAAAATATTTTATTCATTTTCAATACCGCGAACAGTTTATATTTTAAAAACACTGCAACAATATATTACGTTAAGCAAAACAACATATTATTATATAACATGCATTATATATATATATGTATATGTATATATATTACTTTATGGAATATAACAAGTTTTGTCCTTGTATAGAAATCTTATATAATAAGTTGTAGTAATTTCATGACGCAAATACACAAAATTTTGAGCATCCAAATGTGATGTGATATTCAGTAGAGTAAGATCTACGCCATTATGTCACCCTGGCTCATATACATTACGTCATTTGTCCAGCAAATGATTTATTGAGCGAGTATTGTCGCTCTTGTTAATAAGCCTGGTGTCATACAGGCACCCACAATAACTATTTCTGTTTCTTCTTCGCTTGAACATCCAGTGTCACATCGGGTTCAGTATCGGATGGGATGCTTAGCTGCATACAAAAAAATAGTTATATTTTTAAATCTTACGTAAACATAGCAATATGCAAGCCTTTGACACTCTTTGAGAGTTGCTTATTAGTCCTTGACTTTAGGTCAAATTGGGCGAGTTTTTTAACATAATATTGAAGGAGAAACAGGTGTCTTTATCGAAATCCTAAAATGGCGCTATTTTATTGCAAGAAACAGAGGAATCTTTCAACGGAAAGTAAAGGAAAGCAATCATCTGATGAATCTTTCATTTTTTAATGAATTATACCTTTTCATTGCTGCAATAGCTGAGCAAGAGTGACTCCTGACTGCCCGGAAAATCTTCGGCTGTGTTCTTCCGTGCATGTCGGAGAACCTCGACGGCGACGTCGGGAAGACCAAATTCGCGTACAACACGTTTTCGTACTTCGTGATTCACGGCTCTGCCGTCCCCTGGGAAAACAGAATAACCCAAACGAATGGAACTAACCATTAGATACACATGAAGGGTTAAAATGGGCTGTCACATATAGAAAGCTATAACCACCCCCATACCCCGGCGTTAATTGCACCCACCTAAAGAAAGAGCATACGCCCGTTGTGTTTGATTAAAAGACTTAAGTTCTTTTTCTCTGTTCAACATAGCTTTGACAGTATTCTGATCAGGATATGGTAGTTCATTTGCGATCACAGATGGTGGACCATCTTCATATTCTGGGGTACAATACTGGCTGGTTATACTGGTTACCATATCTGGCATGTCTGAACGACGTATCATACGAAGACGAACAACTTCCATCTCTTCAACCATTCGTTCACGCATGATAGCCTGAGAATGAAGAATAAAAGGTACCTCAATTCATTTCCATTAATGAACGTCTAGTGATGGTCCAATTCACTTCTGACGTATGAAATATAGTCTGTTATTGATAAAGCAGTACTGCATTGGTTTCAGTGCATTTGCTGCTCATAAACATCAAAAGACAACAGACTATAAAACATCCATCAGAAGTGAATTGGATCCAACAAAATTGGATCGTGTGAACGGAACTTAATATAGGTTTTAGTTTTTTAAAAATGTATGGGATTCGTTTTTCCACGGTATGCTCCTCAAGACTGGTGAAGTCAAATGATAGTTACAGACATGTGTTATACTTTATTCAGCAAAAAAGCTTGTCTTATATTCACAGGCATTTTCTCCGAAACGCGATCAACCAAATTCAACACATGACTCACAATAAAGCTGTGCTACACAGCGTTGAAATTAGAAAAAATTATATTTGCTCAAATGCTATCTCGTTATCTTTCACCTTTGCCTCATCGACGTAGGCTGAAAACAATCTTGGTTTTACATATTTCCTATCATCATTCACTCTTATCCACGATGATCTTTGCTGTCTCTCTCCTTCCCCAATGTCCAATGGCATTTTCTTCTGCAATAAACCTTGTTGTATTGCAACTTTCAGCACGCTGCTGTCCTTCGGAAGTATATGCTGTACTCGTATTAGTTGCAAAACGCCATGAAGAACGTGTTTGAGGGATTTCACGTCAATGTCTTTTCGTCTTATGCTCCGCTTTAAAGAGCTGGTATAATGTTCCAGTTTCCCATCTGTCGTAAAGCAGACATAAACAATCAAATCGGAAAGTGGTTTTACGAACCTGATTGGGAAAAGCCAGTGATATTCCAGCAAACACTACCTGATGGATACATCGTTTTGTAAACTTGAGCTTCACCCCACTTCATGACAGCCAGAAGAACATCTTGTTCACTTGCCTAGTTGTAAGAAACAAATTTGTGAGAGAAAATAAAGGACTGTTCGTTCCACTATTTTCTGCAATAATTAACCCACATTAATGTTTATTTTCCCACAATCTGCAAACCAAAAAAAGGACTTTTACCTGAAGAAAATCTGATTTCAATGCTTCAATAAGAAACTGTTTTGGTAGATTTAGAAAGACATCCAAATGCACAAGGTTGAGAAACTCTTCTCGCAGATAATGCATAGTTTGTCGATAGACCCAATGTGAGCCATGAGGTTTGTTGCTCCATTCCAACGACGCCAGTAGAGACATGGGGGAGAGTTCTTGAATGATGATATCCTCTGCACCTATTCACAAATGATGTCAGTAAAGTGGCTCTCTGTAGAAGGGGAATTCGAGAAAGAAATCTCACTTTTACTCGTACCTTGCTCAAGCGTTGCAAAATCCAAGAATCTTGCAATCTCATAAACTTCCATTGCCACCTCAGGAACAGTAAGTAACTTGTGTGGATCCTCAATACTCCGTTCATCGCTACCTAAAGCCCATCTGATCACAGAAGACACATCCACACAATCCAGATACATACATTGTAGTAGCACTCTGCCATACTGCCGAGGGATAATCTTCTCATCGAGGACCAGCTTTAATGGCTTTGAAAAATCTCCTTCCTTGGCTAAAGTTGTTAGCAATGTGTGAAAAAATGGGGATCTGGCTGCTAATATTGCCTTATGACAATGCAGTTCAAATGACGACTCAACACCAGAAATTTCTCTTGTCTGAGGTATGCCTGCAAAATTATCTTTGAAGACCAAAATAACATCACTGAATTTGCTTGTATTTAGTAACACATTCATATCTAGTTCCAGAACATTTGGTGTGCCAAACTCATCTCCCATTTTCATGAGGATTTCTAAGTTATCCACCAAAGCTGTATCAAATGTTGGTACATCACCTGTGTATAGATAATGCAACATCATTCTAAATATATCCACAGTTAATTCAGGGTTTGCTATATCAATCTGTATCTTTGCATTATGCCCTGGGTTTTTTTCAAGGATAGTGTGGAAGAATGGTGAGCGCAACGATAATAGGAATCTGTGACAATGAAACTCGCATCCTCTGAATTGCAACACAACATCTGTGAAATATTGCTGTTCATACATTGCAAGTAGATCTTCCTTTAAAGTTCTAACTCGTGGACGAGCCAGGCTCGTTTGAATTGATAAATCTTTCAGAGCAGAAAGTGACTCATATTCCTCCACAAGGGCATTAATCTGGTGTGTATTCCAAGATTGTGTTAACTCTCTGATATGTTTGACATAGTTTTGAGTTTTGTGGGAGGACTTGTGACGTGAAAACTTCTTTCGAAGTGTTGCAAACTTTGAAACATTTTTCTTTCCCTCCAGACGAGCCTTGTTTTGTCTTCGTGGGATATTTTCCACTGACCGTGAGTTATGAAGAGAATTTATCCCACCCATTTTATGGGACGAAAACAAAAACTTTACAATAGACTTTGCTGTGAAGTACCATGCATATCTCTCATGCTTTGTATATTTCTAAAGTTCTGTTAAAAGTTCATGTAATGGCTGTTGTCTTGATATTTTTCATAGCAACAAATAAGTCAACCTGAAAATAAAACATTTTGATCGTATGACACCAGTAGCACTGCCAACGAAAATGAAATAATAGACACGGGTAAATAAGGGTAACTTTCACTTTGAAAAACTGTTTAATAAACAAACTGTTGGGAACAACATCGTAAATAACTTCGTCAGAGTTTTATTAAGTTTAGAGCTTTTAAAAAGGGACAGATGTATGCCACAGAGGGTAAAGTAATCATGCCATATACAGTATTTAGCGTTTCGGATCATATTAATGATGGGATAGGGAACACACAACGTACGACTTGTTGACTCTTCTATCATGGAAAAACACGATTATCGAAATGTAAACATTGATTAGGTTTTATTGGAAATCTATGTTTATTTCTGTAGAACAACTCATTCAAATACAATTGCTAGTCTCACTTCTACGTTCAAACTGAACGTTTAAAAACGTATGAGAAAACTAACTTCCATTTTCAAAAGTCTCCAGTATCTTGGCGACAAATGTATACTCACCAGTATCTTTATTTACTTGTCCGAAATGGCGATTCTCATCTTTATGTAAGCACATATAACACATTACAGCCAATATCTCTCGCGAAAAACAAGACAAAGCATTACCCCATTACATAAACCAAAGTTTAAACACAATTAATCGTTTAAAAACAAAAAGAAAGTAAAAAATCTAATGAACAGCCGTAAACATCATGAAGCTTCTAGTTGACAAGATGACCGTGTTCTAACAAAGGAACTGGGACTTTGTAAACAATCATTAATTTATGCAAAATGTTGCAATTATTGTCAACAAATTTTCGTTCTAATTAGAACATTAGAATACTTTAGCTACATTGAAAATGTTTCCTTTACTTTAGTATGTTTTGATTTTTTTTTGTTTGGAATGTTTCATTTATAGCTATGAATAGAAGTCGAGATTGTTCGGTGCATTTATTTGTAGCGTAAATAATGATTTGACTCGCATACAATGTGTGAAAAAAATAAATTTGCGGTTTCTGCGTAACATGATTACGTTACTAATCTCTTATAAATTAAGTCAAAGAATGCATAATTAGTACCCCGATAAGACCACATTTTCCCATATATAGTCAGAAAGAATTCCTCATGGTTTTTTTGCGGTCTATATTCAGCTGTGTTTGTCATTGAGGATGGGTTAGTCTTTCCTGCGAGGTTGCTTTTGCAGCGCCTAAATTAATCTTATCATATGCACGTAAGCTATTAGCTAGCGTAGGCCAATAACGGTTTACTTATGTAGTCATGTTTAACATTTAACAACTACAAGTGGAGTCATGGATTACTTTGCTAAACATGTTCCGAATAACTACAATTACTGTAATGTTCTCCTTTGATCCAGCTGTCAATGCAGCTTTGACAAGATGCTTACTGATTCCCCCAGCAACAATCTCTGAGTCATGTCTCATTACACAGTCTATTAACAGTCCTGAAAGTGAGGCTTTTTCTTTACATTCTTGTTCATGATCAAGTTGTGTTGTAGTTTGGTCATTCAAAGATTCAGCATTCAAAACATCTTCATCCTGAATTGTGATTTGAATAGAATCATTTCCTCTGGATTTTGTGCTATTTTCTGTGGCTGTCAATCCAGTAGCATTTTCTTCTAACCATGCCTTGATTAGCAATACCATCTCATTTTCATTGAAAACCTGCCAGAAACCATAGGATGCAACCACTAAAAGGTGAACGTCACCAGCAAGTGGAGTAAGCTTAAATGCAGGAACATTTAGAATATTTGACTTAAGAATGGGATCACCATGGTTGCCTAGACCTCTTGTGGTAGCAACAACACCATTCACCCATACAGTCTTAGACCATTTGTGAATATCACCATTCGCCTTGATTCTATGTTTTTCACTTTTGTTGTCAGGACTATGATCAATGGTCAATGTTTGAAATGTGTTGTCATCCAGCACCAACATTGCTTTCACATTACCAACATTTGCAACAAGCAAGGTATCCTCTGTTAGCAGACATGTGGTTGCTGAACAACCACTCCAGCGATTTCGAGAAGTCTCCTCAGCTCCAAAGAGCAAAATCCTATCCATTCTGTCAAAAGCTTGTTGAAAAGAAGCTAAAACATCGGCATCATCAACACACTTAAAATCACTAAACGTTTCTTTTAAAATTTGGTAGAATTGGGCAGAGCATTGGTTTGCAGCTGTTGAACCACTGTACCCATCAAACACTGCAAAATATGAAATAGTCTGCTCGCTTATGCATTCAGACATATAGCTATATGCATCTTCCATTGTTGATCTCCATTTCTCATTGGCACTTTCACATACCCCTACTCCAACGTTCCCATGCAACTTGTCACTTTCTGAGCTAATAATCACATCATGATGTTCAATAAAAGAGGATTTAGCTTTGTTTGATCGACCATACATATCCGATTTCAAAATCTCATAGGCCAAATCAATTTTTCCAAGCTTTTTCTGATAAGCACTACGACCAATGTCAAGTCTATTTAGGTCCTTAATTAATGTAGCACGTCTTCGACTTAATGTCTGCAGATCGTTTGGTTTGGTCTGAATATCGTACTGGTAGAGTGACAAAGCTTCGTGCACTGCGCGATGATCTTGTAAATTCGTTAATTCAACATAATTGCAACATTTCAAACACAACATTGATACATTCGTTTCTTTGAATGCCTCAATTATTTTACCCCGTTCCACAGATGTGTCCTTGCGGTCCATATCAGTGATATTACAGATTCACTTCATATTTGACAGAAATTCGGTAAGAAGAAACGATCCAGGTAAATTCGGTAATATGTTTGCGCAGGAGATCAACAATATTACGATAACCATGGTATCGTTCGGGGGGGGGGAGCGCAGCGTTGGGACACTGAAAGTACAGCAGTTCAGTTCATCGTAAAAGATCAGTGTGAAAACTGGCTCGGCCGTGGTGGCATGGGAACAAATATATTGTTGTCAAGGAAATGACAAAAGGAATCTTTGGCGGAATTTTGCGTCGTTTTGAACTTTACAAAGTTTGCAGGTTTTAAAATCAAACAAACAAATCCTTTTTCCTCGTCAATCGACAAGCAAAATGAACAACAGAGGCAACGAAAGTGGTAAGGCTGTTGCTTTTTTTAGAAAAGTAATGCAATGCGTAGATATTTCAATATATTTTTACTGTTATGTGAGGTTTTGCTACACGTATACTGTTGAATGTTGATCTTTTGCAGTTCATTATGTGGTTTCTCAAACGTCTAAGTTTTGCATTCACTATGACATTCATAAATAAAAGGAAAGACTCTTTGGGATATTTATTTTGCAAAGAAGAGTTTGCTATCATATAATGGCTGTATTGTGTACAAAAGCTTCAAAAATGAAAAATTATTTTTGACTAAATCACTTAAATGCTCTCATGTATTACCTTACAAAGCTTTTGAGTCCCTCTGCTAATATTAATTGCTTTTTAGTGCATTAAACTTAGTCTAAGAACAAATTCCAACTTATCTATGTAATCCTTGAGTTCACATACTATCAATAAAGTGAAAAAAAAATAGCAGAAATGTACATAATAAAAGATAATTTTAGACAGTGTAGAACAGTGTTTGTTGTCAAAACACTGCCTCAACTTTCGGTTCTTTATTTGTTCAGGTGTTACGCATGATATAAAACCAATGGCTGACCGACCCGTTGTCGACCCACCAATTCTGTCGCAGATTACCTGCTTGGGTGGACCAGCAGATGTGACTGATGACATAAACACAGGCAGAATACATCCGCGAAAAGATGAAACAAGTTTTGTAAAATTATGCAGAGATGGAGGTCACAAAGGTACAGTAATAAATATATTAGGCTGGAAAAAACAATTTACTGATCAATATGGTGGCTAAAGTACTGACAACCTCCTATGAAAGGTGATATTTGGACTAGAGTTACCACCATGGGTAATTAAATAGGTTGGAGTACTCTGTGACATAGCACCCATGGAGACTGGCTGCATGTGCCCACCAACTTTCAAAGTGATTAAAGAAGGTGCCTCTCAACTTTTACTTGCTTTCAAACTCTAACATCTTTTTTATTATATAGGCCTACTTGAAATGCAAGAACATGTGCAAAATAATGATCCTGTTACCTTTAAGAGGCAGGGTGGAGATTGGTATTATCATGAGCAACAATGTAAGCATAATAACTCGTTCACTGCTATTTGATACTGTATTCATATCATACTGTATTCGTATAGAATTCTTCACTGTTCAAATATCATTGCTAATTCTTATTTTAAAATATTGTAGCGGAAAATGGTGATTTAGCAACTGGCAGATCAAACTTAAGAGACACAGATTCAGAATTTGTTCGCTTGTCCAAGCAAGGTGGTCATGAAGGTATATTAATTACTGAATAATCCAGTTTAAAGCAAGCTATAATTATCAATGGGCACACCCTCAGGGCACACCTCCTGAAAAGCCTTCTATGGCATGTTGTCCAATGAAATCCATCATATTTCAAGCAAGGGCTTTCTTATCTTGAAGTTACACTAGAACTTAACTCATATTTAATCCCATGAACTCATCAATTGATCTCCATTCATCAAGGTCTGCTGAGGATAGACTCTGGCAGTAGAAGTGAAAACCCGTTTGTCAATTCTCATGGAAGATGTATGTTGCTTCTCAGCCCTTGTCTTTTGTAATTTTGTTTTTAAATTGTTCTGGTCATGCAACGCTGTGTCAATCATTCAATTTTTATTCTCTTTAAACGTTTTTGTATTGCGCAGTTAAAAAATAGTTTACGAAAGTCTTTCGCAAGCTTTTTATCGACGTATAAACCTTTTTGAGAAACTTTGAGGCGACGAGAACAAGATCTCTTTATGTTTTTCCACCGTTTCCAATTCATTTTATTTTTACGCATTCATGAAGGTAAAATAATTGAAATACGTGTTCACCTATTTATCAATAATTGTTAAATATCTAAACGCCTTCTCACACAACCCATTTTTTCGTATTCAATTCACTTCTGATGGATGTTTTATAGTCTGTTGACATGCAATGTATGTGGGCTGCAAATCAACTAAAACCAATGCAGTACTGCTTCATCATTAACACACTGCATTCCATACGTCAGAAGTTAATTGGGTCCGACAAAATTGGATCGTATGTTTGAAGAGATTATAACCTGTGGTGTATCTGCTTTTGTACACTAGATATAAGGAAAGAAGAGAGAGTATCACCATCAACATGCCCCCCGGCCGGAATGAAACCTGCTGACGTCAATGTTGTCCCTGGCAACCCCATATGGCTCGGGGGCAGCGGACCTGAGATGGGTTTTGTGCCTGGAAAACGGTTTGTGAAAAAGGAATTCAAAGAGTCTCCATTTGCAGTATCCTCTGATTGGATGGGGTAGGTTGAGAGTTTTAACTCCTGCAGTTGGCCATTCTCCAATGTTTTCAAGCCTCGTTTTTTAGTTCAATATTTCAGTTCATATTTCTTTACGATTTTATCCCTTAATTCAAAACTTAATTTTTTTAATTTCTAGAACGCAGTCCCGCAATCCTGACAAGATATGATGTTGAGATTCTGGTGATCTGAGGGACTATAATTCAGCTATAGACACTAGTCATCTGGCACCGCCGGTCCCATTGCATTGTTTTAAACTATATACATTTAAAAACTGATATATTCATATCATAAATTGTGTTGTATTATAGTTGTATATCTTCATATAAAAATGTGATATGTTGTATTTATTTTATATAAAAAAGTCATAAGGAGGTCTTGAAATTTTATGTAAAATATGCCCAAATATTATATTTATAGTTTTAAATTTACTGTAATGTAAGGTGTTTGTTGTAATTCTTTATTTGTTTTTCTCACATCGTTTGTTTGCTGAGAGTTAAAGATCCTTTTCGTTCGACAATTTGATATCATTTTTAAGCAGCAGTCTTGGAACGAAATGGAGAATTCTCCGGCAACAACATAGACCAGCCTTGAAAAGGTTGTACAACAGGGATTTTTTCTTCATACAATGTAAACCCCAGCATTCCTGCAACAAGAGCAGCTGTGTCCTCGAAGCCATCTGGACGTTTGATTTTCAATGGAACTGTCGCCAGTCCGGATGTAAAAGTTTCTGGCGCGATTCGTTCTGAAGACCCTTCAATAAATCTGGTAATCCAACCAGTATAGCCAGAAATCTGTCCAGAAAAACTGGCTCCCTCGAAACTCAAAATCTTATCCCACCATTTCTTATCAGGATTTCCTTCATATGTTTTTAACAGCTTTTTGAAAACTTCTTCGGCGCTTTTCCACCAATCACCAGGAAGCCCGATGTCATCAAGGATTGGCTTTAGAATTTCCTTTAGTTTCTCAAGTTTTTCTCCCAAATGCTCCCAGTCTTCTTTGCTTCCTAACATTTCAATCGCAGGAATGCCACAGGACGTTTTCATATCGTAGTCAAAAAACTCCTAAAATCGCAATAAGAAAAAATTAATTTGTTACCAACCTGCTCATGAATGAGAAAGTTGCCTTCTTCACATGACCGGCTTGAGGATTTACTGCGTCTACTCGATTTACTGCATCAAATGCAATCGCAGGGCAGAAGTTGCGATTAAAAATTAGGATTAAATATTGTTAATGGATGTAGTAACCTGTAGGGATGACATGATGGTAATTTGAGAAGCAATTTTTGTCGCTGGTGTTGTGGTTGTGAAATCAGCCGTGACGAGGTCAACATACGAAGGAACTTTGATATTTTCGGCGATCTGTTCTGACATTTGCTGGAAGAAGACGTTATAATCTACATCGTAGATACAAAGAGTTGGTACATCCACACAAAGCGTCTTCTTTCCTTCATGTTCCACAAACATCTGTCGAACACTTTCCTTTCCAGCATTTCTATCGATAGCAAGAGCAACCAGTTTTATGACACAAAACCACCAATCATCTGGCGAAGTTCTAAGCTTCCAATGATTATTATAAGCAGCTAAGATCGCGGAGAACATCCCATCGTCTCGATTACAATATATCACACCATCTGATCCTAAGGTTGCGACTCTATCACCAACGTTCTTTCTAAGGGAACTGATGTCATCCAAAGAGAACCCGACTTTGAGCAGTCGTGTTAGCACTGACCCCTCGTCTGATTCTTTGGCGAATTTCTCGAAAGCTTCTTGGGCCGGAATTTGCTGTAAATCTGATAGATTTTTTACTTTAGTAGGCTTTGAAGTTTTGTTTAGTTTAACACACTTCATGATTATATTGTGAAGAGGTTAGCACAATTTTTAGTTTCTTTATTATATTTGTTTTGCATGTACGTCAGTCGTATTACCCAATAAAATCCAGGTTTGGGTCATGAGGAAGTTAAAGATACGTCATTGCATATCCTTCAATTTCCTTTCTATCAGCTTTTCACGACACGATTATGAAGTGTGTTAAACTGAAAAAAAACTTTAAGTCCGACCAAAGTTAAGAATTAATCTTTCCTAAAACAAATGTCTGTTGAGCAATGAATTCCGGATGTTTTCTGCTGTGTCAGGTTCGCCGTGAAGCTGCTTTCTTGTGAACTTGCTGGAATATTCACCAGCATTTCTGAAATAGAAATCGCTCTCCCCTTAACGTTATTTACATCAGTAATTTTAATCACAAAAGACGGGGTAACTGTGTATTAGTTAACTTTGAAATCGTACGAGTCATCACAGGTACAGTTACATCCCTCTGTGGCCAAAAAGCATGCAACAATGTTTAAAAACAACCTGTGCCTTAATACCGCATTTTGAAAAACAAATTCCTAGCAACCTGTAAAGATATACCACTATAATATTAATTTAAAATTCATTCGCAGCCTCGCTTTTGTCAAAGAGTTAGTTGCGGTAACGTGTAAAGTTTGTGTATACCTGTGGGAACTCCTTATTCTAGCGGCTTAATTCTTTCTGTAAAAATTCCATCAGTAGAGTTTTTAAACAGCTGGTCATGGCTTGAAGTTGTTTTCAAGTTTTTGAAGAGTCTCCTTTTGAAGACTCTCCATTTGAAGAGTCTTTTTTGAAGGTAACTATGGATAATGTTTGTCTCGCAATAACAACTTCATTGCGGTGCATCATTAATGAGACGTTCTTGTATTTGTTGTAAGTTTACCCATGCAGTTAGGTTACTTACAGTTGGTCATAGCAGCTTTAGGAAGTCAGTCTGTGCATGATTTGAAAATCTCTTTGGCCCATTTCCACCTGCGATTTTTGCAGCGATTTTTGCATCTTCTTGTGATAGATGTGAACGAGTGACCAGTTATAAATGCTCCACTGAAATGCTCTGATGTATAAGAGCTCTCTTTTGAACATCAGTAGCTAATTCACATCTATCTCAAAAGAAGGAAATCGCACGTAAAATGGCAGCAAATATTGCAAGTCTAAACTGGGCCTTTTCATTCCTATTCACAGCATTCATTATGAGTTTTGTTTTAGTTACCATCTTGAATGGATAACATGATGACGTTGAAGGAAACGTTTATTTTCTTGCTGTTCATTGCTTGCTGTTCAGCAAGTTTGCAAGACGACAGATGCCAGGATAAGTTTGGATCGGATCTTACAAGTAAAAGCCATTTTTTAGATTTAAAATTGTACTTTGATTTGAAATTTCGCATGGAAGGAAATTTTAAACTTTTCCCTCCAGTTGCAACAGAAAGTACTTTAAAAACATTAGTAAGAAACTTATAAATCAGACATGATAAGGCAGGCAAATTATTCGGTTAAACCGTCCGAATATTTTTTGCACGTAATTTTATGGGTATGTCATACATTATCTTTTTCAGAAAATTTCGCTCTAAGCGGTACTGCAAGTCAATCCAGTGTATACAACAACGGTCAGCCGGCACGGCTCATCGACGGAGATACAAATCCATACTTTGGGAACAACAGTTGCTCAGAAACAAACGTTGGTGACAATTCCTGGTGGGAGGTTCAACTGCAAAACTCAATCTATATCACGTCTGTTACTATCACGAGCAGAGCAGACCCGTATTGGCCATACTCCGATTTTTTTCAAATTGACCCATGTACAAGTGGGATACTAGCAAATGACGGTGGAACAAAGACGTATCCGTGCCAAGAACCATACCCAACGACAACGGTAAAAATTGTGCTTCCGGGAACTGGAAAAAGACTCTCTTTATGTGAGGTGCAAGTTCATGGAAGAGAGATGGAGTTCTTTGACAAGGAAGGTATGAAAGTGACGTCGCAACACTAGCAATTCTTGTGAAAGAAATAGATGTTCAAACTAAAATATTGCAATCTAGGATGCTTCAGTCTAACAGCTTCTAGTGTACACGGGCCTTAAACTGGGCAAGGAGACAATTTTTTTCAACAATTATTTTAGAAATTCTACAACCAAATTATTAACATCACACAAGTTGTAAATCCCTTGATTTGCAGATAATTAAATGATCCTTTCTTCTTAGTGAATTACGCTTTAAAACAACCTGCGAAACTATCATCAACTTACTTAAATTGGGTTGCCTCGAAGGCTGTCGATGGAAATAGAAACGTCAATATGCAGTTAACTACCTGCGTACACACCGTTGCGAAAACCTTTGACTGGTGGAGAGTGGACTTGGGTAAAAGTATCGTGGTCTATGCAGTTACTGTTACCAACAGGATTATAGAGGGACAAAGGTTAAGCGATTTTGAGATATTTGTAAGCCCCAGTATACATATCGTTGAAGAAAAAGGCCCGACTTGTGATGGTCGGCGTGGTATCGTGAAAGGAGCAACCCGAACAATCTTCTGTCAGCAGCCATTGAGGGGACGTCATGTTGCCTTGGTATCTCGCTTAACTGAAGCATTACAATTTTGTGAAGTCTCTGTGCAGGGTTGGGAAGAAGGTAGGGAAGAATTTTTGTTGTATTTTTCACGTAGAAAATATATTACTACGAATGTGTGATAAATTAATCTCATGTAGAGTGAAACTTGGTAGTATAAACAAAGGCATGCATAATTGCTTTTGAATCTTGCATATAGTTTAGGTTCTGTCGACACTAACTTCTAAGAATCGGGGATCAATTGATCCAATACAAATAATTTTGCACATCAGTATAACCTCGGACTAAGAGAATCCTAGATTCTTATTACAAGTATGAACTTGGCTTCAGAATTACCTTTTCATAAGAACTGCATGGCTGTACTATTCACAGATTCACAGATGCATTTCTTTTCGTGTCGTCTAGAGTGCATCGCACCTCGTCCAATGGGTATGGAAAGTTTTCGTATTTTGAACTCTCAAATATCCTCATCGTCATCCTTCAGTGTTCGTTATCCAGCGAGCAATGGACGATTAAATAATAAACGTTGGGTTGAAACGTTTCCGGCTTGGATACCCTCAGACACTGACGCCAGCCCTTGGTTACAGGTGGATTTTCTCTGGATTGTTACCATAACTGAGATATTGACCCAAGGTCGTCATTCTGCTGAGCAATATGCCGACATCTGGACTAAAACGTACATGATATCCTATGGCAGCGATGGTGCAGACTTCCAGTATTATGCTCAAAATGGAATTGATAAGGCAAGGATAGTTGAATTTACTTTTATTTTTCCACGGTAGATATAGTTAGCCCTTTAAAAACCCATTAAGAGGAAGATGGTCGTGATTTTTTTTTAGGATTAGACGCGAATGAATTGTAGTTTAAATCGTAGTTTTTCGTACTGGAAAGGTTCAATACAATTCTACCAAAATTAGGGCAACTTTTTGCTGAAAACATCCGGTGATATAATAAGTCAAGCAATTTGTACCCGTGAGTCGGGTGATGTTAGATGGAATCATTCGTTTCCCGCCTAAGATTTTTAGGCCGCCTGTAGTGTTTATGATTTTTTCAGTTTATTTATACTGGATATCTTGAAGAAACAGGTAAAATGATAGATCTGATACAGTTTTAATGAAAAACATTTTAGTGAACGACGATTATTAATATTATCTCTAACTTTGCATAGATATTTTCTGGTAACTGGAACGCAAAGGAAATAGCTTACAATCCACTGTTACCATCTATTACCACACGCTTTGTACGTATCCATCCAAAAGAATATCATCGTTATCGAGCTATCAGAGTGGAATTTATCGGATGTTACTCTGGGGACGAAGGTAAACCTTTATTAAGCAAGAGAGTCATTTCCGACAATATATTTCTTCATAATTACCAACTCAAGATATCTGCATTAAAAAGCCGGACATTTATATATTTATATGAAATCAATTGATATGTTTAAATTGATTGCATTAGGTTATCGGCGGCTAAAACCTTTGGGTATGGAAAAGTCTGAAATAACTGACGCTCAACTAAAGGCGTCGTCATATCATTCGAATGGATGGTACGTACATCTCGGTCGTTTGAACAACAACGTTGGTAGAGTTTCCTGGTTGGCTGGATTAGGTGACTTGGAGAAATGGTTCCAGGTGGATTTTATCCTAATTGCTACCATAGTTGAAATTTGGACACAAGGATCAAATAAAAATTACGCAGGCGAATGTTATGTGAAAACATATCATGTGCATTATGCATATGAGAACGAGTTTCAAGAATATACTGAAGAAGATGGTTCAACAAAGGTAAATATATCAGCAGGGGAAGTGCAATTGCTTGAGAGAATTGCAAGGGTTTGAGGAAAGTGCAAGGGAAGGCTTATTATTAATATCAAAGAACAATTAGAAACCTGTCCTCTTTTCACTTAAACGTCTTTATAATAAAAATCGCAGCCAAAACAGTTTTAAAGAAGAATTGATTTGTTCCTAAAGTAACGTGTGTTTTTTTTTCTTTAAACAGGTTTTTTCTGGAAATTTTGACGTTCACAACCCCGTAGTTAACTCGTTCTCTCCAGCAATTGTGGCTCGGCTCATTCGCGTTTATCCCAAAACAGCGCATCACCATCCTTGCTTACGATTAGAGTTCTGGGGATTTTACAAAGGTAATTTAAGAGATCATTAATCTTTCTCATCACGATTGATGATCCTTACTGACCCCTAGAAAGAACAGTTTTAAACTGATAGTACTTTGTAGTATCCAGTATGAGTAAAGTTAGTTTAGGTTTCATGCTGACAATGGACCAATAAGCGATAATCCTTCTTAGACTGACTTTATAGAGCTTTCACTTATCCAAAACCTTAAGTTTAGGTTTTCTCGTGTAGTAACATTGTTCGAATGAGATATTTTTTACTGGGTGTTTTGGCGAACAGTTTAGACGTTTAATGGTAGAGTTAATAAATTATTTAGGGGCACCTTTTTTCCTTTGATATTCACATTGTTCCACGATAGATGCTTGTTGAAATATTAGCTTAATTAAAATACCCTTGTGTTTAGAAACTAACATTGACCGTTAACTTCACTTCCAGAGTGTTCAAATGCTGGACCATTGGGAATGCAAGACGAAAGAATTCTGAACAATCAGATAACGGGCTCGTATGAATATCCACATCCTCCTTATCATCCTTATAATGCCAGACTTAACTGGAAGGCAGGCTATCACTGGTGGGGTGGGTCTGACCAAGGGGCCTGGTTGCAAGTATCTTTTCAACGTTTCGCTAAAGTAGTGGAAATTGCGACACAAGGTCGCTGGGGAGAAAGAAACGATCACTGGGTTAAGACCTATTCTCTATCATATGGGAATGATGGAAAACATTTCTATGACTATGCTTACAAAGGAACCACAAAGGTGAGAAAGCTTCCTGGCACCCAGTCTACCAGCTGTCTCCCTTGGTGTGCAGGGAGATTGGGATTTAGTTGGGAAAATACTTCATGGAATTAACTTCGAACATCTCATAAAGAATAGAGATTAAAATATATATATTCGCAGTTACTTGACGGCCTTCCTACCAGTCTGCTCTTTGGATGAAAAAAAACCAATGTTCGACCATCTGATTGCGTAACGTAGCTCATTATTATTATTAATGTATTATTATGCTCCTCTTATATATCACCCAGCAAGTTAATGACTGACTCAAGTGACCGTTTAAAATTTATGATATTTCTGTTCCATTCTATAGGTATTCAATGGGAATTTTGATAGAGTTTCTGTTGTTAATCGTCTTGTGGACCCGCCTATTGTTACGCGTTACATTCGTATTCAACCTCTCACATGGAATCAATATATAACTCTAGCAGTTGAGTTCTATGGATGCTATTTAGGATATTCAGGTACTTCTTGTAATTATGAATTCTATAAACTGAATAACTCTGCATGGCTGTACTTGAATTCTGAGCATGCTTTTGTCAGCTCAAGGAATCCTTTCCTGCCAACGTGAATTTATTTTTTGAATCGTTGACAATGTATTTGCACAGTTTTTGTATTGAAGAATTTGACATCTTTTTTAGATTCCTGTGAAAATATACCTGGCCGCAAGCCTCTGGGGATGGAAAATTTTCAAATTAAAGATTCTCAAATAAATGCATCCAGTGAATTCAGAAAACAAATGGGCGCTGTGGCTGGGCGATTGAATTTTTTCGCGGATGGCACGCTAGGGGGCGCCTGGGGTTCACTGGTTCCAGATGACAATCAGTGGTTTCAGGTTGACTTTCTTCGTACAATGAAAGTAACTGGTGTGGTGACTCAAGGTCGGCATGCTAATCACGCCAAAGAGTGGACCAAAGAATACACTCTGTGTTTTAAAGAAGGAAGTGATGATGATGATGTTAATTTTCAGTTTTATAAGAAACAAGGTCAGATAGAGGTGAGTTGGACAGAGTTCTGGCAGTTTCGTCCCTCTGTCAAAAGGTCCGAGCAGTGATGATGATGTACAAGGAGCTAGTCGGTCATTACTGGTAACTACCTCCTACCCATCTATCCTGTTCTATCCTATTTAGAGGATAGATTCTGGCAAGTGTAGTGCATAAAATTAAACGCCGGCTAAATAAAATCTGCAACAACCTTATCTGATCACGCTCTCAGCTCATGCCAAAGTATTTTCTTTATGATTTATATTTTGCTTATAAATATCATCTAAATTATTCCAATTTTAAAGAAATTTATCGGGAACACCGAGAGAGAAAGCATTGCAATAAACTACCTGGATCCATACATCAATGCAAGAATTCTTCGTATTAATCCTAAATCCCAAACTTCCCCAAAGTGGCATGCCTTGAGAGTTGAATTTTATGGATTTGAAGGTGCGAGTTTCTGTGATTTAAAATATTATCCTTGAATAAAATTTGTTCACTTAATATCTTCTACAGAAAGACCTGTAGGAGGAACAGTTTAGAATGATCTAGCTATAATAAAGTTTCTTTATAGATTAGTTTTTCTCCTGGAGTACATAATACTGGATCCTCCAGTTGTTAGGAATTTAAGTGTAGAACAATTATGTATTCATGCTAAATTATGTATTCATGTTAAATTGTAGACGCCCTTATTGACGGAGAATATGCTGATGTGGAGAAAAGAGTGACAGCGTCCTCATGGCTCGACCAGTAAGTTCCAAACAACGTTTGTTTGTTCAGAGAGTGGCAAAATCATCATCGCTGCAAAATCATCATCAATTGTCTCTTCTTTTCAGTCGTCATCAGCCATATGATGGTATTATTTCAGGAAAATTGGATTCCACATCCTGGACACCGGCAGTAGAACAGAAGAAGGAATATATACAGGTTGAGTTGACAATAACCATAAGTGTCAAGTGATGGGAATCCATTTTTTCCTTGTGCTAGCATTGTTGATCTTTACTATTGTAAAAATGACGCAACATATAGTCGTTCAAGGATTGAACTTTTTGGCATAAGAACCACATTAATGTATGTCTTGTTATACCTGCTTGCTGTTAATACATGAAGAAAATTTATCTTGTTTGTGCTCTTTTTTAAACAATATTTCTGCCGCATCATATCCTAGTTTTATACATGCAAGAAAATTGAAGAATGTTTTTGATGTTTATTGTCCAAACACAGGTGGATTTGCTCCAACCAACACCTCTGGCAGGAGTTGAATTGCGCGGAGCTGCAGATTTCCCAAGCGATTCTTACACCGAGCTCTTTATGTATCATGGTACTATTGAGGAAAAATGGGAACTTCTGAAAGACAAATACGGAAAAAAAATGGTAAGTGTCGTTTAGTCAACTGCTTTTCTGTCAGAAACACTGATCTAATAGAGCGTAGAGTCTCAAATTTTCGGTCAACATGAGTTGGTTTCGTTTGAGTCTATTTTTCAAGCACATTTAATATCATGCTCTCCAGAGACAACTGTCAAGGAGTGATTGAATTGTCCTATACTAATAGAGGCAATAGTGGGCAATAGTGAAGTTTCTTTTTTTATGTTGCCATAGAGATTGCTGACGTCAATTTGTTACCAAGAGTTCGACTACTACGTCCTCGCCCGATACGTCAGACTCCTGATTACAAGATGGGGAAGAAGAACCTCGTTCAGATTTCAGTTGCATGAAATAAAAGGTTTGACTTTTGAGAGTAATGTGATCAATACTAGAAAAATACGAACATATAAAACAGAGACTGTATTCACCTTTTCTTCTCTTCAGCATATGAAAGGACAAATGTTGGTATTGAAAAAGGGATAATAAGGGATGATCAACTAAAATCCTCTAATCACCCCGAGGATCCAAATCCCGCATACGAAGGAAGATTAAATTTCCCTGGAGCTTGGTGTGGAAACACGCTACGCAAGCACCTGTATCTCCAGGTTGACTTCTTAGCAAATATCCAAGGTGAGCATGAATTGTGAAACGCATTTCTTCTTTTAAGAGATGTAAATGAGTTAAGATAATTTGAAATGTAAGTTAGGGAGACGTCCATGGAGTGTAAACACAAACGTTTCCCAGTTGCCAAATTTACATTTATCGAAAGTAGAATTGTGTTGCAAGTTGCCCATGATGAGAAATTGCACCCTGTAACTGGACCTTAAACCAGGCGTTTTCTAATTTACCACAAAATTTCACCAACAGTCCACGCTGTTGCAACCCAAGGAAAGTTTATTGATGTTTTGGAGTACGTAAAACAGTACAAAATATCAACTACCTTGAATGAAATTAACTGGAACGTGTACAAGGAAGATGGAACCGTCAAGGTAAATGGCTGAAATCAGAAGGATTGATTCTTACGCTTGGAGTCATTTAATTAATATATTTTGTGTTTACTATTTCAGCTGTTTCCTGGGAACAGGAACTGTCGCTGTTCTCATAAAAACTTTCTAAAACCTTTCTTGACTCGGTCTGTAAGAATTCTTCCAACGTCTTGGGTGGGAAGACCTTGCATGAGAATTGAAGTATTTGGCGTTTATAAAGGTATATAATAGTATTTATTTATTATTCGAAGACACCTTAACATTTAATATCTGTGGTGACGATATGAGCAAATACTTCTGAAAAACTGCAACGTTATTCGAGGTCACAACATCCCAAGCCAGGCTTTTCTACCTACGCTTCCCGAGTCATTTTAATGAATGATCTTCCATTTTAGGTATTCTCACAGTTCATGCGCGATCTGGTACAGTCTTTAACAAAGAAGGCAAAGTTATGACGCGTCAGAGTTCTATTAAGGTTTGTGAACGGTTGTTCCAACTAAAAATTTTCTTCACCGCAATTCCACCGCTCTTCACCGCAATCTCAGCTCTTTTCACCGCAATTTCCACCGCTCTTCACCGCAATTTCCACCGCTTTTCACCGCAATTCCACCGCACTTCACCGCAAATTACGACCGCTCTTTTTTGATTTGTATCTACATTCAGTTGAACGGAAAAGAAGTCATCGATACACAAACTGGTTACAATATTGTCGTAGCAAACTACATCACTGGTGAGCTCGTAACTTCGACTACACTACGTCCAGAATCAGAGATGAAACAAATGAACGACTTTCTAAGAAACATCTCAGATAGATCAGTCGTTGTTATTTCCACACAAAACGTTACAGAATTGTAAGTAATGCATGTATACTTAAATTTGGTTTATTACAATTTTTCGCCTGGAAGCATTTTGATATGTTTGACAATGATTTACTTAATGTGTAGACCACGAGACGATACTCTTTCTCTTTTGGAAACACTCGGGGCTATCAGACTGCGTTATTCCATGGCATCTGAGCACGGATCATGGATTCTTGTTGGGTATAAAGGTCAAGACCAAGTCGATTGGATTGCTGAGAAAATTGGAAACAGCAGAGAAACCATTAAAGTCGCTGTATTCGTACCTCTTAACCAAAGTAAGTGAATTAAATTCAAGCAAGTGTTAAAATTGTCCCGACAAATCGAGCACGTGTCAAAGAACATTTTTAATGTAAATTTGTATTCGTTCCAGGAAAATTGAAGCCAAAAGTTCAAGAATATTTTCAAAACCCTTCAGAAGGCATTGCTGGAACAGAAATGAGCTTGGAGGGACGTCATACGCAGTTTCTTTACAATATCAACTCAAGCTGTGGCTCAAATAATACTGAGTGTCGCGAAAAGTTATCACTGGGTTTTTGGATGAAAAATGATGTTCCAAAATACACCCAAATGACTACAAGCATGTCAAAGCACGGTAATTCATGTTGTTGACGTATTATTATAAATTATTGTACAACGATTACAACAAACCATCCACATCTATCACCATATATCCAAAACTGCTACATAACCACTCCCAAGGACCGCAAACACCACACGATCACCACTAACATCCGATAACAGCTTTCACCTGCAACCACGTCACACAACCACACATTCATCAACAATTTCAAAGAATCATCATTTCTTCTTTTCATAGAACGCTTCGTGTTCAAATACTATTCAAACGGTTATAAATTCATCGTACCAAAACAAAGCCTGACCTGGTACAACGCACGCTCACACTGTCTCGCAATGAACACGGATCTGGCGATTATTCCTGATGAACATGCAATGAAAGTTATTGAAGATATTGCTGAACGCGAAGGCATTGGTATAATTTATATTGGATTAACCAGACATCCAAACAACTTGCATGATTTTCGTTGGGTCGATGGTTCCGAATTGGTGTTTACACGTTGGCAGGTTCATGAACCTAATAATGTAAATGAAAAATGTGTGACGTTTTTAATTGGAAGCGGCTATAATGATTTCCCGTGCGACATTGCTCCAAAGCGTTTTATATGTCAGCAGCCAATTGAAGGTGTGTGTTTGAGTAAGCGTTTTGGTAAAGCGTTTTATCTGAGTTTTGGGATAATCAAGAACGTTCTTTTTCAGATATCACTGGATTGCAGCCGTTGGGTATGGAAAACGATTTTATTCCTGACAGTGCGATCAATGCTTCATCAATAATAAACGTTTGGCATGACAAATATTATGCTAGACCAAACACACAGAGAAATGATCCACGGAGCTGGTGCGCCGATACTAACAATGGTGACAACCGGCCGTATCTGCAAGTTGATCTCAGTGATATAAAAAAAATCTGTGGGGTGGGAACTATGGGCCGTGGTCAAATCCACACACATCGTGGCTACCCAGTTTCCTACTTCATACAACTCAGTAATGATTCCTTCAATTGGACTTTTGTAAAGCAAGGACTTGATAAAAAGGTTAGTCAAGATTTATAATGATTTTGTGGAATTTCACTTGATTATAGTTGTAAATTCTAAGAGTAATGTAAATTGAATTATTTTCATACGATCAATTCAAGGTATTCCAAGCGAACGAGGACGAAAACTCGATGGTAATTAATCGTTTTCATCGAGCATTTCTTGCTCAGTTTATCAAAATATATTTCCTCAATTGGAACAAAGGATTCCAACTTTGTGCCCGCGTAGAAATATTCTCGTGTAAAGAAGGTACAGTCTGATTTTCCAGCTGTTTTACTTCAGTCATTACTAGTTAAATTTCTCAATGAACTTCATTTTAATACTGTATATGACAACAATACACCATCATTTGTTGTTATTATTTGCTGCAAAATTATTCATTGTTTTCATTATTCATTATTCACTTATTTCACGCCATGACTTAAAATGGCCATGTTTTTCAGAGGAGGAACGCAACAATTTCAACAAACTTTCTCAGACAGTTCATGTTCCACGCAGTATAAAAGGTATGGTTTAATATGGCTCTCATGCATGTGTAAGATTAATGATTTTACTTGGGTCTTGCTGATTTAAAGATGTAGGTGTCTTTGCTCAATCATGCCTTAACGTGTTATTAATCCATCCTCTGTGTATGATGTATGTTAGTAAGTTTACATGTGTACAGTGTAATTAGTGTAAGTGAAACGTGAGGATATGCAGAAATTTACCAGTTGGATTCCCTGAGGCCAGTTTTTCAAAGCTCGGTTAACGCTAACCTTGGGTTAAGTTTTAATCCAGTGTTTTAGTTTATGTGCGTTTGAGCAACTGTTCGTTCTAAAACTTCAGAAAATGTAACTTCTATCGGTCCAGAATATATTTATGAAAAAAAGATATTCAACTTTGTAAACAAATGATTCAAAAACTTAATGTAAAGATTTGCGTAAACCCAGGGTTAAACAAACTGGCTTTTGGTTTTCATTTTCACGTTTTGGCATCTGACTAACGTCTTCTTTAACGCTTTTATTTAACTTGGATTTTTCTTTGCACTACCAGAAAACATAGCTGAAGATTGTTTGGACGTACTTATGGCTGGCGGAACTTCAGATGGCGTTTATGTAATAGATCCTGGGAACGAAGGACCTTTTTCTGTTTACTGTGATCAAACTACAGCCGGGGGTGGATGGACCGTATTTCAAAGACGAATGGATGGCGCAGTTGACTTCTATCGCACCTGGGACGAGTATGCGCAGGGGTTTGGTGACCCACGTAGTGAACATTGGCTTGGAAATGATAAAATTCTGCGATTGACTAACGTCTTTACCAGTACCTTACGTGTAGATCTTGAAAGGTTTTCTGGCAAAAAAGCTCACAGCCTGTACGGGGAATTCAAGCTGACAGTTGGCTCCGAGGATCATTACATATTTCATTTTCACAGCTTTGATGGTCCAGGCGGGAATGCTTTGGGACAGATAAGAAGTAAAACTTTTTCAGCCAAAAATAAAGGGGAAAAAGAAACTGTGGCTCAAAAACTTCACGGTGGATGGTGGTACACGGATGGTGAAATGCTTTCGAATTTGAACGGGAAATACTACAGCACGTCGAAGAACGCAGCAGATGGAATATATTGGAAGAAATGGACGGGCAATAAAGAGAGCCTAAAAAGAACGAAAATGATGATGCGATCAACCGGAAAAGGTTTGTGTTGGGCATAAATAGATTGAGCTGGAAATGTTCACTTCGTCTCTTAATCATCGTTTTTCACACGCACGGAAAACCTCTCAGGTGATGGTCGGAAAGCAAACTTGGCATCATATAAGATATGCTGTACATTTAATAACATTTGATAACTAAATTATCAAACAATAAAAGAATTTCATTAAACAGGTTTAACTACCTCCACAAGCAATGCATTCACCTTGTGTTTATGTGTCTGACTGGGAGTACAGACTATATGAATTTCATTCGTATTTCTAGTTCTGAACTTCATTTATGCACGTGTCTATATCATCCCAAGCTTGCTTTCGTACCATCTCTGAAATTTCTACCACCGGATATCTGTTCAAGATATTCAGGATCCATTTCAACACCCGTAACCCCGTCCTTTTTATCAAATCACCTCCATAATGGTGCATCGTAAAAAATCACATTCTTATTTACTCATAGATCGTACTGGAGTGCTTGGTGTGCAGCGTTTTGCTAGAGCTCACCAGTTCTTTACAAATGGTCCAGAAATTCCTGGCTTCCCCCGAACCAAAGCTAGGTTAAACTATAACGGACATTGGAAAGTGGCCAATTCTGGTAAGTTTACAATTTTAATCAGTTCCAAAAACCTATTAATTTATGACGAAAGCTTTGCCTCCCCTAAATTTCTAGCTCTTCCCAGACACCTAGCAACGGTAAATTCATTTCATTTAAATATTTTTCTTTGCAAGGTTACTACCTGCAGATAAATCTAAACACCTTGAAACGCATCACGCATCTGGCTACCCAGGGTGGAACCGATTTAAATTATGTCAAGGAATTCTATGTTCGACTTCACGACGAAAGTAGTTTTTGGAAGGATTATAAAGAAAACGGCCAATTGAAGGTTTGTACAACTCGTTTGGTTGGGTAATATACAGCTTATTTTGATTTGTATATTTAAAGTTGCCTTGTTTTAGATATTTGAAGGAAATGACGAGCGGACGTTGGGGAAAAACTCGCACATTGTCTCAAACTGCCTTTATGATACTGGTTTTACCAGAAAGATACGCATCCATCCTCTCTCGTGCAGTAGTGACTTTTGTTCATTGAGGATGGAATTGTACAGTTGTGAAAATTGTAAGTAATGACTGTCATTTCACACACACAGACTAACTGATTTGCATGCAACAGTTTACTTGGGCCGAAATGAAATTGCAAATGATATATAAATAAAATAGCTGTACGCTATTCACGTAATACTGCACCGTTTCATTTCATGAAGTGTTTAATACTTCTTCTAGCTTGTAGTTCGCCTTTGGGAGTTAGCAATGGCTTACCCGATGATAGAATAAACGCCTCATCTTGGAAAGCTCAAAAACCTCCTCATTATGGTCGCCTTTCTAACACGAACGGCTGGTTTGCAGAAAATCTGAAACCAAACGAGTTTTTACAAGTGAACTTTTTGGAAATTGTTAGAGTAACTGCTGTCGCAACTGTAGGATCTTCAGCCAATTCACCCTCTTGCTTTGTCAAAAGCTATGTAATAATGTACAAGGATACAAAACGCAAGTGGAAAAAGTATAAAAGAAAAAACGATAAGGTAATATTGGAGCACTTTCCTTTAAGCGGCCAAAATGGTAAAACGGTCATATTTTGACACAGCTACAACAACTGAACTCAGTCATTGTAAACAGACATTCAACATAATAGTTAAACAAATAGTTTTCTCTCAGCATCGGCCTTATACTGGCCTTAATGGTTTGTGTTTCAACACAATATATTCAAGAAAAGATGTATTTTCCATGTGTTTATTGTTCGCTAGGTATTCCATGGAAATATTAATGCATTTGTCACCATTCGTAATGAAATTGAAGAACCTTTCCTGGCGCTTTCCTTGAGATTTGTGGTAAAGACTTGGCATAACGATATATGTCTAAAAACTGAAATATATGGTTGCTATCCAGGTTAGTCTCTGGTTGCTATGATTGAAAATATAATTCACCAATACCGGTACATTCAGGGTTTATCTTAGTTTCAATCTGTGCAAAGAGAAGGCACAATTCAGTCAGTTCAAACTTATTTTCTTCTCACAGATAACCCGAAATTTTTGGTTTCTACCGACACTGCAATTGCTGGAAGAGATTTTCACATTAAAGGTACTTCGTTTAAGAAAATGCTATTTGATGTTATTTTGAAAACATCCTTTACAAAATTGCAAGTTTTTATAAGTTTTAATTTTCACACATATTCTGACTTCTATTCTCAGGAAGGTATCGTTATTGTGAGGATTGCGAATGTCCTGGTTGTAAAAAGAGCATTTGTCTTCGTGTTTTCGGCAAAGTTCATACCATTGCCTCTCGTTTCTCATATGACTGCCTGCATCATGACTTCGAAATTCCTCTACGTGCCTCTGAAGTTCCTGGTGTTTACAAAGTTTATGTGAGTTGCATTGCACGGGAAATACTCGATACTATTAAATCATTTTTTTCTTGCAAAATACTGAAAGTGGACTGCATGAAATCTTTAGATATCAGACAGTGACCAGAGTGATTGCAACAATACATCTAACGAGCGAATGGTCGGAAGTATTGCAGTCACCGAAGGTTGGAAATATTATTAACTTGCTTATACTGGATATAGCTCTATCAGTTCTAAACTGTTCTTCCTAGAGGTCCATTAAGGATCATCTCTTATTGATCCAGTGTTCCTAGAAACCTACTACAGATGGACCTTTCTTCCTGCAGGTCGTAGACTATAACGTAGTAATACGGAATTCAATGCTATCCTAGGTTACACAAGTTGCTTAGACTTGCTATTGTCTGGTAATACAAAAAGCGGACAATATTCAATAGATCCAGACGGAAATGGCTCAATCACGGTACGTCATGTCACCCAACTTTATTCATTTACCAGTAAATACAAAGTGTTAGATATACGTTGATATATCATTCTAAGAGTTCCTTTAAATGGGCCAAACAAAATACTTATTTTCAATGGCCATAAACAACAAGTTACCTCAGTTCACTTTTCTGCTTTATAAATCTGTCCATAACCAACACGCTTCACGCTTTTACACTACTCCTCTGCCCTTATATAAACCTGGATTTTCTTTGTCAAGGTCTACTGTGATCAAGAAAAATTTGGTGGAGGATGGACCGTATTCCAACGACGTGTTGATGGCAGTGAAAGTTTTAATCGTGATTGGGCGACCTACAAACATGGATTTGGAGATCTTGAGAAAAATTTCTGGCTTGGAAATGATTTTATTCATCGATTAGCGCCCACCAAGCGTGAACTCTTGCTTGATCTGAACTCTGAAAAGGGTGACCACGCATTTGTTTTGTATAAATCATTCCAAGTGAATAGCGAAGAGGATCTTTATCGATTACACGTCTCGAAATATCAAGATTCTGTAGGTAATGACTTAAGCTGAAATGTGTTTGAGAGAAACTGCTATCCTGATAAGTTCTAAAACTTCAGTCCTACTGAACTAAATGCCAATAACAAGTTACTCATCGTGTGTGTCTTCATCGACTACAACAAAACTTAGTTATCTGCAGGGGCGTTGCGAACGAGTCAGGATTAGGGGGAGGGCTTGGTTTCATGTGATTTTGACCAATTGTTATAATGAAATGCCCACTCGATCGGGTAAGTGGCCAACAAAGGTTATATTTGCCTCTGTTTCTAGCTAATTGTATGCAAGGCGAAAATGGTAAGCGATTCACAACATATGACAGAGATCATGACAATCATAAGAATGAAAATTGTGCTGTAAAACGAAAAGGTGGTTGGTGGTTTTCAGCATGTGGTCAATGTCATCTTAATGGTGTGCATGGAGGAAGTTGGGTGAAAGTAATGAAGTTTAATCTGTGGACGGGCAACGTGAGACTTAACAGAGCTGAAATGAAAACACGAAAAAACAATAGTTAGTATATTATTCCTTATATACACATATTCTCTTCACACTAAAGATTATCATCAGCGCGGGAATCTTGTAACGAGAATTTTTGCTATTATATTTGTTAATTGCATGCAGTATATGAAACTATATCATTCTATATATTTTTTTTTCTGTTTTTCGTCAGTTGTCACGTGCAACGAGAAGTTTTGCTATTATTTGTTAAAAACATCGCATCACTGGCTCGCAGCGCGCGAGGAATGTCGGCGATTCCATGCAGATCTTCTGAGTGTCCACGACGCGGATGAAAACCAGTTTATTGTCGATAAAATACTTCAGGAACAAAACATTGACCAAGTTCATTTGGGTACGTACATTGCACGTTTAAAACCCAGTTTTCATATTGCTATTTTTATTCGATAAGAAAGAAAAAAATCTTGCCGAAAAACGAAACAGTTCATTGACATTGATGTGAGTATAACGGTGAGTTTCTGTATAATAGAAAAGTAAAAATATTATATTTTTTATTGTTTAAGAAATGCGTAATATTACAACGTGGACAGATGGAAGCAAAGTTCTCTTTAATAACTTTAAAACGCCTTTCATCGGTTCTGCTTGCCCTGTCCTGCAAAAAGATGGCAGTTGGAAAGTTCAGAATTGTAATGAACGAGAAACTGTCGTTTGCAAAAGAGGTAATTTGTGTAATGTTCTTTATCACGTCTCATTAAAGAGTAAATGTTTGACTGCCGTGATAAATCTAACACAAACGTGCTTTTTTTTAGGAAAATACTGTTTTAAAGAACAATGTTTTATTTATAATGCGGAACAGAAGATTTTTGCTGACGCGCAGAATCACTGCCGTGACTTGGGTTATGATCTTGTGAAAGTTTCGTCTAAAAAAAAGCAAGATTCTCTTATGGAGTATATTCACTCATCTACAAAAAACAGCTCATTTCCAGCTTCTGTCTTGTTGGGTAAGCACTAACTCCACGATGTTCGTTGAATTACTTTGCAGGATCATGGTAAATTCGTCAAATAACGGGAGAATTTGCTAGGAACATTCTGAAATTTCATGGCATAGTTTTGCCAAGATTATTGTTTTGGTTTTTTAAAACGTTTCGCCAGAACTTAGCGAGAGCTGGTTATTTTAGCAAAGATTAAATTAATCACGAACCAATATTTATTTTCTTCATCTAAGGTTTGAAACGATTCAGTGATTCTACTGCGTTTTCTTGGATTGATGGGACGTTCCCTGATTTCAATCTTTGGGCTGAAGACGAACCAAATGAGCCCGAGACAAAGTTTTGCACAGAATTACAACCCAGTGGAGTGTGGAATGATGCTGCATGTGATTCAGCCAGTTCATTTCTTTGTGAAAAAGGTAGGAAGGTCTAATTTATTAGAGTGTTTACAAATGAGATTATTGTATCTCAGACCAACGATGAATATTTTGTCGTAATATAGGGAAGCCATTAGAGAAATCTGTTGGTGAAAATTCTTTACCAGCAAAGCTATTTCTTAATTCCAGATCTAGATCCAGATAATGTGAAGCCCAAAGACTGTCTTGAATTGCTTCTTTCTGGAAGAACACGAAGCGGTGTATATTCTATTGATCCCGATGGCTTGGGTTCGTTTCAGGTAAGCAATCATCAAGATAAGTTCATAGAATTTTCTGGAATTTATGTTCACTTTGACTGGGCGGTCGTTAAAAAAAACTACTTCACGTCTGTGGTGTGGCTGAGGCCACTCAAGCTGTGGGATATTTTCCTATATGAAGAGTTAGTTAACGTTCTACCAAGCTTTGCTAATTTTCCGAAGAGTGAAGAGTTTGGATATTACACAGAGAAAACATGAATTGAAACATTCGAAGGCTGTGATATTTTATTGGTAGATCTTGCATACCACCCTAGCTCTGAAATCCATTTCATTCATTAGGTTTATTGTGACCAGGATGCAAGGGGCGGCGGCTGGACCGTGATCATGAGACGCGCAGACGGAATTGAGCCTTTCAACCGTACCTGGAAGGAATACAGACAAGGCTTTGGTTCTTTGGATCGAAATTTCTGGCTTGGTAATGATCTGATTCATCGATTAACTGAGACACCAAATGAGGTTATATTCGATATTGCGTCCGATGGAGGGGATAACTCTGTTGTTTTGTACAAGAACTTCAAAGTTGGAAGTGAAAAAGAGAAATATAAGCTTACTGTAGACGAATTTGACGATCCTCATCGCAGCGATACAATGAGTGGCAGCAATGGGATGTTTTTCACAACGGAAGACGCTGATAACGACCAGGACGATGGTAATTGCGCGGTTAAATTAAACGGTGGTTGGTGGCATAAATCTTGCGCTGAAGCATTTTTGACAGGAACATACGAGCCAAGTGATCCAGCATTCAATATGCGCTGGGGTGGATGGATTTTATCAGGAGCAGAGATTAAAATACGCCGAAAATCAAGTAAGGTTTTGAACCGTAGTTAACACTGCTTGCTCTATAACAAGGCTTAGCGCAACATAACCAGTTCAAACCAGAGAATGACAACAAAACAACTGACAAAACACATCTGTTAGTTTTCTATGTTAGAATGTTATTTGGATGAAAAAGTAAATATACGTACCCTTAATTTTTAGTTGTGTATTGTTTCGATGAATATTGCATTTACCGGACGCGAAAGACGAGATCATGGCTGGAGGCTATCGATGAATGCCGAAGCTTCAATTCTGATTTACCTTCTGCTAGTGATCAGTATTTTGTAAACCACTTAGCGAACTTAAGCGGCCATGATGAGACATATCTGGGTAAGCATGTGCTTCAGTGTCTTCAAATCCTTCACTCCGTTCTTCAAATCTTGTCTTCAGTCTGTTGTATGATAAACCACGTACGATGAAACTCAATATAGTTTATCATTGTCTAATCAGAAGCTAAGTTTTTTTGGAATGTGATTTCAGGCCTCGGAATGGGAGATAAAAATACGTGGACTGACGGAACTACACTCGGAGTAGACCTTTTCACCGACCCAACTTTACCTGCTGACAAGTGTGTTATTCTTAAAGAAAATAAAAAATTGACAAGCGTGGATTGCAATGAGCCAAAGTTCGTTGTTTGTAAAAGAGGTCAGAGAGCCAATTATATACCGTTACAGGAGTTTTAATCTTGGAATAATAGTTTAACCTCACACTAATATCTTATACCTTACGGAAATGCTTATGTTGAGAAAAAAACAACACACTTGTTTTGTCGTTTCAGGAAAGGATTGCTACAAAGGAGATTGTTATCATTACAAAAACAAGAAAGTAGACTATGATCTCGCTGTGTCAAACTGTACTTCCTATGGTTACAATTTGCCAAAAATTTCAAGCCGTGGCGAGCACCAGTTTACGACGAAAATAATACGTGTTTCCACAAAAGATAGTTCAGTTCCTATTGTCTTCACCAGTACGTTTTCTATTTGTTTTCAGTTGCATTCTCCCGGCGGTCTTTTCTGATACTTGTCTAGTTGTCAAAACTTGGCAACAATTGTTGCAAAGTTCTGATGTCCTCAACTTTCTAAAATGTTTATGGTTTGTCCAAAATATTCTTGAATATAGAATTTAATTACGGTGTTTTGCTTCAAAGACTTGCAGTTAGTTGGATCAGACTACCAATGGGCGGACGGTACAAAGTTGCAATACAATAAATGGGTTAATGGTGAACCAAACGGTCTTAATACTGGAGAAAGGCGGGTCTCTCTTAATTCTGATGGACTTTACGACGTCCCAGATAATCACCAGAGTACAATTCTATGCGAAAAAGGTAAGAGAGTTGTGCAAATCCTTACCAATATGTCCGTCTCTACAAATTCTCACCAGCTTCAGGTAAAATAAACGTTTATTCACAACAACTACATTTTACCGTCTAGTTGCCATTGTGAGGAGTTGTTCAGAAGTCTCAACCAAATACGCTCGTAGTGAAAGTGGATATTATTCCTTTCATACTGGCAGACCCAAGATCATCAATGCTTATTGTGATTTGAACAGTCCCGACGGAGCATGGACGGTTCTTCAGAGAAGAGTTTACAACACACCTCCGCTGAATTATTCCAGTAAAACATGGGCAAACTACAAGGATGGTTTTGGGGATTCTGAGTCGAATTTTTGGCTCGGAAACAAGAACATTCATGAGCTGACCAAGACACGGCAGAGGTTGAAAATTACGCTGTGGACGGCGGATTTTAATGTTTATGAAGCGATTTACGAAGACTTCACTGTAGGAGACGAAGCTTCAAAGTTTGTGCTCAATTTCGGCGCTTACTCAGGCAAGAATATTGTGTGTTTTTTATTTGTGCAAAGTGATCTTTACGTGTGTGAACAAGAAGACTATTTAAGATTGGTAGGAAAGAGCGAATCATAAACACCAATTATGATTGATATGTTTTTCATTCACAGGAACAGCAGGTGATTCACTTTCATATCATCGAGGAATGAAATTTTCTACCGTAGACGAGGCTAATTTTCCGAAGCTATCCGATGCGTGCACGAGCAGTCATCCAGGGGGGTGGTGGTTTAATGGCTGTGTGGAATCCAATCTAAACGGCGTCTTTACTAGCAAGACAAACAATCCTAATACTGTGTATTGGAAAACTATCTCCCAGCCGATTATCAAGACAGAAATGAAGATGCAAGCTTACAATGAAGGTACCTTGATTTAGTGGTGAAAATAATGGCATTACTGTTTAAATAACAAAACCAAGAGAACTGTAAAAACCATGGTAACAATGACAACATGGTTGTCAACAACAACAAATACTGCGACCACGAAAAACAACACTATATCTTCATTTGTCAACTAAAATTGGATTTTTTCTTCCTAGTTCCATCCTTTATGCCTGATGCTCTGATTCAAAATGAAATCTCAACACTTGGGTTAACATTTAACGATCGTGCTTTGAATATCGATATGCAAACTTCGCACCAACACTGGAGAGCTATGATACCCAAACCTGGTCCATTCACCACACACGTGGCAATCACGTGGGAAGACCACTCCTACTTACGGTACTATGAAAATGGTACCCTATTAGCTGAAGTTGCGGCTGTATCAGATACTAAACTACCGAATCCAAATAAGACAAACATTCAATTTATTTGGTTAAATGAGTTTACTGTATTTGACCGACAGTTGGACGCAAAGGCACAATACCAGAAAAGTAAGTTAATCCAAGCACTGGTAGTAGAATAATGTATTTAAGATTCCGAATAGATCCTTGTATTCATCGTTCTTGTGTTTTAGAAATATTGACGTTTGACGAAGAAGAAGATTTGTGGAACCGCAGCGTGTCTACCTACCAATGGAACATCATGAAAGGCTGCACGTCAAGTATTCAAACCGGACCTTGTGGTGACCATACCTCTTTGAGGAGTATTGGTAGGTATATCTGGATGCTGATAATATATACTCGTGATGATGATGGTAATAATGTTAATAATGGTGGTGATGGTATTGATGTAATGATGGTAATGATAGTGGTGATGGTGGTGATGGTAATGATAGTGGTGATGGTGGTGATGGTAATGATAGTGGTGATGGTGGTGATGGTAATGATAGTGGTGATGGTGGTGATGGTAATGGTAATGATGGTAATGATGGTGGTGATAGTGTTGATGGTGGTGATGGTAATGATGGCAAAGATGGTGGTGATGGTAATGATGGTTATGATAATTACGTTGAATACGTGGTCGTATGCAAAATCCACCAATTTTAAACTTCAACTGTTTTCAGGTTCGTATGCATATGCCGAGGCCTCACCGGCGGCTCCTGGTGATCAAACCTTTCTCAAAAGTCGTAATCTTCTTGGTTTATATAATTGTCTCTCATTCTGGTATCATATCTTTGGTTCTGATGCGGGATCTTTAAATATTTACTTGACTACAAACTCTACAGTCTTTGGTATCCCTGTCAGAAATATCAGCGGGAATCGCGGAAACTTTTGGAGATACATGGAAGTTGATATTAACATAAACAGCGTTTTCAAGGTACACGCATGCACTGCGGGAGAAAATAAGGGTTGACGGGGATTTCTGGGAAGAATCATATCACTTTGTTTTTAGCCATAAAACTTCAGTACCTGTTTTCTTAGGTTGTTTTTGAGGCAACTCGAGATGAAAGTTTTTACACAGATATTGCGATTGATGACGTTACCCTCTCCGTGGACAAATGCAAGCATGGTAATTCTCATAATAATACCCTCCTCGTCATCATTTCAGTGAAAATGCTCAGTATATTCTGTGTCATTTTTCCGAGTGAAACTATTTCCTGTGTGATTTTATAGAATGTATCCCACCTTGTGGTCCTGGAGAGAAATGTGATCATTCCACATTGCTTTGTCATTACGAAGGTAAATGAACGTATCATGATTTCACAGATTTAAAATGACAGACTGATAAGACTGTTCTTTTAAGCTGTTTCCAGAGAATCATCCTTTCATGATCTATTCTTGCTGCAAAAGAAAACTTAAGTACTGAAATTACATTGTTCTGTATAACATATATATCATACTGTTCATTATGTATCATTAGGTATTTATGATCATCGTTGGAAATTGAACTCCTTAGAAATGACCAATAATTCAACTACATCTGTAAGCGGCCGAGTCGATAAAACGGAAGGTGCGATGGATGGTGCTGTTCGACTCAAGGAAGATGGGAAAATTATCTTTCGACAATTTGATAATTTCTGTGATGACATCTGGTGCTTTCCTTACCTCACCATTTCATTTTGGTTAAAATACGAAGAAGTCGTAAGCCAAGATATTCTTATGTTCGGTGATTTGGTCAAAGTTTCACAGAATTCGGGAACGCCGGAAGAACATATTTCATTTGAGTTGAATTCTGCGGCTCAGAGTTGCAAGGCGAGTTTCTTCGTCCCTTCTGGTGTTTGGTCTCATATCATAGTGACTCTTGTCCATGATTTGATGAACCTGTACTTCGATGGAAAACTTCTCAATAATTCTTTACATCTTCAATGCACGAAGAGAAATGAGTTAATGGATTTCCCAAATATCAATTTAGTCGCTGGTGGATCTGGCAACGTGGATTTCGCTCTAGATGATGTACGAGTATTATTTGATGTGTTACCTAATGAAACTGTCAGGTGGTACAAAGCAAACACAGGTATGATTGCTTTATGTTTGTCTTGAAAGAACATCTAAAGCCTTCGCCAGACTCTGACGAAATTGTACATATGTGCTGATGTGCATTTTATTCTCCCTGTGTGATTGTAAGAATACGTTATGAACCTCTAAACTTGAGCATTCATCTCTTGATTATCTCTCGATAGGATAGATGAAATATATCATTAAATACTACAGACCTTTTAAACTAATAGATATATCTAGTCTAGTTGGACACAAGTTTCATACTTTAGTAAAACTGGCGGGTTCTGATAGACTTTCTCTCCTTCAGGCATCCAGCAGACAATTTTTATTCAAGCGAAACTGACGTCACAAACGTGGAGCAGCGATTTACTAAATGACGAAAGCAAAGATTTTACAACTTTGTCAAAATTGATCCAGGATAAGGTATTTTTAAATTGCATTACATCACCACAACCACATTTGTTGAACAGTTCCTGGTGAAGTTAACATCATCATTCTTGTTATTATTAGGTTATGGAAACGTTAGCAGATGAATCAAACTTGACAGAGGTCATTATTGAGCGATTCAGGCATGGAAGTGTTGTCGCTGATGTATCCCTCGTTTACGATAAGGTTTCTTACCAAGACATACTGTTGGTTGAAGAAGCTCTTTTCATTAATAATTCATTCAATGGCTTGGACGTTCAGGGTATTGCAATCAACTCAACCTCAGGTAAACAACTTTCTCTGCCTCATTTTTTAGTGAACCTTTTCTAGTTCAAAATACTCAACCATAATTGTGTTTTTTATTCCAGTTTCTAACGTCAGTCCCTCAATTAATGCAAGTTCCCCGAACTCCACAGCGCTTATAGTCAACTGGACCGACGTGAGCTCATTTTACCTCAACGGTGTTTTCCAGGGATACAAGTTGTTCTATCGTGAAACACATAACTCATCTTATACTAAGTATTCTGTCATAGTTTTCTATGGGAATCACACAGGATGTTTGATTACGGATCTACAACCGTTGACGAACTATACGATACGAGTGCTGGCATTTACCCTGAGTGGAGATGGCCTTCTCAGCGATGGTCGTTTCAGTGTAAACACACTGGACGGACCTGGTACGTTATTCATCTGTTAATGAAAGCTCACCTAGGCCTTATTTCGGGACCAAATCACACTCCCCTGATCTTAACTACTTCTATGAACTAACCAAATTTTTTATCTTTTCTCTATAGTGACGGACAGCCCAAATGTAGCGCTAACTAACATAAGTTCCTCTGCACTCTACGCAAACTGGACTATATTACCTAACTCAACAGAAATCTACAAGAAGTTTCTCGGTTATTATGTTTTCTTTTGGAAACAATCCGATATTAACAGTACTCTCCAAATCAATGTCACAAATAGTAACAACATGTTGTTGGACAACCTAGAAAAATGGACAACGTATTGTTTTAATGTTTCTGGTTATACTGCCGCAGGCATTGGACCACCAAGTGAGACACGATGCACTAAAACTATGGAGGATGGTAGGTGAAAACCTTGTTGTAAAGGAAAACATATTATTTCGTATGTTATGTGTGATACATTTAGGGATGCGTAAGGCCAGTTTATTTGGGGGGAACTAAATATTTTTATTAAATTATTAGCTCCTGAAAAAGAACCAGCAAATGTAACAATTGTCGAGCTCACTGCGTCGTCAATAAAGCTGCAATGGTCACCACCAGAGCCTTCCGCAGTACCTGGAATTATCCGTTTTTACAATCTAACCTATCGATTGTTAAACACCAGTGATTCGGAGATAACGTCGTTGACCGAAGATGAAACATCGTACACTATCGTTGGACTCCGTGCATATTCGTATTACCTGATAAACATCTCAGCATTTACGGTTTCCATCGGACCAACTCGCAGTCTTTATATTTTGACGAACGAGGCGGGTAGGTAACAACAATATAAAGATATTTGAGCTTTCTCGAAGTACTGTTCTTAGGACGAAAATTATTCCAGCTATTCTTGTTCTGCCATTTAAGTTAGCTAAACATCAAAGGCATTTACGTCGTTTCTGATAGAAAAATATATTTTACAGAGCCGTCTGCTCCTCCAGCTGATGTATCTTTGGTTAACGTGAGTTCCACAGCACTTCAATTAAACTGGACTGTTTTACCCAAACACCTCCACAATGGTGTCCTGTTGGGCTATCGTATTCTAATCTGGAACCAGTCTAAGGGAATCGACTCTGGTGGAAACATGACCGTCTCAACCACAACCTTTAACAAGCAGATTGAAAATCTTTTAAAATGGACTTCCTACTGTGTCCAGGTTGCCGCCTTCAACAGGATTGGTGATGGACCATTTTCTAACGTTACTTGTTCCAGAACATTCGAAGATGGTAACGCAATTAAACTTTGCAGCCTTGATGAAACTTTAGATGTTATTTTGTGTAGTAGACAATTATGCTGTCCAAATAGATACAAGTCTCCGAAAACAAGTGACCTAAATTTGAAAATCTTCCTCTTTAGCTCCGGAGGAACCACCGAGGGATTTTAAAGCCACTCAGATCACTAAATCGAGTATGAAGCTAGAATGGCTTCCTCCTAGTGATGATGCAACGCCAGGCATACTTCGTCAATACAACATCACGTATCGTAATCTCAACTACACTGACAACCAATACACAGAGATTAATTACGGCCCGTCCGTGACGTCACATACAATGGAGCAACTGATTGGTCTAACTTTGTACGAGATCAATATTACATCATCAACAATACGATCTGGACCGTGGGACAGTATTCTTGTGTTAACAAAAGAAGGAGGTTGGTAAAATGTCGAACTGCAAATTTGGTTTCCGCGAGCATTAAGCTTAATTCTGTAATATCGGCATTGTCAATCAGAAAAACAAGATTCTATGATCAATTTTCAGTATTTTCTCATTTTATTCCATAGTTCCCAATGTTTTACCAAATATCTCCTGGTACAACCTCAGCTCCACTTCAATTAAAGTAGAATGGTCTGAGATTCCACCACCGCTTCGGAATGGCATAATTTTAGGATATACCATTTATCTTTGGAAACAAGTGGAAGGGCCATCAACTGGTACAAACTTTTCGGTGACACAAACAACTAAAATATTTGAAAATTTGGAGAAGTACACTTTCTACTGTGGTCAGGTTGCAGCTTATACAAAAATCGGAGAAGGACCACGATCTCCTGTCGAGTGTATTCGAACCTCTGAAGATGGTAGGTCGCTTTCCTTGTTGTAGAAATATTGAAATACGCTTGATCTTCTTGTCTTTATCCAGGCACAAGAAATTCGAGTTATCTAGTTTCAGTGACATTTCTTCAAATGGTCTCAAGATAACCCCCCTTCATTCAAATAATTTTCTTGTTTTCTCCAGCACCTGAAGTATCTCCCACTAACCTGAATACAACCAACGTCACTTGGAGTTCATTTTTCCTGACCTGGGATCCAATTGATCCATCCTTCATCCCCGGTATATTGAGATCATACCATATCAAATACAAGATCATTGATCCCAGATTCACACAATTTAATGGGATTTACGACGGTTCTTTGCTGGTTGATGGTAACACTACCTCGGTCAATGTGACTGGATTGATTGGATGGACTCAATACGAAGTTCTGGTTACTGGAGTTACAATCAAAGATGGTCCTGCAAATATAACATATTTGCAAACGGAAGAAGGAAGTACGCCATTAAATGATTCAAAAGGGATTGATAGTTGTATTTTTAATACTCAAACTTAATTCTCTCCCTTCTTTATCGTTTAGTTCCAAAAGCATCACCGGATAATATCACAAATGAAATAACGTCTACAACAATCATCATATCCTGGAAAAAGATTGCTCTGCCTGAAAGACACGGGAAGATCAAAGGCTATAAAGTGACTTACCAGAAACAGAGTACAAGAAACAGAAGAGATGTTGACATGAAAACACTGACTACTGATGCAGACACCCTTACCACGTTCATATTCAAGCTGAAACCTTACACGAATTATACCGTGACTCTGGCTGGTTTTACCTCAAAAGGAGTAGGAACGAGAGAGATTATGAGAATTGAAACACTTGAAGGAAGTAAGGGGAATATTACCAATAATCGTATGAATGATTGTTTGGACAAAATATTTATCAGACGAACATGTCGACAAACCACACGTAATCTCTTCCTAGTTATTGTCCCTTGAGGTGGACAAACCAGGAAACATTGTTTCCTAACCATGATTCCATTGTTTCTTTCTAACATCTACATCATTCGTTCTCTAGTTCCTGGTGTCTCGCCAAAGAACGCGTACGGCGTCAACTTCACAAGTCCGACAACGATATTTGCTGGTTGGGGTCCACTGAATACAGACGAATTACAAGGACGCTTGGTTGGGTACGAAGTACGATACAGAGTATTCTCGGTTGCAGATGAAATAGTGCAAGACCCGCCACGTGAGATGACGAAGATTATATATTCTGATATTAATGGTATCACATTAACTGGACTGTCAACGTTCACAACGTACACTGTTTCAGTCGCAGCTCTGTCAGGAGGAGGGACTGGTGTCAAATCCGATGTCCTTTATGTGGGTGAGTGAAAAGTTGAGAATGAATTGTTCTCGTCGAAATTTCTCTGACATCGTCAGCTTTTCTCTATACTTACATTGCAATACCAAGAGGCCGGATTATCACTTGACCTCGTTTTGAACTGATAGACTAATAAAGTTATAATTCCTCCTGTAGTAGCACTTGATAAATAATTAAGTGATAGCCTTCTACTGGATCTCTAATCTCATTGAGTTATCAAAAAATAAATAAAGTTTATTCAGTTTCATCAATTTTATTCCATATCTTTACTTCTTCTTTCCAGCAACCTGTCGATGCTCCAAGCGTTTAACCACAAACTACTGGAATATACAACCTTACACTAATATCTCGAGAGAAAATTACTTTCAAGGATTCTTTCCTCATCTCTTGAACATGGTCACACTAGCCTGTTGTCAAACTTGCCTGGAGCATGGTACTTCAGAAATAGATTATTTTCGAGATGGCCAGGGAAATCCTTCCATAAGAACCTCTGATATCGACGTGAAGAGAAATTTAACACTGGCAACTGACTTTAGTTTTCCAATCTATGGTTTCGAAGGGCAAGAATCGTACTCGAAATATTACGGTTATTCACCAATTGTCCAAATAGTAGGAACAGTGTTTTTTGTAAAGAAACCAGATTACAGTCTGACACAGGGAAAAGCATTGTTGCAGTCGGTCCTGCCTGTTCTACCGTTCATTGCCATCACAGTACTCTTCGCTTATATAGCTGGAGTGATCATTTGGGCACTCGTAAGTACCTTAATAACATCAAGATTTGCTGGATTTCGTTATTCTAGCAATCTATCCATCACTCCAAGTCATTTCCAAGATGTTCACTGCAACATGGATTTCTTATTCTGCATGTAACATTGGATAAATAAGAGATGATTCTTACCTGGCACTTTAACGAGCAGTTTTATGCTGATTGAGTTGTAAATGGGATTAGTTTACTGTTTAAGTTAGTTTGATGATTTTTTCTTTGTCTGATTCAAGGAACATGGCGAAAATGAAGAAGAATATCCTCAGAAATTCATCCGAGGAGCCGCAAATGGCTTTTGGTGGGCATACATTTCAATGACAACTGTCGGGTGAGTCTTGCAAATCATTCATTTGGTCACTGATTGGATGAGTTGGTCTATTAAGTGTTCAACCCACCAGGCAGTTGCAATGCGTCTGTCTTTCTGAACACGCTCGTTTGTTTCAGATACGGCGATAAAACAGCGCGAACGATTGCTGGTCGTGTCTTTGCAGTCGTGTGGGTTCTTACTGGTTTGGTTATTTCTTCATTATTAATCGGATCAATATGCACAGCCTTCACAACTTCAACAACACCACCACAATCTTCGACAATGAACTTGTATGGTGCTAAGGTAAGGCAATGCAATCGAAGATATCTTTTTGGAGGATTCACATAAACACCATCTCAAGTAGAGTAATTCCCGCTTGCAACCGAAATAGTGTTGGCTTTACATAGTTGGTATAGTATACTACTGTACTCCATGTATCGATCTAATATTTTACATCGTGTGTTTCAGGTTGCTGCCCTGCAAGATTCGCCCGATCACAAGCTTGGAGTTCGAAGGAATGCAAAAGTAAATACGAGTGAGTACATCAGTCCATTTTCCTGACGAGTCTTTTATCATTTCGTTACGGCCTGGTCCTGTAAGAGTTGTCCAGCTTTCAAAATCCTCATTCTGGGATATATTTCCTTACCTAGTGAAACAATACTGGTCATTAAACGAACTCAAAGAAGCTGTTTTGAACGACAAAGTGGATGGGATTTTAATTGACACATACGTGACTGATTCGCGACGTGATTTGTTTCAAGATACGCGATTACAAATTAAGCAAGTGATCGATTTGAAAGCATCATATGGGGTTGTTTTGGGGGAAAATGCCACGAAACTTCGGAAATGTTTTAAAAAGTTTTGGAAAGAGAATAACGTGAAGAGAAACAATTATATCGAAGCTAACAGCGATCCAGTCGTGGTGAGTATTGGAACAGTAGCTTTTGTGCACATCAATGATAGTTGGCTGAATTTGCAGTCAATTTTTTTGCATTCAGAGAGTGTCATCTGTTTACATTTTGTTTTTAGATTGCACCAACATCTGTAGAGGAACTTCTAAGCGAGACATTTAATCCTCAAGGATACATGTATTCAATGACTCTCATTATTTGTGTCACTGGATTGGGCGTAGGATTTCTCTGTGGTTGTGTTTATGAAATAATACGATTGAACAGACGGAATGTTAAAGTTCAGCCCGAAGGTAAGATTTCATGATATTATGATTTCATCTTGTGTATCGAACTAGTGAACGAAGTGGACAGGTCTTGGTAAACTATACAAAAAGTTTAAGCGGTTACTCGCAAGGTGGATAGCGCGCTATCCGTAACGTAAGACAATGATTTTATAAACATTTTGTAAACAACTACCTATTCTCATGCACCATATATGAATGGCATGCATGCAGGCTGGAGTGATGCCAAAGGTTATGAAAATTGGCGACTGTACAGTCTATTGTTGGTTGCATGATTTAGTCAAAACATATCGGTCAAAACAGCTGAAGTGTGCTAAGATCAGGTCTTCATTGAAAACAATAGGTAACATTATGATCTAGAATTGGCCGGAAAAGATCTGCTTCTTGACAATAGAATGGAAAACCAAAATGACGCGTGTTTACAATTACAAAAACAACTGTTCAGCAGGACTAGAAGTACAAGTACGAGCCTAACGAGATATGAAAAAACAAATAATTGTTTATCTAAACTCAGTGATTCACGAGATCTATTTTACCGTTTCTTATATTTAATTTTATTTTGCCGGACATATTTTAGCGGAATCTTACCTAAATGGAGAAGAGCTTAAAAAAGAAATGCCTGCGTTGCGTGATCCAATAATAAAAAAGATTGAAGAACTTCAAATCAAACATAGAAAACAAATTCATAAACTAAGAAATGCGAAGGAGAAAGATAAGGATATTAACTGATTGCCACAATAAAGTGATATATGCATCATGGCAAAGCTATATCGTATGTGTTGTATAAGTAATACGTACAAAAAATGTAACCATCCATTGTCTAAAAGTTTAGTGTCTTAAAAGTTGGATGATAAATATAGAATTCATAGGAGTCAATCATATTATATCATTAAACTCACTCTAAAAAAACTATTATTTCAAATCTTAAATCCCACTTTAACACTTTTAGTGACATATAAAGCCACTTTAACAAATGTAGTTACGTATGAAAGTATTCTATGTCTATTATTTTACGTCCTATTGATCTTAAAATATATTATCAATTCTGCGAATTAAAAGTAATAATTAAAAGTAGTAAAATAAAGGCAGGAGAAATTGTTCAGAAACGAGATGCAATAATTGTTTACGACCTGATTTTGTTGGATATATTCACAATACCACAATGAACGCGGAACTAGGGTTGGACTTTGCACCTCCTCCTGTTGACATTCTGCGCGTGATTTCACAGTACGAAGTACCGCGTATAAAATCAGCCAACAAAAATATTGATGAAGGAATGTGGATATCCTATAACCTAACAATCGCTGTGCCAAGTGGCAAAGCCAAAATGTCATCGTAACATTGTTTTTGATGTACACTCCATATAATCTTGCCTTGGATTCGAGATCGCTCCATTTCAGAGTGGATGTTGTTGAGACTTGAGGTATATTTACAAATGTGCGTTATCATTTAATAACAGTATATGAAATGCGATAGGATTGAAAACATAAACTAAAAAAGCTAGATTTGGTAGTGTAGTTGCAAGCTTTTAAAGGTGGAGTATTCGTTTGGGATCGTAGTAGAGTGGGAAAGATAAATTGGGTAAATGCTTAAAACAGTAAACGAGTGTAAAATGAATATTCCTATAATGACCTTATACAGGTCAAATTGTGTGTACAAGGGAAATAACCTGTGACGATATTAAAGACTGACTCGGATTTTCTTGAAGCAACACAATGGTTCCCAAGATCAGAGTTTCTCTCGCAAGACGAAACGCGTCAAAACGTGAAAGATTGGTCACAGGATTTGTCTTAATGAGTGTCATGATCATTCTGTGGACGGAAGGAACCTCAGGTACATTTTATGATCACTCATCAGTATTATCGCAATGTTCACGGGCAAGTCGTTTAAACTATGTCTGCATGTATACGTTGGGTTCTTAAGAATTTTGATATTTCCATGATCAAGAATTATTTCATGCTCATTATAAGAGGATTTGTATCAGTGGAATGTAATCTATCCACTCGTAACATATCTTGAGCTGAAACTGTCAGTCAGATCCTCTCGAAGAATGCTCTTTTTGTTTGCTCATTACAGGCTCACTTCAACCAAACCTTACAAGTGTAGAGACCTGGGGCGAGACACAAATCAAAGTTACCTGGGAACCCTTTCATCTCGTGGAGAGCGATGAGCCTCACTTTTATGAATTGTATATTGATGAGCATTTGGAGTATTTTGGAAATGACGTGATTTATATAGCCAGACGACTTACCCCTGATACAATATATCATTTCAAACTGCGCTCTTGTGTTCAAAATAATCAAGTTTGTTCCTTGTTTTCTAAAATATTATCTGGCACCACGGCTCCTTCAGGTACGTGAGAAAAACATTGGAATGAGTCTATTAGGGTATGCATTTATCAATCATTACTTTTTCCCGCAGGAAAATCTGGTTTCACAAAATCCTCGATCAAATGGACTTTACTTGTTGTTGGTGTGACAATTCTTACTTTTATCACTTCATTGCTTGGCTTGAAGATAACCAGACGCTTGTGGAGGTATGTTGCAGCTAATGTTCACTGTGCAGCGTGATTATCAGCACCACAAACTATGTTTCTCTTCCTAGATCATTTCTCTACAGATACGATTACGGATCGGAAACAAATCTTCAACTTCCGAAATATTCAGCTAGCACCGGAACTCTGGATGAGGATCTTGTGCCTTCTCTTTGTTTGGCAAAGACGGACGATCCTGGGAAAAATGGCGAAAAGCAAGTTTCGCTTGCAGAAGACGCTGACAGCGATCATTCACGCACGCGCGAACCCGAGGATAACCACACAGGTGGAGCTCTTTCTGAAGATATTTCCTTGAGAAAATATTCTCAACATCTAAAAGGTACGTCTGCAATTGAAAGCAGATGCGATGTTTTAACCGACGATGAAGGCAAGTCACAAAGCAACAGTTGTAATTACACAGAGAATGGTCCTAAAATTTACCTTGAGAAAGAAACACAATTATCGTGCAATGAAAAAACAGAAAACGACCATTTTAAATTGCAAAGAGCCCATACATCTCCAACGTTGAATATTTCAAAAGATTTGACCTCAAAACACAAGAACAAAAGTCACAGAAGAACACGTTCTTTTGACGATAAAAAACAGCAACTAATATTGCTGGAGCCTAAGAATCGAAAGAGCTTTGAAAACATCGCAAGTCAAGACAACTCATGGACCAACGTCAAGCATTCAAATGATTTGGTCATCGTTGTCGACAACAGCAATGTATTCATTGGCGCGCAGGAGTGTGCAGTCCGACATAACCCCAATGAACGCAAGAGAAATATTCGCGTGAAGATTCAACAGTTGGTCAAAGTGTTTCAACGGGAGAGAATGGTATCACGCGCTTTTGTACAAGGATCAAGTCCTCCCATGACGGAGCAGGTGTGGCAAGTGTATAGGTAAGAAATAAATGCTCATTTTAACTGGTTTCTTCTCTCACAGCAGCTGCATTTGATTGGCTAAAATTACTCGTTAATTAAAGTTCTTTTATTACCATAAATGTTTTCGTATGTATTTTCAGACGCTTAGGATATTGTGTTGATGTTGAAGATAGAAGAGGAAAGGACGAGCAGAGAGTTGACGAGGGTCTTCATCTACATATATACAAGGTATGAACAGTTCTTCAGTAAAATTCACTTCGTATTTTATAAGTCAACGATTACTGCAGAAAAAGTCTGAATAGTCTCTGGTATACCAGACCAGACCAAACCAGATAGCATGAAAGATGTCGACACATCGCTATTTAACCAAGTGGTTTTTCGGTAGGCTCTCCTGGAACTATCCCCCCGCACTCTTGTCATTGCCAGTGGCGATGGCAACAAAGGGAAGTCAGAATGCTCCACAAGTCTACCTGGTTGTGCAGAAGCTGCTTTGGGAAGAAATTGGAGAGTAGAAGTTCATTCCTGGCAGCATTCGACAAGTATGGAATGGGTAAAACTTTCTAGGAAATATCCCAAACAGTTGACGATTCACTACCTTGATAGGTGAGGTATTGCTGTGGTTGTAGTGGGATCTAAACTATTTCTAGTAAAACTTAGATAACAGATTTCGTTTTCACATAATAGGTACATAAATAACATAACGTTCGTGGATGGGAAATATGGGAGGAAATGTCTGCCATTCCAGCCGGAGGTCCTGAAGAGTTCAAGTGAAAACCATTAATTTATATTGTAGTCAAATAGATTTATTCCATAGAGTTTATAGTGTATTATTAAAAGGATATTTCATAGTTTTTCAGTCTGAATATCTTTTTCTGCAACTCACACTCATTGTTTGCGTCAAATCAGCTCCCCCCTGCCCCACACCCAGGAGCGTTTCAGATCATATCACAAACACAATACAAGGCTTACATAAAGTTCTTTATTAGCATCAAAAACTGGTGACCACTCCGACTTTGAATGAGTTCATTCTTTTTGAATGAGGCCACGTCTGGTGTTGCTGGTCTCTCGCTGTTTTTACCAAAATAAAACACCATTCCTGTCAAATAACTTTGGGAGAAGCTTGCCACGTTCATTGCATATATCTTCAGCTAGTTTTGTGGAAATGTCAGCGCACAAGCTCACTGCAAACACGAAAGAACCACCGCTTGGTGAGTGAGATTGTGAAAGTACATTTAAAATGTACACTAAATACACCGAGAGAGCAAGACAGTCATTTAAAAAGCACATAAAGTATATTGCTTTGTATAACTGTATTCTGAACTACCTACAAAGGTGAACAGTGCACTTTTAAATGAATTAAGACAATTACCAGATATGGCCAAAAACAACAAACATTTGTAACATTACATAGGTTAAAATTCATCAATTATTGTATATAATTGCAACTATATTGTATTATACATATTACAATGTCATGTATTTTATAAACGTCTTAAAATTTCTTCCTTTCACTTTCTACCTATGGCTGATGCAATAATACAGCATATTTTACAGTATATAATTACATATAATTGATTTCTGTGTCACAGCTTCCTTGTTGGTTGTTCATCACATTAAAAGCAAATGCAAAATTGATGTTGAGTGGAAAGACACAACTGCTTTAGCAATTGATGGGTAGGTTTAACATTTTGTTGAATAGGAATCAGACCAGACCCAATGATCATCAATATGTATATAATTGATATTGTGATGTGGTTAGAATTCGAGTAATGTATGAGTGGGTGGTTAATTTGTTCAAATTATCTCTTTATAGGAATGTTGTTTTAACAGCCAATCACAGCATTGCCCGGTACTTGGCCAGGATTGGAGATGAGTTCAAACTATATGGCAACAACATTCTTGAGGCAACAGAGGTGAAAAGTGATTAACTTATTATATACCATGCAATACCAGAATCTTCAATCTGTATATAACTAATGCAAGGTAAAAAACGTGTGTTTTTCTAGATTGACAGTTGGGTAGATTTCAGTGCAACTCTACTTAATGACAGCAAGAAATTCCAAAGTGCTTTATCTCACTTGGACAAACAGTTGTCTCCAGTGACATATTTAGTTGGTCAATCAATATCTTTGGCTGATTTTGCAGTTTGGGGAGCTCTAAGAGGTACTGGGAAAATATATCTTGCCTATTTAAATCTATCAGAGGCACTCTGTGTAAATGAAGGTACATTTTTCCATTCTAGTGCATGATAGGCTGGACAGCTTGTTGAATGATGGACAAACTAAAAACATTTCAAGATGGTTCAACTTCTTGGCAAATCAAAATAGCTTCAAACAATGTTCTGGAAAATTGCAGGCACCTTCCAAGAAACCACAGGTATGAGCCCTAAAGTAATTCAATAATTGCTTCAAAATAAATAGCAGGGATAAACATGTTTAAGTAAAGGTTGAAATATTCATCATCATTTCTAGAATGAGATTAAAACCCAGGGGAAGTTTATTGAACTAGAAGGTGCTGTTGAAGGACATGTAGTCACCAGGTTTCCTCCTGAAGCAAGTGGGTGAGTAGCAACACTTTGAACTAAAATGTATTTTTATTTATTTGTCATGATACCTTGAAGTGCATTATATTTACAAGCAAATGTTTTTGTAGGTATCTTCATATTGGCCATGCAAAGGCAGCATTATTGAACCAACATTACAGAGATTATTATAAAGGAAAAATGATAATGAGATTTGATGACACAAATCCTGCAAAAGAGAATGCTGAATTTGAGGAAGTATGTACATACACAAGTGCTTGAAATTGTGTGGAAGTCCTGTGTTATCACCATGCTTCCCTAACAAATATTTCATCTATTTTACTAGGTGATTCTTGAAGATTTAAAATTGTTGCAAGTTAGGCCAGATATGTTCACAAGGACATCAGATCATTTTGAAATAATCGTTCAATATGCTGAAAAATTGATACGAGATGGCAATGGTTATGTTGATGATACGCCTGCAGAAGCCATGAGAGAGGAACGCGAGAAGAGAGTCAAGTCTGCTTGCAGAGATAATTGTAAGAATTAAATAAGGAATATAGCAATTAGCCTGTGTTCTAACATATTCCTAGATTAACATCAAGCTACCCTTTACTTGTTTCTTAACCAAACTATTAGCTTGTACCCAGTCAAAAAAATTAACAACAATTAAATCAATTGTGTTTAGCTGTGGAGAAGAATCTTCAGATGTGGGAGGAAATGAAGAAAGGCAGTGAACAGGGTCAGAAATGTGCTTTACGGGCGAAGATTGATTTTGAATCAGACAATGGGTGTCTACGAGATCCCACAATGTACAGATGTAAACCTGAATCTCATGTGCAGACTGGAGATAAATACAAGTATGCTTGAAACATGTTGCTCTTACAACATGACAGAATTCTCCACTAACAATTTGATTTTTTTTGCAGAGTTTATCCAACATACGACTTTGCATGTCCCATTGTTGACAGTGTTGAAGGGGTAACTCATGCCTTGAGAACAACTGAATATCATGATAGGGATCCCCAATATTTCTGGGTGCTTGATGCTTTAGGTAAGATGCTGTAATAGTTTCTACAGTACTGTAAATTTGTTTCCAATATATTGTAGTTATGACGTTACTGAGAAACTATTGTTTAAGTCAGTCATTCCTTTCAGGTTTACGCAAACCAACTGTGATGGAATTCAGCAAGATTAATTTACAAAACACAGTGTTATCAAAACGAAAACTAACGTTGCTAGTTAACGAGAATTATGTTGATGGATGGTTAGTTTTTCAGAGTAGATTTACTAGAAACATCATTTAACTCTCTATAGAAAGATCCTTATAATAATTCAACACAATATTTTAAACCTCCAGGAATGATCCAAGGTTCCCCACTGTTCGTGGAGTCTTAAGACGAGGGATGACTGTACAAGGATTGTTAGAGTTCATTCTATTGCAGGTGTGTATATTTTATGTATTCGAATAGTTTTGTTCAATTAATCACCACACATCTGCACACTTCTTTGATATTCCACAGTTATGTTACTCTCGAGTTCTTTATCCTCAGATTATCCAACTTTTTTTCATATTTCATTAGGGATTTTCCAAAGCGAATGTCCACATGGAATGGGACAAAATCTGGGCAATCAATAGAAAAGTCATTGACCCAATAGCCCCTCGCTATACAGCGTTACAAAAGAAAGAAAGAGTCTCGTTTAATGTTACTGGTGTTTCAGAACAGTGCCAAGAAGCTCAGCTTAATCCCAAGGTAACTTCATGCAAGACAGGGGCAATCCTTGCCCTGGAAATCCCACCTTTGTACGGGGTGTTCCCCCTCTTACCCAGGAATTTTTATTTGGATTTCTAGAATTCTGAGATGGGAACGAAGAAGGTGTGGGTGTCTCCTAAATCCTATATCGAAGGAGCGGATGCAGAGACGTTGCATGTTGATGAGAAAGTAACATTGATCAACTGGGGAAACTTTCTTGTTAAAGCAATAAACAGGTACATGATTCATCTAACATCTTTTTATTCTGTTGTGTAGTTGATAGTATAACTTTATCATTAAGAACATTAAGAAATGTCCTTTCTCTTGAAGGAACCAGTCTGGTGCTATTGAATCAATTGATGCTAAATCAATGCTGGATGATAAGGTACAGTAACTGTTCCTGCGATTATTCAAACCTCGTCGTTACTTGGTTTCGTTTGTGTTGAAAAGAATCCAAACATACCGAACATTGCTCAAACCTTTTTAGAATGCGTTTGAAATGAATTTAAACGCATTTAGAATACATTTACAATGCAATTAGAATACATTTACAACGCGATTAGAATACATTTACAACGCGATTAAAATACATTTACAACGCGTTTAGAATACATTTACAACGCGTTTAGAATACATTTACAACGCGATTAGAATACATTCACAACGCGATTAGAATACATTTACTACGCGATTAGAATACATTTACAACGCGATTAGATTACATTTACAACGCGATTAGAATACATTTACAACGCGATTAGAATACATTTACAACGCGATTAGAATACATTTACAACGCGATTAGAATACATTTACAACGCGATTAGAATACATTTACAACGCGATTAGAATACATTTACAACGCGATTAGAATACATTTACAACGCGATTAGAATACATTTACAACGCGATTAGAATACATTTACAACGCGATTAGAACATAATTAGAACACATTTAGAACAGGTCGTTTGTAAAAATGATTATAGTTTGAGAGGATATAGTTACAGTACTGTAGGGTCCTTGACAAATGACGTGAAATATGACTTAATATTCTTTTCAGGATTACAAAAACACGACAAAATTGACTTGGCTTCCTGTAACTGACTCGGCTCCGTTACTACCAGCTGTTGTGGTGCATTTTGGCAACATAATATCAAAGGCAATCTTAACCAAGAACGATGACTTTAAAGATCATGTTAATAAAGACACGAAGGTAAGTTTCGTTTGAGAAATAACGTGTTGTGTGCTTGACGTTGAAACATTGGTATAATGGCGCAATATTTTGAGATATACCAAGTCTTATCACCGTGGCTTTGTAATTTTAGACTGAGGTTGAAATGCTGGGAGATCCAGAGCTGGCAAACGTGAAGAAAGGAGATATCATTCAGTTACAACGAAGAGGATTTTTCATTTGTGACGAACCGTACAGTGAGATAAGGTGAGCTGGTTTAAGCTCGTCAACATCAATGATATATTTCGCGGTTGAATTTGTGAATACTGATTTATTTGATAAACCTTCCCACTGGATATAAAAAGGACTTTAAAGCCAGTCTAAAGAGTTCCACTTTAAACCACTTCATTTAATGCATGAATCATGCATATGTGATTATTACTATGGAGCTGATTCAACTGAATGTATTCTAAGAGCCTTTTGTTGTACTTTCGTTTTGTTTTTAGTCGCCATTCGGGTAAACCTTCGCCTTGTATTCTGTTCTCAATTCCTGACGGTCATACCAAGGCAATGCCAACCTCTGGTTCCAAGACGAAATCGAAACAAAACAACGAAAAGGTAAACATTAAATACGGTAATAACAATACAATAATATCGACGAAATGTGGGATATTCTTCCACGCACTCACTGTGCTCCAAGTCTGATTTGGATCAAGTCTGTGTGGTGCGAATAGCGCCTGATTGTCGGGATGTTTTTATTGAAAACATGTGATTTATAATCTAGAAGGAAAACTCTGGTAAGAAAAGCAAGAAGAGCGAGCCGACTTCACAAGCTCAACCAACATCAGCTGCTGAGATGGAAATGTCTCCTGAAGTCGAAGCTGTGGTTAAACAGATTAGCGAGCAGGGTGATAAAGTACGCCAGCTCAAGACCGCTGGAGCTGACAAGGTATCTATGATCTGAGATTATTTATTGCTTTCTCATGTTCCACTAGAAGTCGTTCTATATAGCTACTGTCTGTTCTAAGACTGTTCTTTAGTATGATTTCAAAGGTGATTATTGGAAATTCTAGCTACTGATTGGTCGAGGGACCTCGGGTAGTACGCCATTATCACGTAAGCGATTGTCACGTAAGCGATTGTCACGTGAGCGATGCGGATTTTTTAAAATGGCAGCGAGTTGTTTTTATCAAAGTGACAGAAGAGGAATTCAGTGATTTTCAAAAAAAATATTTTTCTTTTAAATAATCACCTTTGTAATAATACACGACTTAGTTCTTGTGTTTTATTACGATATTTACCTCGCCTTCGGGAAATAATTGTGAAATAATGTCATTATTAAGGAGAAAGTCGCTGCTGAAGTTACCATCCTTTTGAATCTGAAAGGCCAGTATAAAACATTGACTGGGAAAGATTTTAAGCCCGCAAACAGCGGAGGTAAAAACAAAGGAAATAAACAAGACAAGAAACAGGAGAAAAAAGCTGAGAAGAAAGAGCCTAAGGCGAGTCAAGACGACAGATCTGTGAAGAAGATCACAAGGTTTGTCTTGGAGTTGTATTCAAAGCCCTTCGTTTGTTTCTTTCTCTTTTTTGAAGAAGCATTCTTCATTGATTTTATTCAGACTTGGTCTTGAAGCGAAGAAAGAAGAAAACTTGGCAGATTGGTATTCTCAGGTAAAATCATCGCCCCATCAAAGCTTATCGTGTGTAACCTTCAATCATCAACATTTTATTTCTTTCTAAAGATCATAACGAAAGCTGAAATGGTAGAATATTATGATGTCAGTGGTTGCTATATCCTTCGCCCATGGTCCTACTCAATATGGGAAAGCATTAAAGGTAAAATTCATATTTCTTGTTAAGATCAGATCTTTTTACCCAATCTCACTCAATTCCTCGTATCACAGCCTTCTTCGATGCTGGTATCAAGAAACTCGGCGTGGAAAACTGCTACTTTCCAATCTTTGTCTCACAGTCAGCCCTGGAACGAGAGAAAACTCACATCGCTGATTTTGCGCCTGAGGTACACCGGCGGTATTTTGCAATTAAATATTTTTAAAATTATCAACGACACTATCGACTAACATGCTGACACCATATTAGGTTGCCTGGGTTACAAAATCTGGCCAATCAGAATTGTTGGAACCGATTGCTATCCGTCCAACCAGCGAAACTGGTAAGAAAGATATTCTCTACGTCAGGATAGCTATGTGTTTAGAATGAGAAGATAACACTATTTTTATTTTTTAGTCATGTATCCCGCGTACGCAAAATGGATCAAATCTCATCGGGATCTTCCTCTTAAACTAAATCAGTGGAATAATGTTGTGGTATGGATTACTGTATTTACTATATTCATCATACAGAGTTAGTCAAGTGTCATTGTCGTCCCAGCGCCCACCAGGAAACTAGACTTGACTACCTCGCGGTGGAAGAGGCAAAATGAAAAATGAGACAAAATTTATACAGATCATTTTATATTCAGTGAAAATTTTTATTTAGAGATGGGAATTCAAACATCCTCAACCATTCTTACGAACAAGAGAATTCTTATGGCAAGAGGGTCACACAGCTTTTGCTGAATACAATGAAGCCGTTGAAGAAGTGAGTTGTTTTAAGATGCATCCCGCTTAAATACATTCGTAGAACTCTATGATATTGTTGTATGAATACATAACCATATTGCCCTATTCGAATTCACTTTCCCAGTCATTCACGTTCGTAGGAACAGGTTTTATAGAGTTTATATTTATTATGAATCAAGGTACACACTATTCTCGACCTTTATGCTCAAGTCTACACTGATTTACTGGCAATACCCGTCGTGAGAGGTCGAAAAACAGAGAAAGAGAAATTTGCTGGAGGTGATTTTACCACGACAGTTGAGGCCTACATTGCGGCCAGTGGTCGAGCTATACAGGTGAGGGTACAGTATTTATAATTGAAGGAAAATCTAAGTAGAAGAAGAACCATTACTTACCCCGCTGTGGTCCTCGTCACGAGAGGAGGATGTTAATTCACTTGTCATTTCTCGTTTTTTTCCAGGGAGCAACTTCGCATCATTTAGGTCAAAATTTCTCCAAGATGTTTGAGATTGTTTTCGAAGACCCGGACAAACCTGGGGTATGGTTTAGTCATTTCTCTATCTCCCTGTCTCTGTTTCTTTCATCTGTAATAACATCTCCATGTTGCGCGTATTTTCAACAGGAGAAACGTTATGTATACCAGAACTCTTGGGGGATCACCACACGTACAATCGGGGTGCTTTGTATGGTACATGGGGATAACGTTGGACTTATATTGCCACCTAGGGTTGCAGCTGTTCAGGTAAATACGTTTGCTTCACACTGTAAGGACTTTCTTATTCACAGATGATCATTTAGTAGTGTCTTACTTTCTTCTTAGGTCGTCATTGTTCCGTGTGGTTTGACAGCAAACTTGGCTTCTGATCAAAGAGATAGTTTGTTGTCTTTCTGTAAGGAATTTGATGAGACTCTGAGCAAAGCTGGAGTCCGAACTAAATTCGATGACCGCGAAAATTATTCTCCCGGGTGGAAATTTAATCATTGGGAACTTAAGGTTGGTGGAAAAGATGATTGTTTTATTGTAAAAAGGAATTGTTAGAGAGGGTCGTGATGATTGGTTAAACTTCGTGTGCTTGTAAACCCCCATGTGATTTCTCTTGATTAAACTCTCTTCATGCAAGTTTCAACTTGTTTGAATGAGTCTTGCAATCGAGTGTTAAACTTTCCTTTTTTACAAACCGTGACGTGTAGGGTGTTCCAGTCCGTGTTGAACTCGGACCACGAGATGTAAAGAACTCTCAGTTTGTGTTGGTTCGGAGAGATTCTGGGGAGAGGATGACATTGCAAGCGAAAGATTCTGTGGTTCAAATCAAAGAAATTCTTGAAACAATCCAGGCTGATTTGTTTGCAAAGTAAGTCGAGCAAGATTCTGGTGTGTCCAAAAGCTGTATTGTCATTTTTACAAAATACGAGCATCATTTACATGCATTCCGTTGAATTGAATACGGTTTGTAAATTTTTGTGTTTTTGTTTCCAGAGCAAAAGCTGAACTTGATGAAAACATGACAGTAACCAAAGATTGGAAAGAATTCTGCTCAATGTTGGATCAACGAAAGGCGAGATACTTCTTGTTTAATTGTCATCTTGATAAGATCTAATGTTTCTTTCTCTTTATCCTGAAAAAAAATTATTTCATACTTCTCTTTCTTCTCCAGATTATTCAGGCTCCGTTCTGCGGTGAGATCAAATGCGAGGACAAAATCAAGAAAGACAGCGCAAGGTTAGTCGCGATTCAACTTTATAATGAGATCGTTCATATTCAGAGCGACTGAACTCGATACATCAGCTGGAGCAAAAATCCTATTTCTCTCCCCAGGGATGTTGTTGTTGAGGAAGGCGCGCCGGCCATGGGAGCCAAAGGATTATGTATTCCATTCAAGCAACCCGGTGAGATCACTCCAGATACTTTATGTGTGCATCCGGATTGCGGTCAACCGGCTAAATTCTATACATTATTTGGACGAAGTTACTAAATCACGAACATCGTCAGTTAAGTAAAACAATGAACTCGGAGTCCTGCATCAGTTTCAGGGAAGACTTTTAGGCAAATAGATATATAAAATTTTTCAAAAGTTCAAAATCGCTTGCCATTTTGAGTTGATTTGCGCGGCAAAGTCGGTATTGTTTTTTCATTAGCGGCTGTCCTATTTTACGCTGATGAAATTAGTTCCTATATTTTATCACTCTTCCCCCCCCCGGTATTGTAATGACATCATGTTGTTGTAAGATGAAGTAGTACTCTACCCGGACACATGTTGCAAACAACAACTATCATGGCGCTTGACATATATCATTTTGATAAATGTTTTAGCAAAAATTTAATACGCGATCTGGCAGATACGCGAACCGGCAGATGGTGAACTCAATCGTATCATATCTACTCTAACTATGATAAAGTGCATTAAAATTTCATGCTTCGAGGCGTTTTGACCACCCATACTAATATTGAACCATAGGAGTTCATTTGTAATAATTCAGCCGAGTTTCCTTGACGCAATAATCCTTACCGATATATCTCATGAAAAATGCAACCTCTTCCGTGTCTAAGAACATAAGCATATAAATGTTTTCTCAAGCTCTCAGCCTAATAATAGTCATTCCGATAATCTTTAATGTTTTACACGATTACAGACAATGTTTATTTGCGTATTATAAAGTTTGTGAGAGTTTAAGTCATGAAAGGATCTGGTGAGGAATGACAGCGAAGAAAAATAATAATTTTGTGGAAGATATTTTGGGTTTGATTACATAAATCTTCAGAGGAAGAAATTCAGGTTAGCGCAAGCGATGAAAATGAGATTTACACGTTATTTCCTAACCTAATAGAATACAAAGCTAACCTAGTAGATATTAATAGAAAAAGCTTAGTATTTTCCTCTCTATTTGCGGTTAGTGTCGAAGATTGAAATCGTGTTTTTCGGCCAAGCCGGGCGTTGATGTAGAACAGTTAGTTGTGTTGAAATGTTTTTCATCATCGTTAACAAAGACTAATTAATTTAAATGAATTAAAGTAATCTTTCATATTTGTTTATTTACCTACAAATACAAGATCAGGACTATATCATTGAATTCGTTTACGATATTTATACAACAAAGCATTAAACAAGATTATTGGAAGAACGGAACGCAAAGCGCTGGACTATTTTACAAAGGATTTTATTTATTAAATATTGAAAACTCCACGTTCGGATTCAATACTTTACCGCCGGACTTTCCGTATTGAATTAAGTGACTGCGGAACTTGCAATTTATGATATTACTGTAAACTGCTTATGCATATTTCCTATTGAAAAATATTCTTATAAAGTGTTGAAATAAATAGTGTACCAACCGCGGAGACAGCAGATCACCACACAACACAATGCATCACAATGATCACACCACATCACAACGCATCAAATCACAACACAACGCAACACATCACAATTTCACAACGCATCTAATCACAACACAACGCATATCACAACGCATCAAATCACAACGCATCACAACGCATCAAATCACAACGCATCAAGTCACAACGCATCACAACACAACGCATATCACAACGCATCAAATCACAACACATCACAACACAACGCATATCACAACGCATCAAATCACAACGCATCACAACACAACGCATATCACAACGCATCAAATCACAACGCATCACAACACAACGCATATCACAACGCATCAAATCACAACGCATCACATCACAACACAACGCATATCACAACGCATCAAATCACAACGCATCACAACACAACGCATATCACAACGCATCAAATCACAACGCATCACAACACAACGCATATCACAACGCATCAAATCACAACGCATCACAACACAACGCATATCACAACGCATCAAATCACAACGCATCACAACACAACGCATATCACAACGCATCAAGTCACAACGCATCACATCACAATTTCCTAACGCATCACATCACAACACAACGCATCAAATCACAACGCATCAAATCACAACGCATCACATCACAATTTCACATGGCATCAAATCACAACGCATCAAATCACAACGCATCAAATCACAACGCATCAAATCACAATTTCACATTGCATCAAATCACAATTTCACATTGCATCAAATCACAACGCATCAAATCACAACGCATCAAATCACAACGCATCAAATCACAACGCATCAAATCACAACGCATCAAATCACAACGCATCAAATCACAACGCATCAAATCACAATTTCACATTGCATCAAATCACAACGCATCAAATCACAATTTCACATTGCATCAAATCACAACGCATCAAATCACAACGGATCAAATCACAACGCATCACATCACAATTTCACATTGCATCAAATCACAACGCGACACCACACATCACGTGTAATCATAAATCAAACGACATAGCGCACAAACGGCACAAGACCGCATTATCAGGATAAATGGTAATGGCTATTCAAACTTATACAACATGCCGTATTTCCACCAATGGATCGCGTTCGATAGAGCTGTTTCCATCAGTTTTCACCTGAAGAAAACCACAAGTCATGCTGGATGCTCTCGTTAACTCAGCGTGTTTTCTTTTCAATCATAAAAGCGCTGAAAAACTGGCAATAAAGATAAACCTGGGTGTTCGATGACCACAACTTGCTTCTCATACATTCATTAAGAGTTAAAACTCTCCGTTGATATCCACGCTTGTGCGTCACGTTGTTTTGAATGGAGAAATAACGAATCCCTGCATTAAGCCAAACGTGAACAATTTTACATGCTGTTTGTTCCAGATGCTTCAACTATTGTTTACCTTACGCAGTTCTATTCACCGCAAGTCGTTTGAAAGGTCGTGCGCGCAAAGTTCTATAGCCTTTTATTGTCTACCACGCGTCGTCTAAATTAAAATGCGCACTTTGAAATTGGCAATATTCCAGTCAGTGCACGTATTAACCCTGGAGTAATCTTGTTTTTTCTTGTGTATTTTCACTTCTTAACTTTCATCAAATTCTCGGCATAAGATCGACATTATTCGTTAGTCGGTTGAGATAAAAATCACTGATCGACGTCAGGCATAATTTTGACTCAAAAAATGAGTTAATCGCGCGCTATTTTCGTATGTTTTGCGTTTGGTGTGCAGGCTCGCTGTGACAAAAATTTGCAATCGTTCCTGATAGCGTCAAATTAGTGCATCTGTCAGACAGCGCAAACGAGAAGGATACACGCGATCAAAACCAAAAATAGTCAAGAAAGATTTATGCTTTCAATTTAAAATTACTTCTGGACATCTTATTGACATAATTTTGACAAAAGTACGTTCACGACGAAATCATCGTTCTCTGAAATTTCCTTTTAGCGTCATTTCTAGTTCGATTTCTCCCTCCCTTGCGAGTGTTTTCCAACGCATTTGTCAATAATTATGGTGATTACGGATCGTAAAATAAAGGGCCATTTAACATTATGACCCTGGTAAATTGGTGCGTTTGTTTACGCACTGATAAAATTGACAGAATAGCCGTATGGGTGCAAAGATAAGAGCTACGTTAAAACAAAAAACATGTTGGAAAATTTTTTTGACCTTACGTACGCGGTCGTTTTGCATAGCGTTTGGAAGAGTTGTGACGCCTAAACCCTGTCTAGTGTGCTCAAATATCATTGTAATCCTCTCTTACCTAAATATTTGCAATTTAAAAGTGATCAAAGTTCGATATAATCCTTTGCGCGCATAACAACTTGCCGCCCTTTTTCTATAAGAACTAATTGTCCGTCCCATGCTCTTGTGAAATTTAATCAGGCACTGATAAGAGTTCATTCGACAGATGGTCTTAGGAAATAGGCCACGTCCCAGATAATCAAGGTTCATTAATAAGAACACAACGGCCACGAGCTAGCAGCTTTCGCGTCAGATAAGGGAGAACTGTGGACGTATAACAATCGCGTGATGGCATTTTCTGCTTGTTTTATCGCCCTCTTGGTAGAAATCGCGCTGACAAGCTTGGTGCTGGTGAGTTTTTACAACGTAAAGTTCCTTGCATGCGCAAATTTGTACATCGCTGTGGTCCGTGACGCGTCGCAAATACCCTGCAATATGTTGTTAGAAATTTTTTTTATTTCAATTCAAAAGAAAGTCGACAATTTTGTAAGTAGATTTTTCATGAGCAAGGCACATTTAATCAACAGAAGCTTAATTTTGGCTTTTTTACTACGAAAATGGTCAGTAATAGTACAATTCTAAATTAAATTGGATTCGTTTTCTTATAAGTCAATGAAGAGGGGAAAATAGCGAGTTTATTTCCTTTAAATTCTGAGACAGTACGTGAAGCCTCTGGCTGAGGAAATCTTACTAGAAAAGGATGATAAAAGTAATTAATGAAAGCGTGCAGTGTTTAATAAAATTGAAAGCACCTTTTGGGTTTCGGTGAAGTATATTAAACACTGACATTTGATCAGATGACGAATTTCGGCCTCTGCCCTTATTTGTTCTCATTTACTTTTGTTTTTAAATATTCTGAATTTTTTTATCGATTTTGGTAGTTTGGCATTTTCAAATCACAGGTTTCGATTATCTCACGAGTATGTGTTCAAATCCGGTGTAAAGTCACTAGAATGAGAGGAATAAGGGATGGTGCTGAAGAGACAATTATTAAGTCGATTTTGGCTCCCGCAGATATTTTTCTAAATTGTTTAATTTCTCGCAGTCTGGATTTTACGCCGGTCTCGCTTTCAAACATTTCCTGCGCTGACTTCCTACTTCAAACAAATTAATTCACAAATGCTGATTCGATCGCGCACAGATAAAGCGCAACACGTTTGATTAGAAGTTGTATATGTCTTCCTTATCACCGCGCGCATGTAGAGACAAGACGCGCGCAAGATCGTCGTTCGTTTGTGTAAATTACGCAAATCCAATTTTCGCGTTTTATGCAAACATGCTCCGCGTTTATTATAAAAGTAAGCCGCTTATTATTCTGTGTTAATTTTCAGCGGGTGTGTGTTTAGCGTGCGCTAAAAATGTTCTCTTGTTTTTGTTTAGTATAAAAACTAGGCAAATCCAATTTACATATATTTTTTGCAGATTTTTCACCATTAAGAAATCCAACTATCGCGTTTCATCCTATAAGCATTTCTACGTTGAAATCCTACGTTGTTTGAGTTTGATTAAACGCAAATCAATTTAAGTCCAGTTTGCGCGTATTATGCGAAATAGGGCAGCTCGGTTATAGTGTAGGCCAGTTACTGGGTGGCGCTTGTGAGCCGTTTTAAAGTTGTGTTTTCTTTCACGTGTATTTTTCTTCTTTGATGCCATCGATCACATTTTAGCAAACCTCTTTTTCACTCATCGCAAAGACCAACTCGAATTTAACGAAGTGCTTTTGTGATGATGTAACATTGCAAGAAAAATTTGGCGAAATTTTTGTAGTGTGATGATACCTTGATAGGAAACTGGGCACTTTGAGAATGTGATATTTTTAGCACTTTGGATTAATGTACATCAACAATGAATTGGCATAGTCCAAACTCATCAAAGATCATCAGACCATCAGAGTTTTTTTCATAGTTTAAACCAATATTTGATGTGATTAAAACATTAAAACGGAGATGTTGAGACTGCTCAGCCTTCAACTTGTTATTCTTTTCAGATCTGATGTTTTCATTGAAAACGCTTATCCCTGATTTTTCAAATACTTTGTAATCCCATCATACATTCCGACGATTTTTGGTTATCGACCGCAGACTGTTTGCCTTGTTGAGGCTATGGGATATTTTCACGTAAATTACGGCTTGTGGCCAGGCTGGAAATGTGTTTTCTCTACGGCTTGGTGTCTTCCCATGACCACCACTTCGGTGAACATACAATTACCACTTGTGCATGAGAAATTTGACTGAGAGCGTCAGTCTAGTCCAAAATAGATGTCATTTGAAAATAATTACGCGCGTCAACTGACTATATATGCAATGATGTAACCAGTGAATTTCTGCATTATCAAGTGCCAATGACCTTGGTTTAAGTTCAAATCCACTTATTACTCAAGTATAGTAATTTCAACTCTTTCGAAAGCAGAACAGATAAGATCATACTTTTATAAAATTCCATATCTCAAGTGGAAAAAATTTAATATAATATACTTCACATGACTTTTATTAATATCGAGGGATAAAAATATGCTCAGAGATAAAAGATGACTCGTGCATGCACATTGTGGAAATATTTTCAACTGAATGGACACTCGTGATGAAGGATATACATTCTGCAACACGTAAAAAAGACTTAAAAAGGACTTGTGCTCATTCTAAGCACACCTCGAAGAAACGAAGGCTTATAGTAGTCAGGAAATGAAATAGCCACGTTTTGGTATCATATACAAGTGTCATTGATATCTGTTAGTGTTCTATAAAAAGATCTCTATCTCTCAATTATATTTCTGTAGTTTAATGTTTCCATTATGGCTATATCCATCAATGGTTACTATTATCAGCAATTCATACACATTTTTACACATCGCCATCAGCCACCATTGTTTTTATACCGTATAAGTAGAGTGTGCAGCAAGGTTACTCAAGGATTCACGTTCTGTTTTAATATCCTGCCTAATACTCTCATCTAGCATCCTGTTTAGAAACCCGATAGCGTTGTTATCTGGCCATCATTCAAGACATGCAAAATATTTATTTTTCTGCCAATGTTTACTTCTGTGTAACCTGTTTGTCTGGCGTTAAGTTTTTACAACAAAAATGATAAATCATGAAATAATTGCCCGGAATGACTTCATGTCATCGCGACCCGCCCTTCTGTATAATCTATTTTCATAGTCTCTAAACTGTTTTTTTTATTTGGGCTGTGAACTTTAAAATTACGCCAGGAAGACGCAAATACGTGTAGGATTATACCTCGCAATCTTTACTTCCATTTCCAAGCGTCCGGACGATGTACGGGACTTAAGAGGCGTCGTTCAAAACTCCGCGTAAAATGTGAAACTTTTTTGAGTTTTTTAACGTTCTCGTTTTATTTTGTTATTCTCTCTATCAGGCAAGAAGCAGCAGTGATTGCGAGCAGGTTTGTAATGCGAAGGACTTCAGTCGTCAAGTTTGTGGCTCTGATGGAGAAACATATCAGAGCAAATGCGTATTAAGATTGAAAAAATGCACAACCGGAAAGAAACTTTACGTTGAATATGAAGGAGCATGTCGAGGTAAGAAATTTCCGATTATATACCTGCATCGTCTTCAAAACATCTGTCTCCTTAATCCACAACTTAAACACCTCATCTCTTTCAGCTCCACCCTCCTGTTCAGAGGACCGAAAACGTGTTTTGAAAAGCATCAAAGATCGACAGCTATTACGTATTGGTATCTATATCCCAGAATGTGATGCTGATGGATCTTATTCCGAAGTGCAGTGCAGTGTCAATAGACGTCTTTGTTGGTGTGTTAATAAATATGGTGTCGAGGTTGATGATACGAGAGTCGCTGGAAAAAGACCTGACTGCCGTTGTAAGTTTTTAAAATTAACGTTCAGCTTGTCTTATTCCTTGATCAAAGTTTCACCCAGCTGTGGAATATCTCGTCTCTGAATTGTGTTATAAATCTTCTTCCAAAGACTAGGAAATAGCATTTCCTGGGCTTTTTTAATTAAGCAATCCAGGATGGAAGAATTTTTCTTTCTTTCTTCGTGCCTCTTATTTTCGCGTCACCCTGCTCCTGTGATGGTTCATCTTACTTATTCAATTGAATCTTCTTTATAGTCCGAAGAGGTATTCACCAATCCAACGAGAGATACCCGTCTAACGAGAGATTTACCAGAATATTAAAAGGTATGTTACTGAATTCCCCAAGACAACGAAAACACATCGATTTGTACCCCGAGCATTCTTCGCCCCCAATACCCCTGCTGGTAAAAGGCAAGAACGGCAGCTCCCCCTAGCTGCTCTTGGCACTCCCTCCCTCCGTTCCAGCGTTTCTTTATGTTATAATTGAAAATACGGGGGGGAAAAGCCGTCGTATCTCTGGGAGTGATAACGATGACTATGTAGTAATTGATGAACGTATTGGTCAGACCATCCCACACAAAGATTGTAATTGATTATGATGTAATTGACAACGTGGTTCTGGTTGCAAGCCGTGTATATTTAATGATATACTGAGAACATATATTTAAACATGACGACTCACGTTTTCTATCAAATGCAGGTTGTTCAAAGGATAATAGAATTAGCTTCAACAAGAAAGTGATGGCAAGTTTTAAAAAGGAAATGGCTGGAAGAAGAGGTGGGTTACTACTCACCAGTTCCACTAGGTCGCCGACCTTTGTAGCATAATATAGCAATATACATCGATGATAGCATTTTGTACTTCCATGCAGCGCAATCATTTCCCCCCTGCATATGAACGGTCTCTGACTAACTAACGTCTCGTCTTCTTTCTTAGGTAAACTAAATGCCAAAGGTATCGCAGAATGGAAAATAAGTGAATTAGACGCAGACAACAACGGCTTTCTGAGCCATAGAGAATTGCGAACACTCATTAAAAGATTAAAGAGAGCTTATTCACCTAGAAAGTGTGGGAAGACTTTCTTTTACTTTTGTGATGAAAATCAAGATTATAAAGTGTCCAAAAAAGAGTGGCTGGTTTGCTTAGGCATTCGTGAAACTCAAGGTAATATCTAGTTTCAAAATATTGGAAATTTTCTCCTGGTCTATGCCAATGAGTAACTTTACCCTAGATTACTTACTTTGCCATACTTATGCAACAATGTAGGCATTAAGTCATATGTAGTAATTATAAAATTGTTTTTCGCACAATAAATGCATCGTAACTTATATTCTCTATAGGATGGCTGTACAATCAGAGTTTTCCATTTCTCGCCACAGATACACCTCAATGCTTCAACCAGAAAGCGAGGGCTAGGAAGCAACAAACCAAAAACCCATCTACAACTGTATTTATACCTCAGTGCAACAAAGACGGAACTTACAAAACTGTACAATGCGAGCTTGTTTCAAAATACTGTTGGTGTGTTCATTCTGTCACCGGAAGAAATATTCCTAACACTTCTGTTCAAAATGCTCAACCAGATTGTTCTAAACCAAGTAAGTATTTTCTGGTGGAGATTTTCTGGTGTCAGGTTGATTTAGTACAGTTCCAGGTACTTCATATCGCTGATTCCCACGTTTTATTATTTTCACTACAGCCCGCAGGATCAGACCTGCGACCAGTTCACCTCAATCCCATTCGATAAAAAGATTGTCGCAAAGAAGAACATCTCCGCCTAAATCAGACAGGCACTCCGTACGAAATGTCAAAGTTAGAGGTTCGTTGTATTTTCTTTATTTTCTCCCTGAATGAATAAACCAACCGGCGTATACATTGATTTTCAGAGTGCGATGACACTTCTTGGCAAAAATTTTGTGAAGAACTTCTCAAAATGCTTCGTACAGAGATGGAAACGTTGACAAAGCCTGCATTAGAAGGTATGTTGTATAAATAAACCTCTCTAGTTGTAGTCGTGTCACTTCCAACTGGAACTACAAGATTCTAAATCAACATCACCATTTTACACGTCATGACTACTCTGTAGTGTCTAGCTAGGGCCAGAATGAACAACCATCGTAATATTTTCTTACCTAAAATTAGGTAATTCTACCCTACCAAGTGGGAACGGACAGAATCTGTTTTGGGCGCTGTCTCGTCGATTACCTGATGCCATGATTACCGCCTGGAAATTTTCCCAACTCGATGTTGACAAGGACAGTTTGATGGTCAACGATGAGCTCTTTTCGTCTCACATGAAGAAAACCTTTGGCCAAATAAGACGTGGTAGAAAATGCAGCAAGAAGCTTGCGGTGTTTTGTGATTTTGATCGTAATGGTGGACTGTCTTTGGATGAGTGGCGTAGATGTCTTGGCAACCGAACTTCTCGAACTCCCGGCAGAGGTATTGTCGGTAGAATTGTATTTTTGTAGTGCAAAGTCACTGTGCCATTCTGCCAGGACTTGTTTAGATTTTGTGAAACTGTCAGTTGAGATGAAATTCGTATTCCTCTTCATCCTTGGCAACTTATCAATGTTTCATTCTACTTTACTTAGGTTTTATTTTAGGTTAAAAAAGATAAAGTTATCTCTGGTGAATGTGAGTAAAGGTCAAATGCCTCTTCCAAGACACTTGAAGAAATATATATTTGATAAGGTTTGAATGTTCAGCGAATTCATTTTTGGTCGCGAAGCAAACCAGTTTTGGATAAAACTAATAATTTATAATACCTTCAACACGAACAACTGTCAAATGTTGGGAATCCTCCATTTTATGACTATGTAAATGTAAATATATATTCCCCCTAAAGTATATCGTAATAACTTTCTGTGTATATTACATAAATTGATATTATATTAATAGATTTATAATTTTTATAAAAGAAATCGAGAAATAATTTCTTTGCAATTCCATCTTCAAAAGTGGAAGCGCCTCGCTGATTTCTGCTTATTTTTTGGTAATTGACAGAATGGTTAACTTAATTTTTTATTACAAGTTTTTTTGTGCAAAATGCTTGTTTAAGCCGTGATCCTGCCTCAAGATTTAATGTTAGTTATGTTACCTAGGATTGTAGTTTTGTAGAAAGCGAAGCTAACCTGGATTTAACTGGTTTTTACAACCATGCGAATAAAGAGATGATGGAGACCAGTGAATTGATGAAGACGCTGGAAGACATCTTGTTTCGTGTTTGAGAGAGCTTCTCAACCAAGAAACAAGAAGTATAAGAAAAGGAAGGTGTTTAAAAGATCGACAATCGTGAATATCTTGTGGGAGATGATTGTATATTGCTTGCTCCAATTTCTATGGAGTTTGAATGTCAAATGAAGGGGCAAGAATTGGTTTGAATGAACAGCGAAGTTCAGCCTATCATGGAATCCAAAACGCTAGTTTTTTTTATAAAGGTTAGTTCCTACTTTGTCTTACTCATTGAGCGTGTATGTGTATATTTCTATTTGTAATTTTTCATGTAAAATAAAAGCCAGCAATGAAAGTTCCACACATAAAAAGTATTTTTTTTATTTACAATATTTGAATTGTCAAGATATTCTGGACAATTTTTTAAATGTCGCGATCTCTTGCAGTAAGTTTGCCTTGTTTCTCCATTAGTCTTTCCATCTGTTCCTTCATGGTGTATTTACTAAGAAAAAAAACCACTGAAATAAATGGCCCGGTTTACAGAAGTTGGATTACATGTCTACAGGAACTTATGGCAGGAGAAGATAATTCATCCGGTGATCTATCATATCACAGATCCTCTTTCAAGAAATGCTGATGTTTGTCTGACATTATCATTAGGTAAACTTTTTTCTTTTCCTGCATGTTTCCAGCTAATCTGTCTGAAGTATAGATCAAGCTAATGACATTATTTGGCATTGCTACAATATGTACTGTAGAAATATATATCATGACATGTCAAACAGCTTTATTCATGCATGATTAAAGAAAGATTTGATTGCTGACCTGGATCTTTCCCTTGATTCTTGGTATAATTTACTAGCCTTCATACTGTTAATATCCAACTGTTTCTTATATTGCTTGTGTCTATACCTATGAAACATTTGTATGCTGTTAGAAACTGCTCAAAGCAGTGCTATTTAACTTTGTCAAAACTCAAATCTTTATTGATGAAAGGAATGAAAGGGCTGATTCAGATATCCATCTTACCCAATGACAAGAAAGCATAAAGTAGCCCCACATATCATATATGCCAACGCACCCAGGGCAACTTTTATGTTTTTACTATGATGTAGTTCAGAGTTGCTTTCTGATTGTCTGAAAGTAAGACAAAAAGATATTTTCAGCTCTTACCAAATCCACATTAAACGAACAGCCACACCAGTGGTCATCAATATAATTATTCCCAGGGCTACTTTATAATTCTTTGGTCGTTCACTTGCAGAGTACTTGGCATTGTTGGAAAAATCATGTCTACATTCAGTTTGGAAGATAATTTGAATTCAAAAAGAACTTGAAAATTGAACTCACAGGTGCTGATGGTAAATGGCATATTCTAGCAAGTGCCAAACGGTAAGTTCTGAGCGTTCAAAGGCTTACTCACATACCTAAAATCTCCAGCATAGTAAAAAGAACCATCTCTGTATCGATGCAAACTTTCACTACCAGTACTAAGTAAAAAATATGCACTTATCAATTTTTCTGGAAATGCTAAATATTGAGTTCATTATTTTTGTTATTTCATCTACCTCTGATTACTATAAATCTTCTGTTTTGGTAATAAACTTCGATCATAATCCTTTCTTTTGGATTTGTCCCCAAGAATACTGTAGGCGTTGTTTAGCTATAGCAAATATACAAGGTAGATCTGTGGATAGTTAGAAAACTATATATACCCATATCCATACTAACCTTGTCAACTGAAGGTAATTTCACTATTTTGATGAGCTCTCTCAAAAAACTTGTACGTCATACCTTGAGCTCTCTCAAAAAACTTGTACGTCATACCTTGACAAATATGTTATGATGATGTGGATTTCCTGGACTGACATCTGGATGAAACTATGAATAAATATATTTATTATGGCAGACTTGATGTAGACAAATCAATCAACAAAGTATATATAATTATTAGTCTGTGCACCTTCTTAGATTTCTCAAAAAATGCTTTCTTGATCTCTTCCTGCGATGCAGATTTAGGCACATCTAGTACTTGGTAATGACACTGTGCACTGAAATTGCAATAAGCGTTGACAAAAAGTAGGAAATAACGGATTTATGTGTATGTGTCTACAATCTACATTCATATTTCATACAGATACAGAAACGATCGTACCTCAGAAATCTCCCGAGCACTGCTATTGAATACCAAGATAATCGCGGACATCTGTATTTAAGTCTTGTCACAACTTTCATTGTTTATCAACATGTCTGCAAGGATTGCCAATTAAAGAAAGATAAATTGCATCTCAAGGAAAGGAATAAAAAGGTTAGTACCATTTCGACATTTTGGTTTATAATATGTTCTATTAAAATCTTCATATATTAGTTCAAAATTACTTACTAAAACGCTAAAATTAACCCATTGATGCACACCAAGGCGAGCTTGAGATACTATCTGCAGTAGGAATGGTAAAATATCTTGAAACAAGGCCAAAAAATACAAAAAATTAGAGGTTTATATCCTTTGTTTTTGTTTTGATCAGACTTGGTCAGACATAAACAGATTAGCACCCAGACTTTTCTATTGACAGCGCGTCATTCACGCTAATTATGCTAACCTTTTGTCACTCGGATATATATTTCTAAATAATGTGAAATAATTTTAAACCATTGGCAGGCCTATTGGCTCCACAGACTCCACAACCCTCTTTTCTTTGAAATAATTTAATACTTCGCGTTGTGATGGGGTTAATTTAGGTCACGCGCAACTCTTGACCCGAAATATTGTCATATTGTTACAGTTTTCTACGAACTAGAATATTCCTAGAACGTCAGAAAACACAAGGTAATTTGCACAAGGCGTGCAAAACGCATGTAGAACTTTGCATGTTGGCAGAACTTCAACGGCGTAAATACCTGGTCAAGTAATATCAAACATTCAAACACTTGCACAACTCTTTGAAACCGTCGCTTAACGATCAGACAAAAAATTACATAGTAGCTACATAATCAGCGCGCCTCGGTTAGTCAAGTCTACACACTAGCCCGGCAGTGAAAGGTATGTACTAATTATGACGGGACATATACCTTGAAACTTGTAATCTACAAATTATATTAAATTCGTTATTTAGAAGTCTCTAATGAGTCATCTTGCACTGTTAAACTGCCTAAACATGCATTCTTCATGTTCGCCCATTTTTTTTTAAATTTATAAATATATATTGCCATAGATATAAATTGCCTTCCCAAACATACAGTTTTGATTGAAATGTCGTATGATTACATGAATTCAACAAACATTGAATTAACATTTAGATAAATTGACGATAAGTATTTTTTTGATTGAATGATTAAAAATGAGGAGCTGCTTAGTCGCCTCTAAAACGCTTTCCTATGGGCTATGCTGATTTGTATTTGCGTCATTGCAAGAAAATGATTTTTTTAACGATATGTTAGGTTAGCGTTTGAAGCCATTGACGTTATTTCGTTTTGTTGTTTTGCGTTCGGAAATAAGTCTAAATTTATATAATATTTTGCAATCATAACATGAAAAATTGCACAAATTTCTGACCGATGAAATTTGATAGTTAACAGAACAGATAGATCACACGTCCTTGAAATTTAAAAATGGGATCTTTGTATAGATGAGTGTTGAAGTTGATTCGTTGTGCAAGGAATATGGGGGGTAATTCTTCATTCCTGTCATTGCGTTTTGTACAAAACAATTTGATTGTCTGATATTTTGTATTGACTTATGTTAGAACTGACATTCATCCCCCAGTGAAGACTATTATTTGTTAGCCATAACAATTGAAGTCGATCTTGAATTGGTCTGGTTTTGCTAATTTCGTCTCTTTGTCGGCATTTCGTGTGTTAATGATTACACGACACGCAAAAGACAATCAGAGGCAAGCTACAGTGCACAGATTAAATATTGGCATTTTTGGTGTTCTTCAAAACATTAGATCGGAGTTTAGTTCGATTTTGCAGAAACAGAATATTCACGATTTTCATCCATGCCCATGCCATGCGTATGCGTGACTAAGGAGCTATTGTTTGTTTTCCATAATTTAGGTAACATGTCCTGAATAATAAAACAATTCTTGTGGTTTGTCTGTCTTTTCAAAGTTATGTTCGGAAAAAATGTTTTCAGAGGCTGGTAGACAAAGACCTTTCCCATTGTATGTTATGCTAAGACAGGGATTTCTAGAGAGTGGCGTTTCCTATTAATCTGTCCTATGTCGAGTTGCATAATAGTCTAATTGTTTCAACTCATGGCGGACCCCATGTGTGCTGGCAGCGCTGCGGTCTGGGCGTTACTGCCCTAAAGTTTTGATGAGTTATTCCTGAAACCTGTGTTGCTACGAAGTAACCAAAGCTACTTGTCTGTTATGAAGGCGGTGAGATACCACAAACTATTACAATATATCCGCATCTTACCGTCATTTTAAAATCACTGAATTCATAAAATAAATCTCTAAATAATCATATTAATATACTTTTTTTCGATTTTTGAGACCACAGTTAATACTAACCGTGTTGAGACCAACACTAAAAGGGCTACTCGTATTGCATGATCATGCCTACGCTGCTGATTTTCAACTTGCATCCCTGGATCAATCTGACGTTACAATTTTCAAATGATTTCAATCATTCATATCAGCAGATATACCAAGGTATTTCCCTGCGTAAAACACTGAAGAAGAGGCCTTTTCCTTTTAATTAATAACGTCAAAAACCGCTCAGTCTCAATCCTAATCCATAATTAATATATTACTTCGAATGACATCTGCCTCGATTTTTGCTGTTAAGGGCAACAAACATTTTAGCGAAACATTTATAAATCCTAATAGAGCTTGTGCCTGCGTTATTAAATTTCAATAAAAATGCTGCCAGTTTCCCAAAAAGGCAACTCAGATTTAAAAAACAGTATTATTTTACTCTGAGCCAGGTATTTGGCTAATTCTATAAATAGAATTACATGTTATAAACTGCCTTGTTCCCACCCGCCATATTGAGCCGAATGTCTTCATTCGTCTTCTTTAAAAATGATCCGTTCTTCTAGCTATTTTTCACTCAAGTTTGCTTTGTTTAAGAGGAGGTTAATTCCCAGTTAGCTTAGAACTTTTTAGTTTTGGCAGGTCTAAACAAATACTTGAAACCGGACCTAAACACTCCCGTTGATAAGGCTTTACAGGTTTTCATAAAATAACCGACGTTTCCTTGGCGACACGGGTAATTATGGCAGTATCACGAATGCACGTAATTAAATATTCAGTCTAACAAAACGTTACTAACAGAGTAAAGGGTCTGAAATGAACGCTGTCGCATTGACGTTGATTGAATATCGTTTTAGAGGCTCATCTCAGAGTTTTTCTGCTTGAAGAAGATCTTTCAAAAGGTTTGGGATCGAAACGGTTTGCCTGTACTACTTTCGTTCACTTTATCGATTCGGTGCGAAGTCAGTTGAAGAAAGCTTCGCAGTCGTTTCGAACTGCCTGAGATATCCTCGCAAAAGGTATGCCGAAATTGTGTAGACCTTTTTCAGCTACGATAATTGCTGGTTAAAGATGGGTTCAGGCAGTTCAAAGAAAGTCTCGCCTCCTGGCTCGGCTGATTCAACAAAGAAAAGGAAAAAAGACAAATCATTTTTAATCAAAACTTTGGACGAACATACTGGATCCATTAACAACATATGTTTGTCAAACGATAAACAGACAATCGTGACAGTCTCGGAGGATCACACTGCTCGGCTCTGGGATATTAAAACCGAGGAATGCATCGGAGTTCTTGAAGGACACACAAGTTACATCACAAATTGCTGTGTGTCAGACGAACACGTTTTCACAGCATCCGCGGACTACAGCATTCGAAAATGGGATTTAAAAACATGCGAATGTTTGCATGAATTCAACGGACATACGTCGACAGTTAACAAGATTATCTATTCGCAAGGCCTGCTGTTTTCAGGATCGTACGATAGAACGGCGCGTTGCTGGGATGCCCGCTCGGGCGATTTACTACGGGTCTTCGAAGGGCATCATCGAAGTTTGTTTCCATTGCTGCTAGTCAGCAACTCAAAAACACGCCGTACGCACGTTGATCTAGACAGCAACGATGATATCCTAATAACTGGCTCGGCGGATTATACTGCAAAGTCGTGGGGAATGAATTCTAATCAATGCTTAGTGACCTACAAGAAGCACACTGGAGCCGTTTTATGTTTGGCTGTAGATTCTGCAAATAAAATTTTGTTTACTGGTTCCACGGATACAGTGATATGTATGTGGGATCTTCTGTCAGGCAGACATTTGAAAACTATGGAAGGACATAACGCGACTGTACTCAATTTGCAGGTGAGATTTCAATTGTTTTTTCTGTCACGTATATAGTTATGGGGTGATTTTTTGTCGTTTGCGTGAAATGACTAGTGTGCTTCTTCCGTTTTTCATATGGGCCTGACATCTCAAGAGCGCCTTGTCCAATATGCTAATATCCGGGCATAGGTATATCCTGTTAAACATTTGTGACGATAACACAATGTATATGCATTTTAACCTTAATCCCGTTCATGCACCTTTCCCAAGCAAGGATTTTTTCTCTGTTGTCCTGCATGCATGGAATGGATTCTCCCCTTCCACAAATTTAGAAATACAAATTAGCGAATATGAATAAATATCTTATATATATATATATATAGCTACTGAAAATAACAATTGTATAATAACAGATAGATGCCAGGTAGATATATCGAAGATAAACGTATTACGGAATTGGAGAAAATATAATTGCAAAATGCTACTTGGAGAGGAATGTCTCAGGGAAATAATTATCAATTTTTTAATATTAGAGTTCTCTTAAAAATTAATTTTAGAGCGATATATACTACTATACTAGACATCCTCTAAAGAAAGTTAGAAATTTAAAATAATTGTGTCATCAAGGATCGTTTATGAGTTATATGATTGCATAACTCGGCTTTTAGATTATATATGATTGCGCTATGAATGGTAGACACGGGCAGCCGGCCACCGAGAGATGAATAGGTATTCGCCTCGGACCTAAAAGAACCCCGTTTCAGTTGAAATCTTTAATTTAAAAAAACAACCCTAAGTAGCTAGTTTTACTGAACTTTTAACTTGAAAGTTTGATCCAAAGTGAATATCTAACTATATTTAGGTAGACCTTCTTCACAGAACTCTAGATCGGGTATAAAACTGTAGGTAAAACGTAGTCTTGTCCCACCAACCTTTTTCAATTTTTTTTTGTTTTTAAACGCAAGTCACAAGATTTATTTCACTTCTATATGAAATGTGATTGCGAGATGCAGCAATCTATATCATGATAAACTTTGATTAAATTCCTTGATTAAATTAAATTCCTTTTTAGTGGATAGTCTCACTAGCAAAGAACTGCACTAACGAATCCTACATTAGGGCCTTCTTGGAAAATATTTATTCAGTCACTGAACCGGTCTGAATATAACTATAGTCTGAGTATAATATTATTATATTAATACGGTAGAAAACAGGCCATACAGATCACAACTTGGTTAGGTGCGCTAGAATATATAGAGTCGTATATTTATAATTATTGAGTTGTATTTGTTAAAAATGTCTAGAAAAGATTTTATGACGTTTCATTGACATATCTATGAGCCCAATTTTCTATACTTTGGGAGTATATTCTATTCATTATTAGGAACTGTGATATCCGAATATCAATGCCGTCTGAATGGCCGGCGGCGGCAGGTGCATCAACCAATTCACGTAGGAGCCCTTTGTTTCGCATAAGACGATCTGATATATCCTATGTGTATTTATTTGTCTAACAAACGGTTCGGATATAATAACATAAGCCTCCTCAATTATGGTATAGTCTTGACGCGAACTTTCATAAAACATTGTTTATATTTCTAAGTAAACAGATTGCTGTTGAAAATTTGCCTATGCAGTAAATATATAGACAACCTTTGAGACGCGCATAGACGGCTTTAACAAGAGAGTTGACCCAACCACAATTGATAATAATTATTTTAAGAAGCTGTCGTGTCGCTCTCTATAGAGCTGATTGATTCATTTATTCCATTTCTCCCAGCAATCAATACTATATACGATAATGTGGTTTAGTTTTCGCAGCAAAGAAGCCTTCACTAAATCATCTTTTTTGCCAACCAGTTCCTTTTTTCTAACATTCTTCTATTGTATCTCGCGCTAAAGATATCGGTTAACATACAGTGAAACTTTTTATTCTGGACATGAATTTGCCGAGATACATAAATATGCTTCAATTTTGTTTCAAATCTGCATACAAATTGATGATAAATTTTTTCGATACTTAATAGAAAATGTCTGTCCCAATTCGTGCATTGCTTTAAGGAGCGGAAATATGATTAGAACGTTATACTGAAACTATTTAAATGAATACTTCACTTAATCTTTTCTGCTACCAATGCATATTTATATTTAATGAGTATTTATTACTTCGCTTAATTTTCCATTATGTGCAAGGGCAGGTGCATGTAATGACTGACGACGTTTGACGAACGTCACTGCGTGAGTGTAGGCGAAACGACGGCTGTACGTGTGGGAAGAAATTTTCTAAATATTTGAATTATTACCGCCCACTCATCAATAGACCAAACTGATGTTACTGCAATAATAGAACAGACTAAATATATACCACCCTGGAGTAAAATGATTGATTTAAAACCATCATATCAGATTTAATCCAGGATATTTAATTTCTCAGCCAGACCCTGTTTTATAATACTCCAATGTTTTTCTCTAACATGGCCGATTATTAGCAAACTCTTCTACTTTTAAAAGCAGGGGGGTTGTAAGGCTTAGATTTTCACCCCCTCTCTCCAAGTATGATGATGTCACATGAATATACATGCATTTATCTGTTCTTTAGGTGTTAAACAAGCTCCTGTTTTCGTCCAGTTCAGACAAAACAGTGAGATCTTGGGTTGTCGAGTTTGGGGACTGTACCCGAGTATTCAAAGGTCATACTCACACCGTGGGTTGTATGGTGGTCGAAGATGGTTTAGGTGAGAAGAAAGTTTCTATCCTTTGAATAATTTCTCATTCAGAAACTTGCCTAAAGTCTTGCCTGAACTGATTGGAGAATAACGATATCGTATGTTTTCTTTATTTAGTCTTCACGGCCTCAGGCGACGGGACTATTCGAGCTTTCAACACAAAGTCCGGCTCATGCAAGAGAGTTTACAAAGGACATGAACATGCCATTAACGCCTTAGTGGTGAGTGAAGATATCCTAGAAGCTCTTACCTGGCTGAAAACCTTCGGGAAATATTGTTAGGCGACAGGGAAGCCTCTTATGACGCCCATATTGTAGTATATTCGATGTTCAAACGACATTTCAATGATGATTCTTGCAGGTTCACAAGAGGAAGATCCTAAGCGGTTCTCATGATCAGACGCTTAGGATTTGGGACGCATCGAAACTTCGCGATGACGATGACGATGACGATGAACTCATTGAAGTGGTGACGTCAAATGGAAACGTTTCCAGCACAACGCTATCGTGATCTTGGCAACAAACAACTTTTTCTACGTTATTCTCACGGTTTGAACACTGCTTTTTCACACGAGCGTCATTTCAACGCAGATGTTTTCAGTGTTATTCCGCATTTGCGTATTTTTCACCAGCACTCAAAACACAAATGAAGATCGGAGATTACAATTTTGTATTTCATGCAATATAGCACTATAAATATCGCATCACAAGGAACAGACAATGTCAGATATCTAAACTAGAAGCCTCACTAAAGTATTGGGCGGAGAATTTTCTGTTGTATCGTGATATTACCACAAGCTGTGCGAAACAGTGACTCCTTTTAACGGAACGTCTCCACGAGGCAAAGCTTCGGGCACACTCCGTAGGAATCACCCGTGCTCCTTGTACAAACGTCACTGACGGAAACGTCACTTACTCTTTGGTGAGACTTCTGATTGATATCCAGACCGCCATAGAAATGATATATTAACCTTAGCAACAAACAACTAATCGCCCTAGTCACAACTTCCAAGTAGTCGCGTCATAATGCGTATTGCAAATTAATTTAAATTCCCAGCAGGGAATGAGGCGGGAATCTAATTGTATATGAATTCAGTGCATTTGACTGAATAGATATCTTTGTAAATAGCAATGAAATTGTATCAAAAGTACCCACACGTAGCCTGCTGCCACTGAGAAGACTCACTTCACACAGTCTCAATTCGGCTTCGTGCACGGCTGGTTCTTCAAGACCGCGATGGATAGATGTTTGATAGTCGTAAATATTGCTCTAAATTTTACACGGTTGTTTTTACGCCTCTCTGCATGGCAGGTCCGGAAAACGTTTCGAAAGTTATATACAAGTAGTTTGAAAACCTTAATTGTAGATTTGCTATAAATAATCTGTCACTCTTTTGAACAACCAGCCCTGAAACTGGCTCTCTGCTATAACCATTTTGAGGTGGATCTTCAGTGTCGCAGGTTTTTTTTTGAATTATGCTCTAATGTAAAGCACAATACTTCTTGTTGAACTTATTCGACTGCACAACTGTTTCCATGAAATGCGCAATAACGTGTGTGTTATTTACAATGTATTTAGTCAATCCATTTTACTTAGTATAGTAATATGCTTAGTTTTTGGCAGTTTACAGTCAAATTGTTTGCGCTAATATATTTGTACATTATGAATATCGTGTTGTGGTGTCACTCCGGGACTGTGACTGGCATTGCTAGGGCGGGGGGTGCCGATGTGAGTCCCCACAGTTTGGACGGAATGACTAATTTCTTCACCAGCGATTGTCAGGTAGGTGCAACACCACCCGACGGCTGTGACGTCACGTGAGACGTCACACAACTGACTGATCTGTAATAATGTTTCTTCATGTGGACTGCGATTATCATCGTCCCAGACTCCATCGAAAGCGCGCACGCACGCCACCATATTACAACACGTGTGGACAATAATGGAAAATGGATAGTAGAATTTGTCGTTGTAAATTTGAAAATGAAGGCCGTTTCTTTGCCTTAATCACTCCAGATGGACGGCTAAAGGTTTGGGATTGTACCAACGGTAAACTCAAACATGATATCACGCCAGATTCGCATCTGGGAGGTTCTGGTTTGACTTGTATCTCATGGCGGACAAGCAGCAAGATTAGATCGGTAAGGACATGTGGAGGTGTCTATTTCAATGTTACCTTTTCCTTAAATGCTTTTGAAATAGGAATATAAGCCCATGTTTTGTCATAGTGTTGCGATAGCGTATCATTCAAGTGCAAAGTGAGCTCAAAGATGTTGAAATTTCGTATCTGTAAAGTGCAATAGTGAATGTTTACAGTAAGATGGCTGTTCATTTGTGCGCGTTCGTAATAGATACATAATCTGTAAGTTGGTGTGCTGTTGCAAAGTGATAATACTATTCTTCATATACTGTTCTAAAAAATAATTATTAAGGGCTTGAATCCCAGCACCCTTCTTCTTGAAATCAATGTTTTTTGTCTAGGTTGTGTGTGGTGGAGTTACACCTGGTTTGGTTAAAAAAATTTATCATTTCATTTCAATATATTATCTGCAAACATTCAACTTCAGTTCAGGGTGTTGTTGAATGTATCATCCTAGATTAGCTGCATCATTTGCTAGCTGTGTATGAGGATGTATTTGAACTGTTTGTTCATTTTTAACCATCTACTAATATGTAAAAATGGTGCATTTTCTCCATGGTAAAAAACCCAGATTGCATGAACTATTGTTTTGTGTGATCAAGTTTTGTTCCCTGTTTTCAGAAAAGACGAAAGAGGAAGTCATTAGATGCTTCTTTGCTAGAACAAACATGTGAAATTGGGCTGGGAACTGTTGTTGGAGGCATTTTTATATTTGATGTTTTAAATGGTGAAATTAAGCAGCATCTGGTAAGATAATTTAAAATTGATTTAAATGTAGTGTAATTAGACAAATTACTTCATTTTATTGTTAATAATATTTCCCCCTGTAGAAAGATGGTCATGATAACAAAGTGAATGACATTAAATGGAATAGAACCACAGACTTGCTTTATTCTTGTTCAGATGATAGATATATCACTGAATGGACTGTAGATGCACCTGAGAAAAAAAGGTCAGTCCACAAAGATATAGCCTTGATTATGTCTGATATTGCTAGGTCAATTGTATAAATCCACACTATGTACTTTGTAATACCTTTATTTAGTAAATGGAAAGGTGACAAGACTAGCGTACATTCAATTCAAGTTAGTCCCAAAGGTGATTGCTTGTTGTCTGCTGGCAGAGACATTCGATTGTGGGATCTTGAGAAGAAAGAAATACTACAGGTGAACCTTGGTTTGCTTTAGAGAATATTTCAATGAAATTTCATACAAACTCTGCTTACATTTTCCACCGTCATTTGGGTGAAAAAACTTTAACTTCGTTTAACTTGTGCCTTTCTTTCTTGATGTAGAAATTCACAGGCCATGGCACATCAGTATCACACCTTTTATTCACACCTTTTAAAAGTGAAGGGATGTCTAATGGTTGCAAGACTAATGGTTATTACTTTTTATCTGGAGCAGAGCAGGACAGATTTCTTAATGCATGGTACGTTTTGTGGAGCAAAATTCAGAGACCCGGGCTGAAGTGTTTGCTATGCAATTGCTGATGTAATATTCTCTTTCTTAGGAAAGTTGATCTGGAATTAAAAGATAAAAGCTCCATTGTATCATATTCAATCTCAGATGAACCAGTATCATTAGCATTATCCCATCATCCTGACAAAGAAAAGGTTAGTTTTAGGATGCGTGTTGAAGCTTTGAATAAAAAGCAATCCTATTCATCTGCTAAATGTAGTCTAGATATCCTAATAAGCTACCTCTCTCTTAAAATTTAGCCATTGCATTTGATTGTTGTATCAAGAGATGGACAGTTGCATCTGTTTGAGCAATCCCTAAATGGGTAGGCATCATTTTATAGTTCCTTCTCATCTTATAAATGCCAATTTTGAAATTTCCAAATCATGTGCATGTTTAACCTTTCAAAGGCATGTGAAGAAACCAGTTAATCCAAAGAGTACAGTACAACTGGCAACGCCTGGAAGAAAGGTATTTTGCTGTGAAGTCTGAACAATTTAAATATGATTGAAAATAATCCTTTGTTTAAACTTTGTAACTTTGTTTACTTTTCAGGGCACATCTCCTGAGCCGGTTTCAATCATCTCAGCTCATTTTGTTGAAAGTTCTGAACCGTCAATTTTAATTGCTTATGGAACCGCTATTAAGCCACAATTTGAAACATTGGTAAGATAACTATCATAATTAGTACTTTCTCTATTTTCTTCAATACTATAATTTATTAACCTTTGTTGTTTAAACAATATTTAGAAATATGAATCGCTTGAGAGAGATGTCTGTCTGGTTCGTGATTATCGTCCTGGTCTTTTACTACGAGAGGAGAATAACAACCAGCAAAGTCTGAATACAAACAAAGCAGTTGTTAAGAATGATCTTTTGACAACATTGAGTACAGAAAATATGGCTTTGGCCAGGCCATCATGTGGTGAGAGTGGAAGTAGCACCCAGTTAGCAAGAAAGTCATCAGGAAATAAAACACAAGAGGTGGGTTAAACACTCTATGAAACAGTGGTATAATAGACAGTGTTTGGTGTGTTTCTTGGTTCAAGTTTTTTTCAATTTGTTTGGTAGTTATCAATGGAAGATCGCCTGAAGACAATGAATCTGACTCCATCCAGTTCGGCCCAACCAAAGTAAGTTTTGCAATTGCTGCATTATTTGATTTTTTCACATTATTAAATCTTGGATTTGAATTGAAATTAGAATGGAAAGGCAAAGTATTCCTAAAGCTGGGTCACTCACACAAATGCTGATACAGGCTTTAAACAGTCAAGATAAAAAACTTTTGGATGTAAGTGTGCAAACCTTCAACCTTCAATAGCTTTATTGTAGTATTCCTTAACAATTATTTTTAATTTCGGTGGTTTTGAAATCCACTTTTTTTGTACTTTCAGGATGTTTTTATTGTCAGTTCAAAGCCAAAGATTATTCAAAGCACTATCAGGCGACTGCCTGTGAATTATGTCATTCCATTTGTGACTGAGGTATATATCCACATGAATATAATCACTTGTACCTCTTTATTTATTTTCATTTCATAGGGGAAAATTTCCATTCATAATTTATTGTATTTTATACAGTTAGTTCATCGAATACAAGCATCACCATCAAGGTTTGTGTATTCAGGTTATTTTCTAAATATAACACTCTAACAACAGAACAAATGATGATTTAGATATTTCATTGATAGGAATTGCCGTCAGATTAATGGATGGTGACAATATGATACTCTGATGTTCTGTTTGGTGCTTTTATATTTTGAATATAAGTGGAGACAAGTCAATGAAAATGCTGTTATTTTCTATTTTAGAGGAAGTCACTTGGTTCCTTGGATTAAAACCATTCTCACCATTCACATGTCCTACCTTATGTCTGTAAGTGGAAGTTAAAGTAATAAATGGGTTAGCTTAAATGTTTGTGAATGTTTTATTTTGTTAAAAAATATGTTTCTTGTCGTTTCTAGGTCCCAAACTTAGTTGAATCACTTGGTGGCTTGTATCAACTGTTTGAGTCAAGAGTTGGTGTTTACAGTAGACTGTGTAAGCTGCAAGGCCGTTTGGACTTGATGCTTGCCCAGGTATGCTGGTTATCAAAATGCATGGAGTAGAATGAAGTAATTATGAGAGCATCTGCTGATGAGCAGATGCTGAGAAAAGCATCTGCTCATAATCGCAAACGCGGAAAAACTGATGTTGCATGATCTTTTATTTGCTTGTTAGTTAGCTTTCCGAGTTTGACGTCATTATGGGTACGATCTTTTGGTGGAATTTCTTCATTGAAAGAAATGATGATTTCAATAACTCTATGATAGGAATTGCCGTCAGAGCTTTAGATTCTGCTGAAATATATTGTATCTGATCTTTCAAAACTTTTGAAACAAAATGAATGACACAAATGCACGGCATATAGCGCTTGCAATGTTTCGTCGTCTGAGATGAGAATTACTTTGTTTATCAGGTCTCAGCTCAAACTGAAGTAGTTGAAGAGGAACAGTTGACAGAACCAATGATGGTTTATAAAGAAGACGGTACGTTTAATGAATACAATGTATTTAATGTGTTGTATCAATAGCGCTGTGTACTGAATCTGAGTCTTGAAGTGAACGTGATGTTATTGATAGGAAGAGACTGATGAAATGATGTCAACTAATCTCCTCTGATTCAACTTCGACCCAGATTTTATGATCTTTATTTTTGTGCATCAAATCATTATTTTGTAAGCATGTTCGTTTTAATTTTTTATTGCTAGAGTCGAGTGAAGTTTCTGATTTGGAAGAATTAGACGCAAGTGAAGAATCAGCAGAGTCATTGGTGCGTATAAAATAGACGATTCCTGGATGAAGATAAATTTATGTTTAAATTTATCAAACACCTTAAGTCGAACTACTGTTTCATCTGATATTTCTTCCTTATCAAGAAGACATTTTTGACAAATCATTTATGTTATCATGTTGCTCTACAGAAAGACGATGCCTCAGATGATGATCGTGAAACGCCGTCGGACGAAGAGAAAGCGGCCAGTTCCGAAGACGATGATAACGAATCGAAGGAACAATCTGACGGTGATGTTGAAATGAGGGAATAAATTGAATATAATCATAGACCAGACACATTTAAACCTGTAAAGAAGTGTTTTACTGTGGCTTTGTCGAGGAGGCCTTTTCAGTATCTGTATAGCAATTGTTTAACTCAATAAATATTTGAAAAGGCTTTGGAATAATTTGACACGTTTTGCAGGTCTGATTCCTAAAAAAACGTGTCAAAAGTCAGCATAGCAGTATCATCCAACGCAAACTCGTCATTAACACAACTATGGTAACAGCTATACCTCAAAAATCGCTCAACCTTGCGAAGCTAGATCTTGAAGATTGCATAAAATATGTATGATCGTTAGACACTTGATTAGTTTGGCTGATATGGCAACAACGGCTAATGTTGTTATTAGGCGTGCTTTAGAAACTGTGTTCAATAATTATCCAAGTTAATATCAAGCCGTTGCATAAACCATGATGCAAAGATAAACAAGAATTATGAAGTTTATTATGCGAAATTCATTTGGGTAAAATATGTGGAAATAATTGCGTTGTAGCAAAAACCAAATTTTAGAAATTTCTAGGATGAACCATGGTTTGAACCCAGTTTTCATCAGTTCCGACAAAAACAAGGCAGTGAAAGCCGAAGCAAATTGTTCTTCGGTGTTTTTTTTGTTGTGTTTTCAGAGGCATTGCCAAGCGACGTCTGCAGAGACCTTCACGCATTTCATTTCCACCAGATGCAGAGACAACCGTTCTTTTCATCAAAATATGTACAGAAATGACACATCGTCATCGGAATTGTGAATAATTACACAATGTCAATTAAACATAGACCATATGCAGTTCAATTTGAAACAGGTTCCAGCGTTGGGGGTTCATTATTAAGCTAATGTTATTTAAGAAACCGTTGAGTTTAATTACGCAACTTGCCATATTAACAAAAATATATCTCCTATCGTGTCTACTCCATTTCAGCCGTTCTAATAAATATTTAATCAAAAGCAGAAGTTTTTATTAACTAATTGTCTTCTGTGCACTTCATGCTAAGCCTTGCGCCATAAACTTTTAGGAAAAAAGTTATTAGACCGATCGCTTTATTCAGGGAAAGAAAGATTCCAAAACCACAAGGTGATTCGTGTACAATTGTTGAGATCCTAACGACTATTGCTGCAGCGTGGTAACGCGTTAAAAGCTTCACACTTGTCACGACGATTTTTGCCAAAATACACCTGTAAGTTCCGACTATAATTTATTTTAATTTCTCGACGTGTGAGGTGTTTAGTTTTTAAGTAAACTTGAATTCTATTTGGTAGGAAGCTCATTGCCACTTTGCATATCATGCAGAGTTGATTGTACGAGTGTCCTTCGTTGAAGACAAAGTCAACCCGAAGAGACACAAGGTAACTATATGAGATGATTTGTAGATCGTAAGATTAGATATTTCAAAGAAACGTAATCCTGTCAACTTGACGCAGTTCCTATCACGCACGCGAGATGTTCCACGTTCAGTTAAGATATTTTTTCCAATGGGAGATAATTCACGAACCTCGACGCTTACAAAAAGATTATCACCTTTTCCTCGGCAACTCACTCTAGGCGGGTTTTTAGCAAAGAATATGTCGGAAAATTAAAGTTACCTCAATTCCTTTGTGTGTTTATACCCTGAACTGTCATCTTTGAAGACTCTTGTAGTTTCACATAGCAACAAGAGGTTTTTTTTAATTTCACATTTAAATCCTTGTATCCGTGTTTGTCATCTTGAGTTTTTTTAGCGTTCCCTATCAGACGGAACCGCGGTTTATCCATTTTCATTTTTCCTAGTATCTGGCATAATAGGAGTGGTAACTGCCTAAAATATACTGGAAAATCCTTCAACCCAAAGGCGTTCGTAAAACGAGGTTAGTTTGACACACTAAATGCTCTCCTGCATGACAAAGGCCGTTAGAGTCAAAACGCCAAGACGTTTTCTTGTATAATTTAGACTTGCATGTTGAATCTATTACATCCCAGGAAAGATATCTGAAGACGCTGCATACTGACGTGATTACTTTAAACATAAAATGATTTACGTCTTAAAGATTAGCGCCATTAAGTGTTTTTCCTATTTGTTTTAAATAGAGATAAAGATGAATTTGTTCATTTGGGTAGCAATTTTTACCTCAACATTTAAAGGTTTTTCAGCAGACTCTGGTGCAGGTATATTTTTATCGTTTAAATTAAGTATCTGTTGGACGACTAAACATACTACACTTAACAATAATTATATGTCTAGCATGTTTGAAGTGAATATCTTACCAAAGACCAACAACGTTGATATAACTGTACTATTAGGGCAAACTATGAACGAAATACAATTGATTGAAAAGCGGGAAATATTGCATTCGGCTGCAGATATACACTAGAGATCAGTAGAAGATCTGGAGATTTCATTGCGCGTTTTGATAACAATACTTTGAAATGTGAACGTGTTTCTTCCTAAACAAACAGCTCCACCAACGTCAAAACCTACAAAAGAACCAATAATACAAGGTAAGGTCTGTGTTGTTTGAAAACGCGAATTTGAAACGAACCTTTCCTATACTTCGACCGTAGCAACCTTCGGAAATTATCCAATATCCTCTAATTTAACAATTTAAACCTACACTATATCACTTTATCTTCCTATTTTGATTCAGATAAAAAGTTGCCATTGCCGTCAACGAAGAATTTATTATGGCATGGAGCTTGCTCTAATCGTCTTGATGCGCAAAGATACGCTGTTGGTGGTATTATGTTTCCAAAAAATGCAACTGCCAGTCTTGGTAATTTCAGGGGGACCTGTGTCTCAGACCCAGAGGCATGTTTGGATGGACTTTCATTCGAGTTATGGGTCTGGTTTGCTGAAAATGATAAACAAACTTTATCCAATACTAAAAGTATAATTCTACAATCTGGTTCGATGAAATCCCGTGGGATTGAGCTTTCAGTCATTAATAAAACCATTACGTTCACCGTTTACGCTAAAAGTTATATTTCAGAAAGTCAGGTTGAAGTGGAGAGTTTTAAGAATTGGATTCACCTCGTGGGCGTGTGGATTAAGAAAAGTCATTCGGTTCAACTATTTGCGGGTGGCGTAAAGTGCAGTTGTACGCAGATACGGCGGCGAGTTACCAACATTACGGATGATCTTGATGGAAACTTGACCTTAGGACCAATTGCAAAAGTTAGACCAGGTTTTGTCGTTCTTCACAACTTGTCTATTTGGATGCGAGCAATTCGTGATAGCGAAAGACAAACCCGTTTAAAACATCGTAAGTATTAGATGAAAAGGTTTTATTTAAAAGAGGATATTCAGCATGGTCATGCACCATTCAGCATGCTTCAGCCGTTATCCTCAATGGTAAGATCTGGGGGTGAATGATTTGCTACAGTGAAAAAACCAATGATAAATTATTCAATATTTTTTATACATTATTTTTTTACATTATTTATATATTAATTAAAGATTTTTTTATTGCTAGGTATGCCGACGCAAGAAAGACAGGAAGAACTTGATGAAATATGCAATAAACAATGCTCTGCTTATGGTAAATCTTTACCTTGGTTGGCACGATTTTCCTCGTCTTATCAGAACTACGAGATGCAATGCCTTGAAGTTGAACAGCTATCAAACGATACACAATGTCACTCTTTTACCACGTCATTGAAACCACTCAAGGAGCTCAAGGACGTGTTGTTCAGACGACCTCTGTATGGCAACAATGAAATTCAAATGTGGCTTGATCACATGTGCAATGATCCCTTGGTTAATAATATTCAAAATCTGCAACCGAGTTTAATCAACCACATTGCACGTTTTGATGACAATACTTTGAAATGTGAACGTGTTTCTTTCCAAAGAACGGCTTCGGAACAACCAAAAGCAGATGAAGATAAACTAAAAAGTTTAATACAAGGTAAGGTCTGTGCACTTTAAAAACGCGAAATTGAAACACGAAATTTGGCTCTGTAAAACTAACGATTGTTCTTGTGTGTCAACATTTTTAATCGTATCTTCGGTAATTTTAAACATGTCAAGATTACAATTTTTATTGAATATCATTCATTTTTTTCTTCATCAGCATCGTGTGCCCAGATTCCTCTTGGCCTTGGTTCAGGAGAAATCCCATATCTTTGGTTCACTACTCAGCATCTCTTCACTCTCTCCAAAAATGAAAGCCATTCTTGGTGCTCTGACAAGCCAGATAACTACATAGAAATCGACCTCATGTTTCTTCATCAAATTTGTGCCTTAAACATCTCGAGTCAAGTACGTCGATGGACGTTATGGTATTCAAACGACAAGGAAATCTGGTCAACATATTTTCAGGTAAAAAAAATGGGTTGTTAGGTCTGTTTAAGTGGCTCGTTCGACAAATGTTCGACCAGTTTCATTAAATTTATTTTAATTTTTGTTTAGTTATTAAAAGGCGGCGATAGAGAGGGACAGATTCTTCCTGTGTATATAATGGCGCGATATTTGAAGCTTAAGCCACACGATCAAACGACTTCTTATTGTGTCACGAATATTTCCGTTAACGGATCTTCTCAGGGTGAGTCATGAACTTTGAGTTTCAATGCTCAGTCCAAGTTTTAATGATGCTTGACATATAATTTTCAAATTTATTAATACATATCTTGTCATCTTCAGCCTACAGGGCTGCTTCCTGTCAGTACTATTGGGATGAGCTTTCAGCCACAGAAGATGGATTGTACATAATCTATCCGAACAAGGGAAGTAATCGAAGCCTTGTTCTTTGTCTTGGCTCAGAAAATCACGAAGTTGTTCAATCGATTCCAATCCATGATCACGGTAAGTTAGAATTCGGTACTCGCTGGGCGTGATGTCCTGGGTGTGACTGGTGTTTGACGTCAAGAGAATGGTTCCCAGCCTTTCCTATACTGGGACCATAGCAAACCTTCGGGAATTATCCAATATCTGCTATATCTCTTTCTTTTCTTTCCCTTTTTGATTCAGATATGAAGTTGCAATGGCCGTCAACGAAGAATTTATTTTGGCATGGAGCTTGCTCTGATTGTCTTGATGCACAAAGATACGCTATTGGTGGTATTATGTTTCCAAAAAATGCAACTGCCAGTCTTGGTAATTTCAGAGGGACCTGTGTCTCAGATCCAGAGGCATGTTTGGATGGACTTTCATTCGAGTTATGGGTTTGGTTTGCTGAAAATGATAAACAAAATTTATCCAACACTAAAAGTATAATTCTACAGTCTGGTTCGATGAAATCCCGCGGGATTGAACTTTCAGTCATTAATAAAACCATTACGTTCACTGTTTACGCTAAAAGTTATATTTCAGAAAGTCAGGTTGAAGTGGAGAGTTTTAAGAATTGGATTCACCTCGTGGGCGTGTGGATTAAGAAAAGTCATTCGGTTCAACTATTTGCGGGTGGCGCAAATCGCAGTTGTATGCAGATACGGCGGCGAGTTACCAACGTTACAGATGATCTTGATGGAAACTTGACCTTAGGACCAATTGCAAAATTTAGACCAGGTTTTGTCGTTGTTCACAATTTGTCTATTTGGATGCGAGCAATTCGTGATAGCGAAAGACAAACCCGTTTAAAACATCGTAAGTATTGGATGAAAATTAAGGTTTTATTTAAAAGAGGATATTCAGCATGGTCGTGCACTATTCAGCATGGTCATACACCATTCAGCATGGTCATACACCATTCAGCATGGTCATGCACCATTCAGCATGGTTACCATTCGGTAAAATGGATGGATCTCTATTCTATAGACTTTTGTCTATTAAGAATAAACACAATTTCGCTACAATCTCTTTTAGCTGGTCCTAAAATGCCTCTCTGGTCAGATTGGACTAATTGTCCATCGGATTGTAAACAGAAGCGCTACAGAAATTGTCCAGGATGTGAAGTAGAAATTGTCAAAACACGAATATGTCATGATACCTACATATGTGGTATGTCAACATTGGTACTTCACTGAGGCTCCCTTTTTAATAATCGCTTGTTTGAATACTGATCTTTGAATATTGAATATTGTTCATAAATACTTTCTATATGATAGAAGTCGTATTTTCTGAAGTTTTAAAACGAACAGTGGTTCAAAAGCACATAAACTAAAACACTGGATTAAGATTTAACCCAGGGTTAGCGCTAACCTAGCCTTGAACAACTGGCCCCCGGTGTATAACTTCTGAAATTAAGTTTTTATGTAAACAGTGATACGTTCTCCTGATTTTTATGCGTTTTAAGGTTTGAGAAGGAAGTGGCCACTGAACAACGTGTCAAATTTATCGTGTCCCAACTGTCGAAATCTTGTTGCCAGCTCAGCCTTGATCCTGCCAATAAATTCAACCATCATTCTTGGGAATTTCAAGGCAACATGTTTAGCTGAGCCTAGACGTTGTATAGATGGATTAACGTTTGAGATATACCTTTGGTTTGCCGAATATAAAAGTGATGTCCAAAGAGAACAACGAGGCACGATTCTAAAGTCTGGTTTTACTCTTGGTTTTCGTTTCACTGCCCGAAGCAAAATTGTTTACTTCCAATTATTTAATGAGGCTTGTGTTAGAGAATGTGATGTTAGAAGTAATGATTGGGTGCATATTGTCGGTATTTGGTTTAAAAGCTCGAACAGTTTGAATTTGTTCATGGATAAGGTGAACAATTACTGTAATAAGAAGTGCTTTGAAAATGCTGCTATTTTAAAACATGGCAGTAAAAGTGATGACAATGCAAGTGCTGGTGATTTGACCTTGGGACCAATTCAAACAGACAGTGATGGTTACGTCATCGCCCAGAACTTGTCAATTTGGATGAGAGCAATTAAAGAAACAGAGTTGGACGAGCTTTTTACACACAGTAAGTATTGCAAACAATGCGCTTTTTCTTGAAACTATTACTGAAAGAAACGTCCAGGCCTTAACCAAACACCATCATTGTAACTAACCCACTGTAATTGTCGTTTAGAGAGTCCCGTGGTACCCGCTCAGTGATCTAAAAGGCAGAAATTTCAATTTTTGATAATATTTGCCGTAAAATTTTGTCTTTACAGATATTCCTGCATTGCCTGAAAACTGGGAACAGTGGTCGAAATGTGTGCAACCTAATTGTACCACAAAACGACGCAGGAAATGTCAAAGCGACAATTGCACTGTCAATATCGTTGAAAGAAAGAACTGTGGTGTGTGTAAAGGTAACGCCACATTTTGTCAAGACTTGATTCCTGACAATGTCTTGCCATATTTTCACTAGAGTGACATGTCAGTTGAATACTCAAAACAATTTATTTCCGTACTTTTATCCCCCTATTTAAACTGACTAAATCTTTAGAAGGAACATTTTAAAACTTATGGAATCATCATCTTCTACTAAAGGATGCCATAAAAATAAAAAATTGTCATATAGCTATTAGTTTAAATTGACGAACTACCTTCCCCTTGGACATTTATAGAGTTCGAAGACTTTTTACATTAAGTCTATGTAATATAGTTCAGAAAAGCAACAGGAGTTTTAAGATTTATTCTGTAATTTTATGGTTTTACAGCTCCACCGTCAACCTGCAAAACACCGGATGGAAAAGAATGGAATTCCACCCAGCTTCGTCTAACCATCCAGAAGTATTGTAAGAATTTATCGTTCAGTGAAGACTGGCTTGTTATCTTGAAACGAAATGACACCACGTCGAACTTTACTCGCACCTGGAAAGATTACAGTAATGGTTTTGACAATTTGGATGGAAATCATTTTGTTGGAAATGAAAAACTTCATCAGCTAACGAGATATGCGAATTTTCAAATAATGGTGTATTTTCATGATCCGTCGAAAAGTGTATCAAAACTCGGCACAACAACATGCGATTCTTTCTATGTTTTTTCAAAAGATGAGAATTATTCTGCGGAGTTTAAACGATGCAAAGGACCAGCAGCGCATGCTTTAAGTTATTTAAACGGGGCGAGTTTCTCGACCCCCGATCGTGACAATGATTTAAATGGAACAGAGCACTGCGCTCAGAATGACAGAAGCGGGTTTTGGTATAAAGATTGTGGCAAAGTTAGCTTTACTATTTCAGGGGAAAATACCTTTGTTGTTTCGTATTTAACAGAAAATGGAAGTCGTGTTGAGATGCATGCTATCATTATGATGATCAAACCATATCATAAACGTAAGTAGATGTTTTTAAAGAGGAGGAAAGAGAAGTCGTGATGGTGTGAAAGAGGACGAGGGGGCATTCCTGGTTGTTTAAAAGAGGGGAGAGGGGGGTATCCTGGATTGTTTGAAAGACGGGGATAGGAGGTGGCAATCCAGGGTGCTTTATAAGTGGGAGAGGTGGCAATCTCGGGGGTTTAAAAGAGTGGGAAGGGAGTGGGTGGCATTCTAGGTGGTTTATTGGAGAGGAAGAGGGGGACATTAAATTAGACATATTTCTATTTTTTATAGGATACCATGAATTAAACCTGAAACTCAGATTTATAAATGAGAGTTGGAACAACGAGTTAGCAGATAATTCAACACACCGTTTCTTCCTCTTGGCGGGAAAAATTAAACAGAATGTAAGTCTCCAATCATACATAGCTCATAGTCGGGCATTAAATTTCCGGTAAAAGTCGTAAAATGATACTATTGTCTCCAGTTCGTCGCCCCCAAAATTCCGATGTCACCCAGATTTTTGTTTTGCTTTAGATTGGGGAAATTTACCGCAACGACAGTGCTTACACATCAGCAACTATTGTTAGTTTCAGGTTCGTTGTTCCTCGTTTTATTTCGTTGCTTTCCGTTGATTTTTTATAATATAACATAATTGATTATTTCTGGTTCTCCCAGACTCCCACGCGTGTTTCTATAACTGTATAGAAACACAGAATATGTTTTCTATTTATTAAATGTTAATACTAAAAGCCCAACTTAAATCAACTATTGAGTATTATAACGCACACGAGTAATCATTGATTCTTCCACAGGCAAGGCAGTGTTATTGCAACTATCATTCTCGACTATCTCACCATTAATGGAAGTCAGATTGCGTCACTTTTAATGGATCTTCGTAACGGATATCTAAATGCTCAGATGGCTGTGTCATATAAATACAGCGATTTGAAGATATCAGGCCAATCAGGTAAGGTACACAGAGGGTGTTTCCTGCAGTAAAAGGGGATAGAAGATTTTCAGTGATGACGTTTAGGAAGAACCGTTTAGAACTGACAGAAATAATTATTATCACGTTTAAATAAATCTGGTCAGTTAGATTTTCCAGCTCCTGTAGCACCAGTGAAACAATAAGTTACATCCATTTGGTTAGATCATGTTTACAGTTTTCATATGAATAAAAAATCTTTTAATTTGAAATCTTTCTATTTTAGACGACCGCCCGGAGATCAGTGATCTATACAACACAAGTTCAACAAGTTTTAACATTAGCTGGCGTAAACTCACTGAGATGACTGGAATACGTGGCTATAAAATATACTATACGACTATAGAAACAGCAGCACACTGGTCAGAGTCTGACGTAACCTCGAATCAATCTGAGACAACAATTACAAACCTCAAAATGTTCACAGTGTATTTTGTTTGTGTTTTGGCATATTCAAATAACATGACTACTCTCCCAAGTCAAATTCATAATGTCACCACTGATGAGTCTGGTAAGTTGATCTTATTGCATATTTGTGTTTAGTGTAGGTAGTATGTTCTAAAAGGCGTTGTCGTAGAACTACCAGAAAAGATATCTGTGTCTATGCCTTGTCATTTCTGTCTTCTAACTAGTTCCCGAAGTCGCACCAAACGATATTACAGTTTATTGGAACAAGACAGACTCCACAGTTCTTGTGACGTGGGCTCACATTCCTCGACCGCTGATCCGTGGATATTTGTCACATTACGTCATAACCTACTCAAATTCTACAAGCAATTTCACACAGACCAGTCCCACGAACTCAAGTGTTATAACTAGACTCGCTTTATTCACTCACTATCGGATAACAGTTGCTGCAGCGACCAGAATTGGCGTTGGTCCGTCGAGAAATATTTCATACAGAACCAGGGGAATTCGTATGTAACTTTTATATTTAACAACTCAGTTTTTCTTTAAACACCCTGAAGATTATGTAAGGACAATATGCCCACGTTACTAGTGACGATAGTTTGTTATCATCCGAAGACCTGTTTACGAGCATTTAATATTTTTGTCAGAAACAATTACACTGATTGGCAGGCAGGCAATGCTTTGTTTTGCAGAGTGATTTCATTTGAATGTCCTAAATGTTAACTTTTTTCGTCTAGCACTTCTAGCTCCGACGAATTTAACCGCCGCAGGAACAACAGGGGGTGGGATTACCGTATCATGGATCTCAATACCTGATGATGTTAGATATGATGAAGTCATTGGGTACAGGGTCTATTATTATGACCAGGCAGAGCTTAGAAACACCACTCTCTCTGTTCATCAGACTAACTTCACGATTAACGACGTTAAAGTCAATGTGAACTATGATTTTACCGTTTGTGGATTGTCTGCTGGTGAAAGGGAAGGACGTAGAGCATATACCAGCATTATAATATGGAACGTGACAGGTGAAACTAATTCAACTTTAGAGACAATCTAATTAAACTTTTCTATATTTCAAACGTGTTTTAGTACATGCAGACCTGCAGATATAATAAAAGATAAATCTCCCCAACAGATCACAAGACACCGCTCAATTATTTCGCAAATAATTACTTTATTTAGTTCCCAAAATGCCACCGAAAAACCTCACTTGTCCCGGCTCATCCCCTTACACCATCTCTGTTGGTTGGTATGAATACACCGCTGCCCAGACAGGAGGCTCACTGAAGAACTACATCCTCTGGTACCATGCCAAGGGAAACCCAAGTGAAGAGAAGAACATTACCCTTCGTCCCTATCCACCTTGGTATACTCTTGAAAACTTACGCAACTCTACAGAATATAAAATCACAGTTTTTGTCTATAACGAGAAAGGTTTCAGTCCATCGGCAAATATAACCTGTAAAACCAAAGAAGGACGTGAGTTTTAAAAGCAATATCTTTAACGTAAAAATCCCATGTTAGGATAGCGGGTTTTCATTAAAAGTATAGTCATATAAAGCGAATACGAACTACGGAGAGTTCAAAATTAGGATAATACCATCAAGAATTGACATCAGAACTTTATCAATTCTTACAAACATTGAACACGAGTTTGTCAACTGGTCAAACTGTATATGTTCAACTGTGATTAATTGAAGATATCTTGATCTTTACAATGCATTGCTAATTGATCTTTTTTTTAATTTTTCGAGGACCAACAACACGACTGCAGCTTCTTCATGTAAATTCCTCGGTCGGGGAAAATATCATCCCGTTAACATGGCAGCAATCCCAAGGGAAAGTACGCGGATATAAAGTACTCTATCAGAAAGTGTCTGAAGCTGGATCTAAAGTCAAAGACGCAAGTAATATGAAAGTGAAAAGGTTTTCGGCAGATAAAACCAGTGGTTATGTTGGTGGTCTTACTTCTTTTTCAAAGTATTGTTTTAAAATTCTGGTCTTTAACGAGTATTTTGATGGACCGTCCAGTAACTTCAAATGCGCAGGTATTCAAAAGTTATAATGTGTTGGTAATCCGTGAGTAGCACCTTTACAAGTTTAGGTTTCCTCCTGTAGTAACACTGGGTCAATAAGAGATGATCCTTACTAGAAGTGACAATACAATACTATATCTAACGTATGGATACATTTAGTAAAGTTTAGTTTTTCTTTGTTGACAGAAACGTGTCGTTGTCCTCGCATTATTTTCACGAACTGGTTCGTTGTGGATCCTTACGTAATATCGTCCAACTCTGGGATTTTCCCGACTTTGGTTAAAAGAATGATCTCTGGCGCCTGCGGATATTGCGAAACATATAACAATGGAACAACGATAGTTCACTTTCAGAAGGACGGAAATCGTAAACGGGCACAAAAGAGAACTTCGAAACAGGTTCAACTAGAGAAAATTTCCAACGAAACGCAAATTAGTTTTCCGGTTGTCGGCCCGAAAACTGGTTCAACCGGTAATGCCGGCTGTTTTATGCCCATTATCAAAAGCCCAAGTTCAGTTTTCATCACGCGGAAACCAGTCATGTCTACTGTTTCGCAACTTGTCATTGGAAAAGCTTTGGTTGGTACTTTGCCGTTGTTGGCATTCACTTTTGTTATGTTGCTGCTTGGTGCTATATTGATATGGGCTGTGGTAGGTAGCAATCATTTTTGTAATAGATTACCATTATTCTATAAATGCCCCGTTACACATGCAGTGGACGAGGGCGTGCCACCCCTAACACGGACTTGGACGAGGGGTAGCCACCCCTATGCACATTTACCTGCTCTTTTTGTCATCCAAATGTTTTCCTGGAAGCTTGTACCACCTCCTCTCCCCAAAAAAAGATTTGAGATGTTTCCTAAGCCCGTAATTTCGAAAAATGAAATATCTGCTCGAGCTTTACTCTCCTAGTTTGAAATGTGATAAATCGTGTTCAACAGCTGTTTTTCTTTTCAGGAGCATCCAAATAATTATGATACAATACCAAAGCCATTCTTTCAAGGTGTAAAACAGAGTCTCTGGTGGGCATATGTGTCTGTGACCACTGTTGGGTAAGTTTGCATTCTTATCAATATATATATCCATTTCTTAGGTAATAAACTTCTTGCTGTGACTCAAATTTTACGTTTTACTGTTTCCAGATATGGCGACAAAGTCCCAAAATCAATTCCTGGACGTATATTCGCAATGATTTGGATTTTGTATGGTATAGCACTCATTAGCTTGGTCACGACGGGTCTGACTACTGCCCTCACAGCAACCATCGTGGTTGTCACAAAGGACGTAAAACTTTATGGCTCTCAGGTAGGCTACTGTGAGAAAAAAGACTATGCATTAAATGATCTAATTACTGGCTAGTTTTCCTTGAAAATTATCCACACCTCGTTTGCGCCTATTGTTGATGTTGCTGCAAACCAGTGCCCACAGCGGTAAACCTTAAATCGTATAGTTCGTGTTTCAGGAATTAAACCTGATGTATTGTCTCCTAGGTTGCTGCAGTTGATAACAGTTTGGAATTTCAACTGGGGTTGTTGAAAGGAGCTCGCATGAATCAGAGTACGGTTGGGCGTTTTGATTCAATTCTTAATTCGGTCATCGGTCAAATTCGTATTCTGTTTGGAGAATAATCTATATTGATAGGAACATAACTCAATAGACAGGCTAAAAACATAGCTCTCTATCAATGCAATTGACATCACTGTTAAACCGCGTTCTTTTGCCTTTACAGAGAAAAATTTTTCAAACGTCATTTCAGTCCTTGAAGCTGTTGAAAATGGTGATGTGGACGGCGGTTTAGTAGACAGGCTTACGGCGGCACGTCTTGACAAACTCCATGAACCAAACAGTGTTCTCGTGATCAAAGATATAATTGAAAAACAGTCGACTTACGGTGTCTTCGTCAGTGGGAAAGCAACTAAACTGTGCCAGAAATTCCAACAATACTTGCGTAACAATGCCAACTTTGTCACCGAAAAAGTAAAAGAGTTTTCTGAACCTTTAAAGGTGAGTATTGAGTGATCGTATAGGTCAATTAACCTTTGAAAACATAAAACGTCGTCGTTATCAAGTGAAGAATTATTGAATGGCACTTAACGATCGATGTTTGTTTGTAGAAAGGTCAGGTCTCGTCATCAGGTAGTCAAGGTAATTGGACCGCCTCAGGGACGCCATCAGAGGAATTGATTATATCAGCATCTTCGCCTGTATTTCTACCTTTGTTGTTATGGCTCCTTGGAGTCCTTTTCTTTGTCATTATGGTGGCCTTAGCTTGGCATTTCCTCTACTTCAAACATGTCTTCGCTGCAGCCAAGAAAAACAAAGGTACCTCTTGATTCAATAATATAACTCTAGGAAGAACAGTTTAAAACTGATAGAACTATCAAGTATAAATAAGGTTAGTGTAGGTGAGGTTTCCTGCAGTAGTAACACTGGATCAATAAGAGATGATCCTTACAGGATCTCTAGGAAGAACAGTTTAGAACTGATAGAAGTATCCAGTATAAATAAAGTTGATTGTGTTCAATATTTTCTTGCTCATATTTCGTCCATAGTTATCCCGCTAAACCACCGAAAGGAAGATATCTCGTCTCTACAACAGTTTCTGACCGAATTCCGAGACGAGGCCCAACGGAAGGTTCGGGAGATAAAAGTTCGACATGTGAGGGAATTGAAAACTATCTACAAGTTGAAAACCGGTTAAAAAACTTCACTGATTTGCTTTATGTAAGATTCACTGAGCTAGCAAGTTGAACAAAAAGAGCTGAACGACTGCACTTTAATTTCTAATAATTGATAACTAAATATTCAGCATATGATAGAAAATGTGCACCATGAACTATGGTATTTATACATCCATTTTAGTTTCACAAATATGGACTTGTAAAATTTATTAAATGACAGCTTGAGAGTTGAGTCTAATGGACTGCCTCGCAGTTTTAGTGTGTCCGGCATAGCCGATAAAGCGTCGCGATACTTCGTTTTTAGGTGTGTATTTTATCTTTGGCACAATGTCAATAAAAAGAAATAGTAACAGCAAAGAAATAATACCTTTTCCCAAAAAACAGCCCTATTTTTCTTCTATATTTGTGTATATATTGATATTACATAAAGTCTTGAGGGCTGCTGGCTTCATGTACCAGGAAACTGCGCTTTCGTCTTTAAAAATATTGAGTAAAGATAAAGATGGTTTCTAGTATTTTCTTCAATTTTTCTCAATGATTTTTTTTAAATGGGAGAACAAAACGAAGAAGAGGGATACACATTTATCTCATTTAAACCTCTTTCACCAGAAGGCGAGAAATCCGGTCTGCGTAAGTTAATTGAAGGTTTTAAATCAAAACGATTTGTGACGGCAAAGAATGACACAGAAGGTGACAGTAGTCAAAACAGCCTAGAAAATTCAACGCAAAGTGACACACAGCATTTTAACAGCAATGTTAGAGGCGAAGAGACAAGTAATAAACATGGCTCAGTTCTTCAAGAGCTTTTCTCAAGGGGCAATAAATCCCATGATTTGGACAAACGAGAAATTGTAGAAACGCGTAATTCCAGAACAAGAACACCAAGTTCAGTGTTAAGACGGCTGAGTCAGTTGGTATTGTTAGAAAAGGCGAATCCACAGGTACACAATACATATGTTGTTCTGCCTCAATCATTAGTGATTTTTAATATATCTAGTTGACACTTGACAGTGTAATATGGCAGTATGTTGATCTTTGGTCAATCAACATGTTCAAGTGGATTGTCTGCTATCATTCAGTCAATTGGAGTTGAAAAATCGAAAGTGATCTTTAGCAGATTATCTCAAAAGCAGCCAGATATATTGTCACTGTAAATATTTAACAAAATACTATAAATAATCAGCACTTTTTCATACAGTAGGTTAGGATTAGGGTTGGGGTTTCGTAAAAACTAGATGACAGCTGCTTGCTGTATGGTCACATAGTCAAACATCAGCGGCAGAGCTGAGTTTTATCAGAGCAACTAATTGCAATTCTAATTACTTCATAATTTCCCAGCAATTGCAAGGTACAAATAACCTGAAAAAATATTGGATGCCAGATGAGCAATGCAAGGTTTGTTATGAATGTGGTGTCAAGTTCCATACCTTCAGACGTCGCCATCATTGCCGCTTGTGTGGTCAAATATTTTGCAGTCGATGTTGCAATGAGGTTGTTTCAGGACACCAAATAGGCTATACTGGTAATACAGTTAGAAATTTTTGTGTTGCATTACCAGTTGTACCACCGTAATTGTATCATTACTAAAGACTATTCTATATGTGAGACACTATTTTTCTCTCTCTCTAGGTGTTTTTCGTGTGTGTATTTACTGCAAGAAGATTGTGCTAACATATACCTCAGGCTCTGATATTGAGAAAAATTTTAACCAACTTAAAGAAGACCTTAGACTAATTGCACATGGAGACAGCAACAACCCTAGCACAGGAAATATTCATGGTTGGAACCCCTTGTTAGATGATTCTGATCTCAATAGAACTTTTGATGTTCTGGGTGTTAGTGCTGAGGAAGCAGACCTATTAAAACAGGTTTGGTAATCATATATACCTCATGATTTTGTTAGAAATAAATCACTGCTAGAAATTGGACACTGGATAGACCAGTTTCAAACTGTTCTCCAGCTCTCTGGCATTAGAACAATTTTGTCGATGAAATGAATCGCTTTCAGGAACACTTTCAGAGCCATAGCTAGATTGCTTAATTGGGAGAGGGGGTCATATTTATAAAAAGATTTATCTTTAAGATTTATTGTGAGATTGGTTTGTTTAGGATTCTTACAAGAATTTGTGGAAACAGATCACAACTCCAAAAACTGGTCTGGAGTTTTTATCTCACAAGATTAGACTTCGTTCTTATTCCACTTGCTTTGTTGGTCGAGATCTCATAAATTGGTTGATGATGAATAGAAAAGCTCCAAATAGGTACTCATATGTACTTATGTGTACTCACATGTACTAATTCATACTCATATGTATATGTACTAAGACATATTTATTCTATAGAGCTGTGGCTCTTCACATATGTAGAGGACTTCTAGATCTTGGCTGGATTGAACCATTAGATGGTGAACAAGAAGATTTCAAGGATGATTTTGTGGTTTATATTCCAGGACCAGTAAGTTTGAATGTATTTTTTCCACCTCTGCCTTTAGCAATTCATCCAGAAATGTCTGCTAAGTGGTACCTTTTGAAAATCTGCAAAATTTTAAAATAATTTATAAACAGTTCCCTCTTTTTTGTTGTCTTTATCAATTGTTATGTTTTATATTATTCCAGAGAGCCAGTGGAGAGGTTTACAATGTGGACTTAGTGCGTACACCATCGTCATCATCTCATGGAAAAAGAGAGCCAAATTCATGGCTGTCTACGAGCTTTGATCATGTTAGTTGAGCAGTCATTCTAATCTTGATTCATAAGTATTTTTTATGTTTATTCTCCAATTTTTGTTTAGGGTGCTGTTCAAAGTAGTAGAGAAGGATTTACAAGATGCAATTCAGCGAGTGAGTTTGAAGTAACGACAGTTAGAGATTTGAAATTTTGGCATGTTTTATGATGAGAACACAGTGAAGTGTGTAACGTGTGCTAATACTTTTTTATTTTTATAAAGCAACAATTGTGAATCAAGATTTATTGACTTCGCCGCGCAGAATGAGATCTCTGTCATGTGAAGACGTTATGGTGAAGGCGTCAGGCAAAGAGAGTTCATCAGTAATTTTTTCTTTATTTAAAAAATATTGGACAAAAGAATCAACGTCGGTTTCTAGAAATTAGTGGGTCACATCTTGGGTAAAACCAAAGACTGTAAAGATCAAGGCCTTCAAATCTTTTTCCACGAACAAGAAGGGCTCTGTGTACTAAACATAGTTTTTTCTTTGTCGTAGGATAAAGATAAAACCTCCGAGTGTCTGAAGACGCAATCTCCCAGATTGGATGTTTTTGTAAATATTGAAGATTGTTACCTTCCCAGTGGTCTGGTGCCTGAGCAAGCTAGTGAAGAAACTGGAACCGAGGATGACGTCACAGAACAAAGTAATAAAAAGGAGGATAAAGTTACAGCGGAGGATCTTCGACTGTCGTCATCTGAGAAGAGCGAAGAAGCCATGGTTTTAAATGAACTAAAGTATGAAGTATTCCCTGTTTACATCTCAGGCCCATTTTTGGTGCCTTTTTTACCATAAGAACGAGTTTTTTCATCTTAAGACGTATTTTGACCTAGCGCGTGAACTTGGATGTTGGTCTCCCTTCTCCCTGAAGCTGAAAATAAGCGCCTCTTTAAGCTAGAAATGAGCGCCTCTTTAAGCTAGAAATAAGCCCCTCTTTCTCTAATAACTGACGTTTCTTCGACGTATAGCGCCATTCACACTAAACACATCTCAAGTTTATTGGTTCAATTGTTGGACAGAGTTGGGTTGAGTCAATCGTGGAAAGATATCATTGAACCTCTCGCTATTAAAATATGTGAAACGGTGAGTTGTGAGTTGTCCCGTCCATTTCCCGAGGGAGTCATGATATATGTACCCTGAATGTCCTTGTATGTACCGTCTATACCCTGTGGGAGTCATGATATGTGTACCCTGAATGTCCCTAGGTCGTTCCCGGTGTGGTTAAAGATGACAATATGGATATACGTCATTATGTGAAAATTAAAAAAGTTCCCTGGGGGTCACGCAGTGATTGTCGTATTGTGAACGGGGTGGTGTGTACCAAAAACATTGTTCACAAGAAAATGGCTTCCTCTATCACAGAACCTAACATTCTCATGCTCGCATGTCCAGTTGATTTTCAGGTCAGTGTTTGTTTTTGCTCAAATAACTGGCAGTTTATCATTGCTTACATCTAGTTTGTCGCGTAAAAATGACTGAAGATATTCAACAGTACATCATATGAAAATGCCTCTTATCTTGACTGGAGTGAAAGATGAGACATATATACTTGTTTCTAGTTTTCCAACAGGAGTGGGTTTTTTTTCTTTAGCGAGTTGAAAACAAGATGGCTTTCTTGGACTCCTTGGTCCTGCAAGAAGAAGAATTTCTTAAGAACATGGTTGGTCGTATAGTCGCTTTAAAACCAGATCTGGTCTTAGTAGAGAAGACTGTCTCGCGTTTAGCCCAGGATATGTTGTTACAAAGAGGAATATCTGTTATTCTGAACATAAACCCGGTATGCTGGCTTGATGTAGCTGTATTTTTCGGGAAATGCTGGGTTTTGGGTTAATATTGTATCTAATGTCTGATTTTAGAAATTGATGTCACGAATATCTCGTTGTGTGAACGGAGATGTCCTACTATCGCTAGATCAAGGCAGTCGACCCAGGTTAGGAACTTGTAAGAAGTTCAAGATCGAGAAATTTGTGTTCGAGGTACAGTACTTATGCTTTTCCACGGCAAGAATGATCATTTCTTTATCAAGCAATGTTGCAAGAACAAGCAAAATACGCCTCTATCAGTAATAACCAGGAAATCTCATTTTTTTTAGAATGGTGAAAGGAAAACCTTAGCATTTTTTGAGGGCTGTAGCCCAAGTCTCGGCGCCACGATTGTTCTTCGTGGAGCCAGACGAATGGAGTTGAAAAAGGTCGCAGACGTTTTAGGGTTCATGATTTTTGTTTCCTACAACTCAACTCTTGAAAAAGCTTTTATTATGGACGAGTTTGGGACGCCTTTTTCTGAGGATACTCAAGACGACAAGACAGCGGATGATGAAAATTCGCACCAAGGCAAAGTTATGTTTAGTGTTGAGGGAGAGACATTGTCACACGAAGAGACTGCTGAGGTTAGTGAAAGTGAAGATTATACCACATTGCAAGAAACAATGGAGCCTACATTTAATGAAATTATCAGAAATGAGAACAGTGAAACCGGTTGCGAAGAAGCTCAGCCATCTTTAGCTACAGATCATTCAACCGAAAACAAGTTGGGTGATGGCGAGAAAAACGATACGGGTGCTTCTGAAAACAGATATTTCACGTCAGTTACGAATCCTGTGAACAGTGAATCGTTTCAAAATATTTTAGACAGTGTAATACTAAGTTCTTCCCCATTAGTGAGGTATCCGCTGCCATTTTCATTAACCGAAGATGGAAAAAAGTGCGAATTGAACGTATTTTTAACCGATGAAGCTTTTTGGTCGCCGTTATTCGCCGGAGAAACTTCGTCCACGCGAAGTCTTTCCGTAGATGAGGTCGACAATGTTCGTGAGAGTGAATCCGCTTGTGGTTATCTCAAAGAACGTCATCCATTTGTGTTTGCTGTGTTAGGAGAAGGCGCCAAAGACGTAAAAACACAAGAGTTGCTTGCTAACTACCGAGCTGAAGGTGGGAGGATCACTGCGAAGAGACCTGATAATTGGGAACTCAAAGGGATAGATGTATTGGATAGTAGTTGTAAAGAGGGTGAATCTGTACGCAAAGGGATATGTGATGATCAATTGTTAAGAACATACCGCGTTATAAGGACAGAGAGTGAACAATATTCAGGAAAAGTACAATTTTTGGTAAGAAGCTTTGAACTTAACATATTTCTAATAGTCATTTAATGTGCGAGTTATTTCATGTACTCTCTACTGCTTTTTTCTCAAGCAATAATATAATAAATATATTTGATTTTTTCTAGAGAGATTGCTTTGATCCATTTCTTCACCAGATGATTGCAGTTGTGTTCAGCAGTTACTCCCGTGAATCTGGAAATTTTCCAAGATCATGCATTTCTCCATGGTAAAACACACACACACACACACACACACGTAAACAGTAGCCTAGCAAGCCTGACGATTTTCTCCCGTTATGCAAGTTTCAAGTCTCGTTTCTTTAGAAATTGGTTGTTTTAACAGACAGTGAACGCTAACTCATTGAGTAAAATGTACCATGCAGGTTTTCGTTATGTATGTAGCGATATTCACTTCCTTTTGTAAACATTTCAGGACAGTTTTTATGGAGTTTTACGGAAGAAATGATCTAACTTTGGGCTGCTTCCTTGAACGATACTGCTTCAGGTAGGATATCTTGCATACGTAAAATCAGTTCTGGGATTAGTTGGATTTACAGACAGCGTTCCTTTCCATCACGTTGAATAATCTCGTTTCATAATACCAAGGTCTTCCTATGTCTGTCCAAGTCCAAACTGTGATATACCAATGGTTAAACACGTGAGATATTTTGCTCATGGAGATGGAGCTATCCATATCAACATGAAAAATCTCAAATCGCCAATTCCTGGATACTCGCGGACACTTTTAACATGGAGCTGGTGTAAGCAATGCAAACAGGTATTGCCGCATAAATAAATATGATAGGCTACAAGTGTTTCGTACTTTTGTGTGTGTTCTCACGCCGTTTGCCTCGTCTTGATGAAGGTTACTCCCGTTGTGCCGGTATCTTCAGAGGCTTGGCGTCTGTCGTTTGCAAAGTATATTGAGTTGCGAATCTATGCGTCAAGTTACAGACGACGTTCCACGTTACATCCTTGTGATCATTCACTACATCAAGATCATTATCAATATTTTGCTTACAACAATATCGTCGCCTCGCTCAAGTAAGTCTAACCAATATCTCACGTTCGCACGGTGTTTAGTGTCCGTATTCACCTCTCATTCAAGAAAACTCTCCTGTTTACGAACCTAGGTACGTCTCCTTAAACATTTACAAAGTTCATCTTCCGCCAACAACGATAAAGATTGTTGAAGAGGAGAGGCAGCCTCAATTTTGGATAAAACATATTCAAGCCATGTGTGCCAGGTGAGTTAACATCTTTCTTGTTTCTTTCCAAATCCTGTCTGATTTTTGTGCACCCTAAGACGACAGAATCGCATTTTTTTGGCAGGGTTCATCAATTGGTTAACGTGATAAATGAACGTATCGCTTTGCTGAAGACTGAGGCGTACATTACAAGCTGTGTCACGGATATTGCGGTATGATGTATTATTATTGTAATTCATTTTTTCAATTCGAATCTATTTAACTTGAATCAATTCAATTCGAATCAATTCAATTCGAATCAATTCAATTCGAATCAATTCAATTCGAATCAATTCAATTCGAATCAATTCAATTCGAATTAATAATTTCCATCAGTCGGCGCGGATGCACGAGTGATTTCTGTCAACGGTTTCGCGATGTTAATCTTTGCTTTAGTATGACAGAGGACGACTAGATGAGAAAGTGAAAGTGTTGGATAGCAAAGCAATGTTGTTACTGTCCCCACCATCAAGCCCGGGGGAATCTAAAAACAACAGATTGTTGGAACCTCATGAGGTTGCAGCTGTTGAATATGAAATATTAGATGGAATTACATTGCTCAAGAGAATGATGTGTGAATATGGAGAGAAATGGAATTCAAAGTAAGGCTAACCACAAACTCATTACTGATCCTGAACAGTCTCAAGGAAAGGTTGAAGTCAGATTATCAGCGTGTACATCTAAGAATTACTTCTTCAGGAATATTTATATGGCTTTTCGTAGATTGTTTGAACTGTTTCAATTGGAGAATGAAAAGAAGAAATCTCAAAGTATGAAAACAAAGAATTCTGGTTTCTATCCGTCATCCAACTCAGTGGTAAGTCAATCGTAGATGGATCTTCCAGATGCATTTCAAAACCAACATTGCTCAGACAACAATTCGTTTCTCTAGAATGGGATTGAAACATCACAAGTGAGCGATGTGGACAACTTGTTGTCTGGTAGTACCGCGTCTCAAATCAATCCATTTGCGGTCGAAAATATCCCGTCAAGTACCGAAAACAACCATTCTAACCCCAACTATCAACTTTCGGGAGGAAGTCATCAAAACAATCAGCGAAAACGCGAATCCTCTCCAGGACCCTCAGACATTGACCAGAGCATTGATCAGAGCATTGCCGATGAAGAAGAATTATCTAGAAGTTGCCAGCGAGGATTTAACCACAGTACAAATCAAAGTTAGTTTGCTTCAATTCTTCACAGAACAACCTAAATTTGATGCAAAATTCATTCAGCTAGACTTTTTACTCCATTTTTTCACCTCTCATGTGCTATTTTGTGATTTGACAGAATTACGAAAACACTCAAAGCTCTGGGCAACTCTTACAGAAGAAGGTATGTAAACGAAGTAATATTTGATAGAGAAATGACATTGTCTTGCCTTATTTCATTTCTCAGTTCAAATTCTTCAGTAGTTAGTTCATTATTCAATTTTCCTACAATTTCAGTGAGTTCTACACTTAAAGACGTGCAGTATGTTGAAGGTAACTATCATAGTTACTATTAATTTTAAACACAAACATTCCTATGTAATATTCCAAGTGCCTTTTTCATTTAGACCGACCAGGTCCAAAGGTGAAAAGGATTTTTTCGCAGTTTTTGCCTGGAGTCTCATTTCGTTCAATCCCATCACCTTTGTAAGTAAAAGACTGTGTTTAAATAGCTTTGAATTTTGTGCAAGCTTTCATCTGATGGAGATTGTTCTTCGTTCCTAGTCCTATGCACGAGCACCATTTGTTACCAGCGAGTGATGAGATTCCTATTGTGGTAAATGAGAAAGAACCAACCTCGATCATTGCTTATACATTAAGGTACGTTGTTATCTCGCAAATCCTTGATTGCTATCTCATGACATGGTCCTGTGTTCCACTTCTGTTCGCCTTCGACAAATTTATGAAATAAATTCTTTCTCACACCAACAGTAGTCCGGAATACCAGGAGAAACTTTACAAAATTCAAGAGTTGATGGAAGAATACTCCGAATCTTTTACTTGTGTTGATGGTGATTGCCTATCAGTACCCAGGTAAGGACAATCTCAACTTTTTTTTTACATTCTTTTTTCAAACTTTGAATTAATTTTTTGCAGTGACGGTATGAGATCACGAACAAGAACTCGTTCTGAAGCAGAAACATTCAGCAGTTCAAGTTTATTAAATACACATAATGGTAGGAATACACTTCTTTCTGGCTCACGATGGTTTTCAATACTTTACCGTTGTGTAGTGCACATGACTGCATCTTATGATTCTTATCCCACCTCACTGTATTCTCACTGCGCCCCTATCCCACCCCAGCTCCAGAGCCATATTTACCCCCTTTTCCCACCGATCAAATCTTAACTGTAACTTCACTGCACCTTACCCCACTTCTCCACCATATCTTCAACACACTTCGCCCCTCTCACGATCTAGGCATCTAACTTCATTACGCCGTCAACTATGTTTCATTCATACTGTACTGTACTGTACTGTACTGTACGTATACTTGCAGAGGATTTTGTGGAAGATTACTTCCAGTGGAGTGAATTGGATGAAGATGATGCTGTTACCGAGGATAAAACGGTTAAAAACCCGTCGAATTTAGGAGATGCTGGAGTAAAAACTGGCGAAGATGGCATAGAAAAAGATAAAGTTGAAATCAAAGAGCCCAATCTTGTGATGCAAAATGGAGTGACACCTCAAGAAAATGCAAAGATAGAAGACTCTATCACAGATGGAAAGGAGTTCTTAGTTAGTTCAGGTCTATCGGCCCAGGATGATGTTGAGTACCACATTAAGCATTGTAAGTTGTCGCTGCCATACCATTCCCCATACTGGAATACCATCCCCATGCAGGCATACCATTCCTCCACCACCGTCTAACCCACTTTTATCTTTTCTTTCAGCATTCGCAGATTCTTCTGCAAAATTCTTTTGTATCGTATATTTTGGCGAGCAATTTCGAAGAATCCGAAAAGCGGTGTTTCCAGATGGCGAAGAAAAGTACGTTTTGAACTTTAATGCATGACATCATCATCATTTGGTTTTCCGATGAGATTTCTGAGTTTTGTGCGATTCTTGAACGTAGGTTCATCCGCTCACTTCAAAACTGTTTAACCTGGGAAGCAACTGGTGGTAAATCAGGCTCATCGTTTTGTAAGACAACAGGTGAGACAACTGAATAAAGTACCAGGTGATCTCATAAACATGCATAATTGCGACGGCTTAGCGCAATGTTTTGTTGTGTGAGATGAGAAGGTCTACTCTCATTGGTACCTTGCTTGCTGTATGATATACTCATGAAGGATGTAATCTGACACAACAGCACTCTGTCAATCTTCAGAGGCTGACTCCAGAGGAATTCTTTGCATTTGACAGCATAATAATTATTGTTTTATTCTCTATTCGCAGACGATAGATTTGTAATCAAGGAAATGTCTCGACCAGAGTCGCAATCGTTTCTAAATATTGCTCCGCATTATTTTCAATATATTGAGAAAGCCTTGGAAGATAAGGTAATTTATATCAAACCTATGATTATGATTTTTATCACATTTTACCACAGTCACCAACGATATATGACTATCACATTTTACCACAGACACCAACGTTGCTTGCAAAGATTCTTGGTGTTTACAGAATTGGTTACAACAGTAAGCTCACGAACACGCCGGTTAGAAAAGATTTTCTGGTAATGGATAACTTACTGTACAATTGTAAAGTTGATCAGGTACAGTCAGATTGTGATTCTACTGAAATATCCTTCCATTTACTTAAACCATAATTTGACGCGTTTTTTCTAGATATTTGATTTGAAAGGTTCTGTACGAAGTCGCTATGTTAACACGCTTCCCGATAATGAAGTTGAGAAAGTTTTGTTGGACGAAAATCTTTTGGAAAGTAAGTTGCGCAGATTTACTGCATGTGAAACTAGGCGGACCTAAAGTAATGGTGCAAGCTTTCGGCATCGGTTTCTGACGTATTGATCCAAGGAAGGTCTAAATTCTTTATTCATATATGACCGTAGAAAATAGTGTGAATCCTTTTTGTGACTTTTGTATCCAGGAATGGTAAATCATGTATTTAGATGTGATTGTAATATTTTTATTACTGACATAGTTTGATGAAATTTTTTTGTGATTTCAAGAGCTGCTGCGTGTAAAATCCTCCTCAGTAAACACATTTCAAAGATTTCTTTTCTTACATTTTTTTCCCGACAGTGATCGCAGAATCTCCGTTGTTTATTCGACCACATTCAAAAGCCGTTCTATCACGGGCTATCATGGACGATACAAAATTCCTCGCGAAGCATATGGTCATGGATTACTCGCTACTTTTGGGAATTGAACGAGGATCTTCAAAGCTTATTGTCGGAATCATTGGTAGGACAATAATTTGAAACACCTTCATATCGTTATAAATGAGAAACACCAGAAACCATTATCGCTAACCGTTTTAGGCGACTATCAAAGCTGCTTTTACCTTACGTCATAAACTACCATCATTCGTCTTTTTTTACGGTCAAGGCTGTGCACAATTGTGACGATGGTTTATACGTCCGCAGTGTCCAGTACTACCCCAGACCGGAACCTCTTCATTTAATATACTCGTTTATTTTGTGTTAGTTTACCTGAAGTTTGATTGCCAAGATTTCTATCTTTTGCAGATTTTATTCGCACATTCACATGGGATAAAAAATTGGAGATGTATGTCAAATCCACAGGTATTCTGGGAGGTCAAGGTAAGATGCCTACTGTGGTATCACCTGACGTGTATCGTGAAAGGTTTTGTGAGGCTATGCAAAGCTATTTTTTAATGATACCTAACAAATGGATGGGACTCGGTAATGAACAATTGAGTCCGTGAGGTGTGTAAAATTACCGTAATTCCTAGTCGAAGAATCGTAGCTAATTGATATGAAATATGAGGCTATTTTTGTGGTCAGCTGCAGCGTATTTAAACACAGGAAAGATGTATGCCTATAGAGCTGACCCTTAACCAGCTCTTATAGCTGATAATGAATCAATTTGTAAATAATAAACTAAAAATTAGCCGTGATTATTAACGGACAATGAATATTTATTTGAATAAATAAATGTAAAGCCTAACATAATTTATAAATTTGCAAACAAACATTGTTAATAAACATACAGTTTTATATGATTAAAATCTAAAAATTTTAACAGATTTTAACAAAGTATTTTGCCTGGTTGCAGCACAGTTGTAGTTTGTAGTAATGCATGCCAGCACGGTTTGGATTGCAGGACATTCCTCTGAGGTCCTGCAAGGTGGTATGTGTATCCTTTTGTATAGAATTGCAGATCACTTGTCAAGGTCTCCACTGTTGTGGATAGTTTATGTAACAGTGCTATTAAGGTAATCAACAAACATATTTGGGAGCTTTGTTGTGTCTTCTAACGGATGCATTTTGGAGTAGGTAATGAACTGTTTTCGTAAACGACGTAGTTCAGCCATTGTAACTTGACGTTGAAAGTGAACCTTTATAGACAGAGACAAAAGTTAGCAGTGTGTGCATGGCTCAACTTAGCAAAGGTTGTATAATCAATATCATGCCAGAAAGTTCGAAGTTCATTATAGCAGCTTGGACTAAATGTTTGAACACCAACCTTATTAGTAGAGCCAGGAATTGCAATCATTTCTCCAGGAAGACTTGTTCGCTGTGCTGTTAAGATTGCCTAAAATTTAAACAATTTAAGAGAAAATATCAGACTGTTTTCTGTAACAGCAGACAGCAACTCATCCTTCCTTACTGAGATGACATCTTGTGTTTTCCTGTCTAGATCATTGAGAAAACTTGTTGCTGATAACGGTTGCTGGGGAATAAATAATACAATTGTCAGCATTGGTCTTCTATTTTATTGCAATCATGTGTTACCTACACATTGTGTTGATTGGTTTGGAGGAGGTGGAACTCTGTTTATGACAGCATCGTAAATACTCTCAAATGGCAATGTGTCATCGACCTGAAATCATAACAGGTGAGTTAGATATGCTTCAATATCATCTGTCATAATAACGGACTCTTGCCTGGATAGTGAACAAAGGTGAATCCCAGCGATTCTTGGAATCAGGGGGTTCAAAGCGCATTATAAGTTCATCCATTCTATGAAATATATAGTCACATGTTTAGCTTGGTTTAGCTAGGCCATAATGAGCTACGAACTCTAGACAAAAATAGCATACAATTTGTCATTGAAGGGATCCTCTCGTTCCTTATTCAATTTCATGCAGTTATCCTTTGAGCTTTCACAGTAAACCTTAATAAAAAACAAAGTGATAATAATAGATTAAATTGATAAAAAACAGCTGTTTGTTACTCTGGCTACATTTCTAAGCAATTTACATGATATATTCTTACCACACAGTGAGGAGTTTTGTGTGCCTTCGCAGAACAATACAATTCATATCTATAACCTAGTCATGAAATTATCCAAAAATTAGGTCAAGGAAGGGAGTTTACATCAATTACAATTATTTATGTTTTACCTTTGATATAATTTAGTGAATCAAGTATAACAATACTATCTCTTGACATCAATCTTTTTAAAACAAGAAAAACAAGAAATTATTATGTTATTACATCTTAAAGTAAAATATCTTGATTGTATTTGGGTGATGTGCGTATACTAGGTGACTCTCAGAGTTTAAAAAAAAATTGCCTGTATGAATGATAATCTTTTTATCACATTTCTCTACCTTTCAACTGCAGATTTTAAAGATGCCCTTGCAGACTTTTCATTTGCTGATGCTAAATAAAATGAGAAATTTCCACAGCCCTTTCATGTTTTTTGTGAAGGGTATGGCTAGTGTAGACAACTATGGAATATGCATGACCATCTGGCATCTTTGGGATGGAAGATTATATGATTGGTGTGGGAAGATGCAAGATGGTAGATATGAGAAGGGAAGAGAAAGTTGAGATGGTTTGGGCAATGAAATTATATCCACTGAAGGTGATCTGGTTTGAGATACATTAATAGATTGAGGTCATGAGAGGTATCTAACACTGTAAAGGTGAAATTTTATTCTCTCACATTGCTGGCGGCTGCTTGAATTGCAAGCCTGTCTTGGTGTTAATCAGACGCAATCTTTCTCCTACAGTTTTACTCACAGGAATATACTGTGTTCTTGTTTAATTCTAACATATCATCGCTAATAACTTCGACCCCTTTGCCATGTTTCTGAGTGAAATATTGTTTTAATTCATTACATCTGGTTGTTTTTCCCGATGCTGGATAACCGCACATTATTATAAAAGGCATTTTGTTAGAAAAATCAAAAATCTTCTTTTTCTGATTGTTTCAAATCAAATGACCTGCCACGCCCGTGTGTCATTCACCTCCGCCTTAAAACCGGGCTTGAACGAAACTTTCAAAATGGTGGGTTGCAAAACTTTGCAAAGACTAGCTTGTGTTTTAATGCTGTATTCATGCTTTTTACAATCAGTCTGCGAAGATAATCAGCCAACAGACAATGAAAACGCTCAAGAAATTAAAATATCTGGAACAAACGAGCCCTTGTCGGTGACAAAAGAGGAAAATGATGAGGTCATAAAACCTGGCTTAGGTCTTAGAAAAGAGGAAGATGGTAAAACTAGTGCACAATTGGACAGTTCTAACGTTTCTATTCATGAGAAGATTGTGGAAATCGAGCAGCAAGATCTTGGTAAGACCAAGGAAATGAAAGGTGATGAGAAAGAGAATGGTAAGAAAGATGATAGTGAAAAAGAGGATAATGGGAAAGAGGATGGTAAGAAAGATGATGGTGAAAAAAAGGATAATGGGAAAGAGGATGGTAAGAAAGATGATGGTGAGGAAGAGGGTGGTAAAAAAGATGAAGGTGAAAAAGAGGCTGGCAAAGAAGGTGAAAAAGGTGAAGATAACAAAGAAGAAGATGGGACTGAGGAACAGATGAAAGAGAAAGAAGAAGAAAAGGAAAACGTTGAAGAGAAAGGAATGGACTTGAAGGATCTCAAGGATAATGACTTTGAACATTTGACACAAGCTTCAACTGGTGCAACTACTGGAGACTGGCTGGTTTTATTGTAAGCATATAATACAAATATTTCCATCATTATATAAGGTGATGAAAACATGGAAAATATTTTGATAACATTATGAATTCATTTATTCTTTTTTTAGTACGAAAAAAGATAATTGTGATAAGTGTGTTGAAGCTGAAAATGAAATGAAAATTGTTTATGAAAGGTTAGCGTGAAAGAATATTGAATTGAGGGCTTATTGTACATTTTATTTTATATTTCAACTCAATATTTAGGGTGAAGCATAAACTAAATGTTGCCAAAGTGACAGATGGTCGCTCAACCAAAAGTAAGATTTTCAGAGCATCTAAGGTATTAATGCTTTATCTTTCTATGCAAGATTTTATCTTGATATTCATGTTTTTTTATAACAGTGACATTCAAAAGATTTGGTATTGAAGAAACGCCAGTAATATATCTGTAAGTACTATTTAAGCAGACTAGAATTTTCCTTGAACTTTTTTGCTGGTGAAAACATGAGTAAAATTACAATCCTACACATATACTTCTTTGTTTCAGTTATACTCAAGCGAAATCTCTTGTCTATATTTTAAATATAGTTTTCATCATGGTAAACAATTCTCATATGTTAACAATGTGTCTGTGGATGAAATCATCAAGTTTCTTGAAGGTGGATACCAGTTGGCTTCTTGGTCCCCTGTCAGAGATCCTTATACGTCTTTGTGAGTACCAATGCAATTACCAATGGTATTACCAGTTTTTAATTCAATCATAGAGTGGCACATTGCTGCCTGACTTGTGTAGCCAATACTGTTTATTTTAGTAATTATCATGTTTTCTCTTTTAGGGAGTACTATGTAGATGAGACATTTGAAGAGCTGAAGGTGTGTTTTGCTACTAATTTCACATTAAATGTGGTATAACAACTACTAGAAATAGAGAAAAAACAGTTCTTTGTACCATAAGAGAAACCATTGTTGCCTTTGTCAGGAGAGTTAGCACTTAACAAGTCAAATTTAGGTGGTTTTTATATCACATTTGATGTGAGGTTATTAGAAAATGCTGGCAAACTGATCCATGGTTATACTGGAAACAGTTTTGATATTACTCAATGCCATATTATGTTCTCATTTCAGCATATGTTTCGTTACAAGAAGAATGTATCTATTGTGATCTTCATTACTGGTTTTATTTGTGGGATTTCCATCATCTCTCTCTGTGGATCACTTCTATTTCATCTACTAGAAAACTTCAAAGATGATAATGAAGCGTATTTGCTTGAAGAAAGTCCTAGTCGTGACATGGCAGGTAGCAAAAATAAGGCAGATTAAATTCACCATGTACTTGATGGATCCTTATTCCAGTGTTTTATCAGAGGAAAATTTGCTCCTGCACACCTCAAGTTGACCTTGCTGCAGAAGGACTTAATTATTGAATAGTTTTGAGAACTGCCTTCCCAGTAAAGCCTGGGTTACAAATTCCCTTTGACAGTAATAGATATACTTTGCCTGTGTGAACAGAAGGTTTGGAATAATTGGTCATAAAAGATACATTTGGACAAGGCATTGACTGCCAATATTTCAAATCAAATAAAATTAGCTAAAGAAAATTGTGTAAAAGAGACTTAAGCCTGCTGCACACGAGAGCTATTCGCCGAGCTAACAGCCTCACAAGGTCGTCATTAGCTCAGCTGATAGGCCTTGCATGCCATTCTATCTCTATTCCAACTATTTGTACATGAACTGTTAAAAACGCGAGTGTTTGGCTTCTGGTTTGGATTCCCAGAACACTGATGTAAAAGATCTCAACTCCACAATTGTTCTTGGGCATTGGGTGAGCTGTGGTTTCTTTCGTGTTTTCCGGGAAACTGGGTACTAGTGTTATTCACTGGTGTTGTTATTTTGAAAAAAAAACAACATCATGCTGAGAGTTGCTTTCGTTTGTAAATATTTCTTATAAAAATGCACAAATGGAGGAATTGTAAGCAAACTAACACGAGATTTACAAATTTCACTCCTCTCCTAAGGGAAATATGAGCAGAAACAGCAGTTTTTCTTGTTCAGAAATTTATAATGTGACCGGAAACACATACGATGTAGAAAGCTCCGATGGAGGGATTCCTGAAAACTTGGGCATCAATCTTGCAGTTTGGCTGGTAAGAAATCCATTTTGCTTGCTTTTTTGAGAAGATAAGGAATAAGTATGCTTTATTTTAGCTAAGATTTGGGTGCGATTTTTTTATTAAAAGACTTTGTTATATGAATTTAATGAATGAACTAGACAGCTGCTTTTTTTGACAGACGCTGCATGATGCACAAAACTTAATTGCTTTTCTTGAATTTGAATGTTAATCTCATAATTAGTTGATTTTTGGTAATATATGCATGGATGTACAATTGAATAACTTCTACAAGTTGCTGTGCGGCGATATTTTTAAAATATAAACAATTCGTTGGGGGTTGATTGCTCAAAACAAAACGCCTGGCGTAATTTTGCCGGAGTGAAGGAGAAGCGAGAAGGGTAAAAGAAATATCCACTTGCATCTTAGCTTTGAGAGTGTGTTGATCAATCTTGGCAATATTTATGTCAATGTCAGTAGTCTGAATTTGCATTGATTCATGAAAACCCAGGAATGTAATAATTAATAAATGAACATGCATGCTGATTTCAAACATCAGTAAGAACATATTAAATCCAAATTGACACCCTCCCCCCTCTATTTTTCCAACCAGTAAATCGTTTTTGCATCATTTTCTGATTCTTCCCCCTAGATTATTGTGACAGTCTTCTGTGTGATCCGAAAATGGGCGTGGGATTATGGAAGACTTGCTCTAGTACAGAATAATAACAACGGGTAGAGTATATAAATAGTATTAATCTGAAACTTGTGCAACATTTGAAGTTTGAAAATGCTTGCTTTTAGATTTAGATTAATACCCTTCCTTCGTATTCTGTTCTCGTAGATGGACGAAAATATTTTTTGGAAAGACATCTGAGGGAGGAAATGATAGTTCCATCAATGATGAAGAAAGTTTGGGATCTCAAATGCAGGATGTTTCTGACAAGGTCAGTCTAAAAGTATTTAAAAAAATCACAATTTTTGTGTGTTAATCTACCAATATTATTGAGAAAATAGCTGATAACATCTCTTAAGATTGTGTTTCTTAATTTTTTCAATTCATTTTAGGGTTTTTTCAACTGGATCGGTGTTGTTTTCAAACTCTCTGATGATGACATCCGCACTCGTGCAGGACATGATGCAATTCATTATCTTAGTTTTCAGAAATGTCTCATCTACTACACAGTCATCATTTGCATTCTCTCAATTGTCGTTATTCTGCCTGTCAATCATTCTGGAAATAATGGTGAATTCTTTACCAGAAAATACTTGAGTCATATCTATCCAGTAGACAGGGCCGCCGAGAGAAATTGTGGGGCCTGGGGCAAAATTTTTATCTGCGAGGCATAAAGTACTTCAAAGCGATGTACAAATTTTTTTACAAACAATATCAATAGTGGTCGAGTTTGCAGGAAAATGGCTAATTCGACCATCGTCGAGTTCGCCAGAAAATGGCTAATTCGACCATGGTCGAGTTCGCCAGAAAACGACTAACTCGACCATGGTCGAGTTCGCCGGAAAACGACTAATTCGACCATGGTCGAGTTCGCTGAAAAACGACTAATTCGACCATGGTCGAGTTCGCCGGAAAACGACTAATTCGACCATGGTCGAGTTCGCCGGAAAATGGCTAATTCGACCATGGTCGAGTTCGCCGGAAAACGACTAATTCGACCATGGTCGAGTTCGCTGAAAAACGACTACGACCATGGTCGAGTTCGCCGGAAAACGACTAATTCGACCATGGTCGAGTTCGCCGGAAAATGGCTAATTCGACCATGGTCGAGTTCGCCGGAAAACGACTAATTCGACCATGGTCGAGTTCGCCGGAAAACGACTAATTCGACCATGGTCGGGTTCGCCGGAAAATGGCTAATTCGACCATGGTCGAGTTCGCCGGAAAATGGCTAATTCGACCATGGTCGAGTTCGCCGGAAAACGACTAATTCGACCATGGCCGAGTTCGCCGGAAAATGACGTAAAATGCCCCCCGTGCCCCTCCCTCTCGGCGGCCCTGCTAGTAGACAAAGTTGTTTAACTTGCCTCCTCATTTTAGTTCCGGAGGAGGACCATTATGGTACAACAACTCTATCAAATCTTTCACCTGACTCCCAAATCATTTGGCTTCATACATTATTTGCATTCCTTTACCTGGCCATCTTGGTTGTGATGGTGTGGAAATTTTCACAAGGATTTGAAACAGATAGTGACCCTGTGTCAAAGCTTACCATTGTTGTCAGCAATGTGGCGAAGAATGCCTCGAAAGACCAGATCAAACAACATTTTGAGTAAGTAAAGATGATCTCTCTTCAATTCCTTTCATCCTAATTTCAAAAGTTGTTCTCTGTTCCAGGGAAGTTTATGGGGAGGACAGTGTTAGCAATGTTCAGTTTGCATACAATATCAGCAAATTAACCATCATCAGTCGTAAGGTAACCGCTTCAAGCCTTGGTCGTAATACTCATGCCATATACCTCATGAAACGCGGAAAGAGAGAAGATACATTTGTTAGTACGAGCAAGATTTGTCCATGCTGTCCTTGTTACAAAGAGAAATATGATGGATTGGAATATTTCACTAAAGAAGAACAGAGATATACAAATGATTTTGTGCGGGAAAAAGATGCAGTTTTGAGATATAAAACACTCAAGATCGTGTTTGTTTCATTCACAAAACCAAGTTTAGTTTTCAGGTAAATTTATACAATAAAAGCAGTATCATACCAGCTCTGCTCATAGCTGTCACTCATGTTTAGTTATGTAACGATTTGCATGGCCAGTAACCTGTTTATTCGAGCGCAAATACCGTCATAGAAAATCGTTACGACGTTATTGAGATCTCCCAATCTTGATATATCACTTTATTTGATGTGCGTTATTTTGATATTCTCGCCATGTTAAAATCATTGTTTCAGGTGTATTCAGGACTACGGTCTATTGGGAAATTACAAAGCTTCCTCGGTGTCAACCGCGGTGAAGTCAAATCAGTGGACTGTCGAAAGAGCTGCATCACCTGGCAACATTATTTGGGAGAATTTATCGGCTGATCCCAAGTACTGGTGGATGCGAGCAGCGCTGATTAATACATGTCTGTTTATTTTTGTGTTGTTCTTTACCACGCCTGCGATTTTGCTGGCTGGATGGAACCATCTCCAGTCATCTGTTGGTAGGTAAAAATAGTTTTCACTACAGGAATATGCGGTATTAATTATTCACAATGTACACTCTTCTTGACATCGTCTTGTTATTTTCTAGAGAGTAAAGTGGAATCTCCAAGCAATGCATTTTTAAGCCAATTTCTTCCAACCTTCGTCTTGTGGTTATTCACTGCGATTTTGCCTTCCGTTGTGTCGTGGTCCAGTTACTACGAGTATCAGTGGACAAGGTGATAACGCGTGTTTTAAGCTGACAGATTAAAAAACCTACGAAGCAGCCTCTTTAGAAGTGATAACTACTTCTTGAGTTATGAGTGTTTCCTTCCTGTTAGCAATTTTTTTCTGTCATCATGAATCTTCTATTACAAGTCAATATTTTCATCAATTCTAGAACTCAGCAGGAGAAATCTGTGATGTTCAAAGTCTACGTTTTTCTTCTATGTATGATTGTTATTCTTCCTTCATTAGCTCTGACGAGGTATGCAAAATACACAAGATCTCTGGCCGTGTATTTTAGTACACGTTCCTCGAAGTTCTAAAGTTGTATATTAGCGTATTGATCGTCTATTTCCTCTTTCTTAGTCTCGACGCGTTGTTCGAAATAACAATTAGAGGAGATTTCCAATCAATTAGTGACAGGATGAGGTTAGTAATTTGTAATATTTTCCTTTCTAATACGTTCTCGCAAGTAGAATAATAAGCCCAGAAGTTGTCAAATGATATGGTCGGAAATTGTTGTTCTGGTAATAAAATTCTCTCCTTGTTTTTCCAGTTGTGTTTTTCTACCAAACAGCGGCGCTTTTTTCGTCAATTATGTGATCACGTCCGCTCTTCTGGGTACTGCACTGGAATTGGTTCGTCTTCCAGAACTGTTTTCTTACGGTGTTAGGATGTGCTATACCAAGAATGAAGGAGAAAGATTGCTGGTGAAAAAGGTATGTTTGTATTTAAGTCTTCTGTATGAACATAGAGTGAACGAAAGTTTAATTCCTGGAATTTATCAGACAAATCATAATTAACTTGCTTCGTCTTTTTTTTGCTATAGGAAGCTGTGGTTGAGTTTCCATTTGGGATTAGATATGCGTGGATGATTGCTATCTATTCTATTATTATTATCTACAGTATCGCGTGCCCTCTTGTTGTACCTTTTGGTAATTGTTATGATAACTTTATCTATACTAGATAGCGTCGCCTGTCACTTTCCCTCGTAGTTAGTTTGTCATCCGCTGTCCATGGTAAATGTTGGGGATGGAGCATCCTTTGGAAGTCTAAAACGACTCTTATTGCATGAGAATTAACCTGCTCCATTTTTTTTTCTAGGACTGCTGTATCTGCTTCTGAAACACTTTGTTGATCGCTACAACTTGTATTTCAACTATCGTCCTCCGCCATACAAATACATGGATCGCTCTGTTCACAATACGGCCATCTACTTTCTTCTCTGTTCAACATTTCTGCTGTTATTCTGTATTTTCTTCTACTCTGTCATCAGACTAGGTAAAGTATAACATTATGACCGTCCGATTATGATGCATGTCCAAGATGCTTTTAGCGCTAACACGTGGGCAAAATTGACGTTTTTCATACAATTATTAAACACTGCATGTATGCGAACAGTTTTTTAAACAATTACCATAGTAACATGCGTTTGAAAAAGTAATGTTGTAATTGCTCTATTGTTCGGTCATTGAAGATTCAATCATTGAAGATTCAATCATGTGCCACGATGCAGGTTCAACGCTTTGTAGCCAATACGTAAGAGACCACTTGCTTGTAGATGCAACAGACCCATTGTGATTCCTCATATTTTTGTACCTATGATAAATGACGTCATGAACAGACAGCCACGTATATAGGATTGTTTCTATTCTAAACTGTACGGACTTTTGAAAGTTTTACAACAACATTAACCACTTATACAAGACGCAAAAATGTCGGGGGATTATGAAATCCAGGATGATGAATTTCATTCTGATGAAAACACGTTTGATATTTGGCAAGTAAAATTTTACGGATATGGTAAGCATTTGCCCAGATTTTATTACAAAGGTTACTAAAATGGAGGTAGTGTCACGATGCTCAATACTTCTATTCTGCTTTCTGTTTCTTCAGGTATAGAGGATCCTCAAACCATATTCGCTCTCGTAGTTTTTCTTCTTACGTTAATATTGTTTATTGGTAAAGTCTGTTGTGGATGGTTCTCTCGCTATTCTATTTATCGGGTAAGATGTCAGCTTCGTGATAGTCGCTGAACAACAACTTCGCTAAAAACTCGTTATATTATGCCCATAACTTATATCCCAGAATTGTGTTTTTCATGCAGCGTTCCCCGTCTTTCGAAGGACAAGAGGAAATGCCTACAGATTATCAGACAGCGGTAAGACTGATGACCTTCTATGTATTTTATTGCTTTCCGGCATTTCATTCTACAGAAATTTCAAACACGATTGTACATAGATCTCCTGTATAATGTATCCCAACACTGTGACAAGTTAGTAGAAGATAAACACATCAAACATGAGATGTATTGGTGACCTGACTCTAACTGTAGGACTAGTATCAGTATTGCCATTGTGGTCTTTCACAGATAACCTGTCACTGGGGGCTTTTCAATGACGTAATTTGTTCCGTAAAATTCTCCGTATCAAACACTGGTATCAAACAATTACCTCGACTTTCTAGGAAGCATACCTACCACCCGTTTTACAATCGTCGTATCGTGTCGGAGAGACGACAGAGAACGATCAGGCTACGAACCTAAGACGACGTCATTACGGCCTTCTGAATGACCACGTGATAGATTCTGACAATTTGAGACAAACCGATGACGTCGTCGTGGAAGTGCCTGTGGAACCGAGTAGTCCTGGACTCAAGTGAGAAAGGATTTGCGCGGTAATTATAAGATATCCAATGAATGTCTCATGTGATGACGTGTTAGTGACATTCGATCGCTTTCCTTTCATTTTTAGCAATACACCTTTACTCAGGCCTGACCTTTACTGTAATTTTACTTCGCGTGTGGCTATTTCTTAGTTCACACAAGAGGATTTTAGTTCCTTCGTGACACCTAGATTAATTTTGACGGTTCACTGTCACTAAGGAAAAAAAATGACGAGTCTGGCCAATTATGGCGGCAAATACGACGACGCATTATGTTCCCTTCTTGAGTATTATCTGCAAATTTTATCAGAATGTAAATGCAAACGCTTTTAAAATTGTTTTCATAAAATTATAAAGCTTATTCTAAGTTGTATAATAAATGAAAGATTATTATTAAAATTGAAGATCGTTTATCAGTTTGAGCTTTTTTTTCGGTCTGGTTCCGAGGTTCGTATCTTTGTAATCATGTATGAAGGGGCTGGCGTCAATGTTTTTATCACCAATCAAGATTTTGCCATAAATAGTCTTTCTGACTGTTTTGATAATGACATTCTTAAATGAATATATGTAATTTAAAACGTATGATTAATATATTAATCAGTTTCGTTTGTTAAGCCAAAAAATCGGACGAAATTGTTTTATATAACTTACGATTTATTGACTGATTCTTTCGGCATTTTTCTAAGATACTTCGCAATGTTTTATCAACATTTTTGCAGTCACTATAGCGATATATCAAATGCGGTTTACTTCAGCAGGTGTCCCTCACACATTACTACTGAAAATCACTTAAAATATTGGTCGATAAACATTAATTTCCTTATATTGATTCTGTCTCAAATATATTCCTTAATCTAAAATTGGAGTAACTGCTTGATAACAAGATCTGCTATTGTTATCATATCAAAGGTGTACACAGTCGCAAAATTGTCTTTCAGAGAGCGTTTGAATTCGGGAACGAATTTTTAAAGAAGAAAAGGTAATGTACGTAATGCAAGAATATCTAATTAGAAAATTATTTAATGACGCCATTAATGTTAAATCCTATATGGACGAATGGTTTGTAGTTGGATGTATTTCTGTTCCTTTTGTAACGTGTATAATTGTTGTAATTCGAAAGATGAATCAGGTTTCGAGTAGGAATGAGTTGAAGAAGTGCAGGTAACTTGCTGTACTTCAGGTGTTTTGTCGAAACTATCGGGGTTATATATATGCATATGAATAAAAATTGTTAAAAGGCTCTCAAGTGAGGGCCCTTAAGGTTTCATCTGAGGCTTTTTAAGCCTTGGTCTTATGTGGAAATTATCTCTCAGGAAGACACTCCAAGAGGCCCAATACGTCGTATAGCGTTCTTCATGTATTTTAGTAATTTTACCCACAGGAGAAGCAAGGTGCGTTGTCAGTTAATGTTACTACTTTTATTAGGTCATAGTTTGGAATAGAATACTACTTCATTTGTAACAATACATAATAGGTCGTGTGTTATCAACTGAAGAACGGATCTCTTTATTGCTGTTATGTTGTGAAGCAAGTTCGAGAATAGGAAATTAATTATACATGAATATTTTATTTCCGCTAGCTTGTTTCAAACGCCGTAAGGTTTCTAGTTCATTTTAACATAAGTTATAGAAAGAGATAGATCACTTTGGGATATCCTGTAAAGGGCGACGGTAATTATGCAAAACTTTATATCATATAAGAGACAAAAATGACCTCATTCCTAAATTTATATTTCCCTCCAAGCACTTTATCATGAGATTGGATTATCAGTGATTTCAACACGAGCCTTGGCCTAGAATACACTGCTAGAAATAGTGTTGCAAGGCACACTGCCTTAGTCATGGTACAATGACTACCATTAACAGAACCATCATTTACAATTTCTAACTCTTTCTAACGAGCTAGCTTAGAGGAGAGGAAGCAGGTGTTAAAGTCACACACAAATCTAAAATTTCGTTCAAAACAGGAGATAACATGTCGATTAATAAAACCACATTCTAAATGTTATTAAACCCGGTTTCAACAAGACATTGGTTGCTATGAAACTGGGCAAACAAAACGTAGGCTGACTAAAATTCGATATGGTCACGTGTTCAGGAAGATACGCGCTCTTCGATAGTTTTTTGTTTACATATTTTTACTCAAATCTGTGGTGTGCTTCTGTGCAATATATCACTGGCAGGAATTACAAAAAGGCTTCTCAAATGAAGAAGGATGTAGATATTATATGCGTTTCAAAGTAGGTTTACTTATTGGATGTGAACTGATTGTTTTTAGAAACCTATCAAATATATAACCCTGTTTGGGATATCCCAGGAAGCTACCTTGCAAATTAGTATTTAAGCGTACTTATAAAATACTATGCTGTTGATTGTGTTTTACTAAGTGTTTTGTTTTCCAAATTTCCACTTGAATACTTATTTATGTCTAAGGTTCAATGCATAAGTAAAAGGACGGCGTTTTGGCGTTTTAGGTGATGGAGAAATACGAAAAACTTGGCAAGATTGGGGAAGGTTCCTATGGTGTTGTCTTTAAATGCCGTCACCGGGAACATGGCCATATCGTTGCAATAAAGAAATTTGTTGAGTCCGAGGATGACCCGTTGATAAAGAAGATTGCAATGAGAGAAGTCAGAATGCTTAAGGTAATTTATGTTGAAAGATTGAAGGTTTGGAAATTATTGAATACAGCTAGCAGATTGAAACGGATTGTTTGTATAACGATATAGAGGTTACGTCAGTTGTGTGGTACTGTGTTTTTTAACTGTGTTGAAATATAAAAAGGTCAAAAATAGAAAGGGTTAAAAAATCGCGATAATCGTCGTGGGAGATTGGATATCCTAGCAGGTATCTATTGAACGTACTAGGCAAATAGTTCACTCCTCAGTTTACTGCCAAGGTCATCATATTTCAACAGGTACATAATTCATTTCAGCAACTAAAACATCCCAATCTTGTGAACTTGTTGGAAGTATTTCGGCGAAAAAGAAAACTTCATATGGTGTTTGAGTTTTGTGACCACACAGTTCTGAATGAACTGGATGCTAGTCCTAAAGGGTGAGTCTCAAGGGTGTGCTAAAGTGCATCTGTTTTACCATAGTCAGTGCAAGATAACAGTTATGGAGATGTTATTTGACCATGCATTCTAAAATATATTTCATTTTTTCTCTTTTCAGGGTTAATGAAGTGACAATTAAGAAAATAATTTGGCAAACACTCCATGCTGTTCATTATTGCCATCAACATAGTGTATGTATTGATCAAAATCCTCCTTTGCAATCCTTCAAATCAATTCTCCTCAATCATTAATCCTTTCTTATCAAATTTTAGTGCATTCACCGCGATGTTAAACCTGAAAATATTCTTATCACTAAAGATGGCATTATCAAACTTTGTGATTTTGGTTTTGCAAGAATACTTAGTTAGTATAATATGTGATATTTTGCAGCTTCATTTATCGAATACTGACACATGCTATTGTTTTAGCTCCAGGTGATGAGTACACAGACTATGTAGCAACAAGGTGGTATCGAGCACCAGAGTTGTTGGTTGGAGACACACAGTATGGGCCACCTGTAGATGTCTGGGCTATTGGTTGCGTCTTTGCTGAGCTATTGTGTGGTCAACCCTTGTGGCCAGGTCGCTCTGATGTGGATCAGTTGTACCTAATAAAGAAAACATTAGGTATGGTTTAATAAACCAAAGGTACATGAAATGATTTCAAGCAAAAATATATTTGATAAATAAAAATAAAACTGTTTTATGGGTTTAGGTGACCTTATACCACGTCATATCCAGATTTTTAGCAATAATCAATTTTTCCGAGGATTACAAATCCCAGAACCCAGCAAAAGGGTAAGCCATTTTTTATCTGTTCTGAAATATTGGGGCTTAAAAACCGAATGTTTATTTTTTCTCATCCTCTTTTCAAACAGGAAACTTTAGAAGAGAAATTTCCATACATTCCTCAGCCAGCAATGAGTTTTTTAAAGGTGCAGTAATTATTTTTCCCCAAGTCCCCAAATATATAGTCTTAGGTTTTATACTTGTGATTTCAAACATCCAAAATAATGTTACAGGGATGCCTAGTAATGGAACCCGATAGCAGGCTGACATGTGCAGAGCTGCTTGAACACAAATATTTTGATGGGTTTCGGGAAAGATTTGAACCCGAATTGCAAGCTCTCTTTGCCAAAAGTCAAGAACAACATCCAACAAAGTCTAAGAAACAAAAGGTACTTGCTGAAAACTACTACTTTCAGTTGACATAATCCCTATTCTGAGCAATTAATAATCTTGTTTCAAGATCTAGTTTAATTAACTTAATTCTTTAATATTTATTTAGAAATATGGCAGTCGTAGTGAACAACAGAATCATCATCTACCACAACTTCATATGCACCAGTCAAATGAACCACAACATTCACCAGCACCAGACCACAAAGTTGGTATGTTCAACATTAATGTCATTCGATCATTGTATTAAATAGGTCGAAGATATTTCATTCTCAATGGAAGAAACAGATGGGATGAAAATCTAACATCAAAGCAAACAGATTTTAAGAAAAGCTTTATCATACTTTGTTTTCTTTTAGAAAAAAACTCGTATGAAAAACAGAAAACGAAGGGGAACAAAATGGACCATTTACCTTCAATATAGGCATGCTGTTGCTGCAAGATAGAAATTTCTATAGAATTTGACTTGGACAAAAGTCAGTTTGTTTTCAAATGTAAATATTATAGCATGTCATTTAAGGTAGTTATGAGGAAATATAAATAACGTGTTTGTCTGTAGGATTTTGTATATGCGGGTTACCTAACTTATCTGGCTTGAGTAATATCCCTAATTAGCATACAACGCAAACCACCTGTAACTATGGCAGGGGGAAACCCGCCCTTCGCCTACCGGAAGAACGGCAAGGGTTCTTGTACATGAAAGAGGATATGCTCATACTTGGTTACACATTTACGACATAGCTAACTTTCAATGCTAAGACTTGGCGGAAATTGCCAAAGTGTTTTATTCCTTGTACAGAAACGTCGGAGGGGGGAATTAAAATCGGCTTAATATGGATGGTCCAATGAGGGAAACAGGCGAGGACTATATATGGTGATAACCACCGGGTGCCTGACCATATATGACCAAAAAACCGGATATTGATCTATAGGCGGGGGGAGTTCTATAAAGCGGGTACGGCACAGTGCACTTCCTTTTGGCTTTTGCTAAAACAACATTAGAGTTTACTTCTCCTGGACGAATCTTGATCGAAAATGGCCTCAGAAAAACCCAACGTTTCAGAAGTAAAGGATTTTGATCATGGCAGACTTAAACACGTGCAAACGACAGAGAAGAACACACTTCCGAGCGACGAAAGTAAGATATTTACATATGATATTTTTGTATCCGTTTTCGAGGCTTTTGAGTTCATAGACCACCATGGATAACGTGCTGTTCATGCAATAGGCTTATGGCTTTAATCTATGTTTAAAAGAACATATTTTCGTACTTTTTAAGCTTCTGAACCGTATTTGAAAATCTTGCAATGTATCATGCGGCCCTCCTTATTGTCTTCTACGTTTGCAAACATGCTGCATAATTTTATCAAATATATGTATTAAAGCTTATAATGGACGAAATTTATCGCCTTTAGGCAATTATTTTTACACATACAGCTGTCTGTTTAATTCGATTCAAAGTTGTAGTTAGATTGGGAGGATAATTGTTTTCATTTGTGAGGTATATTAAAATTTAAACCTTGTGGTATATTAGCATTAAGTAATTTGACGTGCGTTATAGCTCTCAAACAAGAACTTGCGCCTGATGTTTTACCTGATCGATCAGAAGTTAAAAACTTCGACCCAAAGAACTTGAAACATGTCGAAACTGTTGAAAAGAACCCAATTCCATCAAAGGACAGTAAGTCTTTCATTCATTTTGTTTTTGCACGGTATTTTGAACATACATATTAACAAGGTCTTTCACCGCATGAAAACTTTGTAATGGCTGGTATTTTGAGCTGTGACAAAACTATTTTGTACATTCCAAGCAATCGATGAGGAAAAGAAGAATAAACCATTTGAAGGCGTGAAAATTTACGATAAAACAAGACTTCAACATGTTGAAACAAACGTTAAAAACCAGCTCCCATCTAGCCAAGGTGGGTATTGATTTCCTTTAGCTAATATTTTTATATTGTCTTTTGTTTTGGATTTTGCGCTGTTTAAAGATTATTAAGCCAACGGGACTGCGTCATGGTTGGTGAGGTATAAAATTGGCAAAAAATGTAAATTGCATATACTTTCTGCTGTTTCCTGGTTAAAAGCATTTGAATGAAATCAAAATGTACATAAATTTCCGATGTTTCGAGTTTAAAAACGTATTTGATGGTTTGACTTATGCAATTCTATGAATCGACACTCAATTTTACATTATACCGTATTTTAATTTTAAATCTTAAAAGATGCAAGTATTCCAACTATGAAAGATGTTTAGAGATTTTTACTTGCTTACCTACTGGCATATTGTTTATCTATAAAGCAATTGTATGGTGTTTAGACCACAATTTCTTCAACAAAGGTTTGAATAATTTTGGTGGGTAAGTTCCTACTTAAAGTTCAGTGATAGAAAATGCGATTGTGTTCATATTGAGGCCAATATAGGTGAAAAGAAACCCTTTTCCTTCTTTTTATATTGACTCTTTCCAGATATGTCAGCTTTGATCAGGAAATATTCTACAATAGGTTTTCTAACATGATTGGTTGAAGTTTGAAAATGCATTTTGGTGCTGTCGGGATGTGCCCACCTCCTGACATATATCTGTCTATGCTAGATCAATCGTATTCATTTGTTTAAACCAAATTATGCCAGCTCATCTTGTTGTGCAATGATTATATGATACAATCTGATGTGAGACTTGTCATTTTGGCTGAAACTTTGAGAATTTGAATATTGTTTCTATGAAAACTTCCTGTTGTTTCCTAAGCTTGTTTTCCCCACCTACCAAAACAAGTTGGCATGCAAGAACCATGTGTTGAATGTGGACATATGTGGGTTATAGAACATGTGTTATTTCTGACAACATATGGAATATATTTTAATTAAACAAGTGCTTTGGAATAGTTTAGCAGATCAAGTAACAAGCCAGGAGCAAGTGATTTTAAATGGATTTTAATCCAACACATGTTCAAAGATAGGGTGTAATTTTTTTACAGTCATGAAGTGAATTATAGTTGAGCCAATTATTATACGGATTAAAAGTTCAAATATTCATGTGTATAAATAAAGGTTTATTTAGCTTAAAATTGTCTTACTTACATATAGTTTTAAAAGTAGTCTTTCTATGTATCTTTTGAAGAGATATATTTAATATTGCAATAGCAAAATATATAAAAAATGATTGATGCATAGTATCACAGACATATAATTTATTTTCAGATGTTTATCAAGAAATGAAGAATGCTGCTGATGATTTGCCAGATCGCTCTGAGGTCGCGTCATTTGATCATACAAAGCTAAAACATGTTGAAACAACAGAGAAGAATGTTCTGCCGGACAAATCAAGTAAGTAGTTTTCAAACATTTCCTTGTTTGTATTTGAACCTAAGATTACCCCTGGACACACCTACTTTCAGGGGGGGAGAATCTCCCTTTATACTCAACAGGAAATAAATGATATAAAGTTGCAAAGTATGCACCCAGCTAGGAAAGATTTGGAATGCATTCTAATCTAAAATTTACCAATATTTGCAAGGGTTAGGATAATATTTGTTGGAAGCTAGCTGTATTCTTGTTATTGTATTAAAATTCTTTTAATTCTCAGCAATTCAAGAGGAAAAGATTGATTCACGTGCAGAGGTGAAAGAATTCAGTAAGGATAAATTGAAACATGTCGACACAGTGGAAAAGAACAAACTACCAAGTGCTGGAGGTAATTTCAAGTGTAAATTGTATCTTCAATGTTTCCATCATCTTCATAAGACAACACTTATTTCAATTCTCTTAACAGCTAAAACTATTGGGTATATCTGTAGAATATTTATTACATTTCATTGATTGTTATGTAGATCTAGTGGCAGCAAGAATGCCAAAGGTTAAGCCAGACAGATCTGAGGTGACCACATTTGATAAAGACAATTTGAAACATGTCAACACAACAGAGAAATCTGTGTTACCTGATCAAAAAGGTACAGTATGAAGTGTATACAAAGTAGGCCTGTAAGGTTAAAGAGGAATAGCTTTTGCAAGACAAGTTTGATTGTTAATTTTGTTGTATTCCTTTAGCTATCAAAGAGGAGTTGGTTGAATCAAGAGCTGAGGTCAAGAGTTTCGATAAAAGTAGTTTGAAACATGTTGATACGGTTGAAAAAAATCCACTACCAGATGCTGGAAGTATGTTCCCTTGACATTGCTTAATGACATCCCTCTTTATTAAGATCCTCTCTGAAGATGTCCTTAAAAAACTAGCCCAATTTAAGAATGATCCTCTCTGAAGACCTCCCCCTAATGATACCTTATTCTTTGAATACCTCTCTCTAATGATCCCAGCCTTTCTCTGAAAACTTCCCTTTAATTATCCCAGCTTTTCTTTTTAATGAATTCAATCCTCTCTGAATGCTTTTGCTCTATTTGTTAATGACTCTCTTATTACCATAGCATTAGCAGAAGCTCTTCGACCAAATGAGCTTCCAGACAGATCAGCGGTCACTTCTTTCTCAAAAGAAAACCTTAAAAAAGTCCAAACAACCGAAAAGAACGTCATACCAAATAAAGATGGTATGACATGATTTATTCTGTGTAGTAATGTCCATTCTTCATCTTGTGAGAGTAAGCATTTCATGTTCTCAAATGTTTCTCCTTTTCATGTAAATTCTTCAGCAATTCGAGAAGAACTTGTCAACTCAAGAGCGGAGGTGAAATCGTTTGACAAATCTAAACTACAACATGTTGAAACTCAAGAGAAGAATCCTCTGCCGGATGCTCAGTGTGAGTTTATATTTATTAGTGGTTTAATTTTTTGTTAAATGTTCATTTAACCCTGAATCAATAAGAGAAGATTCTAAGGCTAGTTTCCACTCAGGAAAAATCTCCTTTGCATCGGAACGGACGGGAAAATTTCCTTTATCCGTGAGTTCTCAGGCGGCGTTTATACAAAGGAAACTTTCCTGTCCTGTCCGATCCCAAGGAGAATTTTCCTGAGTGGAAACTAGCCTTTGCTGGACTTCTTGAAAGAACAGTTTAGAACTGATAAAACACCCAACGTACAAAACATCTATCTCTTTATTTTAGCGATTGCTCAGGAGAAATCAGCTTCGTAAATGTGAACTTTTATGTAACTGTCGAGTTTCCTATGCCAGCTTCGAATAACGGGTAAACATTTGATATTGTACTTGTGATTAAGAAAACAAGGAACTGTTTTAATACATAAGCGAGTTAGTTGTTGTCACTATTCTGTATCTTCCGCTAGTAGATATATGAAATAATTTGGAATAGAAAAAAACATAGATTATGTAGTGTTTTATGGATGCAATTTAGTACATTACATGTAAAATTTACTTGATCGGGCTGTGTGATTCCTTGTTGTCTGAGCAGTATGACGATTTTTGAGAAAACGATAATTTCTAGTCTAATATGCCTAAAATGACTGTACTGAAGGATGGAGTTGGAGGCGTCATTGAGGAACAGAAACGATAAACATGCGGAAACAGTGGTTAGGTAAAGAACTAACAGCAACAAATTTGTGAAGGTCGAATATACCATCGGTATTTGGTATACCCAACCTGGATAATAAAAAATAGGGAAAGTCGAATATACTGGTGTTATATTTGACTGGGGTAAAATATTGATTCCATGACATTTGAGGCCAGTTTTTTATCTTCAATCAAAGAAGAAGGATAACAATTCAACATGCCCTGAGAGAAAGAACGGAATGAAAAAGATTAAAACGCGAATATTGTGAAATTCAACGTGACAAGCCAAAGTCGGAAATCTTAGGTGGGCTCAGCCTGGGGCTTTGTATCAAACTGAAAATAAATAAGCCAGCGTTCTTTCTCGAGTATGAAAGAAAGAACCCCGTTCACAATTTAACAAAACGTCCATCAGTCGTTTTGCAGATCGGGATTCTATTAATCACCTTAAACATGCAAAAGAAATTTGCAAAACATATTTCTCTGAGACTGCAAAACTTTGTTTGGCTAATTTATTCCCGAGAAATCTGAGCAAAACTGGATTTTTTTGACCAAACACATTTAGTTTGTAATCTTGGTATGCCGACCATCCTCCAGTCTCGATATAGAGCTCAGTGGTCCTGAGGAACAAATCCAATATGGCGGCCATCGTGCGACAATGTGCAAGAGTTTCCTTGCGAAGTTTAACTGCGTTATCGTTGCGTTCTTGTCAATCTAAGCCAGCTGTTTTATCTCCATTGTTGAGACGAAACCTTAAAGTTGAATGGAAGGTTGATTTAAGTCCTAAATATTTCTGTAGTTATTCACAAAGTATTGTTGAAGATGGTAACCCGAACTCCGGGACCACAAGTGGTCAGTCAAGGGAAATTGAAGTTGGGACTTTAACAAGCGAAAGCGATGATTCGGAATTGATAAGCGGCTCATCGAATGACCTGCATCGTATATCTCAGCGTCTTGGTTCTGTCAAACATGAAGAAACCTTACTTCAAGCTTTTCAAGTTATTAAGAATGCTGAAGGTAATTATTATTCATATTTTGCAATATTTTTTGATTTTGTATATTGATGTTTGATTTAATACAGTACTTCTATTATCTACTTTTTGTCAGGATACTGTACCAAATACATAAGTCAAATCTCTCTTCATAGTCAGAGACATTGATAGCACAATTACAATTGGGGAGGGTATGGGCTGGCCCAGGGCCATATTGACATTCAACCATGGTCACATTGGCCAATTCTAGGATCTTCAGGAATGACGACAGATTCCTATTTATTTACTTACATGAGAGAAGATTGTGATTTTTTGCATCTCGCTGGAAAAAACCTTTTTCCTGTTATATAGAAAGAGATGTACCACCTTTATTGCTCTATCAATTAATCAGAAACTGTGGAAATCAACTGTTCACCTCCATGCCTAAAAAACGAACGAAACTTGTAAAACGATTCTGGTCAGAACTTAAAGAAAAAGGTATCTTTGCTTTCTTCTTTAAAAAATTACATCTGGAACCAGATTATTTAATTTTATCTGGACAATACTAATGTTGTTTCTGAGTATTTTTTTTAACAAACAATATTTACAAGGTATCCAATTTGATGTGAGTCATTACAATGTATTGCTGTCTGTGTATCTTCAAAATCATCATTCCTTCAGTCCTCTTGAAATCCTGGAAGAGATGAAGAGCAGTAATGTGGAACCAAATCAAGTAAACATTTTTTTCTATTAAATAATTTCTATTAATTTGTTAAAGCCACAGAAATGAATCCATTTTTATTTTGTTATTTATTATTTATTCATTTTCAGACAACCTTGGTGCTATTCATTCAAGCTTTTTGTGAAAAAGGAGATATGGTTGGTTCACTGTAAGTATATGTATTGTGAATATTAGGTTTTAAACCAATTGGAACATATCCACCCTCTTTGTTGTTCGTTATGAATAGTGAAATGTTGGGGATGATGAAAACTTTGGATATTCCAGTCACTGAAGCAGTTTATGCATCACTTATTACTGGTTACAGCCGAAGTGGGTGAGTATTTGCCTGACGGTTTCCAAGCTAGTTGGCATTGTTTATTACAAGACCAATGCTATTATTACAATTGTATTTTTTTTCATTCAATTCCAGTGACATGGAAAGTGCCCTTGGCATCATTGAAACAATGAGGTATGTATGATTGTTTGAAAACTCCAAATTATCCTGTTTTGTTGTTGTAGTTATATATGACCTTCACTGGTGAATTCTTGAACATTATTTAGAGAAAATGGTTTAGAACCAGGCATGGATACCTACATGGCTTTGTTAACTGCATACAGTGAATCTGGGGATCTGGAAAATATAAAGAAGGTTATTTTTCCTACTTAATTTCATCTCAGCCTTCCAGAACTTTTTCAACACAAGTTTGACCTTATCTTGTATGTTGTACTTCAGGTTGTTGCTGAATTAACTGAAAAGAAAGGAATGTTTCCAGCTGGAGTATCAATGGCCATTGTGGAAGCTTTAGCAAGAGCAAAGCATTATAATATTATTCAAGAGGTAGTTCAATGAGAAAAAAACATTGTGTATAGGATGCTGGAAGTTAAAGCTAGTTTTCTAACAACATTTATTTTGTATTTTTAACAATTGAAATAAACTTTTTTTCAGGTTTTGAATGTAATAAACATAAATCAGTCTGTGTTTAACAGTGGTAAGTGGGGAAGTGTATTCAAGTGTTTTTTAAAATTTTCCTGATGTGTCAACTGTTTGTGAATATTTTTTTCTTAAGAATTAATAAACGTCCTGAAGAACTTAATCGCCAGAGGACTTCATGACAATGCTCTGGAATTACTTAAAGTCTTGCCCAGGAATCAAATGGTTAACAGTGAACAAGTTTTTGTGCCAGAAGTAGAGTTTATGAGACAACTGGTTCTGTCAATACAGGTGCAAAAGACCATATATATGCTTCACTTTGTTCCTTGTTGTTAGTTGTTTAAGTTAATCTCTGTGGGTTCGCAATTTATTTTACTGATTATTAGTAAATTATTCTTACATTTAAGGAGCCCAAGTTGTTAGTTTCTATGTTAAAAAAAGTGGATGAGGCTGGAATTTTGAAGTCTCCTTATGAACTGTCTTTAAACTTCAGTTTTGGGAAGCATGACAGAGGTAATATTCTGGATATTTTTTCATTGAATTACCAACCAACAAATGTTCTTATTCTATGATTAAAATTTCTTGCAGCTCTGAGCTTAGCAATAATTGAAGCTATGACTTGGAAGGTATAATTTAAATCCGTCATTCCACCAATAATTTTTTTACACAAATAATCGGAAGGATCTGTTGTTTTAGGGTTTGATAGTTCGCCCACATTATTTCTATCCAATGATGGTTGATGCAATCAAGAATGATGATGGCAAAGGTAATTATTTCAATTTGCAGATATTGCCAGATAAGAAAGATCATTTCTTCATCAATAACTGCTTTTGTCCGCTTCATTTTCAGGTGCATTGGAAACTCTCACATTTATAAGACAGAGAAACTTACGGTTGGATAATAATCTGTAAGTTTTACCATTCATTCTGTTGACACCTTTTACCTGAATCATTGACAACAAAAACAATGTGCAACAACTTTATGCTCTTCATTTCTCATTGACAATTGCACAGAATTTATTATGGAAAGAAAGCTCTTAAATGGGAAAATAAAAGTCCACAAGATGTGATGACATCATTGCAGGTAAAAAATTATGCTTCTTTGATACATTTTGAACAATGAAAATGCAATGAAACCTTCTGCACAACTACATACCATACAGTGTGTAACATGATTGAGAAACAGCAAGATTTTTAAAAAAATGAAAAATTTTGGTCAATGTACAATCAAATAAAGTTCTTCATTTAACGTGTTTAGAATATTGAGGAAGCCTCAATGTCATATCAGAGCAAGGTGACAGCATTGCATCTCTTCACTGATAGACTGGACTTGGAAGGGATTAAGAAGTTGAGTAAGTTTATTTCATCTTAAATTATAATAATCACACACTGCAGAGGAAAAGATTAAACGTGAACCCTGGTTTATCTTGTTGTAGTTGACGCAAGTGGCGATGTTGTCGAGGATGAAGCTCTTGTTCCATGTCTTGAATTGTTGATTAAACGGTTCGCAAAACACAACGAGATTTCAAATCACTTTTAACTATAATCTTTTCATTTCATCCCGAAACTCGATTTTTTCCAATATTTTAGGGACGACAGAGCTGAAGATGCTGTTGAGGTTTGTTATTTTATCATAGTCAAATCTCAGCCACAATTGACTAGACTTTATACTTCATAACCACTTCACGCTTATTTCTTCATGATTTTTTCCTTTCTGTTATATTTCAGGCAATTTTATACGCAGAAAAGAAAGGAATGGATGTTGGTAAGTCCGAGTATAGTTTATTGCTTAGGCTCGGAATTGACGTTGATTTTTTATATCGTTTGGTTCTCACTGGCTTCGGTAATTTATCTTCTTTTTAGAGAACTGTGTGCACACGTTGATCAACAGAATTTCTCGAACAAGAAGCGCCTCTCGTAAACTTATTGGTTTCATGGAAGCGTTGTTTGAAAAGGTTTGTGAAATCATTCGTTCTCTAGTTTGCATTCTGATTGATACAATACACTCTTCGCCTGGCTGTACGAAGTTCAACCTTACCTCAAGTGAATGTGGAGATATTTCTTACCTCCAGTTTAAACTTATCAGACAAGCACTGTTACATTGAATATTTTCACTCGCTCACGCTGGGATCTATTTCAGAATGTAAATGCTGGTTCGAGGGTATTCTCCCGTGTTTTATCAGCTCTCACTAAAGATGACACAACGGATGAATTTTTCGAGGTAAATCTCTCATGAAAATAACTATTTACTGCGAGTATGAGTTGAGAATGACGTACGACGAGGCATCAGAGTCACTTGCTGTGGAGAAAGTAACTTGATTTATTTTCATCTGGTAAAGTTTTCGTTTTTTTTCTTGCAGTTTTTACGCATTTTAAAACGAAATAATGTGGAACCAGATGCGAGCAGTTATCGTGAGATACTGAAGGTACAAATAGTTAAATTATTGAAATATTCGTTAAGATATTTTCATTTAAAATACCTTCATGCTTTGTTGTAGAAATCGTCAAACATGGGGAGGAGAGAAGCTGCAGAATTTGCATTCAATGTAGTAAATGTAAGTTAGATAAGTGTACCGCATTTGAGTTCTCTTCCGGTGAGATTATGCAATGCAATCTTAGATCATCTTTCACGAAGGAATAGGATACAAAATAATAGTTCATTCAATCGCATCCAGGACTCGTTTCCAGACGATCCAGCCGCTTATTCCTATCTTCTCTTGGCGTATGCTAAGAATAACGTTGGAAATCTTGGTTTCACGACTGATTTTAAGGTAGGCATCAATCTTTTCACGATCCATGCAAGGATCGTGGTAATTGACAGTGAATCATACTCATTTATCATAATCTTGATATTCTTTAACGATCCGCTGCAGAACCGAGTGAGAATTACAGCGATTTTTGATGACATGGTTGAAAAGGGTCTTAAGTAAGTTGTTGAGATATTTCATCCCCTCGAGGGCAGCCTGAGTCTTGCCTGAACGCTTGCAATAAGGAGCTTGCTAACGCATAGCTATCCTTGAGTTTTCAGTCCCAGAAACGATGCAGTAGTGGTGTAGTTAACCTGTTTTGTCCATTTCATTCATAGACCGTTCGATGCTGCGGTATCACACGCCATCATTGCTCATTTGATGAAAGGAAACATCGAAATGGCTGACAAAATCAAGGAGTATGTGAACAATTTGATTGGTTGTCGTCGGACCACATGACCTAACCATCTCTCGCATGATTTTCTTTCAGAAAACACGGAACGGGAAGCAGAGCCTTTGTAGTTTATTCTCAGTATCTGAGATTCTTTGCAAAGAAAGGCGATGTTCACAGTAAGTTCCTTGAGTTAAAAATGTCCTCCATATCACCAGGATAAGTTCATCATTTTGAATGTCCTTCTCTCTTCCAGATTCCGAGAGAATTATTGCTGAAATGAAAGAGATGGATAATGAAATGTCCTCTTATACTTATAATTATCTTTTACAAGCTTACAGAAAACATGGTATGCGACCACTGTGTCTATAGTTTCTGTCGACTGTGCACAATGCTATATATCCAATTTCATTTCCAACTATTCCATACATCCCCTCTTCCATCCCTGCATACTTGCATCGAGGGTACAGTAATGCATGAAGGTGTAATGGGGAATTGTCTCAAACGTCAAAAGCTGACAATTCTTTTTTTTTCCTAAGGAAATGTTGAAAAGATCAAGGAACTTCTTCAAGAAATGAAGTCAAAAAACATTGAAAATATATTTTTGAACTACAGCGAGTTAATGATGGCTCAACTGAAGTGGTGGGTATAATATATTCAAGCTTCTATCTGCACATACAGAATTTCAAGTTGTATATGGCATTCCGCTATAAGATCTATTTATTTGCATGTTAATCAGGAGTGATACTGATGGAGCATGGGCGATATACCAGGAAGAATGCAAACCTCTTGAGAAGTTTCCCATTCATTCCTGCTGTGTTCATCTCATGAGGGAACTGGGTTCTAAGAAGGACATCACCAAGTTAGATGAATGTAAGTTGTGGAAGGTTGTATTATGTGTTTACTCCAAGTCCTGGGCATGTGCATGCATGCAGGATCATTGTTTTGAAACTGACATTAATATATATGTTGATATTGATGATTTTGAAACTCGTGAATAACGTGTGTGTGTGTGACTCGTTTGTTTTCTCGTGGTTTAGTCTCAAACGATATCACAAAGTCCAAATCTTTGCCTGAACAAGAAAAGAACAAGATGCGACATGGTTTAGTTGTTGCGTATTTAGATGCTGGTGCCGAAGACAAAGTTGACGAGATTGTTCAAGTGAGTGAACATGGTTGAGCTCGGCTGAAAATCAGGTCGTTTGTCTTTCATGAAACCACTGATATACTTGTGTTCTTATTTTCTAGAAAGATGATTTTAAACACGATTTTTACCATTATAAAGGCATCGCAAGGAACGCTGCGGGTCTGGGCAAGGTGAGCTTAGTTTTTATTGCAAAACTGGCATTTTTAATATGTATAACTTGATCGAAAGTTTGTAACTCTACGTCAGGGCGGTGTGGCATCATAAATGTGTGTCTCGAACTGTCGATCTCCGCATCAAATTCGTTGGGGGTCTGGTGATAGATCCTGAATTTGTTCAACACATACTGGGAACTCTCAAGTCTTTGCAAACAAGAGCTGGGAGAGATTTTCACTGATGAGGATAAAATTTTTGTTTTTTACAGGTTGAATTAATTCGGAGTTTAATCGCGTTCCTCGAGGATCAAGGATTGAAACCAAGAAGCTTATACGAACCTCTTTTATATGCATACGGTAAGAATTTCCTTTTTGATCTGTCGACAAAGAATTTTCTAAAGATCGTCTCAAGAGTGTTTATATGTGAATGAATCCCTTTCCCTCGCATCCAGGATTAAGTCTTGAGGTAGATAGAATAATAACCAATCGTTTGCGTCGCCTCTCAGTTTGAGAACAATAAAACTTTTAGTGTTTGGAACATGGAGTAGGACTTGAAGCGACTGATTTGAAATTATGATGATAAAAATCAAAAATTGGTGCACGAGAGACTCGTGGCACAGAGATGGACGGGCTAACTGGCGGACTGACTGACACACAAGGGATTGTGATCATTGGCAGGGTCTCCGGGTTTTTCTCGTTCACTCGTATTCTCATTTTGTTTTACGTTGTCTACTTCATGACAGGCAAGAAAAACGACATGAATGGTGCCTACGCTCTCAGGGATGAGATCATTGCCAAAGGTGAAGTACAAAGTCCAGTGTTTATCCAGTTGTTTGAAACATTGGCTGAAAAGTGGAAGCAAGATGTGAACACCTCAAAGGATTCCAACCAACCTGAGAACGTGAGTTAATCATTTACTTTGTTTATAAGATATTAGAAACTGCGCTAGAGAAATTGGGTTTTACGACTGAACGACACATGTCTCCCCCATGCAAAAGGGCAATGCATAAAAACTATTCAAGATTTCACTGTTCTGCTTAAATTCCTGCGCGAACTTTGCGATGTTTTAAAAATGGCGGACCGAATAAATTAATTCTGTGCGCTGCGCGATGTATTCGAAATGGCGGCCCGAATGATTTTATCCAGTTAATTTTTTGAGATCAGTACGTACCATTCACATTTTGAAATGATGTAAAAAATGGTGTCCAATGATCCTGATGGCTTGAACGATGTGGAGCTCTGTGCTTTGAATGTGTCGCGTTCTCGTCATGATGATATAACAGCTGGCATGGAAGACATCGAAAGATCAGTGAGGTTAGCTCGAATGTCCGCTGTTCTCTCGGACGAAGACGTAAATCAACTAATGCTCTTTCAAAAGCGTTGTAAACATCACTGGCGATCGCTTTACTTTCAAAAAAATCCTACAAACGTTCAAATTAAAATGAAAGTCCATTTAAGAAAGAGAGGAATGACATATTATGCAGAGGAGTTTTTGGACGATGCCGATGGCAATTGAAAATAAAGTTGAGGAACTTTAAACATCAGAATCGAGGCCTGAAATTCAATCAATAGGACGAAGAACAGTGGACAATGTTTCCTTTTTTCACAGCGCTTTCACGGGGATTTTTTTTGTGGTCTGTCAGCAGAATTTCAAGAATATTATATATTCACATGCATCACTGTATATTAACTGTAAATATTGAATTCGCATTTTTATTAAAAAGAATATATAGGAAATTTGTATAAACTGTATTTATAAAGGAATTTGTAATGATGACACAGTGTATTGTGAAAAGCCATGATAAGAGACCTCTTGCTGGGAGACAACCAACGAAATTACCATATTTTACAGTACAATGATTTAGTTCTCATGAACGTGAGAAAAACATTTTGTAAGAATGAAGAGTAGCTTTCTGCTTCTCTCTTTTAAAAATCTTTGCGTTTTAAAATAAGGCATGACCTTGGTTTAAAATCTTGAGAGAATTGGTAAGATTTTTCGGTACACCAGACAATGAAGACCAGTATATATTTGCGGTCAATCCTTCATACAAGATATAGATTGATATACATAGAATGTATCTTCTTGCTGCCAAAATTGTTTAGTTCAGGTATTTTTTGTAAATTTTTGAAATTTTATTCCAGGCGGTAATCTCTTTGTTACAAGATAAGAATTAAGTGTATTTGATTTATTTTGCCAATTTTTTGTCTGGGTTGGTTCATAAGCTGAGGAAATGATTTCACAAGGCTCAGGTCAAGTTCAACATAAGTTCGTTATGTCAAACAATGAGAAACGGAGAGACAATATCGTTGGGTTTGTTTTTTACTTAAGTATAATCGTAGGCCGATAGGAAATTTCCTTGCAATAATTTAACGTTTAATTTTAATATGAGGTCACGTCTTTGTTCCTGTACCAGGCACTTGAATGCCGGTGGAATATTTAATGCCAAGATAATTACTTTATTTGAACACAGTCTTAATTTCACTGCATGCATGATGTCCCAAAATATGTACTTTCAATTGCATCATTTCAACATTGTCACACCACAAGATGAATGTGTAAACAATAACCATTTTTAATTCATGGTAGGCTGTAATTTCTAATCGCAAAGCATTGCTTTATGGGTAGATTAAGTGAGTATGCAATCATTTTGCACGTGTTCATGTATTTTTTATAAAAGTCGATCTCAAGTTTCGAAATCTTGTACATTGAAACCTAAGATTGACAGCGAGTGAGTCGCTTGGAGCATTAGAAATTTATAAGGACAATATAACAATTGAAATTGGCATTCGTTCAGACAATACAAAGTCATGACCTTGCAACATAGGAAGGAAATTGCGTCATGGTTTTAGGGTGAAACACCTCACCACCGACACCACGCACACTATCAATATGCCCATGTTTGCATGTTGAGTTGTAGTTACATGAAATAGTCACCTCGTGGTTTGCTGGCTGGCATCCTTGCAATTGCATACCTACGATGGTATTCACCAAGTATTTTCAGCGCAATCCATTGCAATTTACTCTTTGAATACCAGCTACTCTGAGCGCTCTCACGTTGAGAAGAACCGACATCACCCAATTACCAAATTATCCTCATCGTAACATTGCAAGCTGTAACAGTTATTTGAAATCAAAGTTCAACTTGATATTTGGTATTTTAAGTCATCGTTTCATTGAATAACTTCATGCACAAGATTAAAAGAATGTAAACACATTTAATTAATTTCATCTGTAAAAACGTTCCTGAATATCCTGTGTGGGGGCGAGACATTGATTTGTTAATTGTCGCTCCGCCTTTGTTTTCTTCACATTTTTGAGGGACCATCTCGAACAACATAAAGCTTTTCGTAGCGACGCGATGGCTGTCAACGCCGCCGTTGAAGGCGTAGACAATTAATGCTGAATGTCAGCATGTTGGAGCAATGCTAGGAAAGATATCAGAAAAAGAAATTTACATGCAGTACTCGAGATATAACTTGAAAAGAGTGCATTACAATAAGCTAGGCAGACCTGTACCAGATATCACCTGACTGAGCTTGTGTTAAAATTGAAAGTCGTCACACTACGCCTTATTTAATTAGCACAAGATTTCCGAGTGAAACTGCATGTAATGACACATTTTAGACGTAGAATTGAATATCTTTGAAAATGCCGCAGCATGCTTTGCAAACAATTATTGTTCAGAGTTACATTGTCATTCATGACTGAGGCATGATGTAAAGCATGCATTTCAGAGATACACTGACGTCCATTTAAAACACTCAACTAAATTGTATATTCTTTCATTCCACTGTATAAATATTTATATCAAAATTGCCCACCGGATACACTCAACTTGTCAAGTCATGGGCAAAGTCCATACTTGAAAAATCATCGTGAAAAATACAAATTTATATTGCTAGAATTCAATCCAGCTTATATCGATGACCCGTGTCATGTGTTCTTATAGGTTTGTCATCACTGATAGTCCAGGAACAGTAATTTTCACAAATATTTATATTCGACATTCAAGATTGACATTGATTTCTCGTAAAGATTTACGCATTTGCAATGTTAAACTATCGTTTTTCATCTCACATGTTTGTGGTTCATGGAGTTTACGTCTTTCTTTGCCACGCTTGCATACATTGTGCGTCAATATTGCTCTATAGTAAACATCGTGGTCATACAGTATAGGAATAAGATAAGCTAAAGTTTGCTAATAGATAATATAACCAGATAAGTCAGGGTTATATCGCTTCATATAAACCGCACTCAAATATTGTCTAGAGGCGCCAGTTTGCTTTGTAGCGTTATTTAATATTTACAACAAGCTTAAGGTAACTTATTGATATAGTTGAGGTAAAACTAAGAAGGGTCATCTCTGATTAGATACTGGTTATTGTACATCTTGCCGACTGATGCCAAGCGAATGTTTGATTTCATCGCAGATATGCGAAATGTAACATACGTGATGAAACAATCGACTCGTTTAGACAAGAGAACGTCAACTTCTATAAAGTTACGTGCTACTAGTGACGTCCAGGCCCCCACGTACGGTTATCGTTCAATACACCACAATTTCTCTTCACTCAAACCTGCACGTTTTGCCACGCTGTATCAGTTTCCTACTAATGAAATGGGAGGTTGAAAACACGCTATAAAATTAAGTTATTTGTAAATTCAGTTTTAGTTCGATGAATTGTTTAAATTAGGCTTGGTTAAGAGTGAGATAGTTACATGCACCAAATAAAACCATCCACTTTCTACCTCAATAAATACATGATTTAGCTAATTTTCTACTAGCTTTTGTCCATTCCAGCATCGCCTCATGATAACTGATAGTTTACAACTGAAACTGCGATCTATCCCAATCATATAAAATGATATTGCTTCATTTGGGAAGAAACGAGGTATTCTCGTTTGATATATGTATTCGTAAGCATTCATTTTGAAGTTCTTAGTGGAACTTCGGACTGTGAAGATATCCCAGTGTGTTCTTCATAACACTAGCTGCTTGTATAAACAAGATGTAACTCTAATATCTGTTGATATTGGTCATGCAGTTTGTTAGTTTAAAATCAAGTCAAAGCAAGGATGCGTGTATATGTTAGTCTGACTCATTATGTGTGGTTAGTTTGTTGCCGTGTTCGGAAAGAGATATTGACTTAGGTAATATTTGCATCTTCCCTAAAACCACACGATGTGAATATTTAATAAGTTTTTAAATGTTTCACGAGATTTCCTCCCCTCAATTCATGCTAATTATTCTTATCCTCCAACGCAAAATCGTCGACTGTTTCAGAAGTATTTAATATGCCGTTCCTTAAACACAATGAAAAATTTGCCGACTAAATATGTCTGTTCATATAACGAGTCATTAAAGTAAACCCGCGGTCCGTGGCAAAGGGGAATGTTTGTTTACCTGGCCTCATGAAAAAATCAAATATTTTCCGTCTTGTTTAAAAATTTCGTTTTGTTTTATTAATCTTTGTTAGCTCTATAAACACTGTCGCCTTTCTGAATTTTTGTTTGAACTTATTTCACAGCGAAAGTTCTTTCAGATCTCACTGTTTGGCAATTTTTTTTCGTTGGTTTTATAATCGTCAAATCCCATTTGTGGTGTTTAATCGTTTCATTAAATTATGCAGTAGTTTGTTATTGTCTTCCCCATAGTAAGCCTCTATCGCACAGCAACAACTATTTAGAAAGAATATGCCTTTGTTAAGCAAGAACCAGAAAAAAATTAAGAGATTTTATTTAATTTTTTTGATCGTATATACGTGCATAAGTCGTTGCTTATCGTTATTATAGTGTCCTTTGATGATGTTTGAAACCGCCCGTAACTGAATTGATATTATCTGCATGTAAACGTTATTTAATACGTGTTTACTAGTATTTTGTTCATTCCCATTCATTTCTAATTTTAAATGATGTTATTGATGCATGTTTTTCTGTGTGCATGAAGACCTTGTGAAATACTTGATTATGTTGTCTGTCAGCGACTGCTGAGACCAGGATGTATGGACTGTGAGCATTACGTTTAAAATAGCCCAGGTTCGTTTATATTGACTATACTTGGAAAAGGCAAAGAAAACATTCGCGTTCTGAGCAAAGATCCTTTGTCCGGCAGAAGTCATTAGAGATGGCAGACCGTCGTTGTTCAAAACGTGCACGAAATGTTTCTTGAGGGTCTTTTTATTACGCGAAGCTATGTTTATATGAAAGTCGGTGCTTTTATGATCTAAACCATTCATTATGACATTATGGCATTCAACGTTGCGCAAACCCTTTTTCGAATTCCATGTCAGTTTTGCGTGGGGGTTAGACTGACGGCAATATACAGCAAAGCAGGTTCTAGTCCAATTTTAGCCTTATATTATGCAAGCTGTCATATCACGTAGCTAGCATTCTAACTTCACGTGGGGGGCACTAAATGGCTTGTGTAAATCTAATGTGTTTGAGCGCTGATGAGTGAATAAAGTTTACACAAGACTGCAGTTAAGTTCTCCCAGTCTGTGGTCGTCTTGGCAAACAACACACAAACGATGTTTATAATTGAAGTAATTAACTTGCGATTTAAACATTTCAATTCTTTCTTGGTCGCCTACCGTTTGGTTATTTTACTGTTTTAATGATGGGTCAATGGTCTCGATGTTTAAATTTCTGTGAGGTTAATTGTGATGCATTTCTCTTCAATGGTTACTGGTGTGTTTGAGATATTGTCACAGATGGTGGTCAAATTTAAAATTAACCATCGTCGAAGTGAAATATTTTTCTGATAATTCCACTTCGTCGTCATTTTCGACACAGGTGCCCTCATGCAAATCAATTCGTGCTTTAACAACATCGTGACGGAAACACGAAGCAACTAAAATAAATGGTAATTTGTATTTTCACGAGAGATCGCATTTCGCAGCGGAAATAGGAAGGCTTGAACGAATAGTTTAAATTAAGCTTTACCGCTTTCGTTGTTATGATTAAAACAATTTGCTTAGAATAACATTAACCTTCTTAGTTACGGCTTTTTACACACAATACCCTGTTACGAAATAAGGAAATTAAAAATCACAAAAGCGCCGTGACAAAGAGTACAATAGAATTTAATAAGCACACTTGACTTAAGACTAACCACGACACATCTCTCGTTTTATTAACTTTCATAATAATGCTTTCATGATTCGATAAATATTGCTATGTAGGATAGAAAGCTTTAGAGAAATCGTTGTGTGTGGGTTACGGTCAAACAAAAAGAAAATATCTTGACAAAAGCTTGTATAGGATTTGCCATGGCTATATATATATATATACGATTATGTTCATATCCGTTTTCTGTTGAAGTTTTTTTCTTGCTTATACTTTCAATGTTTCGAGTTGAAATCTTAGGTTCAATGTAGGACTGAATTCTATCCATTTGAAATGCACATCAGCCGTGAAAATAACCTGCAACAGCCGTGAAGCAAGTGACATAATCTGTCTACTTACGTTCGCTTGAATTGTCAACAAATTCGTGTCTGTTTAACAAGACTTGGGAAGATTGCAAACACATGCATAGATTTGTCTAAACGATTTACGTGCCCATCTATAAATTGAACAAATGTTAGACTACTAATATATGAAACTATGACCGTTCAGTATATGTATATACGTGTGTTTTTGTGTGAACGAGGTCCATGACTTGATCTTTAGTGCATTTGTATTCCTTAACTGATCTCTGTCCCACGATACCTGTCTCCAACTTAAGCAAATGTTAAACTACCAATATTTAAGGCTTTATGGCATTTCTGTAAACTGGATTATTGATACATACATATTGCTAGTATTATGTACAAAGTAAACCAGTAAATATATTGATGTCTCAGGATTTACAGACCATGTATTTTATAGCTTGAGCAAATGTTAGACAACCCATATGTAAAGCTTTAGCAGTTCAGCAAACTTTCATATTGATACATGTATATATTTACTACTATATGCACAGTCCAAACTATAGCTGTATAGTTAAGCTAAACTGCGTGGTAGTATTTCCCTTTGTGTTAAAGTTGTAATATTTTGGTTTCCCAGTGTTCATGACACAAAGAAAAGCGTTACATTCACTGTTTCGACTGAATATCAATTAATTTAACGGGCTGCAGCTCTATTGTTGAGCTCAGAAATATGCTACGTTAATGTACTACGGAGAGGGAATGAACATGGTTGTCCCATGCGAAGATATCAGCTTAAATTAACACTTCAGTAAAACAGAGCTTGATTTGATGTGTGTATCTGGTTTTGGTTTTTGTTCTGTTAATCGTCGTTTTGTTTTAGCGCTGCAGGTGTACTTTTTCACAAGGAAACGAGCTCAAACAAGCTTTAATTGTGCCCTAGTTGTCCACCAATATCTCTGTGCGCTGGTTGGATAAAGGATAGAGCCGAGAAACGCAGCACACCAATTGCAATTGAGAACAATAATTGCGAAATTATACAGCTGCTTACATACATAATAAGAAGAGCTATGATTGACGTCTCAAAACTCGTTAATTAATTGTACATTCCCCGGAAATGAAGATTATTCAAGTCATTGCTTCGACTTCACCACTCCTATACCGCTTCGTTGCCAAACCACGCACGAGTCAAATGATTGAAGCTTGCTTATCGCAAGCATTTCAACCCTCCATACGAGACACGTGCACCTAATTTCCTATCCGTTTACGCTTGACAGAAGTGAAGTGTCGCATTTGGCATTAAAATGGTAATACCTATGATAGGAACGGACAATATTTACTACGAAAGAACACATTTAAGTTGATCGCAAAACATTTATAGCTTTTTCGTAAACAAATTAACAACCAACTGCTTTTGATACTTGAGTCAACTACGAATAACCAGTTTCAACTATAACTTTCAATTTCTCATCAGGCGCCGCTAATCTCGTATTACAAGGAGACCTTTTTAGTTTAAGTTCCGCTCACAGCCTTTGGTATGAAAATCCAATTATAATTTTCCTTTTCCAGTAATTTACTTCGCTTCCTTAGTTACCCACACACACCGCGGATTGCTTTCGCGTGGTTTTTTGAACTCTGCGTTTAACAAAGAAACATTGCGCAAAGCTGCAGCGAACGATAAGAAATTCATCTCAGCGATTGTATGACAGAATGACTTGGCTGGGTTATTTGTTATGTAAATTTAAAGTCTTTGCGACAATAAACAGTGCCAAGTTACAACTAGACAACTGAAAAATGCTGGCCAAATCAACCTCATGATGAAATCACAACAGCCAAAATTGCAGATTTTCATAGAGGATGGGGGACTCGTACAGTTTGAAACGGGTGTCAAAAATTATTAATTAATGCAGGTACCTTGGTGCGACGCGGAGTGGAAGTACAAATAGTTTACAAACAGGTTTCCGATCATATTTATAAGAAAAGTGCGTAAATAACTGATAAACCCTGATAAGTCTGTAGGAAAAAGGTTTTCAACAGAGAACAGTGCACAATATCTGTTAGTTTTGTCGCCTTCTGTAGGAACACTTCAATAACTTCCTCTTACAGTAACACTTGGAATAACCTCAACTGAGTTCAAGAGTAGCGCAGAGCCGATAGATTGACCCTGTATAAATATGACTTGGTGTTGAGGTATAATTTCTAGAGGTCAGCCTCTCGACAGATTAAATATCCATTGGCTTACGATAACAGTTTATTTTCGTGCAAAGTCCTGCTAATTATCCACAGTGTTGATTTGTAGTGTTTCCCAAAGCTCTCGTGACTTAATGTGTGAGATCATTTAAGTTCTCTATTTTCGCCGTTGCTACATATATTCGCAAACCATATTTTCTGATAGACGTTTGATAATGTGGCTTTGGATATTTTAATAAAATGTTTCACCGCGGGTGGCGTGATGTGTCAATAAACGGCAACGCAGTTCGTAGTTCTTTGTGTTCGACAATAAAGGGGGTGTGGCTTATCGACGTTGGTGTTTATCGTTTGGGGTACTAAAACTGAAATTGCTCCAAGGAAGTGCGCGTAGAAAGCGTTGATCGTCGAGCGTGTTAGAGCTAAGAGAAGCTAAGAGCGGCGGGGGTAGATAGTTCAAAATATCAAATCGTACAAGATGATGGAACAAGTGCTGGCTCAGGATTTTGTCACGGATCCACTAGATCCTAAGACGCGGCAAGTCAAAGATAAAGAAAAATCCTTGTCTTCAAGACGGAATTTTACTCACGCGAAGCCGCCGTATAGCTACATTAGCTTAATAACTATGGCCATCCAGCAAAGTCCTAACAAGATGCTAACTTTAAGCGAAATTTATCAATTTATCATGGACTTATTTCCCTACTACAGATCAAATCAACAACGGTGGCAGAATTCGATACGACACAGCTTATCGTTCAATGATTGTTTTGTCAAAGTGCCTCGCTCTCCTGATCGACCTGGAAAAGGTTCATATTGGACCTTGCATCCTGACTGTGGAAATATGTTTGAAAATGGTTGTTATTTGCGCCGGCAGAAACGTTTCAAAGCCGACAAAAAGCCGAATTTAAGTCATCTTGTGAAGCCTGGTCCGTATGTCCCTGGTGTTCCTAAAGTACAAGGTGGAAAGAGTTTCGCCACACCGTCATTCTTAGCGCCAACCCATTACGCTGGATTTAGACCCGGTTTCAATCATCCTTTTGCAATAAAAAACATCATCGCAGACCACGAAATGGAGTTCCGAGGCTACGATGGGATGCATTTCAATCCATATCACACAAGCTCCCTATCTACACCACCTCCTGTGCCGGCTATGAGTCCTATGTCTTCATTCGGTTTGCCGAAAACCTCTCTCGAACCGCCATCTCTGATGACAACCGAAGCAAATCTCAATCCTTATTATCCCTCTTGTGGCTATATCAATACATCCTCGAGCTGTTCCTTGTCTGGTTATTCATAAACATCCTTAAAACTTTAAATTTGAAACGTAATTTCGACCACTAATCCTGAATAGAATCGTCAATTTATGAGCTCGCCTGCGAAGGAACATGCATTTAACCTCGATTGAACTCAAAGAAGAAAGTTGATACGAACTCAAATGTCTTGTATTAAAGCGATCTGAACGTTATAAATTTGTTTGTAATATAATATTAGAAATGTCCAGCAAGTTTAGTTTGTAAATTTGTGTAAATTCGATGGGAAAATTGCGCTCGAATGGAGCAGGGAGATATTATGATAGCTTAATGGCTGCCAAAATTGTTGTATCTTTGGTGCAAGTTTTGATATGTACAGTGCATGTGTGTGTATTTATTTTCCTTATTGTATTTATAGATTACGCCTTACGTTATTCAATCCTTAAAAACATTATTGACACGATCGGAATAAATGTTGTTTGAAATGGACTTGACTTGTTTTCTTTCCTTGACAGCATTGCCTTGTAGGCGCGCGTTTATACCTTGCAGTATATGCCATATAGTCATCTCAACATCGCCTATACTATAGAACCAAAGCCACTCATCACGCGCGCTAGCTGCTATTTACCTCAGCATTCTGCAGTGGAAATTAGAAAAACTATCAGTACCTTTTAGCGTGAAATATCGTAATCATTGGGCCAAACCTTCCCTTAATTATTACGATCAATACGAGTTTTTGTTTCTGCAGTAAATGTTTCGTACAATTATTCGTATTCCTGAGTCAGTTTGAGGTGGCGAATGGGGTATCCGGCTACCCAACACCCATGTAGGAAACGCTGGAATGTCTTTGTTGATAACGAGCGTTATTTCAAAATATGACCAACAAATGTGCCCATGTTTTAGGGCTTTTTTTCTGTAATATTTGCAAAGGTTTTGAGCAATGGCCGAGGTAAATATAGGATCAAACAAATCATTTAATGTTCCATTCGGGCGGTCGAGCTCTGTAAATAGCGGTAACATAGTGCTTTCAGACACACATGATTCGCTAACTTGCTGAGAACACATTAAATAAAGTACGTAACAATCACTTTGCCATATGTTTAGAGTTTAAGACAACGTGTTCACGACACCAAATTCGTGTTGATGTGAGACTTTATGGAGGTTAAATTTCTGTAAACATCCGTATCAACGGCTTGCGAGCTCTCAAACGTCTCACATTTCGCTTATGATGAACGGAAGAGATTGCATCTTCCATGCTTTGGGCTTCTTTTGTGAGTTTAGTAACAATGTACAACCCTTTTGGCATTTATGCGACACGTCATGGCAAAATAGACAGGACATTTTGAAAGTTCTCGGGACAAGAGCTGAGTATAAAATGTTTTCGCGTTCATGCGCTAATAGAATTATTATATTTAAAGCTTTAGGACAGAATGTATTGCATGTATTTTAATCAGAACTTTGTGCAATACTTCGAAATGTAGCTGTTCCTCGCTTTGTGGTTTCAAAAGATTTTTATACATGTTGCGAAATTCTAGAATGGGTCGCCCACTAATTTTTTCCTCCCAGTTCTTATTAAGTAGATGAAGTGTTTTTCATACCGAATAAGGCGTAAGGAAAAACACACTTCTTGCTGTGGTAAAGAAGCATGATTTCCACATGATTTAGAGGTAAAAAAAGTGTTTATTTAGAGTAAAATTAAAAGCAAGTTGTGAGTCCTAAAACCGTGTAATGTACACAAACAATGGACCTTGCATTCATACCAAATATAACCTTTACAACACATATATGTCCATCGTCATAGCTTGAAATACGACAATCATGAACGTTTAAAGGTAGAAAGCTTTCAGTGTGTAGCTAGAATTCTAGATAGACCTCGGCGCTTGCCTGAATCATGAGTTGCATGTTGAAGTGTTTTGATATGGAAAGCCTCTAAAATACACAAACTGCCACGAAGCGGTTCAAATCGCGTGACAATAATATCATTAACTGTCGGTTTCTCTCTCTTAAAGAAACTATCGCAGTTATAGACGCTAACTATCGGTTAGTCCCATCAATTAGCGGTCTTTTGCACGGCCTAATACACGTCTTCCTGTATTTTATCGTCTTTTTCTCCAACCTTACTTAAGATACACGCGGTCCAAGGCGCCATTTTTGTCCTTTGTTCATCTCATGCAGCCAAAATCGTTAATCCCTCACTCAGGAAGTTTATTTTGCTTTTAAAACACGAAGCGAAGTGAATTGTACCTTTGAAGATTCAGCCTTTTAGATTAAGGTTTTCAACCAAGAACAATTTTCACAGAGATTTCATCACAAGATATTATTCTAGCTTTCCTTCCTCTCATTATATGCTAAATTTCCTCAAAGCACTGTGTATACACAACTTGTTGAATACTTTAAACGGTTAAACATTGTCCATCTCGCCTGAAATTTGAGAAGGCACATAATACTGCAATGTTTTTTACCAAATAGAAGCATTCGCCCTCCACCTGAGTTTTTAAAATGCAGTGAAAACGATAGTTTTATTGACATGTTCTTAAAAGGAAATAAAAAGGCGAGGCAATCCCTTTGGACGGTGGTCAATACTGACCTGGGGAATATTCTCGCTTAAATCTTGTAGTGTTTAGCTTAACTTTGATAGTCAGACACCCTTGACATGTGTTGTTTTAGCCAACCATGTGTTTCTGAATTTTTCTACTGCATGCATGCATGTTCAGGTGAAATTGCAATGGCGTCTTTATGTGTCATTTTAATGTTAACATATAGCTCCTCGCACTTGCAAAATTTTGAGAATACGATACAATTCTTTCAAAAAAAGGTCATTTGTCTAGTTTAGGTAGGGTACGATGCTAAAAATTAGTTGAATAGAAAAATTCACCAAGAAATCTGCATATAAGGTGTTGGATTACAACAACAGCCTTGAAAAGAAAACAGTTTTAATACTTGTCGCCATGTTCGTTATTAATTTTGGGGGGAAATGTGAAATACCCTTGGTATTGAAGCATATAAGCGTATATATATTTATTTATTCAACTGTACAAGGAATAGTTTTTGTGTTTCTCGTTCAGGTATCTGATAGTTTTGAAGACGTGACCATGCAAATGTTTTTGATTTAGTAGGAAGCTATTTAGATTGAAAGCTCTTGAGTAATTAATTTCAGCCAGTTAATCTTTTCGCATTTTTATTTTCTCATTCGAATTACCTGTTTCCTGAACTTACAAAGAGTTCTCTATTAAGCTTAAGGAAAAGCTTAATTGCAATTAAATGGCGTTTGCCTTGCATTTTCTTTGCATCCCGACTAGGAATATGGTTTAAAGATGTCGGTAATGAATAAAGTATAGAGTGTTTTCATTTCGCTTAGCCATATTGTTAGCGGAGTTATAGACCACCCAAGCTGTGATTGGCAAATTTACCATTTCCGTTGTACAAACAGAGGAAGACTATTCTATATATACAGATTCTATCTTGACACTATAAAGAAAAGAGAAAATTGTAGGTTTTGAAGTAATATATTTTGAATTTATTCAACTGGTTGAAGACAAAACGGATGTAGATATTGTTACCGTAGGTTTTTTGGCGAGCAGTTGATTTTGTAACGTTCTACAGAGCCATAGCTTTTTTAAAAGAAAGCTCACGGGAAAATTGTATACCGAGATTGGCTTACAAAGTTTGGTTGAAGTAAAATACATATATAAATGTTTGCAAAGTACGAAACTGTTTAGCTCATTGAAATGAGTTATGTTATGTTTGCCCAGGACCCGCAAGGGTCGAGTAAACATCCAGAGATAGATAGATAAACTAAAATAACACGAAATGAAATGATTCTAGCCCATCAAATCACGATGCGTGAGGTTACATAAACCAAAATGGCTGTTTCTTGTTCTATATGTATTGCACTACCATTTCTCCGACACGATTGCCCATCTAGTGAAGTGGTAAAGTTTGTGTACCGAGGTCGACTAATTCCGTTATGTTTTCTCAGTATTCGATGGCTAAATACTAAACTAATCTTGTTAGATCTCTAAACGTTTGCAGAGTTAAGGAGCAACGTGTCGTCCTAGAAAAAGCGACAGATTAGTTGTCAACGCTTCCTAGCGTTGCTTGATGTTCAACAGATGTTCCTTTGATCTATGAACATGGGCGTGACGAGTCTGGCTTATTGAATAGTTACTATCCTTGGACATTTCGCAAACTTCAGCTATTCCATTAGTTGTAGGAGGCCTGCTTGGAATCGAAACTTCAGGAAGTTTAGAATATGAATGACCTTAAGTTAATGTCGCTATCATGAACCTTGAGCCGTTTGCCAAGTGCATGCATGCTTCATACTGTTGTTAGTTTCCCTGAAGCAAAGCGAAACTCTAGAGCTATAGGTGTATTTTGGTTCTATCGAAACCAGATCAAATCCCTCTAATGGGGTCACGAAGCTTAGGTATAAATTTACAATATTGTGAGTACTTTGTGTAGGGATTAAACCAAGGGTCTGTAAATCATCATCATCACTTGACATATAACCGCTCATGAATCAAGATATGACCCGAATATTTTCTACAAACGAATCTTTCTTTCAAACTCAATTTAGCCTAAATTTTTCATAGAGCTTTCACTCAAAATTTGCTCGTTCAAATGTAAACTCTGCGAAACAAACAAATGGTTATTGATATACGCGTTTACCACATCTTAAATTTGGATAATATTTACATCATTATTAACAGTGAATTTCGCAAGTATAACATTCACATTAGGATTATAGCATTCGGAGGGTTTGTAGGGGTTTCATGCATTTTGTCAACAATTACAATGAGATAGGGTCTGAAAAAACAGGTGAAATTTTATTCAAGTCTTGAACTCCAGTTTTTAGTAAGAGGGTCCCATTAAAGACCGCGTCTTCTTGTAGTGCAATGTAACGCAGTTGTCAAAATGGAGAACTTTCTGAAATAATTGTGGTTCTCTATTTATTCAAGATGCAAGCATGCTCTTGTCTGATTAATTTCACTTTGTCATATGTGAAAAGACATCGCAACTGCAGGTAGTCCCATTTTTTCTGTAGTATAGTTCTATAAAGCCTAATGTAGATCTCTGAGTCACAAGACCCCATTCTCAGACTCAAAGTAATAAAGGCAATATACTAGATTTAATTAGAAATGCATCTAATTTCCCATGCCAAGAACATGTCACATCTAGTTTGTATTATATATTTTAATGAAAAATATTTTCGTTTAACTGAGCCCCATAACTTTCATTATAGCCATGCGATGATTGAGTTTCAGAGTACAGTAATTTTTTATCCTAGATACTCTCATAAATGTATTTTTGCACTTTCGACAAAGCAATTTCCCATTTCGTTTGTATGCAGAATTTTAATGGCTGAAAGAATTTTTCATCCCTCTGTAAACACAATGACATGTGAAGATTGTTGATCGATTATTATTCAAACACGACGCGGCTTAATGGATATATTTCGCTGGCTTTTGTGAGCTAAAATTAAAAGCAATGAAACATGAGGACGCGCTAACGTCTCCGCTTTTTACTGTTTGGTTGAGAATCTAGACACAGTGATAAGTGTCTAACGTTCATTTCTTTGAACATTTTCTTGAAACAATCTAACAACTTTCCCTCGTATATTTGCATATATTCATCTAAAATGAACAAAAGCGACGTTCTCTTGTCTCTCCACCAGTTCTGCCAGGAATTTCTTGGATGACTCCTTCATTGTTGCTTCTCAACGAAGCTGGACTTTGATAGAATAAGGTGTAAGATTATTTAGATCACTTGTTGTCACGTGTTATACATAAAGCATGTACAGTACCTAAGAAACTGAACAATAGAAGTAATCTTATGATATTAAACCCCCCAACAGTGCTTGGCATACACTCTTTTTCACAAGTCTTTGGATTATAAATTCAAAATTTGTTCATTTCGTTCGCGAATTCCGGGATATTTTTAAAGCAAACTCCGCATTGAATGCACTAAATACGCGCAGTCAATATCTGCCTTGCCATAAATACATAGTTTATCTTTCTTGTTTGAACAGAAATTTGGATACGTTTGAGTTTACTTAAGTGCTGTATGGTTTTACCCTGCTAGCTTCGAGGTCGATGGCCTCTCTTTGGACATTAGATAGCGACGCAAATTATACTTTGGGACGCACAGCTGTTTTTGGTTGCGACTAGAACAGAATATTTAATATCGATGTCTAATTACGCTTATGACAATATCTATTTTCACTCTTCGAAATTATTCCCAAAAAGAAATCATTTTATGTGGATGATATGTAGTTATTTCGGCGCTGAATGATGGCTGAGTAAAATGCTGTATAATATTCTCATTCCTAATACACAAAACCTTGTGATAAGACGTGCGTTGTTATTTTTTTTGGTTTATACTCTGTGTTTGTTTTTCATCAAAACTCACTTCTTTGCTATCGTCTGTATTAGCACTGATCGTATAGTGTGGTTTTTTTGATCTAATATTGACAGAGAATTGAGGCAATGCGAAATTAGTTTGTTCATTTTCTTTATAAATTGTATATTATACATGAGCTATATGCGTGCTACGAACATCTTGTGTTTCATCTCCCATGTCATATTTGTCCCTGTAAAATACATAATTACTGTAAAAAAGATGTTTTTCTAAGCAGTTATCGCATTTATACATGTGCAAAGTCATGGCAAGTTTCATCAGTCATCTGGCCGAGGGAGACGAGTGATATTAATAATATCTTATCAAACAATTGCTAACAAACGTAATTCTTCTTAAACAGACATTTTTCTCCTTGTTATTATTTCTGCTACCCAGCCTTGCATGAGTGACTTCGCGATAAAGAAGCAAGTATGCTTTAAAGAAGAGCATCTGGTGTTTCTTTTCACTACAGCAATATTCTGATGCCCATGGCAATTGCAACCATATTTCACCTAAAGGAAAGAATGAAAAACTGTAATACTTCATTTCCTGCCTACATGATGTGGCAATGAGCACGAGTATCTTATCGTGTCGCAACATGCATGCACTAAGCTATTTTAACAGCAAAACTTTAGGTCACCCTGTACATATTGCCATTCATTATTCCCAGACTCTGTCTGGCTTTTCTAAAGATAACCCAGCGACTTCTATCTTAAAATTCTCTAATTGTACTACCAGATGAACTTATTTTCTAAACTGATTATGCATTATATGAAAACTCATGAATGTTTTCAGCGCAATTTTCTTTCACTAGTTTCCGCAAAACCTGTTATTAAATATTCAGGTCCCGTAATGAAACATGACAGAGCAAATCCAAATACGATCTGAAATGAATATTAAATATTCATAAACACTGCTTGAAAACGGTCCTGAAAATTTCAAATTCTTTCTAGTCTTGCTGAGGCTGCAATGTCCTGTGTTACGTTGCATTTGAAATCGTATCGACGCAGTTTGGTTCGCTCACGTATTTTACTTTCGTTTAGGAAAAGTTAATAAAAATAACAATTAAGGATAAGTTGTGTACCCAGCTTGTCTTGTCTCGTTCAGAAAAGGTTTTTTCAATTATTTCTTCCAACTTTGATTGACAGGTTGATAATGGCGAGGATTAAGGCAATATGAGAAGTCATTGCATGCCATTAAAATTAACAACAACCCACCAGTTCTTTATTTAAAATTAGGCCCTTTCTGGGTGGCTCTATCTGTGTTCAACTTTACGAAAGATCCTGTAAAGATAACCTATTTTCTACCTGAAAGTACGGATCATCTCTTATTGTCCAGTGTTACTGCAGAAAGAAACTCTGTTTATACTGCATGGATAGCTCTATCAGTTCTAAACTGTTTTCGCTATAGAGCTCTAGTAGTAAAGATCAGGAGGAAACCTAAACTAAACTAACTTCATACTGCTTGTAAACTGTTCTTCCCAAAAGTCAGGTAAACACCTTTGTTTATCCTGTGTTGCTCAGGAGGAAACAAATGAAACCGAAGTAAACGTTTGGTAAATGATTGATCAGCATTACGCATATTAGGGTTTAACGCGCAGGATATTGTCATCCCGTTCCGGGATAATCATTTGGAGGTAGACCCACGTTCTTTTTTATGTCGCATTGTCTTCGTGAGTGAAAGACAGCTGGGTCTGGGATTGAAGTAATGACACTCTTCTCCTCAAATTCCCTGGAAACGAGGTTGTTTGTGTTTGCGGCCGCATGATTAAATTCATATATTATATTTCAAGACCTGTTTTGGACCTCTACAATCCTCCAGAGCTCATATTCATGGTTTTCAATCTAGCGGTGTACCCAAGTCTAAACTTACTCTGCACAATCAGATGTCTTAGCTCAATATTTGAATTTAATCCACAAATTGTATACCTCTCACAAACAGCAAAATTTGTTCTAAAATTAGTCCGTTTGCCCTAAGAGTCGCTTCCATATTTCTAAGCAAGGATTAATGGGGCATTAGCATCGCTTGCAGTTCAATTGTCGTGGGATTAGTTGAAGCTCTAAGCTTAAATTAAAATATATCATGCGTGCAATGCGCCCTGGCAAATTGAACGATTTTCCCAGCTCTCGTGTCAAATACACGTCTTTGCTTGCGAGGTGGAATACACAAGCCTCTTGAATTTTAACTACTGGCGAACATAGCCGAGAAAAAGCCTGCACGTAGCGTAGAGACATTGAAACATGTTACATTAATAAATCCGAGACACTTGCGGCAATCCTGAATGTCAGTTAAAAACTGACAAAATGCATTGAATGTCGCAACCTGTTAACACACGCTGTGCGTTATACTACCTTGTTGAACATATTTTGTCCCCTACTTAATGTGATAACAGGATATCGGTTTTGTACTTGTTCATTGATGATATTTTACCAAGCAATAGATTATCATCTCCCCAGTTTGGCTTTCATTCAGGAAGAGGAGTCTGCTCTTGACCGATCTTCATCGCTCGGAAGAAGCCGGAATATCTCGCTCCCACGTCGCATGAATATAGGAAGTTAGGAGAGGATAAGAGTATTTCAGTATTTTTCTTTTAAAGTTTTCCTTATTTTGCAGGTTAATTGATGAGGCTTTTTGGTGATTATCTTCATTGGAAGTTGGAACATTAACAGCGCAGGTACCCCATATGTTGCGTCAATTCCTCAAAGGATTCTTTTATGAACCATGAATTGTTTATCATTGTCAACCTACCAGTATTTTGAAAAGCCTTTACGATAGAGCCCAGAACAATATGCATGTAAGAGAATAATATTTGGTATGCTCCATTAAAAACTGGGTGAAAATGCAGGAATTTGCGCAAGGTATGATACAAGTATGATTGTGTGAATCAAGTGTGAATCAAGTGTCACGAGGTCTTGACTGGTTTTCAAATCTTTTACAACTCTGGTTGCATACCAGAGACAGATTGTTTGAAAGGCATCAACGTTAGTTTTTTAAAAAAACGTCAGTTCCTGGCAAATGCGTTCAAGGTCTTTAAATCGCGTGGCACGTTGCTTGGGAGTTGTGCGTTGAATGCTATTTATATAACGCGAGTCAAAGAATTGTTTTTCATGGATAGTTTCCAGAGATTTTTATCATTCCTTGGAATTGAATCCGAACTACAACTAAATGAAAATTTATGTCTTTTAGTGTTTTATATTACCGGTAAACGTAATCACTATATTGTTAATCCTGAGGTATCGACTGTTATCTTAAAGAAAATTGTCTCATCTTTGATGTAGCCACGGCTTTGTAGAACTGATTTTGGTACAAATAAAGGGCAGCCACTTGCGATGTTCATGTTGCTTGTAGGTTTTTGGAAGCTGGAGCTGTTTGGATCAGGTCGAAAGCTATCAACAATATGCTGATCGCCAGTTTGATCAATTAACTTGAATGTCACTTTCTGCTGAAACGGCCATGGTAGTAAGCTATCATAGCCTCCACGCATTACAACAAAGAACAAGGATAGATGCGTTCCTTTCCCCATACCATCTCCATTCAAATACACTCGTGCACACACCTTAAACATTTTTTTATAATAATTAGAGTTGTTTGGATTAGAAAGATGTCTTGATTAGAGAGGTTTTGTAACAGGGAGATGTCTGGATTAGAGAGCTGTGTGGATTAGAGAGCTGTGTGGGTTAGAGAGCTGTGTGAGTTAGAGAGCTGTGTGCGTTAGAGAGCTGTGTGCGTTAGAGAGCTGTGTGGGTTAGAGAGCTGTGTGGGTTAGAGAGCTGTGTGGGTTAGAGAGCTGTGTGCGTTAGAGAGCTGTGTGAGTGAGAGAGGTGTTTGTAATAAAGAGATGTCTGGATTAGAGAGGTGTTTGTAATAAAGAGATGTCTGGATTAGAGAGGTGTCTGTAATAAAAAGGTATCAGGATCATAGAAGTGTCTAGTGTGTGTTCATAACCATAAATACCTTGTATCCATAACGTTTAACATAAAACTGTGGACTGTAAAGTGACAGACATTTCCCAGCAACAGCATCCTGCATTCGCCGTGTGATATCATCAATTTTCCAGTAGAATTCTCCATCATATGAAGTGGTTTCCAACATCGCGATCTTTACATCATGGTCAGCCATTTGGACATCGCTAAGCGTATTTATATGCTCAAGGGCAGCGACTCTTCTCTCGAGGTCAGGAACTGCTTCGTTAGCACTATCGCTTATTTGGCCGCCGATCTAGAAAAAAGCAACTTCAGTATTAAAGGCAACCTCTCTCTGCAGTCATTCCAGACATTAAGCTGAACCCTTATTCCAAGTTCAACGATGGTTTCTCAAGGTTTTGTGACCAACAATTCTTACCTGACCACGACCAAGTGCTTTTCGATCTCTCATTATAAGTTGTTTCACTTGCTCTTCCAATTTAGTTAGACGTGCTTTAATCTCGTCCATTTCACTTGGTTTTTCCGCGCCCTGAGGTTCCCGCTTTGGTATTGGCTGCGCGATCTCTGGTTCTTCGTGAGAACGGTTTCGCTGTTCAACAGCAGCACGCAAGGCAGCCAGGTCGTCACGTATTCTGGCGAGTTCGTCACGATGATTTCCGATCTGGTCGTTGTTATTTTCTTGCTGTTCTTTGGTAGTCATTGCAATTCCTTCCACTCGTTCAATGTTGGTGTTCAATGTTGTCATTTTAGCAATCACCATTTCTGCGTGTTCGACTTGTTTTCCAGAGAAATGCTTCCTCAGTTCATCTCTTGAGCCCTTAAAAATGAAACAAACTGTATGTAATACGCAGCTAAATTTGGCAGTACAAATACTCTTCATAAAAGCTTTTCTTCCTACCGTAAAATTACATTGGCCCACCATAGGGCAAGTGGCTTCAGATCTAGCACAATATTTTGCCAAGTGCTGCTCCATTTCGCTACGAGCGACTTTTTTTCCACATCCTTTTTGACAGTCAAGTGGATATTTAGTGCATTCAGTGTTGAAGTGTTCCTATAAGGAAGAAGGTGACGTTACAGTGGATAATACGATCGTTCGATTTACTCGTGAATAAAGCTATGCCCTGAACGAATTATACCAAGGTTGGAAAGATGGTAAACTGACCAAAACTGTCCATCGTGGACTGGTAAATGCTTTCTCACACTACATGACCACGATCTGGTCACCTTGTTGATCACATGAACACAACGAATTCAACAAACCTTTATCATTGGCTCTGGCAGTTCTATACCACAGTATAAACACGCAGCCTTCTTAAATTTGCACTCTTCTTTCTTATGTTTCTCAAGCATTTGCCTCAGCATTTTCACGCCACACCCTTCATTGGGACACGTTACTTCGAGAAACAGACAATCGTTATAATGCTCCTAAATAAAAAGAGTTCACAAAAATTTTAATTTATACATAACGTCTTAAATTCTCCCAGAGATCACGTCGACATCACTATACCTCTATTGACTTTAACGGGCCTTGCCAATCACACCCAAATTCTTTATTTGTACAGTAACATTCTAAGTCCAAGATTTCACGATTACAAAACTGGTCTCGAAATATTTGCTCATGAGAAAGTACTTCATGATCCTCAGGACACTTTTTGTCCCCTCTGAAGAAAACGAAATAATGTTTTTGTTTGGCTCGTTGGGTAATTCCCCTAATCTGTTAGTTAGATTCCCCTAACGAACTATCATTTTAAACGTGTGTGTCAATATAAGCAGTTGGGGAATCGAAATAGATAAAAGGTGGACACCTATTAATTGTAGGTTTTTATTGTCTTATTTGGAGTAATTTTCTGGCTATGTTGATTTATCTCTAATAGATCACTACGTATGTGTTTCGCTAGACTTGCTTGGAATGTAAATAAATACACCCGTCCGGAAATAAATTAAAACATTGAATTTTTTCAAATATCACTTTTATTTTCAACATGAACTTTCGTTTTGTTCTAATCGTCTAAATCCTAAGGCAGCTCGATTGCAATTATCGTAAAAAACCAAGCATTTCTCTTCAAGAAACTCGCCAATTCATCGCTTGCTTTAATAATTCATTACCAACGGATATACCTGACACTTGAGATAAAATATCAGAGCGATACCGAGACATGTTCTTCTGACTGATTCCAACACGCGAATGGTAGAGTTTATTTGATTGAATACGTAAAAAATATCATAAGATTTCTTTAACTGTTAACAGTCGTTTTGCGCATTATTTGGTGATATAAATTGCTTATATCTAAACTCTATTGGGGCACTCGCTATTTGGCATAACATGAACCCTGCATGAACGAAGTGTAGTCTACATTCTGTGTCACGACTGTGTGTCTTGTACGTCGGATCTACGATACCCAGTGCACAAAGCATTTACTGCGTTGAACAACCCTATACATTTTGTGTGTATAAATTTCTCACATATTTCATATTAAAGGTACAGTGAATACGGTAGTGGTCAGCAGTGATCATAGGCAGTAATGGAGTAATGTTTTAGCTACCTGTCAATGACATCCTTGATGCAACTCTCGCAATAACGATGTCCACATGAAGTTTGAAATGGAACTCGCAACACCAGCTTACACATTTGACACTTCAATCTATCATCCAGTTTCTGTACGAATTCAATTTTATGTCCACCAGGTTTTTCAGCCATAATCACTAAATGTAAAATTCCCTTCGCAATTTAATTTTTAGGGGATGTCCCCAATTCAGAAATTCATGCTAATTAGGTCATGTGATAAAATATTTGAAATAGAAGGGAAATGGCTAGCCCTCAGAATATAAACTGTATATAGGAATACACTGTACAGCATTGTGAAAATTCAGTGGTATGACCGTATGGGTGTAAAATAACACTATAAAAGTCCGTGTTTTCAGTGTATAATCTACTGGTTTCGCATTGTTAATTCGTCTCGCATGAGCCTAAGCCCTCGTAACTGTATTTCATCAGAGATTTTACCCTGTGATGTGATCTCAACGGTCCCAAATTTTCACCACAATCTACCATAGGTTCGCGTGTATTTTATGGGATGTTCTATATGATATTACCAGGCAATTCTACGTGTATATTCATTCGAACAATAATAAAAGATATTAACTATATTATAGAACAGTTTGACCTACCACCAGATAATACCACGTGTTGATGTTATATTCCACGTTAGGTTTACCACTGTGGGTTTACGAATTGCGATTATGATCAAGACCAGTTGAACAAAGTCCGGATTCTCAACTGCTTTACTGAACAAAGATATTCGCCATGTTTTAAAGTTGCAAGTTGTAACTTTTAAAATCTCCTCCTCGCTGATTGGTTCCCCAATTGTACCCAGCCCCAGGTCTCCTGCTCCGGCTGCTCGCACTTGCGATGATTCGAGGAACGATCCGAGGAAGATCCCAGAACCATTGGTCGTTATGGATTTGAAATATTTTAAGCGAAGACAGTATACTATATTGGATTCCATTGCATTAATTTCGTAGCTGAGAAGCAATTTCAACTAACTTTGATGATTCGCCTAAAATATCCTATCTATATTCCCCTGGCAATTGTTTTCGTGACCTTGATATGGCTGTTGTTTAACTATATCACAGGTATTTTGAAAAACACTTAGACATAGTGAGATTCAATGTCTGTCTGTGTGTGTATATGTTGTGAATTATAGATTTGAGTTTGATTAGAGATTGTAGAATTATAGATGTTCAATGCTAAATTTCAATATTTATTACAGGTTGTTACTCATCATTGAATAGTACATTGATGGAGCAATCTCGAAATGATTACAACAAAAAATCATTGAATATCGAGCAACATCTACAGTCTTTGATTGAACGAGAAAGAAGGCAAAACCAACTTTTAACAGAAATAGAAAATTTAAAAAATGATATGAAAATGCAACTTAAGAAGAAAAATTCATTGAAAAATGAATCCAATGAACATTTACCATATATTTATGCAATTACTCCAACCTATGAACGTCTCACACAAAAGGCGGATCTGACAAGACTTTGTCAAACTTTTAAACATGTTTCAAACTTCCACTGGATAATTGTGGAGGATGCTGAAACAAAAAGGAGTTTAGTTGAAAGATTTTTAAAAAGATGTGGAGTAAAATACACCCATTTAGCTGTGAGGACAAAACTAGAATTGCAGAGAGGTGAGAATGAAAAAAGGTGGATGAAAGCCCGGGGGGTTGAACAAAGGAATGCTGGTCTCTTTTGGCTCAGGAGGAGTATTGAAAGACATTCTGCAAATGGAGTTGTATATTTCATTGATGATGATAACACATATGATTTAGAACTTTTTGAACAGGTGAGGTATATCCATTACTCTCTAACCACCTACAATATTCTCATCCCCATTCCCACCTACAGTATTCTCACCCTTGCTTAAAACACCTTGCATGTTCTAGCTGGCTGCAATGTTTGACAGACACCTGTTTTTTGGATGTTTTCAGATGAGATGGACAAAGAAAGTTTCAATATGGCCAGTTGGGCTGGTTGGCGGGTTAAAATGGGAAGGACCAGTGTGTGAGGGTGGAAAAGTGATCAAATTTTGGACAGCTTGGGATTTAACAAGACCTTTCCCTATTGATATGGCAGGTTTTGCAATTAACATCAAGTTGATATTGGACAATCCTTCTGCCATCATTGATGTTGATGCACCAAGAGGCCACTTAGAATCATCATTGTTGAAATTATTAGTGACAAGAAATGAGCTTGAACCTTTGGCAGATAATTGTAAAAAGGTTTGTAATATTCTTCTGTTCTATAAATCATTCATGATTTCACAGCACTTACAGATCGTTCCAGGATGCATTTTTTATTCTTTTGTACCCAGAAAATCAATTTTATTCCTTTCAGATCCTGGTTTGGCACACTCAGACTGCTGATCCCAAAATGAAACAAGAAATACGTCTTCAGCAACTTGGCAAAGAGTCAGACCCTTCGATTGAAGTGTGAGAACTGCTGTGAGCAAAATCACTTGTTTTTTTAAATATTTGTAATAAACATCAGGTACAATTGTAGCATAGATTTGAATATATAACATTTGTATAATCTCGTGAAAGTTTGGTTTGGGGAATTGAGCTAAATGCTAACAGTCCCAGGGAGACCAACACACCCAGTTTTGCGCTATGAATAAAAAATTCATTCTAATAATTCACTTTATTCATTTTATACTCATCCATAACTTGTTAGTTTTAGAATGTGCGTTAATTAGCTATGTATATCGTTTGTTATAATGACATAAAGAAGAGAAGTGAAAGTAAACGCGGTCGGTCAATGAGGATCTATAAAAATTTCCGGCCTTGAATGCGTTTTCTCGTTATCAATGACGCCCTAGCTCTCATGATGTCAATTCGGTGTGGTTGGTTTACGCTGGAAGGAACCGATTACAGGAACGGCACAGTTGTTGAATTTCACGTGGAGAAGATTTCCTGGTGCAAGCTATTTAAATTTTTTATTTACTCTAGAACTTAAAAATTTAATGAATGATCTGTGTTTTATTTTTATTATCAGGGTACATGTCAACGTTTAGATGCCTTTTTCACCAGGCAAGTGTCCTAGAAGTTAATTACCCCAACTTAAATGTTGTCTCACTTTAATCTGAAGGTGCTTGCCAGACTTTTTGCTATTGAAAATGCGGTTCAGGTATCAGACAATCTGGTTCAACGCTTTCTCAAAGTTACAGGTAATTCCCGGTTGTTTTATTGCAAACAGTTGAAAAAACACGTGGAGTGTATAACCTCCGGTTAACAACTGGTTAAAATGCAAACAAAGATATCCATTAGATAAAATTATCAATCAGTAAAAGATTGGTTTATGGTTTATCATTTATTCCCTGATTCATAATTTCTAATGTATAATAGATCTATTAGAGTTGGTATTTTATTGTTACTTCTTCTCCATGTTTCTTTTTGGTTTTTTTCATCAGGTAAGTTACATACGTCGCTTTATTCATCATAAAGCTGAGAAAAACCCCTTAGATATTTAACGCTTTTTCATCCAGCATGCTCTTTTCTGCCCTGTTTTGTAGTATAATATAATTTAAAAATAAAACGAAAAAAACACGCGAAGCCAAGAGACAAAGAAGCACTAATCCATAGCGGTCAATAAAGTCGATTAGTTTTATTTATTATCCAATATTTTGCTGGTTGTTTTAACTGTGTGCTGATAAAAACTCTACTATTTTAGATTCATTTTGTGGAAGACGTTTCTCGCGTGATGAACTTTTAAACGTCGCAAACAAGCAAAGAAGAGACAGCTCAGAGTTCCACGATAAATTAGCAAAACTTTATCAAACTATTATACGAATAAAAAAAAGTGAAGTCGCTGTTGATCGACTACTTTCGCGTTATGCGCGAAAAGAATTGGGTAAAAACGTGACTACGATATATTGTATAACTCCGACATATGCAAGACTAACGCAAAAAGCGGATCTTACGAGATTGTGTCAAACTCTTCAACATGTGTGGAACTTTCATTGGATTGTTGTCGAAGACTCGGAACACAAAACGGATTTAGTTTCGCGCCTTCTTAAGCGCTGTGGAGTGACGTATACACATTTAGCAGTGCGAACGTCTGTGCATTTGAGAAAGAAATCTGAAGGTCCAAGGTGGAAGGTTCCCCGTGGTATGGAGCAAAGAAACAAAGGTTTAGAATGGGTGCGAAGAAATTTTGATCCAGGAAGAATGGAAGGTGTTGTGTATTTTGCTGACGATGATAATACCTATGATGTGGAGATATTTGATAGGGTATTATATAAATTACTTACATGAGTTTTACTCACAGTGTTTACTGTTTCCCCCTTTGAAACTAAACACGTTCAACTGCAAATCTCTTAGATGCGTCATACCAAATCAGTGTCAATTTGGCCTGTTGGACTTGTGGGTGGCTTGCGCTGGGAAGGTCCAATTTGCAAGAATAACAAAGTCGTCAACTTTCGCGTGGCATATAAACCCAGCAGAGCAGTTCCTGTAGATATGGCTGGTTTTGCAGTCAATGCCAAGTTAGTCGCTAATAATCCACGACTAATCTTCAATCCCTGGAGCCCTAAAATAGGGCAAGGGGAGTCAGATTTTCTCGAAATGATAACATCCAGAGATAAAGTGGAGACTCTAGGTGATCTTTGTAATCAGGTAAGCCGTAAGCTAGGATGCCGTATTGGAGCTACAGGTGTCAAACGTAGCTTTCTGCCTTTGAAGAAAATACTTGATTAAGGGCATAATTTACCTGGAATCATTGTTAATCTAATCATCGTTTCTTCTTGTCAAAGGTTCTTGTTTGGCACACGAGGACGTCAAATGTAGACTTGCATCGTGAAAAAATGTTGGGTGAAAAAACTTTCCCTGATTTAGAGTGCTAACATTAATTAAGCATCCAGAATATAGAATATGATATATGTATATATGAAAATAATGAAAGGTATTAAGAGAGGATGTCCAGGTCTGATGTGAACAAACGTTTAACGTTTTGTTTACATTTTGAACTATATTTTTAATAGGAGGAACTGTCTGCTTGTCTCACATAACTTAACCAACTTATTTGTAATAAAAAGCGTAGGATTTTATTAATTATGGATTATAATCGTACATATAATTGAACATATAGTTGTATTAACCACTGGCATTACCATATCTATAGTTATTACCGCGCTCCGAAGCCCGCTTGCAGGCTTAGGGTAAAACCCTTTGATCCTTGGTGCAAAACTATGCACAACACACATCCATGGAAACAAATATAAATGATTTCAAGCAAACTTTTCACCCTTTCTTTAACAAGAAAATTTTAAATGTTTGGACGAAACATGATTGTAAAAGGTACTGCGCCACCTTACCGTCAAACTCCTGAAAGCTTACACAGTTTTCAATATGTTCAGCGAGGTTTGAAGGACGTCCGAAATGAAAATTGCCAAACGACCTCTGTTGAGTTGAAAAAAAGTAAAGAGAAACGTCCAAAGTAAGTTTTTAACGTCAAAATTTTTGACAGTATGATTTAGCAACCCAATTATGTTTGTAAATAAACATGTAATTAAAATAAAGCACATGTGTTTGGAAGGGTGACATGAAGATAGTGAACCGTCCCAAACAAATCACTTACAAATGCAACCGCAATAATTTAGTGGTCTAATTTTAGTAATACCTTTCCAAATATTGGCCTTAAAGAATCATAACTGACCTTGAAAGTTGGATACAGAAATATCTATAGTCATATGAAGGTCCCCTAACTAGCTATTGGGGCGCTACACATATAGAGTTGTGTAAGTTTCAACAAGGAAGGCTTAATTCTGTCAAAACAGATCTAGAATTATGTCTTTCTCACTAAGGTCTTCACCCATGAGGATAGCTGAAAAGCTTTCTGAAGAAATCTGTTCTAAAGGACAGTAAGTCCTTGTTTGTCAAATGGTATTTGCAGCTGAAATAAGTCATATACTAATTTATAAATGTTATATTTGTTGTCTGGTAGCAAAAAAAATTCGAAGGATGATATGAGGAGAATGTATTTCAAAATAGTTCAACCTGGATATACGATTGCCAAGCGAAATAGCGGCATTGATGTAACACTAAATATGGACGAGCTTTGGGAAGGTGCAACAAAGGTTACTGTATCAATTAACTTATTATTATTGGTATTTAATTAATTAATTGGAATATGTTATATAATATTTTTATTTTGTTTTTTAATTTGAACAGGAAAGCAAAAAAAGGTACCTATAATAAAGTTTTTTCAATAATGATTGTTAAATTAAATACAATTATTTGATGGATCTAATTTTTTTTAATTTCAATTTTAGCCTTCTTAATCAAGATGAAAGGTACATCTATATAAAAACAATATATATGCATGTTGATAATGATCTTAAATATATTCTTCATAATATACACTGTCAAAGCTATATATCTGTGAAATGCAGCTGTAGCTATTAATCATGAACTGATTGATCTAAATTTAGAGACTTGAAAATAAAGAAATTAATTCAAGAGATTAGTGATTTAAAGGCTTCAATATCTGAAGAAAGAATCTCTAATAGAACACAATTTCAACAAGTATGTATTGATTTTTCTTTTCTTTTTTGTCTACCTACATGATTGATAAAGTTTATATCAACTATATGATTATATATGTATACTTTTGTAGTTTGTTGAGAATACTAAGATTGATGTTGAAGTTATGATACAAGAGCACAGAGACCATATAAAGTACGTTAGAAATATGGCTCATATATATTTTCTCACTGACATTTAAGTCAAAGTGCATTTTCATTTTCATAATATATTATCGAAATGGTATTATAGCCATGCAGTCAGAGTTTTTGAATAAAATTGTTGGATATTTTAGGACAATTGAAGAAGATCATGAGCTAGAATTAGAAAACTTGAAGGCAATGTATGAGGCAAAGGTACTATGAGTTGAAATGCAGAGAAATTAAATTCACTGCTGATGCAAATACTTAAGTACCAATGTTATCTAATTAATAAATACTGGAATATTACGTAAATGTGGTCTAACATTGGTTGATTTGTATAGATTAATGATGAGAAAGAAGAGGCTAACATAGCTGCAAGTAACTATGATTTTTTTGTTTTGATTTGTGATGTTAAAATACGAACAAGTTCCTGGTAGTTTTCTTCACTTTTTGCAATATTTTGTAGCTCAAATGCAAAGAGAAATTGATGCAGTTCGAGGAACTCTGCAATCTTGCACGGTAATGTTTCTATGCATAAAAATTGAATCCTATTTTCACAGTCTGCCTTATAATATCTCCTAATGTTTTTTGACCTTTAAGCAATTAATTCAAACCTCTCACAAGTGATAATTGTGGTTGCAGGAAGATGTGACTGTGGAATTAGAAAAACAATGGTTGGATCGAAAGGTAGGATCACAATTATCATAATAGATCAATTTTTATATGATTTCACAGCGTAATATATTCGTTTTGTAGTATTAAGAAAACTTTCTATACAATTGTTTAATTCATTACCTTTTTTCCTCTTCAATATTTATTAGGAAAAACTTAACGTTGAACATCAAATTAAAGCTGAACAATTGTTGAAGGAACAGCGTACGTTTGTAGCATGTTGAAAAGTTAGTTCTAGCCTTATCACCTGTGCCTAGCTTCACTTCAATTTATTTTGTTGGGTTTTATATTTTATACATTTCTACCAGTCTCAAAGTGTTCTTTCAATTCAAACTTTTTTGTGGTAAACAAATTTTTAGGGTTAAAATTAAAAAGTGAACGAATTGCGATGATAAATGACATAAAAGAGAAACAACTTCGAGAATTAGAAAACGTGAGAGAGAGACATTCACGAGAGATGAATGTAAGTTGCAAACGAAATTTCAAAATCTTTAACTACCGCCAAAAACTGAACGGGAGTTTTTGTTTGAATCCAGAATCTTCGTGAAGAATTTGACGCTTTCGCTGCTGATGCTGAGAATTTTAGAATTGCTGCCCTAGAAGCCGAGGTTTGCCCGATTGGAATTCAGTTTAATTTTTCCTCGTATATTTTATAATCTGTCATATCCTAGCAATGAATTGACTTCCTTTCCCTAGAGACTCAAGGAAGAATTAACGGATCTTCAGGATGTCCACAATGAAACTAAAAATAAATTAAGAAAGACAAAGAACGAGTTGGCTGATGCGGTAGTTATGTTCATTTTTTCTGATAGCAACACGTCATTTTATGAAGAGACACCTTTATACTGTATGTAATAATGTCAAATGTAATACATTTTAGAAAGTACAGCTTCATGGCTATGAACTTCGCTTTGCAGAAAAGGTACGTAGCTACATTGTGATTGGTATAGTTTGGTATATGTTCTCGGAATGAAAGTGATACATTGATACACTCACGACCACCTTTAATCTCTTTTATGGATGTCTTCTGGTTTATTTTATGTACAGGTTGCTGAGGTTGAGGAGCGTTATTCCATGAAAATTCAGGGTCTTATGCTAAACAACACAGATATTCGTCGAAACTATATGAGAAAATGCGCTGAACTTTTGGATGTTCAGAATACGATTGACGACTCTCCCAAGGTAGGTTTGATGTGAACATGCGGGCAGGCTCCTCCAGTAAAGACCTTGGTTTCAGAATGACTTTTGCTCACAAGGACTTTCTTATACAAAGCAGTTCTGTGATATTAAATGTTCCAAATGATTGACTGTATGATCAGTGCATATCAGAATTGGCAAAATACACACAGTAATCTCGCTATTAGCAGTTGAAATGCTTTATTGTATCTTATTGCAGGAAAGAAAATCAAGCAATACCAAGACAACAATGAAGGTATACGACAATATTTACTATATAATTTTTTCTAAACTCAGCACATTTGATTGGGAAGCACAGAGATTTGGTGGTTAAGATGAGGGTAAACATGAACTTAATGAAATAATGTTTTTTGTTGCAGACGATTATACTGGCTCGTGCAAAAGCAGATGTTAGTCTGGTAACAGCAGAACAGAAGACAATTCCTATGAAAGGATCACAGGGTTCCGGAAAAAGACCCAGAAGTGCACCTGTGTTGAAACCTGAGGTTTTTGAAGATGGTAATCTATTTTTAACACTCTCTGAGCTTCGACAATACAGACCGAATTCAAGTTTAGCATGAAATAAGCAAGGTACCTGTATCCATCAGCGAATTATGTGTTTGTGTGCCAGAATTTCTTACAGTTCTTTCAAGTACTGTAAATTTGGAGATTTTTTTATTTTTTATAGGTGTGAACTGTACATAGTATTTATTTATTGAAGGTTTATCGTTTTCATTAAAAATAAAATAAAGGAAGTACAAATTACGTCTTATATATTGCGTTCTCTTAATGAAGTTTCATCTTGTGCTATTGTTTAAATTCATTTTCCTATCAGCTAAACCTCCTTATGATTGACAGCAACTCTGATATGAGTGTACAAGGGTAAGCTTTCTGTTTGGAGTAAGTTGTATTTCAAAGTGTTTAGGCCATCGTATTTCATTCTTGATACAGCGTTATTCAGCAATTGCCGTGTCCTGCGAATTTGACGTGGAAATTATTAAATATTTTTCTTAAAGGTAATGTTAAGTCATTATGACTAATAACCAGTTTATTTAGCAATATTTCTAGGCGTTTGTCGACAGAAAAGTGGAGAGATCTGACATACAGCGCTGCTGTTTCTCGGAGAAGAAAGAGAAGAAGGTAACTGTATTTATCCTGCAGCTCTTGTTATAATATTGTGAATCATGTAACAGTGTGAAAGGTCTCAGAGAACTCACAGTTTTCACATTTGCCACTAACCTTCCCTGGTTCTTTCTGCTGTCAACATAATGATATTTCTTAAGCATCTTGTAGCGACCAATTTTCATACTTGGTCTTGTAAGCTTTAGACCTTTCGCCGTGCATCTGCGAGAGAGAATTCCATCATTCAGTGAATCACGCAGTCTTTAAGTTTAAAGACAAGTATATGTCAGCTGCAGAGAGTCAGTCAGCATAGGGTAAGATGAAAGTATAAGTCACTTCATAATTCTGTATATTGTTATGTTTGTAGGTAGTAATGACCTGTGATAAAGATCGTCATCTTCACCTCCCCATCCCCAATATTTGTTGGAGAAACCATTCACTTTCTCAAAATGTTGCTTCCATATCGCCTCAACTCCACCGAAGATGTCATGGTATGGCAACCTGAAGGTAAGAAACATGACGTTGAATACATTTTCTACATGAAATTCGTGAACATACGCGAGTATTTTAATTAATCTATAGCTCATGCAAGTATACGAGCATTAAGTTATTCTTCGTTGTGGTCTTAATGTTTGGCTCAAATCTTAGCCTCTTCTTGGTCTATAAGTGCATGAGAACAAATATAGATGACTGGGTAAACTAGACAAACTCGGCTCGCCTGTAATGAGCCAAAAACTTGATCAAACTCGGCTTCGGGAGGTGAAAATTGACTAAGAGCTCAATATCAATACACAAAGTACTTATAAAAGAACTTGTCCACCGCTGGGCACATGTGACGTGGCGACGTTACGCAGTTGTACATATTGCGGTCATCTTCCGGTAGTAAGTCAACATCATGAAATATGAAACACTGATAATTGTTGAACTTCTGGGCCTCCATGAAACCGATGTTAAACAGAATAGCACGGTTAAATATCGTAGTTCCATTCTGTGAAATGAAAGTTGATAAAATGTATTGGTTAGGATTGTCTTCTTGGAATATTTCATGATAATGACTCGTGCATGACACAGCGTCAATAATCGACAGCAATCAAGGGCATTTAATCAATTCAATGAATGTATGTTGTACCTGTTCAATGATGAATATTCTGTAATCCAGTAGTTGTCTTTTTAATATTGGATGAAGATGACGAAGGAATATCTTCAGTTGTTCATAACGGTTACGATACGGAAGAATAATTGCTACCTAAAATAAAGAATAGAATGCTTCGTATAGTCGTCCATGGTTTAGCAAGAACGACATGATCACGCTGTCCAGTAGATCACTTTAGATCAGATACATGTATATTCTTACTTTCTTAGCTCTGCAGTTTTCAGGTTTCCATTCCCCTCCATTGTTGACCCATCCTCCATATTGAACGGAAAATAATTTTTCCAGATCTTCCATTCTCTTTACGATACTTTGATCAATCCGCAACTCACCAACTGCATCCAGAGTGAGAAAATATATCAATTGACTGACAATAGCAGGCGTATTTTAAATCATTCCTTACCAAGATTTTTTCCATCTTTTGAGCAATTCACGACGGTCTGCACAGCACTTTTCCATGCTGTACTATTTTCTTTCTTAGGAATTATCGTTGAGAGGCTTTCTTTCTTTGTTGAAAATGAGTCTTGTAATCTACTTCTCTCAAAGTTTTCTGATATCAAATCTTTAAACAATGCTGAATGGTTTACGATCAGAAAAAACTTGTGGACGTATCGAGGCCGGGTTAAAGCACCGCTCAACACTTGAAATATTGTCCATAATGATATCAACGTTGGCGGTATAAGTATCAAATAATATCTCATGCCGTGTTAATGTGTTGTCCTTTTGGGTTCTGTGTTTTTCTTTACCTTTGCTTTATAACACCTCTTTGGTTATATCACGTGAACATCTGCTATAATATCTCCCTATAGATAAATATATGGTTTAAAACATAACGTTGCCTTTTTTGTTTTTTACTTAGTTTAACAACGCATGTTCATACTTACATAAGTCAAAGTTAGACACAGAAGCATTCGTTAAATAATTTTTGTTGTTTTGCCTTCAATCATGAAATCTTACTTTAATTTCCACGTCAAAAGAAAATAAGATTGTTCTATAAAGTGTGCCCTACTCATTATTCATGACTCGTATTTTATGTAGAAACTATAGTAACGTGTCATTCATTTAAAACTCGGGTGTGTTGGCGAGTAAAAAAATTTAAAACGTGGCAGAAATTACAATGTAGGATATACTCAGTGATATTTGAGCGTTATTGCCTAACGTATTTGCCAACTTCTCTCTAGGAAAGTGGACAGTTTCTTTTAAGAGTGTAGATAGGGTTTTATAATATATCTTCATATTCTCTTCATTTTTATGTGCTGATAATTATCATTAGCTATGGCAATATTTCCACGGCGCCTCTTGCGTTGCGGTTACTGTATAGGTTCATATATCGTCCACTTCCGATAAACTCTGTTAAAGCTTTCTTTGATGATTACATGTAGAATTTTGTATGCAATTTAGGCCTTCTATAAATGATAACGAATTTGTAAAATAGTTGAGAAAGCTATGAACTGTATTTAGTAAGGCGTTATTTCACTCAGTTATTACTTTATATGAATTATTAAAATCGTAGGGTTTGGGTATTCAAAATTTTACATGCCAAAACAAAACTTTGAGGTTTAACCTGGGCTTAACACTACCCAGGTTGGCCACTCTGATTGGCTTGACGCACGCCTCTCTCTGACCACTACCTGATGTTTTGCTTAAAGTCAGGAAAGGTTTGCAGTCAAGTCTCAGACAACTACCTTTTTCATTTCTTATTTAGGGAAATCGTGAAAGTCTGGCGTCACTTCCTTCAAGAATGAACATCATCATTGTAGTTGCCGTTCTAAAAAAATCAAAATAAACTCTTTAACCTTGACGATGAAAATTTAAACAAAAACAGGTAGCCAAAACTGGACCTGCTGTTTTATCATTTCCTTAAATGTTTAATAGACTTTTTTTAGGCATTGCAAGTAATGCTGGCTGGCTGATGTCTGCGATACCACGAAGTTTTCTGATGGCGTAAATGAAAAATAGCGACTGAGAAAATCTTGATTATGATACCCTGAGTACTTGGTGTTTCATTGGGAGGAATCCTGGTTCCTAACTATGGTATATATGACTTTTTAAATGTTTATTATACAATATAGATGTTGCTAACTAATTTTTTGCACTTTCAAAACATTTTGCATAACATTGTTACGAAGCTACTTCTTCATATTTATACTTCCCATTTTTATAACACGCGCTAGTGATTTTTCTCTTTATGTAAATACTTGGGAGCATATTAATCAGTGAAAGCGGTTCCAACGTGACGTTAAAAATAACGACTCAAAATACCGCGATGTGCATGTTTAACTTCACCACTATCTAACAAATATAGCGAGACAAGGAATAGTCTGGACTGCTTTCTGGTGCTTAACATCATCTCTTTGTTGTCAGTCTATAAATCGCCCGCTATATAAAAAAGCCTATATTATTTACAGGAAAAAGCATATAGCCTTTGTTCAGAACCATCGCGTCATAGACCCCATATATTTGGAGTTTTTTAATATATACGTACACTTAATTAGCTTATTTATACGTCCGGCTGTTTCCCGGCTTTTTTGAATGAAATGACAGGATATAAAACTTGCTTTAAATTCTGCCACAAATAACTATTACGGGATTTTGGTGATATTCATGTAGGACTTGGAATATATACATTTGTCGGATGGGTTACTTAATGCGTGTCCATTTCTAATTTAAACAAACTATTTAACTATAAGTTATCTCTTTCATATTTGTCTTGTTCCAAGGCTATTAACTGAATTTATTTTTTTCACGAGCGAGGTTTTGGTTTGACTTGCGGAGCCGGGCGTCGCAAACGAGCATTTCGTCCAACAATTGGAGGCAAAACAGCAATTCCGCCTGGTGGTCTGTATCGACTTGGATTGATTGTTTCTGACGGTGATGATGTCTCGTTATTGTTGATTGTATCCAAAGGCACATTTTGACGTAACGTTTCATTCAAGGTGCGACGTGAGGGCAGTGCGGGGGCTACCTCTGGTAAAACTCTCTGGACAGGTACCGTGGGGGGATAAAAAGCAGGATCATAATCAGTCTCTTCTATGGTATCTCGCTCGTAAATCGCTGTAGGTTCTATGAATGCTTGTTCATGTTGATAGCCGAATTGACTGAAAGAATTTGATCGGGTTTGGTTTTGTGTTGATCCGACTAATAAACTCTCTCCTCTTTGAGGTTCACTCGAGGATGGTAAGGTTGATAACTGTTGCTGGTTATTCTGGCCAGATTGTGCTGCAAACTTGTGTTCTCCGAGGTATTCATTCATCTTCATGCCTGTTCTCAAATGTGCTTCATAACCCTCAATCCATAACCGACCTTAATGCAACGAGAAGAGAACATATTTCAGGGGTTATGCATTGCCTTGAGCTAAGATAGGAAATCGTTTCAATCCTTGTGTTAAACGCACGATGGTATCTCTGTTTTAACCCGCTTCCCAACATTTCCCTAAAGTAACCGCTTTGCATGAGTGAAGAAGCGATTCTCATAGTAATGTTTGTTTAGAAAATAATGATCAATGACCAAAGATTTCTTTTCTCTATATTTTTAGAATGAAGGTACATATAATTGGTGAATGTAGTTATACACTAATTTCCTTGCAAATGGTACTGCCCCAAAATGAAAGTCTAAGTTAAATGTGTTAGTTTAGGGGAGAGAATAAAACCATCAATTTTAATCAAGAACCTTTCATAAAGACTTGAAATAAAGTGATATCTTGTGTCCAGTCGGGTGGATAAAAATGACATATTCGATGAAATCCATCTGTGTCTACCAAGGTGTGGAAGGAATCACTTGCTTCAGGAAGTCGGGATCCGTTCCGCAGTTGAAGTTTTAGCGGCGAAGTGACAACAAGTACTGGACATGAATTAGGAAAATCTTGCGGAATGTAGATCCGAAGTATATACTCCCTATTCATGTTGCTTCTCACCAATACTTCCACTTTCGTTTCATGTTGTGGGTCAATCCATGTAATTCCAAGACGAAAATATTTCTCCAGTTTCTCTTTCTCGATTGCTAGTCGCATTCTTTGACTTTCAGACCAAACCATTCTGATGCACGTCGTTCAGGGTTTTACGCTTGCTTAATGTTTACAACAGTCACTAATGTAATGCTGCAGTGAAGATCAAGGATTAGATGTAATTCTAGGAACTCGATTTCTTAGTAACGGGCATAAATTATTAGGCATGATCAACTTCGTTCTGATGTAACATCATGAATAATTAAAACATAATGGCGTCATCGTAATGACGTCAATTGCGATGTACACGAAGTTCGATTGGCTCTGCGAAACTATCGAGCTAATCGTATGAATGTCGAAACCTCTCTTATAAATAGACGCTCGACTAGAGGGCCCTTGACCCTCGACTGTTGTGAGGTTCTCTCGAAACTCATACCAATTCCGCTTTCTGTTCTATATTTTTTTAGATTCTTCGATTTTTATTTCTCATTGCGCTCCTACCTTGTCCTCAAGCAACGGGTAAGGATGAAGAAATCATTATTGGTACTCTATAATAAGTCCTATTAGATCCTGTTAACTGAGGCTTAACTTTTAATTATGCTGAAGAGTTTTTATCAGTAGTTTATAGGCTTAAAATCTTAACATAAACACGTTTCGACGTTTTCCAGAAACTTGCGTACTCAAACCTTTTTTGAACGGATTTATTCTTCCATCTAGAAGTTGGTGAAAATTTTATGCTGTTGAACAATTGGAATAATAAATGTCTCCAACACAAGCCTGGCTCTGCAGCACGAGGCACGGATTGTAGTCCAAGTAATTCCCACCAACAATGGCGTTGGTTAGATGGGCTGTACTTACAAAATGTTGGTTCAGAGCAATGCATAACAAGTTTACCAAATGAACCTTTTTTTGATATGCAAAACTGTGTTTCAGGTGAGTGAGAATATCACTGGTATTGTTAATTGGTATATCATATATTGGTATATAACATATGCAAAGTCGGGAAACTTTCATGTACATAAAACTGTAACACCTCGTTGAGGTTGGGCTAAAAGAAGATCTTGATCTGGTCCAAAATGTATTAATACTGCAGACACCAACAATATAGTCATTAGTCAACATTATAGTTATTTTAATGTGAAAATGACATGGTAATAATGTTTTATATAAACAGGCTCTGACGATCAAAGGTTGATATGCTCGTTTAACATGATAACTGGAAGTCAACGTGGACAAAATACAAAAACATTGGGCATGAAAGGCAATGATGTTAGCTTTATAATGTCGGGTAGTGCTGGGGGAAAAAGAAGAAAATGGAGTGTGTATGATGCCGTTAATAAGAAGTCTATATGTAATGGAAAGGCTTTCACAGGTATCTATTTATCATTCCATGGTTTTGGTCCAGCCTGCAAAGGTTGACTTTAGGTATTCGTAGGGTAGAGATTTAGGGTTAGTTTATCAGTGTTCGTATAACAAAACGTATTTGTGGTTGCAATTGTGTGAAGGTGTCTGTTTTAAAAAGGCATCTTTACGTGAGAGATATGTGCAGTACAGATGTTTTCGTTGTAGAAAGATGCAGTACTAAATACATGTTTGTCTTAGCGATGTCTGTATTGAAGGCTTTTGTATTGTTTGAGTTGTCTGTATTAGAGAGGTGTGTGTATTAGAGAGGTGTCTGTATTAGAGAGGTGTCTGTATTAGAGAGATGTCTGTATTAGAGAGGTATCTGTATTAGAGAGATGTCTGTATTAGAGAGATGTCTGTATTAGACAGGTGTCTGCATTGGAGAGGTGTCTGTATGGATGAGTTGTCTGTGTTAAAGAGAAGCTTTCATGAGATTTCTATATAATGGGAAGGTATGAGGGAAAGAATGTAAAGAGGTATATCGGAAATATATCAACGCCTGTCTGCACTAAAGATTTCGAGGAAAGTTTCGGTCGTCAACATTTTCAATTACTTTGTAGATGGTCGGAAATGGTGGATGTTGACAAACGATGCTCATGATGTTAGCAGTGGACTAAGTCCTTTGATCATGTTTACAAGATCATCACACAGTATTGGAATGATGGACAGTACAGGAAGAATACAAAATTTGCTTGGTTTTCTTGACATTGTCAACACAGCACCTCATGCTGTATGGGGAATAAATGATCATAATTCTATGTGGTTTACAGGCAAGGCTCAATTAAGCTTATGCTTTCTATTGACTTGGCTTTAATACTTTCAATCACGGTATTTGTTCATTGTGATTTTGACGACAAATTGCTTGACACTAGAAGATATAGAATGGTTAAACAGAAAATTAGCGTCAAGTGAAAAAAGACCGAGGTTCATTTTAGCCAGTAATTTTATAATTATCAAATGGCTCCACAACTGCACGATCGTCTTATTGAAAGACACAGCTCGTGTATTTTCTAAAAGTCTCTCCTGCATAAATCACACAATTCTGTTCAGAAAGTTTATAAACAGCATCAGAAATTTCTCGCCAACGTCATTGAATCTCTTTTTTTACTTTTAGCTCAGAAAGCATTAAGTTTTGGTCAAGAATCCGTTTCATGGGATAACCAGTTTGGTGCTGGGTATAGCTTCCTTGACTTCACAATGCCCGGCACTGGTTTCTCTATTATGCAGGACGGAAGATTTTGTCGTCGACTTGAGGTAACAGAGAGCGTGGTACAAGGTACCAATTGGGCTTGCGAGGCGTCTTCTGCGATAGTTGTGGAAGATTTCTCTTGTGGTGTGACTGGCTGTTTTGGACTCTTGGCTGGAGTTCTACACTTTAGACAGGGTAAGTTGATGTATCTAAACTGTTCTTCCTAGAGGTTCATCAAGGATAATCTCTTATTGATCCAGTGTTGCTATACTACATGGGGCTGGTTGTTCTAAAAGCATTCAACTTCAACGGCGGACAGGTTTAAAAGGCCAAACGCCTTTGAACAACCCGTCCCCAAGAGGAAACCTAAAATAATCTATAACACTGATTAGCTCTCGTATGGTATTTAATCTTTATTCGTGAGGATAATCTTTATTCATCCAGTGTTCTCAAAAGCTCAAACTCAGCTCAGTTCTCACTGGAAAACCTGATGCGTGGTTTATCATTTTTTAAGATATAAGTACTGAATCGCCGCTTGGAACAGGATGGACGTCTGTTGATGGCCCGAAACATGAAGCTTTCGTCAAAATAAAGGCCGGTCCAATCTACGAGCTCTGGGGAATCACTATAGACGGATATCCTTATAAAAGACTGGGAATGACTGATAGTATTCCTATAGGAACAGCCTGGGAACTAGTACCGGATGTTTTACTGAAAGATGTGTCGTTTGGTATTTATGGTCCAGTGGGTATTGCGAAATACGTAAACGAAATTATTATTTTGAATGGTGAGAGCATGTTATGATAATCTCTTCTGTTTGGTGCTTTCACGATATGTCCTAAGACCATTTCACATTGTCACTGGACGAAATTGCTTGAATCAGTTGAAAGAAAAATTAGGTATTCTCTGGTAGTAATAATGGAATCAGTATTTCTGGTTTCTAATTAGTTGATTTCTGCCAAACTTGTTTTAAATCAGCTAATAGCTCTAATTGGTTGATTATTAACTCTAATTGGTTGATTATGAGCTCTAATTGGGTGATTATGAACTCTAATTGGTTGATTATTAGCTCTAATTGTTTGGTTTCTAGAGTAATTGTTAATTGTTCTCAATTTTCACTCCCAGGTTCTCCTACGTCAAAACGTCAACAAGAGTTGGACGATTATTGTGCTGAGAAAGTTTCGCAGTGTGACCCTAGTTCTGTTGCATCTGGTTGTCCATCAAAACTTTCGTCTTGTAAAGCTCGTTTTACTCCAAAAACTCTCCAGACACATCGTTGGAGGTGTTTCACTGACGATGGTTTGAACTTGGACGGAAATTTGTGGTTAGATGGCGAGATATGCTTTTACACCAAACATGAGCCTTTACGAGGAATTGCTTTAAGATATCCAGTTTTTGGCGATTTTGAAAAGCAGTTATGGATGGATGCCTTTTGTCAAAGATCTGCCGCGTCGTTCGGGTGTTCACAACCTTATTTCTCATATTTGAATTACACAACCCAAAATTTTTGTTGTCGTTCTTTGGTTACAAAGACTTCCTGTCCTGTGATAGAGGATAAACATGATGAACTATTTGCTATGACCAGAGGTAAGGATACAGAAGATTATTGGAAGACTTTGGACGTTTGTTTGGGGTAAACACTACGTGAATTTAGTTTTACAGAGTTTTCTGTCCGTAAGCCCGGACCATCATCCGGGCAATTCACTAAATTTAAGTGGTGTTTCCACAAGCAAACGTCTAAAATTATATATCGCCATGCAAACTTTCAAATAACTTATGTTGGAAGACTGTTGAGTGAATTTTTTTCATGCAAAACGTTTTTCTGTAAAAGGATTCTTAATTACCAAACAGTTTAATACAGTCGGTGAAATATAATCCGGTGATCTGCGCTCATATTTTATTAAAGATTGTTGAAATAGAAATATATTCTGTATGAAACCAGCCGAAGTTTTGTGTTTATTTCGAGTTATGTTAAATAAAGTAAAATTATTAAGTTAAAATTATTGTTTTTTCAAGCGAAAAAATTAATTTTTGTTTGACAAATATTCGCAGTCCCTACCCACCATTTCAGATCACTTAGTTACGAAATATTTCATCATTTCTTTCGCTTGATTTATTCTTTCTTACTACCATGTTTTATTTCTTTTCCACAGGAACTTGTGCTGATAATCCTCTTGTTGAACCTTTTGCAAGCAGTCAGTTCTCAACGTCTTTAAACCAATTTTATGTTCCTGTAAAGTTATCTAGCATTACCGAATTTTGTCATCAATATCCCTATGGAACTGTGGACGTTTTTGTCGAAATTGATTTTCTGTTTCGACATAAGATTTGCGCTGTCGGTACAATGGGTATGAATGGTTTTTTTATACCAAACTATCAAATTTCTTACGGTGTAAAAAAAGATAGTTGGAATACATCCTCTGTACTCGGATATCCTTATGTAAGTAATAAAAAAATTAATAATAATAATAAAAAGTTTCGATCACATTTTTAGGCAGCTTCAACTCGATGTTAGCTAGAATCATGCACAAAGTCCTAGTTTAGCCTTGCATAACCCCAAAGTAATGTGCTTCTTTTATGCACTACATTCTTGTAGTGTGCTTAAATGATAATAACTTTAAACATCTGTATTCTATAGGTATATGAAGTTAACGCAACCACGTTAGTTAAACGTTATTTGCCTGCCCAAGTGGAAGCAAGATGGTTTCGCATCACATTTCAATCGGTTAAAACTGAAAAGAGATGTTTGAAAGTTGAAGTTTATGGCTCTTCTTTAGGTTAGTGACACATCTCTTGATCAGGGGTGTGAGGTAGGGTGTGTGTGGGAAAAGGTGTAGCAGGGAAGGGCAGAGTGTGTGGGTGGGGGGGAGTTTCTTTAAAAATATCTGTCATATGCATATGGGTCATTGGTCATAAATTTTGTAAAAAGATTTTTGTGTCTGACGACAAGTGCAATACAATATGGTGTGGTTATGGTTTGTGCTCGATATATAGAATCAATACTCTTTGTTTTGTCCGTTTAGAAACAGAAGCGGACTCGTGTAGTTACTACAAGGATCATCTCGGTGCTGATCTGGATGGTGTTTATAATATATATCCGAAGGACACGGAAATAAAGAAGCGGGTATTTTGTAAAGGGATTAGAAGTCGTGAACCTGTTGTTGAGTATCCATTTGAAGAGCTTGGTAAGTTGGTTGAGTCAACAAAAGTCATTTAAAATTAACATATGGAGGGTTAGGAGAAATATTCATTCGTATATAAACCGCAATGATATGCAAGAACCTGGAAATTATAGCCTTATTCCAATCGAACCTTGTTACTTATCTTAACTCTATTCTAACGCTGATTCTGGTTACTCCTTAGTCAAACCCTAATCTTTTCAACACGCTCTAATCTAATAACCCTAATCCGTCCATGTATTTATAGTCGGCATTGAAGAAATCGGTTGTTTTCATGACACTCAATCACGTGCATTGCCGGTTCATTTTGACGTCAGTGCAAACAATGCTGTTGCACAGTGTCAGGCCAAGGCTCATGCTGCAGGATATGAAGTTTTTGGTATACAGTCCCCTGCTCTATGTTTTACTGGACCGCGAGCTCATCTTACATATAATCAATACGGTGAAGCAGGGAATTGTGTGGACGGAAAAGGAGGTGGTTGGAGCAATACCGTTTATCGCATTCGGAAAGGTAAGATGTGTTTCCATGTTGTCTCAATATCAAACCGTTTTCATCCCTCGATTTTTGGATGTTCAAACCACTGAGCGAGCGAACTGTGTTAAAACCTGGAACGCTAAACTTGGCCGCTATCTTTGAAGCCAAATTTGTAGTCTTGGAAGGTGTGAAGATACGTAGGAAACCTTGTGACGATGGATACAGTTTGATAATTAGGGTTGACAGAGGATACCAAAGTACCTAAAGCTTCACCTATAAGTTTTAAAATATTATTTCACAAAGAAGCGGGTAAATTGCAAGCATATTTTTCCACATCCCTTTATACTTCATTCGTTTTTTTTTCCAGCTGATAAGTTCTTTTGGCCTCTAAATACAACTGTCGGTGGCAAACCTGCCCCAATCAAACATGGAAAACACGCAGTGAATGTCTTGCAAAGTTCAGGTAGTTATGCCCTTGCTCGGTTTCCTAACCACTGTGTCACCGACCCTGAACTCTGCGATGATGGTCTCAGTCTTGAGTTCTGGTTGTGGTTTGATTACACATTTGATAACATTCTAACAAGAATAATCAAGTCGGGTTTTGGTAAACCACAAGTCACATCTCGTGGTTTCACAGTAGATTTAAAATACCATCATATTTGTATGGTGATTCATACGGAATGGTACTCGTATAAAGCGTGTGTTGGTCCTCTTGGAAGACCAAAACAATGGCTTCATGTTCTCGCATTCTGGGATGTTACTTCTGGACTCACAGTAATAGGTATCGTAACGTTATATATTTTTGCTGGAAGGCCACGTAAAGTAAAGTCTGAAACATCAAATATCTCGTCATTTCTATTTCAGTGGATGATCTGCAACTGAATTCCCAGGGAATAAAGAAAAGATGGCAACATCGATATTTTGACACCAACAGTGAGCTACGTTTGGGAGATATTTATTATGGCACTGCCAAGAGATATGAAGTTGCAATTCACTCTCTCACAATATGGGCACGAAAACTTTCTAACGATGAAGTAGAAGCACGGTTTACGAAAGGTAAGGGTAATATCTTTAGGCTCACACCTGCAATTTTTGCTGCGATTTCGTCTTCTGATAGATGTAAACGAGTAACAAGTTAGAAATGTTCTGATGTACAAGAGCTCTTATCAGAACATCCGTAACTAATTCACTCGTTCACATTTATCAAAAGAAGAAAATCGCAAGTGTAAACGGACCTTTACGACACTTGTTCTCTACTCCAGAGTTAGTTGTGTTAGTTGAATGAATCGATTCCTAAACCAAAAATGAACAGGTTTACTGATACGATCTGGCCCAACGAAGTTGTTTCCCGTAAATACTTGTTTTGGCTCGTCTTTTCATGCATAGCCAATGCATGCAATTAAGACGTAAAACCAGCAGTTTTTTATGCTTGTATTATCACGTTAATTTTATAGTTTAAATGTGTTTAAGACAAATAATTTTCCACCACATTATAGGTTATACTATGGGAGCAGAGGGAGAGTCGTGTGATGTATATTGTACGGCAAAAGGATTAACGTGTGACCCAGCTATGTTTGGAAAGTTTAAAAACATCTTTAGTCGTCTGGGTGTGGAGTGCGCCTCATATCAGCCGTACGATCCTTTAGATAAAGCTCAGCCTTACGCCACGGTGGGTAAAACATGTCATGGTCTTTTTGAAAAGGAAAAAAAGATACCTTGTGGTGCTTCAAAAGTTGCTGTTCGTCGCTTATGTCGTTGTGAACGACCGGGTAAGTTTTGCATTATAGGAGTTAGCTAAATTAGCTTTCACAATATATGAAACTTGTAAAAGATCGATTGATTCCAGGTTTGTGGAGTGGTTTAAATATAAATAGATTGCGTTTTTAAGTTCTGATTTGGTTTTCATTAGTACACGGAGTGTTCACCGAGTGGTCTCACTGGAGTTTTTGTTCTCGTACTTGTGGATCTGGACGACGCGTGAGAACTCGTTCTTGTACACATCCTTCTCCAAGATTTGGAGGCAAAGATTGTGAAGGAATAACAAGTATGCATGATGATTGCCAGGAATTGCCTTGTGGCGGTAAGCAGGAAATATTTGATTGTTTAAATGGACATGAACGATTCTTCAACAAGATCCATTAAATCAGTGAAATATTTTTCTATATTCAATGTTCAATGTCAACATAATATTCAATGTTTTCATTCGTACAATGGTAGGAATATTTTCATATTTTCATGGTCAGCAAAATGAGATTAAGAGATCAGTATTATAGCCCGCCTGTCATGCCACTATATATTGCCTGATATACTCGTTCTTTCTTTATTTCAGTGCGACACGGAATCTTACATGAGACCTGGCTAGGCAATCCTGATTTTATCCTTTCTACAACTAGTCAAATTTACAAATTTAGAAACTACCCGGACAGGCCGTCGTTTTCCCACATCATTGAAAACTTTTCAATGGAAAGCAATCGTACATTTTACGCAGAGCGATTTAGAACATATTTCATCGCCCCAAACGATGGTGATTACATATTCAGGATAGAATGCCCAGTTGCTTGTTCCATGAGTTTCAGGAAGAGATACAAAGTGCGTTTACTTGTGAACATTGAGAAAGGGTAAGAATTCTTTGCAGATTATAATGTTCTCTAAGCCATGAAGGCCATTTCATATGATCGTGTGTATTATAATTATCATTATTTTTCTTTTTAGGCCTAGAGTGTTTTCTAGCACCGTCACAGATCTTGTTGCTGGCGAGAAATACTTTCTTCTATTGAGTTCCGTTCACAACGACGTTTCCAATCCATTTAAGCTTGGATTCGAATGTATCTCTAGCGGCTTAAATATCAATCCTATAACTAAAGAGTATTTAATGTGGCCAGCTCAAGGTAATAAATTTAATCAGGGGTTTTATAGATAAGCTTTTAGATAAGAAAGGGTGACAATATTTTAATAGAGGGGTGATTTAATACAGAGGATATTTTATCAGAGAGGGTGTTTAATATAGGAAGGGTAGTTAAATAGAGCAAGTAGAAAGATGTTTGATAAAGAGCTTGGGCAAAAATTATCTTATTCATTTTTAGCTGAGCAAGGTGTATCAAGGGAATTATGGGACGTAAGTCTTAAGGGTAATGTATATGTCTCCAGAAGTAATACAGAAAATGTTGTAAAAAATGAAGGTGAGGCAGACTTCAGCGAAGAACGTGATAATTTCGAAATAGAAAGTTTTGGAAAGTTCTACGTTCAACGACTACAAGGCTACTTTTTAGCAACATCAAATGGACAATATCGTTTCTACTTGTCTTGTCGTGAAAGATGTTATTTGTATATGGACGATGTTTACCAGTTTGGTGACCATGACACATGGATTGACTCGAAATGGAGCAGGTGTGACAAACTATAGTTATTTGTTTAGTATTTGTTTAGCTATTACCACCAAACAGAACACGAAGTTAACTGCATAAAGACAAATCTCTATTCGTGGTTTTCAATGCCCCCTCATTGACACGGGTCGCCCGTTTACAGTTAAGAAGACTACATCCTATAATTCTACGAAACGCAATAAGAAGATTTTTCCAAATTTACCAAAATTTGTCCTAGAATTTTCTGCTGGAAATCACCACCATGCATTGCTATCTCCATGACTTTTCTATTAATAATCTGATTGGTTATTACATTTTAAACAGTGGAGAGGAATTCACAAAAACTTTGGAAGGCGGGAAGTTTTACAAAATTGTTATACTGCATTATCAACGGTCTTGGACACAGGACTATGTTGCCTTAGGAGTAACTTTGCCTGACGGAACTGTGTTACATCCAATCAGCAAACAGTATTTGTGGCTCAAAATTCCAGGTAAAGTTTACGTGTTCATCACTGTTATGCTGGATCACTTTTAGGGCTCCGATGGGGAAGTCGTTTTTGTTGAAACTTTTAGCAGTCCGCAGATATTTATATGATTTGTTAGCTGTGTAAGTTCTAAACTATTTTCCTATAGAATGTCCAGTATGGAACAAGAAAAAACCTGTACTCAATAAACTATAAGAATATTAGAGCTCTAAGTGCATGTACTTGAGGTCAAATAGTTATCTCCTGTTGTGAATCTTATTTTACTGTGGTTGCAACATCTTGTCAAAACTATTAAGACGATTCCTTGTTCTTTTGATATTCCTTAGATAAGCTTGAACTTGAAAGACAACCAGCGCAGAAAAATGTTCTCTCGTCGTCTCCTGTTGGTAATGCGTTAGATGGTGTACCTAATACGTGTTCAATGTCCAGTTCAACTACAAATCCATGGTTGCAGTTAGAAAGTGAAATCATATTCACTGTATTTGGTGTCGCGATTACAAACCAGATTACTAATCCTTCAATGCTTGATAACGTCGAAGTTAGAATAGGAGGTCACAAAGCTGTGCATGCTAGACATAGAAATCATTTGTGTTATGCTCCGATTGCTCACATATCATCCGGTGAAACAAGAGCTTATCCATGTACATCCAGACTGAGTGGGAGATTCGTGATAATCTGGTTACCAGGCAACAATAGAGTCTTGACTATATGTGAGGTTGTTGTATACGGACGGAGGCCTCAAGGTAAGACTTGCTTCTTTTTGGGTTTCTTAAAATATCCCTCGTTCCTAAACAACTCCCTTGCACTCAAGATTTTCACTCCTTCCTAACCAATCAGATCGTTTTGATATCTGGCAAGCCACCTCATCCTCAAATCTTTTTCTTTATGTGATTTTACTAAGAAGTTAAATTTTTTTTCAATTTACTATATTAGTTTTCAAAAACAGTTATGATCAAGGAGCAGAGGATGGAAGAGTTGAGCAGTGGCAGACTAGTTCTTCTGAAGCGATGCCGCGTCATGATAAAAGGAATATTGCGTTGCATCATCCATACAGTAGTTGGTGCGGGAGTGAAGACGATTCATTTTGGGAAGTGCGATTCATTGAGCGTCGAAGTATTGTTGGTGTTATGACTGGCCCAGATCCTTTGGAGCATAAATATGTGACTAATGCAAGAATTATGGTTCAGGATGAAAACGATGACTGGATCATTGTCAAAAATCAACAACATGATGTAAGTTTAATGACTTGCCATAGAGTGAAGACGATAACAAGCTTTCAAGTAAACAAGCTTTTAGAAAATGAATCATGCAAAAATGCGTGTCAAATACTTGTGAAAAACCGGATTCTTTCAAATCTATCCACAGATAACCATTACTAACCTCATCTTCTTTTGCAGCACTTTGGCATGAATCAGGAAATAAGGTTTTTGGACTTTCGGAAAACCTACCATACTAAATCTTTGAAGTTCATCCCACTTTCATGGTTCCACAAACCTTGTGTCCGCCTATCAATAATAGGAAAACAGTGGGGTAAGTTGATTGAAACTGGCTTGGTTGTTATCAGAGCTTTGAAATGACAGTTACTTTGCCTATTATTAAGGTGGTCTTACAGGAAAAAATATAATGAAATCGTGAATTTTGCTATTTTCTAAAAATTGACTAATTGCAATCTTTGTTATTTGTTTTTTGATGTACAATTAGCTTTTTTCTCAAAAGTTCACGCAGACCTCGAAAAAATCCCTTTTTTTTTGGGAAGGTATAATATTTTCCCCCTAGTAACGGGCTTAGCAACCAATGTTTACTGTTAGAAAACTTGTTTATTTGTTGGTGTATGAAAATTTCTTTTTGTTTCACCCCTCCCCCATACAGGAGAATAGTTCTAGTAGCTGCTGACCACTTTTAACGTCGTCCATCCCCTTGTTTTGCATATTTTCCTTCGCTTACTATACAAAGTTGAATCAACATATTTCGCGGTGAATTTGTTGCTAAGATCATTCTTAACTTTTGCGCTTTGGGATTGGTCTTTGTTGCTTCATTTTATTATATTTTTGTTGTGAAATGCCAAGGGAATACAGGAGAAGTAAGAAACGAAAGTTTTGCGGCAATCGCTATGATAATTCAGCGAAGAAAAAACGCGTTGATACTGTTGATGGGGATACAATATCGGCCGATCCTTCAACTTCCGCAGCAAATGAAGCTGTTCTAAATACATCTGCTTCAGCCAAAAAAATTGGGTTTTCTGACATTCCAGATGACAGTAGCTATAGCGAACAAAGCCAAAGCACAGATGTAAGTGGCTATCGGTTTGTTGACCTTCAAATAATGTCAGAATTTGTGTCTGAGGTGTGTTGTAAGGAATGTGGCAGTTCCTGCCTCGTACTTGAAGACAACCCTCGAGAGAGAAAAGGTTCTGCCTCCCATCTAAGAGCCCGTTGTGAAGCTTGCGGGTGGGTATATACATTTTACACTTCCAAGAAGGTAGGACACTCGTTTGACGTGAATAAAAGATTCGTTTACGCTATGCGAAGCCTTGGTGAAGGACATACATCAGCCAAACGATTCTGTGCCTTGATGGACATGCCACCCCCTCTTCAACCAACTGCATACAGGGATTGTAACATTGCTTTGGCCAAGGCAGCAAAGGCAGTGGCTACAACCACCATGCTAAATGCTGCTAATGAAGTGAAGAAGGACCCAACTAATCAAATCAACCAGTGTTCTGTATCATGTGATGGTACTTGGCAAAGGCGTGGGCATTCCTCACTGAATGGTTGTGTAACAACACTATCAATGGATACAGGAAAGTGTTTAGATGTTGAAATCTTAACAAAAGTTTGTCATGGTTGCCAAAAAGTAGAGAGAGAGAAAGATTTGGAAGAAAAAGCAGCTAAGAAGGAAGTCCATATTAGCAAATGTAAAATAAATCACAAGGGTTCATCAGCTGCCATGGAGACTGAAGGCGTAAAACGTATATTCCGAAGAAGTGAAGAGGATAGGAAACTTCAGTACACTGAGTATTTTGGGGATGGTGATAGCAAGGCACATGCTGAGGTAGAAAATATCTATCATGGAATAAAGATTGCAAAAAAAGAATGTGTTGGACATGTTCAGAAGCGTGTTGGAACTGCTTTGCGGAAACTAAAAAAAGAAAACAAAGGTATTGGCGGGAAGGGAAAGCTTACCAACACACTAATAGACAAACTTCAGAATTACTATGGGATTGCAATCCGTAGCAACTCTGGGGATCTCAAAGCAATGAAAGCAGCCATTTTTGCAAGTCTTTTTCACTGTGTTTCTTCAAAGAAGAGAAATCTGCATACCCACTGTCCTGATGGACCTAACAGTTGGTGTAGATTCAAACAGGATAAAGCAAATAATACTACAAAATATGTGCCTGGACCTGGGCTTCCAGACAATATTATTAAGTTGATCAGGCCCATATATGAAAGACTCAGCAGTGATGAGCTACTGAGCAAATGTTTAGATGGCAAGACGCAAAATCAAAATGAATCCTTGAATGGGATGATCTGGAATAGGATTCCGAAGAACGTTTTTGTTGGTGCCAATGTTCTGGAACTTGGTGTATATGATGCTGTGGCACACTTTAACATTGGTGCAGAGGCTGCAGTTAATCTTCTTAAGGAAGTGAAGTTGAAGCCAGGAAAGTTTTGTGTAGAAGGGCTGAACAAGATTAATAAAGAGCGAGTGAAGAGGGCAAATGTCAAGGCTAAAGAATGTTCGAGAAAGAAGAGAAAGATATTACGAGGCCAAAAGAAAAGGAAAGATGAAAAACTAAAGGAGGAAGAGGGTACTACATACAAATCAGGAGGATTTTAAGGAATTTTTGGTAATATTGGCTTGTTTTTATGTCAATTCGAACAAGTTAATGCAGTAAATTTCTTGTAACTTAAACTTTGATGCTGTTTTTCCCAGTTTACGATTTTGATACATTTTGCGATATTCAAAACATGATAACTAAGAAAGTATTTGAGCAAATGCTGTGAAATTTTCAGTATTTACAGTTTCTTGAAATTCTCTAGGAGATGAACTAGAATGGAATTGTTTGGTTGAATTAAAACCAAGATATTATCATTAATGTAACACAATATCCTGTTTTAGCCACCTTAAGTAAGATTTCACAATGACCTTTTACAACAGAAGGATAATTCTAGTTCATCTCCAAGACAGTCACTTTAGCAATAAAATAAAGCTTTTCCCATGTTTATATCATTAATATATCTTTAGTTATCATGTTTTAAAATGTGCCCTATTTTATTGGGAAAAAGCCTGTTATCTCTGTAACCATGGTAACCCAACTTTACTAAGTTGTGTTTTTAGTGTCTCACTTTACCCTCTAACAACTTCCCAAAGCAAAAAGTTCAATTTGTTTGAAAATAAGGAAAAAAATTTTTTCCCTGTAAGACCACCTTCCAGTATTCCTAGAGTATACACAATACAGAAGTATTAAACTACATTTAAAGATTAAAGTACCTTTCTCTGGAAAGCTTTATATCATTTCGACATCTCAACTCTGACAGGTCCATTGAGAATCCTTCCTTATTTATTAGGTGTTACTATGATAAGGCACTTGGATAGACGAACTTTATTTATGCTAGGTAGCTCTACCGTTTTAATTAACTGTTTTTCCTGGAGGTCCAATAAGAATCATCTCTTATTGATCCAGTGTTACTACAGGAGGAAACCTAAACTAAACTAACTTTATTTATACTGGATAGCAGTTCTAAACTGTTCTTCCTAGAGGCTCAATAAGGATCATCTCTTCACAGAGATTTTATTTATATATGGCTATATACCTACAATAATAAGAACTTTTTTTCAACAGATAATTCCTTTGCTTGGCCATTCTATAATGTTGAAAATACGACACGTATGAGACTTTCTGGCGCAGAAAGCTTTGTTAAGGTTGGAGGAAAACCAGGATACCTTATTCCAACAACCAGTCATATTGAGTTATCGGGACTCAATATTTTATGCCTTTGGGATCCGAAAAAATGTTCTGGTAGTTTTGTAATAGGAATTCAAATTTCTGTGAAAGATGTTTCAGTTGATGGCGTCATTTTCAGCACAAGCGGTCACAATACTTCTGTTGTGGGTACATCATTGTTTCTGAAGGATTCAAATTTGGTCGTAGCCATTCGTACAGCAACCAGGATTTGGACTGTAACTGCGCCTGCAAGCGGTTTAGATCGTGACAATTTCACATATGTGATGATATATTGGCAGTACAATAATGATATTAGTTTAGAAATTGATCGTATTCCTTACACAGCACCATATAAGGTGGTACCTGGTGTTCCTTACAATGGGGATCTGTTTCCTGGTGTGATCAAACTTGGTGGAACAGAATTTATAATAAATTGGTTTACTCTCGACATAATACCTTATACGACATCGTTCAACAAAAGAATACAGTATGCAGGTAATATTCAGCAAGATTTGTTATTTTGGGATTCTTCAGTAATATCCGCACCCTATTAACTTGATTTTTAAAACTCTCTCGGCGAAGCTGTTATCCAACATCAAGCTGTTATCCAACCAGGATCTTTATCTAAGAGTGTGAAATTTTCCTACGATTCTTACACGATCGAAATTCTTTTACGTTCAATAGTAGTGATATAACATATTTTCCCTTTACCCTAGCTGATGGCTGGCATACAGAGTGGACATCTTGGAGTTACTGTTCTAGATCATGCGGTGTTTCGGGAGTGCAGTATCGTTACAGGCGATGTACCAACCCCTTCCCGATATTTGATGGATTAGAATGCCCACTGGATACTTTGAAAGAGACGCGTCCTTGTCCTAAGCCGTCATGTGAAAGTAAGTTGCAGGTTTCCCATAAGGTCCATATTCTCATTTTCCGTATTTTTTTTTGTATTTCATGCCCGTTAATAAGAATACGTTTGAGTTAAGCCGGAAAAAAAATGAATTAATTTAGCGCAGGAGGAAGATAGGATAAATGTTCCACAATTTACCTCTTAAAACTCGAACTTTTTCAGCAAATGATGGCGTTCTTCGCGAAGTTTGGATGAACAAAAGTCCTCCTCAATTTTCTTTATCAAATGTATTTGATGATTACCCAAGTAATCTGGAAGTTGTGGCTGACTTTTCTATCACTTATAATGAAGGTCCCTTTGCCGAGAGACTTCGGACTTTCTTACAAGCAAACAAGAGTGGAGAGTTTCAAATTCAAATATCTTGCACTTACCAATGTGAATTATGGATAAGCCCAAACGATGTGCCCGATCACAAGATGAAAATTCTGTCACATGATGCGAGTAGTAATTCTCATTGGCCAGTAAGGTAGGTCTGACAAGCTTGCCGACCAACTGAGCGCCCCAGTTCACTGGATTGCTTACACTTTACATCACCAATAGCCGACCGATAAGCTGTGCTAAGCATTTTCTTTGCAACTTCTATAGGATTTTAACTGGAAGCTACAATTTCAAAGCCGACGAGAATTATTACCTCGAGGTGAGATCATTTGACATTACAGGAGGAAGAAATCACGAATTGTTAACAATCAAGACTCCGGGTTTTGCTGATCCTGGTTTCTCATTGGTTCGTCACAAACCTGGTATGTTACTATTTTTTAGAAAGGTCTCATCACGCCCTTAATTCATCGCGTTGCTTGCAGATTTTCTATATACTTTGTGAAGGAACGTCTTAATTGCAAACAACGAACACTATTTTGTCGAATTTACAGATTGTTATCACGGGCTTGGAGTTGAATCAGGTGCTATTCCTGACGGCGATCTTTACTCGGATGCCACCCCGCAATACAGTCGTTTTGGGTACCGCGGTCGATTGAACGGCGCGTCTCCCCATTGTGCAAAAAGGCTAAATGACTATTATTTTGCCGTCGATCTGGTTCAATTACATTGGATTGTTGCTGTCGCTGTACAAGGTTACATGGAAGGAGGGTTGCAAGGCCATGTCTCTAAATTAATACTTCGAACAAGGCTTGATCGCGCAGAAAATAAAATCACAGACCTTGATACCGTACCCAAGGTATATCACCAAGTGCTCACAGTGTCTTTGTTTTTGAAACCATTTTTGCTGAACTTACTTCATTACATGCTATTTTATTGTAGCTCTATGAAGCCAATGAAAACACACAGAATATAAAAGTTATTAATTTGACAGAGCCAATACGATCTCGATATGTCACTATTTGGATTGATGAATTCTATGGTGATGGTTGTCTCCGAGTAGATGTCGTAGGTTGTCATGCTGGTATGTATCATCATTATCTTCATCACAATCATCATCATCATCATCATCACTATCATCATCATCATCATCATCATCATCACTATCATATCATCACTATCATCATCATCATCACTATCATCATCATCATCACTATCATCATCATCACTATCATCATCACCTGACTCAAAAATGTTTTAGGAAACGTTGCATACTCAAAGGACACCGAACAGTCGACATTAACAGACAGTGGCAAGGCAGTTGATGGTTTGTTTTATCGTTTTTGGAAATATTGTTCTAATCCAAAGCAAAAAGATAACATGATATGGTGGGTGGTAGATTTTGGAAGATCTTACTATATTGGTGAAATTTTTATCGTTGGAAGACGTGATTGCTGCCAGGATCGTATGCAGAATCTTCAAGTACGTATTGGACATCAGAATGGGACTTCAAGTCTTTTAAATCCTCAATGCGGGGGACTTCATTCAGTTTATCCTGCCCGGTCCCTGTCAGTCTATTGTGAACCATATAGATATGGACAGTATTTGACTATCGCTCGAGAGAGTGCCGATTCAGATATCTCATTATGTGAAGTTGCTGCCTTCCAAATTGAGAATGGTATGTCTTGCAGTCTTTATGAATCACTTCTGTTGCATAACAGCAATAATTTCGTATTCTTTAATCATCTCAAAGACTCAAACGTATTCTCACCATTCATAAGAATTTAAACAAAATGCATTCTAATGAAAATTTAACATACTTTTCTTTTTAGATACTGTATTTTCAAATTGGTCTGATTGCTCTGTCACTTGTGGCTTTGGATATGAGCAACGGCATTCAATTTGTATCAAACCGTATTACTGCAAGAAAGAGGTTGAAGTTCGGCCTTGTTTTGCCGGTCAAATGTGTGAGAGTACGTGAAATGTTTGTGTTATTATGTGTGTGCATGTGGATGCATGGTTTTAACTGATATTGATCTCTTTAGCTTCAAGTGCAGCAAAAACTACCGTTTCTACCACCGCCTAAACGCCCTCTTATTCAACTCTTTTTGTTTAGTTTTAATGCAGAACTGTGGTCAACTACATGCTCTTGGCAAAACCAGAAGCGGAACGTATAAAGTTAGACCAAATCCTGCGATAGAGAACGATATTTACGTATATTGTGACCATGACACGGATAAAGGCGGTTGGTTTGTTCTTCAACGTCGATATTCTGATGGTGGTCTTAACATGACTCAGTCATGGAACATGTATCGGGATGGTTATGGCAACGTCAGTACTGAATTTTGGATCGGTAACAAGTACCTCAGTGAACTCACCAATCACACTGCTTATGAGATCATGTTTCTTTTCAAAAGTACAATTGGGAGCACTTTAAAGAAAACTAAATGTGACGCATTCAAAATATTACCTGAAGAGGAAAATTATCGTTTACAACTTGGTACATGTGAGGGTCCTGATACCGAAGTTTTAAGATATTCAAATGGGACGGAGTTTTCAACATGGGACAAAGATAATGGGCTGGGTTTATTAAGCTGTACGTCTCGTAAAATGACAGGATGGTGGTTTGGAAATTGTGATTCTTATATTAACGAGCAGAATCTATCTTGTTTTGGACTTGTTTCCTGTAAATATGATGTTACTATGATGATCAAGCCAAATAAAGGTAACACGTCATACCATATCATATCCTGCGATACTATACCATACCGTACCAAAATTATACCATACCATACCCAAACCATACCATACCATACCAACCATACCAAAACTATACTATACCATACCAAAATTATACCATACCATACCAAAACTATATCATACCATGCCATGGCATATCATGACATATCAAACTCCTAACGTATTGTTTTTTTGTTCTTCAGTTGATGGTGGATGGTCACACTGGACAATGTGGGAAACATGTGGTAAGCCTTGTGGTGGAGGAAATAGTTCACGTGTTCGTTCGTGTACCCATCCTCCCCCTACTGGTGGCGGAGATGACTGTGAAGGAGCTTGGAACGAGACACGTGGCTGCAACACAAACTCATGTCCTGGTAAAATATATTACTGAGAAAATTAGGTAGAAGAATATCACTCCAGTTTTGTTCAGGGTGAATTTAATGTCGGTTTTAGAAATTGAACTGAATATGACGATGCGATTTACGGCGGAAACGTGGACGGCAGACTTACTGATTGCTGTGTCAAGTACATTCACAGAGCTGGTGAACAAAATCAGAAATAATGTAAGCTTATTCATGTACTACATTCCTTTGTGTTTAGCAAACATATTATTGCAAATGATTGTGAAACACGGGGTGCAATGTCTTAGCAGTTCGTATCCATATGATGCATGAAATCATGTGAAATGCATTTCTGAAACCATCAGTTGAAACCATTTGAGCAAAAAACTAGCATCATTCCTCATTTTCATCCTTTGTGTAGATTTTATCAATTTACGAGAATGATCCAGCAATTAGCGTCCTTGTTCACGGATTCAGGTTTGAGATTATTGTCTTTGTGTTGCTCTTATTTCTAACATTATTTGGAATAATTCTAGTGATTTAAAAAATCTCTGTTTTATCAGACAAGGCAGTGTGATAGCAGACGTTTCAATAAAATATGAAGCCCTGGACGCTCAACAGCTGATTGTTTTACAAGAAGATCTTGATCAAGATGGATTACTCAATCAGAATATGCCAGTTGTTTACAGTCATAGCGAGATTGTAGTCACTGAAGGTTCGTTCTTTAGTGCAAATACATATTCACATATATTTTGAAAAACGACTTTGGTTAAAGGAATGACGAGGATTTCATAGCTCGGATGCAAGTGTAATCATCAACTAGTTAGTCGTCCACGTTATTACAGAACTATTTAGACCGAGTTCAACGCTATTTGTGCAAACAGCTTAGATTTTTTTTTATTCTACAGCGTATTTTTTTCTTCTCAAATCTCTAATTTGACAATATAATTTAATTTGGCAAATCAAGCTGTTAATATTGCAAGTATTTCTTGATGTATTGGTACAATATTGTTATCCACAGCAAATACCACTTCATATCACTCTTTTAGTTCTCTTTGGTCCCCCTGTGATAACGGAATCTGGCAATTCAAGTTCATCGAGTATTTATTTGAAATGGCAGCCACCAAATTCAACTGAACTTCATAAAATACTTGGGTACAGGATATTTTACAAAAAAAGCAATAACACATCGTTGTTTATGTCAGCTCTGGCTGTCGAGAAAGATGTCTTCGAAATTGAAATTAATGATCTGGAATTTTATACGAATTATTCTGTGAGAGCGTGTGCATTTTCCTCATCTGGCAATGGCGTACCAACTACACCACACTATATCATGACTGATGAAGACGGTAAATGTTTTGTGTGCATATTCACGTTGTTGTAACAAGAGGCCGAAGCATTTCCTAAGCATGTTGCCGACTAATTTTATGTATTTTTCGTTTCAAGTTCCGATTATTGCTCCAGTGATAATATCTGCTTATAATATCAGTTGCACATCGATGAATATATCTTGGCATCCTGTTGACCTGCCGTCATTCCGCGGTGTTCCTACGGGATATGTATTACACTACAGGATAAAGACGTCGGACAATACGACAGCATTTTTTAATGCAACAATTGAAGATTACCTCGAGACAAGCATCAATATTTCCGATTTAATGATCTATAAAGAATACGAGATATATATGACCGCAACGACAATCAAAGGGCAGGGAAAGCGAGGAGACTATGTGTACTTGAGGACAGATGAGGACGGTAGGGGATAAGATAGATATTATATTATAATTCCATACATGTTTAATCTTATGACAAAGTGTACGATAACCACACAACTTTCTCTTCATTCATTTAGTTCCTCAGATAGGTCCTCAGAATTTAACGTTGGAAAACAGAACTTCAACATCGCTGCTTATTTCCTGGTCAGCGATCCATCAGGAATACGTGAATGGTGTGTTGCGAGGATATGTCATTGAATACTGGCCTATTGATGATGTTAATGATACCAAGAATGCTACTGTTGGTCCAGGAAAGACGGAAGTTGAGCTCATTAACTTGTTAAAGTTCACTAACTATAGTATAAAGTTTGCTGGCATGACTTGGAAAGGAATTGGAAACTGGAGTGACACTATGTTTCAGACTGCTGAAGATAGTAAGTGGGATGAAATTTTAAAACTTTTATTTATTATTTGTTAGGAACATTGCCTTTTAATTAAATTCACTTTTTTTCCTCAAATATAGTTCCAGATTGGGGTCCACTGGATCTTACGGCTCTCAATGTCAGCGAGACTGCAATCAATGTAACTTGGGCTCTCATTCCTGAAGAATACAGAAATGGTATCATCATTGGTTACAGAGTTCATTTTGTAGATTTCTATCGACATTCAGGAAATGTTACAGTTCCAGCATCACAAAGAAATATAATTTTGAAGGACTTGCGCTCCTACACGATGTACAACATAAGTGTGGCCGGGTTAACAAAGATTGGAGAAGGATGGAAAAAGACTTCTGTGTTGACAATGACTAATCCAGGAGGTATTCAATCCAGTATAAATACATTTGGATCATATGACTGTAAGGCTAGATCTATAGAAGTTCAGTAATAATTTCAATATTTTAACATTTGTTAAATACCCTGGACTGATTTGTTTCATAGCTCCATCACGAGAACCCTGGGAACTGGTATGTTCTGGTCAAACTTCATATACCATATCCCTACACTGGTATCGTTTCACCCCTGGTCTTACAGGTAGTTTACTCACTGGATACCTCATATCATACCAAGCAATCAAGCCACCTGATCCAACAATATACAATAAAACCATAGCAGGTTTTAAATATAATTATATCGTGGAAGGATTAAAGGGGTATACAAACTACTCGTTCGAAATGTACGTCTATAATCCATGGGGCCGCAGCAAAACATCAAAAGTTGAATGTAGAACAGAAGAAGGAAGTAAGAACTTTTTTCTTTCGTTGTCTTTTTGATTGTGATAAGTTGAGATATGACAGTTTTTTCAATTCCACCTTTTTTATATACAGAGCCTTTGGCATCACCAGGAAATCTTATTGGTATATCCAAAGTTGCACATGACAAATTACATCTAAAATGGGACGTCGTTCCCGACATCCAAATGGCTGGTATACGCCGTGGTTACACCATTACGTATAAAAAGACTAGGGAAATTGGGGAATTGGTTGCAGAAGAAGAGAAACGTATCGATATTTTTGATCCACAAAAAACAGAAATGGTCGTAACCGGGCTCGAAGCATACTCTCAGTATTCTTTCTCTGTGAGAGTTTTTAATTCGAAGTTCTTTGGCGATTACAGCGAAAAGATTTATGCAGGTAATGATGGCAGGAATTCAATGTAACCTTAGCATGAGCACTCTTAAATTCCGTCAACTAATGACAAACTATCCCCAAGCAGATAAAATAAAATATTTTGAAAGATGTATTGTCTTTTAGAAACATGCAATTGCCTCGAAGATTTTTACATGAACTGGTGTAGTTACATGCCGTATGTCAACACTTCAGACACTGGAATATTCCCCCCATTAATCCGCAGCGCTATCTACGATGTATGTGGAAATTGTTCTGAGTTTGGACAACCGAAATTATATTTTGAAACTGATCTGACTGGCTCGTCCGCTAGAAAGTCTGGTCTCGTCAATGTGAAGCAAAATATCAGGAATGAAAATCAAATAAATTTCCCTCTTATCGGTCGTAAAGATTCGAAAACGTTTTTGCCAATGGTTGACAGTCCAGGAAGTGTGTTTGTGACACTTAAACCTAGTTTAACGATGACTGTGGAATATATGTTCATAGAGACCGTCATTGGTACATTCCCTTTGCTTGGCTTTGCAGTAATCACTGCCTCGTTGGCTGGGATAATTATGTGGTGTCTGGTAAGTCGTGAAGTTTCTAGAGCCTGAGTTATACTCAATGAAGCTAGCTTACACTCGTACTCGTTGTGTGTGATATTTTTGTTATTACTTGTCAATTAGATGAGTTCTTTCTTAATCCAAGGAAAAATTTTGAAGGTAAAACACTGAAAATCAAGCTCTTATTTTAGTAAAGATCAAGAACGTTTTATTTTTATAGGAATCGAAGAAAAACACCAAAGACTTTCCAGAATCGTATAGTCGTGGTACTGGCGAAGGATTTTGGTGGGCTTTCATCTCCATGACAACTGTTGGGTAAGATGTTCATAAAATATATGTTTCCAATAGTAAACGGTATATCGCTCTGTTAGGTACATACTTTCTCGATCAGGGAATTATATTGCTCCTAGTTGAGTGTTAATAAAATGAAACGAATATCCTGTTTTTACAGCTATGGTGATCGAGTTCCTATCACAATACAAGGCAGAATATTTTCAATACTATGGACGTTATATGGCCTTGTTATAACTGGAATGCTTGTGGGAAATTTAACTTCGGCATTAACAGCTTCAGTTGCTTTTAGTGTTCATGAAGTTGATCTTTATCATGCTAAGGTAATTAAGCCGAGTATTTCTCAGAACTAGGAATAGTAAGCCAGGTATTTCTCAGAACTAGAAAAGGTAATCGAAGAGGAACGAACAAGGAGGAGCTAGAGAATGAGAAAGTTAAATAGGCAACGAATAGTTGGAAAAAATGGGGAATGAAAGAGTTGGTAGATGTTGGCAATACTAATGCATCTATTTTTCGTAATATTAAGATTGCTGCAATTGAAAATACTTCGGAGTTTAAACTGGGGTTAGCCAAAGGTGCCATTGTCAATAAAGGTGCGTTGTATTTTTTCATTTGTATCGACGCATTTTGGTAGAAAAAAGCAAGAGGAACCCAGAGATTAAACTTTTAGTAAAATTTCGTTTTCTTTATAGGAAGGAATTATTCGGACATCTTGACAGTGCTTCACGCAGTGAAAGTTGGCAGAGTTCAGGGGGCATTATTGGACATGTATGTTGTTGCGAGTCGTCCAGAACTAATAACGAAAGACAGTCCTTATATGGTAAAGACTGTCATTGAAAATCCTTCCACTTATGGCATCGAGTTAGCTGGTCATGCTACGAAACTAAGGAAACCATTTTTGGCATTTCTTCAAAACAATGCTGCTTTAGTTTCCAGGATTTTGGAGGAGCAAACGAATCCTGTCAAGGTGAGATTGGTCAGCAGTCAGAGTTTATTTCTCTTTTGTCCTTTGGTTGGCTAGCTTACTCATGCACGGACAGAGCAGTTTTCCTAATATCTAAACTTCTTAACCTGAAGGAATCTGAAGTTGACGTTGACCTATCAGCAAATTCCGGGGAAAACGACATCAATGTTTTAGCTCCAGATTCACCAATGATTAAACAACCTTTATTGTATTCAACAATCGCCCTGTGTGTCGCTTTCGTATCTGGCTTTATCTTGTATTTCACGTTATGCAAACGACGTCGAAAAGCATTAAATCACGTGGATGAATCAGGTAAGATCATTGAATTTTTAAAATAGCACAAAGTGGGCACGGGGGGGGGGGGGAGGAGGCGTACACACTATGGCGTTCAATGAATCACTCATTTAAACTCACATTTATAATGACATTAGTAATAACGTGACTTCCTTGACGAGACAAAGTTGATTGATTTGGTAAAGTCCCATTCGTTGTTAGAAAGTAAAGCCAACATAAAGAACTCAGTACTAAATTAAATATTAAAATGATTTCTTAAATCAACTTTTTTAGCTGTTAATCCCGTAACAAGTAGCGTAGAACTATGCAGTGCGTTGGATGATCTTGTTAGTAAATTCTGTTCTAACTCTAAAACCACTTTAAAGAAAATAAAAGAGAGACACCAGCGTGAACTCAGGAAAATGACCAAACTTAATTGATTATTGGTGACTTAAATAAATTTAAATTTTAACGTTAAATACAAATTTAATAACGTGTAATATTTAATATTTAAATCTAACATATGTATACAATATGTACAAATCAGTAATTTTTGTGACCGTTTGAAATATTTATCAATATTAATCAATATACCTGCGTTAATTATCCATAGTCTGAAAGGGGGTATTTAAAGTTGGTTGATCTTAATTAGATTTAGCATTTTCGCAAGTACAATCATTCTTCAATGCTTAGCGGCAAACACTTCACTTATGTGCAAATCTATTCTAAATTTCGTTGAAATGTATAAACTTCCATAGCATAATCGCCACCAGTCCCATTATTAGCACAATCTCTAGATCTACCATATTTCTTATATCTTTTAAGCAGATTCGGACCACCAAAACATTGTCCTCCATTTTCAATCGCAAATCCAGCAAAACCTTGCTTTCTAGCTACTTGTGCGCATTTTTTCACAGAGTCTTGTCGTAGACGGTAGCCATCTTGGAGCATTGTTGAAGTATTTTCTAAACTAGGTACGACACGGTTAGGATCATCTCGCCAGCACCCTAGACTTCGATATTCTGATCACAAAGAAAAAAAGTTGGATCAATATGTATCACATTAATTGTCTCTTAAAACAAGGCTGCATTGTCTATTGTGAACGGACACTTACTTAGTGTCTTTTTGGACTTTTCATTTGACTTTGTTTCTCCTAATAAATAAAGATGGACGTTTCCTTAAATGTATTTGACTCGAATTAGCACAGCATATAAATCATACCCTTTTTCATTGGAGCAACCATCGTTTTGCCTTTGTCGCCGTGTTTTGAAAGATCTAAACAAAGTATTAATGTTTAGTATAAGAATGCTGTTTTAATCTGTATGATTTATAATGCTCTTTTATACAGAGATTGAGTGAAAATTTACCTTTCTTTGCATTAGGACGTTTTTTGTTGGTATTTAATGAACTGTTCTTGCTGCTAGCAGTTGTACTGGCTTGGAGAACTGTAAAAGGGGAATAAGGGAAGTCCAGTCTTTGAACTATACCTTCGTACTTCATTTACCTCTATTCAAAAGGATTAATTTATCTTTTCTAAACTATCATTTTTTGCCAGCTTCCTTATCTTCAAATCTAATTTTTATCGTAATAAAAAACACTAAACAACCTGTTTTAGGCTTTGGACTCTCTGAAGCCAACAAGTCCACCTCATCTTCTGCCTTCTTAGTCAATGAGGCTAGTTTACTTTCTGTCTCATCACCCAGATGAGAGGTATTATTTATTTTGTGAACTTCTCCTCGCTTCTTGTCTTGTAGCTCAGGATCAAGTAGTTTTAGCAATTCTTCAAGTGTATCTCCTGTTTCTTTAGCTGTAAAATCTACAGTCTTCAGTTTACTGCCAAGTGATTCGTGTTTTGGTTGTGCTATATATGAAATAAAACTGGCATTCTTTATAAATTCAAGCATGATAAATTCCATTCATCCGAATGAGGTTGCTTGCCTGAGGGCAATAAGTATCGCCAATAATGAAAATCTTCGTTACCTGTTTCTTGTTTTTTCTTAGCGTGAGGATAGTCCGTGTGTAACTCCTTGATAGCATCCTGTGTGGCCATTCTTAGCTCATTCAACGTATCAATCTCCTCATTGTTCATATTTTCTTTTTGTTTACTGCTGATCTTAGTTTGTTTATTTCCAGTAGTCTGCAGCACTTCCAGTCTTTCTCTTAGTTTCTTCAGTTTCATTTTAAGAGCTTCCAGGCGTTTTTGGTGTTGTTTTTTTGCCTGTTCTTGTACCTGTAAAGCTGCGTTCATGGACGGTCCCATTATTGCTGGTCGATTGCCAGTAGGTTTGTCACTAACGTGGGCGTGAATAGTTTTACCAGGAAGTATCGACGCTAATCCCCCATGAATCATGGAAGGATTTTCATCCGCTGCGCCAGAGAGTTGCATGTCCAGTGGAACCTGTTAATTAATGAGAGGGATTTTTTTATTCTTAAGGAATCTTAGTTTGTTTTATCTTATTTTGAAAGAAATGATTATATCAATCTCATTAACTTTACCTGATGACCAGATGGCATCCCACCAAGGAGTCCGCCGTTGCTGCCCAGTCCTGCAAATTCTGGCAGATGATGTGCACCTCCCAGAGAGCCAAAGTTTTGTGCCTTACTACCAGCTGCAATCCTGGAACCCAGAGCCTCTAATCCTATACCGTCACTAAAACTACCACCACCGTTTCCACCTAATCCTGCTAGGCTGTCACTCATTTGGCTGTCCCCACCTCCCACGTTATCGCTCAAGTCTCCTATTCCACCACCACCCAAATTCCCTACACCATCACTATAAGCACCCCCAGCTATATTACTTCCTCCTATTCCACCATCGCCCAAACCACCATTTATTCCACCGTCACTCAAACTCCCCCCTCCAATGCCTCCAATATTACTCCCACCACCAAGCCCTGCAGCGCTGATACCACCACTAAGACTACCGCCATTCCCTAGTCCAAAATCACCACCACCGTCTGCCCCCAACCCATCATTCAAAGCTCCTATTCCTTGACCTCCATTACCCCCACCCACCTCGACTGTACCTCCACCCATACCTAGACTTGTCCCGCTGTCTAAACTTGCTCCAAGGCCACCACTAAGACGTCCGCCTAGACCCCCGCCTAGACCCCCGCCTAGACCCGCTCCACCAAAACTAGCACCTAATCCACCATCTAGTCCACCACCTAGACTTGTTTCCAGGTTGCTGGTACCACCTAGCGGAGAAACATCTAAACCACCATTTCCTCCTTGCATGAGTCCTACAAAACATTTCAAAAATGAAAATCTAGTAAATGCATCTAGTAGATTGATACATAGCAAGGGCGGGTTTGGAGATAAGACAAGAGTTCTGGGTGGTTTCATCACTGAGTAAGGAATGAAGAAGACTTTTTTACCATTGCCAATCAACTGCCGACTGTCTGTGCCTTCGGTCGAGTCGACAAGATCACTACTCATAGATTGCGCGCGATTTTCATCCATGGTATTCTGTGTTAAACCGGTGTTTAAGGAAATTCCAGCAGCTTGTAACGTATTTGCGATATTATCCTGACTTTGTTGTCCATTTTCTGTAGTTTCTATTAAATTCTGGTCAGTTTCCCCAATGCCTTGGTCACTTGCCATGATTGGATTACCCCCCATCACTGAATTACCGCCATACGTGTCGATGTATTGTTTCCTGACGTGTGATGGAACTTGTTGTTTTCTTACTATCTGATGTTGTCTGCTTGACGCAGGACCTCTCTTCTTCAGGGAACGTGCATTACCTTGAAATACGAAGGATTCGCGTTCATTGTCTAGTATATTTGTCGTTTTGAACAAACGTGAAATTATACGTTAATTAAAAATGTATCTGATATGAATTATGAAGATATTGCAAACTAAAATCCTTACCATTGCCAGTGCAAAGACAGTGCAGTATGGCGAGAAAGACGATTATTTCACACGGTTTCATATCGTCTGGAACTTCAAGCTTCAGTATTGCACCAACTACATTTTTTTTATTTTCTATCTAAAATTTTAAAGCAGGTTATAGCTTACCCTAGGCGTTTGATATTACAGAATCATAAAGATAAGATATTGTTGAAATATTGTCAGATGTCTGGACATAAGAACTCCCTGGTGGAAAACATTAAAACACTTGACTCCTCAAGCGAAAAATATAATAAATGAAGTTGAAAACATCCCAATAATTATTATAATACTTCTAAATATGAGTATCTTTTGTGTAGTATCTACATTTTTTTTATTGGACTCTTATTCGCACCTGTTTTCTTCAAATCCTCTTTAGTTGAGTCAATGTAATCATTTTTCCATACTAAATATATATATCCATCTTAGTATTTCAGCCATACAGTCGTTCTCTTGATCAGTCAGTATTTAGGGATTCAACAGGTGGCAGATTGAGGTTCAACGAAGTGGAACAATATTAATGGCCACACTGGAAAACAATATTGGGCCATTTTATTGAGAATGAATATTAGCATTTTCTAAAACATTTGCGTATATCTTTCTCGTACCTAGGCAACGTAGATCTTAGTCAACATAAAATGAAGTACAAAATAAATCCTGGATTGGCAAGTTTCTATATAAACCAGTGTTATAATTGGTTGGTTTTTCAAAGAAATGGCTGTAATATGGGAAGAGTTGTCAACTCTAATTTTTCCCGTTTTATTGAAACTGAATTAAAAATGTTTTCACGTGCTGGTTGGTGGCTATCTGGTTATTTTAATGGTCTGGTTGATCCGTTTATGATGTGCGAAAAGACGTGGTAAATTTACGAGGCACTGGTGGTAAGTTAAGTTTGTGATGGTTAGTTGTTGAATACTTCTTTGGTGAAGGTGAACGTTTTGTGTGGCTGCATGTGCCTAGTTGATTGTCATGTTATCTTGAAGACTTGATAAACCCTCTGGCAATACCACGACCCTAGCAACCTCATTACCAGGGTATTCCCTCCGTAACGAGGTTGCAACTAAGGTCACAGGTAGATTTTGAAACATGTCCGTTACATGGAGATCAACGTCTTCGCAAGGCTTCGATAGCTGTCAACAGCTAACTAAGAGTGTTGCACACATACTCCACTGACAATAACAGACAACATACGTAAATTATGTCAAAGAAAACTTTTAAAGTTCTTATAAATAGTTCAGTGATCATGATCTCTGATCTCTCTCTGAGTAATGACTAATGACTGATAAACGTTTCATCAAGGTAATATGAAGTACTGGATCAAAATTATGATAGTGAATCATCGTTTTAAGTCTTTTACGAACATCTGCCTGTATTTAAATTTTCTCTTCATAAGAGATAATAAAACCTTGTACAAATACACAGCTTGAGCATTATGGCAGAAAATTTAGAAACGTTAAAAGCGAGAATTAAAGAATTAGAATCTCTGCTTGCGGAAAGAGTTGAACCGGTGCGAAATAGAATTGAGCAAATGAGCTCAGAAGTTGTTGACTCAAATCCTTACAGGTAACAAAAATATCACAAAAAGTCTGTTTTTATATCACGAGAATGATGATGAAAGAAAAGAATTATATTTCTGTTCGTAAAGGCAATTACTAAAGTTGTTTTGCTCTATGTTATAAATGTGGCAATTTTCACGTGTTGTGATTAGGTAATAATGTGGTATAATGTTATTAAATGCAGAAATTTGAGATTTTACATTGTGTGAGTAATTTTTTTTGTTCTGTTGCGATGAATACAATGTAATATAATACAAATATATGCTCAATCCAAACTTGCTAAATGTGGATTGTTACATCTTATTTTATCTAGTCGTTTGATGGCATTAAAGAGAATGGGGATTGTGGACAATTATGAGGTATAGTCACCATTGTGTCTCTTCAATTGTTGACTATTGTTGATGTAACGTGTACAAACCACAAATTACTCAAAACTCTTCAATTTTTATGTTCTAGAAAATTCGGGAGTTTACCGTTATCATAGTAGGAATTGGTGGTGTTGGAAGTGTTGTGGCTGAAATGCTGACGAGATGTGGAATTGGAAAGGTTTGTGTGGTTTTATCCTGTTTTTGCATTGTGTTGTTCACAAGATTTCTAAAATCTAAATCTTTCTTTCATTATAGCTTCTTCTTTTTGATTATGATAAAGTTGAACTTGCAAATATGAACAGATTATTTTTTCGGCCAGAGCAATCTGGTTTGAGTAAAGTTGAAGCAGCTGAGAAAACATTAAGGTGGATATTTTAATAATCATTGAGTCAGATTTGAATACTGTTTTTAATATGTCCTCACTTCTTTTGTAGGAACATTAACCTGGATGTTGAGTTTGAAATATTTAATTATAATATAACGTTAATGGATAACTTTCAGCATTTCATGGATAAAATCAGGTAACTGAACCACAGCAAATCATCAGCAATGTTTCTAAAAATAATTGAAAATGTATCTTCCTCCATGCTCTTAATTTGTAGTAAAGGTGGAAAAGATGGAAAATCAGTGAATCTTGTTTTGAGTTGTGTGGATAACTTTGAAGCTCGAATGGCAGTTAACACTGTAAGTTGAAGTTTCACTTTACTTCTAGGCATTATTATCTATTAATGCTCCCTGTTTCCACTTTATCAGGCATGTAATGAACTATCACAACCATGGATGGAGTCTGGTGTCAGTGAAAATGCTGTATCAGGACATATTCAAGTCATTTTACCTGGAGAAACAGCATGTTTTGCTGTAAGTTTGCCCAAATAATGTTATAGTTCTGTATAAGTTAATTTTCTTTACATAATTCTTTGCTTTTCCAAAGTGTGCTCCACCACTGGTTGTTGCAGAAAACATTGATGAAAAGACATTAAAACGTGAGGGTGTTTGTGCTGCTTCATTGCCAACAACAATGGGAATTGTGGCTGGATTTTTGGTACAAAATGTTCTCAAGTGAGGGATATTAAATGAATTAAAAGAAAAAGCGCTTAAACACTGATTATTTTGTTTTAACATTTTTTTTCAGATATTTATTGAAATTTGGTTCCGTCACATATTACCTGGGTTATAATGCTTTGCAAGACTTTTTTCCTACAATGACGATGAAACCTAATCCTGCTTGTGAGGACAAAAATTGTATATTACGACAGAAGGAATATCTGGTAAGCATTAGGTGTTTGCCAATGGAAATCTGGTTTGTAAGTTTGTTGTAATAATTGTAATTCAATAAAAGTAACATATTTAGGCACGGGTGGAGAAAGAGAAGAAAAATGAAAAAGATGTAATAGAAGAAAAACAAGAGGAAGAAGTTGTCCATGAGAGCAATGAATGGGGTAATTCATCTGATTACTTTTCAAACAGCTTTGCCATTTTCTATTGATCAATTGTTACCTTAGCTTCGCTGTTTTGATTAATTTCAGGAATAGTTTTGGTAGATGAGTCACAACAGGAGGAAGAAATAAATGAAATGAAACTTGCTGAAGGAGTCCGATTGTTGTATAATAAACCAAATAAACCTGGACGAAAGGTAAGATTGGATAGAATTATATTTATATCTTTTTCCCCTGCTTATATAACATGACACTGTCCGTTGTTCAGATTTCAGAATTTGAAATAAGCAGCGAAGGACAAATATGTCAAGATGATGGCATGTCTGTGGAGGAATTGATGAAGCAACTGAAAGAAATGTGAAATTTAAAATGCAATAACTTTTCGAATTGAGGGGTAACTTTTGGGTGGCAGAAACACTGGACAAGGAGACAAGTCAAAACATAGATGTATAGAATTATTTAAATGAACTTCCCTTGTCCAAATTGTCAGTAGGCTACTGTACCTGATGGGAAATTCTAATAGTAGTGTCAAGAGGGTTCAATTGTTTAACTTTCGAGCAAGATAAGTAAACCACAGGATCTAGGAGAAAGTTGCTGACATCTTTTCCAAAATGTAAAGTTATTTTAACAGAATACTAAACTGGAATAATTATTAACAATGTGAAAATTGTTTAAATTATAAACTTGGCAGCCAAGAACTTTCAAAACATGTTTCTCACAATTGTTAACTTGTGTGTTACAACAGTAAGTGATGACTTGGATTATGATAAAGCATGCATATATGATACATCAATTATTTTTATACAAAATCTCAGGTGTTCTTTAGTAATTACAAAATAAACATGGTTTGAAACACTGATTTGAAATAGTTGAGCATTCAAAATAAATTCACAATATCCTGTTATCAAACTATGTTTGTTTCATTAACATTATGGCACAATAATTTTTAACAGCAGAGGAATATATGTTGTGAATTCTCTCTTGCTCTTTCAGAATGAACCATTCAATTTAAGTTCATTTCTTCTTTTTCAGTTCTTCAAACCTTCTATTGAGATCATCAAAATCAAGGTCATCACCACCACTGGCACCTCCAATTGTACTTGAACCACCAGGTAAGGATCCTGTAGGGACATCAGGGAGGTCTGGGACATTGGGTAGACTGTTTACATTAATGCTTGGCCCTGTTGGTGGAGCTAAAATAGAAAATTGTTTTAATGTTTAATATGCCTCCATATTTTATCTTCCCTGGATCTTCTCCACTTTGATTTGTTTTCACTTACCATTTGAAGGAGGGTAAGGTGTGTAAATATTCTAAGAGAAGAGAAATTAGAGACACTGAGAATTAGAATGTATGTCCAAAATTATCCAAAAGTTTAACAATTCATACCCCAGTGCTGTTTGATGGTGGAGGCTGAGAGGCATTCATTGGTGGGTAGCCTGGACCTGGGTTGATTTTCTGTATAAAAAGAGAGACTGCTTCAAATAACATCCAATTATGGTTGTGTTATACTGCAAGATATTATGTTTACCTCATTGTTTGTTGGGTTGTTTGCTGGTGGGTATGGGGCATTGTTGACTGGAGGAGGGTAGTTGACCTAAATAATATATGATTGTGATGTTGAAGACATTGTGAAGAGCAACGAAAAATGTCAGGTTTTCATTTAAGACACACCTGTGGTGGAGGATAAGCAAGACCAGCATTTGATCCAGGTACTGATGGCATTTGTGGTGGGAAACTGTTTCCAGGATTATCATAATGCTCAAAACCTATTTGATTGTTACCAATACCGCTAGTAGGTCCACTTCCACCAGTTGAACCTCCAAAACCACTGCTACCATTGACGTTGTCATCACCCCCTTTACTACTGCCATGGAGTTCATCCTAAATGTAAGAATCAAAATCATGTTGGTCCATTATGATACAAATTTCTCTTTGCTAATTCAAAATGCTTAACATTTTCTCACCATGAGTGATTCTTCTGGTTCATAAGGAATATTGTAATTTCTTGCAATTTCTACAAGATATTGTTCTACAAGAGCTTTTGGTGGTGCATTTGGGCTGAGTTTGTTGATGAGCTAAAATAAGTAAGTGAATGAAAATGAATGAAAATGGTGCACCAGCGTTCAGTGATAAAGAATGTTATTACTAACTTTTTCATTAACTGTATTATTGGTATTTCTTGCAGCTTCTTCTAGAAACTGTTTTCCATATTTTAGTCCTAGCTGAGTTGAAATCTATAAAAAAATAATAAATCAGCAAAGTGGAGAAAATCATCATTTTTAACACATGAAAATGTCTTTTTTACAATTTTGAGTTCTTGAACGTCACTCTGCAGACGTGGTGCTGCCCAGATCAATGTTGAAACTGCTTCAACCAAACCATCTTCGCAATATCTAAACAAGTGAAAACAACAGAGACATGTTTTTTACTGAATATAGCCCTACACACATGGACATGGTTGTTGTGATAATGATCACATGCGATTTGATAAAAATACTTGATTACTTCATTGTTTCAATCAAACCAAATCGAGCAAGGAGGAGGTCACAATATAGTTCCAGTAGTTCCAATGCTTCCACCAAATAATCTTCTCTGATGATATGTTCAACCTAAGAAACAGATTTCAGCAGTCAGAATTCAGGCAATTTTTTTACTTAGGCAAAACCAAACCAATGAAGAATATTCTATTGCAATATTAGGTATGGTGGTAATAATTCTAGTTATTCTACTGATAGTTAATATGGTACAGTGGATATCTACCCGAATCCTGGCCCTGTCATCTTTGCTTTGCGATAAGTAATCAGCTATTTCCTTTCTTGATTTAAGGGCAATCTCAGCTACAAAGTAAGTATTAAGTATTGTGAGCTCTAGGGAATCTCCCTCTTATAACATTGTACTGAAAAAAATATAAACAAATATTCAATACATACTTTTCTTCTTCTCAAGAAGTTTCAGCCGGTTTATTGTCAGTTTAAGGTTCACTCGCAGTTTATTTGCACTAAACCCTGTAACATAAATATCTCTGTATCAGAAATTCGTATCAAACAATGAAAATTAGGCGGAATGTAAAACAAAACTCACCCATTTTACAGCAAAAAGTATTTTGTTTTGAAATCAACAAGGTTCGAATGTATCATTACGTCATTACGTCATGTAGATATTTTTAGAAACGCGCCGTCACTATCGCGAGCGGGCTTGCGGGTTGGAGCATCTATGGTTGGAGGGCGCCAGTGGTAGGGGTGGGGGCCAGTCATGGGGACAGTAAGCCTATTTCAGGTCCGTCTGAGCACCAATTGTTGCTAGATTTATCAGGCATTTGCTCATATTTGTTCTGTTTTAGATACTGAGGACAAATAACCAGTCAAAAAATATTGAATAGTGTGAAAACGGCCATGATCCCACTCAAAAACAAGTTATAGTCCAGATAAAGAATTGAATTCACTGGTCCATAATAAATACAGGTCAGTGGTCTATTGCATTGTGGGCAAGGAATGACGCGCGAAAAGTAGCCAATCACAAGCAGAAGTTTCGGACATGTGATAGTTTTTGACAGATTGAGTGATTGACAGTCAGTTGGAAAGACTACGTGGACGATGCGGTGGCAAGGAAATTCGCTCTTCGTTGAGAGAAAAGAAATCCAGGTGTGTATATCTCTGAATACTCTGCATAAAAAGAACGAAAAATAGTTATTAAACACTTTCTTTTTTTAGGCTGAAACCCGTCGACGAAAGCTGGATTCAATGGTCGTGAATTGTACCGTATGTATTATTGTCTCTTATTTGCTAGTCATTGAGCTAAAACGTTTATCAATTATCAGCAAAGCTAGAATGGTTCTGCCTTCAGTATTCGTAACAATAAGTGTCAATTATTAAGTCAATAAGTGTCAATTATTAAATGCTAAAAATTACGTCTAATTTTTCGGCGTATTTAAGCGCGTTCCGCTTGCACGTGTATTCACACTAGGCGCCGCCGTTTAGAGCATATTGTTAGAGCAAAGCTAGAATAGCTTCAGCATAGTATTCGTAACGATTTCTACCGTAATTTGCAGAAGAATTAGGTCCGCTTTTCAGTGTTTCTAGCGAGTTTTCATGCATGTGTGTGTTTGCGACGCCGCCGGGTCCTTTTCCACTGTTGTAGTCGCCGCCGTTTAACTTTTAGATCATATTGTTTAGTTTTTCAAGCTTTCTTATATTGTAGGCAAAGTTAAAGTAGTTCTACCTGAGTATTCGCATCAATTTGCAGAAGAATTAGGTCAAATTTTCAGCGTTTCCAGCGAGTTTTCATGCATGTGCGTGCTGCGACGCCGGTGGCGGTGTTCTTTTCAACTGTTGTAGTCGCCGCCGTTTAACTTTTAGAGCATATTGTTTAATTTTTGAAGCTTTTTTATATTGTAAGCAAAGATAAAGTAGTTCTGTCTGAGTATTCGTATCACTTTGTAGAAGAATTAGGTCAAATTTTCAGCATTTCCAGCGAGTTTTCATGCATGTGCGTGCTTGCGACGCCGGTGTTCTTTTCAACTGTTGTAGTCGCCGCCGTTTAACTTTTAGAGCATATTGTTTAGTTTTTGAAGCTATTTTATATTGTAAGCAAAGACAAAGTAATTCTGCCAGAGTATTCGTATCACTTTGTAGAAGAATTAGGTCAAATTTTCAGCGTTTCCAGCGAGTTTCCGTGCATGTGCGTGTTTGCAACGCCGGTGTTCTTTCCAACTGTTGTAGTCGCCGCCGTTTAACTTTTAGAGCATATTGTTTAGTTTTTGAAGCTTTTTTATATTGTAAGCAAAGATAAAGTAGTTCTGCCTGAGTATTCGTATCACTTTGTAGAAGAATTAGGTCATATTTTCAGCGTTTCTAGCGAGTTTTCATGCATGTGCGTGCTTGCGACGCCGGTGTTCTTTTCAACTGTTGTAGTCGCCGCCGTTTAACTTTTAGAGCATATTGTTTAGTTTTTGAAGCTTTTTTATATTGTAAGCAAAGATAAAGTAGTTCTGCCTGAGTATTCGTATCACTTTGTAGAAGAATTAGGTCAAATTCTCAGCGTTTCCAGCGAGTTTTCATGCATGTGCGTGCTTGCGACGCCGGTGTTCTTTTCAACTATTGTAGTCGCCGCCGTTTAACTTTTAGAGCATATTGTTTAGTTTTTAAAGCTTTTTTATATTGTATTAAGCAAATATAGAGTAGTTCTGCTTGAGTATTCGTATCAATTTGCAAAATTAGGTATTTTTTGGTGATTGGGGCCGCCGTGCGGGGCTTCTTACTGTTTTATTGATCTCGCGACGCCGATCGCCGTCTTTTCTTATACAGTTATACGATACGTCGATAGATAATGGACCTTAGCAACTGATAACTGCTATAAGGAATTGATATATTATGTTTATTTATCTTTTAAATGCGTTGCTATTTGATCCCGTAAAAATGTGAGTTCGCATGTGCTTTGTGCCATTTGCCGGTGTTCAGTAAAGGCAAATTAACTAAAATTAAAGTTTACTTGGTGTGTTAAAAAGGTGAAAAATGGGCGTCTAAAAGCCCCAAATGACATGAGCCTAATAAAAAAGGGGCTTGTTAACAAGGCCAAATGACAGGTGCCTATATATCGTTTTTCACCAGGACAAAGGTTAATAATGAAACAGGAAACGGTTCTACTTTTTCGCGGTAAATTTTTTTGCAAATAAGAATTTCAGATCTTTTCTTGTCGTTTACGGCTATTGTTAGTACCGGAAATGGGGCAGAGGGCTCTAATTTTCATGTCTGTGACACAATTTAGGCAGTTGTTATACCACATTTGATGCTAAGTTATTTGAAGACGCTGCCACGCAGCTCTTTGGTTATACTGTAACATTAGAAACACCTATTGTACTGTAGTATTCCTACTTGAAACTGAGAGTACTTTTTGGAACACCCTAAATTAATAATCCTGTATAAACATATACTACCATCAGAAGCATGGATTGATAGGCATGTAGATATTGTGCTTATACTGTACTTATCACTCTTTCATTAATCATTTTAGTTGTGATGATGGAGAAATGTTACCATTTTGCATGCAAATAGAAAATCTAAAATGAAATTCAAACCACACATTTTATAAAATCAAAATAAACCAGATATTTTATGATATTCCCAGACATTTGAGGCTCCTCTGTTTTTAATTTTCAATTTTTGGATTGCATGCAGTTCAGATCCCAACCCTTGCATGGTTATATCTTGCATGTTTTGTCAGGAGTCATGAGTAAGTATAAGTGATCAGGGGCCCGGGTCATTTATACTTTCTGTATGCTCGAGTGACCTAGTCCGGCATAGGCAAAATATTGCTCTTGGAGCACACAAAAAAAAGAGATGCATGTTGAGATTAAAAAGGGGGTTTAATGGTCGAGTGTTAAATGTCTGTCCCATTTTTGCATGAATGCATGTGTTAAATCTTGCTAAATTTGCATGTAATTTCGAAAATGCATGAAAATTTTGTATTTGCATGTACAATGAGCGTCGTGGTGGAGATGATGTTGGTGGAGCTCATGCAGGTAACATACCATAGGTGAGCTTGTTTCATATCATTTCAGATGTTAAGAAATGAATCATTTCAGATGATGATGGACGACCCGATGATAGATGATGATGGACCAGTGACCACCCGATGACGATGACCAGCAGATGATGACAGATGATGATGGACTGCCTGATGACCAAGACCAAGACCAGCAGACGATCACAGATGATGATGGACCGCCCGATGAGGATGACCAGCAGACAATGACAGATGATGATGGACTGCCCAATGACAGAAGATGATGGACTGAAGACAGGTTTGATGGGTGGTATTATTCAGTTTTCTTGCATTCTATCCTGTGCATGCTGGTTTTCCTGGTGGTCTGCACTGAATGTGTTATACATTAAGTGAAATTCCTATTTCCTATTTTGACATTGATGATAAATAAAAATTCCGGATTGCATGCAGAGCAATTAAATTAATGTATACAGCATGTTTGATTCTTTGAAAATGCATGTTCCTGTTTTATTACTTAATGTGTAATGCAATTGGTGAAATTAATGCATGATATTACTAAAGTATCCAATGGTGCGGCTAAAAATGATGAACCATGAACTCAACTTGAAGAATGGAATTTGTACAAAGGTAACTGTGAACAAGAACCAGGTATGCATATGATTGTATTTGTTTGTTGGCACATAAGGCATTGGCATCAAAAATTTGCAGCAGTAATGCATGCCACAAGATTGATTTCTGTAAATACATGCGCAAATGAGAATAGCCAAAATAATAGCATGAATTATAAGTGGTCGATGTATTTTAACAGGTATCAGATCCAAAATTAGTTGTGAAATATTTCGGTTATGCATGCCACAATTTAACATAAATTACATTGTTCTAAGTAGGGTAATTGGCTTTCTAAGTGCATGTGACAATAAAAATAATTGACTTTCTTAGTCTTTCTAAGTGCATGTGATGGTAAAAATAATTGCCACAGTAATAGCATGATTATAGACGACCGTATTCTTACATGTATAAGATCAAAAATTAGGTGTAAAAATATTTTGTTTATGCATGATACAACACATAACACATTGCTCTAATTAGGAAATTGGCTTTCTAAGTGCATGTGGATGGTAAAAATAATTGCCAGAGTAATAGCATGATTATATACGACCATAGTTAAGTCTTACATGTATAAGATCAAAAATTAGGTGTAAAAATATTTTGTTTATGCATGATACAACACATAACACATTGCTCTAATTAGGAAATTGGCTTTCTAAGTGCATGTGGATGGTAAAAATAATTGCCAGAGTAAATGCATGATTATGTACGACCATAAGTTTACATGTATAAGATCAAAAATTAGGTGTAAAAATATTTTGTTTATGCATGCTACAACATAGAACACATTGCTCTAATTAGGGAAATTGACTTTCTATGTGCATGTGATGGTAAAAATAACTGCATAACATGTATAAGATCAAAATTTAGCTGAAAAATATTTTGTTTATGCATGCCATAGCATAAAATACATTTGTCTAATTAGGGAAATTGACTTTTTCTTGCAAAACCAGTTGAGTAAATTATAAATGCAATATATTATAATAATTTTTTATTTATTTTTATTTATCAAGTAAAAATAGTTGCTAAATAGTTAGCAAGTTTAGTTAAATATTACCGGCCGGTATAGACAGCAGATAGTTTAGTTTGGATAGGATAGTGAATAGTAATAGTTTAGTTTAGCTATGCTCTATAAGAATTTTTTTACTTCTAATCTATCAGAGTGTACATTGAAACCTGGAACTTTAATAAATTTTTATTTATCAGTTTTTATTTTCGAAGCTCGTGGGAAAGCATGAAAATTGCATATAGAAATAGAAATAGTTGATATTTTGATGGTTACAACAAAGTTTAATTAGAATAAATTTTGTGAATGCAATAATTTATAATTTTCTATTATTATCATATATTATTATGCTGAAATATCACCGTAATTCTTCTAAATTGGGTTTCTGGAACTTCAAGAATTTGTTCTCGTTTTTGAAAGGAGTTGTCTCTAGTGTTTTTTTTGATTACTTGTGTATGAAATGTTGCTTGCAAATAATCGACACAATGTGGAGTAAAGAGTAATTTGACTTCGTCTACAATTGTACTGATCTCTATGTGTATTATCATGTTTGTCAAATCTTTGAACTGATCTCTAACACCTCACATTTGAGTAGGGGGCAGCTATACGCGCTCGATTTTTTTTGCCACTGATCTCCATATTACCACTGGATGACATTTCGTGATTTCTTTATCTGATCTCTATGTAGTATCTAGTAACTGAACAACGCTATTGCAACTGATCTCAATAAATCAATAGGGATATCGATTTGACCAGGTTAAATAACGATAGTCGTCGATTATAACGATGGATTTCTGATGATATAGATTTAAATAATGTTATATTGAATTACTACAAGCCTAAGTAATGCAATTTTTTTTTAGCCAGGTTTTATAACAATATTAAGATATTACTAAAATCTTTTAAGGACTTGCAAAACCAGTTTGAATAGATTGATGCAATTTCACTTTGGCCAGGTTTTATAACAATGTTAAGATATTACTAAAATCTTCTAAGGACTTGAAAACCAGTTGAATAGATGAATGCAATTTTACTTTGACCATGTTTTATAACGATGATCATATCAAAATCCCCATTACCCATAGGTATATTTTTGATGCCATTGCCTTAGGCATGTTATGTCAATTTCAATAAATCTTTGTGCATGTTTCAGACCACCAGGATCATTTGACAAACCCTTAAAAATTGCGTGGCAATTTTTGAGGATTGGTCAGATGAAAAACATTGATAATGTACTGCCGTGAAAAATAGTCCACATGGTTGCCAGATTATCTCTAAAAATTGATAAAATACAAGTACAAAAATAACTGGCAAACCTGCCCCAATTAATTGTTGCGGAATTTCCAACTAAAAATAACCAAAATGTCGGACCAAACCAGTTAACTTGAGATCCGGATTTCAAGTTGTGGTCAGGAGGGTTTTTCTCCGGGCACTCCGGTTTCCCTCCATTTCATGTTTGGCAAAAAACAGTGTCCATGTCTGGGGCCAAACAAAGATCTATAGTGAATTTTATTTTTTCATTAAAAAGGGCTTTTGGTTTGGCCTCTGGGTTAAAATCCCAGAACACTGCCTTATTGTGTTAAAATGCAGCGGCAACTGCCCTCTGTCCTTTTTCTCACAGGTGCAAGGGGGGACAAAAGATGCACTCACTTCTAGGGGGGAGGAGTTGGGGGCTCTGGGATAATCCATGTGACCATGTCCAGACCAGTGTTGGGTATTTAGAATATAGAACATTGGAGGGACCACTGAGCTATATTAACACGGACTGAGGTACTTACAATTAAGTAGTTGCTTTATTTTGGTTCTGCTTTAAAGATGAGGTAAAGTCCGTTCTGCGCATATATTCCGCGCATCAACACATTCCATCAGTGGGGGAGCAACTTTTGGAATGTTAATGATATGCGATATTAGCGCGTTGTATTACAAACGGCAGTTCGGGAGCACAATTATTTTATTTTATGTCGCAAGGCGAAGAGGCTCGAATTGCGAGTGACGAAGATAACTTATCTTATCATAAGGCTGCTAGAAAAAGGCAATAATATGCTGAAAGGAATGCTCCAAGAATTTACTTGTTGAATGAGGACCGTAATAGATGGCGGGGCTATTTGTCGTCGCTACAGACGCTACGGTACCTTCTCGCTTGTCCTACAATTACAAATATATAACGTTTTAAATAACGGCCGGTTTATTTACAAGCTTCGCTTTATATTTTCTTCAAAATATAACAATATCCTCTTCAAAATATGATGTAAAATAAGCATATTCATCACAGATTACAGCCGGTCGAGCGAGAAGAAAATAAGAAAATTATAACGACGCATACGTTCATGTAAAGATTATATAACCAACGTAAACAAACATTGTTATGCGCAGAATATATGCTCAGAACGGACTTTACATCATCTTTAAGTATTTGCATTTTGCAAGTTTAGAGGTGTGTTTGGCGGAAAAGTTCTTTATTCGTTCTCAGCATATTATATAGCTCAGTGGTTCTCAGCCCCGCCTACGCGGTTTTTACAACGCCATGAAATCCAATATGGCCGCTGCATTCAGATTTAACTCCTAGTAATATTTGGTTCCAAAAATGGATAAAAAAACGCAAGACAAAGAATTTGAGGATAAGCATGAAGAACATGATGAAGAAATGGAAGATGTTGATGATGATGACGATGAAGAGGAAGGACAGCTTGAGATACAAACTCCAGAGGATTCAGAGAAAGATGCAGGAAAGAAGAAAGGAAAAGGCAAGAAATCTGGAAGAACTAGTTTGAGTGGCCGTGGTGTCACGCTTAAAATGTTACTTGATGATGGAGTGTTAGCTGTTGAAGAAGGATGCATGTCTATTGATTATCTGGTATGAATAATTCTGCTGTGCCTTGGATCATTACTTTGGAAAAATTCCCATACTTTTCAATATACACATGCATATTCACTTTTTTATGTCTAGGGTCAACGATTTGTTGCAGATCTTCTAGAAAATGGCAAAATCAAGTGGGAAGGTAGTGAGAAACTCTTTAACTCACCATCAGCTTGGGCTATTCATTGCAAGAAACTTGTTAATCCTACAAAGAAATCTGGCTGTGGTTGGGCATCTGTATGTATAGACAGTATAGTGTGTTTTCTTTATTATAGAGTCTGAAGGCAGTACATAGTCCTGTTTTTGGACAACAACTTTTTGCTTAATATTTCAGGTGAAGTATAAAGGAAAGAAACTGGATCAGTACAAGTCAACTTGGTTTCGAAAACAAAGACCTTTGTTTCAATCAGACAAAATTTCTACACCAGTAACTGTAAGGTTATTTAGCTCTCATTAACCTATATTTTTCTTTCCTAATTTATAATTGCATTTTTTTTGTGTTTATTTCAGAGTCCCCCATCTGTAATCCGAACACCAGCCATATCAACCGCACTTAAACTATCTGGGAAAATAGACACAACTTCTGCTGTCATATCTCCAGTCTCAGATTCCTCTCGACCTTCATTGTCATCACCAGAAGGATTACGAAATTCTGAGAAATCTACTCCCACATCAAGTTATACAAAGATTGTGAGCCCTACAGACTCAACATCCAAGAAAGAATTATCACAAAAGATCAAAAATAAAACACAACGTCAACAGAAGTATGTGGTATATGTTGCAAATTCCACATTTCAATAATTCTTTATTTCTATATTATTTTCCACCCATTGCAGGGAACGATCTCAGGATGGCAAGCGAAAAGGTAGTTCCTCACAAACCTCAAAAACTTCAGCCCCAAAACGAGATGTAACAGCTGTCCAATCAGGTCAGATATACAATATATTTTTATATGAAAATATCAAAACTTTTTTGATAATACAGCTATAATCTATTAAGAGTCACATAATGAAACAAATTAATTGAATATTTGGCAGATCTTGCTGATTTATCATCATTCACAACTCCACGGAAAACAAAGCTTGTCTCTTGGTCCAGGACAACTGTCAGTGTATCTGAGGTGCGACCTGACAGGTATGTTTAGCTCTTGAAGTATGCTGAACATCCCTGGTTGTCCTTTCATTTCTGTACTGTATTTATTTTTCTCAATATAGTGATCCTCAGACCTTAGTGCAATGCATCAACTTCAATCAAATAAAAAAGACACAACCATTCACTGTTTCAATCAACACTAACACTCTAATGTTAATGGTAAGGAAATATCTTTTGGCAACAACACAAGATACAAATGTATATTGGGGTTGTTGCATAACATCATGCTGACATGGTTGTGATGTAAAATATACTTGTGTCTTTAGGATTTACATTGTCATTTGACTACCGGTGAGGTTGTAGGATATTTAGGAGGCTATTGGGATAGAGATAAACACAGTAAGAAAATCAATCTGCATAATTTGAATGAAAATATTTACACATGTATGGTATTGCTCAATAATAAAAGAACTGTTTTAATTTCAGGTATACAAATTGTTCAAGCATTTCCAGTAAAGTGCAGATTTGCCAACCAGAAAAATGCTGATGTTGTTCAAGAAGAGGTGTGTTTTCATGATACCAATTCATTTGCTGCAAGATAGCCATGGTCTAATGTTGATCGCTTTAATATCAGTAATTTTTTTATGTTTTCAAGATTCGTTTAGCAATGAGGGTCCGTGGTTTAACTCTGGTTGGCTGGTATCACAGTCATCCGACATATCAGCCAGATCCATCAGTACGAGATATTGCAGCTCAACAACACTACCAGGCCTGTATTAAAGTGGAGAAAACATCCTATGAACCTTGTGTTGGGTTTATTGTTTGTAAGTAAAATGGATGGATGTACTGTGTAAAGATACATATGTAAAGAGCAGATAAACAAGTATTCCCAAAGAAACTACTACTTATTATTAGAGCAGTTTTGTTAAGTTAATAATCTTTTCTCTAACAGCTCCTTATGATCCACATTTATCCTCACGCGAGTCTCTCATCAAAGCATTCTGGGTACACATAACCTCCAACCCAGGAACACAGACTTTCTCATTACCCATGGAGTTAAGTTATAGCATTGAACCTAGTGGATTACTTACTGATGACCTGCTTACTGAGATGGTAAGATATACTACAAAATCTCAACATACTAGGATTTATAGCAAAAAGTCTGAATGGCCGGTATTTTAATAACACCTGTGTATATATTTGATGTAGCGTCATATATGCTCTTACTACAAAGGAAGTCCAGACGCAGTTAATTTTGCAGAATGTTGGCTAACAGGAGTATCATTCTTAGATAAAGTGAAGGTGAGCTGTTACCAAAATGCATGTACTTGTCATTATTATGAAGTAATACTTTAAACATGATTTAATTGGGGTTGGCTCATTTATTTTAGGCATCGCTAACAAAGAAGTTTCCTAAAGATCAGTCTGGTCGATTAAATAATTTTATTCACATGTTACTCTCTTAATTCTGGCTCCACCCCTAGTAAATGAAATGGTCATAAATTAATATAAAATTTTCATTTTTAAAAAACCTTTTACATAACCAGTGGCCTATGTCATCTTAGCAGCCTTGAACAAACTCTTAATTGGCAATGATGTGATGGAAGATAAAAACTTGTTTGATGTCTTGTCTGGCAGGGATAATTTCTATTGCATCTGCATTTCCCCCACTTTAGTCTTACTTTACTTAAAAAAGTCTTTACCGGCAACCTAGGTGCCTACGTACATTGTTTTGAGTTGCAGCTATTAGATAATGCCATAGATGCATAGTCTCATAGTGCTAGGATATCATTATTACATATATTGTACATGTCAATAAATAAATAAAACTTTATGTTTTCCAATAAAGTGCCTGGGTACGAGGCTGAGTGAGGCTTCCAATGCTTTCTTCACCTCTCGACCAATCAAAAGCGTTGTTTATCTTGCATTAGAGAGTCAGAATAATTCGTCGACGTGTTTCAATATGGCGTCTAATATGTCCATTTTGCTCTTGTATTTGAGCTCTTGTATACACTTGCTTCACGGTGTTCCTGAACCTGGTGTGAAAGAGTTTACTTTGGATGCGGTAATGCTCTTATTTATTTAATTAAAATAGTACTTGTACCTTTTTTGCATAGAATTTCTTGTGTTTTAAAAGCGCAAGTGGAATAGTGGATATTTTCCTTTTTGCAATAAATAAAACGTACTTTAATTTCAATAACAGATAATAAAACAAGAACTTGGTTTATAAAACCAGAAGATTAGTATGTTACAACGAGTTTATGCATAAATACTGTTGTAAAAGTTGTTTGTTTGCATGTGACTTTACTTAAAGATCAAATTTCATAAGCTGTTGTTAAAAAATTATGTGACTCCTACTGCAATTAAAGAAACTCGTGATTATTATTTATAGAATAACAGATTTAAATCATTTGCCAAGAGTTTGTTCAAGGATGCTAAGATTACATTATTTGGTAGGTCAATGGAAAATATCACACTGAGTTTTTACCAATTTTGATATTTGATTCCTGCAGTGGCCAGTATAATCATGGCATTCTTCTGCAGCATGCAAATTTAATTTGAAAGCATGATGTTAAACCCAGGTTCAAGAAAAGGTGAGGGGCAACAAACTAACTGCATTAAAGGTCCCTATTGACAAAATTGTCAAAACTCACATCTTGTATTCTGGCCAATTTTGGTCTTCCAGTCTTTCATTCATACAAATGCAATATCTAGATGATTTTCAACTTGTTATTAAAAGGTTTGCTCAAGCCTTTTTGTCAATACTTGTATAAAAACCTTGAATAATTTGTGTGCTTGTTAGGAAACATTGTTCCCATTCCTGGTGCACCAACATCGATTACAGTTAAAAAGATTTCATTGAAGTGGCAACTGTTTTACTCAAACTGTGCTCAGTATTTTATTCATATTGGAGTGAGTGTTTCATAAAACATTATGGTTAGTTTGTCAATTGTCAGTTAATCCATGGTAATTTATTTCCAACAACATTGATATACATTTAGAGCAATCAGCTCAAAACATTTCCTACTGAAGCAATTCCTGGTTTTCCTCATATAAAATACAAAAATGGCACACTCGAGTTGGACAGCAAAACTTTGAACAGCACAAAATTTGATTTGGTATGTGATACTGCATGGATTGCATTTTTTGGCACGATAAAATTACAAATGAAGACACTTTATTGGTAACACTCTATAATTTAATAACAGTTTGTTACTAACATTATGTATGATAATTATCATAATAGAATGCTTGACAAACTCCTGCTACATATTGCTCATCTCAATTGCTTATAATTTGTTCTAAATCATGACAACAATTTGCAAAATTAACCAGATAAGGTAAACCTAAAAATTCAATTTGCACCCTTCAAGAATGATATTTGGTCAAGTAATGTCTCAAACATAATGTACGTGAAAAGGGTCTCCCTGAGAATAAGAAAGATTAAGAGAGCATGTTTCAATGTGAATGAAAAGGGGAATTAGAAGAGAATACTCCTGTCCTAGCCATCTTTGTACAGTATTAGGTATATTTTAATGTTGGATTATCATTTTGTCTATAGGAAAGAAAAATTTGGAGCAAGGCCGCTAAAGAATTTGTTAGACCAAAGACAACAACCCAGGTTGCAATTTCAACTGTGTTAACTTAGGAATTAAATTATTCCGATTTTTATTTATTTGTATTCACTATATGCAATCAGTAATTTTCACATGTTTCCAGAAAGAAAAACTTTCATCTGAAAAAGAGCGTCATAAAAGAGGTGCCCCAAGTGTAAGTTGTTCACTTGCTGTTCCCCATTATTCACGATTAATATAATAACTGACTGTGATTTTTATAGGGTAATGGGATACCTGAAAAAAACAAACCAAGACATAAAGATGTAAGCCCTAATCATATTTCTATAGAACAGTGGTTCTTAAAAATAGAAATATAAAAGATTTAAAAAAAGACTAATTCTTATACAAACACACTTTTATAGCGTAAAAAAAACCCTGACAAAAACGAACAAACACACCCACCAAAAAAGGTAAGACCTAGTCATATTTCTATAGAACTGTGGTTTATTAATATGAAAATATAAGATATTAAAAAAAATATTCCTGTTCAAATTTATTTTTTGTAGAAATTATTCTGGTTGAAATTTATTTTTTGTAGAAAATTGAGAAAGTAAAAAGTAAAAAACAGACTTCTACAAAACCAGTAAGACTTCCCCTGTGAGATGAAGTTCATATCATGGACATAGATGAACGTTCCTGAATATTTCATGAATGTCCAGAAGCATCATGTTTGTTCATGAACATTGTTTATGAACTGACTGTCAAAAATGATTTCTCGGACACTTGATGAACTGTCAAGAACATTGTGATTTTCACAGTTGTGCTCATAAAAATTCACAAATTATGAATAAATCATGAATATTTAATTCTAAGTATAAAGTTTTACAAACCTTGATTCCTTTGGCAAACTAAACTATTTCTAATAAATTATTGAGACATGTTTTTTGCATTGAACTGGAAATAGGCACCATATCATGTTATATGACGTGATTTATAAAAATGACTCACATGTTAGTGGTGGTATTTGTGAAAGATTGTGGATGTGTGTTTTAGACCCCGAGGCAAGTACCAGGAATTGATGGAAATTACTTTTTAATAATCAGCGTTAAAGAAGGGGTTCTTGACGGTGTCAAGCTTCAAGGTATTGTAAAATTCTGTGCAAATGTGACAGTACAATAGTCAATAGATTTCAACAGCTCTATCTATATATACCAGTAATATGTATTGTATGCTAGTGCTTATGGAGTGTAGTTATTATAGATTTGCTTACCAATACATCTTTCCATAGTTAAAGTTGACATGAAAATGAACACTGGATATTTGTCTGCTGCTGAATGGCCACTTTTGCCTGTAAGTATATAAAATTGTAAATTATAGATTATATAGATTACAGTATTTTTGTCTTGTATGGATCAATACTGCAGGCCAGTTAGGTAAATATGTGGGTAGTAAAAGTGTTATCTATGTAGAAGCTATATACTGTAGCCTGTCTGCATATTAGCCCAGGCCAGTGCAATATTGCATGACTTAAAGTTCCATTTGAAGCTCTGACTGTATCCAAAATTGGTCAATTGTACTTGCATGTTCTTGGGGTTTTTTAGTTTTATGGTGCAATGTCCTTGGTGTACTTGGCCTATGGGGTGGTTTGGCTCATTGTTTCTGCCTGCCAATGGAGAGAACTCCTTAGAATACAAGTAATGAAAATTATTTTATTTGTGTGTTTGTTGTGACTGAGATGAATATATGTCACACTTTTTCAAAACAAAGACAGGAATTACAGGTGTTTGTTTGCTTTGATTGAATAACCACAACTGGGCTAGATATATGTTATAAAATGAGACGCTAAGTTATTAATTGGTGATCTTTTCTTTCAGTTCTGGATTGGTGGTGTTATAGCACTTGGTTTGTACAGTATACATATACATTTCTAACTTAACAATATGTTCCAGGTCCAAAATCATTGTTTAACATTAGCCTCATTTGTAGGTATGCTTGAAAAGGCAATATTCTTCTCTGAATATAATAATGTGAATAACACTGGAGTGCCAGGTATATTTCATCTGTGTAGTCTGGGCTCACTGGTACAAGTTTAATGTTAGTGTGTCAGTGAAAATTGAAAGTCAAATGTACAATATGTTGCAATACTTGTAGTATGATAGAATGATTATAATATCATTAGCCTAGTTGGAAGTACATTTAGCAACCTTAATTTAAGTAAATTGTGTCTTTCTTTAGTCCAAAAATATTGTTTGTGTCATTGTATCTTCACAGCTCATGGTCTTGTTGTGTTAGCTCTTGTTCTTTCCTGTATCAAACGTACTTTATCAAGAATTCTCATTATAATTGTCAGTATGGGTTTTGGAATTGTCAAGTGAGTAGGAATTAAATATTCTCAAGGTTATAGTTTGATCTGACACAAATATCTGGTTCTAAATTGTTCCTTTTTCATTAGACCTAGACTTGGTTCAGCGCTTCATCGTGTCCTAGGAGTTGGCTGTCTATATTTTGTCCTTAGCATTGTTGAGGGATTTTATAGAGAACATTCGGTACAAACATTTATTTTATTGCATAAATGTACCCTGAGGTTAAAACATATTGGTTGTAAGTGAATGGCTATTATAATCAATGAGAGATTTAAACTGTTGCAGAAGTTGAATGGCTGGCTGACTGTCTGTTTTTGAATGTGCCATTTCAGGTGAAAGCCGATGTAAACCGTAAGCAAATGATTGCATCAGTACCATTGTCAGTCTTAGATGCTGTCATATGTTGGTGGATTTTCATGTCATTACTACAGACAATGAGAACATTGAGAATACGAAAAAATCTTGTGAAGTTATCACTTTATCGGCACTTCACAAATATCTTAGTTGTTTCTGTTATAGGTAAGAACAAATGTGACTGGTGGCTTTGGCAATATCTTAAATGTCAAGTATTTAACACATTTTTCCTCATTGATGTTCTATTTTATTTGGTATATATAGCTTCAGTGGCATTTATGGCTTGGATGATCAAGGCTCATAATTTCAACAGTTGCATTAAGGTAGTGTAGACAAGCTTTTGTGGTTCAACACATTTAATTCCATTATTATTTCTCATTTCATTTTTATGGATTAGGACTGGAAAGAAATTTGGATTGATGATGCATTTTGGCATTTTCTCTTTGCTCTTATACTTCTTGCAATCATGGTTTTATGGAGACCAACCGCAAACAACCAACGGTAGTTTACTGTTATGTGTGTTTTTATAGTTTTAATTGATCTCTTAACAAAATAATAAATGGCAGAGTATACTAGATTGTGTGTGTTTTTCTAGCTATGCATTCACTCCATTGATTGATGTTGGAGAAGATGATGATGATGATATGACATTGTCAGATGCTTTCCGTAAGTCAATCCTCAGTTTTTTCTAAACAGTAAATGTCTTCAACATCAAATTTTGAGTTTTGAACTTTTTTCCTCAACAAAATCAGGATGACTTCACCAGCTGAATCCAGATCTGTTTTTATGTTTACAGAAGGCATGAAGATGAGAGGTAAAAGTGATGGAGATGCACCCAGCCGGGCAGAAAAACAGAGAAAAAAAGCAGTAGGTAGCATTCATATCAGCAGTCTAAGCTTCACCTGGCATTGGGGAATTATAATGGTCCTGCAACTATTAATATTCTGTATTAAAATAGATTGTTCAATTTATAGTGCTTGGTTCTAAAATTTTGATTGGCCTTTTTTTAGGAAGATGATTTAAAATGGGTTGAAGAAAATATTCCAACATCCGGCGGAATTGACACGTACGAGTGTTAGCTAAGATTTTCAACTCACAAAACATTTAAAAAAACTCTTATAACCCCCTCTATGCAGCCCTGGAAGGGTCATATCCACGCAAATAATTAACCATAAACTACAGTTGGTAAATTCATGACATATTGCTTGAGAGGTTATTAAATTTATTCATTCGTCTAGGGCATTACCATCACTTCTGGATTCAGATGAAGTAAGATCTCTTCATTTCATAAAACATATACCTCATGTCTTGTTGGTTTTCTTAAAAAACACAAAGGCTAACTGATAAACAAATTTTTCATGATAGGAGATGATGACTACAAAGTTGGAAATGAGTAAAATGGAATAAAGGAAGAATTGTTAGAGTTGATAACAAAGTAAAATGTAGTATAACCTGTCCACATCAGTTGTCAGAAGTTCATTGAACACATCCAATTTTCAGTAAACAAAATTTCATGAATTGGGTACATTGTCTTTTAGGCATTAGCCATAATTTTAACTCAGTCTTCATTTGCTAAACAGCTATTCAGAAAATAAGAAAATAGATAGCCTAGCTTACTTACTCAGTAAAATATGATCTTTTCATTAGTGCATCCTGTGAGTGTCTTTCCAACCTCTGCATGAAAGTTGTGTCTGTCATGTCATTATGGATAATGTAATAAATTAATGGTGAGATTTTATTATAATCCTCAGTTAAATAAAATAGACAACTATGCCACCTATTAAGTGTCTCATGGTTGGTATTCAATGTAGGGTGGTTAATACAGTAGTTTTATGTTATTAATTGCACTACAGGAGCTTATTCAGTGTACCAAAAACTATTTTGATCAAGGCTTTATTTATTTATTAAGAACTAGGTATTACATTTCTAGCAGCAAATGAAATGACAAATGCTGCTGTTTCCCATGGAATGTTTAGACTTGACTATGTACAAATTAGTGTTATCTTTAACTAGACTGTTTCAAAAATTATCCTTCAGATGCTTTCTGTTGGTTGCTATTATTAGTTTCAGATGATGCCGCTACATGAGTGGCAATTGAGTTAGTTGAGTTTTGTGACATTTGAGCTTGAAGAAATTGTTCTTGGTCAACCTAAAACAAGCAGAATATTTTCTAGACATTCCTATGGTAGTAGTTTGTAGTGGTTTAGGCAGTTATATGATGGATGAAGATGTGCGGAAAATACAACTCATGAAAAGCAAGTCACATATTCTACCTGGGCCTGTTCCAATCGTGCTTGGGCAAAAAGTGCTTGCTGTTGTCGTAGAAGTTCCTCCTCGGGAATGCCCTGATCATGAAAGTTGCAGCAAACAGTAAGTGACATACGTAGGTATATTAAACCCTTTCAAGTTGTCATCTGAAAAAATATCATTTTGATTGCCAAACATACCAGGTTTTCTAAACGGTTACTTCCTCGTCTTTTACTCTGTAAAAGCATACAAATGTATTATTGCTAGTCAATGAGTTAGGGGATAGTAGAAACAGGTTACTGCCAATTTAGCATATATACCTTATAACTTGTACAAATGGTAAAAAATGGAAAGAATAAAGCACTCACTGTAGCTTGCTTCTTGTAGTCACTGTAAACAGACTGGACCTCTTGAACATAGGCTGTGAAACCTAAACTCTACAAAATAAGAGTATAAAATATTTAACAATGAAATTTTGTGTATCTCCTGAGCACAGTTTATGTTAAAGGAACCTCCAGTAGGTTCCAATCTACTTGTTGAACCCTAGTTTATTTGTGACAAGCTCACCTTCAGTGCATCAATTATATGTTCTGGGGCAATTGTTTTCTTTGCTCTTTGCTTACAAACTTCATTTGCTTCTGATGAAACAAGATGAATAAACTCTAAAAATTGAAAAAAACTCCAATATTATATAAATTGTATATGATACCATAAAAAATAGATTAATAATCATTGCCAAGCTATTCCCTCTCCCCTGGTTGGTAAAGCAGTAGTTTAAATATACTGTAAAACAACATAGTTCTGGCCAATTTTTTTATTGTCTATAAAAATCTAACTGGTACTCAATAATACCTGTACAACAGTTCAAAATTAGCTCTCTGGCATCATTTGAAACGCGAACATTTGGGATCATCTCTTTGATTAACTTGTTCACCGCAGCTAAAAAACGGAACATTATTAAACACACAAATTTCAAGAATCTTTGAATTGTTTACATTATCTTCTCTGCTAATTTGTTCATACAGCTTCATTTAACGACAGAAAAGGCTAAATGTTTTTATTCGAGCTTTAATTTACCTCTAGGCAATGTAACATCGTCTTCCTGACTAACGCCAGGAACATCAAAATCCGCCATCTTGAAATTTTTTATTAACGATTACGGAAACGTCATGTAATACTAAACTATAATGATATTTCACACCGGATATTATTATTCGGCGAATTTGGGCCACCTATGGCCAAACTACTCATTCGAAGCATATATTTGTGATTTTATTTTTCCAGAAAATAATGTGGTTTTTGTAAATTTATTTGCTTTATTCTTGCAAACATCGTATATTGAGATGAAAGAAGAGGTTACTGCAAAGCGAGTTGCTGTTATTGGTGGTGGTTTGGTATGTTATTAATAGTATTAACAACATTATGGCATGTGTGGGGTTGCAAGGACACGTGTTCCAACCGTGTTTCTTACTATGAAAAACGTAATGTTGGAAATGTTGTCATCAGTTTGCGCGAAGATTTGTGCGTGTTTGGGCTCAATTCTCAACCTAATTTCCATGAAACAATCTACCCTTGTGAAATTTTGTTCATTTTCTTTTTGTTCTAATAGAGAGGGAGGGAGTGGGAGGGGTTGTTCCACCATATGTTGTATATGTTATAATTCTGATGTATACTATCACCTATAACAACGGCTGAAAGAATACTTTAATCATCATATATAATATTTCTAGGCTGGTGCTTTAAATGCAGTCTACCTAGGCACTCGAGGGTACAAGGTGGACATTTATGAATCAAAAAGAGGTTTGTAAAAATACCAGCAGGTATCTAGTATAGTCTAATATTAAATGTCTTGTCAACTCCCTAAAACATGCCTTTATGTCTAAAAGAATTGATTAAACAATTTGACAAGGCAAGTAGATTTAGTTAAAAATAAATCTTGCCCTTGGCACCTGCGATCAGTTGTGTTTAATGAAATGCATCTGTTATAGACATCCGAGTGTCAGATAAATACAAAGGTCGTAGTATTAATTTGGCTTTGTCAGCAAGAGGTCTTGCTGCCTTGGAAAATGTTGGCCTAGACCAAATGGTAATTTGGAAAGTACCTCAGAGAGCTAGCTGCATGATAGTGCATTGTTTGTATCATGTACTTGTCCATTTTTTTAAATTTGTGTACTGGTAATATGATAGGTTTTATTGTTTTAAGGTAAAAGAAAGCGGAATTCCAATGCCAGGACGTATAATTCACAGCATAAATGGAAAGACATCATTTATACCTTATGGAAAGAAAGGGCAGGTATAAAATATTGGGATGCCACTGAACATATTTAGAACATATATAATTACATTTATATGTATATTTTTGTTTTATTTAGCATCTGTTTTCAATTTCAAGGAGTCAATTGAATAAAGATCTCTTGACAGGTGTTTTTTTGTTGTAAATTAAAATACTTCTGCACATTAAAAATTATACCTCTAAAATAAATGTATTTGTTTAGCTGCTGAGAACCTCCCTAGTGTGGATTTTCATTGTGAACACAAACTGGTTAATTTGGATATAGAAAACACCAAATTAAATTTTAAAGTGTATGTTTAATGAAAAAGTAATCTTGCATGCATGTCATTCAATATTTTAAAAAACTTATATGTAAATTCTAAATGGCCTTAATTTCTTTTACTAGATGTAATGATATTGATAAAGAAGTTGATGCAGATGTTGTATTTGGAAATGATGGTGCTAATTCAGTAGTGAGGAAAGAAATTATGAAACGAACCAGGTAAACATTTTGCTTTTTAATATGATACAGGATTGACAATTTACTCTGGTTAATAAATATGTCATTTTAGACTTAATTACAGTCAGGAATACATTGAACATGGCTATAAAGAGCTTGCTATGTTACCCAAGAATGGGGAGGCAAGTGTGTCTGAAGTTAATTATTTAATTTATTCATTTAATATTTCATCACCACTAGTACCAAATCCTGACATTCCTGTATTAATTTATATTATTTGTTTTAGTATGCAATGGATCCAAATGGTTTGCACATTTGGCCAAGACAAACATTTATGATGATAGCTTTGCCAAACCAGGTATTATAAAATATTACTAAATATTATCTTGATCATCATTATACTATAGGTTAATTTGAACTCTAATCAATGAACTATTTATTTCCAGGACAAGTCATTCACATGTACACTCTTTATGCCTTTTGAGATGTTTCATAAAATCATTACCAAGGTTTGTATGATCCAAGTAAATAGTTGTAGATCCGTCATGAATATGCTCTAAATGCAGCTTTGTTCAACTTCAGGAAGATGTCATTGCTTTCTTTAAGAAGGAGTTTCCAGATTCAATTCCATTATATGGCGAGTATGTGAATTTAATTGATTGTTGCTGTGAAATGGCATCTTTTGTGACATTTGAACATAACATTAAATAAACAACATTATATATGTTTTAGAGAACATTTAATCAACGAATATTTGACAAACGTTGTTGGCAGTATGATATCAATTAAGGTTAATTTGTGCAATTAATAAGTAAATGATTTTTCATAACCTTATAACCCTGACATAGTGTAATTGTAGTGTGATCCATACCATGTTGAAGATAAAGTGATATTCTTTGGTGATGCAGCTCATGCTATGGTTCCATTCTATGGCCAGGGAATGAATTGTGTATGTACACCTGCAGATTAAACTGGATTACTATATTAAGATAAACTCTTTCGCTAGTTAAAAAAAGAAAATTAGACATTTTTTTAAAAGTTTTTCTGCTCATATACTTTTATGTATTTTGTGTAGGCATTACAGGATGCCATGATATTTAATGGTTTACTTGATGAATTTCATGATAACATGGGTAAATATGATGAGCATCAAACACATTAAAATCAGACCCAAATTAGAGTCAGAGACCAATATCTGATAAATATTGACCCTTATGGGAAGATATTAACTGCAAACGGAGTTGATATTCACCTTGTATCTGATATTAACCTCGGAATGATATTGATTTGAAAAAATTTTAACCTTTTATCCGATATTGACCTTGGAGTTATAATCTGATCCAACGTTCCTTTTTTAAGGACTGGCCATGCAAGCATTTTCATCCTCAAGAAATTTGGATGCAAAAACAATTTGTGATTTCTCAATGCAAAATTATATTGAAGTATGTTGTTTAGAAATCAGTTTTATTCTAGTTCCACCTGACTCATGCACTGAAGTGTATTATTTTATTTTCAGATGAGGTCATTAGTCAACTCTCGTTTATTTCTCGTGAGGAAACATGTTGATAATTTCTTGCATTGGTTGATGCCCAGGACATTTATACCAAAGTATACAATGGTATAATTTCATGTTAACTGTATAACTTTGAATACATGTAACAACCTCAATAATGATTATAACATTTGGTTTTATATATAGGTTGCATTTACTATCATCCCTTATCATGAGATCTTGGCCAGAACACTTTGGCAGAATAAGGTATTTTCTGTCTTTTATTCACACTCGTACTGTTTTAGTCACAATTCAACGAGTCTCCATTATTTTCACAGGTTATTGATAGAATAACACAAATACTTGGAGTCTTGTTTGTTAGTCTTGGGTTTATAATAACACGTAAGATATATCATCGACTCAAATAACTCTTACCTGTTAACTAAAAAACTATTAGTTCACAAAAATAGATTCAGTAAGATGTAGTTTTAACTATTATTAGTGAAAACTATTATTAATAAAATATCGAATAGGTTTGAATCCAGGATACGTTATAAAAATCGCGCAATATACGGGCGTAGCAAGCCTATAGTTAATAGTTTTGGAGAGACATGGTTGATTTTTTACTCCAATCTCAAGCTAACTCCTGTTAGTTTTTATTAAATCCAGGACTAATTCTGATTCCTGATACAGGTATTATAAATTGCGTTAGTCTGTCTCTACCAATGAAAAGACGTGTTTGACAGCGTAAAGTATTGACAGTTAACAGAACGCAACTTCTCACCAACTGTGAAATAGTCATCGTAAGAATCATTGCCTTCATTGTTTCAAAAAAGGTGGCAAACTGTTACATTGTTAAGTAAAGTCGTCTTTTATTTCCCTCACGATAGGAAACATAATTTGACAAAGAGTTTTCGTGCCGAAAACCCTATATATCACCTTATGTCAAGATTATTGCATGCATTTTGTTTAAGGAGATGGTCTTATTCACTGTTCTAGTTACCGCAAACCTGTACTTTGTAAAACTCACATCTCTTTCGTTATTAAAGCTTGCCCAGGCTAGCACATTTTGAAAGTGATTTTATATATTATACACACGTCAAACTGCGTGCCCTTTCAAGCGTAATAAACATGCTAATATAATGCAAGATTCAAACAGTGAAGACATGTTCATATCATGTTGATTCTATCAGTCTGTATAGCTTGTTAATAGTTCAAACAGCTCGGATTAGAAAACACGTAAAAAGAAGATTGTGGCCTGGGTTACATCATGAATGATGGAATGGAAACCTCAAGTAAAGGGTCCGTGGCGATTGTTGGGGCCGGATTGGTATGTCCACTTTATCAAATCAATTACATTTAGAGTTAAGTTGAGCGTTTAATTACAGTCACTTGTAAAAATACCCTGCAATCGGAAGAAACCGTTGTCTATAAACCGTTGTCTGAAACGTGTCTTGACTATACCGTCATTGTTGAACGTAGTCTTTGAAGAGACAATTGGTGACAACTGCTGCTTTCTTGAAATTGTCCATGAATGTATGGAGTAGTTTTGTTCTATATACGGTTATCTATTCGAACCCGGGATATTATTTGAATAACCTGCTTGCCATAACAAAACCACTTTTCATGTAAGGTGAAGGTATAAGTTTTCAAAGTTTGTATCTTTCCATCTTACATTTTCTATCCTTGTTTGATGGTTTGCATAAGTGCATGTTAATTCCAAATTATTCATGTAAACTTCATTTTTTTAAAACTCGTTATTATGCTGACGCTCTCTTACGGGTTTCTGATCTCTCCATTAGGGGATAATTTAAAGTACAAGTGATTTAGACGTGGGAATTGTATTTCATTATTGGTATTATTTTTCTTAGGTTGGGGCATTGAATGCAATTTATCTTTCAAAGAGAGGATACACTGTGAATGTTTATGAAGCACGAAAAGGTGAACTCGTTGACTAGGCACGATCACTTTCATCGAAAATTATTAACAAACGCTTTGCTGTTTATTTAGATGTAAGAACACAAAATTTTTTCGAAGGAAGAAGCATCAATTTGTCATTGTCCACACGGGGGCTTGAGGCTTTAGAAGTAGCCGGCGTTTCAGGTCCGGTACGTTTGATGAGAAAGCAGCTGGTTTGTGATACATTGGAGGTAGATGAGTGGTTGATATTTGTGATGCATGCGTAATTTTTACTTTTTAAGATTTTGGAACAAAGTGTGGCGATGTATGGTAGATATATTCACGAAGTATCTGGCAAAACTAAAGTTATGATGTATGGAAGCAATGGAGAAGTAGGTTTTCAGCTTTATTTGATATAGTAATTTAGTTATTTCCTTCTGCAATTTTTTAAATTTTTCTTTCACAGCGATTACTCTCCATTAACAGACGAAAATTAAATGAATATTTGCTTATTAGTAAGTGAAGTACATGCCCGTGATTACAGACGCTGGAGCCTAATCAAACGTAAAACAGTACGGCTTTATTTTTCATGTTTTTTTGTGTGATTTATAGTTGCTGAAAGCCTTCCAAATGTTAATCTTCATTTTGAACACAAGCTCACGTCAATTCACCTCAACGAGGCGACCATGACTTTTACAAGGTAAATTGAGAACCATAAGACCCCAGAGTTCTGTTCTGAAGTTTTTGCACTGCAAGAACAGCAATACATTGTTGTGACGAAAATTTATGAATTGTGCGTTCACTCAATTCCGCAGACCTAACCAGACAACTGTTGAAGTTCACAGTAAAGCAATAATTGGTAATGATGGAGCATATTCGCTTATCAGAAGGGAGATGTCAAAACAACCGTGGTAACTCTTGTGTTTCCAAAAACAAGGCTATTAAAATTATTTCACGCTTTGTAATGAAGAGCATTATTCGTTGTTTAGGTACAATTACAAACAAGAATATATTGCTCATGCTTACCAAGAACTGAACATTCCTCCTAAAGATGGCGAAGTAAGAAAGAAATTATCGATATTTTTTAGCACATCTATTTTCGGTAATTGTATTTTTCACATAGTATGCAATGGATCATCGTTTTCTTCATGTCTGGCCACGGGATTCCTTTATGTTGATTGCCCTGCCAAATAAGGTACCTCATTTTTATTTATAATTTAATTTGAAGAAAGCCACAATAATTCATTTCTCTTTTTCTTCAGGACGGTTCATTCACTTGTACTCTCATTATGCCTTGCAAAATGTTTGATGCTTTGAAGACTGAGGTAAAGTTAATAATTTACATTTATTTATATATATACTTATGGTCGGTTTCTTTAGTGTGATAATATTCTGTTTGCGTAGGATGATCTTTTGACGTTTTTCAAGAAACATTTTCAAGATACAATTCCTTTGATGGGCGAGTAAGTAGCAATCTGATCTATAGATTTGCGCTGGATATATTTTATAGAGTAAGCCTTGTTCTTTCTTTTTAGAAAAAAACTGGTAGAAAAGTTTTTCTCCTTTCCTCCATCTCCAATGGTTTCAGTAAAGGTTGGTATATATAAATAAATATAAGTATAAACTATAATAAATATAAAATAATAATGGGGGCTCATTTCTACAAGTGTTACTTGGTTTAATTTAATTTCCAAATATTTTAGTGTAGTCCATATCACGTTGAGGACAAAGTGATTATAATGGGTGACGCAGCACATGCGATGGTACCATTTTACGGACAAGGAATGAACTGTGTAAACTCAATTTTTAATATCAGTGATATTTGTTAATAACGGAGATCATGGAGTGATATTTGTTAAATTATTATTTCTATTTTAGGCATTTGAAGACAGCTTGATTTTCAATGACTTTTTGGATAAGTACAATGACAATTTTGGTAAGTCATTAAATAATCGATAGCATAAGAAGAGTGCAATATTATCTTTAATATTTTTAAATATTGCTCTGCTTTATTTAAGGCGAAGTATTTGAACAGTTTACGTTGACCCGATGTCCAGATGCTCACGCTATTTGTGATTTGTCTTACTACAATTATCTTGAGGTAAAAATATCTAAAGAGCGTTGTTGCTTCACTGAAAAAAAAACGTTACTAACTGGCGAAATACTGTCTGGCTCAATAGATATGACCCGTTTTTTTTAAAGATGCGAGCCTTACTCAACTCTCGAATTTTCTTCGCAAAGACATTCTTGATTAAGCTTCTGAACTGGCTGATGCCTCGTACGTTCATTCCTCTTTATCACATGGTCGCCTTTTCACGCACTCCATACCATAAAGTTGTGTCACAATGGAAATGGCAAGATAAGGTATTAAACTGATTATGATAACACAGAGGTTTAATAGTCCAAAAGCTGTTAGTTTTGACAATGCATACTGAACAAGATTTAGATGACAATTTTTACTAGAATGGCTGATGAGGCTGTTACGAAGAAATTCGACTAATTTTCTTTTCTATTTTCAGATTGTGGTGCGATTAACTTGGATAACGGCGACCGTTCCATTGATAGCAGCTGGCGTGATGATCTTGCGAAGAAGTTTGAGCAAATGATTTTGTATTCGTACATATCAGCTTGTTATAACGGCATAAACTTACAACTTTCTGGCTTCGAGATAAATTTATAAGGGCTGTATAATTGTATTTTATCTGCTGTTACGTGGCATCTGAAAATATACCTTTTATAGCAAACTAGTTTCATTACTGCGCATGTTCTGTCCTTATGATCAATTTGTCGCACAACCTTTGCGCCTACGAAGGAAAGGTAGTATATACTATTGGTTGATCACAGGGACTTGCGAAAAGCTACTGGCATTTCAGGTCTAGGGGGCCTCCTTTACTCTCTCTCTTAGACTTCCGATCCACCTATAAATTGATAACCGTGGCTCCTCGGAAAGGCTCGGATACCGTGGCCGAAGAACTGGTTTCCAGTTTCTCGGGTCCAGACACAGACAATATGGCTGCCAAAATCGTTGTATTTCACTGCGTTGTATAACTCGTGGTACAAAACGCAGGCATTTTTTCATGTTAAAATTCTCCCAGTGTCTTTAAAATATCGACAATAGAGAATCTCATTATTAGAACCTTGTTTAAAAGAAAATGGGTTCGTCAAAGAAGAAGAAAGAAGGTGAGCGTATAAAGAAACATCGACGCGATAGAAAAGATACCGATAGTTCCAAAAAGTCGCGTGATAAAAGTAAAAGGCGACGTGAAGACGACGACGAAGAATTGCTGGATTATGCTTTACATGATGCTGTACAAGTTCAGCAGAATGTTTATGATTATGGACATGGTTTTTTAAGCAAAGGTGAGGCACTGTTTTAACCATATTATATGCTAGGCCTAGGACACAGCTAGGTCGGCTAGGATTATTGCTACCATTATTTATACTTGGTATTAAATTTGGTTGACTTTGGTGGAATATAAGTAGCATTCCTATCATAAATCCAGGTTGTCAATTGTCATCAGTGAAAACCATCAAATGTGAAGTATTATATTTATACATTTGTGTTTCTTTCAGTTGAGAATGAAGAGAAATCCACAAAAGATGAAACCTCATTAAGCATAGAGGAAACAAAGTTAGTGACTCATCTTCATTGATTTTTCTCATTAAATATATTATAGTGGGTATTGGTGGAGAGACAAGCAGGCTGGGACACTATTGATCATCTTTAATTATAAAACTAGAAGAGGTGGTCAGAGGACCGTTAAGCGATGTCCCTAAGTACTTGCACCTATACAGCACTATTAATAGATATGTTTCATACTCGTTGTTATCTAGTAAAATAAGAGAAAAACTTGGTCTTAAACCATTGGCTGTCCCCGATACAAATTCAGGTAATGATTTGATACTTTAGAAATTTCACTTTACCAACTAATTTTACTGTAGGTGAAAATGTTTCATTTTTTAGATAAAACAAATACATTAAAAGATGAAGAGGAATTTGTTCATGCTCCCCCTGTGAACATTGCTGAACAAGAAAGTCAGGAAAAGGTTTGCATTTACTAGTTTTGCTTTAGCTGACATTGAATAAAATGCCTATTTTTTGTTCTTGAACAGTACAAAGAGAAATTAAAAGAAATAAGAGAGAAAAGGGACATGCAAAAAAAACTGGGGTACGTAAAAGTGAATGCAAAGTCATTATTTCTGTTCTTTTCCATTAGCCAATTGCATCTTGAATGTTCTTTTAGAAAAGTGAAGAAACTTGCTGATAGTGAGAGTGATAATGAGGATAGTGCCTTGTCTTGGGTGAAGAAAGTGAGAAAGAAAGAAAATGAGAAGCAACTAGCTATAAAACGAGCTCAGTTGCTGGAAGAAATGGATGAGGAGTTTGGTGTTGGTGAGCTAGTTATGAATGTGATGGGAAATAAAGAAAAGGTGAATTTTAAGTGAACATGTGATTATATTTGTGTCTTCAAAAACCCATGCACAGTAGTTGGAAACTAGGAAATTGTTGTTATAGTATAACCTGCATAAAGGTTGCATGATGAGTATAAATTTTGGGGTTTTCTATGAATACATTTAGGCTTATACAGCAAAAGATCTGAAAGGGTTGACTGTTGAACATTCCTCTAAAATGATTAAGGTAATTGAAAATACAGTGTATGGCCTTCAATATGCAGAAAGACTAGTCATTTAACTCTTTGCTTGTTATTTAGGAAGGGAAAGAAGTTATCCTAACATTAAAAGATTCAGGTAAACTATGGTTTGTCATATTACCATTCATACTGTTAGTTATAATGCAATATAATAAAGAATGGTGTAGGTATACTGTAAGTTTTGTGTTGTATTCTCAGGTATTTTAGAAAATGAAGATGATGTTTTGGTTAATGTCAACTTGATTGACACTGAGAAGGTACAATTCATGCCTTATACCACTAATACCAGCAGGGCTTTTTATTCCTTTATTTGTCTGAAATTGCCTCTTAACATTCCAGGCAGAAAAAAATATTGAATTAAGAAAAAAGAAACCAGGATATCAAGCCTATGATGAATTTGATGAGGATGGAGAGGTTGAAATAATCAATGATTTTTGTGTTATTTTTGCTTGTATTGTGAATTTATAAGTATATATTTATTCTCTGATGTCCAAACTAATTCCTCTTAAATTTCTATTTTTAGCAAAAAGTTCATGGTTTGTTATCAAAATATGATGAAGAGATTGATGGTGTCCAAAAGAAAACATTCAATCTAGGTTGTGTAATCAGTACTTCAGCCTTCAATTCAATTGTCTGTGAAATGATCATTTCTTAGTCGTCTTAAACTAATTAGTACATGCTAAGTTAAGGAATTGTTTTATAGGCAAAGATGGTGGGCTAAATTTAACGAAAGAACAAGAGCAACAAAAAGTATGTTTATTAGAGTAAATTTTGCATGATCATGCCTTGATTAGATGCAACTCAGAATAGCAGTAATTTAGAATTGAATTTCTAAATGGATTGTTATTCAGAAATGTAGAAATTTTTCATTAAATCGTTACATCAATATATCACCTTTTTAGATCCGTGAACAATTAAAGAATGAAGCTGTAAGTACTGCTTTCAATGTAATAGCTATAATATATTTACCAACTATTCTATGTTAGCCCTTATAAGCACGACTCTAACCTACCCCTTGACTAAAGGAAAAAGTCTGTCCCCAACTGATATCTCTTTAAATTTGTCTTACTTCAGGTATCATTAACAATGCCACAGTTGCAAACACAAAGTGAATACTACACTGAAAAGGAAATGGTATGGCTACCATTATGTATGAACCATTTATCATGTTGACAATTGACTCTATTGTAAGGAATAAAATTATAGTAATTTCTGTCATTCTAGTTGAAATTTAAGAAGCCAAAGAAAAGGAGAAAAATTAAGAAGCGAGAAGCTCTTAAGGTACTGATTAATGTTATATAAATACTAGTGTGTATAATCACAACTATAGCTAAGATATATCTCTAATTTAGGCTGATGATTTGCTACCATTGGGAAGCGCTGACAAAAGTGACCATGGATCAAGGTATGGCAGTGTGACTTAAAATATTTGTTACAAGTGTAATTTTTAGTGGCACTACCATTCCAACCTATTTTTTCTTAAAAAAGAAATTCAAGGCCAGCACCATTGAAAAACAGTAAAAGCCATATTATCCAGGTAGCAAAAATATGACAAGTCATCATAAGAATATGTTTTATGTTTCTTGTAAATAAACAAGTGAACTGTGTTTATCATATAGGATGATGCAATGGAGTGGCAAATGGCTGATCCAGATGATGGTATGGAATTAACAGAGACTACTGTATTTTCTTCTTGGTAAATGACAGTGGAAGTCTAAGTTAGTATACTGTTCTCAATCTAGCTGCAATCCAAGGTCGTGACATGAATGAGCAAGATCAGTTAGTTGATGATGAGGATGATCAGCTTGAACTACAGCTTGCTCTCACAAGGTTTGATATTTCTGCCAGCATTCATAACTCATATATGCATGTTTACTAAGAGTTAATATCTCATTCAGATCACGACGATCAAAAATTAAAAAGGAGAATGTTGGAGCAGAAAAGGTTAGTACCGGTAGCTAACTCTTATTTGTACTTTGATTTAAATCCAGGAATTATTTGGTAAAAATTCAATAATATAAAACATGTGTACACACACAGTAACTAAACACAGTCACTAAGTGTGATATGTTTTTTCAGGTTGTTGAGTCCTTGACTTCATTATCAAACAACATGGATACAAAGTCATCTAACCAAAGTAAGTTAGTCAAAAGTCATAGCCTCTGCATGATAATTATAAGGATGAAGCGGTAACTAAGGCCGAAAACTTCCCTTTCTTGATTGTTAGTTTTATTGATCTTTACATATTAAAACATCTTGCGGTCTTTTCCAGGCACAATTGTTCTTGATTCTACATCAGAATTCTGTCGAACACTGGGAGAAATACCTACGTATGGTATGTGTTAATGAATTTGCCTGTTGCTTAGAATATTGTTAATATGAATAGGTCTGTACTTAATTTTAAAGCTCACATGTATGTACATGTAATGTTTCAGGTGCCTCAGGTAACAGAGCTGACCTTGATGATATTGATGATGTAAGTTTACTTAAAGTTGTATAGCATTATTTTGAACACATTCAATTCTGGTTTCAAAACATAGTTGGTGTATGTTACTTATTCTTTGTAGGAGATGGATTTAGAAGAAGCTGTTGATAAGCCAGGGGGGTGGGAAGCAGTGAAGCAACAAGACAGCAAACAATCAGGCCTGGATGATGCTTCATTGGTAGGTTATAATCATCATTTATTGTGTACATAGCATGTAGGGTTTTTCTAAGGGGACTTTTAAGACATGCCTTTTATCTCTCTTTCAGTGATTAAAGTCATAGTCTGCAAATGTGTGCAATTGCACTTAAGTCAGTCAATTTAACACAATTTAATATTTTAGTCAAAAGATACAAATATATTGGACGATGAGCCAACATTAGGATTGGGCATTGGAGCTGCACTAATGTTGGTCCAAAAAAAAGGTTATTATTATACATAATTGTCTTTAAATTAATTAACCTGTGTTTTGGGTAGTATTCAGAAGTACCATACTAAGTTTAAAGTTATGGACGAATAGTTTTCTATAATTGCAGGTTTAATTGAATGTGATAAAAAAGAAAGGAAACTGGCAGGTGGACTTGCATTACCTGAAACTGTGAAGGTTATTGATGAAGAGAAAATGAGGTAGGTGCGAGATTAGCCTATGGGGTTGCTATAAGCCTGTAAGCAGGAACTCTTTATCAACGATCTCAGATAATAACACATAAAATATCTTATTTTTTCAGGGATGAGGAAAGAGAGAGATTGAGGGAAAGGTAAAATTCAAACATCTTTGGATAGTTGGGCAAACTATTTCTATAAATTCTGATTACATCACCTGATAATCTTTTGGTTTTCAGAGGACGGGATCGTGACAGAGAAAGATATAATCCCAATTCATTCAAAGAGAAAGTTGGTTATAAACCTGATGTAAAACTAGAATATGTTGATGAACAAGGACGTCAAATGAATCCAAAAGAAGTAAGATTCTTAATAGTTTGATGAACTTTTCCCATAATGTGGCTTTACCCTTTTGGTTTCCACCAAACAAAGTGTAAGTAATGTGGAAATATTCCTTCTAATATCTATTTTGCAGGCATTTAGATATCTTTCACACAAGTTTCATGGCAAAACACCAGGAAAATTAAAGAGTGAAAAGAGACAGAAGAAATTTGCTGAAGATCTGGTTAATATACATTAAATTGTTTTTAGTGATAAAGCATGTATGCTTTTTCTAATCTTGATAAACGTTTTAGGCTCTAAAGAAAATGAATGCAGGTGACACTCCTCTCAATACAGTAGCATTGTTCTCTGAGAAACAAAAACAAGGACAAACTCCATATCTTATTCTTAGTGGAGGAGGACAAACATTTAGTGCAGGGTAAGATATATTGCTTGGCCATTACAATTGTCCAGCCTATTGTCTTTATTGTCATTCTGTACATTGCTTTATCACTTTTTGTTTTATTTATTTAGACCTACTATCCAAAAAGGAAAATAACACTATTTGAAAACTATTCCATGAATTCTTTTCAACAACAATGTAACATAATTGAGGTATGTAAGTTAAACACTAGACAAGCTCAGTAACTACACAATAGTCATCAACATTTACATAATATATGTACAACAATTGAGTCCTGTTCATTCTATATTCTTGAGGTGTCTCTCCCAAACAATCTACTTTTGATCCAGTCAAATAAAATCAAACACTTGGTTCGGATTGTAACAGACTCATTGAAATAGGCAGCTTTCCACAAATACATAGCACCCAAGCCTTTGAAAGATCCTATGATTGGAAACTGCAGAACAGCCTTATCATCTCCAATATAGGCAAACATTCCCATGTGATTGTATTCAAACTGTTCCACTCCTCGTTCACTCAGATTACTTTGCTCCCCAATGATGTCAGAATGCTGAGAGAATAATTTGCCCAAATATTTGCCTTTCTGACTTGCAACTTGTGCTGTACAAGGAAGATTTGTCAATTTGTTGTCAACAGTTTTGAGAAGCTTCTCAAATTCTGCAATTCCAAGACATCCATCTGCATTTTCATCTGCCTCTTTGAATGCGCTAAAAGAAAAATGGTTTTGCAAATTGGAATCAGTCATCATAACAATTCTAATTTATAAACCTAAAGATCTTACTTTTGTAAGCTATCATCCCAATCTTCACCAGAAAAGTGTTTACATATCTGAGGATACTTGTTCCGGGCCTGTTCTATAGCAGCTGTCAAGAAGAAAACAGACATATTGTAGGAAATATCATTTGAATACTATCTCCTACACATATAGGTTATTTAGTCTACTTAAACCGGACATTTATAACTCTTTGTGTTCTCAACTTTTAGTTTACCTTTAAATTCTTCCAGATTTAGTTTGCCATCACCATCTTTGTCAGCATCAGTGAATATTTCTTTCACATCAGATAGGAGTTTTCTTTGTTCAATTGTACAGCAATCCCCCATGGCATAGATATGACCATTTGAGTTTTTCACTTGCAGATGATAATCTGTCAGCAAAGCATGTCTAAGAAATCAAGATAAACATGTCTGTCCCACTTTATTTTTTAACTTTTAATCCCATGAATTAATTTAAAACAGAATGACCCCATTGGTAAGTATTCTTGGTATTACTTTGTTTACCCAACACCTAATTAAACTAGGCAGGGAATACTCAATCAGATGGAAAATATGGTAATAATCTGACTACCTGTTGGTTTGTCCAGGTATTTTCTTCATAATTTTCTTAGTGAGTTCTTGAGGTGCTATACCAGTTGACCAAACACATGTTCCAAATGGTACATTTATTACTTCATTTGTTTCCATCTTTTTTACAGTTACACAGTTCCTCTCAACCTTTGTTACCATATGTTTGGTCCAAATATTGATGCCATCTTTTTTAAAGTGGTTTGTTGTATATTCCTTGATCTAGAACATATGATATATTTAGAATATTCCTATTTAAGTATTTATTTATTTCCATTTGATTAGGATACAGCCAGTCTAATTAGGCTACCTAATGCAAGGCTAACAGTTTAATGAATATTGTATAACAATTTTGCCTACATTTTCATCATAAGCATTTAAGATTTGGGGCAAAGCTTCAACCAATGTTACTTTGCAATACTCAATCAAATGTGGGTACAGATGCTTCAAGTCCTCTCGAACAAGGTCTCTTAATTCTGCTGCAAACTCAACACCTTAAAAACAAGATTGTTAATAAGTAACTGATTATATTTATTAACTTCCCCACAATATATTTACTTACCAGTTGGGCCTGCTCCAACCACAACAAAATGCAACAATCTTTCAATTTCACTTTGTGGTTGCCCAGGTATTGCAGCAGTCTCAAAACAATCCATGACGGTGTTTCGTAGCTTGCATGCATCTTCTACAGACTTAAGAAAATGGCAGTGCTCTCTAACGCCAGGAATGTTGAATGTAGCATTATCAGAACCAATGCCAACTATCAAGATGTCATAGTCCAAAGTATATTCTGACTTGCTTCCGAGAACAGCTGAGAAACAGTGGATTTTTATAAATAATTTTGGTGCAGTCTATTTTGTAATGCAGGATTTCTCACTTCCTATCAAGGTCTGGAATAACAACCCAGCAGATTATTCGATATAAACTTTGATAAATGACGAGGACAATGTTTACTTATTGACACTAATAAAGTGTCGTCGATAGCTTACCAGAATTATCTTTGCAGCGAATTTTCTGATTGTCAATATCCACATCTATACATTCCCCTTCGTAAAAACTTACTGTATTCTTGTGCTTTTTGTGAATAAGGTTACGAATGGGCTCAACAACACTGCGTACTTCCACAGTTCCTACTGTCACCGAGGGAAGCAGTGGTGTGAACAGAAAATAATTTGAAGCAGAAACGATGGATAATTCGTATAACTCTGGTTTCAAATTACGAATAAAATTTACAGCAGCCCAGCCAGAACCAAGGACGACAACCTTTTTCTTCTTTCCTGTTGCATATCCATTTTGGATTCCAATGGCAAGATAAAATCCTGAAGAAATTCCTCCTAAGCACAGCAACTTCCAAGCAAATTTCTTGTCACCCTTGACGTATCGCTGTTCTGCAGATAGCTGTCGTTTAAAGATTTTGTTCGTGTAACGATATAGAGATCTCATGGAACGAAGCATTGTTTTTCTTCACATCCGTGCTGCTTTGATCAAATGGTTTACGCCTTATATTAAATTACTATCCGGTTTTATTATAGGACGTAATGTCAACAAGTGCAGAAGTGTTGCAGAAGTGCTGATTGGCAGAGAAACGTATTTCCCGGATGTTTGGTGGATGCGTACAAATTTGAATACAGGATCTCCTTCCTGCTGGTATTTTTAGTGCATTTTATTTTCAATCACGAGATCAAATTTGAGATAAATAGATCACATTTTTAGACAAACATTTTTTTCATGGTGAAATTAAATGTGTGAAATGTGGTATAAACAAAAATTCGTAAAGATTAGCATGCAAAAATGTTTGGAATTTCCCATTAAGCCATGCGTCAAAAGTCGTGCTGAGAAATGCAGTTATAAAACGTGTTTATACTGTGAAAGAATTTCCAATTTTAACATGGTATTTAACAAAAACTTGTGCTCTTTGGAACTGATTTTGAAACTACCCAGATAGACAACACTGTGGCCATGATATTTGATTGTATTTGTGGGAAAAAAGGCGCAAAGAAAAGGAATTTATTCGCCGTAAAAGTCAAACTGTTGGATAATACTATAAGTGAATATTCTTTAAATAAAAAATGTTCTGCCTTAGATTGCCTGAAGAAAATTGCAGAAGAAGTTAACTTAAAGGAAGTAAGTTTTTAAAACAACATTTATGCTTTCTAGTGTGAATAAAAAATTATCAGTTTAACTTTTTGTCCTGTATTTATTTAACACTACTGGCTTACGACTGAAAATAAATTGTGTGTGTCAACAACTTTTAATCCTCTTAGTGTAATCTTAACTAATTTTTTAAGAAGCTAAGGTAGCATGTTTTATTAATATTAATATTAATGTCTTGTATAGTTTATATTTGGGCAATTAGGAAGCGATTAAACTACTTATTTATATTTCATCTCGTATTTTAAAAATAAACTAAGGTTTGTTTGGTTAAATTCTGCGTATCCTTTCCATGTAAAAGCATGAAAACGACATATCCTTTGGTTTGTTTTTCGTAACACATATTTGTCTGCGTGTTTTGACTCGTTTAAAAGTGTCAATATTACAAATTATTATTAATAACAAATATGCATAATTTTACACGTAAATATCAGTTATTTTGTCTCCACGTTTGTAAGTCATCGACATCGGAGGTTTATATTTTTTATATTTGTTTGTATTTATTTTTTAATAAGTATTTTTTCTTGTAGATTTCATATTTTGGTTTGAAATATTGTGGTAGCGAGTCCTCCGGTGAAAAATGGCTTGATTTGAATAAAAATCTGTACAAAGAATTGAAGATATGTGCTAATGAGAGTATTAACGATGTTGTTATTGAATTTCAAATAAGATTTTTTGCTACAAATGTGGAGTTGTTGATTGAGGACACAACAAGGTGATTTCTATACTTGCATATAACTTAACCTTTAGCCTCAATTTCTTGAAAATTCAATTCAATTCAATAATTTTGGTCTCATATATATGCTGTTCATTGGAGTTCAAACATCAATATAGATATTTTTACTTCAGATATTTCTATTATTTACAATTGCGGCAAAACATTGAAGAAGGCACACTGACTTGCAATGAAGAAAAAGCTCTGGTCTTAGCATCTTATGCTCTTCAGGGTAAATATATTGACAACATGATACAATATAAAGAATGTGCTTAGCTTTTCTAAAAACTTGTGTATTATAATATTCTTCATTTGAAATAGCAATATAACATATATAAAATTGCATTTTCTGCTAAATATCTTGTAGCTGAATATGGGGATTATGACTCCAGCGAACATAATGAAGATTTCATTGAGGAATATCAACTTTTACCAAAGGTACCATATGATATGTTTGCATGTGAACTGCTTGTTGTTCATGAACAACCCTAGTCAATATCCAATATTTCACTTTAAGGATTTAAAAACAGAAAAAACAAATGCAGAACTCTATGCTGAGGTAATTTGTGTGGTTTTATGATGTGCTAGTGTTGCAATGGTTCCCTAAGCCATCCTGATGTTATTTATAAATATTTTCATATGTTTATCTAGATTGCAGAAAAACACAAAAACTATGTGTAAGTCATAGGGAAATGTACATGTTTACTGATGGTGTTGTAATGAACATATTTATTAAGTATGCTATCTCTCTGTCATTATTTCAGTGGAATGTCAACAACTGATTCAGAATTTGCCTACCTCAAGTATTCCCATCAACTGGAATGCTATGGTCATGAATTTCACTCTGCAAAGGTATACTGCTGGAAAACCTATTACCTTTTGTCATAATTTGGAATTAAGTATGGTTTAACCATGCCGTCTGTGCTTCAGAATGGATTTTTTTTTCATATGAAAAAATCAGACTAAATTCTGTCTTTTTTCCAGGACATTCAAGGTCGTGTTGTAAAAATAGGACCATGCGCACGTGGCGTGTTTCTTAAATATGATAGCGAGTCGCCAATGACTTACTTCAAGTAAGTGATTCTCCCAAAAAATACGTCGTAAGTCGTAAATCTTAAATAGTTCGTTATCATCCCATTTTTCATTCCTAGTTGGCCAGATATTGTTAACATGATGCATAGAAAGAAAATGTTCATTGTCGAAACATCTACGTTAAAGTCTTTGCTTGAGATGGTAAGTTGAGGCAAATCTAAGAACTGGAAAACCGTGTTTCTAAGACGTCTTAACGATGATTCGGTTTGTTGACTAATTATAACAACACAGGTTGCATTTTTTCACTTATCAGGATTCTGCAGAGGATGCTAAGTATATATGGCAAACATGCGTTGCCCATCATCAATTTTATCGTATTGGAGATCAGAATAAGAAAAGTGGCATTAGCGATGATCAGAGGTGAAAATTAGAGTGAGATTTAAATTTTCAAGGTTGACGTAATCAACAACGTGTTTGTGTTGTTTTTTTAGGGAAATGGAAAGTCATGTGGTGAAACGAAACTCTGCCGTTCAGGAAATAGCTGATGGCCATGTACACGGTCAGACCGTATCTCTGAAAGTATACATTAATGTGTCGTAGTGATCTAATCTCCAATTTTATTTTCAAAGCAGGTAGTGATGGATTATGTAATCCAGCATTCAATGACTCGACATTACCAGAGGAGAATGGTGAAGAGTCTCAGGAGACCAGCAGGGAGTCTGGTATCTATGGTTCCTCTGAGTCACGTGTGGATACAGAAGGACCGTCATTTCCAAACACGTTGCATGATGTCCTCAACAATAACGAAACTGATATACCATCAGATTTCATAATGGCTTCATATAAAACATTTGATAACCAACCGAGATCTCGTCAGCATATTGAAATAAATGCTCGAAGTTCGTATCCCAGAGCATCCCCTCATTCTTCAAGTGCCGATAAAACAGGGCAACCTGTGGGAAGGTAAGCTTGTAACTCTAAAAATAAATTTCGGGAAGTCCTCATATTGTAATCTGGCATGTATTATATAGACGTTAAATATCTCGTTAGATGAGAACTCAAATAATTTTTTCGTTTCCCCCTTGCAGAAGTGTTTCAATGATAGTTCCCAGTAGTTCTGGAGGGAACTTTGTTGATGCCTGCAGTCTTCAAACAGTGGCGACCAGCGGGTACAGTACATCAACGGACTCTGGATTATCAAATACCAAATCAGCAGCGCTCTCCCCCATGTCCCCTGTGAGTCTCATTAGTTCAAGTTCGTTCCAATATGAAGACTATGAAGTTCCCTCCGCTGACGAACAGGTTCAAACACACTTTTGTTATTACAATCAGGTCTTATTCTTTAAAATAACTTGATTTACAATAGCTTCTGTGACTTACAGTGTTTTCTTTGTTCTTTGTTCCAGGGCAAGAAGTTGGAGGCTGTTATGAACGGAGGCAGTTTAGATGTTGAATTTGCGCGAATCAAGCTCAAAGATGAGGTATCAGTGCATGAAGAAACAACTCCATTGAGTTATACGACCATACAACGGTGACAAAATATTCGTGTGTTTTAAACTGATCTGATTTTATTTGCAGCATAAATCAACAGCATCCGCACTTCTTAAAGTGAATGAAGCAAAGAATCGTTATCCAGACATGTTACCGTACGAGGTCAGTTAATGAGCGACATCGCAATATCCTGGTGGCTCACTGCGATTCTTATTACAACTTATATGTTGTGGAATTCAGTAGAATTTTCTCTCTTTCTAGGAATCAAGAGTTCATCTAGATTCTTCAAGTAACACTTCAGGAAACGATTATATAAATGCAAGCTTTATAAAGGTAAGATTCATATAATTGCTTTACAATTCTTTGATATCCCTCATGCACTAACACGGTTTTCTTATTTTTTCAAGGTAAAGGTCTCAAACAAACCATTCATCTTCATTGCGACTCAATCACCTATGCAGTCAACTATGTCTGATTTCTTACAAATGATCTGGGAACAAGATGTTAAAATTGTTGTCATGTTGTACAATAAAAAGGTTAGTTTAATTATAAACGTCATCATGTGACACTTTTTAACAGTTTAGCATTTATTATTTTTTACATTATTTCAGGAAGGTTCACAGGAGTGTCACAGGTATTGGCCTGAGGATAAGAGCGAGCAGAACGAGGTGTCAAAGCGTGTTTTCAATGAGGTTAGATAAGATTAATGGAGGAATATCATATGGAATAGTATCATAGCTCTGTCTTCTGTCTGCATGATTTACAGTCCAAAGCATAATTTGTGTCTGGGTCATTAATAGAGACCGTTTTTACCTTTAGTTTGAAGTAACATCACAGTTTGTGAACAAATCACCGCTGTACAAATCAAGAGGATTAAAATTGCGTCATACCAAACGACAACAGGTATATTTTTTGGCATAAAAACGCGTGAATTAAGATATTGTGAATTACGTTACAATATATGTCTTTCATTCTTTCTAGGAGAGAAGAATCATTCTACTGCAGTTTTCTCATTGGCCTCATAATGGAATACCCAGTGACGCTTCAGGATTATTAGGTACAGAGTGTAGCTATATAAAGAGGAGGGTTGAATGGATCCAGTTACCTCAACAAATATTTAAAACGTACCACAATTATTGATCTTTTTTCTAGAATTCAGAGCTGAAGTAGAGTCGATTAGAAGTGATTTTCTACAAAGTGAACTCTCTCCAGTCGTTGTTCATTGTCGGTCTGGTGTTGGAAGGACAGGAGTCTTCATTTTAGCTGATCTTATGATCGCACATCTTCAAAATCAAACAAGACAGGTAGGATGAGATTACTACTCCTTAATTCAGCGCTGAAACTTCATATTTTCATATCTTTTCCTTGTTTAAAGCCTTTCAATGTTGCGAGAGTTTTGTCTAAGTTGCGAAGTCAACGAATGTCATTAATACGAACTGTGGAACAGTATCGATTTGTATACGCACTTTTAATACAATATCTCAAGAACAGCAGGCTTATATAGGCTCTCTAGGTAGGTTAAATATATAGTTTTTTATTATATCGACGTACGTACATATATATTTATTAGTAATAACATGACTAAAGGGATATCGCTGGGCGATAAAATAGCCATTGAAAAGTTTTTTTACCATTCTTCCCGAAGAGAAGAAAAATTACAATCGCGAATTTTCCTCAAGTCATGTTATCAGTTGTCATATTACGATCGCTAAAGCGCCGGGAACTGACCGTTCCGTAATGAAGATTATAGCAGCTGAGGCGATCATGATATTACTTATAAATATATATAGATCATTCATATATAACAAAAATAACTAATTATACACAATGGAACATCTTAAACAGCCCTCTGATAAAAGTACACAATATTTTACCACAGGAATGATTTGCTATGTTTATATAAAACAATATGTATAAAAAAGAACTTGTTTAACTGCTCACACTCATTTCAAAGTAATAAAAAAAAACAATTAACACAACATTATATCAAGAAATTTTATTAATAAAGTTTATTAATGGCATAACATCGTCAAAAAGTTGATTTTACGTAGTTTATGTTTTCCTTGTTTCAAAATCCTTTGCTTGTCAGCCATTCATTAATGGCATCTTTATCTCGTTTTAACCATTGTGCATTTAACCTTATACCTTCCAATGATTGTTGAATGGCTCTCTCAGCTGCCGGGGCGTCGTGTTCTCTGAAGAATTGCTACAAAAAAGATAAGTATTAGCATTGTCTCGTAACCAGTACTCACTCGTGCATGAGTTCTAATGAAAACGTTTACCTCCACGTCTTCAGCCATTTCATTCGTAGCAAAATTCTCAGTTGTGACCTGGAAATGAAAATTTTTATCAGACATACGTTTACTTTATTCTTTATACCAGCATGCCTCGTGCAAAATCAGTTGTATGATTACCTTGACGAGTCTTGAAAGTAGAAACGCTCCTTTATAGCGATCGTGGAACTCTTTCCAATTGTCCTTAGTGAATTTCCACGCTTTTTCACGACCTTGAACACTGAGTATAGAGAATTAAAAATTACAAAAGAAGTCATCATTTCAGAAAGGAAATATGGCAGAGAGTCGTAACCAAACAAACCTTCCGACAGTACCACCAATGCAGAAGACTGTATCCTGGGCACGCACTTCCTCCTAGAATAAGAAAAAAGTTGTTTTATCTGGGTCTGACCTAGGAATGGAAAATCATTGCAGCTACTTACCGACAGAGAGAAATTCAAAACATCTTGTATCAAGGTATGTTCTTTCACAGAACCCATACTTGTCATCAGTCTGATTTTCTCCTCTTGCAGTTCCGATTTACGATACAAATTCTTTATTGTGTTCAAGGTATTATGGTCACCATGAGCAAGCACAATCGAGTACACGGGAGATCTTAGGTCAGCTGGTATTGAACTTTCACCCTTCACATGAGCATCAAAACGTTTATTGGCTTCGCGAACGATATCCATATCACCACATTTACCAAGAAAACGAATAACAAGAGATCGCAGCAAAGCATTGAGATGGCCTGCATTATTAAGAAATTATTAAAATCTTTGTTGATCATTGGGTCATCAATCTCGCTGTAAAGATTCTTACCTTCGTCTGCTTTGGGCTCCCAACCTAATATATCAGCGACAGGTTTATACAACTGACGTAGGAATGATTTAAAACTGTCATTAAACTCAGTGTACTGCAGAAGAGTTGCAAGTTTGCCCAGGTTAGTGGAAACATCATTCCAAACGGTATAGTTTGGTTCATTTGTGAATGCGTCAACTACTGTCAAGAAGTTTACTGTTGATGAGTAACCAGCTCTTGCCTACAAGAAGTATACAACAACGCAAGATATAAGTGAACAGTACAAAGTCTGAGAATGCTAATCTGTTTCATATTTACCAAGGCAAACTGGTCGTTTTGAACGCCAAGACGATCAAGAGGGGGCAGAGACAAATCCTTAATTGCAGGTACAAGGGTTTCCAACATTTCGTCTGTATAATGAACACGGTAGAATCCAATTTGACCAGGATTTACCTAAAATATGCATTGGAAATGTTTCAACCAGTTTTCCATCTTTAATGATTTAGAAATCACTTCTGACCATCGCTAATACAATTGTACCTTTATCCATTTAACTGCAGCTGAACTTTTAATTTCAATGGTGGACGAACGAGTTTCCAACAGTGCTTTTGAGGCAATGTCTTTGGGATTATCACTTGATGAAACGGTTAGAGGAACGTTCCAAATATACTTTGTATCCTCTAATAAAAGGCAGTATTTACTATTTAGACTTATAACCAGTACATCACATTATGCATTTCTAGTTATACAGCTTCACATCACCTTCAGAGGGTCCATTTGCAGAAAATTTCTTCTGCATGATGGTCAAGATGTGCTTGGTTCCATTCTGAAAACAAATCAAATTTTGTCCATATATTTGGCATTCTGGTTCCTGGAGACATAATCAATGTCTTGACTATACCTGTATATCATCGGAAACAAAAAGAACTGGATATCCCATTTGTTTGGTCCAGGAAGTCATTACTTTCTCAACATCCTTACCACTTGCTTCAGATAAACTTTCCCATAAATCCTCTTGAGAAATCAAAACATATGCTTATAAGTTGTTCTACAAGTATAGATGAAGTTTGATCTAAGGACCCTTACCAGTCATGGCATTTTTGTAAGAAAATTTGGTTAGGTATTGATGAAGTCCATTCTTGTAATCCTAGGGTTATATAATTTATTTTTATGTGAATCATCCATGATCTATAATTCCTGACATTGTTGAATGATTACCTTATCCCCAATATAATCATGCAACATTCGTATGACAGATGCGCCTTTAGAGTAAGATATCAAATCAAATATTTCGTCAACTTCATCCGGACCACCAACTGGAACCTTAAAAGCACAGATTTTCCTTCACTGAATTGCGCTGTCATTGCCCACAGGTACATGCCAGTCATTATAATGTATCATACCTCTATTGGATGGCTATAAAAAGACAATAAAATGGATCAGAATGTTTGTTTGATACAACTATAGGTTAATATGATAAAAGAGGTCACCTGTTATTCATTGCATCAAGATCCAGAGCTCTGGTGTAATCTGATGTCACAAACTGGGTCCAGATGTCATATTTTGGATGGCAGTAATCAACACACAGATATTCAATCCATGATGCAAAACCCTCATTCAGCCAAAGGTGAGTCCACCATTCCTAACAGGAATATACCACATGCATGCATGACTAGTAACTGTCACACTGTGATCATGACATAGCTTTGTAGGATAAATAAATTTCATTTAGGGATATCATATAAATCAGATACAGTGGAATATATAGTGCGAGATTGAAACTGTGTATTTCCAACTTACCATAGTTACCTAAAACAAAGATAGAATAAAAGAATTAATACTAGGAGTGGAATTTATAATTTTGAAATAATGATTCTCCAGCCATCACATACCAAGTTTCCAAACCATTGATGAGCTAGCTCATGCCCTAAAAAGTGGTCAATGTTTTAATCTACTTAATCTTAATTCTTATGTATATATAACATAGATTTTTATAAACACATCTAAGTTCTTAGTTCATGCCTCAGCATTACACTTCACCAATATTTTTCATGAAAAACACTTTACCTACAACAAGAGCAACCCATTGCTTGCTAGAGGAGGACGAGTTTGTAGGATCAACCAGTAAAGCTGTCTCTCTACATTTAAAAAAACTGTTAGTCGCATACAAATTCATACTAAACATACCACATACATTTAGGTAATAAATAAGACATGCAACACACCTGTATGTAACGAGGCCCCAATTCTCCATAGCACCTATAATAATTTTAAATTAATTGTCTTATTTCAAATTTCAATGTTCACACCAATTAGTGGGGCCAAGCCATATAGTTCCTAGAGAGGTTTTTTACATGGTGAATTAATTAAGCATCCCAACCCAAAATATCAAACCTCATTGAATTATTTAGACACCAACACTTCAGAACAAACCTGCTGCAAAATCTGGAATGGCAATAAGATCAATCTTAGGTAAAGGATAGGAAATTTTAAAGTAGTTCTTGTAAAATGGAAGAGTTTTAACAGCAACCTAAAAAAAAATAAAATCTCAGCATATAGTTGCAAATAATAATTTTTTTAAAATTACTATGAATTTACCTCCAAAGCAAACTTTCCTTGTTCACTTTTTTCCAGAGGAGTGTATACCCTGACAAGTATGCCATCTTCATCACGATCTTCAACATAGTCAAACTCGCCAACAACAAAAGCAAGAAGGTAAGTGGACATGATTGGTGTTTTAGCAAACTTGACAATCTTCAAATCTTCCTCATGTGCAGTCTCTTCTATAACATCCTAAAGAAAGAAAAATGGGAAAAAATACTGAACTATTTAAATGAACTACAATAATAACTATTTAAATGCAATGTAAATATACCATGTTTGACAATGTGACTTTGTCCTTAGGAACTATCATTGTAATGTCAAATGTTGCTTTGATGGCTGGTTCATCCCAACATGGAAATGCTCGTCTTGCATCTGCAGCCTGCAAGATTAGGAATTTTTCTTGAATCATATCTGCATGCTTGAATCATTTCTTATATCCATGTGTTGATAAGCCCACCTCAAACTGGGTAACAGCACAATATTTCTCTTCTCCACCAGGGGTTTTATATTTGCTACGATAAAATCCTTTCATTTTATCATTGAGTTCCCCTAAATATTTCATACACAGTACTCCTGAGCCAACAGAAAGATTAGAGGGGAACAAAATGCAAACTGTTTCCTTCTCTTTGTCATAGGTTATCTCCTTGCTCTTGATATCTGCCGAATAGAAGAAAAAGTAAAGTTTAAAAATGTTCCACTACACTTCACCGCAGAGCAACATACCTTTACCACCATTTTTTATTGAAACACTGGAAATATTAATCTCAGCGCAGTTCATGGTAATTTTGTCGGTGCATGTTTTTACCTACATTAATTTACAAAAACAACAATTAAAATGTGTGATTCCCAAAGTACCAGGAAAAACTATCTTGCACTACTCCAATATACTTGTACAGTACTTTAGAGTGAAAGTCTACATATGGTTTGTAAAATCTCAGTTATCTCGCTCATCCAATTATGAAATAAGTTAAGGTAATAAAGGTATGAAAAGCCTGCTAATTCCTTCTGTATAAAATATTCGCTTACCTCCAGCTCAACGATTTCCTCCCCAAGGAAGGTAAAATCCTTCAGGTTTGGTGTCAGAGTCAATGCATAATTTTTTGGTACGACATTGTTGGGCAAGCGTTCAAAGGGCTTCTTATCAGCTTTATCACCCATGGTTAATACACGTATAAACCTTGAAATCCTTAGCGTGAAATAATGTTTTTTAGTGAGACGAAGTAAAAGCGAAACTGTTCCAAAACGCATATGAACAACGTCACCTTTGAAAGAAGAAAGTTCATCCAGTTCCTTCACGCTTGGAGCCCAGGCAGTCAGTGCGCGTCGCGCGCATAGTCGCGCCAGTGAGTCGCGCGCATATCGTCGCGCGGCCAATATTCAAAATGGCGGATGAAATTCAGGATTTAGCAGCAGTGCTAATAATTCTGTTGAAAATGATGTTAAAACGATCATAAAAGTGATAAATTCGAGTAGGAAGATCAACAGACGGGATAAATATGAGTAAAGAGTGGAAATTGGAACCAAATTAATCATGGCAGATTGCAGCAATTGTCAGGATTTAAAAAAGGTGAGTTGTAACATAAATTTTTATATAAATTTTTATATGAATTTTTATATAAATTTTTATGTTGTCAAATTTATGAACCAGTAGTTTCAAAGCTTTTGTCAAACTGCAATTTTTTAGGCTAGCCTAAAAGTACCTCATAAAGGTCTGTTTTGCAAATCATGCTATGTTTGTTATTGGTTCATTTGGTTGTACATAAATATCAACCACATCCATGTGATGCAGCCTTGTGTTCTACTGTACTTCTACAATTAAGGAAAAACGAGTGGACTACTCTGCAGTTAATAGTTTAATGTGCAAAAGATTGTTGAATTCTGTTTTTTATTAGCAACTTGACGAATTGAAGCAAAAACACTTCCTGGATTTTAAAGCAATTAAACAAAAGATTGTTTCTACTAAGTATGACATACAGTAATTTGAATTAAAAATGTAACCTGAAATATTGTGTGTTTGGGCACTATTGAAGTATATTTCTGCATACTATATGTAAGTTCTAATCTGTGTTGTTCTTTCCAATTGTGTTGCAGCAAATTAATTGGCTCGTATCAGGAGAAATGTCATGATATCCTTTTTGTATTCACATTTATGCTTATATCTCCTGATTGAACTTGTTCTTTTTCTAATTACAGGCTTCAAATTAACTTAATGATTTTTGTATATACTTTTATTTAATATATGTATAGTTATATATAGTTATACTAATCATAAAGTTATATAATCATATAATAGTTGCTGTCTTTAACATATCACACAACATGACAAACAGAAAAAGAGTGTTGTAGAAGTGACTACTAAGTTGGAGGGAGCGCAAAGGTATATTTGGTTAGATTGATGTAATCTAACAAACATATATATTAATAAGGAGAAAAATCTTGGCTATAGAATATACATTAATTCTTAAAGTGTTTAGTTCCCAGTTTGCTTGGATGAGTGATTGTCTTTAAATTATAGGAGTGTTGCAGTAATTAAACTACAGTTAAAGAAATCTTTGGAGCTTAAAGGACCATTACAAAAGGTTAGTAGTTGTATTGGGTCAATGGAGGTTGTTTTTGTTGCTGTAATGAAAAAATCCAAAAAGGAAATTCAAGGGAATGCCTATGGTGTAGTTTACTCTTTCCAACAAGAACTAACAGAATACCTGTTTTAGAAATGTGATGAATTGGAACAGGAAAAACTACTTCAAAATGCTGAGATGCAAAAATTGCAAGACAAATTAAAAGGATCTGAGGTAATTAATTGCTATGTATGTTTCTGCATGTGACCTTGTGCATGTTCGTAGATGGCATGGGTTAGAAATAACAACTATAATTTTAAGTACTTCTCTACTAGAGTTTGGTTGCTCAATTGCAAAGTGTTATTAAACAGAATGAGACATTAACTACTTCATTACGACTTGAGGCATCTTTACGTAAACATGAAGTTGATGAGTATAAGAAAAGGTATTAATATTCACATTTATGTGATGATAGATCTACATATAAATGTGACTTGAGTAGTTATTAATAATTGTTTCCATTGATTTAGCCAAAAGAAAAATGAAGGTCAAATCAGTAAACTAGAAGAACAAATCCTAACAAAGAAAAGTAATTTGCCAGCCTTCTCTTGTTCAGTTGTCTTATAAATCAGTTTCCATGAATGATTGATTATGACATGACATGGCATGTTGGTTTTATAGATGCAAATATGACATTAAACAAGGAGCTTTCAAAATCACAGTACAAAATGAAGACTTTGCTGGATGAAGCTGAAAAATCAAAGGTTTGTACATTGTGATTTTTTATTCAATGAAATTATGCACAACTAACATAACTCAGTATTTATAATTCAATTTTTTTTGCAGATGTTGATTGCAGATCTTGAAAAACAGCTAAATTCAGGTAAATAATATTTCAAACAGGAAGAACAAATGTAATGCTTACATATTTGAGCCCACTATATTTCTTGGATATCTAAGAATTCAATACCGTAGCTTGTGATTTACTTTTCTTCGGAAAGAATTGTGTTTCTGAGCAACATAATAATTTGTCATTAGAAAAAAGTGAAAAAATGAAAAGTGATGAAAAAGATCATCTGGTAAGTAAGAATCATTACTGAAAACAACATTCACTTTGTTTGAAAATTTAACTTATTTCATGTTTTTTTTTTCCAGAGGATCATTGAGGAATTAAAAGAAGAATTATTAAAATGTACTAAATATATTTCATAATATTTGTACAATCCTGATGATTGGCAATTAAGCCTGTGTAAGGTTGAGCAGAGATGTGTTAAAAGAACTTTGCTTTATTCTATTTTCTTTAGTTAAACAACGGAATATTGATGAAAATGAGGTAATATATAATGATCATAAAAATCAGATTTTGTCTTGGTTTACATAATGCTAACAAAAATACATTTCTGCAGGGTGAACTTGAATTAGGAACTACACCAAGCAGATCTCCAAGAAGATCTCCAAGAATACGGTAAAGGAACTAACAAGTATATTTGGTCTTTTCGTCACAACTAACGTTAAGTATATTTATTCTACCGCAGGAAAATTGTGGCTCTGAATCGAGAAGAACCTTTTGGAATAACTGAAGAAAGATCCTTGACTCGGCTACAGCAAAAACATTTTGTTGAACAAATTAAGAAGAAAACATTAGACAGTGATTTCGGTCAAAAGGAAAAGCTTATATCAGGAATAGTTGAAGAAGCCAAAGTCATGTCGTTGATGGATAGAGTAAACGAGTTGTTTGATGTACCTGACTGTCCTTGTTTATCACCACTTCCACCTTCTCCATCTTTCAATCATAGTAGCAATGAGTGTACAAATAACAGTGATACTGGTACGGATAGAAATATTGATCGCAGTGGACATGAACCAGAATGCAAAGGTAATGAAAACATCGATGAAAGTGTTAACGATGAAATCATCCCACAAATTGAAGATCAACTCATTTTTGAGAAGAGAGATTTGACCACTCCAGAGTCCAAACTTATGACATTGAGATCAAGAAAAAGACGAAGGAAGGGAAATACGAGTCACAATTTCGGAATATTCTCAAAACAATCGGAACTTGGATTGAGTGAAAATTCTACTAAACGAACGTTATCTAGAAGCCAAAGTGAAATTATTGAAAAAGAATTACACACACCTGAAGTTGGTGTTCTGGTAACCAGAAGTCGAACTCTCAAAGAAGTTGTAAAACAGCGACGAAGAAAGAAGAGAAGACTTTCTAGTAACGAAAGTGAAAGGTCTTTGGAAAGTTCAGACATTTCAGTTACAGAAAACAATGATGTTGATGAAAATAAGCAACTTGATAACTCTGGAGGCGAGACAGAAGACAACTATGAACCTCACGAGACTTTATCCTTGGGTAATTTCTGTGAGCGGGACATGGTCAATAAAGGAAATGGAGATAATGGAAACACACCTAGCGCCCAAGTATTCACCACTGAAAACCAAACAGCTAATGAACCTTCGTCTCAGGAAATATTAATAACAGAAATCACAGAAGCATCACACGAAATGCGTAATAATGGCATGGTCTGTGAGGTTGACTCTTTAGAAACCTTGGGCTTAGATCTGAATATTTCCAAGAGAGAGAAAATTGTCGAAGATGGAGAGAGGAAAGAGCAAGCATTTGTTTCAGAAACACATGACAACAACACCGAACACATTTCTGGGAAAGTTGAAGACAGAATAATGCGAGAAGGAATCGTTAACAAATCTCATCAATCATTTATAAACATGAAAGAGATTAGCGAGAAAAATATCCTTCATCATACGGAGGACACGGAGGACGAGTGTCGTAAAATTAAATTTCCTAAACAAGCAAGACGAGATAACAACCATTCCTTTCCACAGGATCCTGACTCCTTGAACTGCGTCAGTGTTTCAACTACTGAAACGAATTTAGTCCATCCAGTGTATTTCAATGCAACACAGCGCAATGAAATCCATCAAGATCACACGAAATCAAGTGTTAATAATGAGGAAGCAACAACCCGGTCAGAGGATCAAAATATTGACTCGTTTAAGGAGTTAAATGAGTATAACACTGTCACTAATACGATCAACAATTATTCTCTACTCCAGCAAGAAGTGCTCACGGATTCAACGGATGTTATCGACGAGGACAATACTGCAATTTTAAATAATGGTAATATTGATGAAAATGAAGAATCCAAGGAACAGACAAGATCTATTCAACAGTGTACAAGTGACAAGTTTTCTTTAGGACGTAAAGAGACAATTACTTCTGAATTAAGAAGTGAAAATAGTAACGAGTCTAGTTCTCCTTGTCAGAATATGGAAGGAAATGAAACCACGCTAAATAATGTCGCTCAATCTCTAAACGAAAGTCTTCATTCAATTCCTTCTTTATCTCCGATGCCTGTAACACCCAAAAAACCTGGTCAACCAGCAGAGATTAATAATTGTTTTGATTCTTTGAATTGCATCTTTCCACTCTCACCCATTCCCCCATCACCACCTCGGATAAATACGATTATGGAGGAAGATTTAACAATTGATGAAATAGTTACTCAAAAAGAGGATGAAAAGAAAAAGTTAGTCACAAATGAATTGCCTAGTGATGCTTTACATCGCTACACTGCTGTGGACGAAACTGAATATATTATACTTATATTCAGAAAGCTCAAGAACCAAAAAATTTCGTTGGAGCAATTGATTACAGCTCTTTCATCGCGAAGGAATGTCAATTCATTTTGTCAGGGCTTAATACGTGTTTTAAGTGACACTGAAAATCATGTAGAGCATGAGCTACTACAACGTTGTGCTGAACAGTACGAATTTCACACTGAAGCAATGGGCGAACCAATTGTTTCTCAATTTGAGATGCAAGTTCTTGTTGCTGTAAACCGGTTGTGCAAGATTCAAAGATACTCTTCTTTGTTGAATAAATTCATCAACTGTTTAAAACTTAATTTATGTCAATTGTTTAAGAACGACAGAAACGTGGCTGGACTGTTGGCGATGTGGTAGGTTTCATTTTGCGTGTCATTGGTACGGGAATAACATATAGTGGGGAATAGGGACTATTTTAAGAAAATTACAAATGAACTTTTTTTATTATTTTTTAGTCGCATCCATACAGGAGTTTGTCGTCTGATGGGCGATGGAAGAATTGTTCTGGTATTTTGCTATGATATTCTTAAACAAAGGAAAAGGCATTCGATGACAGAAAGAATATTAGTGGCGGTTGCTTTAGTCTGGCCTTACGTACTAGGAAAAGACGTTCATTCTGTCAGCATTCATCCTGAAACAGTGACTATATCTGGACCTACTTATCGACCATTTTTAGCTACACTTCAAATCATTCTCATGTCACGTGAATCGTCATACAAACGCTGGTTTCAATGGTTATGCGATTGGTGTGATATACCTGAAGATATTAATGTATTGGAGATAGGGTTAGCTAGAGACTTGATGCGTGTTCTTCGGGGTACTAGTGAAGCAACATACGAGGATAATAAAGGTGAATTATTTGCGTTTTTATTGGGTGGTAAGAAATCAGTTGCTGAAATCTCTTTGCATGTATATATTTAGATGTGACAATGGATGGTTTGTCGTTTGAAGCCGTTAAATGCCTGGAACTTCTTGCTTTTTACATGGGATGGAAATGGACGACTAATGTTCTATTTAGAGAAGTACTTTGGCCATTTTTTAAAGAGTGGAATGACAGGAACGACATTTCCTTAGATTCAATTTTTGCAAGTATTTTACGCCTACTGGGTGAGTTGTGCTTGTTGGTGAATATATCTCCCCGTCATTCTAGGATTTTGATAATCAGATCTTAGGCTATTTTCGTAGGTTATTTGGGAGGTGAAAAATTACAAAAAGGAGATATGATGAACTTGGATGCCATCGTTAATCTAGTGTGTGCCATTCTCATCAATCCCAATTGTGAAAAAGGTGCAGTGCAAGAGTCATGTGTCGATAAAATACGTGCTTAATAGGCTTTCATTGTTATATCTGAATTTTATTTATCTTTTGATAGTGTCGTTCAGTCTGCAAGTGGCAGCTGCGAATACCTTGCTAGAAATATTCCTTGCAGATCCTCTGAAAATCACGGAGGTGTTAGAAGGTTGGTGTGCGGGAAAGAGTAAAACAAACGATAAATTGGTCGCAAAGATCGCTCATCGTCTAAAAACACGTAAGAGGACAAAACATTAAGTATTGACGAGAATTATACGTCGTGTATAGTTTGAAATAAATTCTGCAATAGCTCCCTAGATGTACTATATTTGGGGATTATACAAGAGTCTTCTTTCTTTGGCTAATTTGATCTTGACTATACGAAAGCTTGTCGTCGTATCTTAATGTATTCTCGTATAGCATATACAATAAGTTTATATTGACTGTCTAATATATACAGGAAAACATTTTCATGTTTCAACCTAAGATCTTTTGTCGTACTTAAGTGCATGTTGATGCCTGATCGACCAATTCGACAATTTAAACACATGTTGTATCCCTAATTGCTGTCAATGTTCTGGTTGTCATGTCCTGTGATTATGTAAACATTTTATATTTTATTACCGCGATGAACACTAAATTTTACTTGTACTTGGGTTTTAGCTAGCAAATTGCTATAGCGACGTTTATAAAGATTTGACTACCATGCATATTTACTTACGAAGATTGACTTATTAAGTTGAATTAGGAAGAAAATTGACGGGAAGAAGTTAAAACAATGATATTTTGCCCAATATAAACTCTATTCTACAACAGGTATTTAGTTATTCGTAATTGGCTAACCATTGCCTTATCTTACTCAAGACAACTTAAAATCCGTTGCTTTGGGAATCCCTATCTCGGATTCTGCTGCATCTACCATATTAATTTTTGCCATGAACAACTCGTGTCAATTTACTGCTAAAAACTAATCGACAATTTCACGAATTATTGCACATTAAATTGTGGAAACATAAGTTCAATCCATTCATCTTTAACTATCTTCCCATCTTTATCTCCATCATAATGTTTGATATCTTTCTGTGCTTTTTCTAAAGTCATTACCCTTCCAATGTCCTCGCAAAATGAAAGCAATTCTTCAGCCCCTATTTTCCCGTCTTGATCAGTGTCCAGTTCTGTGAATATTTCTGACAGTGTCTGTTCCTTATGACGCATTGCTTCAAAGTCTGCCAAATTTGGTGTGTAAGTAAATGCTGCGTTCTGGTTAAGATCTACTGGAATGAAAAATTGTGTAGTAATTAAGGTTAGATATATTTGTTTGCTGAAAATTGTTAGCTCCTGGCCTTGTTTTAAAATAATTTTGCTTTCTAACTTTATTTGCATCATGCTTTCCCCCTTATAGATTATTAGAAACAGAATGGAGAAACAGAAATAAGGTAAGAATTAGAGTAAGAATTAGGTTAACATAGCGTCGAAGTTCGCCTGAAAATACCGCGTGTCCTGCCTGCTATCCTGACATATATCGGACATAACCATTAATATAATTTCGTCGTACGGTCTCTCGCTCCAGTAGCGGTATAGCTCAATGGACGTAACCATTTTCCAATAACTAAGCTTTTTTATTTCAGACACGAGGTTCCAAATTGAATTGTGTTATGCAGTTTAAGAGTAATGAATCCCAGCAGCCTATTCTTGTCAGGTATGGTACAAAACGTTTGCCATGACTGCGGCTAACGCAAATTTGTTAATTATTCATGACGCGTATAATGCACTCTCCTGTGGTCCAGACACACATATTATTAAATATTGATGTAATATCACAAACCTCCCACGTTCTTTAACCCCACGTACGTTTAACCCAACCTACAACTCTGCGCGTATACACGAAAAGTATAATGGACGAACCTCAAATTTGCATGAGTACATTACTGTGCGATAGCTCCTATATTTCTGAGTCACTGACATATTGGATTATGAAGTTTGTTATCAGTTCTCATTACGTCATATAAATTATACGCGGTGTTAAAGTTGAGTTAGTAATATGCTGTTATCTTCTGGGATTTATAATCAATCATTCAAATTTATTTAAAATAGGGCGATTGTAGATGCATGTTGTCTCAACAAAACGTTTCTCGCTAATTTCTCAATAAATAATCTAGAATGCGCTTGCTCATACCTTCAATAAGATCAGATTCCAGTCTTTCCAGACCCTCTTCTCGGATATCCGTTGGTACAGCTGAATTTTCAAGTATCTTTCGAACTTCTTTTTTATCTTGAACATTTGTCAGTATCCATGTTAGGGCATTATAATGCAGTGTAGATTTATCACAGTGAAGGAAACGTAGAACAAACTCCGTGTCTTCAGGATGGTGAAGCAACTTGCCCAGCGCCATAAAGGCATGTATTGCTATATCACCTTGGGGCTTCAGTGTTGCCTCTTTCAGCTTTTCTTTGATGTTTGAAACATCGTTTTCCTTTGATAAGTCGAGACTACGCAGTCCGTTTGATGCTGCTAGTATATAGTACAGTCTCTTCGTCTCTTGCAAGCCTCGAAGTAGTGACGGGATTCGAAGATCCTTTGGTATTACACTAGGAAAATGCAACAAGTTCGAGACCATTTGAGGTTCAGTGTCCCAGTTATTGTCCAGAATATTTCGGATCATGGTTTCATCGTAGTTACTTGAGGATTTCAAACATTTTACAAGGCGTCTGGCAAAGTCTAAATCTTCTTCTGTAAGTAGTTGTCCTGGATAAAATGAAGTGATATTTCGAGTTCAAATTCACATTACGATTGGCTCGATTATAGTTGAGAGAACTTAAAGTTTTGAAATGCATCTCGCTTCTTGTCGGCAATTGCATTTGTAGATTGACCTTTCCCATTAAGAAATATATTTTGATATTGAAAGTTTGATATGTACATGCGTGTTACGTTTAGTAAAAATGAGTTTGTCTACTTGTTGAACCATTTATCAGAGTGCCGTAATAATGATTGTAACAAACACCGATGTAATTACAATGGTTAAATTTGCTTTACTATACATTCTCTTGAGTCTTGATTATCAATTATCATGCATTCTATACAGCATCCCCAAATTGGTTAATCTACATTTACATTCATTGTAATTACAGGTTCGTTTGAAGCTCTATTGTGAAGCGTAACGTTAACCAGAAATCGCGAATTTTTCTGGACGAGTAAAGGTATTTGTTTTATTGTCTTCATTTCTCATAAACGTATGCCTATTCCAAATTTTGTTGGTTGAATAATTCTGATAGAATATTTCGGTTTGTTTAATATGATCATGAATATTGAAACTCGTCACTCGTGCTGTTACCATCTTTGGTACGCGCCTACGCGGTCAACCAATACTAATTTACATGTTACAAACAAGCGAATACACAGTTGTGTACAATGCGTATATATTGTGTTGCAGACATACGTCTGCCCCGTGGACAAAGAAACTTTTGTAGAATATAGTAGAGTATAGCTTATTTACTAAGTTTTTGGACTAAACTTAAATATGTTACTGACATTGTAAGGCTCTTTTGAGAAGCAAAATGAACTCAACATCGTCTTACCAATGTGATCACAAGCATATACATTGATTATAGTTACCAGTTATTTATGTTTACGTGAACATCCTTTCATTGTGAGTAATTATTATACAACTGCAGAAACATCTGCATGAAATGATCTTAAATTTAGGATTTTCTAGCATTTATTGTAAATATATATCGTATTCGTAAATCTGACTGTTATATACATCCTCCTTTAAAGCGCTTAGGTCCTTATCATGCTGTCTGCCGATTATGCTAACATAATGAAACAAAATCCTCGCCTAATTCAGTCCAAAGTTATGTCGCAGAAAAAGCGTAAACGGTGCAAATATTCTGTGCTCAAAACACGAAATGACGCAGCAAAGACATAGTGGTTGCCAAAATACTGGCCTTAATCTATTCATTAAATACTTTGTCGCAATTCTGGAACGTTAGGATTCTGTGATAAGGATACATATATTTTCACTCGGTCGGATAATTTTCAATTGTTAGACAAAGATTTACCCGTATGTGTGTAGTTATCAAAAACCTTGCATTTGTCAGTGCCTTTTTGACTACCTTGTCTCCTTATATACAATTATGTGAAACCGTAGCATTGTGTGAGTTTTTTAAAAGTCAAAAGCCATTCGGTTTCAGTTAAACGTCTAAGGTGTTTCTGTCTTTTATGCTGGGCATACAACCAAATGAAATGTGTGAATTAATTTGGTGTTAGACGTTGAATAAACCTTACAAAAATGTACACACATTGAGCTTTATAACGAGCGCAAATTAAAAACATTTGTTTACCTAAGGAACTCGCCATCTTGAAAAGAATTGGATATGACCTCTCAATCTTCTGCGTGATAATCCAGTGACATTCCAGCCATTATAAGTTATCATATAGTACCAGGAGATATTTTCCGCTACATCTAGCGTGACTTGATCAATGTTTTGTCAACCCCCACCCACACGAGACATCCAAAAGCCAAGCCAACAACGAAGTGTGCTTTCAATATAAGGCTTTAAGCTGATCTGTCGAGTATGCAAACATTAACTTATTGTGTTGCCTGCTAACCTAGCTTTAGCCAATAGCAAGCCGTGCTGCGCTAATTTGCGACATTCTACACGGCTATTATTGCGCTTAATGTATTCAAAGTATGTTTGAGGCACCCTGTGTGCACGTCTGCTGGCCGTCTATCAGACAATATCGTGATATTACCGTTAGGCATATAATCTTTTCCAATGCAATCATCAGAGTCACCAAGTCATTTGATGTAATCGTGACGTTTCTCTTCTTATATGCTTTGCAACATTTACCTGACGCTTTGGACATAGCTATATATGATGACATAATGCGGTCATTCGCTTAGCTGGTTAGTCGATCATTCTTAATAATTAACTGATTCCGGTCAAATTAGAACACTTTTCACTCGAAATTCAGGACGTCAAGGCTCTCAAATTATCTAAGGATAAGTGTCTCAAGTACATATCACAAACAGAAATTTCAATTTCCACTGAGAAGCTGTTTGTTTTACAAACTTAAGAAAACTAATGAAATGCATTGACAATTATATTATTGCGTTCTGCACAGTAGGCATTAACTGTGGCTATCCATATGTCCTCGCTTCCCTCTTTCGGAAAGACAGCTTTTTGTTTTGAAAATACGGCAGATGTTGTCCACTGGCATATTTACTTTTTTATTATTTAAGTGTTTTATATGTTTCTCAATAGTTGCCTTCATCAAGGTGTATTGCGGATGGAAGTTACGGACGGGCAATTATATAGTATTTGTCCTGTCACCTGTAATTGTTGGGCGTCTCACTAAAGTTTCATGTTTAGTTTTAATATACAACGCTGCTCTTCTTGCTGTTGCAATTTAAATAAGTTTTTGTCATTGGCTGTTGGTAATAAGTGTCAGCAATGCTCAACCTTTGTCTTTATGACGAATTTATGATAAGTCCCAACATTACAACTATCATAGTTCCCGAGATAGCGTCAGCCACACTAAAGGCATTACACGAAGATTATGTAATAGAATGTAGATTAAGTCTGTTTTTATAACTCTCATATCCGTGGAACCGTGTACCCTGGTGAGATGACATGTTATTTCCTAACGTAATTGTAACGTTAGTATTTACCAACGTTATTATTTTGACAGATGGCTATGTATCGCAATAATTAACCATGATGAATTGAACAAATCCTTCCCCACCCCACCCCACCTCACCCCATACTTTTGACAGCGTGCTATTGCTATTACATCATAGATGTCGGTCACGTGATCTGCGAAAAATTCGCGGCGAAAAAGTAGAATCGCTTCCTTCTTTTTATCTGTTCGCACGAAAAGTTCGCGTACTGGAGAACGGGCTTTACACCGGGTTCCACGGGTGTGAGAGTTGGTATAAAAACAGACTTAAAGATGAAATCTTTGTAATTTAAGCCAGAGTCTCTCTGCATGTATGTTTGGAATGACACTGGAAAAAGATACAATTTTTTTGAGTTAGGCGTGCAATTTTCCACGGGCAGAGAGGGTCGGCTGACGGCTATTTTCCATTTACAAAACACTCAGAATCTTATAAAGGACAAAGCAGACTGAGAAAATAAACCAGACTCTGAAATAACTCAAAAACTAACCAGGTATTTTCAGTGGTTCAATTTCGGAGTTTGCAAATATCGAAAAATAAAAGAAATGGTAAAAGAAAATTGCTATCAGAAACCGAGAAAAAAAGTTGTTATAGTTTTAGTTTGAAAAGATTAACGCGAAAAGAGAAGGCGTTTATATCAAGCTAAGAGTATTTTCCATTAATCGCTTAACGGAGAGGAATTTTGCTAATCACTTACAACGAACAATAGAAATATGCAAAACATTTTTATTTCGCTAATTTATATCCACTCCGGGCAAGTCTGGCATGAGTTAGTTGATTATCTATTGTTGTCAATGCTTTAATTGTCCGTTGGAATTTTCTTTGTTTGTTGAAGTAATAAAAGGCGGTTGAATCTAGACGAAACTCAGTCTTTGCAGTCTCGAAAAGGAAGCATCAGTCAAAGAAGTTCAGGAAAAGTTGGAAGATTCTTGTAGGTACATGGTGATTGTTAGTTTGAACAGCTTTTGGCTTGATCTTTAGCTTTGTAAACAAATTTACTGATCGCTGTGTTAATTTGAATAGCGTTGGAAGACGTGAGCGAATGGAGTCATATTCTTGCCGATTTTTACTGCTTTATTATTTTTTATTATTATTATTTAAAAATATTTTAGAACGGTAGCTCTTCAGGGCTCTTACGCACCTGATTTTCAAGAGGCCGTTCGTTTACAAGTTAAAAACACACTATACTATACAAATATATACAAATAAATTACCAGTTACTTAAGTAAGTACAATAGGCGTCGGAAATGTTTATCATTCTAGAGAATAGTGACCGAGAATTGATCTAAACTTCTGGCTACTCAAGCCTGGGTCTTTAGCCTCTGGGGGTAAATTATTCCAGGCCGAAGCAGCTGCATAGCTTATGCTTTTTTTCATGAAATTTGTATTAGGTTTGTCAAGGCTGAAATCTCGGTTGTTGCTACGGAGGTTATACCTTGAGTTTGTTTTAATATCAAACATATTCGTTGTGGTACTTGGCATTTTGTCATTCCTAAACTTGTGCGTAAAAATTAATTTCTTTCGTTTAAAGCGTTCTTTCAGGGGTTGCCAGTGAAGTTCTTTTAAAACATCTCGTGATCTCGTTTCGTATGTTTTACTAGTGATTACGCGTGCTGCTCTGTTTTGCAATTTTTGTAATTTATCAATTAAATAATCACTGCAATTGTCCCATACAAGGCTACAATAGTCGAAATGTGGTAGAAAATGGCATTGTAGACTTTTGTTAATGTTGTTTTTGGAACTAATTTTCTCATTCTCCGCAACGTGCCAATACCTTTTGAAATTTTTGTTTGAATGTTTTCGATTTGCCTTTCCCAAGTAAGGTGTTCGTCTATAACAACACCCAGAGTTTTAGAAAAACTTACTCGTTTGATTTTTGTTTCACCTACGTGGATTTCCGGTTCATTTGACATATTAGAGAGCTTTTGTCTAGATCCAATTACCATGTATTCGGTCTTCTCCTTATTCAGAGTGAGTTTGTTAGTCAATAGCCACTGGTGTATGTTCTCTAGGTCGTGATTTAGGGAATCCTGAATTTCCATTGCCGATTTGCCTTGTGTTGAAATGTTTGTATCATCAGCAAACATGCTAACAGTCGATGTTGACAAGCAATTTGGAAGATCGTTTATGTACAATAGAAATAGTAATGGTCCGAGGTTTGAACCCTGCGGTACACCACATTTAACGATTCTTTTGTCAGATAATATTTGATTAACTTTACAAATTTGAGTCCTATTAGAGAGATAAGACTGGAACCATTTAAATGATTTTTCTCTTATTCCATAGTGGAAGAGTTTCCTTAGCAAAATACTATGGTCAACACAGTCAAATGCCTTTTTTAGGTCAAGGAAGATAACACCGTTCAAACTTCCCTTATCCATGTTGACAAACCATTGATTTGTTATATTAAGGAGAGAGGTCTGAGTGCAGTGTGATTTTCTAAAACCAGATTGTTGTTGTACTAGTATATCATTCTTTTCTAGATAAGTTTCCAGCTGTTGAGTGATAAGTTTTTCGAATATTTTTGCAACGTTAGATAAAATTGAAATTGGTCTGTAGTTACTGCAATCGGTCTTGCATCCCGATTTATGTATTGGTGTGATTATTGCCGTTCTAAAATCATTTGGAAATATGCCTGTATTTATAGACGTGTTGAATATTAGTGTGAGTGAATGTGCTATTATATCAGCTGAGTCTTTTAAAAGTTTGTTAGATATTCTATCATATCCTGATGATTTAGAAACATCGATAGATGATAGGATTTTGTGAACGTCTATTACAGTAACATTTTTATCTGGAATTGCGAGTTACAGTTGGAGAGGTATGACTCAGGCAATTTTGAAGCTTGTTCCAGATTATTAGCTAAGTTGGTTCCAATTTCGTATAAATAAGTATTGAAGGTGTTTGATATGGATGGAGCATCTGTAAAACTTTGGTTTTCGTGCTTAACTTCAGAAATAATGGTCGTTTTGTATTTTTATTAGTAAGTTTATTGATTGTTTTCCACATCTGTTTTGGTTGGTTTTCGCAGTTGTTTAGGGTGTTTGTAAAATAGTTGGTTTTAGTTCTCTTTATCAAAATGTTAAGCTCATTTCGTGCTTTTCTAAAAGCATCATGGATTTGTTTTGATCCAGTTTTCACTGATTTTCTTTTCAAAAAGTCCCTACGATGCATCAAGTTTTTAATCTCCCTGGTAATCCATGGGGCATGTTCACTTCTTACTTTCCTAGTGATCGGTGGTGCATGCCTGTCAGCTACTGTAACATATATATCTTTCCATTCATCCCACATTTCATCCGGGTTATTCGTTACTGAGATTGTTTGCAAATGAATTGCTAATTCTTGTTTGAATTCGTCAACGTTGTAGTTTTTAAATTGCCTTGTTTTAATTATTTTTGGCGCTTTTCGTTGTATTGAGATTTTTCTTTGAATAAATATGAGACTATGGTCGCTAATCCCTATGTGGTATATTTCGATTGAAAATGTCCAATGCAAGTGAGCTGTTACTTTAATTTAGTTTTTCCTTGCTTATTTGATTTCAGAACGAACTACGGCGCCGAAAGATGCGGAAGGAGAAACGTAAAGGCTTGCTCGCAGCGAATAATAGGTATTGTTCTATTAATATATGTGTATTTTGCATTTGTGACTTGAAAAAACACGTTTGCACTTTGTTTACGGACAGTCAGGGTGGACGAAACTAGAATAGTTTTGATATATAGGAATGAATTCGAACTTTATGACTGTAACTAACTTTCCCGGCTGGCCTATTCGTTTTTCGGACAGGGTTGCCCAAAGGGAATGCTCGTTTTGAAAGGGAAAGACGGATTGAAACTCAATGCCTATATAATTATGTGTATTGGTATATGATTTTACTATGCTAGACTTCCCTGTCCTTTTGTTTTACTGAAGTTCTGTTTTTGTAGAACGAAAGAATCGTAAAGAGATGTCGGACATGCCTTGGGACATTAATGCACGCAAATACAAAACTCGATTTCGACAATATGCATGAGTAGAAATTGCATGGAATTTGGCTTTTTTGACTGAGATATAAACTGAACACTCTTCTGTTTACCTCCTTCATTTTCAAGTTTTCCGCCTGTGCATGATTTTTGCATGAAGTCTGGTCGTATCAAGCGCATGCGGAGTGAATACAAGTGATTCTGGGGCCCCAATCACCTGTGTTTTCTCCATCTTGACGACTATATAGTCCGGACAAAAATATCGCTCAGAGAGCGCCTAAAACATAACAACATGAAATATGTATTTCTAGAAGGAGATGACAGTCCAGTGTTCTTGCTTTCTTGTACCAAAACGTGCATGACATTTTGTATTAAAACGCGCATGACATTTTATATTAAAACGTGCATGACATGTTGGAGGAGCGTCGCAGGATCAGTGATGAATTAGATGTTGGAGGAGCGTCGCAGGATCAGTGATGAATTAGATGTTGGAGGAGCGTCGCAGGATCAGTGATGAATTAGATGTTGGAGGATCGTCGCAGGATCAGTGATGAATTAGATGTTGGAGGAGCGTCGCAGGATCAGTGATGAATTAGATGTTGGAGGAGCGTCGCGGGATCAGTGATGAATTAGATGTTGGAGGGGCGTCGCAGGATCAGTGATGAATTAGATGTTGGAGGAGCGTCGCAGGATCAGACGGATCGTCGCAGGATTAAGTGGAAGCTGGTTGAGGTATATACTATAGGTATGCATGATTAGTGCATGCTGCATGGCATTGGATCCTCCTGGTGGTCTAACCTAGTATATTCACACATCAAGTGACATTTCAATCTTTTCGACTATGCATGATAACAGGAAATTTCTCACAGCTCTTATGAGGGCATTTTTCGAGTTTTCTCGATTTAAAATTTCCTAGTTTTGTCACTTGTGTGAATAAGTGTGAAATCCAACGACGTAGCGTCTGCGTATTCATGATGGCTTTAAAGCGTTCAAAAGAAACTAACAAAATGCAATTTGTTAGAGAAAATATCGAATTCGTATTAGCCTAATTTTAGATTAATACGAAGGTAATCGCGAGTACTTATATGATTATATAAGTTCTCTGTTCAGCCTGTTATAATGCGTTTCGAAGGACCGTCCGTCAGTGGCAACAAAAATTATACCTTAGCATGGAATTTTGAAGTTTGAAATGAAAAAAAATGAATGCTTTGCTGTTTAGACACTAGTACTCTTCTTTTTCCCTTGTTCGTATTAATTTTTTGGTTTGCAGTTGTAAGCTTTGAAAAATCCGATTAATCCCGAACATGAAGGAAATAAACGTAATCTAATCACTTTGACTAACTTGATGAAATTTGTATAAGAGGAAAAAATATACCTCCCATATTGCATTGCATGATAACTGGACTTATAGTGGGGGGGGGGTATCTCCAGGTATAATGTTTAAACTGTAGGTTTAATATTGTATAGTACTCTCTTGCCTGAAAAGCCAACCCTTTAAAGAAAACCCTTTGCATTTTGACACACTTACTATGTTGTTTAATTTCTTACACGCCCAACCGTCGAGATGCTGTTGAAGAAGAACATAACTGTTTGGAGTGGAGCAACGAAGCAAGTGAAATTCGATACATTGTTTACCAAAGGTAATTATACGTTACGAAAATTTAAAGGTTAGGGGACATTATTGATTAGCTATATTGAGTAAGTTGCATGTTCAGCCCGATTACGTTTATTTCCTTCATATTCGGTCAACCGTAATCCAGAACGTATAAAATAAAAATAAAAACAGTGCATGAGGCATGTCTTAAAAAAGGGGTAGAAGAAAAGTGTTATTGTCTACATCAGTTTGATATGATAAAGCATGCAAGTCGTGAAAAAGTATTTTTTATCATAAAATGAACATTTGAATAATTCGGAAATAATTTTCGTTGCCATTGTCGGACAAAGCGCAGTTGAATGTCTAAGAGCATGATGTTTTGCGCGCTGTAAATATGCGCGCGCTCTGCAGGTTAGACCACCAGAAGAATCGAATTAACGAGGATCAAGAATTGCATGGCAATTCCTGGTACTCGGTTTGAAATTAGCGGAGCTGAAACGATGAATTATAGATAAAAACTGAAGTGCATGTCATTGCGGACGATTTCTAATAAAAATACCAAATTCGGACCGCCGGTCAGGTAACCTGAAATTCAGGTTACCTTTGGAGGGTTTTTCACCGGGCACTCCGGTTTCCCTCCTTTTCGTTTGGCTTTAAAAAAGAGTGTCCAGGCCTGGGGCCAAACCAAAGCGTGTTGTTTGATAGTGATAAAAACGCGTTTGTGGCTTCTGGGTTCGATTCCCAGAACACTGTCGTAAAAGAATTTTAAAAAGATGGTTGTGGAATCATTACGGAATTTACGTAATAAATAGGAAATATCTGGCATTGGGATTAGCACGTAATAGGTCCTCATGGTCAGAGCCGCGGGGATAGAGCACTGTCAAGGGGGAGGGCATCTCCTGTATTCCAAAAACCTGGGAACGAAGGATGGGGGGGGCATCTCCTCCCCCAAGAAAATTTTGAAATTTACCAGGCCTCCTGTTTAAAAACCACTGTTTAAAACATTGTCTTTGAAGTAATAAAAGGCAGTTGAACCTAGAATCTAGACGAAACTCAGTCTTTGCACTTGCAGTCTCGAAGAAGTTCGGGAAAAGTTGGAAGTCTTGCTTAGGTACGTGGTGATATTCCTGCCTATTTTTACTGCTTCATCTTGTATATTCCGGTTGAAAATGTCAAATGCAAGAGAGCGGTTACTTTAATTTAGTTTTTCCTTGCTTATTTGATTTCATAACGAACTATGACGCCGAAAGATGGGGAAGGAGAAACGTAAAGGCTTGCTCGCAGCGAATGATAGGTATTGTTCTATTAATATTTGTGTGTATTTTGCATTTGTGACTTGAAAAAACACGTTGTGTGTGTGTTCGTGGTAGTCCTTCTTGGAGATAAAGATATAAGATAAAGTAGTTTTCTCTAGTTTATATCTAAGTTTATATGCGTAATTTTTTTTTCTTTTGTATTGTGCATGCTTTATAAAAAGTATATGATATCGATTAAATATTAAAGACAGGTTACAGCGGCTTCTGCGCATGTGCGAGCTTTGTTTACATTTTTTGTTTTGATCCGCAATGATTCTACAACATGAAGTATATCATATATTCGCAATGATTTATTAACAAAAAAAGAGAGGAGCGACGCTTCTTTCAAAAATATATTTGCGGAAAAAAACTATAGAAAAAACCGAAAATAAGCAAATACAACATTTTACGGAAACACTTTACAACAGTGGATGAAAAGCCGCTTTGAAATCGTAGATTAACAGCTGGAGCGGCGGCCGAAGTTGTCATACAAAGGCGCGAGTTCTAATCGGTTCGCTTTTGGTTTATTTATATTTGGGACTTGATAGCCTTGGAAGTGTTAGTAATGTCTTTAATAATGAAATATACTGTGCGGTATCTTTCCGCCGTCGAAAACTCATTCATACCAGGGTGGTCACAGTCATGGCAGGAGCAATTGAAGGAAGCTTTTCGCTTGAAGATTTCGAAGCTAATGTTTTGGAAAACGCAGCGGCTATGCCTATTAACCGTGACAAAATCACAGTGTGCAAATGTAGAGGGCACTGTCTTCGTGAAAAAGGACGGAATTTCTGTCCGTGCAGAAGCATCAATAGCTTGTGTTCGAGCGCGTGTCATGGCGAAGACTTTGGCTGTTGCATGAACAACCGACTTGTTCAAGAAAGCGATAGTGATCAGTGATGAGAGTGTAAGTAAGATTATGTCATTCTTTAAATATATGGGTGGGAGAGAGCCAAGAGGGCTGGTTTCATTGTGGAAATATTTTTCCACTTTGTCTACTTTGTGATTTGCAATTATCTAGGACTCTGAGTTCACTATAGAGGAAAGTGAGAATGAGGGCGAGCAGCAGCTGCAGATTGAAAAGAGAGGACGTGGTAGGGGAAGAGGTCGTCCAAGGGGGAGAGCAAGAGGTCAGGGAAGAGGGCAAGGTACTGCTTCACAGAGACGTGGAAGGGGAGGTAGTGGAAGAGGTCTTGGTAGAGGTAGCGGGAGAGGGCGTTTGTTAGAAGAGCCAAATATTGCTGAAAATCAAGCAGATCATGAGCAGCATTTAGTGGTAAGATGAGCCTTTGTCAACACTTGATTTCATACAATTATTCTTAAAAGCCTTTGTGTAAAAACAATAAAACATAATACCACATGCAGCATATCTTATATTTTACTCTTATGCTGATTTCAGGATCTAGTTGAGGCAATGAATATAGACAACCTGAGAAGGCTTGCTCTTGAATTGCTAAGAAGACAGCCAGCAGCATTTGCTGACATTGTTAATGGTGAGCTTGTGAGCGGAAATGAACCCCAACCACCAAACCCAGAACCTGATAATGATGCTCCAGATTGGTGCAAGTGTGGGTGCTGCATTATTATGCCCACTCAAGAAGAGAACAAATGCTACACCCGATCAAGACGTCCTTGTATCTCAAGAACAAATCTTTTCAGTCAACTAATTCTTGATGGGAATGTTTTGGAGATCTCAATGCAATACAGAGAAGATGTTTTGGTGTTGAACAATGTCAGGAACAATGAAAACTTTCGCCATGCTGCATATAGACAGTATGTTCTATGGCAACATGGTAGATTAGGAAGAGGAAATAGGAGAGTAGTACCAAGCTGTTGTGTGGTTGCTATTCGTAACCGTTATCCTTCACCTAATGGACAGTACAGGGGATATTTGCCTGCACGTGTTTAGATAATTTAGCACTTAAAGTATAAATAGTGCCCCCAAAAAGTAGACCAAAATAAACCACAATCGATGTTTGTGGGCATAAATATGTTTTTGGTCTGATGTTATAGCAGGCCCAAAAAATATTAATGCTCAAGAACATAAAGTATATTATTATATTATATTATATTATATTTATACAATGCAAGTGAACATTTTTAGAATTGGGCTGAGCCAGCAAGGTAATAAAATATATAGCTGGGTAAATTTTTCATTTTAGTCTTCATACATTGTAATGCTGATTTAGTTGTTGTAATTGTCCATGTGCATGATTAGCATCAACCTAAATGCTAATTTTCCAATTTCAAAGTGTTTACTTTTTTGGGACACCCTATACATATATCATAATTTAATAAAACATTTCATTTAAGATATTATGTGTCATATTTCATTGATAATGGGGTTTCGCTCTATATCAGAGCTCGTCAGCATGCCTAGGAAACACAAATGAAATGATGATAACATCAATGATTCCGACAATAACAGCCTGACCTAGGGTCTGGGGTTTGAAATTAGAGTTTTCCTTCTCTTAGGTGAACTGCCTACCATGGCTAATGAGCTCCACCTACCCAAAGTAACTTGAGTTTACACACAACCATTAAAATCTTGTTTTATGTGTGTCGACAAGTGTCTGTACTGATGGAGGAGGAACAGGGGCAATATTGGGTGCAATTTGTCTAGGATCATCACTTGGAATACCAAGTCTTTTGTTTACATTCCCTTCTGATGTGATCCTCTTTATAAAAACCTTCTGCATCAGTTCAGGAATGTAACTAAATTCTTTTGGTACAAGAACACGAACACGGCACCACTGTTGTGTACGCTTACTGAACTTCCGACCGTACCTAATAAAAAAAAGAACTTTACAATTCCATACAATATGAGTACCATTACACTATAAGAATGCACAGGACCTGAAAAGTTGTTCACACTTAGGATGGGAACACTAAGGCAAAAATTTCAATACCAGTACCTTTCTTTCCCATCAGCTGTAGTTGCTGGTGCTCGGCCTCTGTGGTGGTTAAAGTCCAAGGCAGCAAGCCGGTTTCTAGCTTGGTATACTGAGTATCTGAAGATACAACAAACATCAACATTCTTTTATTAACAATGCTTCCTTGCATGGAAATCAACCATGATAGGAGTTAGCTGTTACCTTTGTAATAATATGTCATATACTTACGAATAGGCATGGCGCTTTGGAGCATACATCAAAATTACATTATGAAAGGACTCTAAAAATCCTGTGAGCCTAAAAAATATTTCAAACTTTGAGATGATATAAATTATCTGAAATTTTCAAATATCCAATCTCATTTGTTACCTGAAGTTAACATAATACACCAAAGTGTTTAAAAAGCGAGTGTCCAGAATGATCTTTGCCAGTGCTTTATGGGCAGAAGACTCTTTCTTAAGCCATGGCTTCTTTCTCTCACTTTCATTAAGAGGATCATGTTCACATTTTCCACCATTTACACCTTCCTCCAACACCCACGCATGCTCATCAACAACATGGTGTAAAATACCAATCCACTTATCCTATTAAAAAAATATAAAAAATACAACATAATGTGACTACATATTAACACATGTATGTACAGTTGCAAAAACCAGTAGTACTTCAATGTGAATCTTACTTTGAGATTTTTTGAGTCATTAGCACATGTTTTTGAACAATACCAAAAATGGTTCCTTATTGATGGTGCCCACAAGGTCAAATCTGCATTGTCTTTAGATTTAGCAGCCTAAAGAATAAAATCAATTCTAGATAAAGAAAGTTTTTTAACTAATTGCTGGTTGATATCTTCAACACTTACAGTAGTGATTTTCTTTGCAATGTTCTTTGCTCCATGCCACACATCATTCTGATGTGTGACCTCCTTATATTTCTCTTCCCTTTCTAAAAAATGCAATAATGCTTAATTAATAAACAAATGCATGTTGTAAATATTCCCTTACTGTCTTTTAAAGGGTAAACACAATTAATTATATAACATTGTAATCAATCTGCAAATGAAGTTGTTAAATTATTGAAAGTCTGACAATATTGATTATAACAGGTTGAACTATTAGAGTTTCAGGAATTGCCATATTGTTATAATGTAGATACTTACTCATCAATGCAGCAATTTCAATATGACCATCAGTTACCACCTCCTTCATAACTATTGGTGATGCAAGCAGTGTGTCCATCCCTCTTTCAAACCCAATCCTCTCCATATTATTGCTCTTACCAGCAGCTTCTCTCACATCAACCACATTCATTTGCAGTATGGCACGATCATTGGTATCAGCCAAGCTGTAAGTACAATATTGTACTATGGCCAGGCGAGTCATTCCTTCCATCACCACTCAATATAACCTCTTTGTTCTCTCTTTCTTTCCAACATTTCTGTTTGTGTTCTTCCCAGTAGTCATTAATGGCAGGGATGATGTACAACTTCTGATACTGATTGAATAATATTGATGAGAAATACTGCAGATTACAGAAGTTGAACATCAACCCCACCTTGGCGTAGGAATTGCCAGACAACAACAAAGCAGAAGCAAGCACGAGGTTGCCTGCTCTAATCTTGTTGCAAGAGGGTTGAGCTGCCCATCTGCCTCCAACATGACCAGACCTACACCCCCAGGATACGACCAGGCATGTTCCAACATATGTTTTCTTATAGCTCAACACACGGCCACATCCTTGTCGTTTACAAACACTCCCATGTAATGATGTTATCAAAGCTATAAGAGTGTCTGTAAACACAATACACTTTTCCTTCTTGATTGCATCTTCAGGACTGACTTCTTCCACACTAGAGATGTATTCTGGTTGAGTCGTCTTATGTTGCTGCTGTTGTTGTTGTTGGGTTCCAACATCTTCTGTGGGCTCATCTCATCATGTCCACGGATTGTCACATTGAGCAAGTCATCCAGTAATGGCACGTCAAAACCCGGGGGACATACACTACAGTAAAATGGCAGTAAGAGATATTATTGGACGAAATATTTTATGCCATATTCAGTGATATATAATGTGTATATTTATGTTTTAAATCAATAAGCATTACAGTAGGAATGTCACAAAGATTATTATTGAGGTTTTGCATCATCACTTACTCAAGAGAATCGTCCGACAAAACCTGGTCTGCCTGGATAGTGTGTTCACCAAAATTGTCATTATCATCATCACTTTCATCATCAGAACTAATCTTTGGCTGTCAACGTTCGACTGTCAGAAATCACACTCTGACCCGACCTGAGATATAAACACATATTGCGTATTTAAAAAGTAATACTCTCTGCGCGAAACTTTGCATGTATGGGTTTCAAATTATAAACTCAGTAATCACAATAAGTTTCAAATTACCTGATAGAATATGATGTTCTAACATCCGACAAAGCAGACAATGGACGCGGATTTGAGTGCGCGCTTGGCGTTGAGGTTTTAACTATAAAATATTTCATACGAATGTTTTATGCGAATATTTTAAAAAATAATAAATGTTTACGTCTTTGGAGCAGCACTTTAAAACATATGTTCTTACTGGGAGAAGAAAAATATTTGGAAGGTGTACTTGGCGGCATATCCCTTGATTCCATTACCGTTTCGGTGCGTCTCTGCATTGCTAAAGTGAGTTCAACACATACATAAAAAGCATTATGAAGTAAAGAAATAACACACAAAAAAGGTCAGAGGTTTTATTATTTTATACTTACCAAACTATACGATTCATCGCAAGATAGCTGTCAAGAAGCATATCCGCCACATCCTTGTCTGTTCTCAATTTATGCTGCTCCTTAAACGCTCTCCATCGAGGGAAAGAACCCAACAAATACACTTTAGAGGCGTCTCTACTAGCATAATATTCTTTTCTACTCGACGACATGACTCAGTGCTCTTGAAAGATTGAGAATTTCTTTCTTAAATTGTCGGCTGGTCATGGTTTTTAGACTGAACAATCCGGGGGATTATCAACTTCACGTGGAGTCCCCAGGCTGGCGCACGCGCAGAAGCCGTGTCTTTAAAACAGGCAAAAAAATAAGAAATTTCAACCGCTCTTCACCGCAATTTCCACGGCTCTTCACCGCAATTTCCACCGCTCTTCACCGCAATTTCCTTTTGCTTCTACGCATGTGCGAGCTTTGTTTATATTTTTCGTTTTGGTGTGAATCCATTTCATTTGCGCAACATGAAGTATTCAAAAAACTAAATTAAAATGGCGGACGCATCAAGAGTGAAGAGTGGAGCTTTATAAAACCATTCAACAATTGTCTTTTAAAAGACAACCAAATAAATATTTTGAAAAACAACTACTGGAAGATATCTCCTGTAAGTTTGTCGATTTTATCTAAGTTTGAGATACTGTGTATAATTATTTTTACAGTGATTGTTGGATGATTATTAAATTTGGATAAAAGATTATACTCAGATAATGATTTTGTTTATAAATTCCTTCGTACTCTGTTCTAATATTGCAGGATTCAGATTTATGAGCAAGATAATCATGCTTCCATGGTCAAAGTAGCTCTTCTGAGTGTGTTTCATCATCGACATCAATGCCATGTGGGTCAACATCACTGAATGAAACTGCTTCAATACGAAAGCTTACAAGTGAAGATATAGATAGGAGAGGATAACATCCCAACCTATACATTGTAGTTAAAATATAATAACAATATCAACCTCAAATTCAACTAATATTTTGTATGCAATCAAGCAAAATTTGGAAATGCTGGTTGTTAATTTTACTGCAATTATTACACAAGATATGATTACACTCCTTTATCATTACCCAATGCTGTCAGAATTGCTATCACATGTGAATGCAATATAATTTTTGTACACAATCATTATTTAATTATTGTTTTCAGCATAAATTATGCCTTATAAGGCCTTCTCCAGACAATATTTATTGCAAGCTATATGATATTTGCTCCAATATTTGGCTATATTTGTGAAAGATACAGTTGCAAGCTCATTATGATCTATTGCCTCGTTATCTGGTCCTTAACAACATTTCTTAGCACACTACTTAATAAACACCTATGTAAGCTTTTACTGATTTCATACAGTGAGTTAGAAGTCAGATATGTTAAAAAAAGAAGGAAAATGGTAGGTTAATCAATAGTTTGGTATGTTCTTGGTTCAAAAGTATCTTCCGCATTTAGTGGTGGCAATAATTTTATAATAGAGAAAACACAGGGTATGTAAACATGTGAAATAAACATGTTATTATTTGATGTGTTTCAGGTAACTCCAATCTTGGGTGTGCTTCTTATCATCTTGGGCTTTATATCTGTTGTTTGAACCTGTCTAGGGGCAAATTGAAAAGAGTCAGGGTGATATTGTTGCAGACAAGGATGTTATCATTCGTCGTTCATTGTTGAATGATGCGAAACATATGTTACGCTGGTAGGTGATTTTTAACAACAGATGTTGCTTACTGCAGGATGAACTGTTTAGAACTGACAGAATTATCCAGTGTAAATATAGTTAGTTTGTGTAGGTTTCCTGCTGTAGTAACACTGAATCAATAAGAGATGATCCAGTATGCCATTCCTTGTTATGCCCTTGATCCTAGCTTCAAAATATATTGTTCTTTCTTATGTAAGTTAAACATGTATACTGAAATTAAAAATCTATTTAATATTTCCGTAAAGACATTTCTATCATATAAGTGTTAGCAATTGTCTTGTTTCTTTGTAGATACAGACAGAGCCACAGCATCCGCAGTCCTTATATTGTGGGTTTGGTATGTAATATACAATTTCTTTTACCTAAAGCTATGAATCACCGACACGCCCACTGAATCTAATTATGATGTCACTTCCGTTCCGCGGGGCTTATTTCGCTACTTCCTTACGCTTTGACTTTTGACTTCCGGTTTTTCGATGGTCGTGGTCAGACACGCCCACTTAATCTAATTATGATTTCACTTCCGGTGGACAGGGCTTATTTCGCTACTTCCTTGCGCTTTGACTTTTGACTTCCGGTTTTTCGATGGGCGTGGTCAGACACGCCCACTTAATCTAATTATGACGTCACTTCCGGTCCGCGGGGCTTATTTCGCTACTTCCTTACGCTTTGACTTTTGACTTCTGGTTTTTCGATAGGCGTGGTTAGACACGCCCACTCATTCTAATTATGACGTCACTTTTGGTGGGCGGGGCTTATTTCGCTACTTCCTTACGCTTTGACTTTTAAATCCCGGTTTTTCGATGGGCATGGTCAGACACGCCCACTTAATCTAATTATAAGGTCACTTCTGGTGGGCGTTGCTTATTTCGCTACTTCCTTACGCTTTGACTTTTGACCTCCGGTTTTTTGATGGGCGTGGTCAGACACGCCTACTTAATCTAATTATGACGTCACTTCCGGTAGGTGGGGCTTATTTTGCTACCTACTTACGCTTTGATTTTTGACTTCCGGTTTTTATATGGGCGTTGTCGGCAGCAAGGTCACAGTCCTCAGAACGTGCATTCTAATTTGTTGAGCCGTAGCCAATAAAAATCGTTCCCATGTAAACGTCATAGGCGCTCTCTGTATGAATTTATTAATATTCTACACTCGCTCGCTGGGCTGGCTACATCGAATCATTTATTATTCCCTATAATAGTGTTTTTCGCTTCTACGTTCGCTCGCTGGCTTCATCGGTTCTTTCTTATAAAAAGTTCTTTGAGGGACAACTTCGGGTTATATATTATTTATGGCGTCTTCCGGCCTATCTGATGTCGCGGCGGAAAAAGGGGGAGCAGATACGACAAAAGCCAAGGTGAAATATTAATTTTTTTGCTTGTATTAATATTCTGCTTGTAGTAAGTTTTATAATATTTCAAATTATCTTTATTTTTCAATGTTATGAACTCAACTACATTAGAATTGACAGATATAGTTGGATGAACACAAAAATAACTTTATAAATACGACAATTCAGACGCTTTTCACGTGCCATTTATTTTAAGTTGATTTGCATCGGGCAGGAGTATTTTGTCAATGCCTATCTAATATATCAGGCCACACTCTGCCTGTTGAAACAAGGCATTGGTAGGTGCCTAAATGTGTATTTTTTTACAATTAGCTAACCTCAGGATGGTCCAAGCGTGGCAAAGGTTCCTGTCCAAATTGTGGTTTGCAATATAGTTGCCGTTACAAGCCACCAAGTTGTTCAGGATGCAAATTTTGAGCTTGGAGGATCATATGTCCCTAAAAAAAAGCCTCGTCCAATGGTGCCTAAGTGTACCTTAATGGTGCAGCCATCAGACGGGTTATCAATCTACTCGGTTAATACCAGTACCTATGATGATCGATGTATTGTGGTTCGTTAAGAGGCTTGTACAAACTACTCATACAACTACTAAACAGAATAGAGCCATTCATATTAACAGCCAAAAAGTGGCAAGCTTTAGTTGTCAGCATTTGGAATCCACCAGAGATTGTACAACTCCTCTTCAGACATTCAATGGGATATCAGATGAGGTCATTTCCAGTTATCTCTGTGATGATGAAACAAAAAAAACCCTGGCAGAAGTGGCAAATGCATCAAAGGCACAGTCATTTCCAGTTGTGGTGCATGTTTCTCCAACTATGTATTGCGTCTTTGGAATGGCAACCACAAACAACACTGTTGGATATTGCCATGTCAAGGTAACGGAAAAGGAAATTAAATGCTGTTCCAAAGACTGCAAAGGTATGTTGAAGAGCAAGCAGCAAAAGTCCCGAAAAGTTTGCACCCACATCCATCTTTTATTGGCTCTTGGCATTTTTACACACAACGAATGTGTGTCAGCAGATCTTCGCCCAACAATAGTGACAGACAGTTCCTTGACAACAATTGACAGAAGTGGGAGCAAGTCTCGCAAGGCAACCATGGGACTTAAAATGAAGTTAAAGTTGCCATATGTCATTCCAAAACCCATTAATTCAGGCAGCAGGTAAAATGGATTTTTCCGTGTGGCCAGAGCAGTTTGAACCAGACCAAACTTTGTGTGATTTGTGTAAAAGTCCTCTTGGTCAGTCCAAGCCACACCCAAATCAACGTGGGCGATCAATCATAATGACCAATGGATGTCCATTCAAAACAGTCAAAATGCTAGTCAAAGATTGCTCATGTTGCTTTGCTATGCACCAAGTGTTTCCCTACACATTAGGTAAGTATATACAGTTCAATATTTTTTTGTAGTATAGTAATTCTATGTTGACAGGTGAGTTTCTATTTCACAGTGTACATGTTGGCTCAAGGACAAAGGTTAATTTGATTCAATTTTATTGCCTTTTAGGTCTGTTTAATATTAGTGACAAGGTTCTGGTGGCACTTGAAATTCTATTAGAGTTCCGAGAATTGTTCAAAAGAGGAGTGCCAATTTCTGTAGCCATAAAAAGTAAATTAGCCTTGATGGTCCAGAAAGTTGAGGTAATTTCAAGATGATTGTGTATGTACTATGCATTAGTATGCTGTACAACTGCCTAGAATCTGTCAGTGTCAGATTAGTCTTAGTATTTACAATAGGACTAGTCTAATAAAATTGGCAAATCGTCTGGTATGGGAATTTGTTAAGGCCCTGTTAAACGATGCAATTTTTCTTGAAACTTGCAACTCCACTCTTGACTGATGTAACATTGGCAAAGTGTGACTTCACGAATTAAAATCTCTCAAGAGTAGCATTGCATTGCAAGTTGCAAAAAAATTGCACTGTGTAACAGGACCTTTAGTCTTGCTCTAAATATTAACAAAGTATCCTGTTGTATTTGTTAAGGAATCGCCAACAGAAAATGAGTTGGAAAGTATTGCTACACATTTATACAATGGGTTTTATTGCTTTGAGGCAATAACTGAATGCAATATGGATTCAGGTGTTTGTGGAATTTGTAGTACTGTTGGTGAAGTGTATTTTGGGGATGGGAATGAAAAAAATTGCTGCAGCATTAGCGAGGTAAAGCATTCATGGACCAGAATAACCACATGAGAATTTTAGTAACATTTTGGTCTTCAGTAGTGTTCAATTATTAAAATGTCCTTGCTGGTCTTTAGCCTGTTCTCAGATCCCTCTGATTTGCCAGAGCTTCTTACACAAAATATTTGCATTTTCATTGTAGATTGATTACTAACCACTACAAGATATAGATTGTGAGGAAGATGATCCTATTTCCCTTGAGATGTTCTTGGAGAAATTAAAATACAATTTGGTGGAAAAAACAACCTACACACGATCGGAAAAGGCCACTATCCACTTTTCCACCATTCCACCAGTCATAGCCCCATCATTGAGAGGTACAAAATTGTTCAACACTGAAGGGGAAAAAAAAAGTGCTTTTCTCAAGCAATATGGCAAACCTAATGAAGGTTTGTAGCATTACTCATAGTACAATTTAGCCATTCAATTAAAATAATATATGCTATATAATACAGCTTGTTTGTGACCATGAATGGTTATTTGGACCAGAATTGATTTTTTAAGTGAATTTAATTATGCATCTGTTGCACAGGTGATCCAGCTCTTTTGCATCATTGGATATCCACTCAAGTAGTTGACATGAACACAATTGAGCAATGCAGTGTCGAGAAGCTGAAAGAACTTTGTCATTTGTGTAATATAGCAATTTCAGGCAAATCAAAGATATTTACTGTAATTTACGATTGTGACTTGGTATTAATTTGCACGAAATAACTTGCATTTTATTTCTTTGCGTCAGGCAAGAATGCTCATTGATTTGCGATCATTGTATGAAACCTTGCTGGTTGGTTCATGTCCTTGCCATGGCTTCAGAAAAGTGCCAGGACATACTAGTAGTTTCTACCACATTGTTTGTCGCCATGGCGTAAGTTTAGAAATATTTCACCTGCAATGCAACTCTACTTTTGAGACGTGTAAATTACGAAAGTACAACTTATATTTCGTATTGTTCTCTCAACATATCGAACATCTTCACTGACACTAATTAACATCTCTCAAGAGCAGAATTGCATTGCAAGTTGCGAGAAAAATTGCACCCTGTAACAGGGCATTTATCATCTTGTTTTCTTAGACAACCGTAGCCTTAGTCTTAGACGTATACAGTGAACTTTTTTCTCGAGATTCATTTTTGGATTCACTTTTTTTCTCCACATTCGGATTCGGAATCACTTTTTTCCCGAGATTCATTCTCGGAAGGATTCAATTTTTTCTCGAGATTCATTTTCGGTTTCACTTTTTTCTCCAGATTCATTTTCAAATTCGAATTTCTTCTCGAGATTCATTCTCGGAAGGATTCACTTTTTTCTCGAGATTCATTTTGGATTCAGTTATTTTCTCCACATTCAGATTCGGAATCACTTTTTTCTCAAGATTCATTCTCGGAAGGATTCACTTTTTTCTCGAGATTCATTTTGGATTCAGTTATTTTCTCCACATTCGGATTCGGAATCACTTTTTTCCCGAGATTCATTCTCGGAAGGATTCACTTTTTTCTCGAGATTCATTTTCGGTTTCACTTTGTTCTCCAGATTCATTTTCAAATTCGAATTTCTTCTCGAGATTCATTCTCGGAAGGATTCACTTTTTTCTCGAGATTCATTTTTGGATTCACTTTTTTTCTCCACATTCGGATTCGGAATCACTTTTTTCCCGAGATTCATTCTCGGAAGGATTCAATTTTTTCTCGAGATTCATTTTCGGTTTCACTTTGCTCTCCAGATTCATTTTCAAATTCGAATTTTTTCTCGAGATTCATTCTCGGAAGGATTCACTTTTTTCTCGAGATTCATTTTGGATTCAGTTACTTTCTCCACATTCAGATTCGGAATCACTTTTTTCTCGAGATTCATTCTCGGAAGGATTCACTTTTTTCTCGAGATTCATTTTTGGATTCACTTTTTTTCTCCACATTCGGATTCGGAATCACTTTTTTCCCGAGATTCATTCTCGGAAGGATTCAATTTTTTCTCCAGATTCATTTTCGGTTTCACTTTTTTCTCCAGATTCATTTTCAAATTCAAATTTTTTCTTGAGATTCATTCTCGGAAGGATTCACTTTTTTCTCGAGATTCATTTTGGATTCAGTTATTTTCTCCACATTCAGATTCAGAATCACTTTTTTCTCGAGATTCATTCTCGGAAGGATTCACTTTTTTCTCGAGATTCATTTTTGGATTCACTTTTTTTCTCCACAGTCGAGAAATAGAAGAAAAAACTAGAGAAAAAAAAACTAGAGAAATAGAAGAAAAAAACAGAGAAAAAACTAACTAGAAAAACAAACAAGAGAAAAACATTAAGAAAAAACTAGAGAAAACACTAAGTAGAAAAATAGAAAAAAAAATCGAGAAATAGTAGAAAAAACCAGAGAAAAGAAAACTAACTAGAGAAACTAGAGAAAAAAACAAGAAAAAACATTAGGAAAAAACTAGAGAAAAAAACTAAGTAGAAAAATAGAAAAAAACTCGAGAAATAGAAGAAAAAACCAGAGAAAAGAAAACTAACTAGAAAAACTACAGAAAAAAACTAGAGAATAAAAGACATGAGAAAATAGAAAAAAAACTAGATAAATAAAAGAAAAAATAGAGAAATAGAAGAAAAAACTAGAGAAAAAAAAACTAGAGCAATCGAAAAAACACTAACAGGTTTAACTTTAGAAAATTACTGAAAAATACTAGGAGGTTTAACTTAGAATTGTCAAGTCACACAGAAGAACTTGCAAAATAAACTAACTAGACTAACTAGAAAAACTAGAGAAAAAAACAAGAAAAAAACATTAGGAAAAAACTAGAGAAAAAAACTAAATAGAAAAAAAACTCGAGAAATAGAAGAAAAAACCAGAGAAAAGAAAACTAACTAGAAAAACTACAGAAAAAACTAGAGAATAAAAGACATGAGAAAATAGAAAAAAAACTAGATAAATAAAAGAAAAAATAGAGAAATAGAAGAAAAAACTAGAGAAAAAAAAACTAGAGCAATCGAAGAAAACACTAACAGGTTTAACTTAGAAAATTACTGAAAAATACTAGGAGGTTTAACTTAGAATTGTCAAGTCACACAGAAGAACTTGCAAAATAAACTAACTAGACTAACTAGAAAAACTAGAGAAAAAACAAGAAAAAACATTAGGAAAAAACTAGAGAAAAAAACTAATAGAAAAAAAACTCGAGAAATAGAAGAAAAAACCAGAGAAAAGAAAACTAACTAGAAAACTACAGAAAAAAACTAGAGAATAAAAGACATGAGAAAATAGAAAAAAAACTAGATAAATAAAAGAAAAAATAGAGAAATAGAAGAAAAAACTAGAGAAAAAAAAACTAGAGCAATCGAAAAACACTAACAGGTTTAACTTAGAAAATTACTGAAAAATACGAAGAGGTTTAACTTAGAATTGTCAAGTCACACAGAAGAACTTGCAAAATAAACTAACTAGACTAACTAGAAAAACTAGAGAAAAAACAAGAAAAAACATTAGGAAAAAACTAGAGAAAAAACTAAATAGAAAAAAAACTCGAGAAATAGAAGAAAAAACCAGAGAAAAGAAAACTAACTAGAAAAACTACAGAAAAAAACTAGAGAATAAAAGACATGAGAAAATAGAAAAAAACTAGATAAATAAAAGAAAAAATAGAGAAATAGAAGAAAAACTAGAGAAAAAAAAACTAGAGCAATCGAAGAAAACACTAACAGGTTTAACTTAGAAAATTACTGAAAAATACGAAGAGGTTTAACTTAGAATTGTCAAGTCACACAGAAGAACTTGCAAAATAAACTAACTAGACTAACTAGAAAAACTAGAGAAAAAAACAAGAAAAAAACATTAGGAAAAAACTAGAGAAAAAAACTAAATAGAAAAAAAACTCGAGAAATAGAAGAAAAAACCAGAGAAAAGAAAACTAACTAGAAAAACTACAGAAAAAAACTAGAGAATAAAAGACATGAGAAAATAGAAAAAAACTAGATAAATAAAAGAAAAAATAGAGAAATAGAAGAAAAAACTAGAGAAAAAAAAACTAGAGCAATCGAAGAAAACACTAACAGGTTTAACTTAGAAAATTACTGAAAAATACGAAGAGGTTTAACTTAGAATTGTCAAGTCACACAGAAGAACTTGCAAAATAAACTAACTAGACTAACTAGAAAAACTAGAGAAAAAAACAAAAAAAAACATTAGGAAAAAACTAGAGAAAAAACTAAATAGAAAAAAAACTCGAGAAATAGAAGAAAAAACCAGAGAAAAGAAAACTAACTAGAAAAACTACAGAAAAAACTAGAGAATAAAAGACATGAGAAAATAGAAAAAAACTAGATAAATAAAAGAAAAATAGAGAAATAGAAGAAAAACTAGAGAAAAAAAAACTAGAGCAATCGAAGAAAACACTAACAGGTTTAACTTAGAAAATTACTGAAAAATACTAAGAGGTTTAATTTAGAATTGTCAAGTCACACAGAAGAACTTGCAAAATAAAAACACTAACACCATCAGACGAAAAAGGTTTATTTCTTAAACTTTACAAAGAAAAAAGATTTATAAATCCAAGTTTTGAAAATTGTCACATAATTCATCACATTTCACACTAAAAAATATTAATCAATGAAACTGGGTGCCTTTCAACTTTCTTCAACACCAAAGAAAAAAAGAATTTCATAAGAGAAAATATATTTAGAAAAAATACTAATACTAAGAAGAAATTAAAGAGAAAAGAAGTATGAGAAAAAGCCAAAAGCAACTGCTAAAATATTTTCAATTGTGAAAGCACAGGGAAAAACATGCAAAATCAAAACACCAACACCACCAGACAAAAAAGGTTTACTTCTTAAACTTTACAAAGAAAAATTTATCTTTATAAATCGAAGTTTTGAAAATTGTCACATAATTGATCACATTTCACACATGTTATCACACACTAAAATATTCAATGAATCTAGGATTGGGCTAAAATAATTCAGGTTCTTCTGGGGTGCCTTTCAACTTTCTTCAACTTCATTCATTCTAAAGAGAAAAAGCATTTCATCAATCCTTTTAGGCAAAAAGTTGTATTTTCAAAGCTGACATCATTATCAAAAGATATTACTCATTATCTTACTTTAGCCATCTTTCATGGATAGACAATACATTCGTGAATGCATTTTATTTTATGCCAATTAAATTTTAGCTATTTTCAATAAAAAGAATGTGTCACATGCATATATTCAACCCAGAAATATGTCACTATTTAATTTGAACACAGAAAAACTGGGTACCACCCTTCTGAGTACTACAGAATATAAATCACATGGAAATCAGAAAAATTTCTCCCAAGTTTAAAATAGTAATTGCTGGTCTTTTTCATGGATATTTATTGTAAAACCACCACAGGAATTAAAGTAATCAGCCAGACTTGTTCAGCTGTTATAGCATTAAGTTTCATCATTGGTTTCACACATGGTGACCATAGAAGCAAATTTCAATTTGATTGTTGTCATCTCAACAATGTAGTGGCTTTTTAAAATCAAATGCTGGCCATCCATGACAAAATCAAATTACCTCAGTGCAGATATCTTGTTTAATTTCCAATCAATGTACATCTGACAGTAAAGTTCATATCCACGACTCATGTTGCACTCTTGACCAGGGAAAATCTTGAATATTACAAGAACACATGATTAATATAAAATTGCATTTTCAACTATCTTAATTATTGTCTAGTTTTTGGTCACGCATTCTATGGTTACTTCATCCCTCTATATAAATATGCTATATTTATTCAAAGCCCACCACAGGAATTTATCATTGGTGACCACATAGGGAGCATAGAAGCAAAGTTCACTTAGCAATCTTAACAAAATTGTGACTGCCTGACGATTTTCATGAAGATCCTAGTTGCAGCAAATTCCCCTTTATACTAAATAACAAAATGTATATCTGGGCGGTTGATATATATTACAAGGCCACTACAAGAATTTCAGCTGCAAGGCTAGTATAAATTTTGAAGGAACAATCAAATTACCTCTGCAAAAATCTTGTTCACTTCCAATTTTCCTCTGACAGTAAAGTCCATATCCACAGCAGCTAATGTGGCTGGTTGCACTCTTGATCAAGGAAAATCTTGAATATATAAAGAAGTTATTATTAAGACAAAATTCCATTTTCAACTATCTTAATTATTGTCTAGTTTTTCGTCAGGTATTCTATGGTTACTTCATCCCTCTATATATAACTATGGTTGCTATATTTATTCAAAGACCAGCACAGGAATTTATTACTGGTGATACATAGTGAGTATATAGAAGCAAAGTTCACTTTATAATCTTAACAAAATTGTGACTGCCTGACGATTTTCATGAAGATCCTAGTTGCAGCAAATTCCCCCTTATACTAAATAACAAAATATATATCTGGGCGGTTGATATATATTACAAAGTCACTACAAGAATTTCAGCTGCAAGGCTAATATAAATTTTGAAGGAACAATCAAATTACCTCTGCAAAAATCTTGTTCACTTCCAATTTTCCTCTGACAGTAAAGTCCATATCCACAGCAGCTAATGTGGCTGGTTGCACTCTTGTCCAAGGAAAATCTTAAATACATAAAGAAGTTATTATTAGTACAAAATTCCATTTTCAACTATCTTAATTATTGTCTAGTTTTTCGTCAGGTATTCTATAGTTACTTCATCCCTCTATATATAACTATGGTTGTTATATTTATTCAAAGACCAGCACAGGAATTTATTACTCGTGACACATAGTGAGTATAGAAGCAAAGTTCACTTTATAATCTTAACAAAATTGTGACTGCCTGACGATTTTCATGAAAAAGATCCTAGTTGCAGCAAATTCCCCCTTATAATAAATAACAAAATATATACGCGGAGTTGATATGTATTACAAAGTCACTACAAGAATTTCAGCTGCAAGGCTAATATAAATTTTGAAGGAACAATCAAATTACCTCTGCAAAAATCTTGTTCACTTCCAATTTTCCTCTGACAGTAAAGTCCATATCCACAGCAGCTAATGTGGCTGGTTGCACTTTTGACCAAGAAAAATCTTGAATATATAAAGAAGTTATTATTAAGACAAAATTCCATTTTCAACTATCTTAATTATTGTCTAGTTTTTCGTCAGGTATTCTATGGTTACTTCATCCCTATATATAACTATGGTTGCTATATTTATTCAAAGACCAGCACAGGAATTTATTACTGGTGACACATAGTGAGTATAGAAGCAAAGTTCACTTTATAATCTTAACAAAATTGTGACTGCCTGACGAGTTTCATGAAAAAGATCCTAGTTGCAGCAAATTCCCTCTTATAATAAATAACAAAATATATATCCGGGCAGTTGATATGTATTACAAAATCACTACAAGAATTTCAGCTGCAAGGCTAATATAAATTTTGAAGGAACAATCGAATTACCTCTGTGCAGAAATCTTGTTCACTTCCAATGTTCATTTGAACGTAAAGTTCATATCCACAGTTAATGTTGCACTCTTGACCAAGAAAAATCTTGAATATAAAAAGACATTATTAATATAAAATTCCATTTTCAACTATCTTAATTACGTCTAGTTTTTGGTCAGGTAATCTATGGTTACTTCATCCTTCTATATATAACTATGGTTGCTATATTTACTTCAAGACCACCACAGGAATTTATTACTGGTGACACATAGTGAGTATAGAAGCAAAGTTCACTTAGTAATCTTAACCAAATTGTGACCGCGACGACGATTTTCATGAAAAAGATCCTAGTTGCAGCAAATTCCCTCTATACTATGGAAATAACAAAATACATACCCAGGCAGTTGATATGTATTACAAGGTAGTGACAAGATTTGAGCTGCAAGGCTAATATAAATTTAGAAGAAACAATCGAATTACCTCTGTGCAGAAATCTTGTTCACTTCCAATGTTGACCAAAGAAAATCTTTAATATAATAAGACATTATTAATATAAAATTGCATTTATAACTACCTTAATTATTGTCTAGTTTTAGCAAAAGGCACACAAACAGTAAAGTAAAATACTTAACTTTGACCAGAAAGCACAACAATCTTGCTCAGAAAGGTCCGCGAACGGTCCACGTGTATAGTTTTCTTCGGCATCGCCATTTTGAATTCGGCCGGGCGAGTCTTGAACTGATTTCTATTTCAACTGTTCTCTTGACGTTCGTCTTGATAACTAGCTGTTGAGATAAACGTTAATGACAAAATCTTCAGTTCTGCTTCAGTCTATGGGTACGAAAATTGCTCAAGACATAAATTTTCAGTAAAAAATTATCATCATTGCAGGCAAAATTAATCTCGAAACTTTAGATAACCTTGTACGCAGAATATTTCATATTGTATATGGTTTTTTGTTATTTCTGACCGACAATTAGCAGAAGGCACACAAACATCAAAGTAAAATACTTAACTTTGACCAGACAGCACAACAATCTTGCTCAGAAAGGTCCGCGAACGGTCCACGTGTATGGGATCGCCATTTTGAATTCGGCGGCGGCGAGTCTTGAACTGATTTCTATTTTCTATTTCAACTGTTCTCTTGACGTTCGTCTTGATAACTGGCTGTTGAGATAAACGTTAATGACAAAATGTTCAGTTCTGCTTCAGTCTATAGGTGCGGAAGTTGCTCATGACATAAATTTTCAGTAAAAAATTATCATCATTGCAGGCAGAATTAAGTTCGAAATTTTAGATAACCTTGTACGCAGAATATTTCATATTGTATATGGCTTTTTGTCATTTCTGGCCAACAATTAGCCGAAGGCACACAAACATCAAAGTAAAATACTTAACTTTGACCAGACAGCACAACAATCTTGCCCAGAAAGGTCTGCGAACGGTCCAGGTGGATGGTTTTCTTTGGCATCGCCATTTTGAATTTGGCCGGGCGAGTCTTCGCATTCATCTTGACAACTAGCTGTTCAGATAAACCTATATACAACGAAAAAAAGGGTTCGGCTCAGCTACACTGTACTCCTTAAGGAAGGCCTACGGCCTTCCCGTAGATTAGTGTAAAGGCCTACAAGTGGGAACTAGCAGCGTGCGGGGGACCAAAACGCTCTAGGCAAACGGTCCCCCTACTGGGGTCGGACAAAGCAACCGCAGATTACGCATATAATCGCCGGAACCCACCTTTTAGTCAACGGCGAACTCCTTCTTCTTCGAACAATCTTCAATCTTGCTGAGCTTCGATCTTGCTGTCCACCTTCGATCGCCACCAATCTAAAGAAATTTTTTTTTAACGTTGAGATTAGTTTCATAGGCAATAATTACCATGTGATCTTAGCAGATCACGTGGTATGATAATGTACGACAACATGCCGATCAACTCCGAACATCATCGTGAGCGATGTTACTATAAACGAATCACTAAACGCCTAGAAAAAAGTTGTCCTTTCCTATATTTCAACCTTTTAAAAGCAGTGCATTCTAGTTTTGTTTTGAAGCACAATTTGTTTTTTGCTTCTAGTTTTTTGGTTTCGTTTTAAAAGGTGAATTGTCTCTGTGTGCCGAATTCTTTGTATTTCTGATGTCAAACAATCCTGTTCTTTTTGGTATCATAAATATAAGCTCCTTTGTTTTGGAGACATACAACAGTTTTTTTTATATTTTAGCCAAAACATATAGCAGCAATTACAGATTCACTAAGTTCATTCTCATCTTGATTCACAAATTTTTAAAGGACTTGAATCGATTCCATGCGGTCTACAATAGCTGGGCGAACGTCTTACACCTAAAGTCAGTCAAAGATTGTTGTATCTCAATTCTTCAGCTTCAGTGGTTCTTTAGACTTAGCAATAGTTTATTTCCCTTTCTTATCATTGCATTCCAGTTTAAAATTATAGTTTATATTGTATTTCCAGGCATTTATTCCATATTTCCCTTTCTTATCATTGCATTCCGGTTTCAATTTATAGTTTATATTGTCAGACAATAATTGTCTTTCCAGGCATTTATTCCACTACATATCTCCAATATTGTAAAAGTGGTTCTTTAAACCCTCAGATCAAAAAATTGGCAAAAACAATCTGAAACACAAAATATTAACATCAGACTCTGATAAAACAACATTGAATCAACGTTTAAACAATTCTACTTCCCCTCATTCTAAGGCTACTAAATGGTGCTGACCCCTCTTATATATCAAACTACATGCATCAACCTGCCTTGGCAAAAACAAAAACGGGCTTTAAAGAGTTAGTTTTCCATTTCTTTTCTTAGCACTTAATCGAATGTTTCAAAATACAAACTAATTTGGCAACACAGGTCCCACAATTATGTCAAACACCGAATACATGGTCTGAAATAATTCGCCATTCCTCTCGCCTCTCGACTGAAGGCGGATTTTTCAAATTAAACCACAAATCTTTCTTAAAACTACTGCACCCTTACTGAAGTGTTCGGTTGGGGCATGGAATGTTAAAATAAAACAAAAACAACACACTATTAAAAAAAGTACGAAAATTTAATAAAATGGCGGCTTACTGCCTTACCTCGTGGTTTTCAAATCGCCTTTCACTTCATTTCTCGCTGGACTTTTAATCTAACAAAGCAGAAAAAATGAACGTCATTTACGTGAAATAAATGCTTTGGCATAACAAACATTCTTACTCTAAAACGTTGAACTAATGCAAAAGAAATCGACCGAAAAAATATTCAGAAAATTCCAACATTCGATGCGCGAGGACGAAGTCATATTAAAAAAGGCAGCAAACAAAAAACATACGCTTATAAGATATATATCTAGATATACTTATAATCGGAATATCTTTTTCTCAACAAGCTTCACTTCATTAAAATAACTTTATAGTTTCTCTTTAAAACATAGAAAATTAAAAAATTTCCGGGCTTTCCTTCCTTCGCCTTTCTTCTCCGAAATCTATCCTCGTTACCCGGTTTTTCGCGTACTGGGCGTGCCGAATGCCCCCCCTGATTTGTGCACAATTTACCGTACAATTTTTATTATTGATACTGCATGTCTAAATTCTAAAACGATCAATATTTTCAATACATTCAATATTTTTCAGGTAATTAGTTATTGTATTTAAAATTAATTGTGATAATGATTTATTTGATTCTTTCTCCATGTAAATAATCATGAGAACAAGCATAGGCATAGAGTATGGGGGGCTGAGGGGCTCGGCCCCCCAAGAAATCTTACTGGGGGCCTCAGCCCCCCTAAAAATTTGCCAAAAAGTAATAATTGCATCAGAGCAATGTTGAATCTTTCAAAAAAGATCTTTATATACACATGAAACGGTATTATAGTTGATATTATAATATATCGAGCAACTCGGAAAAGCAATTGCGAAATACAGAATTTTCAAGCTGTAAATCATAAAATACATGGCAGCTTGTAAAATCATAAAATACATGGCAGCTTGTTCATTTTATCTTTCATTAGCTTTTCTACCCACAACAGGTCAAAATCATTGGTAAATATTTTCTCCACCTATCGGCCATATGAACCATGACTACCGATGCAACTATATATCAAGAGGAAATTTATTCTATTTAATTTTATCTAATGTCAGAAAGTGTTGCTAGCTAGATATCATGTATCTAAAGTTTAAGCCCCCCCAGAAGAAAACAAAACTCTAAACCTATGAGAACAAGTTTCAAAATTCATGTTTGTAAATTCATAAATCCTTGCTCTTTGCACAAAATTCCTCAGTCAGCACTTTTTTATTGCTAAGACTCCCAGTGCAATCAATTACTCAGGCTTTTTGGAAAACCTGGAAGGATGGCCCACAAAATCAATTTGGAATTTCCCACAATTTGCATAACCATCCAGAGCTCCCATTTTCATCATATAATACCAATAAAGATACAGTACAGATATCAGATATACAGAGACAAAAGAGTACAGAGATCAACTGAAGCACTAACATATTGTACATGATCCAATAAACATCTGGGGCTTTTAAGTCTAGGTCATTAATTTTTTTTCATTTTCATTTTGAAA